TGCTAAACGTCTTTGTTTTAACTTTCATCTGTGCTAAGTAACTTTAGCTCGTAAGCTAACGTGTTCAGATACAACATACCATATGTATTTTCACTGTCTCAAACTCAATAGTGTTGCTGTCACAGCTCCATTAGGTCTTGGTTGTTACCTTATGTTTATGGATTATAGTTTAATGTGCTTATCTGGTACTGGCCCCGACTCAGTACATGCTATCATGACAGACAGACATCTCAACACTAGTGTCTAATCAGAACTGAAAACAGTCAGTCTGCTGTTGTGTCAGTCTTCTCGCTTCTACTTTTTTACCCCCAGAAAGTCGTTGTGTATAGTCAAGCGCGTCAAAATTCGCCTCTGAATATTTCGTAATTTCGCGTCGTATATTTGCGTCGTTCAGGACCTTAAAATTTGACATCCTTCAGCTACAGACTCTGTTGTCCTGTTAAAGATATCGAGCTAACATATTACTGTTTTCTTAGCGTTCTATTCCCTCTGCAGTCAGATTTCAAACTTCCGTGTAAATGAACATGAAATTAGTCACCTAAAAACATCCCAAATCTCATTGGCGTGACTCTCTATTGCATTTTGAAGCAGCCCCTTCAAAAGTCTTCCTGCAGACTTAACTCAGAATTTACACAAAGAGATGACAGAGAACCTTTTCTAAAGCTCTGAATCTACCGTGTATTTCTGAGTTGTTTCAAACTGCCACTTTCAGTCTAAATCAGCCGTATCTCTCCAGCGCAGGTAGGAATGTGCTTTTTCATGTCAACCGTTTCTTGTCAAAGTAATCTCAGATTCCAGCGAGGTCGTTTTGTTCTTTTAAGTATAGCACAGCGTTGATTAAATATTTAACTGAACATACAACAGAGAGAGATTAGAGTAGATGTGTTTTTGCTGCAGCTCCAGTAGTTTCACCGTGTTCTTATCCACTCACTGTAATTACATGCCATCAGGGAGAAAGTGCAGATGTGTCATTATATTATTGTCAATGTTAAAGGTTATACTTAAGCTCTTTTTCACAGTGCTGCCGATCGCTTGAAGATGTGTGCAGATGGAGCGAGTCTCTGCAATGCATGTAATTTATTCATCTTCCACACAGTTTTGTATCATTGAGCTCATTTTCAGCTTTTATGTGTCATTTCTACTGCTGCTTTATAGACATGTTTCATCCTTTTACAAACATGGAAAAAAAACTTGACTGCATTAAGGCAAGACGAGTACAAAGTGTTCCTTCTCCAAACACTTGGACAGGCACTGCGCTGCATAAAACACTACTGAGCATTGAGTTATTGAGTATTTGGAAATATAAAGTGATTTAAATGTGAACGAAAGCTTCTTATTCCAAACCACCAAAGCTTTTTATCACTAACTGTCATGCAAACCTGTCAGTAGAAGAGATTTAGCCTACTTTTGGTCCAAATTTAAATGAGCACGGTCTCTTAAATTATGTTGTAATTATGCTGCACTTGGTCTTCTGTATGTAACACCTCGCTCATTTCAAGAGACAGTCCTGCGTTTACAATGACCAAACCATCCTGAACACAAAGGCAAGGGTGTATCCAGAGGGGTGGCCTGGCTTCTCTTTAAGATGCCAGCCCAAAATCCTTCAAAAAATGATTGTCTCTTTGCCCCCCCTTCCCTGAAAACTTTGTACGCCCCCGTACAAAGGCAGCTAGGCCGACACTTAAACTTATTAAAACTGGAAACACTCAGATTTATTGAACATTTCAGGACAGTCTGCACCAAAGTTATTATTCACACACGTCTATCACAGTGTGAAGTTTTCACTGATGGAGTGGAGGACGGAGTCAGAGTCCTACTTCAAAATTTTGCTTTGACAGTTTTTGAATATATATCCATGCTGAGTGCTATTCCACATATTTTGCAGTGGGAATAAATGAAAGGAAATGTTGAACTGGAAAGCTCAAAGATGTAAGAAATTCTGAAATCTTTAGGAAGTTGGTGCACATGTGAACACAGTGGGAAGTGCTACCTGTTGCTTTTTCTATCACATTATATGTCTTTTTGATGTAGTGTGTTTTCATTATACTCTGATTTATATGTTTCTTTATGTATTTCAACCTATTTTGCAGCTCTCTTTCAAACTGTTTACAAATCTTGCAAAAAGTTCTGAATCTGTAGGTGCAGGTCCAAATTTCGGTAAAGAGCTCTTTTTTAACTATTAGTTTTTTAAACTTGCTTTGTGGCTACCCCATCAGTCTAAAACATTGTTGTGGCTGATGAAGACTGATTAAAGGGATATTACGGTGCAAAAATTGATTTAGGGTCAAACACGCCATAACACCAAGTTACAAACCCCCTCGAGACATGAATTTTGCCGACCGCTTGCTTCTCTAGTTATACCGACTTGATCATTTCTTCATGGAAATGCAATCAGACTGAGACAGGCAGAAAATCCACCGCGTCTGCAGTGCAAAATGATTAATATGGTGATTATTACTTAAAGGAAATGATAAAGAAATTATCATAAATGTTCTTCCTTGAGCTGTGCCACCCCGCAGCAGTCCGTGATGGACTAGCCCAACGTCTAGCTACAAACAAGTGGCTGCTGGAAGAGAGTAGGTGAGTTGTGTTTAGTCTTTTAGATAAAGAAATAAGGCAAAGTTAAAAAAATGTTTGATGGCTAGTACTGTGGCTTGGAACCTATATGTACTGTTGATGAAGTTAGGTGCTGTTCTGAGCATTATTCGTGGTTATAGAGTGGCATTTTTGGTTGTTTGTTTATGTTTATGTTATGGTTTATGGCTTATTGTTTATAGCCACAGTGTATTGCTATCGTGTGGTCGTTACTAAAGTTGTTCTAACTAGAGAAGAAAGCGGTCGGCAACATTAATCTCTTGAGGGGGTGTCTAACTCGGTGTTACGGTGTGTTTCACCCTAATTTAATTTTATGCCAGAATATCCCTCTAAGTCTCGTTTTGTGAAGTTACTTTACACAATTCAATTTTTTTGTCTTTTTACTGAATTTACCATCCCAACAAAATAAAAGAGTGGATCTCTGTCTCTCTCTGTCTCTCTTTCACACACAAACACACAAATACAGGCTGTAGTGATCAGCGTGTTCACACTCACTGCGGTCTTCAGAAGGCAGGTGTCCTCTCCAAGGTAACAGAGCTCTCCTGAACAACTGGTCTCCATCCACAGATGATCCCCGTTCACAGCGTTCTCCTGCAGAGACACGATCAGAGAGTGATGACTTCATCACCTGCGTTGGCCTCACCTGTAAAACCTCTGATTCAAGATGACTTCCTGCCACATTCGAGTGCAATCACGTGCGCATAAACACTCTCTAATGAGAGCGGTCAACGAGTGTGTCAAGCACATAATCATGGCGGCTGAGTAGGTTTGTGATTTCACAGTGTACGGTATGTTAAATCATGGTGCTAATGAAAACACTACGGTTCAAGTGCTAACTCACACCTATACACACACATGGAAATGTGTATGACTACATGCATGTGTGTGTCAGAGGAAGGGTATGGCTGGGTTCAGTGTGCGGCTTTAAAGCGTGACCTTATTTAATTACAGCACATCATGCAGTCATTTCTATGCGTTTATTCGGCTGTTAATGGGGCCGTGTCTCTCTGTTTCTCTCACGTGAATTTCAAATGGCATTAATGAGACGAAGTGACGCAAGAGGACAGGTCCGGAGGTAAAGACATACTGACAGCTGAGCAAAGGTGTGGAAGTAAATCTGTGCCATTTGATTTTAAATTTCTAATGCTGAATTTTTTTTTGCATCAAAATTTGAATTTGAATTTTTTTTTATGTAGTATTTTTTTTACACAGTTTTTTTGAAGTCATACTTTTACTACACAAATATTTTGAGAGACTGATTTTCTTTACACTGAATTTATTTCATCAATGTGAAAAAATTAGTGGAAGAAATAAATATCTGAGCTTGAAATTCAACGGTTTTGCAATTCAAAGTCTGATTTTGATGCAAAAAAAATTCAGCTTTAGAAATTCAAATTCAAAATCAGATGGCGTAGATTTACTTCCATACAAAGGAAGCACACTTTTCAATCAAATGACTGTATTTTATTTTATTTTATCAGCCACCTGTGAAATAAAAGGCTGATACTACCTGTGTTATTACACTGACAAAAATCAGATGGGGCGGACAGGTGAAGGCACCAAAATACAAAAATTCCAACAAATATCTATTTTGTTTTTGTCATCAAGCCATGATAAGACAAAAAAGTTTTCGCAGACTGTCAGACATTTAAATCCATGATATTTTTACCACTGAGCAACTGTGTCACTCAAAATATAAACATTGCCCTCCTGTATTGAGCCAAGTTTGTTGTATTCATTTTGTCTCCTATTACAAGTGCAACAAGGGTGTAAATCCTCTGTCTCATTATATCTCCCATCTTCATGAACTTTTCTAGATGCATGTCGGTGATAAAGACGCAACCAGCATCGCTTTAATGTTTAAGGTTTTCTGACACTTTCACAGTTAACGACACCATGTCAAAGCTTCTCTTTTTTCCAGTTTTGAGACACATTCGAGATCATTTTTACTCTTAAAACCTAGCAACACAAACTGAAAGGCTGCAGCAGAGCTCTGTGCCTCTCAGTCTTGGTTTCAATTCTGCTCTGTCTGTGTTTCATTCGTTGCTGAAATGTTGAGTGAAACCCAGCAGGTCCACGATAAGAGGAGACGGATCTTCCTCTAATCTCTCTGTCTGTCTCTTACTCCTCTGAGCTGGAAACTATTGCAGACAACGCCTCTCTGTTACCGCCGCACTAAATCCCTCTAAATGTCCATTTGTAAACATTTCCATTTCCTCATCCTTTCTGGTGATCCGACTTGCAGGAAAACACAAAAATACAAATAAAAACTATATTTGTCATTTTGATAAAAACCTCTGAGCGGCCCCATGATGAATAAATACGACTGTGTGACTCATCTGGTTCTAGAAAGGGGTCATCCAAGGCAGTAGATCAACTCTTAAGTGTATATTAATGAGTGATTATACAAAGATTATATATCAGTGTGTGTGTGTGTCACACAGAGAGCTAAAGGCCAATGGTGACGTGGTGGAAGTGTCCCTGCAGACCGAGTCAGAGGGGACTCTCAGATGTGGCCTGACAGCAGTTTGTCGACTCGCATCTTCTGATCGATAATACAGGATGATTTTTATTTACTTCTCATTATGAGAGTCTGACTTATTCAGAGCTGAATTATACATCCAAACACTCTGTTTAATAAGTGATGGAAAGTGATCAGTCTGTGTTCTCTCTTTGACACTGTGAGTTTCAGTCATTTTTTTCGTCTCCTTTCAGTGATTCTGAAGTATCCTGGATGCTGTTTTTTTGGGCCCTCAGAGCCTTTCCCTTGTTTTGCTCTCTGAGTTTTGTCGGATCCAAATTGAAAAAGGAACAAACGCTGATGAAGTTGAGGGAAAACCTTCGGCTGTCACATTCGATCTTTTCTCATTGAATCAGATAATAACAGGAGTGTGCCTTTCTTCTGTCACTCTCTGGTTCATTACAGAGCTGGTAAAAAGATGCTAGCAGAAATTTTTAATCAACACAAACTGAAAGAGAATTCATTTTAACAAGAACCTTGATTAACACTACCTCTTTTTCAGTTCTTTACGAAAGCAAACAGGTTCTGAATTGCAAATCACTCGACCCTGCACTGTTCTCTGGCTTTAACATTTTGAAGTTACAAAGGTTCACCGCAGTCATTAACTAAACTTCCAAAAGGAGTAAAAAGGAAGTCAAGATTACAAAAATGTTCAGTTCACAAGGTGTGTCAAACAGCACTAACCATGTTCAAGGCAAAAAACAACATTTTACCACCAATATTTAAAGTTTCTGAATAACTGTACAACACATAGATGTTTCATCTGAGTGAGTTATACTCATTACAAGAGGAGGTTTGGTCGGTCATGACTTCCCTGAAGGCTGCTCTCATGTATCCTCATGTTCCTGCTTTTCTGATTTTCCTCCTTTCTCTTCCATCCTCTCCCCTCCAACCTGTATTACCTCACCCTAAGAGCTTCAGGGTGCAGGACAAGTGTGCTCACACTTAAGAGCACCACAGGGGCAACAAACTCTGCAGATGCTCCACATTTGCTAAACCCGAACAGGATGTGCCTGAAGATGCGAGGGCCCGCTCAATGCTGATTGACAACCCGACCACATACATCGATAAAAATCAATCGATAAATGTGGTAAAATGTTAGAAAAATTAAGAATTATGAGCCTTCAGCCACGAGGGGTACCACCTACCTCTAAATATATGTTCATCATATATGTAAAAACTCTGATATTTGATTGAATAAAACTAGAAAATCCAGAGAACAGCTATTTAAACGATAAATTAGGGTCCTGCTATGAAAACCTGAAAGGATGCAGGTTGTAAAAAGCTGGACAATAACTCTGCCAGGGCCAAGGTTTTATTGAAGCATGAGAAATTCACTGATGTTTTCTGACCACGTCCATTGATTTGACTTCTTTTTACTGAAAGAGGGATTCAGTTTTTACCATCACAAGCCTGAAAACTGCTTGATGTTTAGAGTGCCCCGGCTGACCTGTACGTGGTTTTTTAGCACGGGTCAGCAAAGGTGAACTCACTCTACAAATATCCTGTTTTTGTACACATGGATTTCACTAGAGAGGAAATGTTCTGCCGCACTGAGCGACCCTTCTTTTTTAAACTCAGCAGAGATGATTCATGACATTCATCAGAACATGTTCTACATCAGCTTGGCATTTCTGAAACCACCGGACCTTTGCTTCGTTATGAGAGCAGGAAGCATTTTAAAAGTTTCTTTGGCTTTTTGAGGCGTTATGAAGTAAAAAAAGGAATACATTTCTGCAAAACAAACCCAGATGCTCTGAAACGTCTTTGCCATGTTTGGTTATGGGGACATTTTCTTGTTCTGATAAAAAGCTAAAAGAGAAAATTGGCGCTTTTCACTTCCACATGAACATACGGCTGCTGAAACCAGTCTGCTAACAAATCTGTTGGCGAAAAAAAATCTAAATGTCATTCTGTGACTCAACCAGGAGGAATAAGGACAATGTAGACCGGGACAACTGTAGTTTTTCAAACTTGTTTAAAGGGATATTCCGGCGTAAAATTAATTTAGGGTCAAACACACCGTAACACCAAGTTGAACTCCCCCTTGAGAGGTGAATGTTGCTGACCGCTTGCTTCTCTAGTTATACCAACTTCAGTAACGACCACACGATAGCAATACACAGCGGTCTGAGGAGCCCTAAACAAACCTCAACTAAAACGCCACGAATAATGCTCAGAACAGCACCTAACTTCATCAACAGTACATATATAACACAACTCAGCTCTTTCAGCAGCCGCTTGTTTGTACGGAGACCTCCGGCCAGTCCATTATGGACTACAGCGGGGTGACGCAGCTCAAGGAAGAACATTTATGATCATATCTTCATTGAAATGCAGTCAGACCAACACGCTAAGGTAGAAGAACTATCGCGTCTGCAGTGCAAAATGATTAATATGATGATTATTACTTCAAGGAAACAATAAAGATTTCTGTGTATTGCTATCATGCAGTCGTTACTAAAGTTGGTAACTAGAGAAGCAAGCAGTTGGCAACATTAATCTCTCAGGGGGGTGTCTTACTTGGTGTTACGGTGTGTTTGACCCTAAATTAATTTTACACCGGAATATCCCTTTATTTTCTAAGTTTCTGCATGAGTAAAATATGCAAAAAGACCTGAACTAAAGGAAAACAAAACAACATCTTTCTCATGAAGGTGTATAAACAGAGTGATTTGCATATCTGACCGTCCAGTCCACACTGGTGCGTAGATCCTTGTTGGGCCCGTTGGAGGCAGGAGGCAGCGATGGCTGAGGTGGACCGAGGTGCTGGAGGCCCGAACGCGAGATTGCTTTCCTGAAAAAAAAACAAAAAATACACAAAACAAACAATCAGGACCGGGAATGTCTGTAAAGAGAGATCAGCGATTCAAAAACCAACACTGTCATCCTTCTGTGTGACACGGCTCTCTCACCACAGAGCAACAAAAACACAGAGAGAAGCAGATCGGAGTATAATTCAGCATGAAAATTAATTATTCATGTTGGGAGAGCAGATTTCAGCGGGTTCAGCTGCAGATATTCGGTGGGAACAGCTTGGATAAGAGACTGCCAGCAGCACTTTTGGGTGACGAGGGGTAGACAGAGACGGATCTGTTCTGTCGGAGGATGAGTCAGCATTTATTCCTTTCTCTCACTGTCTGTTTCAGTCACCGTTGAGCTTCCTCTTCCTGGTTTCTGTCCTCTATATGTTTATCCATTTCTCTGTTTTGATTTTCGCCTCCTTTGTCCGATCAAAGTCCGCCAACGCCACCGTCACATCATCATCTCTCTGTAGAGCCATTTGTCTAATGATTGACTGTTGACTGAATGGAGCATAAAGAGTTTCATCTGTTTGGACATCTTGAAATTGTTGCCCTCATATGTTTCGATCAACAGTTTCCAATTATCTCAATAGCCTTAAAATTATTGATACATGTGCAAAATTTTTGTATTTTGAAGGTTTTAACCATGAATTCATGTTTTCCTCTCCACTGTAATCACTAAATAATTATGTTAGCTCACAAGGAGGACTTACGGCTGGTGGTGCTAGCTCTGCTAAACCAGCTCGACATTGTTTACTTGCAGATTTTGTAATCCTGTGTTTAGCTGTGTTAAACATTGTGCTCAATTTTTACCTAATTTTGACAAGCCAAAACGTCAGAAATTAAATATCTGTTCAAATAGTTGAGGAACTAGTTTCGTCCAATCATAAGAAAAAACCACGAGACGTGAAAATGTGGAAATATTGATTATTTAATTACCTGTTTTCTTCCATAGAGCAGAGGGATGTAAAAACAGGATTTTACACTGGAAGGTAGATAAGCAAGACTGTGGTATATTTATATATCCGGTAATAATGGTAACAGCATGTGTTTGCATGTGTGTGTGTACATTTGCATTTGTGTGTCAGTGTGTGTGTGTGTCAGTCAGTCTGTCAGTGGAAAAGGTTGCACACAGCATCCGACCCTCCTGTTGAAAGTTTCAGTGGCCGTCTGTCTAAAATTATCAACCAGGACAAAGAGGAGTCCACTTACACACACTGTAACCTGATGACACACCCTGACACACACACTCACACACACACACGCGCGCGTGCACACACACACACCTATATGCATGTACGACTTCTGAGCTAAAAATAGTTTTGCGTGGGCGACAAAAGCACAAATGCAAGGACGTATGGTGACCAGACATATGCCACAAAGGGCAGGGGACCACACTCACACTTACACACACTTACACAATAAAAACAGCCTCCTGAAGTCAGAACCACAGAACTGGTAATAGAATTAATTTTGAAGACAACTTTGTTTCATTGTGTGATTTTGTTCTCACTTTCAGCTTTGATAACTTGTCTACCTTTTGTTGACAGCAGATATTTGAGGACATTGTGGGAAATAACTCAAGCTGGGAGACAGTTTTGTTGAAACCACTTGTGTGGAAGTGAAACCAAAGGTAGAAAGTGAATGTGAGACAAAAACACAATGAATTTGTTTTTGCTTTCCTGCCATTTTTGTTCGACTTCACTCTGTTTCTGACTGAGACTTGTAGTGGTTAATTTTCTAGGAGTAAAAATTACACACTGCCCCCTTCCTACTCTGTCTCCCCCTCTCTCCCTATCTCTCTGTATTCCTCCCCAACCCAGCAGCGGCTTGGTGGCTGTCTGGCATGAGTCGGGTCCTGCTCAAGTTTTCTGCCTGTTAAAAGGAAGTTTTTCCTTGCCACTGTCACTCATGTTAGATGAGATGGGCCAAATCCCATCTTAAGGTTGGGTCTTGATAATTCATCAAACAATGAGCATGGTCTAGACCTGTTCTTTTTCTTTGGAAAGCGTCTTGGGATGACGACTGTTGTGAACTGGCGCTATATAAATAAACTGTGATTGATTGATTGATTATGTGTTGAGAGCATTAATCCAGGAAGTAATAACAGGAAAAGGTGTTCTCATTTGGGGCACAATAGACTTAGACTTTGTAAAACAGTATTTATAAGTATGTTTCCGTGTGTGTACATTCGGGTGTACCATGGAGTAATTTAGACCCACTGTAGTTGTTTGGCAGGATGCTAAAAGCCCACTGCAGTTTTTCTCCTTTGCCTTTGTTGACTTTGGCGATAAGTTGGGTTGAGTCAACATTTCCAATATGGCAGCCTTTGCTGAGCTCAAAAACGCCTCCTCAGAAACTAATGGGGGACATCACTGAGACTATATCTATGAGTTATCTATCACTATAGCCTCTCATACATTGTAATTCTGCTACAGCAACAGAGTAGGAGCGCCACATGCACACATACACACACACACACACACACAGCGTTGCTCCACCCTGCCGACTCCAACACTGAACATCAGCACCATCTTCACCCCATTTCACCTCTTTTACTAAATCAGAAAGAGGATCAGAGGTGAGAGGATTTTGCCCCTCTATTACTTGGCTTGGACGATATGCTTTTCTCCTGATTCGATTCTTCTACAATTTTTTGGATGCCAATTCCATCTAAGTTGTGATTCTACAATATTGTTGATTTTCTCGATATTTAGTCTGTATTTTAAACACCAGTGAAACAGTTGAATGATTATGATTGTCTACTGACTATTCCAGGAACCATATTTCCCCCCAAAAATACACATCACATGTAAGTCAGATTTTAAGATTTATTATTAAATTTGAAAAAAAATAAATCGCCTTTTGAACATAAAAATTGTTTTAAAAATTGTGGAAAAAAAAAATAGCGATACGTATGTGGTCGATTCTTTTTTCCACCCCTATCTATTATGCCTGAATATCACAGCAAATTCAACAAGGACATGAGCATCAGTATTAGTTTTTCATTGGCTGCTTAAAAAGTCACAGCTGCCATGATCAGTCTCTTTGTGCTGTAAAGCCGCAGGACTCTGTGTTGTGTCTGTTCATATAGCATGTATTTTAGGGGTGGCACCAGCTGAGACAGTTTTAATGTTGTAGTTACAACTGTTGTAGTTCCCAAGTCCCATAGAAATAACAGATGACTTTAATCTATACTCCTGTATTTGTTTTCATAGAGAGAGAATAATTAACTCTGCACAATACAACAGTACTGTTGGATCAGTGTATGTCAGGGCTGATGTCATGCCTCAATGTTGCCAGTGTTATTTTGTACTAGCTGTAGATTAATTATCACCACCTTATTATGCTTTGACATGTTTTACACAGAACATACACCCCCCCCCCACACGTGACATCACAGTTTTAGAAGGCGAGAGAGAGGGTTATAACCCTGGAGTTTAATCATACTCTCACACTCACTCACTGTTCATGCAAGCTCTGTTTACTTTCAGACATTGCAGTGTTTTTCAATCTTCAACCACTGAGAAAATGGCACATAACGTCAACATGACAGGCGACCATCAAGATGGTTTGGAGGATTTTGCAGTGATTAGTACTGTTGGTGAAAGTGGTGACCACCCAGATTTTTCTGTTTTTTTACAACCGCTTGATCAGTGGCAGCTTAATTTCATTTTTCAAGACTCTGACTCAGAGAATGATGACCATGAGGACGCCATGGAGGAAGACCAGGGTGTGGATCAAGTCGCCCCACTCCCAGTATTAGAGAGGGATGATATTGAGGATGATGATTATAGTAGTAATGATTATAGTGATAATGAGGACTACTACAGTTTTTATGTCCCATCGCCTGGCAAATCAAGCAAAAGACATCGTGAGGATGAAGATGATGATATTGACGATGATGAGTATAGCGATAATGAGGACTACTACAATTTTTACGTCCAATCACCTGGAAGGTCCAGAGAAAGATGTCGTGAGGACAATGATGATGTAAGTAACTATGCTTTATTTATATATAGCACCTTTTACAGACAGAAACTCACAAAGTGCTTTACATAAACGAAAAGTAAAAATGTACATATTAAATTTCCAAAATTTTAAAGGCCAAGACAACAACATTAACAATCATAGCAGCCCCAAAACATTGAAGAAAAGCTTGTGCAAATAATGATGTCTTGATTTGGCTTTTAAAGGAGGATGATAGCGATGAAGATGACTTCTCACAGCCTGGTGGCCTAAAAAGAAGGCGGATGTGAGGATGATGGCGTAGATGTTGCTTCTGCCCCCCCCCCCCCCCTTTCTCATCCCCCTGTCCTCCCTCCCACTCCTCTCTCTCCCTCCCTCTGTGTTTCTCCCCAACCCAGCCGCAGTGGGTGGCTGTCTGACATGAGTCTGGTCCTGCTCAAGGTTTCTGCCTTTCAAAGGGAAGTTTTTCCTTGCCACTGTCACTCATGTCCGATGAGATGGGTCAAATCTGTCCCACCTTAAGGTTGGGTCTTTGTAATTCATCAAACAATGAGCGTTGTCTAGACCTGCTCTTTTTGAGAAAGCGTATTGGAACAACGACTGTTGTGATTTGGCAATATATTAATAAAATTTAATTGATCGATTAATTGATTGATTGATTGATTGATGATGATGATGATGATGATGATGATTATGAAGAAGACAACAATGTTGAAGTCTCACTGCCTGGTGGATCTAAAAAAAAAAGGCGACGTGAGGAGGACGACAATGAGTTTTATCTGTGTGCTACAGTTTCCACACAATACAAAATAAAACTATTAAATAGTAATTTTAAGTAAATGCCCATATTTTGACTTTGATATTTAATATCTCCTTTTTGGAAAACCAGAGTGTGATAGTATGTTTTTAAAAATCATCAAATATCACCTATGAAAACAGTCAAGTTGTAAGAGTGTGTTCGACATGTAAAATAAGTCCAAGGATCTCTCAGTTTGGATTTGAAACAGGTCCACTACTTTACTGGCATAAAAGACAAGTCCACAAAGGGAAAAGACTCAGAGAATGACTACAAATGACACATCTTGTTCTTTGAAATCATTATGCCTCTCTTTTAGCTGTTTCAGGCCTTCTTGTTGTCATGTTTGCTTCTATGCCACTTGTCTACCAGCAGACTATAGAGAGTGGCAGACATGGTACATGATTTTTTTGTGTGCAAGTATGTAACCTTGCTTTAAAACCAAGCGTGATAAGTCTTATTAGAATTACAGTGATTTAAGTATCAAGACATCTCAGATGCCGGTGCTTTGCTGGAAAATCTGTCCACACAATCATCTGTGAGACTTTTTGAGGTAAAAGAAGGAAGACATCACAAAATGTGGGAAAACAGTGGCTCCGTGGCCTAATTCAGTCCCAGGGTCTATGAAAGTGCATCGAGTAGGCACCCTGCCTCAGCATGTACACAAAGATTAACATGTCCTTTATGCTGCTTTTCTCTAATGTTTTTAAACACTTTTTTCATTTTCATTACTCACTTGAGCGCAAATCATAATTTAATATAAGGCCATCTGTTTTCCTATTTGTTTGCTATTTTCACTTTTGTTTACTACAAAATTAAAGGCATGGTTGACAATCTGAGAAGAAGTTGAAAAAAACTAAGCCGCTGAAGCAGATTTGAAAAAGGCACACACAAACCTCTCCTGTCTGTGGTCCACGATAACTCCCCCCCGAACCTGTATCACCCTTCCCACGACAAACCCCCTCTGGCAGAGCTAGAAGCTGGCCGGCAGAAGATCCTACGCTAGCTTTAAGTGTAATTCACCATGCTGGACTGATAGTGACTAGCAGCAGTAAACGCCAGCCCTGCTAGTGAGCACCGTCTGCAGCTGCTACGACAGCTACCGTGTTGACATTGCAGAGACTGATAATAGTTATTTATATAACATAGGCCACAATAAAAGGCAAAAATGACGTGTTCAACAAAAACTGCTGTCTCAATGTCTGTTTTCAGGCCCAAATCCAGGCGGAGCTTTCTCCCCCCGCTCGAACGAAGACCCGAGGTTTATTCGAGTTAGATTCTTCGCTTTGTCACATCTCTCTTCGACTCTGTTCTTTCTTCTGTCAGCTTGCATTTTCTTAGTACCTTTGGCAATTGGGCAAGCAGAATTTTTTTTTTTTGCGTCCTTCTCCATCACAGCTCCTGTAGCTAAGCTGCTATGCTACATTTAGCCGCTCAGAGCTCCGAGGAGGGCCGGGAGAGTGGGAGGGGACGAGTCGGAACTACAGGAGAGGGATGTGTCAAATACATTGAGGTGATTGGATGGAGAGGCGGAGCAGGACATTGATCAAAAGGAGCTGTCCGGGACAGATGGCTCCCATTGGTCAATGTTTTTCAGAGTCAGTCAGAGCATCAAAGTAAACAGATGAAATCTCAAGATAAATACTTCAGCAGAGGCAACCTAACATTTCAAATGTTTACAAAGTAGACAAGAACAAAATAATAGCATTTTGAAATCTGGCAGAATACACAAGTGAGGCTGCAAAGTTTGCAGTTCTTGAAACCTACCTTCACTTCTGAAGAAGTTTTCTAAGTGTCCAAATCTTGATATCTTTAAAACTCCTCACAGGGATGTCAAAGTTGTAAAATAAGTTGTCAAGTTGAAAAGCAAATGAAGGTGTTTCCTCTCTAAACGGCAAAGACAAGCTTGGCCCGCTGATATCTCAGATCAACAGTTAAAGAGGGACGTTTAGATTATTGCCTTTCAAGGAGCTCGATCAAGTTGCACTCTTAAACTCTGTGTCTAATGCTTCATGCTGACAAGTTTCCTGAAAATCAGGTCAGTAGTTTTTCTGTAATCCTGCTGAAAAATAGACCACTGGCACTGAAAACACAACCTACTTGGCACACAGGTGAGCGGCACAGAGCTGGCCAAAGTATGAAACAAGATCCTGATTGTTACCGCTTCAATTTGAACATTTCACACACACACATACAAACACATAGTTAACCCTGCTGCCTACAGCTGTGTGTGAGCACCGAACAGTCAGGATGATTTTGAAGTGATTACTGTTGATCTGATATGAATGAATAGGCTGAGTCTGTGTGTCTCCACTGAAATGATCCTCACATTTAGCCGTATACCTGAGTGTGTTTGGTGTCAAACAGGCAGAGAGTGAAAGTCAGAGCTCAGCTGCGGCAGTGTACTCGATGTACTCAACATGGAACAATGTAAATGGATACACACTTCAGTATGCAAACGCACACAAACACACAAACAGACGCTCGCATTCAGAGGTCATGGGCACCATTACATCTGAGTGAGTCCTAATCTACTAAAAGCAGACAGGATCACAGGCATTAAGGCTCACTTCTTAAACACTAATACACAAAATACAGCGTGAGGCTTCTCTGTTGTCCACACACAACCACTGAACATGGCGGCGTATGAACACACACATTTGCCTCAGAGTTATTTTAAGGAGATTTGTGCACAAAAAAGGCGGAGAAAGCGCTGCGGTCTAAAAATAAATGGAGTTTAAAAGCATTAAAATAAAACCGGATCGACAGCCAAACAAAGCAAAACTACATGGTCGAACAATACAATCAGCTGCAAATAGAGCAGTACTTATACTATTGAATAATTAAAGATGAGACATAAAATCCAGCATGATGATTAAACATGCACAGTCAAGAAATGTGGGGAATAAGGAAGGCAGTTCAAAAGGTGAAGTCTGGCTTGCAGAGTTGTTACAGGGTGTAATAAATGCATCTTGTACTCTACACTCGTTGTACGCATTTGGCAGGACAGTCGCCGAGAGTCACCGCGATGACACTCGGCTCAAACAGCGTGTCCTCCGGGTGAACTACGCTATCTTTGTACGCCTATAGGCTGTCATAAGTGTCAATCACAAAAAACATGAACCCCCTAATAACTTTTAAAAATGGAGCTGCACAGAAAAAAGAGGACTTGAGCACAAACCAGTCTTACAGTAACTACATGTCAATATCGCAACCAGGGGGAAAAAATTAATGTTGTAATAAATTTCTAAAGTTTGTCCACAGCTTCATAAGGATGGCTGGCAGAGGCGGGATTTATGACCTATACTGCAGCCCGTCAACAGAGGGTGCTGTTCTCGGAGTGGCTTCACCCAGTGAGGAGGCAGACGGCGTCCATTCTATGTACAGTCTTTGCTTGTAATTGGTCTGCTTGAAAGTGGTATTGCTCCCATCTTCTTACTTTACAGCCATATTGTCCGTCTCCTCTGACATCCCCTGCTTTTCTTTCGTCATTTAAATAAATACATTTACAACACTCTGCATTTCACCGTTGATTCTGTCCATGTTTCCGGCATTGCATAAATCATAGGGCCCTAGAGACGTGTTATTTGGGCCCCTTTATAAAACATGCTACTGAAGATTACTGTCAAAAGATTGGCTGTAAACAGAAAAAAGGAAAAAGAGAAACAGCAGGAGGCCGGGCGGGCTAAGCTGCTGTGTGTATAAAGAGGGGAAAGCCGTCGGTGTAGTGTGTGTTTTTGTGTGTATGGAAAGCTAAAAGATGTGTAAACATGCCAAACTAATAGATAATGTATATAAATGAGAACAGAAAGGAAACCTTCTTCATTGTTTATCCTTTCTGACCCTTTTTTAAATAAAGACAGAAAGGACCTGAATTCTTTCAGAGTTTCCATCAGGTTAACTGGTTCCTTTTAATGGCCAATACACGTGAATGTGTCCTTAAATGGCTCTCTGTCTCTATGTATCAACCCCCTGATAGACTCATGACCTCTTCAGGGTGTACCCCGTCTATCGCCCAATGACAGCTGGGATGACAGCATGTGACCCTCAGAGGGATAAGCAGTAAAGATAATTGATGGAGATTATGAACGGAAAGGAATCCCTATCCCTCTATAGATCCAGTATCCCTGAATGGGAGTTAGTCACAGTAAAAGATGATAGATGCTCTTATAGCTCAGCTCCAGACATGTTACAAAACATGTTTGTAGGTATTAAGGTAAGTGGTGTCTCACTAACAGCTCATATTCAGAGTCAGCTATCAGAGGAAGAGACTCTCAGAGCTGAAATTAAAACGTGAACAGAGGAGCTGAATGCAGCTGCTCTCTGCTCCTCTCTCTAACACCACCTACTCCCTCTCTCTTTATCATCCTCCCTCCCCCTCCTCCTCCTCCTCCCTGCCTGCACCGCTCTCTTCATCTGGACCCTTCCTCTCTTCTATCTCTGGAACTAATCCTCCTCCTCCTCTTCCTCCTCCACTCTCCTCCTCCTCCTCTTCCTCCACTCTCCTTTTTGTCTTCACATCCCTGCCGTCATCACATTCAGCGCGGTCAGACCATCCACCTCCTCTAATCTTTCTCTCCTCTCCTCCTCTCCTACCATTCCTGCTCTTTTTCTTGTCCCCTGGTTTTCCTTTTTATCCTCACCCTATTTTTCCTCCTCTTGTTCTTCTACCAGCAGAGGTGGGTTGTCAGCGTTGCTATGCCAACTGCACAGCGGGAGCATCGGCAGCTCATCCAGTAATTATATTGGTGCTGAATCTGGTTTGTGTGTGTGTGTGCATGAGAGTGTGTGTGTGTTTCTGCAACTTTACTGTAAACTGTTGATGCAGTTACTGATGCAGAAGGAAACATGGTGACTTAAATTTGCACTCTGCACACAGAGAAATTCATCATTTCTATAATCCCTCACCTGTTTTTAAAATGCAAATCCCAGAGAATTATGGAGGAGGTGACAGTCAATATTTACAGAGTTAAATTCTGATTTCAGGTGCTATGAAGAAGTCTTTCCACAGCGGCGTTGTTCTTTCCGCAGTACCGTTGCAGCTATTTAACCAGTTTCATCATGACTCGGCAAGCGTAGTTGATTAAAGATAAAGCGAGAACAAAAAGTAAGAGCCACAGATATAAAAAAAAAGCAGCTGCAAGTGGGAGGAATGGAATTGAACATCCTCTGCCTCGCCGAGCAGAAGATGTTGTGATTATGTGGGAGAAGTTGTTTGACAAAAGAGGCGCAACTGCACCAGTGTGGGTTTTAGTGTGAAGACGGATTGTCTCTGTTGGAAAATGTTTAAGGTTTTTCAAAAGAAACCTATATCTACCTTCTGAAACCTGAAACGTGTATAGCTAGTTTTGAAATTGGCTCTTAATGCAAATAAACGGTAGCTGGGGCTGCTTGTTTGTGGCAAAAATCACTGTCATAATAATACTCACTAAACCACTGCCTGACTTTTTCTTGTAGTAGCGTATCAACTTTACACTTCGTCATTAAAAACTACCCCTTTCACTTAAACAGACACTCCTGCTACAGTTTGCTCCTCTCCCTGCTCTCCTCTCTTCACATGATGGTTGAGCACAACATATTGAAGATACAGAAGTCTATCATTAAACCTCTCTCTGTGAGGGACTGTGTGAGCAAATACTTCAACAATGTAAGAATTATGTTCCTCAGCATAAAATTTCAAAGAATCTGAGGGTTTTATCATCTATTGTACAAAATATTATAAGAGGGACAAAGCTGTAGACCAGCGCCAGACAAGTGAGATCTTTAGGTCCTCAGACAGACATGACTCTGAAGTGGAAACCTCTGCATAGGGCTGGGCAATATGGGGAAAAGTTTATCACAATATCCTTTTTTTCATATCAGACGATGCTGATATATATCACAATATAAAAAAAATCACTTGTCAATCTTAAATGTTCCCTGTTACTCTTAAATGAAATTTAACAGTGCTTGTTGGTAGCATATCTACTAATAGACATGCTGTCAAATTTCATTTTCTTATGGTGATATATTTTGATATCAATTGATATGAAAAAAATATATCATGATAAACTTTTCCCCGCCCAGTACTACGCAAAGCATATTGACCATGTTTTCATATTGATATTGAGGGAAAATTCATTTTCAATACATATTGTTATTGTTTTATCACCCAGCCCTACCTCTGCATGGGCTCAAAATCACTTCCAAAAACCCTTGTCTATGATCACAGTTTCTGGCTGCATCCATAATTGGAGGTAAATGCATATAGGAAATTCCATATAGGAAATAGGACATGTAAACATAATCCAGAAATGCCCTTTCTGTTTGTAGACTATGGACATAATATCCTTGGCTCTATAGAGAAGAGAGGTGTACAGTTCGAAAGCCAGCATCCCTAATAGTGTTGTAATGGTAGATTCACTTCTATAAAGGCCTCTTTTAATTCTGACGATAACAAACATGTTTTGGAGAAGGGCAGGTAGAGGAATCCAGGTGCCAAACAATTGGCATATCAGTGACAGTTCCCAAGCAAAACCTGTCACCTGTTAGCCTTGAACAGCCAATCAACTCTAGTGTGGCATTTAGACCGGGATAATGACAAGAATTGATTTGTTTCACTACTGGCAATAATAACGTTTCACACCAATACAGTCAAGAGTTTCAAAGGTTATCATGACAGCAGCTCACCTGTAGCCAAGAAGTCGGTGAAACCATCTCACCTTCTTCCCCCTCCCTCTCCTCCCTCTCCGTCCTCCTGCTCCAACGTTTATCATTGTTACTCTGAAAGCTTCGCTCACTTATTCAGCTGCTAATATCTCTCTATTTCCTCCAGAGTAGAATGAATCACCCAGCAGTTAGTACCCCCACACTCCACTCGCTGCACGGGCAGGTAATTACGCCAATCGACGTGACGGGCAACAGAGACCTGACACCAGACATCCGAGCTCCGCACTGAGTCACGGTCTGTGTGTGTATGTGTGTATATGTGTGTGCTTTTGATCCAGGTGGGACGTAAAGTTAGCCGTCCAGGGTTACAATTCAGAGATCAGACCTGTTTTTTTTAACATAGCTGATGAAGGAAAGGACAGAAGTGAGACTGAGATGATAGATAAAGGAGATAAACGAGTGAACAGAAGTAGGGAACATTAGTGAGTGAATGTGAGAGCCGTGGTGTCCAATGAACTCTGACACTGGATCCACGAAACCTCACCTCTGTCCTCAACTCTACCTCTGACTCTAAAGATTAAAGGTGACGCACTCGTCACACACTGACACACAAAATACACACACAAAGCAATCCAACTAGAGGAAATGATGTCAGGAAGACTGTTGTACTACTCATAACTTTCAAACTGTGACATTTTAAATATTACTTTTGCTTTTTTTTTTCTTCTCAGGCATAAATCAGGTTTAAATCAAATTTTGACTACATTTACAAAAAATTAAGGGAACAAAATTTGACAGTTTATTCACCTCAAATAAACTTGAAAACTAAATTTAGGAAATATGGAGGAAAGTATATGTTTTATTTAGTCTCCTCATTACTTAAAGTTAGGTTTCTTTACACTGCTATGGGCCTGTGTCCACTGGCAGTATGTTTTGCACCAGTGATATCAATGTTTTTAACAAATCAGCACAGATGAACGTTTTAGGTGCTTGGTGACCTCAATGCAAAAGCAATCTCAGTGTTAGTTCAATCTTTAAGACACCGCGAGAAGGCATTAAGGGCCTGTATCCACGGGCTCTGAAATTAAAGTCATGGGTGTTGCCAGAGCTAAAAATGCAGTAAATGGACACAGGCCCTCAGAATAACTTTTGACTTTATTCATGATACACCTTTCAAAACCAAAGTTAGATGGTGCAACAAAGTTTGAACTGTGATGTGATAGAAATTTCTCGAAGACATAGCCTGACAGGGCAAGAGGTAAAGTGATAACTATCCCAGTATAACCCAGCACAGAATCTCATGTATAGTGGCATTATCTATATCAAGTAATTGATCAAAATAGAAAAATGTACTGAATTAACTAAACTGTTATTCTTGCAGGAAACTTTTCTGTTGCACTGGGAAATAATTCTTGCATCATTATGGGGTGTTCAGGAGATAATGAGGAATTGTACTTTTCCCTTTCCTCGATCTCTATTTTCTTCAACGCTCCCTCTTTTCTGCCCTCTCTGTGTCTCCTTTCCTCCTGCTTTCCTGTACAGGTGAGTCTGTTCTATTTTTGGAGCATTACGTAAGAGAGACAACCTGGCAAAGGCAATCTGAGATACACACAGACAGACGACCGCAAGAGCTTGTGCTTACACACACACACAGACACACACACACACACACACACTTTTATCAGCGGTATTAAGAGAGGCATTTAGCTGAATATTTGTGCAGCACAGACTTCCACTGATATGAGGATTTACAGTCCACAAAGACCAACTCTTCTTTCAGCCTTAGTGCTGATAAAGACGGTTGATTCCTCAAGAATTTAAGGACTCCTTCGAACTAAAATAGAATATTTGGAGTAATACCACCAAAATGATTACACTCTCTTAAACAATAAAAGCTTCTTAACACAAGAGGAGAGTGTGAAACCTGCTGTGCTGCAGTGTAACAGATTTCCAGTCACAGACTACAGCTTCAAGCACAAATACTTTCCATACTTCTGCTATTAGTGAGAAGATTTCAGCTTAAATAATTTGGTGTGTGGTTGGGCTAAACCCGGTAGAAACCCGGTAGGCCTGTAGAAATCTGGTTGTATGTTCCAAAATACCCTCCGGCCAGAAGAAGCTCCTGTACAGCTCAAACTGACTGTCAGTCTTGCTGAAGAATAACTCAGGAAGTGTTTTTGCTGTATAGTCCTTATTTTAGTTAGGGCACGATAAGTTCCAGGTAGCATGTCTCACTGCTTCGGTGTTATGTGAAAGTAAGAAATGATGAAAGTTTTATACATATTTCTCTGACAGTCAGGATTCATTCTGCTCATGAATTTAAAACCCAAAAAAGACTGAGGATGACAGCTGGTTCAACTCTGAGCTACATGGATGCTGGCCTCCTGGAGTCATGGAGTCCTCATCATGAAGACAGCATTGAATAATGACAAACTACGATAAACCCATTAAAAATGAGATTTATAATATACACAGATAAAAGAAGAGTTAACAAGAATTAAGCATGGTAGTATGGTCAATTCCCAAGTATACTGACCAGTAGTTCGTCAGTATCAACAAATCTGTCAGTGTTGGAATTGTCTGAATAAAGTGTTAGTCCAGGCAGGCCACAAAGACCTTTTGAAACCATTTGAGACCTTTTAATCAAGTGATTTTATTGGGTATCTGTCGAGTCAAAGGGGTGACACAAATAATCCGTCAAATATTGAATATCTGCCCCAATAATTGGCAAAACTCAATAATTTTCTACCCTATTGCAGATAAGTAACCCCCAATTTTCACCACATCTGGAACTGCTACAAAAGGCTGTATCTGCCAATCACAGCTGGTCGTTTCCATTCAAGTTATTGTGTCAATTTCCACCGGCTTCTTTCCGATTGCCGGACTCCGCAGCTGATCGCAAGAGTTCTATTTTTTCTGGACGCTGGAGCATGCCGGATAAATTCAGCACAGATTAACCCATGCTGGAAAGGAAGTTGGACACAGACACAAAATAAAACATCTGGCTTCTTTTCAAAATAAAACACTATTGTGTTTCAAGCGGATCGTATTTCACAGCATGCAAACGGGCGGAGATGAACAAGTGAAAGGTCTATAGACAGCATTTCACCCCGATGACACCATGGATGAGGAGGTACTGATTTTAGAAGTCGAGAAGTGGATTTCCTCCTCTGGAAGGACATTATCTGCTGCTTATATGGTTAGCCTCTGTGGCTGTCTTTATAGAGACAACTCATTATCGTGCGACTTGAATATTGGTGTTTGTTATTGCATCAGGCAGTATTAAAGGGCAATACTGGTATTTTCTTCATAACTATACATTTTTATGTAATAACTACGAGAAAGGATCCTTGATGAATGAAGGCCTATGATTTACGATGATTTTGCAGTCAAGCTTCCAGAGTTTGCAGGTGAGAAGTCAGTGGGAGATGGTGTCAAACACACACAGGTGACAACTTCATTACCACCAGCAGATATTTGAAACTGACAAGAGGGGAAAACCCAACACTACGAGATCTGTCAACCTGCAGAATGTTTCGGTTTAAATCTTAATGACACACACACACTGAAGTAAAAGCAGCATTTAGACGTAGCTCAAACTTCAGAGCTGATAGTTGAGGACACTTGAAGACTCTGTGAGCTCGTACTTTACTCAGCAAAATCTCTCAAACCTTTGTTCTTCTCTTCTTTCACTCCATCCCTCTCCTTTCAATCTTCCCTTTCTTTATATCTCAGCCCACTTTCTCTACCTTCTCCTCACCCTCTCTCTCTCTATCCTTTTATGTGGGTCAGTGTGAAAGGCTCGCTCGTTGCCGCTGGTGACACAGCATGCCCAGAGTGTGTACTACATGTGTGTGTGTGTATGCATGGTCTTGTGTGTGTGTCTCTGAGATAAGAGACAGTGTATAAGCCTGTGTGTGTTCAGGCCTCCTCTCAGTGCCTCAGGTAATATGCTGTGATGGATAAAGGTTCATCACCATATGCAAACACACAAAAACAGACTGAATAGGACGGGACAAGAGGGTTTAAGCATCGCATGGAACTGACTGCCTGTGAAACTGATATCGTATGAGAAACCTGCCATCCTCCACATCCAAATGTAACGTGTACATGAACTTTATTTCAACTCTAAGAACAAAATAAACAGACAAACAGGACAGGAATAACAGGTCAAACACACCATAATACCGGGTTAGACAGAGATGAATGTTGCCGACCGCTTGCTTTTCTAGTTATACCAACTTTAGCAACGACCGCACGATAGCAATACACAGCAGTCTGAGGAGCCATAAACAAACCTCAACCAAAACGCCACTCTACAGCCACAAATAATGCTCAGAACAGCACCTAACTTCATGAACAGTACATACAGGGTCCCAGCCATAGTACTAGCCACCAAACATCTTTTTAACTTTGCTTAAAATTTCTTTAGCAAAGAGGTGAAAGTGTTCTTCCTTCAGCTGCGTCACTCCGCAACAGTCCATCATCAATGGACTGGCCCGAGGTCTTGCTACAAACAAGCGCCTGCTGGGAGAGAGTAGGTGAGTTTGTAGTTGAAATCTGTATAATGGTGGAACGCATTCTCAACAAATGCACATTCAGATCTATTTAATCTGGTTTTGAAGTTTGACCAACGTCCAATTTGTAAACATGGGGCTCCATGGTCTATACCGCGGTTAGACAGCAGGGGGAGCCCCAGATGTTTTGACTTCAGTTTAAGGGAACTTTGATTCTACATCACATGAAATCTTAAAAGCTAGAGGGCTACAACAGCAGCTAAAGCTCTGACATGAGTTGGTTTCAAGTGTAATGACAGAGGTTGGGATCCGCTTGAATAGTGACACTGTTTTGAAATTACCACAGACCCGACTGGAATTTCTGCACTGCAATAGCTTGTCAACAAACACACCAGTGTTTCTTTAATTATAAGATATTTGCTGATACAATGGGACTCTGAGCGCTGCAAATACTGGTAACCTACACTCAACACTGTGCATGAATGCACCACGAAGTTAAAGCCTCACCCCTGCAAACTTGGTAAACATGTCATATGACTGACATTAGATCTACATCAAAAACACTATCTTTTAATCCTTTTAGTTAGATAACAGTGCTGTGGACTGAATAAGAAGAACTCATATGTTTGAGCAGTAAAATGCAACATCCTGTAACTTCGTCAATATTACAAAATCAAGTGCAAGTTCCTTCCTTCTACAGTATGTTGACATGAGTATGCTGAAACTGTTTGTTTTGAAATCATCAGAGTGAAGGATATTTTCATTTTATTTATCTTTTTTTTTCTGTGATAATGCTGTTCAAATCTTTTTCTGTGGTATTATAAGCCGATGCTGGACTCTAGAGATTATCCTTCATATTCTCAATAGCAATAATTCTAAAAATGGATTGTTCTAGGTGGATTATTTTGCCAAAGAAGCGGGGGGGGATTTTTCTCAACCTGCAAAGATTCAGCTGAAAGAGGAAGACTCAAATTTGGAGAGAGCGAGTGTAGAACACACGTCAAACCAGTATGTAAACAAAGATGGTGCAGAGACACAATATCAGGTTTCGAAATTGTGTATTTTCTAGAAAGATAAAGACGAAACAAGGATTCTGTTGTGTTGGATCATGCAACACTGTGTGTCGTCTGGATTCAGCCTCAGTGTGACCTCAAGCCCACCAAAACACACACACACACTCTCAACATGACTGCACACAAGCCACAAGTGACAATAGCAAGAAGAAATCAACACACAAGCTTAGACAGACACACAAACACACTGAGTTAACATGATAGCGCCTCTTGTGTGTAAATTTATCGTTGGTTTGCTCAAAACATCTTCTTATCCGCACACACTGGAGGATAATCACAAACATTTCCCATTTCGTTTCCCTGTTTCTAACTGGTCACTGCGTTGATGTGTGTGTGTGTTTGTGTGCATGTGTGTCGGGGGCAGGGTGTGAGGAGTGTTGTAGTCATGGCAACCGCACTCAGACTTCCTTCCCTGGTTTATCTGAGTGTACAGCAGCATTCCTCCTGTGTCTGTCTGTCTGTCTGTCTGTCTGTCTTCCTCTCTGTCTGTTTGTCACAAATGTCCGCTGAACAACAACCAGCATAACTGTGTTTTAACCCATCTATTCTCCACCCACTGTGAATATCAAACAAATCAAACACCTGCTGCACCTCTTGGACATAAAAGCTGAAAAGCGACACCACTGGTACTCTGATTTCAAGATGGAAATACACAAAACCCTTGTGTCTCTTCGCTCTCCACTCCTCCAGATGAGCGGAGAAACAGGGAAGGACATATTGAAGTTTGACCATGAGATGCATGATGAGCAAACGTGATCGGGCGGAGGTGCAGAACACTCATCTTTTGGGACCAGGACCATGACCTGACATGTGGCAGACATTAACAAAGTAGATGGGATCAATCCAGACAGAGTAGGCCTCGTGTCAGGAGCCTCACAAGTGTCCTAGATACAGAAATGGCATTGGGAGCAGGTGGCACTGTTCAGTTTCTGCAAAGTGTAAAAAATATGGAGCAATTGATGAACCACTAAGATGGTTTGAAAGTTACGTTTGTTAATTAGTTGGCTTAATCATGTGATGTGGTAGCACTGCTGCTTTTCTCAGGATCACATGCGTTACACTTTGAAAATGCACTTCTTTCATAACTTTACTAAAAGGTTAGATGAGGACAGAAGTAGATATTGTCAGTTTTTAGTATGCCAGAGTCTAGCATAGCATCAATTGTTACAAAAGGTTATCATCGTAGCTCCCCTTCAGATGTGTCCGTTGACCTTCGGCACCCACGTGTCGCTTTGCTGAGTCCATGTTGGATGTGCTTTTTAAAAGTTTTTTGTGGAAAATCTCTTTTGTGGTGGATTTTCTTGCTCAAATTTTTTGATATATGTCATCAGGCGACCCTACCTCCTCTTTCCCCGGACATGTCCTCTTTTTTGGGGGCTGTCCGAGCTTGTCCGGCTTTGTCCCGGGAAGTCTAGAAAATCCTTCAAATGTCTGCGGTTTTGTACGAGAGTTTCGATTTTGTGTCACGTGGAGTAACTGAGTTAGAAGCGCATAAAAGACAATCGATCCGCCTGAAAAACTCTAAAGCCAGAAGCCAGAATACGGTCACCCTATAAGTCATTGTGAACAATTTGTAGTGCTTCTTCAATAAGAGCTCTGTGTTTGGATTATTTTTATATGTTTCTATATTTTGTAATGACCTTTTGTCACATGACAGTGTCATATGCTATCCTTCCATTGAACTTAAACATGTGTTTTATATCTGCCCATTATTTCCTGATGAAGACTCTGGAGTCTCTGTTTCAATAAAGGATTTTTATCAATATCAGAGTGCCTTGAATCTTCAGCTCTGACTGCCACCCACACTCTGGACTTTTAACTAGTCAATAAAAGTCCACACTAAGGACTTTTATTGACTAGTTAAAAGGCAAGTCACTGCTCCCCCCTTTTTAAAGTCCAATTGTATTGATGACAGGACTTTACAACTTGACGGCAAAACAGTCCTTTTCTATAAGTATGAATGTTTGCGAGTTTGGTCCTGAGCTCTTTTCTTCACTTTAATAAGTATAATATATTTAATTATAGGCCGCTCGTCTCCTCTCTGTGTGTCTCTGACAGTGTGTGGGTGGGTGTGTGCGAGCAGCTGCAGCCGGGTACACCATCAACTCTTATTAGATCACCATCTTCACACATACACACACACACACGCAGACAGACACACACACATAGAAAAAGTTAACATGCAGGCACTCCTAAACAACACCGTGTTCTTGTGAAAACATGTGAAATATGTGACCAAAAAAACAGACAGAAATACACATAACCACGAACACAGAGAAAAAGAGGAAACACAAATATGAAGACATGCAAACAGTTTCACAAAAAGCAGATATTGAAAAGAGATGGACAAACCAAGTGGGTGTTATGAAGTCAAAGTAAGTCAACAAGAAAGTGCAACAGTTTTAGTGAGACACTCCAGATGTAAAGTATCCATTAGTATTAGTATAAAGCTTTGATTACAACACCAAAGTCTGCATGTTTATTTTAAGAAGAGTCATTAAAGTCAATGTGTTTTAATTGTTCTGGGCTGTCCCTCCTCTTTAAAGGCCCAGAATGACAGTCTTGCTGCATCTTAGCTCAAGCCCAGGCACTGATCATTACCTCTGGCTATAGCTCTAGTCAACAGCTTCTGTTGCAATACCATAATGCTCAACTACAGGGATGCAAACGAGCACAGGTGACAGATGGCATGGCATAGCATTTTAACAAAGATAAGGTCGTCTGGTTAAATCAGCTTACATCCTCTCAACCAGAGCAATGCAAAGACAGCACCGGTATGTGGGTGTTAATCTGCAAAGAGGACCGAAGACTGGTGGTGCTAACTCTGCTAATGTTAACTACACTTGGAGAATCAAGTTGACATTGATAATCTGATGACTGATCTGCTGTGTGACTGGATAAAATAGATTGTTAATGACTAGGAAACCTGTTTCTTCTGAACATCCCTAGTTTGAAGGGGGAAAAAAAGCAAATAGATAATAAAGACGCAATAAAATCATTTAAAAAAATCTCTTGGTCATACGTGACACACAAGTGCATTTCTGACAGTGAAAACTGAACATGTTTAGTTTGTTTTCAAAGGTGCAGCCGTATCCAGACGTGGATTTAAGAATGTATGATATTTTTCAGCTCTACAAGTCAGACAATGTAAAATATTAATGCTCCATTTTTGTTGTTTGTGTTGTATCCGTGCATGAGTGTGTGTGTGTGTGTGTGTATGTGTGTCCGGTGGTGAGGCTGGATACAGGAAGCCTGACTCTTTCCCTCTGACCTTCCTCCCTCTATTTATAAGCATTCTGTCTCAACAACACACACATCATTTCACCCTCTCCACTGTGCCTGCCCTTATTCTCTGAATTCAATCTGTATGATTATATCTCTGCTCCATATCCCAGAAAGTACCGACTTAGAATTTCATTCTGCTCTTTCCATTTTTTAATATCCCCCGTCAATCAACTTTAACATTTAAAGCACAGTGGCCAATTACACTTAAACGGACTCGCTCCGGTATACCCACAGAGGTTTTCTCAGGTGGATTCTAACTTTTTTTTTAACAACATTAGCAGAAGGCCTGTTGGGAACATGCTGCCAGTTTGTCTGTCATTCATTATTCCCAGAGGCTGAATGTGAAGGACTCTGCCGACTCTCCTCAGGTGCCCATTTGTTTTCAGGCTAAATGTCTAGACAGCCACTGGACAGACTCCCATGAAATTTTGTCCACTTTTCGCACTCACCCCCTCAGGTTAAGTGAGGTAGCTGTAATGATCCCTTGGCTCTCAGCAAGTGCCAACTTTGGGTCAAAAATTCCCAAATGTTTAAAGAAAAAAAAAGGAAAATGTCTGGCCTCTCCACCAGATTCTATTGCATTAAATGCTGGCATTCTAAGTGTAAAGGTCTTTACACACTGGGACTGACGCAGATATACGACGCGAAATTACGACATATTCGAAGGCAAATTTTTGACACAACAGGAAGCTGCTAAAATGATCAAATTACCAATCTGATCCAAAAAGCAAAAAGCAGTTGCAGCATCACTGGTGTTTTTCACTGCTTCTGAGAAAGGATAAGATGACTGAAATTTGCAAAACACTTTACCCAAGTGTTAAAAGGAGAGGAAAACAGTCCTCACTAAAGTTGTCATTGTAATTAGGACGCATTGAAGTGATATGAAGCCTATTTGGAACAGTGTCCTGAGTTACCGCTGCTTTAACAGAGGTGGACACACATCTATGGCGTCAAATTCACTCTGTACCATGTGAGCAAAGACAGCATTGCTGCAGACTTCTTGTCTGATTTGAATTTATATTTTTAACTTACTGTGAACTCACACAGAATTATTAGAGCCTATACCATGAAAATAGGACACGGATCATGTCTTTGCATTCCCCTCACATCTACTTGTTTCTAATCTTCCTTCCTGCATGACGGGACACAAAGTACAGATCCATATCTCAATATTTCTACATCTCTGAGGGATTTCTTAACACACTTACACGTCTGATGTTGTCCTTCAGAGAGAATGGTGAAGGTCTGTGCTTGTGTGTGTGTGTGTGTGTGTGTGTGTGTGTGTGTGTGTGTGTGTGTGTGTGTGTGTGTGTGTGTGTGTGTGTGTGTGGGTGTGCATGTGTGTGTGGGCCTGCCCTTAACTTCACTCCTCCATTGGCCTATATCGTTGTCCTATGAGGGAGGAGGAGATGGAGGAGGAGGAGGAGGAGAAAAAAGAGAAATACAAAGAAGAGAAAGTGAGATCAGAGGGAGAAATGGAGGTGAAAGGGATACAGAAAGGTTGCAGATGAAAGAGAGGACAAGAAGCTGTGTGAAGGGAGAGAAAGAAAAAGAGAGAGAGAGAGAGGGAGAGGGAGTGGAGGAGAGATCATCTGTAGGCGGTCTTGGCTTTGCCCAAAGGCCTTGGCTTCTCTGCTCATCCTCCTCCTCATCCTCTTCTTTCCTTCACACATTCTCTTTCTCCTTCTCTCCCACCCTCTTTTCTCTCCTCGACCTCAATCACCTCTTCACTCAAACATTGATTCCTCCATCCACCCACAGTTTTTGAAAATAAAAACAAAAGATTAAATGGGATGTTAGTCAACTAAAATTAAGATGTGACTGTTCAAGAGAAAAGTGGGTGTCCGGATCAAACACATCTCAATGAAACGGTTCAAAATCAAGGTAAAGGAGTTTTTAGAGGACACAACTTGAAGTTCAAAATGCTTCCTGCAACACTCATCAAGCAAATTATTTTGATATAGCTTGTAAAGTACAATAAATCCAACTCTTAGGAAATTAAATAGAAGTATTTCAAAATCTACACTTCAAGTTAATCCAAGATATTTGAAGGTGAGCTGCTTGGGTTGGGGCTCAAATTCAGCAGCCAGTCCACATTGTGCAACCCCAGTCTTTATTTAAAAAAAGGCAGCTATTGCAGCCAGTTAAGATCATTACAATCCATACCTGTGACCTGAAGCCCATTCACAGTGTCCCATGTGCAGCAGATTTTGTTTAAAGCATTAATTTACTATAATAAACACACAAAAAACTAAAATGCATGAGAAATATTTCCACTTAAATATTTAGATATCCACTGTACGAGCTAATATTTCAGAGGCCAACACTGCCTCTTCAGTCTCTCCCTTTCTTTCTTTCTTTCTTTCTCTTGGTCCAGCAGAGTCAGCAGAGTATCTTTTCCAAAACTCCCACTCTGTGATCCCACTCTGTTTCTATAAGTAGGAAAGAGAGAGTGAAGAGTGAGAGGAGAGCTGCTTATTGTCTGTGATCTGACTAACAGTCATAGTGGTGGAGTGTCAGCTCCACATAATGCTGGAACACACTCATACACACACACACACACACACATCCACACAGAGACGCACAGATTTCTGAGGGAGTGCCAGCACAACAAATAAATTATTTAAAAGGAGAAGTCAAATTAAAATGTTGAACAGTTTGAAGAATGTTTCAAGGAAACCCCAGAGGCAAGCCTGTGGACTATTTTTAAGTATTTCAATAGCCAGAAGAAGAGACATTGAAGGGGTTGGGCTGTGTAACCTGATATGATACGATACAACACAATACATTACTATAGATGTGATGTGATATGATATGATATGATATGATACGAAACGATATGATACGATACAATTCTAGAGATATGATATGATATGATAAGATACGATATGATACAATATGATATGATATAATGCAATAGGATACAACACAACACAACACTATGGTTATGATATGATATGATATGATACAATACAACACAATACTATGGATATGATATGATACACTACAACACAATACTATGGATATGATGATATGATACACTACTACACAATACTATGGACTTGATATGATATGATATGATATGATATGATATGATATGATATGATGCATGCAATACAAAACGGTAGGTTATAATACAGTATGGGGCGGCAACGCATTAAAGTTTGGTGACGCGCAATTCAAAACAATATGAGGCAATGTATGAAGCAACATCATATGTTATGATCCGATAAGATATAACACTACAAAACACAATAGGATACGGTAGGATAAGATGGGGTTTATGTATACAATACAGTGGACTTCAATATGTTTATACGATCATCTGTGACCTATGGGGTTTTTTGCCATTTAATGCAAAAAAAAACCAAAAACATTATTTTTCAAGACTTTTTTGTAAAAAAAAAAAAAAGCCGGCTTTGTACAACAGGAAAAAGTGCACTCATTAGACCTCGGCAAACCTGCTGTGCATGCAAAGTTGTACAAGCTGCAAGTACATACAAGCAAGGTGGTTTATGTTGGGGATAATATCGCTTTGATGCTGCAGAAAAAGCTCAATTATGTGAGGCGGCTTTTGTTGCTGTTATTATTCATCAGCAGCACTTTCTCCTCAGAGCTTGTAGAAAATGAGACAGATTTTCCAGCTTCATGTTCATGTTTGAATCAAAGGGAAGAAACTAAGAAGAAGAAGTAGAGAGGTTTTACTTTGTTAGAAGATAGCAGCATAGTTATGAAAGTTATAATTCTTTGTTTTTAAAAAGGTGTATAAGACAAAGAAAGCATCTGGTGAATTTCTTATACTTCACTGAAATGTGAGGGGTTGATTCCTAATACTGTGTACTGCGCCCCACTATGCTGTAGGAGCTTCCTTAAAGTATCAACACAAAGGTGTATTGGACGGGTAATGTTTTGTTGTTCAATGACAGCCCCACAGGAGGCATTAAGCCTGAAAAAAAACTCACTGCACCCTTAATGAACTATCAATAACACACAGAGAGACACTCTCACATGCCCTCAGGTGATTCACAGCAAACTTGTGGGGACAGGGCAAAGGTAAAAAGAAAATGAGATATTGATTTAACATGAAACCAAATGAGCAGTTTTGTCACTTCACACGTCTCTCAGTGATCACACCTCGTCATAGAGTGATAGGACTCTGACTGGATTCTCACTTATGATTAATTTTGTTAAATCATTCCAGCTCCTCTGAAACTGTGTGTCTTCGCTGTGCTTTTTTGCTGTATGGCTACATGTTTGGACAAGAGGAAAAATTCAGAGGAGGTAAATCTTTGAGGGCTTAATGGGAGGTTTTAACACACAATCTCTTCTGGAGGGAAAGTTTGGATTGAAAGTGATGCAAAACTCTTTCAGCAGCACAAACACAATGTAAACAAAGCCATTGGACAGACAAAGAGAAACGCAAATAAGCTCTGACAGATGTAAATTTGAGGATAAAGAGTTACAGTTTCTGGAACCACACCTTCAGATTCCTGAAACATACCCAGACAAGACTGCTCTAATACAGCAACAATAGACCAGTTCAGTTAGATACAACTGTGAAATCAAGAAGACAAATAGCTAAAGTCATCAATCCCCTTAACTGCCCCTCTGAGACGGGGCAGCCGGGCTTAAAATTGTGCCTTTAAAGGTCAAACAAGCATAGACGGCAGCCTCCTGTTAGCAGATAGTGACAGAAATAACACAAATTAATTTACAAGCCATCACAGATTACCTTCGCTTTTTAAGGGATTTACCAACAGACTGTGAAAATACACTGATCGTATCTGTCAGATAGAAAAGCCCTGGATGTCAGAATCACATGTGAGTGGATTTTATAATAAGTATGATACTTTCAGCACAACAATATTGAGTTTTATTGGGCAGTGTTTTAATCACTCCTGTCTTCTGTCCACCATGATTTCTTACTTCCGGCCTCACACGATGCATCAAATCATTATTTTGCAAGTCTGATGGGACAAAATGTGTTAAGGGAAGTGTAGAGCATAAAGGCAAACAATGTAAATGTCTCAAACTACTTGGGAATGTTTCTGATCTGGAACAACTTTTTGATTTCAATCCCTGGACTGCACTTGTACCAGCTCTTGTGTTATATCTACTATTCGAAGCACTTTGCACTACATGTCATTTGGCCTCCTGTACCAGCCTATAAGAAAACGACTCTTTAACAAGTAAAGTGATAACACAACTCTAAACACCCAATTAACATTATAAATATGCAGACTATTATCCGGCCTAGAAGGACAAACTACTAGGCATGCCCATCGAGAGCATAAACAGTGTTCACACATTGCACCAAGCTGAGCTAACCTGAAGTTCAATATGAGTCAACAAACTCGATTCAACCCCACTCAAAAGACCTCAACCTTCTTAAATGCTTAAAAGAGGATATCATCTCCATAAAGGTTGTACATTATGTAATGCGTTATCATATTTTTAAAATCAAGAGTTTTCAACATATATAGGCAATCAAATACATATACTATATGTATATATATGCAGGCCTGTGCTGCAGTGTGTCACAGTAATGACAGCCCTGCATATACAGTCTATTAAACCAGTCTACAATCAGCTATTGCATGTCATGAACCACAGCTAGAACATGGGAGTGATACCACCCTCTCCTCCTCACCCGGGCTCGTCCTCGCTCTCACATCTTCCCCTGACACCTACATAATTACACAGTCTGTCAGTGTGTGTGTGTGTGTGTGTGTGTGTGTGTGAGAACCAGCATGTAATGTGGGGGAGGCATCAGATTTGAGCTGTGCATCTGTATCTGACCTTTACTGCTTAGAATAGGTACACAGAGAGAAGACAGCAGAGAGCATGAGAAACCGAGAGAGAAAATGATTAAAAACTATAAAGAAGAGAAAAAGAGAGGAGAGGTGGCAGACAGAGAAGCTTTATACACAACAAGAGATGATATTGGGATAAACAGATATGAAACTCTGACAGGTAAACAACAAACGTGCAGAAAATCATTCCTCGTACGAAAAAATCTTTAGAGAAAGTGAGCGCCATAAAACAAGCTAACTGCGGTGTCTCTCTAACCTCAGTCTACAGCTGCCTAATAAAATTAATTATTTACTAATGGCTCTCATCTGACCTGAGCAATTAGTGCTCACACACATAAACACACACTAAAGCACACGGGGAAAAAAAAGAGAAAGCAAGATGAAGGTGCTGGCTCACTAATTATAGCGTGTCTCCGCAGCTGAGGTCTGCGAGGACATGTGTGTGTGGGAGAGCTGGTGTGTGCGTGTGCAGAAAAAAAAAGTAAAAAATAGTACAGACAAATGTTTAACTTGAAAAATAACTTTCCAACAAAGTTACTATTCAAAGTTAAATTCACCTAATAGTGTGTGTGTGTGTGTGTGTGTGTGTGTGTGTGTGTGTGTGTGTGTGTGTGTGTGTGTGTTTCTGATTTTGCCTACTTGTGGGGACTCATTACCGACTGAAGGTCTGTTTACTGGGGACAGCCTGTCTGACTGCAACGCCATCTCAGAGGAGAGGTTATTCAACACATTAAGTAAGACATGATATGTCCATAAGCTACGTTACAATACGATATGATACAGTCAGATAGGAAACAATACAGTACGATACAATACAACACAGTGTGATATGGTTACGATTAGGACTGTGTGATTCTATGATCGTGATCGATAATTGTGATAAATTTCAGTTCGATCACGGTGATCAGTTGTGAGCATATTTACTCGATCAGACATAGCGGAAATGTGCGTCACAACAGCCAATCAGAGTCGAGCTTTTCTTGCTCACTTCTGTAAGTTGCCGGAGAAGTTAACAGAACAACCAAATGCGGTCCCAGACGATATGACAAAATATATTATAATCTTTTTTTTTTTGCCAAATCGTCCAGGCCTAGTTATGATATATGTTATAATAGGATGTGATACAATACAATACAATTCCATAAAAGAATTGGCTAGGATCTGATATAATGTAATCAGATTAAAATTTGAATATGAAATACTACTAAAAACTCCTAAAGTCCTGTAAAAACAGAGCAAAACAAAAAACAGAAGGGTTAGTCAACCCATTTACAAAACCACAAATCTGCTGCCCAATATTCAGCCAATACGTTGACATTGAGTACCAGCAATCAGATAACCAAATCCTAAAAGTCGCCTGCCTGCCTCCTTGTTGATATTTTCCCACACTGCTAGTAAGGGGATTCATTCTTCCCTATTGAGAAGCTCCATCATGTATTAAATTTCTGACCTTACCTGAGTTTATAAACCCTAAAAAGAGCTCTTCACCTCTTAAATTCACACTCACAGTTTGGCAAGCAAAAGCGCTAAAACTACAAGAGTAGGTTAAAGATAAAGTACTTATAATTGACTGGTTTCATCGCACCATCGTGAAATGTAGACACGCTAACTGACCTGAAAAGGCGATAATGTCTCTGCCATGAAAAATACTATCATGAAAATTCATGCAAAAAGGATCAAGCGGTCAGTTTCAATCTTCCCACACATAATATTTTTAAAAACTGCGTGAAGACAAATGAGCATAACTGGGTGATCAGTTGGTGATAAAATGTTTCTACAGTGAGAAGAAGCAGAACTGATTTTTGGGTCAGTGATTAAGGTCAGGGTTAGATTTGGGGTCAGTTTAAGTCAATATCCTCAGAATACTTGACTAAATATGAGTGCATGTGTGTGTTTGAGTACTTATGTACCATTTGACTTTGAATGGGGACTCATCGTTCTGAGCACTAAGAGATCATCAGTCCTCTGTAATCCCACCTGCACAGTCACACACAAACGCATAGGAGACAGATCCTAGAGGCCAGGGTTAATCCGTGCAGCACATACATACACGTTAACAGCACTGTTTATGTCAGCGTATATAAATAGATTCCTATAAATAGAAAGGAATGTAGATGTACAGTTACTGTTGGAGAAACACGTGAAGAAGGATAGCCCAGAATCTACTTTATCCCGCTGAATATCCACAGATAACAGATAGTAGGAAAAACAATCTAACAGAGACAGAATAAACCTCCTCCTGAACAAACAGTCCTCTCTGGATGTGGAGCTGACGGAGCAGCTGGCTGTTTGAGCTCCTCTAAATTAGTCAGCGTAAATTATCAGGCATCAAAGCCGCACATCTCTCTTATCTATCAAAACCTTTGAAATGCATTTAAATAGATGATTACAGCAGACAATAAATCAAATGAGAATGAATTTTATGAACGAAAAATGGCCTTTTCTACGTCCCTTTGCTGAAAATACATTTGATAGGCCACTGAAATATGAGACATTACAGTTAAGCAATGAATAGTGTTTTACAGAGTTCATTTCCAAACGGATAAACAAGAGTGCTTTAGGTTTGCTTTCACATTTTTTTGAGCATGCAGAAAATTGTCAGTATGGAGAGCAAAAGCAGGCATAGTACAATCCTGCAACATACCTCAGCTCAACACATGGTCATTGCTCAAGTTGCTGACTTGACTGTAAACACTGAGGTGCATGGAGAGGAGGTCTTGGCTGAAGGACTTCAAATGCTTACTTACAAACAGGCTAGCATGTGTTTCGAGAGGTATGAATTCCTGTTAGATCATGACTGTCATTAGATTTCAAGACGGTCAGTTTATCACTTGTTGTCTGTTCAATATTCAAGTGATGCCTATGATAATACCTCATACCTTTTACAATCCTGCAGCTCATAGTTAATAAAAAAGGTAGAGGTACTCACACAAGACAGAAAAGCAACAGATCTGGATGATTCATGTTAGCCAAATAATGCACTATTAAAGGGATATTCCGGCATAAAATTACTTTCCTTGAAGTAATAATCACCATAACAATCATTTTGCTTGGAACACAACATGCTGCATGACCTGATATTTAACCAAAACAAGGTTCATACAAGAGCGAGGAAGAGACAGAGTTGCAGTTGCAGTGATGGAGTCAGTGTCACCTCAGCGGTCGACTCTGCAGGTTCATTATCGACTCAAAGGAGACAGATGGGATCTTTGGAGGGAGAGGAGGTGCTACTTCAGGAGAACTGATAGAGACCAAGAAAACAGGACTGAAGGACATTATTTCTGTGCTATATTGTACAGCATCTTAAGAACAACAGTTAAGGTTGTGTTTGCAAATAAACAATTATAACACTCAAATTCAAACTAATAGCATACACTGAAGCAACCATTGGTGGAAAATATGAATGCTACAGTTTTCAGTCAAAATCCTCTTTCTTCATGTTTTATCGCTAATTTTAAAGAACATTTCTTATCTGAGGAATCCAGCCTTTACCCAGCTACATTTAAACCAGACTGTTCACACCGTCAGTAAGCATCTAAACCAGAGTACAAGCCTGCCAATCATCCTGTTTACCTGTCTTTACTGATAAGGCTGGGGTTCAGTACGGCGATAAAAGCTGCACAACGACTCCATACAGAGGAGATCAAACACAAGACTTCCAGCTTGGAGACAGCTTCAGTCTGCTCAGTTAGTCTGTCAATCAGCCTTTTAGTTTATCTGCACGTCCAGTCTCATTTACAAATAATGGTGGCGTGTTGATCTGTCTGGTTCCATTATCTGCATAGTAGCTCTGGTTGGTGTTGTTGGTGTTGTTGGATGTTTATTCACTGTTTCAGTGCAACTTTGGAAAAAACTAATCAGACTAAAGGTCCTTTCACACCGGGAGTGTTTTTTTTGTGCGATTATTTCGGACGTCTATATTTTTTTTCGAACCCATATCCTGTCAATACAAGCATTCACATCAGCAACATTTTCCCATCCTGCGATATTGCTGCATTAATTTTTTCGTATAACAGTCAAATTTTCTTAAGTTTCTCATACTGTGTGTCCACTTCTGACCAATCAGATTGCGTGTTGTTGTGACGTCAGATTCACCGGTATATCCAACATGGCTGACCGGCTGATTGTTTACGTGTCGGAGAACAGTGCTTTTTGATTAAAAAAAACACAAATATTACAAAGATAACGACCTGAAGGACAACTTGTGGAGAGTCATAGTGTCGGATCTCTCATATGACGATGGTTTGTGTGCCTTTAACAGTTTGCTAAATGTTTGTTTTAACTTTCATCTGCGCTAAGTAACTTTAGCTCGTAAGCTAACCTGTTCAGATACAACATACCGTATGTATTTTCACTGTCTCAAACTCAATTGCGTTGCTGTCACAGCACCGTTAGAAAGTCGATTATATCTGTAACATTCAAACAACCTTCCAATTTCACCTTTACAGTTAAGATCTGCATTGCGTATATTTGACCGTTAAATTAGGATTCGATTTTTGATCAGACAACCCTATTTACTCATAAACAAAGAGATATACTGTAAGATGCCACTTTGGGGGTGACCAAATTCAGAACACACCACAAGTTCCTCTTTGCAGCTTTTCACTGTTGACTTGTGGGTAAAAAAAAAATAAACAGAAGTAGAAAAATAGAACATTTGGACACATGTTGGTTTCTTTCTGTTGTGCGTTTGAGGCAGTTTCAATCTGTAACCCTCCGAGAAGAAGAGTGTGTGGACTTTCCAAAATTTACAACTTCTCAGTCATGTGCCTCTTTCCTTTACATCAGAGGAATGTAAACAGAGGCCTACAGTACATAAAGAAGCAAGGGGGAGTGGACGTCACTGCAGTTTAAACTTCATTATAGCAGATTCAAGGCGCCCAGACCAGCACAGCCCTTTTGATTATTCTCTGTAGTTTCAATAGTATAAACCTTTTTGTTCCTTTTGGGGTGTTTCTGACCTCTCAGGTTACAGAAAGTTAGTTTAGATGAAAGATTTGACAGTCAGGTTTTTAACAATAGATCTTTGTGAAACCCTCCTCTGATGAATAATACATCAAGTGTCTAATACAGAAGGAAGCACTTGAGTAATCTTCAACACGTCAAGGTTTTTGCTTCTTCTTTATTACAACCTGAAGATCTACTTCTCTTTTCTTTCCTCTTCTGCCTTTCACTCTTTTTAGCCTTCATTTCAAAGCAGGAAAAGCCTCTTACAGCTAACCAGAGGACTAATAAGGAGCGGTTCCTGTCAGCCAATCCAGCCATAATGCCTCAACACACATGCATTACGGGTAAAATAGCCTCAAACACACACACACACACACACACACACACACACATAGAGTCTGAACCACTCCTGAAAAGGCCAAGAAAGGAGAGAGAGAAAATCCCTCCACTATTCCTAAAACAGAGCCCATCGTTCCTCGTCTTCTTAGCGGAAAATGATTGATATGCATAAGCATACACAAACACAGCACCAGCCAACTGGAGCAGTGTTACTCAGAGAGAGAGGGTAGAGGAGGGATAAACTGACGCCTCTCTGTCTATAATGTTTGTGTGTATAGAAGGATAATGACGGAAGGGAGCGTAGGAAACACACATCACATCGACATGCATGAAGCACAATAATACAAAAACACACTATTTATCAGCTGGGGAAACGATCACCAGACTCTCACAGTGTTCAATTGTTTGAGATTGCTAATGCGAAGTTACTTGCTAATTTGCATTCTGACACAAACCAGTGGAAATGATCAGTTAATGATGGCTAACGAATTGATGGCTACAAATGACAATCACCGATCAATTAAAAAATGCTGTGATTGGCTTCAATCTGATGGTTAAGAAACTTACCAAACAATGAAACTTGACAACCCCTTTTCAGCACAGGCCTGAACCAGAGTATAGAAGTTAAAAAAATAATCTAGATAGCCTTGCTTGATTTTAAAACAGGCTGACAACCATGAAAATAACAAGAAGCTCCATCTTCATGTACAGAAAAACAATATTATTAATGTATTCTTTCACCATGTAGGCAGTCAAACAAGCCAACAGGTATCAACTTTATGTCTCTTTCAGGGACACAAGACCAACAAGATGGACAGCCAAGACTGGAGTTAACAAGCTGGTGAAACGCCAACTGTTGCCTAAAATAGCAGCAGTTGACCTGCACTGCCTTTTGAATTATCCATACATCCATACAGCTTATCTCTCCCCCTCCTCCTCCTCCCCCTCAATATCATCAATATGCATGAACTGTATATCTGTTCATCCGTTCTGAGGATAAGAGGGAAAATCGTGTCAGTGAGCCTTGTATTTCATCAACAATTGGTGCTCTGATCATCTGCTTAAAAATTCATGAGTGTCTTTAAGCTGCCTGGACTCTGAGCCAAGCGTTCCACTGAATTTAACATAGAGTGTGCTACAAAACCGACTCATACACCGCTTGTATAAAACATAAGGGACTAGCTCTTCCTGTCGTATGATTCTGAGTGCACAGGTGATTTCAGGTGAAAGCTCTCATTCCTTATTGATTTCATTGGCTAAATCCACTTTGGTTGTGACAGGAGAGGGAAGACAGAGAGGAGCCGGTGGGTTATAAACCAAAGGAGGGAAGAGCTCTTTGTGGTAGTTACTAAAATATATTTTATCTCTTAGTCATTACAGACAGTCAAATTATTTCACCAGCTCCAGAAAAAAAAAATTATCATAATTCATCCTAAGGGAGACATAAATGGGTGCACCAAATTTAACGGCAGCCATTTCAGTGGCTGAAGTATAAAATTAAAAAACTTGACCCACATTTGGCCCCTTGAGAAATCGTCATAGTGCCATCAAAGTAGAAGAGATTCAACCTCTGGGAACAATGAATGTCTGTGTGAAATGTCATCGGGAAACTGTTGAGGAATTTCTCATAAAACATAAAAAGTCTACCTTGACATGGTGAAGGTAAAGTCAGTGGATTACCAAAGACTTAATACATAGAGGTATTTATCTGGAGACCAAAAAGGCCTTGAAGGTGCTAATTTAATGTGGAAAATGTTGGAGATATTCTGCTAACAAAGTAAAAAAAACTTTTAACTCCCTCTTGGTGCCAAAATGGTCAATCTCTTTGGCTTTGGGGTTCACCACAGTCAAAGAGGTTTAACCACTGGGAACCATGGGAGTTAATGTTATATTTATTGGTTATCCAATCAACAACTTTAAACTTTTTCAAAAAGTCCAACTATTGGTGGCCTACAGAAAAAGTTCAGGAGTGAAAAGCGTAATTTTTTTTTTACAGAGGTGTGTAGTCATGAAACCATGAACTCCTATAATGTTGTACTATTTTAGACAAGAAGATTTGGGAACAGATATAGATGTGAACTTAACTTTGACACAAATGTTAGCATTCGTTAAAATTCAGGGGATCACCAGAGTCATTAGGGTTCAGCCTCTGGGAATACTGAGTATTTGTGTTAGTTATTTATTTATTTTTACCACAAAACAAAAATGTCAAGCTCCTGGTGATACAAGGGTTCATCCTCTTGGGATTGTGAATGTTTTTTAAATATGTGATTTCAATATATCAAACCATAGTTCAGTTTCAGTTTTGACTAAACAAGTAGAATAGCCCACGAGGAAATCTACATTGCCAAATGTAGAGCTAGATAAAAAGTGTGGCTAAAAATAGAGAAGTAAGCTAGCAAAGTAATGCTGACTAATGACCAAATTTGGTGCCTTTAGCAAATGAGGTGTGTCAGATGTGACTTCTAAATTTAAGTTTTGACTTCTGTTTACAGTGCACTCTTAAGTACCCTGTCGGCATTTTCTGGAAATGTCTCGGTACAAACTCTTCAGCTCGGTCAAACTATCTGATTCGTTCTCAGCATTTAAAGGCACAAGCTGATTGTTTTGTACCAAGATGTTAAAAAGACACATGAGTAGTCAATGTGTTCACTGCTAATTCAACTGTTACTGCTCAAAACAATTTAACATGTTCGATGTAGTCTCCTCTTGTGTGTAATGATTATTTTTTCTGTCAAACTTAATTTCCCCAGGGAAGGCCCGAGCTGTTGTACAACAGTGTAATGCACTACATTGGCTCGACAATGACTGTAAGAGGTCTGGTACAACAGAGGCTCCAGATCTTAAGTATGTATTCCTTGAGGCTGCTGACACGTGTGCATTGTTTATATGAAAGAACTGAGAACTGGGATCACAAGGTTAAAAATTAATGAATTCCCAAGGCAGGTAAGCCTGTGCAACCTGATACAGGCTTTACAAGAAGTCTCAACACAAACAAGCCCCCCTAACAAACACATTCACGAGGGAAGAATGCAGATGGTTTTGCCAAGAAAATAAATCTGTGCTGTTTGGAATGGAGTTAATAATAAATGGTAAAGTGGCAGAGCTTTTCATCAACTGGTTTGGTTTCCATAAGCAGCAGATGATGTTTTCATTTGTATAAACCAAAGGACGATTAATTAGATTTTGATTTTTTCAGTCTTGACCGGGGTGTAGGAGAAATTTTAGTCAATTTTTTGCCTAGTAAACCCTACCAAAGAGTTAAATAACAGCCCAATTTTTATGTATACAGCAGTGGCGATTGCTCTAAGACTGCAAGGGAAGCTCGGCTTCCCTTAAAATGTCACCCCCCAAAAAAAAGAAAAAGTGGTGAAATACGTACTGCTGTGTGTACATTTCATTAACTAAATACGCACTAGAAAGCCTTCATCTTTTGTTCAGACACTGTGATAAGAAGCTGATAATTATAGGTAACCGGCATAACTTCGTTCTCATTCATCCTCGCAGCGCCTCAGCGCTTTAAACAGCCGGACGCTGGGCTTCTGCTGACTTCAATGTGGAAGCTTAAAGTGGGTTGTTCCAGCAGCAAAACTAGACGCTCATTGGATAAATGCTGGGCTTTGTCCCGCCCAATGGAAGCTAAGCTTCACTGGAGTTCTATGGCGAGAGGGCGGTCCCGACTTTCTCCCGGACTGCAAGCTTCTGCATCCATGATTGGATGAGCTGTCTGAGGCGAAATCCTTTTTTGATTGACAGCTAAACAAGCGAATCAGCGATCTTGAAGAATAAAACATCTACCAGAGCATTTTCCAAGTCATTCATTCCGTTGTTCTTAACTGCTCCGGAGACTTTACCGATCCTCAGCGACTTCTGTCTTTATTAAAAACGACTGCCGTTGTGTTTGGCGACTCTGTTCTGTTACATACTAATAAACAAATACAATTATGATGTAGGCCAGAAAAATGAGCTTCCCCTCATTGAAAGACCAGCAGCCGCCACTGGTATACAGTATACCTACTTTAGGCTGAACATAAACTCTTTATATTGAAACTGTTTCTATATAGATTTTTTAATTGCATGACTGCTTTTGAAGTTCGGCCAAATTTCAGCCCAAATGCATGTCGTTTGCTGTGCAGTGTGAAAGGGGTTATGACAGCCAATCATGGCCTAATCAGCTGCTCCTGACTGATTGGATGAATTTCTGGCATGATCAAAATTGCGGTTGGCTGTCTGCACACTCTGGCACAGTGAAAGCAGCTGATTCCCCAACTTCAGGGACTTTTTTCCTGAATGTGCGCCTGAAACGCCATCTGAAATACACACAGACATACGACGATCAGCCAGAACATTGTAGCCACCTCTGTCATCTAATGTAGTCCAATAGAACAGCTCTACCACAAATTATAACTAACGAAGTTTCTACAATATCAGCTTTTGTTGTAATGTCAGAAAGGTGATGATTATGCTTTGTGTTCATAATCAAAGCCACGTTCTGACTTTAAACTCCACGTGTTGGAGTTTTTAAACAGATCTATGTTGGTATTAGTCACAACTCTGTCCTGATTTAACTTGAACAGCGTGAGCGCATATATCATGAGCTTCTGCCGTGCATTATTAGTGATTCCCTCATACTGTGTGGGTTAACTTTTCACCGACACTACAAATTCAAAATTCGGCTGTAACTCAGCTAATGTTGTCATCGGCAGCTCAGCTCATAGCCCCCTGAACATTCTGAATGGCGATCAATCAGATTAAATCAGAGATCAGCTAATTTTAAACTCATAAACTCTAAGTTGCTGTATCGCTAAGACAGACCTTAAATGCCCTCATGTAACACTTGAGGACCGTGTTGAAGGTCATGCAAGTTGGCAGGCTTGTTTCATTTTTAGAACAAGTTAACTTTCACTGCCTCATTTGATGTATCAGTTCTCCTTTGGGTATTACAGTAATGTGTTTTTTGGTGCATTACTCTCGATCCGTCACCATCGTCTGGTTATCAGGTTTTCGCCTGCTTCATTTATGCTGTTCCTGTCTCATACAGCTCATCCAGTCGTGACTCACCCCTGACTTTGTCTCAACGTTAGCCTTTTTTCCCCCTTTCTCTCTCCCCTATCTTTTTATCCTCCCTTTGTTCTTCCTCCCCTCTCAGTATTTTGTCCTAATTGAAGGCTGAAAAGAGTTTTATATTCTGGCAGAATCGAATGATGAAAGGCCTTTGATCAGTGTTTACCCCTGCAGGTGGAATGCAGCAGTCGCAACATGAGAATCATCTTAGTCTTTCTCTTCTTTCCTTCTATGCTTGCGTCTCATGTGTCACTCCAGCCTTTTCTACTGTATACTGAAGCCATGAAGCAGAGAGCATATGTGACTCTGGTATGACAAGCACTTATTGTGATCTGTTGTTTGTGAAGTGGGCTGTAAATAGTGGGGGGATAATGTTACAACATCCTGTCCTGTGGCAGTTTCTTTCTGCACCATTTCCCACGAAGGCGGTGGTGAAATCTCACCACATGATAAGCCGGGTGATGAAATCAAGAGTTTGTTTCTTTGTATTTTTCCCCCCTTGGGTCGTGTTGGCATTTCATACCAGCAGAGTCAGGGTCAAGATCAGCTGTGTAGTGAGCCAGCTGGAGGCTTTAGCAGAGGTTTAGGTGGTCATGAAGAGTCCTCTGTCAATCCTGTGGTGCTGTGATAATTGATTCTGCATGGTGCAGATCTGGGTCTTGATATGTCTGCAGCTCAGAGAAGAATTCAGGGACAGAGTGGTGAATAAATCAGAGCACAGACAAACAAACGAATCAACAAACAGCTAGAGGGAACTACAGCGAAGCGTACCTCAAAGTAGATCCAGTTTCTAGTCGACTGCTTTTCAGAATCACTAGAGCAAAATAATGGATCATAACTGTTTGTCTTTTTTATTCAGCATGCGCATTAAGTCTTTCCACAACAACCAGGGGCAAAGACAGACTGAAAGTTTTCTCTTAACACTTCAAATACAAAACTAAGTGATTACTCATGGCTGTGCTGCATTGTTCTGCCTTTGTCTCTGTCTATCAGTGGCATCAGGGCTGAACTACAACTCATATTCCTTTGGTGTGGTTATGGTCCCTGAATCCTACTTTTAACATACTTTATTGGCAACTGGCTGAAGAAGATATTGTGGATAATGTTTACAGTGGTAGATACAGTCTGGTAGATACAGATTGACTGACAGACCATAACAGGGATGGCAGCCTTCCATTAGCACAGTCAGTGATAGACACAATGACATTTTAGTATAATGACTATAAAAAATCATCATTAATTACCTTTGTTTTTGAGGGACTGTATCTGAAAACTTACACTATTTCAGAAACATTTTGAGTCTATCACCAGAAAACTGCCGGTCTAACGAAGTGAGTAGATTTGAGTGGAATTTACAGGAAACTGGTATGTCATACTGTTCTATTTTTTGACCTGATATCACAAACATATTTAGTTTTTAATATTTAGCATATGACAGCGTTTGGTACCATTCCTGTCTTCTGCCTTTTGTAATATGTTAAGGCCATTATTTTGCGAGGCACACAAAAGCAAGTAGAAGGCATCAATAAGGGAACCGTTATGGGCTTAAAAATATTTTTATTGAGGAAAAAGTTTGAGAGCACTAGCTTTGTTAATCTATAATCTAACCTGTGGATTATTTAAGCATATTTTCAGTCAATTTTCAGCAAAAGTATCAGTATTTTGATAATAGTTGCTCAAGTGTGAAGATTTATGCTGTTCTCATAAATGACGGTTAACTGGATATTTGGAAGAGGTTGCACTATTTGTTCAATATAATAAAAGCTATGTGCAGGCTTTACATGAATCTCCAATCAATCTGAGACACTATTCCCTAAAGATAGGAGTGCATTAGTCGTAGCTTTGCATTAGCTGCTCGAAACCAACTGAAAAACTTGAGTACAATTACCACAATACAAACCACATCGCAAAAATCCCTGCATATGAAATCCATTCCCATTACTTCCAGTTCCAGTTCCAGAATACTCTGAATATTTTATGTTTCTCTTCATATCGCCATTAGTCAATGATGACATTATAGTAATAGAGTGTTCCGGTAAGGTTTTCAATATTGTTGATGTCTCAATGCATTTAAAGACTTCAGAAAAAGTGTTAAGGGATCATGAGTTGGATGTGAGTACAAAGGAAGTGAAGATGCACTGATTTAAAGGCTCATGGGGTGAACAAGTATCTGTTTAGACATGTAGAAACTCCATGAAATGCCCAAATGAGCCACTGACCATGAGTGGCACAGATGAGCAGGAAAAACAACATCAGTGACTCACTTACAGATTGAGTGTCCGGCCAGTACTCTGACTGGCAAACTAAAGTGATGTCTTAACGGAGCGGTCGGCATGCTGACTAACTGTTTGGCATGAAACACACTTACATGTACACACAGAGACACACAAAGCGCGTGTGTTTCTGAGTGAGGATGGGCTGTCATGCAGGGAGTCGGTGAGATATCTAAGAATAGATGAATAGGGGAACAGTATTCTGGGAACACACACTCACACACACACACATAGCAAAGTGTGACGAGTGTCTTACAGATAAGTTGCACGTGCCTTCCTCTGCCATAAACACATCCTACCACACACACATAAACACACACACTCACTCACACAGTGTCTTTGATGCTGGCCGGCATCATATCTCAGCTCTTTCATATTGCCACATATGGTAATTCACTTCTTGGCACTGGACACTTCAAAGCTATGTAAACCACCTTCTTACAAACTGTCTCCTCTGAGCAGCTAATGCCATTTCCTCCACATGGCTGAGTCCATGAAGAGGAAAATTCACAGATTATCCACAGCTTTATCCATTAAGGTCAGAGGTCAACATAACACAAAGGCATGTAATAGACACCAGTGTGAGTGTCTACGATTGTTATGGAGAGTTAAGTAGAGAAATGCTAAATAAAGACTGATGATTGTGTGGCGTCAAAGCCACAAAACTGCATTCATCCAGCACTAACAGATTACTAGAATACTGTGGAGGGTTAACAAAGCAACATGAGAGGAACTTCTTCCCATTGTCCTTCAGAATATCAAGGAAAAGCATATTGAAATTTTAGAGCGAAATAGGCATTAAACTACAGTGGCCCTAAAAGGCAACTACACAAAAAAAGTCAGCACACAAAAATCAATTTCACTGAACTAGAAAGATATTACAGCAGACACATGATCATTTCATTAAAGAAAAATATGCTGTGCTTCAGAAACGAAGCTCACACACTACTCATGTAAAATAAAAATACTTTGTCCTGTAAAAAAACATTTTATCGTACAAAAAAAGAGTTTTATCAAAAGACAAAGATTTGAAGAGACACAAAAATTCCATCAAGACAAAAAAAATTCCAAAAACACAAAAGTACTAATAGTAACACAAAATAATATAATAAATAATAAAAATTTCAGAAAAATAATTCCTTCAAAAATATTTTAAAATTTAATAAAACTTAATGTAACCCAAAAATATTTACAAAAGCTTTTTAAAATGGCAAAAATATTTTTAATTGTTACAAAAATATTTCACGAAAAAACAGAAAACAATACTTAAAACACTAAAATAGTACATGAAAAGCAGATACAATTGACATAATACAAAAAAAATCTTATTTATCACAAAAACATTTCATAATACAGAGAGATATATTTCTTGATATATGTTTTTTTGCATTTAGTGAAAAGTTATATTGTTTGGTGATTTTTTTTTGCCTGACATGAAATGTTTATGCTGTTGACTTCCAGGGCCACCGTACTGAACAGATGTTTGTTTGTTTTTCTGTTTTTTTTTTTTTATAAATAGTTTCCAAGAAAAACAACCGCAGTAGTTACAGTTGTTCTGTTTCAAATGAAATTAATCTATCAGGGTTTTTCCAGTACATCTGTTAACAGTTCCTAATGAGCTCTGAGTAAAATGAGCGGAAAAGGCCACAGAGTAGAGGGTGACAGGAGTGGAAAATATTCTCTCAGTCATGCTCAGACACTGTTTTCATTTCAACCAAAGAGCAGGTCCCCTTAGTCATCTGGTCACTTTTACTTTTGGTCCCATTAAAAAAAACATGTACTTGGTTTGTATCTTACAAAATAACTTCACAGATCCCTCACAGCAAGAGCACTGTTTCAGCTAAATATTAAATGCAGAGCTGCATTTATGTATAAAAGTCACAGTCACACAACAGAGGGTTTTACACAGCCAGGCAATTCAAACATTAACTCTATATAAAATAGATGACAGGCATCAATTTCCTCCTGTTGGACAAAAGTGAAACCAAAATACAGTTCCAAAAGGATACTGTCACAAAGCTGTTCTATTGCTTTAAGAAAAGGCAGCATCATGGGATTCATATGTTATCTGGGGTGAAGTTCACTGCTCAACTGCTCGCATTTGCACACCTCTAACAGTTGTTACAGGAGCTTTACAATCTGCCTGACAAAATGTTGCTCCCCCAGAAGCTACTCATGACCAAAACAAATAGTTTCGCAGAAGTCTGCAATATCAAAATAGACATGCTTACAAAGACCATCACAAAAATGGAAGTTCCTCATCTTCTGCATGTATTTCAGACGTCTATGAATTAGTCAGGGTTTCCTCTAACATGCACAGTTTCAGTGTTTACTGCTTACTCCTCAGACTGAGGTGATGAATCAGTAAAGGATTCTCCTACTGTTATAAAATCAGAGCAGGAAAACACACTGTGGCACCCCCCATGATGAACAATCCTGGAAACCTTACTTAAGCAGAGAAGGTTCTCCCTCAGGGAAAACACCAAGAGGGAGAGAAAATGACTCTAAATGATGATACAATAAGAGGTGAAAGAGTGCTGAGTCTTCCCTGAGTAATGTCTTTCTTTTCAGCACATATGGGCCCACAGCATGTTCAAAGAAGCAAGCAGGTCCTCATAAATGTAGAAAACAAGCAATGCGGTGATCATCATCTGTCTGATGTACAGTATTTCAATCAGATTATACGGTGCCATCCCTTCTTTCATATTAGATTAATTTTATTCCTAAAAGGCAATATAATTCTTGTTTTATGTGCTCACATGATGCATGTATACAATCTGGTTAGGAGACTATCTGACCGGTGAAATAAAAGGCTCAGTGTGGAGTGATAGTTCATGTTAAATTGAAATGTCTTGGTGGATATATAGGGAGGCTTAATCCATCATTTAGAGGGAAAATATCTTCTTGCCAGATACATCTTAAAGGTTGAGTGAAATATGATCACAGTATCAACACATTATTGGTTGAATTAATGAAAATAAAGACATATTCTGTCCAAAATGGTCTGCAAAAAGGTGGTTTTGTGCTTTTTTTCATATTTTACAAACAAATATTGAGTTAAAATATCTGATGTCAACACTGACTGTGGGCAAATTCAAATTGTAGGGTGAAGATGTACCGGAGTAATCCCAAAATAAGACTACAAGCTGGTCTTCGTAGCTTGTTCAAAAAGTGAAATGAAAAAATGCTCAATTTGTGACATCACAAATTGGTGATTTTTTGCATCATAAACATAACTTGCTCTTTATTGCTGGTGAATTCTGGGGCAGTTTTGGGGTCCAGAACATATGGCCATATTTTATACTTTGTCATGATAAAAATTTTGCAGCATGACAACAGTGGCATTTCACAATACAGACTAGTGTGTGTGTGTGTGTGTGAGAGTGTGTTTTTACGTGTGTGTGTTTGGTCTCCGGCCAGTTTTCACTATCAACAGCAGCTGCCAGTCACACCAGGGTGTCAAGCTGCTGCTGGCATTCACACACACTTGTTCACATATACAGACACACACACACACTCACACAGTGACACACACACTGCTGAAAAATCAATACTGTTTCCCCCCCTAACCCCCTTCCCATGCTCTAATACACCACAGCTACAACACCACAGGGAAATGCACACTCATGCACACATTGTATTAAATGTTTTGGCCCATCACTGACAGGCCTTCTGTCTGTGTTAGTAAGTATGTTTGTTTTTTCAATGCCAAAGGGAGGAACAGGGCCACGTACAGACTGTTTGGACTGGGGTGGCCAAGTCACCTATACATCTGCAGCATGAAAGATAGTGTGCACACACAACTGGACACCTTTTATTTACTGTCTTTGTCTCCACTAGTTGTACTAACTTTGACTTGGCAAATCATGAATTGTATTTGTAGCGTAGCGGAGCAGGTTCTTTTGGCGCACTCACTTTGTGTGTTTTGGTGTTTTTTCACCTCTGCATTTGTCTGCACCATCCCCTTTCAGACAGCATTTAGGCAGCCAATCACAACAGCGTCTGAAAATCATTACACCTTTGCCCAGTCAAATCATTACATGGATAATGTAGCAGGGCTCGAGAGTGCCGTTACACTCGCATTTGTGAGTAAAAACAGATGTGTGCAAATTGTAAAATGTATTTAGGGGCATATGTGTGAATAACAAAATCAGCCAAGGCAACAAACGTGTTAGTTTTAGGTTGGATATTCGACAGACATTCACTGTGGATCTACCTGTGTCTCCTCACTCTCCCTAACCGGGAATAGCAACAGCAGTGCGGTTAAATCTACTCGGCATCCTCGCTGTCAACATCGTGTGCGGTGATATGACAAACTCAGAGGCTGCAGATCATTCACTTCAGCTGATTTTGCTTTTTGTATACGCTCTGCCTAAAAGACAACTAGGGCATGTTATTATACTTCAAAAAAAGACATTTCACAGACTCTCAAAAGTGCTAACAAAAGAGATAAATCTATATTTAATTACAAAGAAAAGAAAGACCAGCATTCTGATGCAGCACAGTCCAAATAGTGCTAAGCTCCACTTAAACCAAGTCAAATAACCAATTTCAGCCCTGGACTTTGGTGTAACTTCTGGGGTGGCCAATTTCAAGGGGCCATGCCACCCTCAGCCACTCATCTGAGCACGCCCCTGGTGAGCAGCATAAAGCTTGTCATAATGTGTGTAGCCTGTGAGTGAATTTAGCTTTCAAGTGAGCAGAATAGTCTGTCATATATTCCCCTCCCTTTCAGTTTCGTGTCTAGTGTCTGTGTTCATAAGCTTTAGCCAGCTTACACGGAATTCTTACTACGGCAGCTAAAAACAGCAGAATTCTCCTCAGAGTCCGATATGACCGAAAGGACTGGGGGACACAAACACACACAAACGCCAACATATCCTCCTCTGACCAAACATCCTGTCCCAGCATCCTCCCAGCTCTGCACTCACCGATACGAGGTCTGTTTTCTGAAAGCCAGTCCCCTCAGTTTCTCCTCCAGAGACTCCTGCTCCATGTCGGGCAGGCTGGTGAACGTGTCGCTGCAGCAGCCCACGGCAGCCTCCTCTGACCCGGCTCCGGACTCCGAGTCACCCCCGTCGGCTCCCAGGGTGGCCAAGCGCCCGCTGAAACCCCCCGCAGCCGGGCTCGGTCGGTCCTTCGTTTGGGGGTCCATGCTGGTCGGTCCTCGGTGTATCGCCCCGCGCTGGACCCCCTCTCCTCTGACTTGTGAGGGGACACAGATGCCGGTGTCCCGGAGGATGACCGGACGGTTGAAGGACGGTTGACCGTTGATTGTTCGGTGGTTTGACCGTTGTGAGGTCTGACTGTTGACCGCTTTTCTACACTGCAGCCAGGTACGGCAGCACGCGCAGCCGCCTGGACAACAGATCGAACTGCACTCACGAGCCCCTTACCATCTGAACAGCAGCTGCGTCAAGTTTACAACGACTGACAGGAAGTGTTGTGTTGGTACTTTCACAATAAAACGCTCATCGTTTCCTTTAAAATCGCAGTGTTGTATCGTTTTCGACCAGTTTGAGGACTAGTAGTAAAACAATGAAGCCAAGAGAAATTTGCCATAAAGTTTTACGATTTTGTTAATAAACATTATACCCAGATTTTATCCCAACTTCAACTTAATCTTCAGTTATTTTAAGACCATAAAGCTGGTTTTCCCATTATACCAGATTTGTCGAATATCCTTTTTTTTTTATTTAACCCTAGAACACTATCACTAAAATCAGTAACACCATCACTTTCGCATGGGGATTTTTACCCAAAACAATATACCCAAGAAAAACTAATTGTCATCAAAACATATCATAATAGGACAATACATGACAAACTTTAGTAGTTTTCTTTTATTTTCAACTGTGCAATGTCCAATGAACAAAAAAATCCTTATATTCCTTATATTCCTATATTCCCCATATATACTGTATATACATATATATTTATATATTTATATATATATTCATAACCACAGCCCAAAATAAAGATAGCATGCAAATTCCAGAACCACTCTTACTGACCTTATTCCCTACATGCATCTATCAAATCCACCCAAACCTATTTTACCCTCTATCGTTATTATCAGGTGAAAATCACCCAAACATGTGCCTGTAGGAAGAAGCAGGTTTTGGATCAGGGAAACAAATATGCCTTCAAAGATGTCAAAGGCAATGCTGAAGCTACCCAGGGACCCATGATACTCAGACAAACGCAACATTATGAAAATCACGTAAACATGTTTGGTCGGGTGAAAATCACCTGGCGATAGAGTTCTAGGGTCAAGGCTAACAGCTTGAGAACGCAACCAAAATTGACTCCTTATCTAGAGGAAAACTGAGTGGTAAATTCTCCAAGAAGCCTCAAAATCCAAGAATCAACAATCCAACACCCAGCAATGCTTTTTTGTAGTGTTTACTGGTAACTTTGTGGGCAGAGCAAACTTCCCCCTTTTCATGTGCATGAAAGCCAGGCAGGAAGAGCAGCAGCAAAGACCACCAGGTTTAGTGACAAATGTGATGCTAGAAAAATCAGACACAACATTAAAAGAAGGAGCTTGGGTGAAAGTGGGTTTTAAAGCTGATTGCAAAAGTGCCATGACAAGATGTTAAAGAAATAGAACGCCCATTTCAATTTTTGTCCTGTAGAAGGAAATTAGGGTGAGGCAACAATGTGGCTGGCACAGTTTATTAAGGAAACTACCTGAGTTTACACTTGTTTATGGGCATCTTTTTACAGCATCAAAATCTATTGGATTATGATAAAATCATTTAAAGTGGTTGTTGTATTCTCAAACATGTTTTCATATCTATATTTGCTTCGATATTTTTCTCTTTTCACTATTAAATTATATTCTATTGCTTTATTTTGAAGAAAACTCCTTGTCCTGTCAAGGCTCATGGCCTGCCTTAGCTGAATCTCCAATCATCCAAACTGATGATGGTTGGAGATGATTGTCACACCCTCATGCTATTGCTCAAAAAGGCTTTTATTTTCCAATTTTTTGACCGGAAGCCCAGTATTTGAGAATTTGTTGCATGACAAAGGTTTTAAAAAACTGCGAAAGCGCGAGCTGTTTAGAGGGCGGTGACAATGAACACTACAACTGACAGCATCCATCTCTCTCCATCCATCCCTGCATCCATCTATCCATCCGGGTCCGTCCGTCCATCCTTCCATCTGGCCCATGGGACGAGCAGCGTGGCATTGTGGGATATTCTCTCTGTCCTCCTCCTCCTCCTCCTTTCTGCAGCATCATCAGTCAGAAAGTAGGGCAGAGGGTGAGCGTTCACACACGGACACACACTCTCTAACGCTTATCTCACACACACACACACACACACACACACACACACACACACACACACACACACACACACACACACACACACACACACACACAATCCATATGCTCTGTTTAGGGCTGTGAGTTGTGTTTGTGTGTGTTAGATTTGTCACCAACATCCTCATGTCCCACGTTTGACTAACTCCCTTGTCTCACGCTTCAGGTCTCAGTGTCAGCCCTCAGAGACATGTGGTGTTATGATCATAAGTGCTCTCTGACATCAGGTTGATACACTCACAGCTGACCTGAGCTGAACCTTCTGTCCTCTCTGGACTTTTGTTTCTGCAGGGAAGCATCTGTCTTCAGTCTCTACCCTCACTAACCATAAATAATTTCATTAAACATGCCACACATCATACACAGTGATGGGAGAACAGCAGCTCTGATACTTGACTCACTTCATAATGACTCACTGTAACCTCTATCATAAGTTGTGGAAGGAAAGTTGAGTATTGAACCAGAGTCGTCGCAAGTTAAAGGAATATTCCGGCGTAAAATTAATTTAGGGTCAAACACACTGTAACACAGAGTTAGACACCCCCTCGAGAGATAAATGTTGCCGACCGCTTGCTTCTCTAGTTAAACCAACTTTGGTAATGACCGCAGGATAGCGATACACAGTGGTCCCAGGAGCCATCAACAAATCGCAACCAAAACGTCACTCTATAGCCACAAATAATGCTCAGAACAGCACCTAACTTCATCAACAGTACATATAGGGTCCCAGCCACAGCACTAGCCACCAAACATCTTTTAACTAAACACAACTCACCTACTCTCTTCCAGCGGCTTGTTTGTTTGACTGCGTCACCCCGACTACAGTGGGGTGACGCAGCTCAAGGAAGAACATTTACATCATTACTTTATCGTTTCCTTGAAGTAATGACAAAAATAATCATTTTGCACTGCAGATGGGGTTCTTCTGCCTTAGCACCTCTGTCTACATTACCATGAAGAAATGATCATAAATGTTCTTCCTTGAGCTGCGTCACCCCACAGCAACCCGTAATGGCCTGAGGTCTCACTACAAACAAGTGGCATTCATCTCTCAAGGGGGTGTCTAACTCGGTGTTATGGTGTGTTTGACCCTAAATTAATTTTACGGCAGAATATCCCTTTAATATGGGAAAGAAAAGAAAAACATTTGATGGATAGTTTTCTCTCAATTCAACCTTTTTAAATTACAATTTGATTTAATATGTTAAAAAGAGGCAACTGTATTTCTTTTGGCATTTTTATAACCAGTTAAAAAACTTACTTCATAGTGACTTGAGTCTAATTACCTCAATTTAGGAAATCGAATCTCAAAATCAAGAATTATCGGTTATTTATGACCTTATTTTTGTCATCAGTGTTAAAAAAAAGGACTCTTTTAATGTGATAAAACTGGACTGCTATCACGACACAGAGGCAGAAACAAAGAGAAAACTTTCTCTGTCAGTCCTGATGAAAGGCTGGATGATGTGTAATTGACATGACCTTAAAACTCCTTTTATCCAGAATCAAATAATAAAATCAGATCATAACTCCTTGATCTATTTATACTGCGTGTCACCACAGAGAGTCTGTGTGTTTTTATTCACACCAACTGTATGACAAACACAACACACTTTCACCGCAATGGAAGCCATTGTTGCTGTGTTCATAAGAAACCGGACTGTTATGAAGCTAAGGGACTGTGTATTGTCTCGGGATTGTCAGAGCAATTCGCAGCACTTATTACGAGGCGCTGCTGCTGATCTATTTTTGGATCCTTGTCATGATGAAGGAGATAGAAGCTCCTCTGTAGAGCGCCGTGTTTAACATGAGGATCCTTTTTGCTCTAATAGAGTTTGGTCTTAACTTAGTTTAAAGTTTAAACACAGCGTGCTTTGAAGCTCTGTCAGTACAATGACTTCGAGCACTTAAGCTTTTGTGTTTCATTTTTAACACGATTACAGTTTCCTTTTTTTTTAACCGCCGTTTCATCTTACAGGTCTTCGTCTTTTGGACAAACACCAACAAACGCATTTATCAGTCATTTTAGCCACGATAGAGGTGTTTGTGTGACAGCACAAGAGAGTCTCACGCAGAGTGTGCAGTCATGTTGCAGAGATCTTTTATTGCATTACACCAAAGCTGCAATGATAAACAGATCAGATTTTGGACAACAAGACTTTTAAGGATTTCACTTTTGGCAAACAGCACTGTCATCTGGTCCCCCTGTCCTTCTTTGGGGGTATGTGGGTATGTGAAATGCCGAAATTTGAGGCAGGGAGAGCATCATCAAAGACCTCCTGGGTACTGCATTTTACTACAAGAAGAGTAGGCAGACTAGCTTCTGTGAGGAACTTTCAGTTTGTGTGAATTTGGATGCCACCAGGTACAAAGCAGTCTTTACTTATCTTGTCCTCTATATGATTAAAGGTGGGGTAGGCAGGAATCCGTTAAAGAAGCATCTTTCTTTGTGGTGTATTTACAAAAAAGCTTTTAATATCAGTCAATAGCTATTAGTCACTGATGACATTTGGTAATATAATGATATCGCTGTGTTTTGTTATGTCTGTGTAGTCTGCATTTTAAAAATTTTTGAGCGGCCCGCTCTTTCTGACTGTAAACAAAGCTGTTCCCCGCCTCCCTCATCCTGATTGGTTGTGAGGCTGACGCTGCTCCTTAGTGCTGATTGGTTGTGAGGCAGACGCTTCTCCCCCGTGTCATTCAGGAGCCCAAACAAAGTTAGCGTGCTACTTTATTGGACATATTGGACAGTAGAAACCAACCAGAAAGTACAGAAAATTGTATGAATTCTCCTTTAGCCATGACTGCCAACACAAGCAAGAAAACGAACTAAATACAGGAGACTCTGGCGGAATAATGGGTGCTTTATCTGGAGGTAGACCACCTGGACAAGAGCTAAAAAAGCCAGGTCAACAATGACGGAGGACGCTTTGGGATCTTACGGACCCTGTAACCTTTCTGCTGGACAGGTAAACTGCTTTAAGAAAGTAAGCCAAGAGTAACAGAAGTGTTTCTTGTCAAACGGGACCTGCTGCGTGTTGTAGCGCCGCTAAACTGTTGACCTCGGGTCCTGGACTATGTCACTTTATCCTAGTTGTAGAAGTCCTGCAAACATTGTGTTTGCTGGTAGTCTGTTGGCATCTACAAGAGCTCGATTTGTAATTATCTGAAGTATTTATCTGCATTATATCTGAATTTAATTGAAACAATACGAGCGAGCAGGAGCGTCTGTTTGTGGGCGGGGCTTGCTGGAGCAGAGACAGAGGGGAGAGGAGGAGCTGAGGGGAAAATAGTTGGGAGGGGTAGAGTTTACGTTCAAGATTTCTCCCCAAAACTGGCACTTCCTCAGATCCTGCCTACCCCAGCTTTAAGTTGTGGTTTTGACATAAAATCTCATCTTGCTGATCTTTGACAGTCAAATGTATCACTCTTAGGGAGTATTTTACATGGAGACTGTAAAACAGGGCTGTTTCTTAAGCTGTGAGGCTGACAACCCCTTTCAAGGGTTTAAGGCACTGAAAATGAGGATGTTACAATCATAATCTCTATGGTCTTTTAGCCATTAGATGTTATGAAAAGGCATTATTGTGAGATTCAGTTTATTGTATTAACGACAAAATATTTCCTACAGGAGCTTTAAATAAAACGCTTATTGTAACATTTGCAGATTTAAATGAAGTCAGCTGAGCTGTCTGCTGATATGGTCTAGCATGAAAAGCCTGAGAACTTGCTAGAGGACTTGCTAGGGACTTGCTAGAGCTAGTCCCTGCCTGGACTAGCTCTATCCTTATTTTTTCAACTGGGTTTAAGAGCACTTCTTTAGTAATTCATGGAAAATCAGAGGCTATCAAAAGTTTGACACTACCTTTTATATAGGAGAAAAATCCCTTCTTTATATGAACAGATGACACATAACCACAGATAGTATGCTTTTACTAAGGAAAATACTTTATTTATTTGAAAGCAAAAAGACAGGAAGCCAGAGTCAGGGTGGCTTTATAAAGAAGCGACACAGAAATGAAATCTGGTTCAGAAAAAAAAAACTTTCTCTCTCAACTGGCAACTAGTTTTGGTCACAACTAGAAGAGAAAAACATAAAAATAAGCGTGCCAGCGTTACCTATGTAAAGAGTCAACAGAAACGAATGTAGCTACGTACATCAACATAAAAAAAATCTTTGATGATCTCGCCGCTGATCCACAAAGCTTAAAATATGAGACCTAGATACACAAATATAGTATTGTAGTCTCTAAACATGATTGGGAAATAGCTCTGTCATATTTTCTTGTAAAATACAATTTCTCATTAATCTTACCTAAATAATCTTCCATTATTTCTTGAAACTATCTGAATAAATATCTTTAACGTGACGGCGGGTATTGAATCGATTGGATGTTTCTGGTTTTATATACAAAAAGATAATCGGCCTCATGTCTGTAAAACACATGAAAAAATATATTTCAAGAAGCACAGATATTTTTGAACCCCGACTGCTGAACATTTGAAATGGACAAGTAAGACTTATAAAGCCATGATGTGAAATATACAAATTAAAACCAAATGAAAGAGAAGGGAAAAAACATCATAACGTTTATAATTCATCATCATCAGCTCCCAAAATAGACTCGTGATGAATTATAGATCAGGTTCCCGTACTCACTTAAACTTCCTCACTTATTATCAACTAATATTTACAAAAATAGAAACTTTGTCATTTCCAGGAGAAGAAATGTTTTTGGCAAATGCTGAGAGAAGCAGAAAGATGCTTTTTTTTAGCTGACAGTAAAAATGTGTTTAAGGCAAAAGCATTAAAGTCAGTGCAGGAAGTTAACTTAAACCATTTAAGGAGACAAATGTGGACACTTAGGGATAATATTAATAATAGCTTTGCTTTCTTACCACTGCAGGTGTATGAAAAAGCTGCTGCTAGCAAGCCCTGGCTAACCAAGCTAGGCTAAACACAGTGATGCCAGGTAAAAACAAAAGCTAGCCTGGCTCTAACTTATTTCACTGATCTACTCGCACCTCCAAGTTTACTCAAATTTCACTCACTGACAATATAATCTTGCTAATTTCAGAGTTTTGGAGTTGCTGGTAGGTGATCTAACCAAGCTAGCTTGTTTGACCAAGATGCTAGCAGCAGCCTTAACATGAGAGTTAACCCTCTTGTTCAAGTTTAACAAGGTCCAACTTATTTAAACCAACACTATATTCTGTGATAAATAATGGCTAAATTAAGGTGAAGCACGAACAACCTAATCCTGAAGATGTAGCCCTTTAAGAAGCTTATAAGGCCAAAGCAAAACTTCAGCAGAAGCGACGGTCATACAGAAAAAAATTAAAAAATATTTATGAGGCATAGCTAGCAGGGTCCCCACATGTCAAACATAAACATTTGTGGAAAAAAAAGTCAAACTTGTTGTCTGAAAATACAAAAATGTTCCATTTCAGTCAGTACTCGTCGTGAGAATATCACAGATCTGAGTATAAACATCCCAAATGTGGCGTTAGGGTGTCAGGGTCATAATCTCAGAGATAAACACAGGTACCCAAAGCTAATCCCTCAGATGAAGAACAAATGTACAACATATAAAAGAGTATAATAAAATAAAAATACAATATGAACATGAAAGAATATCAAAATGGCATGTTTCCATCACTGGAATGAAATAAAAACATTTAACATTAAAAGAAATACAAACTACAAAGAGCAATATTTTTATGAAAAACAGAAAAAGTTTCTATAAATACAAAGGTTCTCCGTCAGTGTCCTGTAAAAAGCCTCACATGTCATATTTTTAATTTAATCTCCATTGGAATAAACGACACGCTACATTTTTAACTTGGTGTTTTTGAGTTGATCTGTTTGCATAACAGTGTTTTACATCACGTCAATTAGGACAACAGATACAGCTGAGAATTTAACTCATGTAAAAACTACTCAGTGCAACTTTACTTCAGAAATAAAGGCAACCAGTGCCCTTTAGTTATTATCATTTATATTTTAATTACTACTATTACAGTGTATCTGATTAAGCAAAGAATGACCTTAAATGATCAGCAGTGGGGACTACTGTATGAGGTTTGCTCCAGGACACTGAACCATGCTCTAGAGAGGAGGGAGGAGGTCATGATTGGGTTTAAAGGGGGGGAGGGAGGTGTTGACATGGACCTCAGGAGGTCTCATTGACAGTCCGCTCCAGCTCTATCACTTTACTTCTGCTCTCATTCGCCCGCTGCTCCAGAGACCTGAGAGGCAAAGATGACAGAGGATCAGACAACATGAATATATGACTATAGTGTAAAAGAGCTGTTTGTGGAATAGTTTGCAATACTTCTGTTTAGATTGTATCTCATTAGTGGGTTTTTTGTACCTTCATGACTCTTTGAATGGACTCTCTACTATTAAAGAAACAGGATGTGGTTCCCAGACTGGGCGTAAGTTTCCAGGTACAATTTTAAAGGGTTTTTATTTGACTCAAATCTTTCTATTTCTAGCACTTTCATTCTCCCACTCCACTGCATTTCCATGGCAAATATTATCCTTACTTCTCCGCTTTATTTCCACAATAACCGCAGTTTTAGGTTACTTTAAAGCTCACGTAAGGAACTTTTAATTTGTGTCAGTTTTGGCGGCCCCGTAGACAAAGTAGTCTTTTTCTTATCTTGTCCTCTACACGCTTAAGACGTTCATCCATCTGGCTTTTAACAGTCAAATTGATCATTTAGTATGATTTTTTCAGGACTGTTTCCTAAGCTGCTTTGCCGACACCACAACCCCTCACATCAGGTTCAGGCTCTAAAATTGATTAAATAAAAAAATCTTGTCCCTCATGGTTTTGTTCGCTTTTTGTAAATCGCATATAAGGTGTGTTTCATCAATGTCAAAAAATGCCTCACAGGGGCTTTAAGGACTTATATGAATAACTGATATATTGATCAATGTCACTCAGACAAATGTTTTAATTTCTACAGTAATCCTAAAATCAAAATCACCAGATTGTGCTGGAATGACATAAGTAAAAGTTAAAATACTGCAAAATCTGTGGCTAATATTTCAGTGGTGTTTAAAATTTTTCTGGGATTCACCTTAAAATGATGCGTTCAAATCATCAGTTATGACTCAGATCTCTTCCCTACCTGGCAGAACAGATAGTATCTGCTTCCAGATTAGACTGTGTTCACCCTCAAACCCTGAATGATACATCACACCTGAAATTATCATGTACTCTCTTCGCTGACATGAGGGGGAAGCCGGCTTTAAACGTCCAAAAAATTACAGTTATTATGAGTAGATGGTTCAAAGTATAACCAACAACAAAAGACGAATGACTGGAAGTTGTGACTGAAATACACGACATGGAGCGGTTTTGGTGGATAAAAGTGGAACCTTTCACTTTTTGCAAAGTTCGTCCTGTACATTCAGTTTCTCCATCTGCATATTTATCATCGTGAATATTTACCTGTGCATATCCAGCAGCAGGTTTTTCGATGTCTGCGTATCGTTGTTTTTACTCCTGAAAGGCGGATGTGTCTCCACTCTGTTTGGCTCCACCGCCAACTTCTGCTGTTCTGAGCGACGCCACGCTGCCATGACGATGGCTGGCGTGTCCTCCAATTGGTCGGGATATTCCCCGCCCAAGCCGAGGAGGTGAGGCTGCTCGTCCTCCATGATTGATAACAGACTCCTGGACTTGACTGTGAAGCAAAAAAAAAATTCAGTTTATTTTATGCACCTATGTGATTTTATTATTTTGCACTTTATCCAGGACAACAAAAGTTCCTAAAACTTGTCAAACTCAACAATAGCTCACTTTGGTCCACATGTTTGTACCCGTTTTTTATTGACATAGTTCAGCCTGTCTGTTTAAGAGTGTGTTTTTGTGTGTGTAAGTGTGTGTGTGTGGGCAGGATAGTGATGGAAACTGATTTGATTGTTAGGAAAATTATATCTCGCCTCAATTACTGAGTTGTGTGTGTAATTGCGTGTGTGTGTGGGAGGTTAGTAGAAAGGGTGTGTTGAAAGGTCAGCTCCTCTAATCAGTCAGTGAAGCTTTGGCTGTGGGTGGAATCTGATTAGTGGAGACCTCCGTAGTTTTAGTACCGAGAGCTAATCATTCATAATTACGGTGCAAACAGGTGAGACTGTTTTAAAGGGACTCTCACCACCATTTCAGTGTAACTAGTATCTTAATGTGTGTACTGTCATGGACAAAACAGCAAATAACAGACAGAACGACAGTTCTCCTGAGTGATGCCAAAACGTTTAGAGCTCCCCCTACTGACTGACTGCAGAATAGACTCACAGCTAAAAATTCATACAAATTAAATCTTTTTTGTTGTTTATCTTAGATTTGACTTTACTAATGTTAAGAAGGACACTCATTTCAACTGTATCTGAAACCTATGTTTCCTGATAGCTTGGGCAACACTTATTATTCTTATTTTTTCATTTGTTTATTTATTTATTTTGTGTGTTTATTTTATCGGGAAAGACAATTGTTAACGGATATTTGCATGGAAAAATTGGTTTTAAATATGCAGGTTTTCACAAGAGTGCTCATTGGTGAATGCAGTCCCATGTGACATTGGCAGAAACATAAAAGTCCTAGATTCTCCACATGTTATCACTGCAGGCAGGCTCAAGCTATCCTGGTGCAAACATTCTGGGCATGTCTAAGGTGCTTTACATTTTGGAAAACAGTCAACAGATAATTGGCAAAATAGTAAATCTATCTCATCAGACACACCATCAGAAGTCCTGTCAGTGTAAACATCTTTTGTGAACTCCTTATATCTAGAGTTTGTATTTAAAGTTTAGATGAATATAGATACCTGTTGCTGTGTATGAGTCTTGGACTCCCAGCTGTTTGGATGTGAGGCCGGTTTCAGTGATGGTGGAGCCTGGAGTCAAACTGCTGGGGTAGAAACTCCCCAAAAAAAGAGCAAAACACAACACGACCACCTGCAGAGAGAGAGGGCGGATACAAGAGAGTGAGAGAGAGAGAGAGGGGGATGTGAGAGAGGGGTGGTAAATAAATTATGAATCATTGCTAAGCAGCTAATGAATGATGGAAGCAGATGTTTCCAATTCAATATTTAAATCACCCAAAACACACACACACAAACACACACACACACACACACACACACACACACACACACACACACACACACACACACACACACGCACGCACGCCCACACACACTGTAGTACCATTAGGCATGAGGAGGTCTGGGTACCAGCTACCCTGCAGGATTTGGAGACTTTGCCGGCCACCATCGCCTGCAGAGACTGCAGCTGCTGCAGCAGAGACCTGGAGATAAACACAAACACACACCCAAAGGTTAGACAATCAACAGTACACACACTTTAACAAACCCAAACACAATCCTCAGAGCTTACAGATGTAGACCTGGAGGGGGGAGCAGGCAGGGCAGAACAGTTCTCTATGTGTACACCTGGTTAAATGTTTTTGTACGTATGTGGTACTCCTGGTCTGGTTTTTGATTGATTGATTGATTGATTGATTGAAGTTTATTTTGAACATATACAAATATTAATACTAATAATTATACAGTAAAGAATACAACAACAAATGACAAAAAGTTATCCATATTCAAAAAGGAGTGGGAAGAAGTCGAGACTAATCTAGTTCCAGCCCTTCTCCTACACTAATGATTTAAATGTACTGTATATCATAATATTATATAATAATATTAATCATCATAATAATTATAGCAATATATGGGTGTTTACGAGCCATGTGTCCCTGCTATGCCAGACCCCTCAGCCAGATATCCATCGGTGGCAGATATTCATAAACTAGTATCTTCCACCACTGAGAAGTGTGTCTAATCCACTTGGGCAGCTGTTTTAAACAAATCAGGTTTTATTTTCATTTAAAAAGGACTAAACATCTGCACAGACAATGATTCCAGACCCACTAACCAGGGTGAACTAATCTGGTGACAGCAGGCTACCGCAACGCCGTGATGTGATGAGAAATCACACTCTGGGGACCAATGTGTAGGCACTAATGTATAGTGATATCGAATCTCTGTAATAGGCCTCAGGTGAAAGTCATGCAGTAGTTAAGGAGGCTCCACCTATTTGCAAGTGAGTGGCTTGACCGAAAGTTAGCGTGAGTCAATATTTCTAAAATGGCGACTGCTATCTTTGGCTACAAAACGCCTCTCTGGAAACTAACGGCTGACATCACAGAAACTACGGTAGATTTTTATGTGGTGATGCAGTTATCTGGTTATTTTCCCCCCAGGAAGCTTTAAGGTTTCATATTTGGACTCATTTTCCACCACACCCATCCTTTTTATGCTGTGAGTACTCCTCAAGTTGATGAAGTAAATTCTGTCGGGATCAGTCATTTGATTTTTCGACTGGTGTGAAGCGGGCTTGTGCAAACCAAATCAGTTCCTCTTGTTGGTTTATTGCTGTTATTAATACAAAAATGTCAATACAGTAAACCACAGCAAGCGTGATTTCGCTCATCTAGTATGTATGTTTCTTACTCGCCACTCGCCTGCTGTTGGTCTCATTAAATCAGCAGCTAAAGTCCCACAACAACACATGCACGCTATCCAAATGCACCAGAATCAACACACTCACACACACATACAGAGTCACATAAATACGACTGGCTCATTTAACTTTCAGACAGTGACGATGAAGCTACTGGGTGGAAAATAAGACCTGGAACAGCTGTGCTCCAGCCACACTGACACAGTTCACTCAGAGGATGTTACAAACACAAACACACACACGCAGTCATCCATGCGTAACGTGGGCAAACATGGTCTGGTTGAAGCAGCTTGAGCACTTTACATCAAAATAGCCTCATGATTATGCAGGACTGCAAAGAAGCATCAGGGGAGCTTTGGATTCTTTGTTTTTTAACTCTGTGTCTCTGCTAACCTGTTTCAGTCTAACACTTTAAAACCAGTCCCTGACATCTTTAAGTGACAGCTAATATTTTCCCTTTTTTCTGAAATAACGATGAGGGTGTTTCCTCGTCTTCTTCAGAAGGATGTTCAGCTCTGAATCATCCCTCCTTTCATTTCCTGGTGCTTGTTTTGATTGTGCTCAGCTTTGAATCGGAGTGACAGACAGGCAGTCAAATTCAACACCAGTAACTGACAGTTGACTCATCAGCTCTTTTCTTTCCACGGTTATAAATAATGATGGCACCACTAATTATACTTAAAAAGACTTGGAGGGCAGACCTGAGGATGCTTCCTACACAGAACTAAGAAAAATGGACCCTGTTTTATCAAGAAAAAAGCTGCTTTGTGCCTTTTGTTAACGCATTTGTTGCTGAAAAAATACATGTTAGTTGTTCCAGCTTTTAATAAACCTTCCTCTCTCTTCGCTGCCTTCAATCTAAAGGTCTTAGAGACAAAATTAAATCTTTATTGGATATATTTCTCTTTATTTTTGTTGTGTACATTGTTCTTACTTGTTGTTACACTCCAGGGTTTCCACTTTCCTGCGCAGCTCGTGGTTTTCATTGGAGCAGGTCTCCACCCTGTGGACAGAAAGGGGTACAGCAGGGTTGGTTATATACAGGAAAGGTATGAGAAGAAGCACAAAAAGACCAAAGACCACATTATATTTGGGTTTATTTCTAGGAGGGAATTGGGTGTCTTGTGGTAGAGCTTTGGGAACCATTATTAACAAACTTAAAGTCCAGGAAGATCTTGGATGTTCTGCCTCCACTCAACATTATTATGCATGTGTATCACCAATACTGAGCTATGCTGCAGGGGTGTGGGATTTAAAAGACTCTAAAAATACTGATACTATGCAGAACAGAGCAACACAATTCTTTCTCTGGGGTCATAGATTTGCTCCGATCGCAGGAATTCAGGGAGACATGGGCTGTGTTTTAGGGTTCGTACAAGCAAAAAGTGTTTCTGTGGAGCTTCTACTTAAGCATGTGAATTAGAAGATAAGCAAAGACTGCTTTGTCCACAGGAGGAAAGCAAAACTTTATCCAAAAGTTCCTCACAGGAGCTTTAAAATTTGGGGTAAAGTTGTAAAAAGGTTCAAAGACGGGTCTCTTGGTTATAAATTAATAAAGAGAAGGAGGACGGCTTACTTCTTCTCCAGAGTGTCCATGTACTCTTTCTTCTTCCTGCGACTCTCCTGAGCTGAAATCTAACACACACAAACAAAAACACAGGGAAAAACAAGCAGTAAATATCAAGAGAAATGTGCACCAAAGTCTACTGTATGTGTGATTTTCTGTGCAGCAGAGTTCGATCAAGACTTGTACCTTGTTTTTAATCTTCCTGCGGATCTTCTTCAGTGCCTTCTCCTCGGCTTTGGTGAGGGGCAGTTTGGTGGGGACCGGGTAACCTTCAGCCACCAGCGTGCGGCGCTCCTCTTCGGTCAAGATCAGTGGGCCTGACCCCTGCAGCTTCTACAGAATACAAAAAAAAAATAAAAATAAAATGAGTTTGCAGGAAAAAAGTAGAATAAAACATTTTTAAATAATACTTTTAAGGGGGTCTCCTGTCAGAAAAAGACTTAGTTACAGAAATGTAATCTTCTGGATGGTTAAGAATTCTGTTTTTTGGTATTAGAGACGAATTTTTGAGGACATCAGAAGCTAGTTACACCAGACTTTGCTTATCCACAATATTTTATAACTGGATTTCACAAGCCTTTCAAAATCTAGCATCAAGTTACCAAGATAAAACCTTGTCTAACTCTTTTACTGCCATGTTCATTTGCTAGATTTCTGTGTGTGACAAAAAAGCATTGAACAGCTAACTGGACAGTTTACAGTTTGGTACTCACGTGAGGAGCTGTAAGCAGCGGGGAGTTGGAGAGACATGAAGCGGCCCGAGGTGACACCTTCAGGCTGGGCTGTGACGGGGCAGGGCTGGTGGGGGATGTGGGGCAGGAGAGACCAGGCGGGGCGTGAACGGGGCTCTGGCTGCCCTCTGAGTCACTGCCGTGGGAGCTGGGAGGAGTTGGAGGCATCTGCAGAGACTCCAGACCTGGAACATGATGGTTGAAAGGTTAGCAATGCTGCTGGATACTCCAAACTTGGTAACTGTATGATTCAATATTAATAATCTGATTTAATCTTAATATTTGAGTCTTAAAGGAAATGAAAATACTCGTGTAATCTAGCTGTTTTTCTCTTCTTTCTCATTCAGTGACTGGATTTCAAACTTTTTACCAACTCCAGTCTGAGCACTCTTTGATCAAACGGCCTGTAGGGGGCCTTGTTGCATCAGATAACTTAACAAGCTTGAACACAAAGAAAGTTACTGACCTTTGGGTGACAGATTGAGAAACTGGTCGACTTCATGAGGCTCCAGTTTAATCTGTGGGATGATGTTCTCCTCCTTAATCTGTAGACGGAGAAAGAGATTAAAGACGGGGTTACAAACACGATACAAACTCACCAAAGATAAGAGTTTACAACATTAACTCCTGATTCCTCACCTTGATGCCTTTGCCCAGGTTGTTGCTGTTCACTGTGGGCTGAGTTGGGGTGGGGGCAGCGGCGGCAGCAGCAGGAGCAGCAGCAGCAGCAGCAGCAGGGGCTACAGTGGGGCCCTCAGGAGCTGTGGGTCCTGCTGTGGTCAGAGAGAGTGAAAGGGTGGGGAGGAGGGAGGGGGTCTCACACAGGAGGCTGTCGATGGTCTCCTCCTGCTCCATGGGAAACTCAGCTGAGTCCCCGTCAGATTCTGCCGCACAAGAAGAAAACACGTCAGAGTGATTTTAAAAATAACGTATTTATTAAAGTGAAGGTCATGAAACGGTCAACATCTGTAATATGTCTCCATCATTTCACCCAAAACACGTGTACAAATAACTAACTTAGAGATCACCTGCAGCCATCGGTAGAATAAAAACTCTTTCTCACAGACACAACATTCAAACAACATAATAACATTTACAGTTTACTCAGTCTGTTAGTGTTACACCAGAGGACAGGGTTTGGTTGATTACCAGTTTTGCCAGTCCAGTTAGGTGAATTAAGTTAAACCAGTTCGATCTCATGCAAACCAGCTGAACCAACATTAAGGATGAATTCTGATAGATCAAGGGCAGCCTAAAATTCAAGCAGTATGACAATCTGATTAATAAAGTATTAGCCAACCAGAACATGAGGTGGAATTTAATGGTTGGCTGAACCACCTGATTTATGATGCAAAGGAAATGAATAGCAGAACAGGTCTCAAAGAAAACTAAAACGCTGCATTCTTCTTTCTTGAAGGAGTTTTTTTTGTCTTTTTCTCCTTTTGTGTACATTGGCAGATGGCAAAGCAACTTGTAGATGCATAAGGGCCCGTGTCCACTGACAGCCTTGTTTAAACTAGCAGCATTTTATAAACTCAACCCATGCAATTCAGCTTTGATTAATCATCCTATGCTCATAAACTCCTTCATCATCAGCTGTTTTTTGTTGTTGAGTCAAAGTAACTTGTAGATGCATTAGGACCTGTGTCCACTTTCTCAGTTTAGCATTTGGCTTCATGATAAAACAGCTGGGACATTTTTCTCCAAACTAAACCAATTCATGGAGGACATTCAGAGACAGATTTTCAATCTGGCAACCCAAAGGTGCCGCTTTCTTATGGTTACCAACCATTTATTAAAGGGATATATATGGGAAACCTTGACCAGTCCATCATCGACTGAGGCGGGGGGCCACAGCTCAAGGAAGAACATTTATGATCATAATAATCACCATATTAATCCTTTTGCTCTGCAGACGCGGTAGTTCTTCTGTCTTAGCGTCTCAGTCTGATTGCATTTCCATGAAGAAGTGATCATAAATGTTCTCCCTTGAGCTGTGTCACCCCATTGCAGTCGATGGACTCCCCTGAGGTCTTGCTACAAACAAGCAGCTGCTGGAAGAGAGTGTGTGAGTTGTGTTTAGTCTCTTTGCTAAAGAAATCAGGTAAAGCTAAAAAGATGTTTGGTGGCTAGTGCTATGGCTAGGACCCTATATGTACTGTTGATGAAGTTAGGTGCTGTTCTGAGCATTATTTGTGGCTATAGAGTGGCGTTTTGGTTAAGGTTTGTTTATGGCTCCTAAGACTGCTGTGTATTGCTATCGTGTCGTCGTTACTAAAGTTGGTATCACTAGAGAAGCAAGCGGTCGGCAACATTCATCTCTCGAGGGGGTGTCTAACTCGGTGTTACGTTGTGTTTGACCCTAAATTAATTTTACGCTGGAATATCCCTTTAACAGCAAACTGCTCTTCTCATATTTAGGATAAGGCTGAGTTTAAAAGCTCTGTTTAAAAATTGACAAAGTCAGACCTGCTTCGCTGCCGTGCTCGCCGGTCAGGTGTGACAGTGGCGACTGTGGTCGGCTGTCCCCGCAGAGCGAGTAGCTGTGCTCAGCTGTGATGTGAGGGGGGAGAGGGGACGAAGGGGACAGGTCCCCGCCGTCCTCCCCTTCCATGGCCTCAACGCCGCCTCTCACTCCAGACAGAAAGGGGTCATTGAGCAGCTGGCCCAGCAAAGCATCCTGGGAGAGGTCGTCGAGGAGCTCAGAGAAGTGCTGCAAAAGAAAAGAAAATAAATAAATATCATTTAAACAGAAGTGTAAAATATCAATTAAATCCCATCCTAGAGGAGACAGACATATAATTATAGGAAATCACGAAGCATCTGCGACAGCTCGCCTGTAATCAGAAGCTGCTGAATCTTTTATTGCCACCTTTCCTTGAAGTTCCCTCTGCACACGCTCCCCCGAGGGGAAAATAAAGAAACCAATTAAAAACCTGTAAAATTGCTTTTCACCACAAACAATCAGACTCAAATCTACTGCTCTATTTCTGTGTGATTGTCAGTGTGGTGATACATTTCCCGAGAAGACAGACACTCCGTATCTCCTCTGTCATCCCCCCCATCGTCTCTCCTCCTCCTTCACGACATTCCTCCACATACATTCCTCTTTCCTTCCTTTCAATCTTTCTCTCAAATCTCTCAACAAGCGGACCGCCAGCGTTCAGATCTGCCTCCATGTCAGGTGTTGTGACGAACGTAAACAAAAGGCAGTCAAAGCAAAAACCCCTTGGTGATGTGATGATAACATACTGACATACATCTCCTCCGTGTGTCTGTGTGTAGTTCATACAGCTGTATTTCTGTATGTCTTCTGTATGGTGGGGACTTTTCAAGCTTTTACACAATCATCAACCACCTCATAAATCTTCACACGAGGCTGCAATTTCTGAGAATTTTATCACCAACTAAGCTGCAGATTCAGATTTAATATGCTGACATTTAGGATGGGAGAATCATGGCATTATTTAGAAACGATGGTGCTAACATCGGCCTTATTAACATGGATATTATTTGAGAAGAAGACAGAGGGGTACTACTTTCTTCAAGTCAACATGTAGAATTGTAATAACAAACAACAGCAAGAGTTTTACAGTAAGAAAAGAGTCTGAAAAAGAGTATAAGGTATGTAATTTCATTGGTACATGTAGTGTGACACAAAAGCTCAAATTTCACACGTCTGTTGTTTATTGTTGTGGTGAAATGTGTACGCTTGATTCTCCAGGCCAACCGCAAAACATTTCAAGTTTCACAAACTTCCCCTACACCAGGCAGTTCAATGTCTTGCTAAATGTTGACAAAATAGTCACTTTATTGATGAGCGACAGTAACTTAAGCTCTGTTATATGACGTATCATTTAAGCTTGAGTGAATATGGTATGAATCATATATCATGTATTCAAGTTTTTCTTCCTTAGTGTCAAAAACCTCATTCATTAGTTTCACTTCATGTTTCCCCTGTGTCATGAAACCCATCGACTTATCTGCCACAAACACATTGCCACACAATGACAGACTAGTTCTCTGTCTACTTATAAGCCACTATCTTCTTACTCAATACAATCATAAACAGAAATTAAAATCCACTTAAATAAAAGTTAAGTTTTCCCAGTGGGTCTCATTTTAAATCAGGAATGTGTGACATTCACATAAAAACATCAAATTAAATCCAGCCCTGTCCTTGCTTCAACTCTACACCCCAAAAGAAGAATGCCATAATATTTCTTTAACTATCAAAGTTTTGTTACCGGGCAGAATTCAGGGGATCCGTCCAATAGAATGTCAGCAGTGTCAGAACATCCTGTGCTCAGCCAATCAGAAGCGAATAAACATTTCAAATTAAGTACAGATGAAACTGTAACTTTATAAACTCAGAAGAGAAAGAAAGAAAAGAGAGATGAGAATGTTGAATTAAGACATTTTTTTTTCAGTTATGTCGTATAAAAAATGAGAGTAGAGAGTAAAATCAAGATGGAGGAAACAGAAGGAGGGTGCAAGGACGAATGCCAAGCATGTGTCTCAAATTACAGACCTGGAGAGACAGAGGACTCGACTTCTTGACTTTTCTTCCTCCCTCTTTCTCCTCCACACTCACACACATTCATACTGTGAAATGACCTCCTCACTCTATAAACACAAAGCACACTCCTGCCACCTTATGCTGCCCTAAAAGGCCCGCTTTCTGGCCTCTTTTAATGTGCGAGTGAGTGTGTGTGTGTGTGTGTGTGTGTGTGTGTCTGTGTGTGAGTAATGCAAACACTGACAGCATACTGTGAATTTATCCAAGGGAGAAAGCCAAATATTTACACATTTATCCAAGAATGGGTCCATTTCCATCTTTTAAAACGATCAGCGTGAAAAAGCCATGACATCTGCATGTGTGTGTGTGTCTAAATGCCTAATGTGTGTGTGTGCGCACGTGCCAAAACCCATTACATTAAGGGCAAACCGTTAAAGTGGTTCTCAGCTGAAGCATCTCCTAGTTACCATACTTTCATTTAAAATACAAACTGTTGTGATGATGATGGTGATAGTAATTATAATGTCTGCTCATGCTGATAAAGTACAGGTTGTTCTTGCAATGTAGGTCAAAAGGAAAAATGTACAAAAATAGGCCTATTAAACATGGAGTATGAGGGAGTCGGGCTAAAGCTTAAAAAACTAAATTAAGGACATTTCAGCATCACAAACCTAAGTTTTATCTTGGTTAAAGAGTTGCAGCTTTGCCGTGGGGTTGTTTAGATTTTAGATACCTTCAACATAATCTGTAAAACCTTAATTTTAAAACCACAGTATCTCATGAAAAAGACAGATCTATAGTCGTGATTTCAATCCACAGCTGTGGCAAACAAAAGAAAGAGAACAGTGGTGGTCGAGTTACATTGAATAAAGCGGAGAGAGTGAGTACGACCAATGGAAACAAAGAAGTGAAACAGAAAATGAGAAGTTACTAATGAGTTTTTCAGACATTAGTCTACTTTTAATGACTTCTACCATTTGCTGTTTAGTATAAAAGAAGATAAAATTGTAGACTCCCAGGAATGTATCTGTTACTGCCATGTATCGTAACAGGGATCCATATTAGAATTTTACTTGCATTGTATCAAAGTTCAAAATTACGGCACTGTGGAAAACCACTCTTCACTGTTAACCTCTTCAAAATATATCCATAGGAAAGAAGTCATATATAAATGCCTCTTCATTAAATTCTCCCAACATTATGATAAATTAATACAAAATTTTGAAATCCTTTAGTTTTTATGACAACATATAAATACAAATGAAGGTAAACTAGCCAACAAGCTACCATTAATTTAAAAAAAGGCAGCCAGAGATTATTTATTGTACAGATTAAATGTCTGGTTAAGTGTTACATAACGTATCTTTGTAAATTATTTGAAGAAAATGATAAAAAAACAAATTTTACTTCAACTATTGTCGACAAACTAGTTATCCAGTGAGCTAACATCAGCAAGATCAATAAAACGTTTGGCTTTGGTGTTTTTAGTTTGCAAAATTTGAATTAAAAGCATATTAAGGAAGAATATTGAGGCTAAAACTGATATCTGAATGTTTACAAACCAGATATGACCAAACTTGTGAACTAGTTTTTATACATATTAGACATTTTGTGGTACTGAATACAGATTTACACTTTTGTATATATGTATATTTGCAGTATCTTTTGGTACTTGTTTAAAGGCTTTCTACTTTTATGATAGAAAAACATTTACTTGTTGGGTGAAATACTTGTTATACTTGATGTAAACATTAACAGGAAATGGACTACCCTCCTTTTGTTTAAAGGTCATAGCAGGGAAAATGTATATGGGTGATTCAGGTCAAATTTTGGCGATGAAGGGAAGACAAAAATCATCTTGGTGAAACATAGAGAGGGCGTGGGCTTAGGGAGGAGTAATTACAGACTGAACCCATAATTTAGAAAACACTACGGCAGATTTTTGGGGTCAAAATGTGGTTTATATGACCTTTAACATCACCCGTTTTTCTCTTTGGCTCATTTGTGCTACTTTCTACTGCAGAAAAGCTCTTAGTCATCTGAAACTTGAACATAAATAAATAAATAATCCACCCAAGATGAGAAAGCAGAAAGGAAATAAAGCCAAATCTTGTTTAAAAAATGGAAGTGGGAGGGCTTTTAACCCCGCCCTCGTGAAAACACAACCACATGAAAGACGCATAGTAAGGGTTTATATGCTCCCTGTCATTTCTGCCGTAGGAGTGTGTGGTTGTGGTTGTGTGTGAGTTTGTGTGCAAGAAAGAAATGTGATGCAGGGCAATGGACCAGGCTGCAGGATCGGTCACAGGCCTGGTGTAACTCATCACACACAACAGAAACCTCTTTGTCTTTGCAGGCCCAACAGTGAGGTGTTATTTCGGGCCTGCCGTAACTCGACACTCTCCAGCTGGGACACTGAACCTGGGGAGTTGAAGCCTTAATGGGAAAACTGGGAGTTTAAGCAGGAGGGTGAGAATCAGTAGGTCATTCAGTCCGCTGTGGGAGCAGTGGTGATAACAAAGAGGTTGTTCACTTTTTTTTTTTTTTTAGAATACAGTTTAGTCTAAAACCATCGAAACATGCAGAGAACATCGCTGAAACGCAGATCTTAATCTTTTAATGAAGAAACCACAAAGCCTGAAGATGAAGGCAGAGACGCGAAGTGATGATATCTCTCAAGTTCTTGTGAAACTACAGCGCGGTACAAAGAAATCCTGTGTCATGCAAAAACAGACAACCCTCTCAGAAGTTGAGCTATACGTTAATTACATCTAAGCCGGATCAAATTTGAGAAATGCTGATGAAAAGAAGAATTTAATCTGGGTCAGTAACAGTTTTCTTTTAATGAAAAAAGGCAGGAAGTGAGATGAGAAAGTGGTGAGCAACATATTAAAGAAGGCAAAGAGACCAGTGCCATGCTTGTATCAGGTTTATAACCACTTTAGGCTAAACATAAATGCTGACATTGTGGCACAAGCTGAATAAAACCTTCCTCCAAAGTACAGTATAATATCATCAGCATATTAATGGACTTACAGCATTATCAAGAGTGAACATTAAAATACAATGTATATGAAAATTGAAGTTTTTCTTTACAGGTAGCTAACTCATCATTAGTCACAGCCTACAACTTTATCTCCATCTTTGTTATCTGTGGTTGTTTACATCCAGGTAGTTGAGCATTATGGAAGCAGCCATCAACTTCAGCTACTATTGCTAAAAGAAAAACAAGGCTTATAAAAATCCACTGGTCATAGTAAGTATTGGCGTAAAATTTCACTGGTCTGTATTTGTGGATTCTTGAGATGTTACAGTCTAAACCTAAGTCATGGTTAAACTTAAAAAAACTGGCACTGACATTGAAATATTTAAAAATACTTTAGACACATTTTTTACTTTTAAAATGATTGATACTATTCTAATAAACTTTTAAATATTACCTTTTAAAATATGAAATAATAAAATATGAAGCTGATGAGTTTGATTTTGTGATATTCATACGTTTTGACGGGTACGCTGACTTTGCTTTTGTTTGTTTCTTTTTATGTGGTTGTAATATTGTTTGTTAAGTTATAGGAAAATAACCTGAAGTGGACAGACCATCTTAAGTTATTGTTTATTTCTATTTTAAAAGAGAGACAGATAAAATTAGCTTTGTCTTCTACCTTTGCCTTTTGTATTGATGGAAATGCTTAAAAATGGCCATGAGCAGAACAAATAAAAAACAAAAACAAAATACTGTAATTTGCATCTAATGCTAGTTACTGTGTGTATAAAACTTAACATGGGGCGCCAAAAGGACACTTAACAGGTCTGAAAAAGGTTTTTTTTTCTATCCTCTTGTAATGTAAAATGATCAATAGTCCTGTTCCTGAAAAGAGCAGCTACCAGGCTGTGGGAGTGGGAGGTGATAAGACTTGTTAGTAAAACTCTGGACAGCTGTGTTGGTCACTAGCTAGCAGCTAAATTGGTGGGAGTGGGAGTGGGAAGGAAGGAATGTCCTCTCAGGTCTGTAATTGTCCCGTAAAGAAGGATGTGTGTGTCTGTTTTAACCCTTAATGATCGGGGGGGGGGGCTTCGGCTTTGCAGGACGGGGGGGGGGGGGGGGGGAAAGTTTGATGATGTAACACCTTCCTCCTCTGAAAAGCTAAACCAGATGTGAAAGACTACACCGGAAAAAAAAAACCCTGACACACATAGGCCCAAGGGTCATCTCCCTCCAGTGTGTGTGTGCATTAATATGTGTGTGTGTACCTTGCCCTGGACTCGTCAGTGTGTAGTTTAGCTGATGATCCAACCTGATTGAATACACAGCTTTCAAAATCACATGATTTCATATCAAGATGAAGTAGATAACATTTTTGTCAATTGTACAAACTTTCAGTATTAAGATTTAATTTTCAAATCAAGCAAATTTGATCTCTTTTTGACATTATTCAGCCGGTAATCTGTCTGTTTATTCTACTTGAAGCAAATCGAAATCAAATTAAGATTGTAAACTCGTAAAATCTACTTCACTGTTACAGATAACTCACACGTGTCCCTCAATTACTTGATAACGAGAGTTAAAGTTTAAAGAGATATCTGACCTTTTATCCGCCAGGTAATTGCCCTGCGTATGCTCCACTAGCAATGTCACTGATACACCCATATGTAAGGTAATACAGGTCTTAGTGAAAAATTCTGGTATTATGCTTTTCGATACAAATATTGAGTTAAAATAAGGGACACTAGAGCAAAACACAGGTGTCACCTGTCTTAAAAAGTCAAATGAGAATTACATGTGATTTGCTCAATTTGTGGCATTGCCAATTTGTAAAACTCCTCAAAAGAGTTTAATGAAAATATATCTGGATAACTTCTCACAGATAACTAGATGGGTACTGTCAATGGTGTGGTGGTGGTTGTTGGTTGTAGCTCATCTGCAGGAGTAGCCGTGCTTTACCATTGTCAATGTCTCGACCTTTGCTGCATGTATTTTGCTGTAACTTTAAATATATATATATATATATATATATATATATATATATATTTAATTTTTCAACTAATTTGTTCATTATTATTATTATTATTATTATTATTATTGTTGTTGTTTTAATTATATTTTTTTATTATCATTATTTAAAGTTATATTTTCTTTTAGATTATTATTATCATTATTATTATTACCGTTATTTTGTTACTATTATTTTTAGGGATGTAGGTAAGAGTTGGCCTTTGGGGTTTCTTCTGGGAGGGGGGCGGGTTTGGGTGAAATTTGTAGTTCTATTGTTGTTATTTAAGTTGTATACTGTTTATGAAAAATAAATAAATTGTTTAAAAAAGAGAATTATGATTGTAATACATCACAAATAGAGATTCCTGCTCTGTTTACAATTGTTTTCTCGATGTTCCTACCCAAAACATATGACCGTATTTCACAACTTGTTATTTTAATAGAGACAGAGACAGTTACTGGTGTGAAGCAACTCAGACCGAGGCTGAAAACAAGGTTTTTCCAAAGTCACTAATCTGTAATTCATGAGCTGATTTATGAACAGTTTTATTTAAGTTAATAAATCAAATATAAATGGCTGTTGTGGAAACTGTCTCAGATTAAGAGCTCAGGATTTCCCTCTTTCTGATAGCAAACAAGCCCGCTGTTATCTATGATCTTGTTATTAATAAAACAAATGAGCTACACAATGTTTTGAGTTATTTATGTATGAGGTCTTCAAACTGCGAGTCTGCCCCGAGGCAGTGCAGGAAGATATAAGATATAAGACATCCTTATTACTCAAGAGTTACCAACAAAAATCCTGTTTTTAAAAAGTTCAAACAGGAGCTGCTGTCACTTTCACTTCACTTCATCAAACATGTGTGGCCTTTACATTTGCCTATGGCGTGTTTTCTTGTATCGCTGACGAGAAGGATGTTCATTCTTCCTCCAGTTTCCAGCTCAGTTGAGAAGAGTTGCTCACTGTCATTTGGTATGGAGGAAGAACTTCATTCTTTTACTTCTTCTCAGCTAAATTCCCCCCATTACCTCCCTGTGTTAAAATTCCAAGAACACTTCAAGATAACTGTACACTATTTGCATACTAGTTGTTGCTAAGTATTCATGACTGACACTGGTGCATCCCTCTCCAGCTGTAAGCCAGAGAGCAACAAGTCTTCAGGAATGCTAACAATGTGTGTGAGCTGTTCTAACACTTAGCTGAAGTACATGTGTAGATACTCCATCTGCTGAGCGGCTGAGATTCCTTCACGAGTTGTGAATGCTAAATCACTGTCTCTGTATACTCGTCAATAACTTCAACAGCAGATTTTTAATCCAACAGAGCCAAGAAACTCACATTTAGGAACCTGTAAGGCTAAAAGCAGGTTTTGACCTACAAAAATGGTTAAATCCATGAGATTTAAAAACATACAAAGGTTTTGTTGTTCCTCTTGCTGGAAATGTAAAGGTCTGTAATTGGGTGAGTGAAGGAAAATAAACACAACTTGGAAAAAAAAGCTTTTTACTCCATACGGTATCCAGTTTGATGTACTATTTGCTGAAACTCCATTTTGTTTGCTTTGTGTGCAGGCTGAGCTTTATTTTTAACTTAATGTAGGTGTTTTACAGACTCAGATTTATCATTAGCATCATATTAAAAGTATCAGAGTGAGTTGTACCTGTGAGCATGCTTTGTTAGCCTTATATTTAATGTGTAGCATCAAATCTAAGTGTAGCAGGTGACAGTTGAAGAGAGTGTAATAACTTCAGTTAGCCTGTGAATTTCAGGTGTCTTGACAAATCAGAATAATGTTAGTGCGGCCTTTTAGAGTTGAACATATTAGCTTTCCTGCTATCATACAGTAATATCTATACAGACTCAAACTCAAGTGTAGCAGGCCAAAGAATAGTGTTGTATATGCTAAATCAAGGATTTGAGTCACGTGTAGCAGGTTAACACTAAGTCAGTGATAAACTCAATAATCACTATTTCATATTTGCTTCATAAGTTGTATTTAGATATAAACTTGAGTGTTGCAGGCTTGAGTTCAACATATTAGCACTCTGAAGTTTACTGAAAAAGAAGACAACATAGCAAAAAGTGTGACGGGCATGTTGTAACTGGACTTTCATGTGAGTTATAACAACTCTGATATATGTTTACATCGTCTTTAATCATGAATCTTTCTTTTTTTCTTGTGCTTTAAATAGAATAGGTGTTAGCAGGAGCAATATATCCTTAAGTATTTCTGGTTTTCAGTTGTATTATGAGAGCTGATAGTCAGGGGAATCACCAAAACGACTCAGTTCCTGGGAACCAAAGAAGTCTGACAAAAATACCACTGCTTTCCAACAGGAGAAAAGCCAATAAAAACAGCCTCTTTAAACTTGCACAATATATATTTTTTATCTAAACAACAAAAAAAAAAAGCTGCAGCTCTGGAGCCAATTTCTTTGAAACAACTAAAGCCATAAAACCAGCATTTCAGCTGAGCTAAACTGTATATCTGATAACTCTGATAGTCAGCAGGACTGTATATCACTGCGGCACCACTTATCATTTGTTGGTATGTTGTCTTTGCTGTAGTATTGATACGGTGTGTCTCAGCATAACAAGACAATTTACAGGCTTTGGAGGGTTTTGTCTATCTGGGTCTTATCTCCCGAGGGGGCAGACTGCAGGAGGCGAGCCCAGCATCGAGGCCTCATGTCTGGACTGTGTTAGCGCTCTCACAGGGTGCAGCTTTATGCGTCACACCGTCATTCCTAACAAGCTGCTTACAGTCTCTCCCTGCTCGTCTTCTTCACACGCAGATGCACACAAACACACATCTGTCTTACTGACATCAGTTATTCCATAATGTCTGATTCCTCTCAGAAAACTGAAGCTCAGCCAAAGTGACCTCGCGTTACAGAAATGTCCTCATCGCAAGGGAAATGAAGTGGCTCTCACCCGCCCCCCTGACCCAGATACTGGACATCAAACCCAGCTAGAGTAACAAGAATTTCCCAATAATCAAGGAGGAAACAGATACACCAGGAAGTAGCAGTCAGTGAATGTAGAAACGCAGCAAAGATCTCTTAAGTTTTCAGCCAAAGGGGAAATCCCGTCATGATTCGCTTTTGTCTGTTTCTTCAGGATCTAATTACAGAAGCAAGAAATTCTCACAACAAACAAAAGAGGCTGAAGCTCAAAACTTTCACTTTAAAAAAAAGAACTTACAGTGCCACTACTCTCTCTGTTTTTATTGTCACACATACGCCTAAACTATATGAACCTGCTTGCCGTTTGATCGAGCAGAGGAAGCTGTCGTCGTCACCCGACCATTGAATCTCACTCTTGACCTGCAGAAATGATTTTCAATAAAAAGAGAGGTGTGCTGCCGTCCTGAGCAAACAATCACAACGCCAAAACATCTGAGAATTGTGACATTAAAGAAAAGACAGGAAAGTATGGTTGTGTGTGTCCACTACATATCTGGGCTCACCTGTTTGGCAGTAGAGGAGTGGATGATGTGTATTTGCTCATCAGGATGTTATGTTTATATTTATTCAAGCTCTTATCAGTCATAACATCATGACCACTTAAGAGTGAAGTAAATAGTATTGCTTATTAGTGCTGCCAGTTTAAAAAAATCAACATCAAAGGAATATTGAACGTGACATGCAAATGTTCCTCCGTCAATGGTGCCACTTCCACGTGAGTGGCAAGCCATTGTTTAATAACCATGTTGCTTATCTCTGTACAATGCTGCCTGTTAGTGAGGAGTGACAGCAGGTAAACATTTTGTTTTGAAGTTGATGGGATGGGAGTAGGGCTGTGCAATATGGCAAAAAAGTTTATCACAATATATTTTTTTCATATCAGTCAATATTGATATGTATCACAATATAAAAAGTGAAATTTAACAGTGCTTATTGGTAGCATGTCTTTTGCAATACAATAAGCTACTGCATCTGTGAGGTCTTTGTGTCTCTTAGATGTTTTGTCGTAAGGCGTTTCGCCAGAGGAAGCGGACTGAACGGTCGGCTGTTTCGGCTGCACAGGCGCCACGGGCTCCCTGCTCCGCTCTGGGTTTGTAACCTTTGCGCTATGGTTGCATGTAGCTGCAGCCTGCTACTACGCTGTTGTTTGCTACTTGGTTCTAAATCAGCACATTATTGGTTCAGCACAAAGCAAACCCGGAGCAACTCCCCTTTTCATTGGCTCTTAGTATAGTCTACCAAAACATGGCAGAATGCCGACTATCGAAAAGAATATTTACCATGTTTTATATTGATACCGAGGGAAATTAATCTTCGATAGATATTATTATTGTTTTATCACCCAGCCCTAACTGGGAGTCAAGTCAAGTCAACGTTTATTTATAAAGCACCTTTAAAAGACAGCAGTCAAACAAATAAATAGATAACAATAAAAAATAAAATTAAAAACAGTAAAATAAAATACAGACAGTAGAAGAATAAAAGCTACAGTGCTTCTGATTCCTGTGTGCTCATTAAAAAAAAGCAAGGGTGAAAAAGTGAGTCTTTAAAGATGATTGAAAAGACCCTCAGGTCTGAGAGGCTCTAATATGGCCATGTAAACTGTTCCACAGTCTAGGGTCAACCGCTGAAAAGGCCCTGTCACCTCTAGACTTGAGTCTGGTTTTCGGGACGCTCAACAGTAGTTGACCAGACGACCTTAAGGCTCTGGCTGGGGAGTGGTGATACAGGAGCTCGGACAGATAAGGAGGGGCAAGACCACTGAGGGCTTTAAAAACGATTAAAAGTAAGAGAAATGGGTGAGAGTGATGTCTCGAGGAACTTTGGCACACCAAAAGTGGTCCATGACTGTAAACCAGAAAGGAATAGACAGGGTCAGAGACAACTTGGGGTTGGTAATGTGTGGAGTCTGATCTTACAGAAGAGCTGCTGGAGCTAAAATCACTGACAAAGTTCATGCTGGTTCTGATAGAAAGAATAAAGCAGGGTGCTAAAACCAGTGACTTCATTACTCTGGAAATAAAACAGATACAGTCGAGCTTTAAAACAGTCGTGTATTTGAGTCTCTTCTCCAAGCAGTAATGTGACAGGGTGGAGTGATGGTTAAGGGATGTAAACAACAGGATGTGAGGGAGAAAAACAGTAGGCGTGATAACCAGCAGGGCTGCCAGTGTTTACCCTCCACCCACAGGCGAGGACAGGAATACACACACAAACACACACACACACACTCTGCATTTAAATGTGAAAACACACACACACAGCGGAAACACACTCCAAACTTGAATATCTCTTTCCTGTTTGACACCACGGTTACAGACCTCTTTTTAGTCCCCTTAATGGTTCACGCCTGATTAAAAGAGGTGAGAACGAAAGCAGAGGCACGAATGAAAGTGGAAAACATCCCGAGTCAAAGTTCACGCTGTGAGTCAGACCTTATCTGGGAGTCACTTTGTTGAGATTAGTGTGCACGTGTGAGTGTGTGTTAGTGACACAGCTGAACAGAAGCTTTAGATGATGACGAAAGAAAGAAGCAGGGGGTGCCAAATGGAAAAAGGATCTCCTCTGAGGCGCTTCCCTTGTGAAATTCACTATTTTACCCCCCGTCTGTCTGCAGAAGCTTTCCATATGGTCCTACACACTAACACACACAGAGTAACACAAATACACACAGAGCTGCACAAACTTTCCAGCCTTGCTCTGTCATACTGACCGATCAGTGGGTTCAACCCCCACTCTTCCCACCCACACTCAAACGCACACACTGACCCTCCAGATGTTGCTCAACGATTCCACCAGGACAGCACTGATTTCACACTGGAAATATGTGGCTCAATACTTCTAATACCCCAAATACCTTAAAGAATAAAAAACATTGTACTCCAAATCTTCCAACTCGAGAAACTCAATCAAAATACAACATCAGACATATCCTTTTAACTGATTTAATGTCTGCCGCTGAGCTCTGCTCCACTTGAAAAACTACAGAGACACATCCGTGAGTCACACTGTTGCACTTTAGCTCTCGACAATCTGCAGTTTATTTTGACTGAGACTCACATACTTTCCTGCTAAATCAGCTGAAACATTTTCTCACAGAAAGCCTGGACTCAAGAGGCTTCACTGAGGTTTTGAAGATGACTAAAGTTTTACAATTAAAAAATGGTTTGCAGATTGTTCCAGACAAAGGATGAAGAAAAACAAGAAACTATAGTTAAAACTAGGGATGTGTGTGTCTATTCTAACGTTGAGTACTAACGTCGTTTTCCATGCAAATCATCACTATATTTACTGGCTGATTGTTACTATATATATGTTGTGTATTTGCTGTAGTGCTGCTACCTACTCCTGGACCAAGTTACCATCAAGCCACAATGATCAAGTACTCAGATGTAAACAGAGGAGGTTTGATGATTTTTTTGATCTAGAAAATTTAGATGAAGTTGTATCTCGGTTGTCTGGATGCCATGGCATATGACCGACCAGGGGAATGTGCAACAAGTACAGGCATTTGGACTCGAACCTGCGAGGAGGACCAAAGGATGGTGGTGATAGCTTTACTCATTTCACCTTAAACACGAGGAAATCAGCCGCTCATGAATATCCTTGGTTCAAACTCAACGTCCAACGAATGAAGGTTTTCCTCCTCTGTTTCTGCCTGTTTTCTTAGTTTGCTCAAAGTACGGTTGAGTCAGCATTTCCAATAAAGCGACCACCGTCATTATTAGGCCTCGCAGCGTCTCCCTTGAGACAGACGCCTGACGTCACAGAGACAACATCTATGTTTTACAGTCTATAATGAAACTCTAGACAAACCTCTTATTGGACAATGTGTGGTGATTGTTTTTTCCTGTTACCACACTTTTTGAGGTTTAATTTGATCATTAGTTTGACTGAATATTATAGTAGAAAATCACAATTTAATGTTGGTCTGACACTTCCTGTACTCAAACACAGTTGTCGGATGCAGACAGACTGTACAAGTCAAAAACAAGCACAGCTGTGTTCTGCTGTCTATCTCTCTTCTTCCTCTCTCTCTCTCTCTCTTTCTCTCTCATCCTGCTCTGTATACCCGTAACAAAGTGGGTCAGCGCACACACACACACACTCTTGGATAACTTTTTCCATCTCCCCTGTAACACTGACCGGTCATCATGGACCAGTACACACAAACACCTCGAGCTGCTGCTCAACCGGTGAATTCCCTGCACTTTTTCTGTCTGCTGGCTCAGATTTTTAGGTTTATCCAACATAAACATCACTTTTCAGACTTATCATTGTCTTCAACTCTTTGTAGTTTGACACACATTAAGTCAACAATAGTTACGTTAAACTTTTCAAGGTGCTTCAGACTTAAACGAGAAAAAAGAAACTGATCTCAACTTATCTAGCTCGGTTTTGTTGTGTTTATTTTCACTTTGTCTTTGAAGGATTATCCCTCTAAATATTTGTTTTCAGCATCAGCTCATTACCAAGTTGGTCTGAATGTAAAAGAAGTACAACTGATTTACATGTATAAACAAAAGAGCCAAAGTGAGCAGCATTAGGCTCCTTCTCCTGTAGTCAGGAAACTTCAAATTAGTAAAATAATTAGACATTTGCAAGAAGTCAAACTCCTCATTCAAGCCCTTCATTTTCTCTGCTTCACCTCCTGGAGAGAGGCATGCTGGGTAAAAACTGGGTCAGTGCCGGTCTTTGAACACCTCATAGTGAGAGTTTTAATCCCTGGAAAAAGGCAAACACTGCGGGGAAACTTGTTTGGGCGCGCCGCTGATCTTAATTCCTGGGCTATAACGGAGCTGTCTGAGGCGGATGCTTGCCAAGTTGAAACGCGCTTGAATGTCAAGTTATACACACAGACGCGCACACACAGACACGGTGAACTTTGCATGGATGAATGAGCTTGTTCATGTCTCATCAGATGGAAAGGTTAAAAGGAGAGAAAGGTAGAAAGTTGAAGGAGAAAAGCTTGATTTGATGATGATCAGCATTATTATTCTTGAACACTGTTATCCTCATCCCTGATCGTAAATATTAGCACACAGCAAAGCACGCCTGCTGAGCTAACAGTTTCTTCTACAGACAGTTAAACAGCCAATGGAATTAAATAATGTTGGTTTAATTCCACTATGTTTGTGTTGTTTTTCAGAATGCAGCAGCTTTGAACCAATCAAAAAATTACATCTTGTTTCTTTCTTTCTTTCTTTCTGTCTTTCACGTCTTTGTTTTCATTAGCCATCCTCACTCACTTCACTTCCTCTTTATGTCATTCTCCACTGTCGTCTGTCATACTTGTGGTAGCCTTGGGCTAAAACATAACTGGGCGCTTGTTGATATAAAATTATTTTTAAAAAATACAAAGATTTCAGCACATGTGGAATTTATTTTCTAACTGTTGACATACAGAGCATTTCTAGAAAGTGTCAATAACACTTTATTAGATACTTCTGATGCAACACTTAGCAGCAATTAAATGGAAACAAAAGCTCAGTCAGGTGGATAGAAAAGTCCACTTCTTGTTTCTGTTGGCGACAGAACTGACAATATCCAATCATTTAAAGTCTCTGGACACTTTTTATGCAAATTTCTGTCCACAGCGATACAATACAATATGATACAATAACAATACGCTATGAAACGATACGATACGATACGATACAATACGATACAATACGTTATGATACGATACACTATAATACGATACGATATGATAAGATACAATATGATACAATACGCTATGACACAATACAATACAATGCAATATGCTACGATACGATACGATACGCTATGATACGATACAATACAATACGATATGATAGGATACGATACACTTTCTCGTCCGCTTAGGGAAATTTATGTTGGACTCCAAGAACTGTACAGATAAAGCTGCCAACTGATGACACAAAGGACTAGACCTCACAAAGACACAGTCACACAACCCTCTCACAATGCACATACACACATTGCACAAGAATCCCACAGAAATGGTCCGAAGAAACACATCAATGATAGACAACAATGAAAAAGAACAAGACACAGCGAGGTGAGACAAGGCAAACAAGACCAAACAGAAAATCACAAGATAACAAGATAATGAAGTTAAGGTTTTTTTAAGTCAGTAGGTTGTAGGTGAGAATGCTTATAGATTTTCTTACCATGATAAAACCAGAGCCAGATTTGGTGTGTTGGTTGGGTAGTTTGGGTCACTCTATTGCCTGTTTTCTGTTATTTATTCATCAAAAACATTAAAACTCCAAAGGTCCAACACAAATTTTGTCAAATTCTATCGATTTCAAATTCAAGTGAAGGAACAGCTCCACAGATGAACCACATGCCTTTAAGAGGAGTTTATTCTCAGCAAAAATGTTATAATCTAGCACAGATGGACTTAACAAATTAGCTTGCATGCAGATTTAAGAAAGGAAAACAAGACTTGAATAGTAAGTGTAGTGAAGGGGGAAAAGAGAAAGAGAGGGACAGTGTGAGACAAAACAAAGATTGATTACACAGTCTGGGAAAGAAACAAAAAGGCCAACAAGCAGGAGTAATGGGATGAGTGGAGAAGTGTCTGGTATTCGGACAGGAGCAGACTCGCTCTGACTTTCTGCTCACCCTGAAGGAGAGATACATGAAGAGGAGGATGAAGAGGGCAGGAGAGAGGGGTCAAAGGTTAACTAGAGAGCGGATGGAGCGGCTTCTGTCTTGATTGTACACTTTGAGGCCACAAATCGGGGCAGGAGCTACAAAATCCATAAAAAAAAACATCAAAGTTGAGTCGGTCTCTCGGCTTGTGCGCCTTACTGTTTAATGAGAACTTACAGGCTTTAAACACTTTCATGTTTTCCGCACTGAAAGCCCCGTGTCTGGCTACAAAAACTTTAAAATCAAGTTTTGCAGGAATAAGTTTTTCTTGCAACTTTAAAGTCTTTTGATATGGATATTATTTTGATTTCCTCTCCTTAAAAGGATCCTAAACCTGAAAAATGCAGCTCGAAATTCAACTTTCTTATCTTTGAATGTTGTAAAATGTCCTAAAAATAAGCTTCAACTGCAAAAAAAAAATGCTCCAGGGCTCATTTTAGGGTTGGGTGTTTAAATCACTCACACATGAATATAAAGCCCACACCCTTCTTACCACACACACAAGCTAACACACGACCATTTAAAAACCTTTTATCGTGCCCGAAGCAAAAAGTCAGTGGGGGCAGATGTGGGGCAGAGGGGGGTGAGGCATCCAAAGAAGTGAGTAAGGAAAGAGACAGACAGAGGGGATAAATTTAGCTTAGCCTCAAAGAATGAAGGCTCCTGTGGATTTTCCATAATGATCCCTCACACTCTGATTACTACCTTCACTTTGCTCTCAAATGGCTGCTCGCCTCCCTGCCTGCCTGCCTGCCTGCCTGTCTTCGAAAAACTTGACACTGAATCCAATTTCAGAGTCGGGAGAAGAAGTTGCATCAGATACAGAAAAGAAAAGAGAAAAATGTGTCCTCCGTGTTCATGTGCGCACCATCTGTGGACGGCTTTGACTTTTTACGACGCACGTGTTGAACTCAAGAAGGTGGCTCCAATCGGAGAAATGCTGAAGTGATAAAGAAGATAGGAAACAGATAAAAGTTAAAGCTGATAAAAATGTGGATTCTGACAAGACTAGAGAGAAAGGGTTAGTCCATATTACATATTAAGCTAAGTAAATTCACTGTTCAAATAATACTAAGTACAAACAGTGATGCTAGCCTTCATATAAATCAGCAAACCACCGTGGTAGTCATAGTTAAATGCCAACTAGGGCCCGACTGATTTATCGGCGAGCCGATTAAATCGGCCAATTTTAGCCCGTTTGAGACTTATTGGTAACAAGCCAAAACTCAACGATTTTTGCCGATATTTTCAGAAATAAAATGCAGAGAACAAGATTCGGTTTCACTTAAAAAATGTTCTGCCATTTGAAAAGTTCCCTGACTTATCCAGATGCCGCAGCGACCTCATGACAGTCTTCATCCACTAGTTCGAGTTTGATCAGTCAGGTCTTCCAGTCAGCATGAAGAGCAGTAGCCTACAGTAAATCTACAGTATATAGTACTGTAGATTTATACTGTAGATATCTACAGTATATATGTATTTTTTTATAACTTCATAAATTTAAAAAAAAAAATCGTCTGATTAATCGGTAATCAGATTTTTTCCCCCCCTAATAATCAGTATCAGCATCGGCCCCAAAAAACACAAATTGGTCAGGCCCTAATGCTAACATGCTAAAAATAGTAAAATTCAGGCTATAATACCTTGCAGGTGTCAATTTTACAATTTTCCTCATTGTAGCTTCAGATGTTAGCAAGACAATGCTCAAAACAAGTCTTTTTCGCCAAGTGAAGACAAGGCTAATGGGTACTCAAAGTGCTTAAAATGTAAAGTTTTGACAGCATCACTTTTCCAAAGTTTTGGCACCAACTTCCAAACAATCCATCACAAGTTAGCAAATTACACTAAAATGTCAATAACCGGCATGAATAAATGAGAGAAAATTTCCCTAAACAACATCAAACTCAAGCCTGAACAACCAGAACCTTTGTCGTTTTTCTAAATCCCAATCAGAGGTGTGATTTACTTCATCTATTTCTTCAAAGTCAATGTCTTGAGCCTTAAATTAGCTGTAAACTACTTCATAAAGTCAACTCTCGAGTTAACCTGAAGATCCGGCACCACACCTGCAGTAATAACACCGTGTCCCTAATTGTAATACAGGTGTGTTCCTGTGACGCTCGAGGTTAGTTATACACACTGAAGCTGCTCTTGTTATGATATCTGAAAAACCTGAACATGAGCCAAACTGAAATTTACTCTGGCCATGAAGAGGCTCTCAATGTTTTATTTGCGATAAAAGTGCGCTCATTGTGTCGTCACTTATTTATTTTCTGTGTAAAACAGGTCTGCTGGGTGTGTGAGTGTGTGAGTGTGGACACATGGATCATTCAGACGGACAGAGTGAGGCCACCAGCGAGCAGGATGCCCTGCCCTAACGGAGAACAGGCTCCACACTGTGAACACATGGATCAAGCCTCTTACCCTCCACTGTGTGACTGACTTTAAAACCTCATTCTGAAGTGTGTACTGAGCCATAAAACCTTCATATATATCCCAATAAAACTCCTGAATTTAAGCGCAAGTTTAATCTGTAGACAGAGGAGAGTCTTTCTCTGCAGGTTTGTCGTATGTTATGTAAGCACACTCATAGTTGGAGAGCCCTGAAGCATGTGCAGAGCAAATATACTCTTCTCCTCTCTCTGCGAGCACACCATGTGCTGAAAACCACGCCAACATTTTTTGGAAGACAGTATGAGTGAGTTCATGAAGTGGTGGTGAAGTTTGGGCCTCTTCCCTTGCTGTTCCTGTCTATTTCCTGAAGCGACTCACAGAGAGCGTCTCTCTGTACGTGCTGCAGATTTTCAACTTTAATCAGGAAAACTAGAATCAGGAAAACATTACTTATTACATGTGGAGTTAGGTTAAGACACCAAACTACACGGGCAGCTTTAAAAGAGTCTTTTAAGTGACTTTTATTTTGCACATCAGTTGAAATACCAACCAGATCTCGTGGAATCGTCCGAATTGACTGACTTTTCCTTGCGTAGACTTTAAAATCTTTCATCTGCGTCACCCAACTTCTTTCTTAGCTCTCAATTATAATCCTACGTCTGCAACGACATGCAAATATTTATCAGTCCTACCTGTCCTCCCAGGAGACGAATCCAAATATACTTTTACAATGACGCACAACATGATCTGGTTCATCTTTTCTCTAATGCAGCTTCACTAAAAACTTTTGCATTTACACACCTTTCAAAACCAAACTATTCTGTAGCAACAAAAGAGTCAGGAAGTAGAAATGGAGATCTGGAGGAGACCAAAAGATGTGTTTGTGATAATTGGCCATTTCATTGACATGCATGAGGAGGGAAATATAATAAGGGGCTCATAATATGCCACCACCAATACCCACTGCAACCATAATAATAAATAAAAAGTACAACTATCAGCTCTTTTCAGTTCAACTGCTCTAAAACTGTATGACTTGGGTTTTTTGTACATTAGATAGTATCGGAAAGTACCAGGGGAAAGTTTATAGTCATATTTTCGACCCAAAGTTGGTGTAATACAAAGAGAGCTACTGTGGTGTACTTACATGGAGATAAAGTGAAGAGAGTGAGAGCAGCGAATGAAACCAAAGTAGTGAAACAGAAAATCAGATGTTATTTATCAGGATGTCCAGTGTGAAACTATGTTCAGTCACTCTTTCAGAAGTAGTGCTATTTACAGTGTAGAAACAAAAGAAAAAGATACACACTTGTGGATGCCCAGAAGTTTAAGTTTGGTTGCCCTGGTATATGAGAGAGTATCAGTTTTTCAATGAGCAACAATAAAGCCGATGACACTGTTTCTTTCTTCTTTTGGCATTTGGTGAAATTCAACAATCAGCCTATCTCTAATCCAAGTAGGTACACATACAGTTTAATTTTTACACAGGGTGTATCTAAATTTGAAACTCTAGTGATGTGACAGCCCTACTCTCAAAAACAACTGTAAACGCAGAAGTTTCTTGAATTTGAGCAGTGTTAGTCCAGACAGGCCAAAATGTCAAGTTCGGCTCACAGTATATCACCTGATCTTAACCTTTTAAAGCCCGAAACCATAAGTTATGGCTAGAAAATTCAATTTTTTTGGAGCTGAAATGTTTATTTCACTTACTACTGAAAACCCAAAATTAAAATGTCCTTAAAATTGAACAAATATATATTTATCTCGTTTGATACATTAGATGTTTTTGGGAACTGATAAACCACAAGAGGACATTTTGATCATTTATCAGACTGTATTGGGTGTTTTTTTAGTAATTTGTTGATCATTTTGATTTAATAGAAGTATCATAAAAGTATGTATCAAATATGATATAAAAGGCAATAAAGGGTTCACACAGGCGTAGGGATTCTGCACTAAAGTTTGGGCCCACTATAAAGTCATTCATCCAGGGCTTCTACCTGCAATGAGTGCCTGTCATTATTCAACCAACACCCCTGCCCAGGAGTCCTAAAACAGATCCATACAGACAAGTATAACTTATAAAATACAAATCAGTGACCTAGTTTGACTAACTGGAGTAGAAGTTAGTATCAACCCATCAAAGTCAGAGGAAACAATTAAAACCCTACCTTCAACGCAAAAAACAGGATTGACAAGATCTTTGAGTGTGATTGAAATTCCTATTATCCATTCATGTACAATATATAATGTTAAATATTCACTGAGCCAAACAGGGTTTGGTTTATGAAAAACTGTTGAAGAACTCAGATGTTGCTGAGTCCAGTGTGATAGATTGAACTGTACTCTTACATTCACTGAATGTTTGCCTTTCCCAAAATAGACACTCGTGCCATACAAACACGTCTGTTTTAAGTCCTCCTGAACAACAACATCAGAGAGGATTGTTCAATAAGAATGAAAGAGGACTCCACCTTCACGCTCATGCGCATTATTCTCAAACCTGAAGAACTTGATCAAGATTGGAGGCTTTGGCATGGCAGAGACAGAGAAGATGATGGAAGACGCAGGATCCCACACATGCTCCGAGTGAGAGGCTTTACATTGTTGTGAGGAATCCTGCGTCAACAAACCCCCTGAGAGAGAGAGAAAGTGAGACCCGACCCAACAAAGACCCCAGTCTGTTCCTCAGTCTGCCTGAGATGCTGGAACACTACAGCCCTGTTGGTGCTCACATTCATGCATTCCCCACCCTCACACACACTAACACACACATACTTCTACTCATACTATTCATGCTCTACTATATATAGACTAATCACCCCACTCAGGAGCATCTTGGTCCTGCTTCTCAACACAACCTGGCTATTGTAGCGAGTGAAAGTCCAAGGTATGAAGTTAGTCACCTTTTGCACGTGTGGCATTTAACAACACAAAGACTTGAAAACATGCCCACACCTCAGCCAGTGCTTTAAATAACAACAATGTGAAGAGGAATTTGCATTGTTTGTTTTGTTCAAGTTGATTGTGTTATTTCTACAGAAAAACAAAAATACTGTAGTTATACATCTGTTTGCAACAACTGCAGCTGATGTTTTTTCCCCTGTTGTCTTAAACTTTATTTTTGTATTTTTTTGTGTGTGTCTTAATTCTAACTTCAAATTTCTTCTGTTGCTTTGATTTTTCAGAAGGGTTTCTATTTTTATAAGCTTTACTCTCTATCTACGTCAATATATTCTTGGATTGTTTTGCCATTTGGAGGATCTTTGTTTCGTCATCTTTGGTGCCCTCTCTGGCAACAAGCAGTCATTGCACGTTACTTTGTTGCACTCATTGTATTTACTTTGGTTCAAAACTGTTTGTCTTTCCTTTTTTTAACAATACTTTTCATCTAATGAGAAAAAAAATATCTGTTATACGGCCACTTTAACTATTTTAGAGACCTGCATTTGGTCCTCTTTGGCGACACCTGTGTAGCTGCGGAAAACGGTCTGCTGCATACTGATGTATACTTTGTTTTGTTTGTCATTATCTGAACGTCATATTTGTTTTTGTTCCTTTGGATTTGTACTTTGTAACATCTCTTTAAAACAAAGTAACTGTTTTGAAGGTCTTTGTTTTGTCATCTTTGGCGTCCTCTCTGGCGAAAAATTGTAACTGCAGTTATATCTGCTTGGTCTTTCGTATACAAATCTGTCTGTGACTTCAGTCTCTTCTTTGACGTTTCAGCCATATTTATGATTTGAGGCATGAGTAAAAGTACACAGCTGCAAAAAATTCAAGTTTCTTTCCAACCAGGAAATTGTTTTTCAATTATGAACCCATTGACAAGTATTTTAATAATTGACCAAAGTGAGTAATTGTTTGAGGAAGAAACATCTTCAACATTTTGTCCAATCTCTGTGGAAATAATCTTTGGATTTGGGAAACACTGGTGGTCTTTCTTTATTTGCTGACATTTAAAGATCATCAAACTAATTCATTCATAATTAGCTCATTAACTTTAGTTTCCTTGTGGATTGCTATCTTTGCTGTGATCACTTCACTAATGCTGGTCAGCTGGATAATCCTGAAACTTCTCCTCTTGGTCCAAATCAATCCTCTAAAAGACAAAAAAGGCTGCAGATCTCTGGTCTGATTCTGTCTGCTGGAATCTGACAGGAATTATAGCCCGAGGACTTCTTTAAAGGTCCTTCATTCACAGCCTGAACACTTCGACAACACAAGTCTTTACCTGTCTGTAGGTATCTGAGTGTGAGTGTGAGTGTGTCGGGCTCAGTAGGCCTCTGTGGTGTCTGATTCCCGTCCTGCAAGCCAGCTGGATTTTCTCCCCATAAACCTGAATGCTCTCCCCCACAATCGCACACACACAAACACACACACACTCGGTCTCCTCTTGGAGCAACAGAGACACATATGGCTGAAAACCCAAAGTTACATAACTGAAGGCGAAAAGGCCATTTCACTGTACTGAGGGGGAGCTCGCTGTGTCTTTGTGATCATTCATTTTTGCAGAAGTCTATTATCTCTTCTATTATTCTGCTGTTTTGTGCTGCTCCAGATTGAAGAAAATGTCGGTATTTGAGTTGCTGGTGAGCTGATGTAAAGTTTCTAGACAGTTCTTGAAAATAAATTTGATGCACTCTGTGTCTGAATGATTGCATGATTTATGTTAATGCAATGTCAAAACACAAAGTTGCACCACAGATGGACAAGATATAAACTCATTTAACATAATCCAAAGAGCCAAATCAATCATATCTGGAAGTAATTACACATTTCAATGTGCAGAAGGCAGATGTCAAATGAAAACTATGTAATGTCTAAAGAGAAGTGTGCACTCGACGCATTTATTAGTAACTGGGAGCACACTAGGAGTTTTATTTTGAAGGTGACTGGGATAAAGGCTGATTGTCTGGTGCTAGGAGATAGGCAAGCGTCTCAGATGTCACTGTTAAATGTCTGTACACCTTCCGGACTACCAGACTTTCTCTGGGACTTCTTCAGGTGTTTTATTTTCACTAAATGAAGATGGGTTAAAACTCTTACTGTGTTTTTTTTTTTAACCCCTAAAGTGTCACGAGCATTAGTGAGGTGCATTCAATGTGAAGCATCAATCTACTACAAAGATGGCCCTTTACATCAGGATGGTTGAACTCAAACCTATACATTCCTTTACAAACAATGAGTACAGTGTCAAAATGTGGTTACCTTTTGGTGATGCTGAACTATGAAAAAGGAAAATCTGCCCATCAAAATGACAATTAAAAAAAAAAAGTCAACCCCAATGCACTGTAATTTATCAAATTACAGAAGGAAAGTGATATAGATATAACTTTTGGCTTTTTAAATGTGACTTTTTGAAGTTTTATGTGATCAAAAACAGATCTGATGCAAAACATTTAAGATTTTGGACTGAAAAAACTATTTAAAGACATAACTATGCTCTGCAGGAGTTTGTTATCGCGTCTCCACCTTAATTTTTGGTCTTATTTGTCACACAAATTAACATGACATGATAATATGATATGAACACTGACTTGTTCTGGTGAGAATTTTTAGGTTAGGTCTCACTTTTGATGAAAAAGATGCAGTTTTGAGCAATAATCTATTAAAAATGTTGCTCCTTAGTCTAATCTATGTTGAAATTAACTTTAAGTGTTTGCAAATAGACTGTCCAAAAAGTACTACTATGTTTTTACAAAGAGATGAGAAAATGTAAATATATGGAAGTTGCATCCTGGATCCCAAGGACCAAGTTGTGAATGGAGAGCTGGGTACCACACACACGTATACACACATACACTATCACACACTGGACTCAATACCTCCCCCCTCCTGTCAAACATAGTCGCCAAAAAGTAAAATATGTTCTCAACAACTAAGTAGATGCACGGTCTGTCTTCGGGTCATTATCGATTAATCGATCGCTTCCTCAACTTTAATCGATTACTCACGTTGGTGTAAAGCACACAGTCGCCCTCCCCGGCCTCAGACAGCTCACTCAGGTTCCTGTCCCAGTGAAGAAACTGTTCAGTACTGTCCAGGATTTCCATGATTTGACACAAATCTACGTGTCTCTTTCTTTGGAGGTTGTGTTGCTGTGTCGTTGTCTCCTCCAGTAGAGTAAAAGTTCCGTTGCGGGCTGCAGACCAAACAAACCCCCGGCTGAAAATCCGTCAAAAAGTTCCCAACAACTTTAACAAAAACAGAAGAAATAAGTCAGATATAGAGACGCGTCCTGTCGGTGCTGACTCAGGGGATGAATGTGGGTTATGTGAGGAAATGTGATTGTAGCCGAGCCCCGTTTGTGTTGGTGTTTTTGTTGTTGTTGTTTATCATCTCCTCTTTGGTTCAGGGGTCCACAGGCAGCTCCCAGCAGGCTCTCTTCCCTTTTCTTTCCTCCTGCTGCTCCTCCTCACGGCCCAGACACACAGGAATGCAGGGGCGGAGTCACCGGCAGGACGAAAAAATGGAAATAGAGTCTAAACATTAAAAGTAAATGTCAAGATGAGTGTTAGAATAAGTTAACTGTCGTGTAACTAAGGTTTAATACAGGATTTAGAAATAATAATAAAAATAATAAATTAAACTTATTCTGTTCCAGCTGTTTCTGACACATATGTTAAGTTTTTGTAGTAATAATCTTGTAGTTCCGGTTTAGACTTTCAGTATAAAGCCCTTATCTCTCATTCAGGTCATTGCTGTACATTTCATACAAAATAAGGCAAGCACATTTTCAAGCAAACAAGCATTTTAAGAATCCAAAAATTTAGTTTTACTTGTAATGGAAAAACATGAAGCTTTGGTATGCATATGATGTCACTATTTGTGTTGTTTATAGTGTGAATACTTGTATATTATCTCTATATTTCTACTTATTTTATCTATTTATCTCTGTATTTTTACTTATTCTATCTATTTATTTATTTATCTTTTATTTATCTCCTCTTTTACCCTTTTTACTGTTTTTACTTTTACTGTATTTGCACTGGAGTACTGTAAGGAAAGCAATTTCCCCCTGGGGATTATTAAAGTATTTCTGATTCTGATTCTGTATCTGATTCTAGGTCATTGCTAAAATTAATTCAGCAGAAGGTAGAGATATGTACCTAAGTGCTCTAAAATAAATAAATACATGCTTTTAATTGGATTCACATGTTTGAGGTTTTTCCTTGTTTGTATTGAATGTCTTAGATATTAACTGAGAAAAGCAACCTTGTCCATTTCTAGGTACAACATGCTAACTAAGACACACATACCATGAAAAAAGTATAATTTAGTGCAAAACTAAACTATTTTTGGCGGTATATTAAGGGGAAGAAGTTGGTTTTAAGTGGTTTTAACAACGATATACTAAAATGCTTAAGAGTCCCAGGCTTTTATTTTGAAATTGTCCAAGTTTTTAGCTCTGCTCACCAACGGTTAATTTACAATATCTTTCCGGAACTGAATCCACAGGTTGCCATGTCGCATTTGAGCCCGCCCACTCACAGCAGTCCGACCAATCAGATCACTCCCATCTTTAAAGCCCCTTTGAACGCGCAGTCCTGCCCGCCCAGAGTGATTGACAGACAAATACAACTACCAATCAAAAAGGATGAGAGAATTCTGCCGACCAATGACATTAGGCCAAGACTACCTTTAAACTCGGCCCGCCCCCGCTAAAAAATGTAGTCAGGAGTATTGCTCTAAAATATTTTCAAACTGTCTTCTTATATGAGTTTATATGCCATTATTATTATTATTATTTTTAATTTTTTAATCATGATTGGTAATTTTTAGAAAGATCACTGTCAGACTGGAAGTTAAATCATACAATAAAAAATGAACAATAATGGAGAATATAAATAAACTGTGAATGCAGTGTATTACAGGATGTATTTCAGATAAAAAGAACCAGCAGACAAGAGCTGAAAGTGAAGCGTCACTGACCACAGAGGAAATGAGAAACCGGAGAGTGATAACAACTGACAGGAAAATGACAAAGCAGAACATGGAGGAAAATATCGTTTTCAGAGATGTGAACAGGAAAACACAAGCCAAAGAAACAGGGATTAAATCAGGGATTTAACTGACAAACTAAAAATAAAACTGTGCGAGTAATGTCAATTTTTCTGTCATTTGAATGCCTCCAGGATTTCTTTAAAAGCTCATCAACTCAAAAAGTTGGTGCAAATTTCAACAATTACACATTTTGTTTACCTCAATGAAATCAACAGCACTTCTTCTGGAGATTAAGGGTTTTTTTATTGGATGACAATCATATATAATATAAACACCTTTGCTTGATTTTGCTGGTACAAAACTGAACTATGGTTAAAAATAAGACCGGGAAAAGGTGATGATAACTCAGAGCATGTGGAGGGGGGGACTTAAAACTGGCCTAGAGGTTGAATCAGAATATAACAGTGTTAGTTTTAAACCTGTAAATGTGAGCCAAATATTCAGCATGAAGATGGCACGTCTCTCCTCTACAATTAAAGAGAAAACCTACAATCTTGTTCATGATCCTCATCACAGGAAGTTGCTCTTCACAGAGCTACAACATCTTTATCTTCAAACACAGTGAAAGTTCACACTGTATTTTCACCTTTACCTCCTCACATTCTCACACAAAAAAACTTACAAACAAAAACGAGGTATACACTCTAGCTTTTTAAATGTTACACACACAAAGAACCATAATAAGTACATGTTTTTGAACTACACATGGGCCCTTTCTGCTCCTCCTGACACATCAGAGTCTGCAGGAGTCTCCTCAGGGTCACAGAATAACCCGTCCCTCTCCTCTTGGGTCAACCAGCTCCTGTACTTGAGGACCAACAGGTCTTCGGTGTCAGTTTTCCTTTTTTTTTTTTTTTTTTTTTGGTACGAACTATATAATACAAAAAAAGTTGTTTCACGGTGCAGAGACAAAGAGGAAAACTCCCTCAGGTTCTGTCTCGGATGTTGTCGCTGAGAAAGATGATGTTGTCTGAAGAAGGAAGAGAAAGAGAATAAGACAATTATTCTTGAAACGGGATCATATTGACGATAAAAGCGTGACTGTGTTGTTTTCTGACCTGCGATGATGGTGGTGGCCTGCCTTCTGACTTGGTTCTTGTCCACATACTCCCCATAGTCCAGTTTACCCTCCACTAAAATCCTTGAGCTGAAACAGAGAGACTCAGGATCAGTCACATGACTCAAAAAAAGAATTCAAAAGGTTGAGACTTTTTTCTGTTGGTCCAAGTGGATTACAACGATTTTACTACTTGGATCATTTGATCTGAAAACAGGGTATCAATTTTAAGGGTCTACAATCTCTGTGGGGTTTACAGTGACTTGGACAAAGAGATTATATTGATATTGTTTCTTATCATTAGCATTCAGCGGACTAGAAAACAAAAGACACAATTAAAAAAATTAAAGATAAATCCTAATGCTGAAAATATAATGTTGTCCTTTGAAATGTTGTTAGACAGAAGACCAAAACATCATAAATTTGACGTATTTTAGGTATTTGAACCCAAAAATTGTACCCAAGTAAAGTGCATGTTCTTTATGATTATAAACCCCTGACAAAATGAGACGGAATTGAAAATAAACAAAGGTAAACTGAGGAGCCGAGGTCGTACCCTTTCTTAACGTACTGGTATGCCACGTCTCTTAAACCAGGTTTGAACACAGAAACACGATGCCATGTCGTCTTCTGACTGACGTCACCTGCAGAAACAAAGAATTAATACAATAATAATTAAAAGGGAAATGAAAAAATGCATATGGAACTCCATAACTGTACAAATAACACTTTCCATGAAGACACGAGGGTGATTTTTAAACTTTCTGATGTATCGTAAAGATTTTCAGAGGTACAACACAGCCACATTTTGCTGCAAGATTTTTAAGTGACAATGCTCAAACTTTCCTGATAATTTCACTCATATTTTGAGCAATCTTTAAAAAAAGTTAAGAATGTTTTCATTTTTTTATCCCCATACCTCATTTAGGATTAACTAATCAGCTTTTGTAGAGTTATTTTCTTTGACCAATATTTGGTTGGGTCAGAGTTGAGTGACTTTCATCACATCTCCCTTTAAAATATGAACTTCAAACTAGATGTGTTAGACTTCTATGTATATTTAAAGGCCAAAGGGGTATGATGAGGTCTCCGGTGGTTTTATTCAGCATCACATGCTGCATTTGGTCATTTCCAAACTTGGGATCAAACAATGATCTATCATGTGTTCAGATTTCAAAGGGTAACACTGCCCTCTAGTGGTGGAATGCAAGAACTCCATCAAAATACACTACTAAAGTTGTACATCTCAATCCGTCCTCACCAATATAAAAGCATTATAATGCTATTTTTCAACAAACTGGGTTCATCACAAATATAATCATAGCTTTTGGGAATTTAAGTACAGTCCCACAAAAAACTCATTATCCCTGTCTTTTAAAATGTGGTTTTACTGTGAGCATATCTCTCTCCTTCATTGTTAGCATAATCAACATTTTGATCTTACTCATCATGTTTACATTTTTTTCCGACATCATACCTGCTGGGTTCCCCTCTCCCTCTCCGGAGCGCCACATTTCGTTAGTTGCTAGTGAGAAGATGGTGACGGGGTTTCGACCGTCTACTTGTCTCATCACAGGGTCCTGACCCACTCGACCTAACAGCTGGACACGGTTTATAGCTGGGATAAAGACAAATATCCAGATTTCACGGGTAATCATCAGAGAAGGATGGCCAAACAATGAAGAGAATAAATCTTTGTCTTACTATAAATAATAAAGTTTACTCACATCTTTCCAGGATCAGGCTGGTGTCTGTGCTGTTGTATCTCACCGCCTGTCTCAAGATCTATGAACAGAAGAGATCATTTATTTCCTCTGTGAGAATACAGCAGAAGACTTTTTTCTTCTGCACAAACTTGACTGACATATCCCAGCCATGGTTCAGTATTAATCATTTCCCTCTCACCTGTGCTGAGGCCCTTCTGAACATCTTCAATGTGCTGCACGGACAGCTCAGAGGAAAACAATGAGCAGCTGCTGAAGACGGGGTTTACAGACTGATCTGAGGATTACAGAAGAAGAGAGTGTGTTTGAGTGGTGTGTGGAATTAGTTACTTTCTTTAGACAGAGGAAAATACACAGGCAATCTCGAATACAACACAAGTTTAAAGTTTACTTAATTAAACTGTTAGAGAGTAAATAAGCGTACAAAGTAGTGGAATTTTTTTTAATACTTTCAAATAAACTCATCTTACTTGACTGCACAATAGTTTCATGTCAACACAAAATACAAAAGAAAGTAGTAGTCCTGTAAATGTGAAAGATGAATTTTCTGACAAAAAAATAAAAACCCTTCTTTTGTTGTTTAATGAGTGAGTCCCATATTTCATCGATCTTAACATGCACCTACGGTAAGAACCATATGCTCCCTCCACCTATGCTTACCTACTTCCTAATTCATCGTGACCTAATCTAACTCTTAATCTAATTATAAGACCAATTGTTCTGCACAGCCACCTAAATCCTCCTCTATTGTTTGAATCAAATCAACAATTATTTACACAAATAAACCACCGACTCCCGAGAACACATTACCCCTGTCCTCCAAAAACTGCACTGACTCCCCATCTCACACTGCATAACAATTCAAAATCCTCCTGCTCACCCACAAATCACTTCATAACCTGGCCTTCACCTACCTCACAGACCTGCTCCACCACTATAGCCCCTCCCGTGCCCTCCGATCCTCAGAGGGAAATCTCCTTGCCCTACCCCCTTGGACCAAGCACTGAACTTGGGGGGGACAAAGCCTTCTCTGCTGCCGCCCCCATCCTCTCCAAGACAGTACAGACCACCATACTTTTAAATCACTGCTAAAAACACACCTTTTTAAATTGGCTTTTAACCTGTGAACTGTTCTTTTATTGTCTTTTCATACTGTGTCTTTTTTAACCTTTTACATCGTTGGTTTTATTTCCCTATATTTTCTGTATTTTAAATGGTTTTTAATTTAATTTAATCATTTTCATTGTAAGGAATCTTTGAGCACCTGTAAAAGCACATTATAACATTTAAAAAATATATATTAAATAAATACATTTATTAAAAGTATGCTCACACAAAACAAACACATGGCTTTGAATTAGAAATAGATGGGTAACTACTATAAATGCATATGTGTGCATGTGCAGTCTCATGGGCCACTCCTGCCTATGTCAGTGCCTCCTTGGGATAATGTTGTGTCCTTCCCGAACGATTTGTTCAAAAGAACCGAATCTTTTAAGTGAACGTACTGAACCGAATCACTTTCTCAAGTGATTAGTTCGTTTCTCACTTCAGTTGAGCTTAAGTGAGAAACAGCATTGCCAGTCGAGCAGCCGGCGAACGAGGGACTGTATGCACCAACACCTGAATCACTTGGTGAACAAATCACACATCAAACTACACTCTCTGGAATAATTTTTGTTGGACAAAACTACCTTTTTTTTTTTTTTACTGCTAAATTGCCACCACAACAACTTGCATACAATAGGACACAGCATGTAACAAGTAGTGCATTAAACCCGCAGCATCCTATCATTGCAGCGGTTTGCGAGGGAACGGTGCATGTTCAGTTTGGATTCTTCTAAACATTCAGTAAACAAGTTTATTTTTACAAACCTGTTTTCCAAAGCAACACAGCCAAACACTCTGGTCTCCCTATGATCTGAGCTATGATCTGTACTGAATCCTGAACTGTTCACCTGTGTATCAGTTCAGGAGTTCAGAGTCACAGGCTTCTTCCGCCTAAGCGCTAAATGATTCGGTGATTTGGTGAACGAATCTTTTTAGTGAACTGATTCTAATGATTCAGTACATCTAAAAGAACTGCCGTGCCCATCACTACTTTGGGGTACCCTCGTCCAAAGTCTGGACACGCCCCTGCAATAAGCGTCAACTCTTAAGTATTTGATGGGCTTTTAAAACGAAAAAAAATGTGCGATTTGGATTATATTGTGTCCTCCTTTTCTGATTTTAAGAATCTCTGTGTTCACTGACATAGTGGTTGTAACAGACTGGATATTAATATAAATTAGCAGATTTCACAATGAGGTTTGGTTGTGATCCAGATATCTACATAGATCCCGGCTCCGCACTGAAACATGGTTCAATAATCAAAAATGTTGACATGCGCTCAAAGTCACGGACTTGCCCCCCTCAACTGTGAGCCTCACTAGCTCTCCCGCCATCAACGTGAGCTTTATGAAACAGAACCGGATATCGGTCAGCGTTTGTTTTTAAGACAACAGCGACTGAACGAGCAGAAGGGCGACAGAGAGGCAGTAGGAAACGATGTCAAGACATTTTCAAAAAGGGATAAAACTGCATGATGAAAACTTACCAGGTGCGAGACTTCTTATCGGACTTCACTAACCTCACGCTATTTCCGGTGCGTCTCCAACACAAGTCCGACAATCCACCGGGTGACGTTCACGTTCCGCCCCTACTGAAGCTACAACAACACTTTAATTTTTACAGTTTTGAACGACGACTATTTTTTTTTCTTTTCAAAACACTGAATCACGGAGTAATGCCTGAGGGTTTGGACAGGAGGTCAGGAAAATACATCTTAAACATAAACAGACAGAGAGACTAATGCACACTTTTATAACCAGCAGACTTGACTACTGTAATGCTCTCCTCTCTGGTCTACTTTAAAGCACAATAAACCAGCTACAGCTGATCCAAAACTCTGCTGATAGAGTTTTGTCTATAACCAGAGGAAGAGCTCAGATCACACCCATTTTAAAGTCTTTGCACTGGCTGCCTGTTAGTTTTCGCATTGATTTTAAAATTCTTTTGCTAGTTTATAAAGCTCTACATGGCCAAGCACCAGAATACCTTACAAAGATGATTTTAATTTATGAACCAGGGCGGCTCCTCAGATCCTCTCAATCTTCTCTTTTAGTCTCTGCTATGCTCCAAAACTGTGGGATAAACTTCCAGAGAGTCTGAGACCAGCTGCAAATATAGAAATCTTTAAACGTAACCTAAAAACTCATCTATTTAGCCTGGCTTTTATGTAAAGCTTCATTATCTTAATTACTATTATAATTTATTTATTTTTAGTATCATTTTTTATCTTATTTTATTGATAAATTCAAGTTTATATTTTATTGTCTGTTTTTGTCCATTTTAATAACTTTTATTTTTCTTGTCCTGATGTAAAGCACTTTGAGCTGCAATTTCATTTGATTGATTGATTGATTGATTGATATTATTGACGGCAGCCTTGAAGTCTATAATCATCAGATGGTTGAAACCAGAACCTCTCTCATACAATATATCTGGATTCAAAGAGCCTCGGATATTTATCAAATGGACCAGATCACATTTTCACTATAGGGCCTCCTTTATTGAAAGATGGGAACTTGTGGTACCTTCTATACTGTGCCCATAAGTAAATGTGGAAAAGTTCATATCCTTTTGAGTATACAATCTTTTAGGATATCAAAACTGCTTTCAGAGGTATTCAAGATAGCTGTGTTCATGCCTAAACTCTAGTTATGGTTGATACTGTATGCCAATAAAGTCATGACCTTTATAAGTTGGGTATATCTGCAGTCTGGAGATGATGGTGCAAGAGCGTGAGGTAAAAATTACTTTACAGGTGACAAAAGAAATCAGTCTGTCTTGCATAAGGATGACAACTTTAATCTTGTCAGAGGACTTTGTCCAGCATGCACCTCGACCTTATTCAGGAGTAAACCTTGGGATTTTTAAAAATGTACAAACTGAGAATATTTACAGGAAACTTTACAAACAAACAAGTACATTGATTTGTTTGTTTGTACAAATGACAGGACTTCATAAATTTTTGAAATTGCTTTATATGTTTATACTGTAAATATCATATGAACATCTTCTCTATTTATATTTTCAGAAGTTTGTTTCAAAAATTGTTTGGTTTTGAAGGTTACTATGAACGTTACATGATAGAAATAGACAAAGTTCACATTCAAAGATTATATGTGAATATATGCATGCAGTTTATCATTGCGTAATCTCTTGAGCAATATCATAAAGAAGACTGCAGGTCTGGTCTGTAAAATATTATCTGGACTCACCTGCGACGGTACAGAAAGTCCAAAGCCCGCGTGAGTTCACTGTTCACCCAGTTGACGTAAACTCACCAGGAACGTGCAGCAGAAAAATGCACGATTTAAAACGATTACAACGAAACGATACGCTGTATTTCACCAAACGCTTAAGATTCCTCTGCCTAAATTTAACCTGCAATATATTTTTTATTTATTATTTTTTCAATGTTGTACCAAAAAAGCTAAGACAGAGTGGAGGTAACTGTCTTTCACGAGTTGGACGTGAACACAACGCGACATCACAAGTCGTGTCGTCATCACGTCCAGATTTCGTCTCTAGTTGTTGCCTAACTTTATGACAGTTTAGCGGTTTAAACTCCGATGTGACGATAGATACGGTCAGTCGAAAAGCGAGCTGTGAGAAGCGAGGTCGATTTTCTGCCTTTTTAGCCAAAGTAAGTAACAACCAACCTGTAACGTCTCTAACTCGAGCAGAAATACCTCCACGGAAGTGCATTTGGAGTGATTTTCTTAGCAAACAACACAGGGAGAGTTACTGCAGGAATCTGTGAACACCCTTCACATACAGTTTACTAACAAACTGCATCAAAAACAGTCATTATAAGGTACTGAGGCAGCAGCTATCTTTAGTCGGAGTATGACCCTGTAATGTGTATGTATTAAAAACCATTAGTATCAGTACATAGAGAAACAGAACAGTCAAATGAGTCAGAAATAAAAGTGAAATCTATATAAAAATGCGATAAACTTCAGACAAATAAAGTATTTACGTATAAAAAAAGTAAAATATAAAGCTATAGGCATTGGCACATTACTGTTACTACTACTACGACGACTACTACTACTATGTGAAGGTATTTTTAGTGCAAAAGGTTTGTGCATTTGTAACATGTAATTTGTAGTTGTGTACAGTGATTGTGTATGTGTATTGGTAAATGTGAAATCCACGCTCTATGAGTTGTGTACTGGTAGATTTTTTTGTGTGTACTTGTAGATTTTTTTCCCCCACAAGTACAACACAACATCTACACATTCACAAATTCTGAATTACAGGCGCACAAACCTTTTGCACCAAAAATACCTTCATACTATTACCTCTGTCCTCCTGTTGAGTCATCTGGTCTGAGATTTTCCCCCCTGGCAGTTTTCACAAAACATGCAATGCACTTGAGAAATTTGAATCCCTTGTTAATAACTTCAGATAATCATTTTTTCATGACATTTTAAGCCCTTTGTGTTATTTTGTTGGATTCGGCTTGCATCGCATGAAATTCAAAAATCTATCAGAATACTTTCTCGGGTAAATTGAAAAAGTATTCAAGATACAAAAATGTTCAGTCTGTGGAAATTATGTTCATTGACACACTCACATATGGTTTGAACAGGTAGATGGTAGATTCATACAGAAACACCTCCTTAAAGTGAAGCTCTTTTCCCCTTTTGTAGAGTTATTTCAGCTGAGTCATCCTGATGTGTTTTCATTTCTTCACAGACCATAAAGCAACCATGTCCCAGACCATTCCTCCAGTCCTCTCTGTGCACCCCACCCGGGCTCTGGTTGATGAGGCGTTCAAGGTGGTGGTGACGAATCTACCTCCAGCAACTCCAGTTACACTTCATGCTCTCCACTACTCTGAGGACAAGGACTACTGGGAGGCCTTTGGACACTACATCAGTGATCACAGGGGGATGGTGTCTGGTGAGTTTTCATGTTTTTCCAAGTATGTTTTCAGGTTTGAAATCCAACATGCTCTGTGAGGTTGTTGGTTGTTTTTGTTTTCTTGTAGCTGCACAGCATGTGAGTCTTGGAGGGACATACACAGGAATAGAACCAATGGGGTTGTTATGGAGTATGTGTCCAGAGCCAGGCAGCCGCACAGGTCTCAGGTAATAAAAGTGCTCTCTTTGAACAGGACTGAGAATTATAACCAAAGCTGCTGCATCTAAAGAACTCTTTGTTGCCCTTCAGGTTGAGAAAGAGGATCGTCACCAGCCCCATGCTGATCCACATCTCTGTGTACAGTGGACATATCACTGTGGGCTTCAGGAACCAGACTCCTCTGGCCTCTGTGCTCACAGAGAGATGGTACATGGCTCCAGGGGTCCAGAGGGTTGAAATTAATGATAAAAGAGTGAGAGGGACCCTTTTCATACCGCCAGGTACCCCTCTATCATCTACTCATCCTAGCTTTCTTTTGTTTTTGATAAAAGGCAAGGTGTTGTGAATGATCGGGGTAATAATCAGTTTCATTATACCTCAGGTCCTGGACCCTTCCCTGGGTTGTTGGATATGTGGGGAGGTGGAGGCGGGCTGCTGGAGTATCGTTCGGCTTTGCTGGCGTCTCATGGTTATGTGTCTCTGGCGCTGGAGTATTTCTCCCCGGGTGAGCTGCAGACAGCAGATCTACAGATACAGTATTTTGAGGTTTGTGTCATTTCATCTCATCCTCAATTACATGATTCTGTCAGCTGTGTTACCGTTAATATAAAACTGTGGGCACAGACTCTATTTGAAAGGCTAATCTTAAAAAGTCGAGACCATGTATGAAGTGTTGATAGAAACAGATTTTGAGAGAAAAAAAACCTCTTTATTTAATTGAAAATTGTGCAAAAACAACACACCAAATGTTGAAACTAAAAAAACATTATTTTATGGCAAATATTTGCTCATTTTAACTTTAACCTCAGCGACATTTAGTAAAAAAGTTAGGACAGAGACTAAAAAATATTGAAAAAGTTTAGCAATACTAAAATCACTTTGGATTAAAAAAAAGGGCATACTAGAGAAACTGAGTCTCCCAGAAGTAAAGATTGGATGAGGTGAACCACTTTGTGAGGGACTGAGAAATAAGTTCATCAATTTCAGAATAAAATTGTGAAGAAATTTTGATCTTCATCTTTTATCAAAAGATTCAGAGAATCTGGAGAAATCTGGAGGTCTTCAGGCCCTTAGGCAGCAGTGCATTACAAACATACATGTCTCTAAAGTGGAAATCACAGTATTTCTGCAAACTGTTTGTGAACACAGTCCATCACTGCATCCAAAAATACAGGTTAAAATTACCATACATATTCCCATCATCTAGAAATGCTGGTGATTCCTCTGAGCCTGAGTCCATTTAAATTGGCCTGAGGTGAAGTAGACAACTGTCCAGAGGTCGGATGGATCTAAACTAGATACTCTGTTTGGAAATCATGGATAGTGTGTCCTCAACTCTAGAGAAGAGAAACCACTTAGCTTTTTACCAGCACACAAAAATGTGACGTTTTTACATAGCTTTGTATTTCATTGCAAATGTCAGGACTTGTTTTTTCCAAACTGAATTGTCTTTATTCCCTGTTGTTCTTTTCTTCACAGTCAGCGTTTAATATTGTCAAAGACCATCCTCAAGTGATCTCAGACAAAGTCGGGATTATTGGTCTTTCTCTCGGTGCAATCATCGCCTTCTATATCGCTTCTGAAAGCAAAGTTGCCAAGGCAAGTACCAAATGAAAAACATTTACCCTGTTCTTTGTCATATTGAATACCTGCAAAGATGTTCGCTTTGATAGCATGTTAAACACAACCAGAGTCTGAATGGGTTTCATTTTCTTCTGTTCCAGCCTCACTGCTGTGTTTGCATCAGTGGCCACCATATATTTGCATTTGGAGAGACCATCGGTTCAGTCCAGAGAGAGCAGCAAAAGTGAGAGATCAGATCTTTTAGCAACATAGACACAGCACATATATGTTCAACTGTTTGAGTGATTAGAAATTTGGATGTGCTAACAGGGAATTAAAGGCGCGTGTTGATGAGAACAACTACCGCATATGGCGAGATGTGCGTTTACCAGTTCCCAGCGACCCCTCAGAAAAAATTGACGTAAGTACATAACGTAACCATGACGAATAAGGGTAATTTTAAGTAATTTTAAAGTAATTTTATTGACCAGTGGTCCCTCTGAGCTGTATTCATGTCTGATGTACGCCAACAATTACATTAAATTTTTGGTGGTATAATTTCCTTTCAGGTGAGGAAAATTACCTGTCCCTTATTGTTAGTAACCGGCAATGATGACCAGAACACACCGTCAGTGGAGGCTGCTGAGGATGTAAGTACACACAGTCACTACCTGACAAAGAGGGAAAGTCTGCATTCATGAGGCAAAACCTCTTTTATTATTTTTAATTGTTGTCCAAACTCATAGAAACATAAATAAGGGTTAACAATTATTTGAGGAGAAACAGGGCAAAGATTGCTTACAGCTTTGATTGAACTTTTTGACCCTCAGATCGCTCAGATGATGAGCTCTAGTGGGCGACAGCACCTGCTGTCTACACTGACTTACCCCGACACTGGACATCTGATCGAGCCGCCCTACTCACCTCACTTCAGAGCCACTAACTTCATAAAACCTACCACGAAGGAAAAAGGTGAGTCTTATAGAGTTGTTGGTGTTCTTGACTCTGCCCTTCTGGCTGTGATTGGTCAAGGTTTGGGGTTTTAATAGCTGCAGACCGACTGCATGAAAAACTAATCTCTCGGATTAAAAAACATTGTATGTGTTTCAGTGATAGTTCTCTGGGGAGGAAGAACCAAACCCCACTCGGACGCACAGGAAGACTCCTGGAGGAAGATCTTAGCTTTTCTAGAGCAACACCTGTACTCCAGAACACCTCCCAAAGCCAGGCTGTGAACATCAACAGAAACAAGAATGCTTATAATCGTGCAGTGCCATCATGTCCAACAATACCAAGTTGCATTTTATAGGAAATGATACTAAATACTGTCGTTATTGTAACAAATGATCAGCCAAGGTTTTTACTTCGGTCAAATTAAGCTATATTTTTATAAAGTTGTTATGACTTCGATTAAGTCTCTGGGAAGTTTACTTAAAACCTCAAATGTTTGTTAATTAGAGGAGAAATTAGCACAGGAATGTAACCAATCAGTGTCCATCTCAAAAAGGTACATGTAGTGTACTTTCCTGTCAGCATTTCTCATACTCTGCTACAGTTTATAAGCATATAACGCACAAAAATAGTGGACTAATACAACAAGAGGTGATGAGTTTAGTGTTGTTAAACTCTTTCAAACATCGTCAGTTGCCAAATAAACAAAAAAGAGATGGTGTTCAAGTGGTGCTGGGTTTTTAAAGGCAGTTATTTATCTTTTTAAAACTTCTCGTTAACTTTCCTTTCATGTTCATGTATCAAATAATCAGCAGTATACTTGAAGAAATGGGATAGTCTGATTTTATTTAGGCAAATTTGTTGCACAATCGCTTGTTTTTAGAAACGATTAGGAAATTGTATGGCTCCTTGGTTGGATGAAAAGGCGACGTTTATTCCCAGAAGTACGATTCCAAAAGTGTCGGTTTGGTTTTTGCCTGTTTGTATCAATATTGATCATGAGTGATCAGTACCTCATTGCTAAGGTCTCCTAAGCTAACTTGTAGCTTACTACAAGAATCACCGTTCTCCTTGTAGGACTGCTATCTTCACTGATGATAGACGGTTCAGACAGTTTATTTCTTTACAAAACTCAGCTTTGTTAGCTGAAACAGCTAACGCACAAATACTGTATGAGCTAGACAGATACAAGAGACAAAGTCCAGCTTTTTGAAGGTACTGTATTTCCATTCAGTTACTTATAACTTATAAATGGGTGGTGTTAAATTATTCTGATGTCTTTGATGCTTTACAAAAAAATTATACTCCTCAAGGGTTAACTATGAATGTACTTAATGCCAGTCTGATCAAGTTCACGTGGATGCGTTCTTTGTATTTCCATTATCATGTTTTTTTTCCGTGTGAAGGAAGATTTTCTCAACTGAATGCTGCAATTATAATTTTTTAAAATGTTGTGATCACAGATTTTGTAAATGTATCATGGTTTGTTTTAGTTGTTCAAATCTTACCTGTGATTCAGTTTGTTCAATAAAAATCTCGTGGTGACACAGCTTCTACTGTCCTATTTCTGCTGACCACAGACCATCCACAGCTAGGTGGCCAGGGTCAGAGTCAGGCAAAATGATGAGAAACAACAGCTGTTTTTATTTATCTAATTAAGATTAGGAAATAGGGCTCTGTATTAATTATTTACATCCTCTGTGTACATGAAACTGCACTGCTTCTCAGTAGCACTATAGAGACCCAAACAGAAGGTGTGTTTATCCAGGAAGGCCTGAAGATGGAGGACGGCCTGACATTCCCTGATCACAAGATAAGAAAAAGATACTCATCTGCCAGGCATCCCATAGTTCCTGTCTACGGTGGCTGAGAACTGCTACTGCTGCAAATAGAATGCAAAAAAAAAAAAGAAGCCACAAAGGAAGTTACGAAAAAAAAAAAACTGAAGCCCGCTGCAAATGAAAAAGTAACAGTAGATAAAATTTTAAAATGCCACAATGGAATTTAATGACGCAAAAAAAGCATTTTGGCCCAAAAAAAAAAAGAGTTACTTAATGCGAACTACTATTGTGGCTTTTTTCTTTCTGCACCGTTTCTTTCTTTATTTGCAGCAGGCTTTGGTTTCTTTTTTTTTGCATCTGTAACTTCCGTTGTGACTTCTTTTTATATTTGCAGCAGAGGCGGTTCTCGGCCACAGCACCTGTCTGCACTGAGTTAAGTCCCACAGTTCACCAAGCTGCAACGGAGAAGTTACTTCAAAATAAGATGGATGGGTGGATATATTTCCACTGAAAGTCTTCCATATTTTGTCTGCATTTCACAGATGTTGATTATTATGTTATAAAAGAAGAGACAAACTTACAATCGTGACATTCACTCTCATAGATAAAATCCATTTAGTCATACAAACATCAGCCTTAACTAGAGTGCCCTCTGGTGGGTAAACAATGAACTACATTTCACTGCCAGTTTAAGAAAAGACTTCCATAATTAACACTTCATTAGGACAAAGGAATTGTAACCAGATAAAAACGCTCACTCCTACTCGCACCAAAGTCTGAGCATCCACCGAAATTATGCCAATATGTGCGCACGTATAATTCAAGAGTGGCTGAGTTGGCTTCATCTTGCCACAAGCGCACCAAAACTAGGGGAGGAAAACAGTTCCTTGTAGCTTCTTAAACAATAACTTCACTTTATTTAGAACCACACCACCTGAGGCACGTTTACTGTTATCTAAACATCACAACAAACAGAGCATGGACAAAAAATTAGGAACAATGACATTCCCAACAGAAAGAAGTTTCTGTCGCCACTTTTTTCCACTTGACTTTAAGGGCACCTTCAATAAACGCAGTTTACAAACAAGTAGAGTTTAAACATACAGGTAGATAGTATTGAAATGTTAAAAGACACATCACATGGAATCAGACACAAAAAAGAGAGCTCCTTTCTGTATTTTTCCAGATCAAATGAGAGGATTATATCTGTAGTATGTCTGTTGATCGTCTCTACGCTACATTGCACAGTACACAAATATATATTTACATGAAAGTAGTGCTACTATTCCTGCTGGGACAGTTTGGTTTCCGATTCAGAAGAGTACAGCATTTATAAACTGAACACAACATCGGTCACTTCAGCGGAAGGCACACGCTGTCACAGCCCTTTGTCACGTGTGTTTGTGTGCGGTAATTTGTGCAGAGTCAGGATCTGATCGATCAAGCGTAGAGTGGGTTGGCTGATGGGGTAGTGAGGTGGAAGCTTCTCCTTAGCACACGACAGCGTCACAGAGTACCTGGGAATAAAAAAACGACCATCAGACTAAATACCACACTTACGCCAGTCTCACTAAAATTTTAAGCCTCATACGGCGCCTTCTACCCAGCTCTGAAAGGACTTGGCTCTAGACCAGCCTCCTGAGTGATGGGTAGAAAAGACCGCAGCAGCACAAACCTGAACTCCTCTCTGAAGTGGGATCGGAGGTGCTGTGCCAGCTGGCTGTTGTACTGCAGGCAGGCCAGCAGGAGGCGGCAGCGTTGAAACAGTAGGACGGACTGAGCAGGACTCAGACAGGACTCCTGCAGGTCAGAAAGAACCAGAACGACCCGCCGAGCCTGGTAGCTGATGAAGGCCAACTGCAGAGAGGAGAAGGAGACCGCATTTCAGTTCAACCGGAGCACACAGCTGTTTTATCAGGAATGCAAAAGATGGATGGTTTTTCTTTTTGCTTGTAGTCAAATGACGCACAGATCAGCTGTACTAAAAGGGGTAAAAGTGAAGCAGTTTACCAGGTGAGGATTAGGCTGCATGACTCTGAGGATCCAACCAACAGACAGAAAGTTTTCAGCAGGGGAATATCTGCTTGCCTAAAACAAAGAAAAGTATAAAAAACATTTAAAGTAACAGGCTGGATCAAGGTATATGGACTCTTATAAAGTGCTGCAGCTCAGTGCAAATGTTGGGATTCCCTCTGTCCATTAGGGGCCTCTCGAGCCTGGAGTGTGATTTCAATACCTTACTCACCTCTTGACCCAAAAGCACCATTTCAAACAGCAGAGAGCAAGCAGCATCCAGATAATCAGCGAGTAAGGCCCGGAGCTGACAGAAAGAGGAGGATAAACTGTTTCATTAAATACTAAAATAGTAAATAAATCTGTTTGTGTAAAGAAGGCAGCTTACCTCACAGTCAGCTAGAGATCCACGGTTCTCTGATTGTACCTCAGGGTCACATATCAAGGCGAGCAGCATCCTGGAGGCCAGAGCACCTCTACAAAGATCATACGAAAACTGAGTTAGCAGCGCCAGTGAACCATGATGATGGAAGGACAGGAATAAGGGGAACAAGCTGGAGGTTTACTTCTTTGCAGAGAGCAGGCTGTGCCGGGCTGGTTCAACCTCCGTCTCTCTGAACATGACGGCGAGGGTCTGGATGATCAGCGTGCTCAGCCTGAACAAAAGGATTAAACGGTTAAAAATATAAAAGACTCAAATGCTCCTATAAACTTATCAGAGACATAGTTCAACAGAAATTCTTATCCCAAACAACCATTTTTAAGCATCCTCTATAAAGTTTTAGATTTCTTACTGTAATTTTGATGCACTCACACAGCACTAGATTAGATGTGGATCTCTTGAAGAGGAGGTAGTGTGCTCATTTAGAGGCTTCAAACTGTCATTAAGAACCAAGAACCACTGTATTTGATATATATACACCACAAAAAAGATGCTTCTTTAACAGATTCCTGCCTACCCCACCTTTAATTATGTTTTATGGACATGTGGTTAACTTGCCTTGAATAGTCTGAAAAGTGTATTTTTCAGTAACATCTTCAGTAGTTCTGTAAGTGACTAAGACAGCAGAGTGTAGATCACACAGATTAAACGTTATCACCACACAAATCCTTCCACCTTTGAACTCCATTTAGTTTGTTGTGTAAAATCAAAGAAGCTTAAAGCGACTGCCCTGATGACAGTATTAAGGTGTCAGATCCGACACCGTTTATCTCTGTCTCTCTCACAGACACACACACACACAGACACTCAGACTGGGGCTTACAGAAGCTGGTCTGCTGTGTAGATTCCACTGAGAGTCTGACAGCCGTGGAGCGATTCTTCAAGAGTCTCAACCAGGAAGGCACACACCTCACTGGACTGGAACACAGAGATCAACAAACTCTGTCTATTGTGACAATCTTTACATATTTCTTAAACCCTCACAGACTTATCTTTCACTAGACTGAACTGTTTTTCTCAGGTTTCCTGCAGTTGCCAAAACACTTGCATCTCCATGTGCACAACCAGAAATGTTCTCATAATCTTTTGTGTTATAAGTTTAGATACAAAAGTACGTCACGATCAATTTTTTCAAACAAACGTGTTTGAGCGTCTCACCCTCCAGAAGAGTCGGCGCAGAGAGATGTTGCGGTGAGCCGCCGTCCTCAGCTCCTGCAGCAGCAGGTACAGACTCTCCACGCTGATCTCCTCCTGCAGGAGCTCAGCGCTCAGCTGTGCGAACAAGTAAGCCGTCCGCTCCAAGCTGCACACACAAACACAACAACAAACACAAACAAACAGTGGGTCATTGATAATAATTTGACATCTGCAACAATCCTGTGCTGTGTTACATCATTGTGTTGTTACCTGATGGAGGGAAGTCTCTTCTCAGGAGAGGGGTCAGATGAAATACTGCACCTCCTTCTGTAGAGTGGGTCTAACAACAGAGTGGACCTCTGAAAACACACACGTACACACACATTTACACAAGATCTGAGCATCCTGTATGGGGACTAGTGTATCTTTTTAAAAACACTCATTTTCTGGAGATACATATTGCCATTCGGAGTATTATTTGGCACATTACAGGAGGAAATTAGACCTCGCTGTCTTCCATTTCTTCCATGGACAATTTGGACCTTTGCTTTCATCAAGAGGAAACTGTTTTACCTCTGCTTTTCTGCCGGGGCAAGTGTGAAATTAATGCTGTGAAATAAAGCTTTAAGGATGCATCAGGGAGATTGGAGCAGAATTCATTTACCAGTGAAGGTGAACACTGAAGCATTAAGTCATGTGTCTCCAGAAGCTGCTTCACTGTCCTGCTGCTGCAAATACTCGCCAAAGCAGCAAACGCGAATTAATCCACCGTTAAAAATAGTTCCCAACACATTCAGTGCTGTAACCAGTGTGAGATAGGCAGCTTTGAGAAACTTTTTGTATGCCAGATGCTTGTAAAGATTTGAAAAAGGAACATACAAACTCTGAGCTTCTCATCATGAGTTTTCATGGACAGCAGTCTTATTCCTCACGTCTGTGTCGATCATCACTCACAATTATGAAGCTGTTCCATGTGCTCTGCAGGTGGAGGTGGAGTCTGGACGTCTGGGACACGGCGTAAAGGTGAAGCTCAGCCTCCCTCTCCACCTGGTTATTCGACCCGTCTCTCCTCAAAAGGCGAGACAGGACTGAGCCGATCCTCCTCGGCACCTGAAACGTCAAAGTGTGGTTTCTGAGAGCGATGCCAAACACGGACAAAAACCCGTCTCACTGCACAGCCTTTATCTATTTCTATATTCTAACTCTTTTATTTGTTAACAGAAAACTTAACATGCAACAATTTCCCATTTCTCCAGGATTGTCGTTTTAAATCAGTGTGAAATTCTGGCTTGTAGATGGGGATAGAAGATGGATAGTGAGATGAGAAGTAAAGTGCTGTCTGGTGTTGAATTTAATGAGGACTCATTAAGACCGATGCACACAGAGAAGCTCCCATCATTATGAAGGCAATTTCCTGCTTTGTGGATTTTCTTGAAGCCGGTGTTTCATGTATATAAAAAGATATACGTTGTTTTGATGCTCCACAGCTGTCTTTTGGATTCACCTTTCTGAATATTAATGAGCGACAGCGTTTTGTGTCTGATGTGTCGGTAATTTAGATCACAGTAAAAACGAACAGCCCTGATGCGCCTCGCATCCATTCATCCCGGCGTCTGTACCTGTCCACTCTCAGTGATGTTGAGTCTTTGATCCGAGGGTGACGGACATGAAGAAGGGGAGCTGGAACGGGAGTAAAGGGAGGGGGATTTGCAGGGAGGCTGGGTGGGAGGGTGTGGGACCTGTAGGAGGCTCAGAGACTCAGGGTTTGGCCAGGAGGCAGAGCGTGGGGGGGGCAACATGAGGACCTCCTCAGTCCCGTTTTCATTTTGGATCCTGACAAACACAGAGAGTGAAAAGGAAATAATTAACAAGTGTGGATGATAGTGAACTTTTCTGTTTACTTCTGCAAGAGATCAAACATACAGTTTACAATCATGGCATTCTTATTTCCAATTTTGGGGAGGGCATTTTGCAGCTCCAATCCGATCCACTTTATTTATAAAGCTCATTTTAAAAGAATTCAAGTTTACCAAAGTGCTGCACAATAAAATTAAAAGAACAAACACTACAGAAAACATCAAGATGGAATACATAAAAGCAGGTAAAAAAAACATTTAAAATAGAATGAAATAAATGAAATAAAAACACAAAAGCATAAAAGAAATAAAACGGATAAAAGGACCGAAAAAAGACATAAAAGGACAGAGATCATTCAACTCTCATGCTGAACTAAAAGCCAAGGAATAAAAATGAGTTTTAAGAAGCAATTTAAAAGTATAAAGTGTGGGGGATGTTTTAATCTCGAGTGGAAATTCATTCCATAATTTGGGAGTCGCAACCGAGAAAGCTCGGTCACCACGAGTTGGAGCTGATCAGCAGACCTCAAGGAACGTGGGTGAGTGTGAACATTTAAGAGGTCAGAGATGTACTGTGGTGCTGATCCGTTTAAAGATCTAAAAACAAACAATAACATTTTAAACTGAATTTTGAAATGAACAGGAAGCCAATGGAGGGACGCCAGAGTTGGAGTGATGTGATCATGTTTTCGTTTACCCGTTAAAGGACGAGCAGCAGCTTTTTGGACTAACTGTAAGCATGTGAGAGAAGCCTGATTAACACTGACGTAAAGAGCGTTACAGTAAGCCAACCAAGTGGAAATAAAAGCATAGGAACAAAACATAGGAACACACATTCATCTATCACCAGGTACCATCACTGCTTTTGTTTCCAAATTTTGTAACTGCTCCTTTTGTCTTTTCTAACTCTACACCAGTTCTGTCCCAGATGGATAAGTTACGCTTCAGTGTCACACAAACAGGTTCAAGTGTATCTAGTGCACAGGGATTACCTTTACACTAGCCATAACTTTGACCTCCAAGTTGGGGTTCTGTAAGGTTACACCCGGGCGTACTCTGAAGTGTTGTAAACAGTGAAGGTGGAGGCTGTTTGGTAGTTTAAATTCATGCTTCAATGGTTCTAAACTTTTACAAGTCCCGAGGGTGAGACAGACTTCAGCGTGAGACAGCGTTTACATCTCACACACACACATCACGTTTAATAGCAGCGTGGAGTTTGTTGTCACCAGGCAACAAGTCAGCGTTCAGTGACAGTAAATCTGTTCATGCTTCCTCTGGTCTCTTCACAGCCAACAAACTGCTTCCTGACTGATGCGCAGGGGGACGTTTGAAACACAACACAGAGGATTCAAAGGAAGAGGAACAATCGCACAAGATATAAACAAATCAAAAACATGGTTCAGCTTTAAAATATGACAATCCAGCAGGTTTTTTTTTAACTGTTGATAAATGTTTCGTCACTGTGTAAAGTTGCAGTCCTGATTGTAAAATAGTTTTTCTTTTTCAGCATTTCAGCACTTTTGAATCCATATTTGGAACACATAAACGCACCTTGGTCTGTAACATTGAGTGTTTTGATTGTACTTCTTTAATTTTCTTTTCAGGTAAACTGAGGCAGACATGTCCCTCTTCAACCTGAATAAATCATGAGCTACCTGAGATGCTGCAGACCATTAGCGCAGAGCCACACACAGAGAGGCTGCTTTCACTTGTCGCATTATTTAGATGTTTTTTCCAACTGAAAACAGGAGAGTGCTCTGACTTTTAAGAGATGATTGTTGTCTAACAGCAGACAAGTATAAACGCAGGTATGTACAGTCTATCTATATTCCTCGCTCTCTTTTCTATGCCTGCAGACAAAACACAGCTGTAAAGGTTTTATAGCTCAAAGAGTTTGTCTGTCTCCGTGACACCCAGACAGAATCCCTCCAGCTCACTACTGAAAGACAGGTAAAGGAGCCTTCACTACTTTTTGATATGAGCCCAGACATGACAAAGTTAAGTTGTCTGACGGATCTTGATTGCAAATATTCACTATCTGTGTCAAATACCATGCTCAAACTCCCACAAATGTTCATTTTTTTGGCTCAAACATCCTTTTATCAAACACTCAGGGATTTTGATCCCCGATTGCCTCCATTCTGGACAACAATGTAAACTGAACACGGCTGCTATGAACAGAAAGAAGATCTAGTTGAATAACAATTAAAGTCTGCTGGAGGTTTGTGTTTTAAAGTATTTATTGTGAATGGTTAAAAAGTAAGAGCCAATACAGCCGGTCTCAGCTTCCTAACAGATATCGCCTAACAAACCACTGACCTGTGTGTGTGTGTGTTTGTGTGTGTGTTTGTGTCTCGATTTGTGCTTGAGTGATGCTCACCTGTGTGCAGGAAATCCTGTGGGGGTGAAACAAAAGACACACAGTGGGTAAAGTTACAAATAAAGTAACAATAGACACATTAAATCTTTATTCCAAGTTTTATCTGCGACCCCTCATTACAACAAATCAAACTATTTGCTGCCTTTAAACTTCAAATGCAACTAAAAATGAGCTTATCTGACTTAAAACATAGGGGTGACCCAATATAACTTTTTTACTTCTGATACAATACCGATATTGTAGCCTTCAGTATTAGTACTGATATTGATCCAATATTGGCACAAACTTGTGCATGGGAACAACAAAAAACACTTCCACGCAGCCAGCATCACTTTTACTCCTTGCTACTTTGTTAGTGCCTTAGTACACACTGTTGTTGTGATCATGAGGACTCTGCATGCTGGTGTTGCTAGATAAAGGTGCTGGAGCGGAGTCTGGAATGGACTGCTTGTATCGGAGGGCTGATACTGGAGATTTTGGATGCAGGCCGATATAATTTGATATTCTTTTTTTTTTTTTTTTGATCGGATCAGACATCCCTACTAAAAAATACACTTTCCTTTAATTCAATGTCTTACATAAATGTTTTTTTCCTTTTTCTATATAAGTTTATTTATGGGTCAGGGCATAGAATGATAATGGCGAATGACGTGGCAATGAGGTGAAAGTCTGATCCAAAACCCGGCTGTCCACATCGATAGCTAAAGCCTCTGTACACAGGGAACATCACTTAGCTGCTAGGCCAAATCAGTGCTACATACATGATTTTTTTTTAAGTGTGTCACATATAAACAGCCTTTTTTTCCTCTATAGAGCAAGTTTAAACTTATCTTTACCTTCTACATTGTGCGCTACTGTCGGGCAGTGGCTGTTTCTACGGGAAAGTGGAACTGCAGGAGGGAGTCCTTCCTTCCTGTCCCATCTCAGCCAATCACGGCTTTTCGCGGTAGGCCTGTCTGTGAGGTAGGTGATGCGGATGTGCTGACAGAGTTCTCTGTCCTTCCCACTGAGAAAATCAGGAAGGTCATTGATCTGAAAAAAGAAAAGAAAAGGAATAAATGGTAGATAATCCTATTAATGAAGAATTTTCAACTTCCTGGGATCACTTCCTTAAATTCATTTGTTCTTATTTTTGATTGGTCTTGAATTTTATTTGACTTTCTATCTGTTTACATCATTTTTCCTGTATTCTAATAAGAGATATAGCCATGCAGCTTTGCCGTGCTGTCCTGAGCCGATCAGTCTGAATCGGCTCCTCTCACTAAGTAAAGACCCGAAGCAGTAATCAAAATTATCACAGGCAACTAAGTAAGACTCCTCATTTTCTGGACCTGCCAGAGTTGGCTGACACCAGAAGGATTTGATCAGGTGTTTTAATACCAGATTATTCCAATTCTTCACGTGGAGCATTTCCAACCAGACAAGAGGAACACTCAATCGGAAACACTAATGCCTCTTCTTAATATAAAAACCTAACACCTGTAGAGGCCACAGTAAGGGCAGCCCAGGCAACACAAGCAATAATCTGCTGTTTCATGTAAACGGGATTAAGTCAGTGTGGAAGACGTTAAACCTTTAACCTCTTACCCACATGACATAACAAGATAAATGGTATTTACAGGCTACACTCACTCAGCTACACACAGCTACTCTTACATACACGTTATGCTGAGTTTAAAGTTTTATCTGTTATTCAAGGTTGGTGATTTTCTGTTTGGTTAAGACTGTTATTGAACTGTTCACGACAGAAAACCGTGCCACAACGCAGTCAAATTATTTTTTGAGTTACATATAAAAGTTAGAGGTCATTCACATCGACATCACCTGAACACACTGTCAGACATTCAGACTTTCTGTCATGTATGCCAGGTTAGCCATCTATAATACAACCTCAACTACATATATATATAGTTTAAATACCAATGTGGAAAAGAGGTAAACAGATTTTTGGATCAGTATTTCCTGCTAATTTTCCTTTTGTTCAACAGCCAGCATGTCTATGATAAAGGCTGAAAAGCATCAGTTTTTCAGTTTAATTGCCTCCATAAAGGTCACATACAAAAAAAAGGCATGTTGATCAGTACTAGACTGAAATAGTTTTAGGTGACAAACAAAAAGATGCTGATTCTCTCTGATGCTTACTGCCAACATCAATCAAAACAGATAATTTAATGACACCACTTTTTTATTGTGGTACTTGGCTGCCAACCATGACCACATTAAAAAAAAAGGTGATTTGAGATTCTTATTGTGTTACGAAAACACAACCTTGGTATTTTACCTTTGCAGTGTCACAAATAAATGTGTGCATCCTCAGTTACAGACACACAGGTCTTGCATGAATATGAAGAAAGGTGGCCCAGGTGATATATGAAGGCCTATTTCGTATCTTCACCTTTCTAAACATATAAACAAAATCTGAACGTTAGAAGCTTCTGTTGAGCAGAATTCATAGTGGAGCTGTTGTATTGCATTAGTTGTCCAGATGCTCATGTTACAGCGAGTAAGTCTTTTTTTGACACAAAACGTGATGTTTAAAAATTCATTCAAGACAAATAAAGTTTCAGTTTACTAGACCTACTTGATAAAACAGAGAAGTTAACAGCTAAATTGAAAAATGTAGGTATGTTACCTTAAGTTACTTTGCGTCAAATCAATCTAAGCACCAATCAACATTAACCAAATTGCTGCTAATGGACATACGATTAGACCTTTCTTCAACCAAGATATATGGCACATGGCACTATATCAAAGTCTTAACAACAAGACATGATAGATAGAAATATCAATAAATAAACAACAGAGATTATTATAAATAGAACAATATGCAAGGCACCTGCACTTTACTCCAGATTTCACAATCTATATTTCAAAATCATCTCATATGTTTATGATTTTTCATATCTTTTGTATTTTTATCCATTAGATATATCCATAAAGATATAAAAGGTCATAGCCAATCTCTCACTTGAATTAGATTCTACAAGATATCACCTTTTCATAGACACCAAGATTGTGGATCTAGGCCCTACAGTTAATGAGCTATTACTGATTTACTTTGGCTATGTAATTTCAGGCGGACATAACCCTGAAATAGCTCAGGGTCCAAGTGGTTAATCGAATAATCGGCAGCAGATTCGACAGTTGATTTTGTTACTTTGGGAGTTTAGTTAGACATAAAAATAAACCAAATATCTACTTGAAAACAGCATCTGAATCTACTTTTGAGGACAGGTCGGGGTTTCTAAAAATATCGGTGAACGACACAAAAATGCACGTTTCTATCTGATCGAGCAGAATTTCGACCAAACGTTTCGATCGTTCACTCACCAACTCGATGTCCCGCACGCGCCTGAAGTTAAAAGCTGTGGTGAGCGTGCGTGGGGGATATTCGGTGAGGTACACGCACTCATCACTCAGCACCACGTGCATATACACCTTGTTGATGGTCTCCGAAATCACCACACACGGTTCATAAGCTCGGATCCTCTCGTACACCTCCCGCTCCGTGTTCCTTTTCAGAAAGGAGTCCAACTTGATGTTCCGGCGGCTGAGGAGGGCACCGGAGCCGGTCCGAGCCATGAGGACGACACCGGCCGAGCAGTCAGGTAAAAGTTTGAGGTGTCAACTTCCACTTTGGCGCAGAGAGGAGAGTCTGCTGTCGTTTACCATCGTTTAAACCTGTATGTCACAAAGTTATCTACTAAGGCGTTTCGGTGCTCCTCCAGGGAGACACTGAGCAGGTAAAGTGCCGCTGTCCGATTCTGTCTGCACACAGAGCTCTCTGATTGGTCCGCATAGGGGAGAGGAACGCTGCTGATTGGCTGGGTAGTAAACCGTTTTTTTAACGTTCACGCACGGCCTCGACGACAGTATTAACAGCTCAGGACCTCAAACTAAAAGGTCATAATCTGGTTCTATTCAAAGCCTTACTCTGATTACACTTTTGTATTTTTGAATCCTAACAATTAAAACAAATGTTATCTTTTTAAACATTTTACTTTTAATGCAGTTGCACAAAAAGAGCATTTCGTAGGTTGATTTTGTTTGTTTTTTCAATTTGCACTTACTGTTAAAATAGGGTTAAAATTTGAAATAATAATGCAATATTCTTGCAGGAAATTCTTTCCATCTCCTTTCTTTCTTCTTTATTTATCTCAAACTTTAAGAGCAAAAAAAACACACCAAACAAGATATTACATATGTACACCAAACAACTGTACATGTCAAAGATAAATTTACACATCATATGTATGTCAAAATAAACAGTTTGAGAAAGAACAGAATGAAGCATATAGCTTTTCTAGTCCTGCCCTTTTCTTGCAAATTTGAGAAAAAAAAAATCTATTTGTATAAATTACAAAGATTTGTATTAATACCTACATATTATACACAAGATATCTGCTCAACAGGTTGCTTATTATAAGTATTTGCCTATTATTATAATAGTCAGTGTTTTAATATTCAGAATTAATATTACTTCTATGCTATCAAGTATGTCTAGCATAAAACCATATTTTTTGTTAGTTTACTTATATGAATCTTTAAATACTTCTCTATAGTTTGATTCTGAGGAATTCTGAGGAACAGGTTGAGGTCTAGATACTGGACTGAGCCAAATACCTAAAGATGTGCACTATTATGTTCCAAGGTTGATTTTGCTCATATCACAAGAAATAAATTGTTAATAGATTTAATATTTTTCCACAAATGATGTTATTTTTTGGCATTTTGGACAGGTGTTTGAGTTGCAACCTTTAACGCCGAATAAACTCTCCCATTTATTGGAAAATATTATTTTGACAATACGCTCAGTTATACAAGTTTAAGAGCTATAATGGCATAAATCAGAAGACACAAGTGGGTTAAAAAATAAATAAAATTGGCAAATTAACTACATAGTCTGTCCAGAATTGACTACATGTTCAGTAAGTAAATATGCCCCTCATGCCCCTTGAAAGACATTATTACTGTTGATGCAGTTTCTATTATTTACCACTAGAGGGTACTAACCAGTAAATTAAACTATACAGTGTAACTACTTCAATACATGTCAAAGAACTGTGTTGTGCTTATTTACTGCATATCTATCAATTAAACTTTTCTGTTGTTGACTATGAGGTTAAAACATGTAAATTTTTTGTATAAGAATAAACATTTTATTGGTTTAAATTTGGGGAAATGTCAAAAATGTGACTCGTCATCCTCCTCTGCCTCATCTCCCTCTCTGTGACCCTTCCTGACACACACACACACACACACACTTGGAGGCAGTGGCTGCATCTTTGAAGGGGAGCTTTGTACACGGGTGCTAAGATGAACGCCAAATTGTTTTGGAGCCCAAAATACACACACACACACACACACACACACACACACACGCACACACACACACACACACACACACACACACACACACACACCAAGAGGGAGGTGTAGGCAATGTTGTCTTACAGAGCAGCACACACAGTCGTACACACAGTCTTTTATCGAGCTTAGTAAGAGGACCGAGACACTATAGACACACCAACTAGACTCCAACTGATCTGGGTTCAGACTTTGGGGAACAGGCTGTTGTCATTGCTGATATATCTGAATCAAATCCCCCATTTCTTCTTATACACATGCATAAAAGATCAGTTTGTAATGCGGATAAATTAGCCTTAAATATGTTGATAAAACAGAAAAGAAAAGTTAAAAGTGAAAGAATACTCAGCCAAACTGACAGTGTTTACGGTTATATTGTTCTTGTTGCTGTGGTGCTGGTCAGCTGGATTGCACTGTACTCCTTCATCATCATCATCATCACCATCAGTGTGTCTGTGGGCAGCTGCAAACAAAAAGTGGTGGGTTTACTGGTCACACTGCTGTCTTTGTTCTGCAGAAGAAGAAACAAACAGTCACGTTTCCACCAGAGTGAGGGAGAGAGAAAGAAAATAGCCCGCACACACACACACACATACACACCTACGCAGAAACACACAAACAACGTGGTGTGGTTATGATTGATGTTGACCTTTATGGTATCTTTAAAGGATAATGATGACCTTTCAAAGCATTTCATGAGACTGGAGAAGTTTTCTTTTGCATACAGTTGACACTGTAGATTTGTATTTTCACTAATAAATGATGTAGTCTGCAATTTATTTTCAAGTCACTTCTCATTGTCAGGAAAAGAACATTTTAGTACTGTGTAGGACCCTGACAAAACGCCTAAGAAATGGAATAAACAAAAAAGGCACTGACTTTTTGTCAACATCTTAAGCCATGTAGTTTTACAGTCAGAATGAGACAAAGAGTGAAGATAAAAAGACAAAAGTGCCTCTATTTCTGTGTCTTTTTTGGTGGGTGTTCAGCACTTGATCAGCTCTGTTTCCTCCCATCACATCAGACACGCGGAAACAGAGCAGCATCTGTTGAACGCGCTTATCTGTCCTGCTCAAGCCAATCAGCCGACCTCTGACGGAACTTCCCGAACGAGCCCGAACCGAACTGATTCGACGGAACAAGTATAAACGGACAAACTGCCACCGATAAGCGAGAAAGTCGACGATTAAACCACAAGCAAACGACGAAAAGAAGAAACAGCAGGGATGACGGCTCTGAGCAGCTGGGAACTGTGCGTCAAGTACGCCCTCTTCATCTTTAATTTCGTTTTCTGGGTGAGTAACGAGATAAAATTCATATTTGATCGAAAGCCGAGCATGATTGATACAGTTCAGAAATTACCAAGCGAGAGATAAGCAGCTACTTCCTTTTTTTTTATGTATTTATTTTTTAAATATTTATATATAATCAAGTGTTTTCTTTAAATCGTGTAAGTATTTCTTTAATAACTCATTATCAGGTGCTGTGAAATCAACCGCCATTTAGACGCTGAGAAGTTAGCAAGAAATTCAACAGCCGTGTGTGATAATGTTTTTTTGACTACATTAGTCCTAAAAAAAACCTGAAGGAACATTTGTACTGAACTTATAAATTGTATTTTGGATTTAATATGTATTTATACAGGCCTGTGTAGCCTAAATATTTTCTTTAAATATCTGCTAATTTGTTGTTATCCCTTGATAGCTAAGTTTGAGTGTTTTGAAAGGTGTCATTAAAAATAATAATCTTTATTTTTACATGGCAAATGTCATAACCTGACCTTTACTTCTTGTGAGATATGCTCAGTGGACTGTTAAGAAATTAATTTGATGTTTACCATCAAACAATGCATTGTAAATTTTTCGCATTTGCACTGCCTTTGGTCATTTAATGGGCTTTTTAGTGTCCAGTTCAGCAATGATTTTATTATAGTTGGGATTTTAACTTTCCATGGGTTTTATGGAAAGAAAACAGTTGTGTTTTTATGCATGTTACATTATAGACTTGCCACCAACTTAAATCTTAAGTAATTTCTAATTTTTTTTTTTCACATAATCCTGGAGACTGATAATTGCTGCATCCGCCTCAGGAGATTCTGACCTTTATTTTTGCTCCATTATTTAGTACCACATGTAGTTTTGTGTCATTCGTGAACGATTCGTTCAAAAGAACCGAATATTTTAAGTGAACGTACTGCACCGAATCACTTCCTCGAGTGATTCGTTCGTTTCTCACTTCAGTTGAGCTGAAGTAAGAAACAGAATTGCCAGGCCAGCAGCCAGCGAATGAGGGACCACATGCACCGATGTCTGAATCACTTGGTGAATGAATCGAGCATTGAACTACACTCTCTGGAATCATTTTTGTCGGACAAAACTACCTTTTTTTCACTGCTAAATTGCCACCACAACAACTTTCATCCAATAGGACACAGCATCTGAACTGAATCCTGAAACGTTCAGCTGTGTATCAGTTCAGATGGTCAGAGTCGCAGGCTTCTCCCACTAAATGATTCTGCAATTTAACGAATCGTAACGAATCTTTTGAACGAATCTTTTTAGTGAACTGGTTCTAGTGATTCAGTACATCTAAATGAACTGCTGTGCCCATCACTAACCACATGTTCTCACTGTTTTCAATTAGCATAACATATGGAAAAGGGGCGTGTCTCAGTGGAGTTCAATGGACTGAATTAGTTTGCTAATAGGCTTGTGGAGTTTCTGTACAGGATTTGTCAGATAACTACATGAAATTTGTAATTCAGGCGAGGTTATTCAGAGATTGGTCAGTGCATCTTCAATAATTCTGAGACCATGAAGCAAAAGTAAGTTTTCTACATTGTTTTGCCCAACATTTGTTAATGCTTTAGTTCGGGAACTCCTTGAAAAAAATTTTCACATTTTCCCTGATAGGAAAACTCTGCAATGTAAGAAATCTTAGCAAGCTTTGGGAGAATTTTGAACCTCTTTAGCTTAACAGATATAATCCAGCAGGGGGCGTATTGTAGCCCAATCTAACATGAGAGGACAACAATGTTGTGCTATACATGCTTCAGTCTGTCTCCTTGAACAATCTCTTTGTTTGCTGTATGTTTCCTGGATGAAATATCATTTTCAACACAAACATCCAGTCTGAATCTGAAACCCAAATCTGACAGGTTGTTGCTCATTTACCATTCATCTGACTAAATGGTCAGTCACTTGTGGCAGGGTGAGGGAAGAAGCGAAGCAGCACAGACTGGAAGAGGGAGAAAGTGAGATCGGGAGGAGCTTACAGGCAGCTTGGAAACAAAGCTGGTGTTGTTGGATTCACTGTGCCTACTGGGAGCAGAGAGCAGCTCCATTTACTTTAGCAAACACTGAACCCCAGTCGTCCCAGTAGGTGTGTGTGAATACACCTGTGAGGCCTTTTCATGTCTTGTCATCCACATTAATCTCTGCTCCTTGTTTAATTTTAGATTATTTTCAACCAGATAGATTTTTTTTTTTTTCATGAAATGGGTCATCTAGTTTATGATTTATTCCATAATACAAGTTTTATTTTCATTTTACTCTTATGTGTGTCTCCAAATCAGAGTAAGAATATTTTATTCTCAGGGGAGAAATTCGGTCATCTCCTCCTCTGCTGCTGTTTCTGTTCGTACGTCAGGCTCAGAGTTCCCAGAAACATACTCATGGTCATCAGTTTGGATAATTTAGTTACTGTTTAATGTCATTTATCAGGAGAGGATACCAAAGATTCTTTGTTTCATGACTCTAAAATTACCCGACTTTCTTGACTCCATTTAGTGTCCCAGCATTTCGAAGAAATACAAGCATCGAAGAGTTTCACTTTTAAACATTTACATGTCAAGTCATTCACAGAGCAGATTGATTGATGGAGTCAGATTCTTTTTTGCATTTGATAAAATACAACAATTTGATAATAGTAAAAGCCATTATTCCATGGAGCTTATACCACCTGGTTATCCTCTCCCATATGCTGGCCAGTCAGATGGATTTTAAATTAGTTCATGATATAGACAAACTCATCTGGTAATGGTATAGATTTAAGAATATGACATATTTATATCAGCAGACATATTAAACTTAATTATTCTACACATCATTAAAGATTATATATTAAAATCTTGTAAGTAACTGTCAGATTAGATAGATACATTTTTTATTCAACCTCATAAGCACATGATAATTTTGAGTATAAATTCTAAATATTTAATTTTTTTACACATATATTTATCTTACCTTCGCTTCTGCATTTCAATCATATATTCTTTTTACCTTCATGTAAGAGGATATTTCAGATTTCTTAAGAATACAAATTTATCTTTTTTGTTGCGTCAGTGTTGTTTCTGTAAGTTAGTGTGTCTAAACAGTAGCAGCACTGCAGCACAGTTGCTTTATTTATCCGTCTTTATTTAGTACTTGAATTGTTAATTGCTTTCACCTGCAGTGATTTACCCTCAGAGTTGTCTGCCAAGATCCACAGAGCAGATACTCCAGCAGATACTCCCTCCTCCCTCTCTCTCTCTCTCTCATACCCCCTCCTTCCTCTCCCAGTCAGTCCCTCCCCCTCACTTCCGAAATACACCCAGGTGAGCAGCCCTTTAGGTGTGGCTCTCACAAAAGTACGGCAGCTCCACTGCTCTTCTTTTCACTCTTCTTCCCACATACTAAGGAGACAGACTATCTCTCGAGTGGAGGACTTTACTCTTCGGACTTTTCTTCGTAAAAACACATAAATCTTGAGCCATGGGGGGACTGCAGTGCATCAAGTACCTCATGTTTATATTCAACTTTCTCTTCTGGGTATGTAGTTACTTACATTGTTTTGTGTTTCCTGTGGTTGATATATGACACTGTGGTCGGTGTGGTTAAAAGATTCAGTTTTTTCTCGAGTTGAAACAAGTTTCGGTGATTGGGAGCATTGTTTGAATGAGCTTTAACTCTTTCAACTTTAGGTTGAGCTGTTGTTCGGTGAAGTATTTTGAAAATAATCAGAGGCTGGGTCTCTTTTTACCATCGTGTTGGTAACATGTAGGTTTTCAGATTTGATTTGAAGTGGGTTTGAGATCGCTTCAGTCAAAAAACAACAGCTGAATCGATGAATTAACCAAGGCTGGAAATGTATCTTCCTACACAAAAACTGGAGAATTAGGTCATTGAATTCACCTGGGGTGTGTGCTGCCTCTTTTTGACTTGAGGACATTGTGGAAGTGGAAAAATTGGCTCATGCTTTGACAAAGCAGTGCCTGGCATGAAATCAAGGCACATGTGATGATTTGGCGCCAACGCAAAAGATTTTCCAACCAAATAATTTTCAAGTTTAATCACTGGAATGATGTTAAATTCATCTGAACAGTTAATTCATCTGTACTACTGAAGAAAGTTGATTTATGCTCCAGTGAGGAGTTTATTTAAAGTTCATGAAATAAACAAAATTTCACACTGATGTCTTTCCATGACGTACAAAAGCAAAAAAGACCATCAGTGACAAGATTTAAGATTTTTTTCTTGAGTAACGTTTAATGTCTGAAGGGAGGTAGGTGTCAAACAAAACTGATGAAAAGTCAAACTTCTCACAGGAGCTTTAAGCCAGATAATTTATTTAGCAGAGAGTTGAACGTCCTATAGATTCAGCTTCTCAAACTTGGACAATGTGGTGTTTTAAATCTCTTTCTTTTTTCCTCTGTCAAACAACAACAAAAAAAACCATCTTAAACTTATCTTTGATCTGGGGAGATGTTTGACTTTTTAATTTGACTTAAGGCAATTTTGATGTCTCCCGTGGGCAAAGCAGTCTTTTCTCATCTTGTCCTCCACACGCTAACAATGTGTTTAGACAAAAAAAATCTTATCCTGCTGACATTTGAGAGTCGGATGTATCATTTATTGTGAATGTTATGTGAAATCCTTTTAAAATAAAGATGTTTCTGTAGCTGCTTGGCTGACACCTCTCACTCAAACGTAGTATTAAAATGGTCTTGCTTGCTTTTGTATCTCATTAAGAGGCCTCAACAAAGGAGTTTGAAGAATAAAATAAAATAAATTTGGGCTTGATTGTTCAGTCTGACAGGGTTGGCATTAGCTGGAATAAACGGCTTTTAAATAAACTGTCAAGTTACAAGACTTGACTTACTGGTGTGGCTGGACTCTTAAGTCTTTGTGGTGAAATGAAAGTTGAAATATTGTTGCGTGTGCAGCTCCCAGTAGACAGGATGTTTTCACTAGCTATCATGTACGTGTCAAGGACACAGGATTTGTGACTGAGTTTGTTTCAAAGTTAAACATTCAGATTATTTTTGACACCATTCTTCCTGCTGAATACATATCAAGCTTTTGACCACTTTTTATTAAAACAATCGTAGAAGATTTCAAGCTGCTGTGTTTGTACGGCTCAGTTGGATATCAACACTAGAGTTTGAGTTGACTAAGCATGAGCTGATTAGCTTCAGCTGCTTCATTCATGATTCATCATCACTGACTCATTCACCAGCTGTTTGGCTGTTGGTGATGAGTGTCGACCAATCAAATTTAAATACAGGTGTACGAGTCATCTGTATCTTAATCTGATGATTGGCACCTTGCTGTTCCACATGTGGCTGTGCTCGTTTGTGGTTTATTGAATGATACTGGTGCTGTAGTGAAAAATGTAGATGAGATTAATGTTTAGAAAATATAAAATCTTGTTCTCCATAAAATAACTGTAAAACATTATGAATAAAACAAACGAAGTTTTTTTTTCATTATCTGTAAGATTTAGGTGTCACATTAAAACTAAACTATAATATAATCACTTCTGTACATGTATTGTGATACCTGTATTCATCACTACAGGTGCAGTTAGTGAAATTTAATGGAGTAGAGTTGATAGATGTATATTCAAAAGTACTTTAATTAGTGTATACTCGTCTGAATATTACAATTATTATTTTTTTGCAAATCAAATAAGTTTTTTTGTATTTCTATTGGAGAGGAGGCGGCCATGTTCTACTGTAGCACAGAGCGCACCATAGTAACGTAGTTGTTTTGCTTTTAGTGAGTGGCTGCACAAAATACACCAGCTGGAAGGCGGGGAAAAAGAGGTTATGAGCATATTGTATTATGATTTTTGGAGCAGAAAAAATAAACAAATGGAGGATCAAACTTATTTTATACTAGAAGAGTTTCTGGTCCTCCTAAAGCTACCGTTGTTTCATGAGCAGGAGGGGTAAGCAAAGGACCCCAGTCTAGAATCTGGCTGCTAGATTGTACTTTTTTAATAACCAACATAAATATTTTGAGTTACTCAGTCATATGTTTAAGTGAAACAAGATCCTTTAGCTTTTCTCAGACTGTTTACATTTTTAATTGTCTTTTTAGGTTTGCCATCTCCAGATCCAACACCCTGCGAGCCCGTATTTTACTACCTGACAGTTTTTCAATTTCTCTGCTGCATGATAACCATTATTTCGAACCATCATAACTCCACCTCAAATGTTGAATAACTTTGTCTACTTTAACCACTTTGTCTTGGACTGTCAGTGTGACTCTCCATCTTCTATCCCCCTGGCACCGTGGTTGTAAGTGACGACTGGCCTCAGTCATGAGTGAATTATTGGTGTCCGAAAGTGAAGGGGCTGAATCTAAAACAACCACAGTTGTACTTTAAGTGAAACATAAAACTTGGACAGCATGCTATAGGTTTTACTAGATATAGGCTTGACTGACAAAGCTCCACATGGGTGCAGTTCATTTACCTTAAATCTAGTCTTGACGGTGTTTAAGGCATGTTTGACTAACTTTAAGAGTCACTCAAGCTAGTTTGGTGTGTTTTCATCAGTCATACTGAGAGGGTATTGACCCCCTGAAACAAAAGGACATTGTCTGAGCTGCCACTTCATGAATGATCACATTCTCAGTGTGATATTTCAGAGATTCTTCACCTGCGAGAGTTTTATCCTAAATATCCACACCGCCTACTGTATAATTATGATGATAACCGGTTTATGGTGTTAGAGGAACACTCTCATGACTGTTGGCTAAGGTTTAATGACTGTTTTGAACATTTGAGTCTGCAGTTTTACCGTGTAATGATGCCACAGACGGCTATATGTGGACAAATGAGATGACAGCAGAGTAAATAATGGTCCAGTGACTCTGAGGAAAGCCCCACCTCCTAAAACATAAACATCAGATTAGATTAGCTGCGTTTGTCTGAGACAAAGTGTACTGACAAAGTTGCTGGTAGATGATTGTCTATGATTGAAGTAGTTTAGTTGTATTTTGTATTTACGTGGGAGATATGCACAGGTCAAAGTGTGAAAACTGTTATGCCACTAAAAGCCTCTCAGTAATAATTCATTTCTTGGTTGTGGTTGTCTCCGCAGAGCTAATGGTTCTGCTGAGTGCTTTTCTGTGCCTAATGAGAGCAAATGGGAATCTCAGGGGAAAGAGGTTGTTTTCTTCCAGGATGATGCTGCACAAACACCACAACTCTCCTGAGAGTGTTTACTGTACATTAACACCAACAACCATTCATCATTCAGGGCACTTGAGTGTTCTGCTTCACGGCTGTTTTATCCTTAGAGAGCACATAAAGAAAATAAAACGATACTGCCTGATAAACTTAATCTGATTCGCTGACTTCTCCTTGTGTGTAGATGGAGGAATCGTAGATCTAAGTTGGGCTAATATATTTAGTAAAAACAGAGATTTAAGTCCAGGGAAATCAGGCTAAAATGTTTCATTTGAAAGAGTTCTGTAGGCTGATTACAAGAGTGTGTCAATGTCACAGCTGATATTAAAAAAAAATTAGTGACTTTTTCAGGACACAGTAGAAAAGGTTAGAAGAGAGAGCTCAATGTTTGAAGACCCAGAGGATATTCTTGCTCAATATTTACATTTACACAACGCTGACAAGCATGTCACCTTGAAAAACAGCCTCTGAAAACGCACTACAGAAACTGACACTATTGGTTGTCAGTTTCTGTAGTGAGTCTTTAGATTGTTATTTAAATAAAACAGAGTAAATGGATGTTTTTAACAATTTTTAAAAATAACTAATTTACAAATGTAAATGCAGCACCCTAGTGTTGGCACACAGAAAGATTGGAGATCCAGCGATACTTAAATAAGCTAATAATGAGTCGATTTAAACAACTCTCTAGTATTTCTTTGCTGTGAGTAGACTTGTGTGCCTCAAGCTGCCCTTACTTCAAATTGAACCTCTTTATATCAGCTGACCGCTAATGCAGCCTCTAATTGGTTAACAGACCAAAACAAAGATTGCAGCTTTTATTCTGCATGGTCAACCTACAATATTTCACTAACATTTGTACAGAAATAAGTACAGAATCCTGAATATACAGAGTTTTGTGACTCTGGAAAGCTGCGGTCTCACAAAGCGAGTAGATTTTAGAGTTAACTGCTACATCCTCTCATTCTAATGGGATATGATAGACCTAATAATAATAATATGCCGTTGATCCTATTCATGAAAAAAGCATAAATATAAGAGTCACAGTTTCTGTAAATATATGTCCAGGAAATAAAAAAAAGAAAAACATGTCCTAAACAAACTCTGCTGTGTTTGATTATGAGAACCGCAGCTTGAGCTTGAGGCTACATTTGATGGTTGTGAAAGAAGTCAGGGCGTGTCTGTGTAATCTTGCTCGCTCCGACTCCACTGTTCAATAGTGACAAATCAGTGCTGAGTTTAGTCAGAGTTTACAGGGTGAGCTGTTGTGATGATGGATCTTTGGGTGTGGTGGGAGTTACCTATCCATGGACAATTAAATACACTCTTCTCACCATTTTTCCCCAAATCCTCTTCTTATTCTGAGAAACATGACATGTAATAATCTGTTGATGGATATTTTCCGAAAAGAAGATCCATGCTTCTACCTGAAGTGATTAATAGAATGATTTTGTTCTTTTTTCCAAAAATACATCCAAAGTTTTGTGCAGCTTGTTCAAACATGACTTGCCTGGATGATCTGAAAATATTGGATTGTGTCCCGATCACTAGCTGTTATGTCAAATCTACTTTCAATTTGACATCGCTGATGACTAAGAAAGCAAGTAGTTAATGAATTTGGGAAAACAAATCATAATGGTATTGTGGGTAAATCCATCCACAACACCTCCAGATTCCTCAGAGACATTGTCAGTAGTTGGTGCTCCCTTTTTTCCCTTACGTAACCTCATTTGAGTGCAGAAATTCAAGAGTTTTCACTGAGAATAAACAAACTTTTAAGGTGTGAAAGTTTTGTAAACAAGCCCAGTGAGCACTATCCAGGAAATCTGATAGCAGGCAGGACGAAATAAGGCCTAAATGTCGATGAAATTTGCAACAGGCAAAGAAATCCCAGTTCTTCTGATTATGAGATTTCTGAGAAATGAAAGGACACAAACAAACATGACAGCAACCCTTGAATGTCATTTTCCAGAAGTCATTCCAACCCTACCCGTGCAAAGATGAAGTCGTATCTGAATCTGATAGTTTGTTTAAATGAGAATGGTTGGATGTCCAAGTAAGTCCCTCAACTTTTCATGAAGTGTAAACTGTGAGCGTGTCACAATAAGAGACACGTCATAACAATTCATAACATTGGCACTGTTTTTCCCTTCATAATACTCATACCAGTGCCGAGACTTGAGTGGTGTCCAAACCTGGAATCTGAAACTGGGTTTAGGTTTCTGTTATAGAGGAATACCTGGAAGCTGGTGAAAGAATCTGTTACTGGGATCAACATCTGGGAATTTTCAGAGTCTAACAGGTCTCATTAGTCTTGTTTTGTTCATTTTTGGTGTCATGATCAGTTTGAATGTGCTTGGCTGAATCAAACTGTGCAGCTTAGTCTATTCATTGACTTTTAGAAGATCTCTGGGAGGATTATTGTGATCCTAACAGTGAGTTTAATATTCATATATGATCAGGAATACTGTTCCTGCTGTTCTCTCTAGACAAATTTGTAAAACAGTGTGTAGACAATGACTCACAAGATGGTTCATCACCTATTTCCTCAGATTTTTCCCTCTGTAGGCTGAGGTAAGGAGGCGATGTTGTCATGTTTTCATTCTGATTCACGGTCAGCAGACTGCAGTCTGAGGACGTGTTGGGGCATAATGCTGCTGGTTAGCGCGGGCGCTTTATGTGTTATCTCTCCTTGCACAACGACAGACGTCAGAGTTACGCTGAGTAAACTCAATGGAAGTTATTTGGGCGGTAACAAAGAGTTGACACAAACTTGTGTTTTGTGGTTGCCGTGGTGATACTATTTCTGTGGTTAAGACTTACTCAAATATAGAGATGGCTATCTTTTGTTTGTTTTTATGCCCATTTTACAGTCATACCTTTTAAAATACAGGAATGTTGTAGACGCCTTGATTTTGATCAACGGGTTGATATGTCTAGTTAAACTTGACCGGCTGGTTGTTGATGAGGTTTTTCTGGGTGGGTTGGTTGTAAAGGGGAATGTGTGGGGGAGAGTTTTCAGCGTGTTTGACTCTTCAACTTCAGTGCAGAAAGCTGGCACTTAACCAGCCTAAACAGTCATTCTTTTAGGCCTGAAGAATGACTGTTTTTGACTGTTCAATGCTTTGGTCAAATGACAACTCAAAGCTTTAGCTGCATATGTTAAGACACCATAAAGTCACATTTTCTCTGGTTCTACTCTTTTGTGTTTGAGCGAAATTAATGTGATACTGTTTTGTATTTAACAACTCCCAACTTTCAGATAAAGTACCCTCATTTCAGCCATTTATGTGCAGAAAAAGTCGACTGGTTTAGATGATGAGATGCAGAATTAGGGTTAGGGTTAGCTCTTATTCATTTTTAAAGACTAAAATATTCATGTCTTGACTTTGGGAGAGTTCAGAGATTAATATTTGGTGGAGTAGCCCTCAATTTTGATGACTTCCTTTTTAATATTTTTAATGTTTGTGTTAAAAGTTTACAGTGAAGAGTTAAATTAAACTTCTTTTTTCATACTGTGACCCTTTTTTTCTGTCTTATTCAGCTGGCAGGTACAGCAGTGCTGGCTATCGGTCTCTGGCTGCGTTTTGACTCCAGGACAGCAGGACTGTTTGAAGGAGAGGACGCGCCCACTGTCTTCTTCACTGGTATGACCCTTACAAACACATTAGATGCCTCAATGTCTTAGATGCATGAGTTAAATAACATCTGAGTGAAGTTATCAAATATTTCCCCAATATTTCATGTCTTGAAGTCTTCACTTTTCTTGTCCTTCAATGTTGCAGAGTGCATTTCTTTGAACCCAAAGCTGTTTGAGGACGACACTTTTGGCTCTAGGAAATAAATTTTTCAGTTTTCTTGTTTTTGTTTGACTTTATAACTCAATCAGTCAAAAATAAGAACAATAGACAGTATAATTAATGATGAAAATGCTGGTTAGTTGCAGAACTGGAGGCTCTTGATAAATCCAACTCACGACTTTTGTGGCTCTCTGAATTTGCACAAGGAACCCTCCAAAAAGTCTGTTATTTTAGGGGTTTCTTCATACCTCTCAGGGATCTTTTTGAAGCAACATGAAAGAGCGAAGAAGCCTGCAAGAGAGTGAAAGAATATCCAACAGGAAGTTTGAACACCAAGTCAAACTTGATCTAATTTTTGAGCCTCATCCTCGATCTTGAATTGATCAGATGTGACTGAGCTGGCGTTGCTTTATTAACAGGGATATTAAAATCTAGAATCAATCAGGTTTACAGACAGTTTGCAGACCGTTTTAAGAGGGCAGCTGAGGCCAGCTTCGGCCCACAGCGAGGCGGCTCCTCGGCCTGGCAGAGCCGTCCACACATAGCTCTCATTCTTCCTTTCTTCACAGGGACGCCTTTGTCTCTCCTGTTTTGTGTATTCTGAGAAATACAGACTGACTCGCTCCCGTCTTCTCTTTGTGTCTCTCCTCCATCAAACTGATAAGTGGAGTGGGCTGCTGGGCGACAGAAGATTGTTTTGAAATAACAAACATGTTAGTAGCAGCTTTGGGGGAAGGCGACAGAGGAGGAATATTTATGTGAACCATGACATCAGAGCTGCAGTTATTGTTCTGGTTAATCATCTCAACACCACATCAAACTCCAGAGTCCCTCTTTTTAATATGATGTTTGGACATTAACATAGCAGTGTTTGGATATTGATTTACAGCTTTTAGATGAGATTTTTTGCTGTTTGTTTAAATGAAAACCACATCCAAAGAGAATGACAAAAACTTCCCCTGACTTTTCTGGAGCGTCTCTCTGGATTAGCTCTAATTTTGTATGTAAATATCTGATGCAAATGAAGGAAAAGCAGATAAAGACAAAGTGTACGCAAATCACAAATACAGTCGAGTACTGAGGGTTTAATTTTGTTCTTGATACCTCTTAAGTTTGTACAAACTCTGGAAAGCATTTAAAAAGCTCATGTTGAACAGCTGCTTTTTTCAATTACGGTACCCATCTTGGAGCCAAAAAGTGCAACCAGTCCTCTATGTTTGTGCTTAATTTCTTAACAAGAGGAGGCACACCATCCACTGTAATCTGTTCAGTCAATGTGCACGATCAACAATGTGGAACAGTTCATAAAAACATTAGAAAAAGAATAACCTCTTTGCTGTATTTGTTGGTAAAATAAGGTTTAATTTGAGCTTGATGTTCTGTGATTGATCCAAAACTGTTCAGATGTTGTCCAGGTGTGATGATAACAGCGCAAAAGCATGTGAAAAATTTTTAGTTTTTTTTTCTTAGCGCTGGAATTTTCCTCAAAAATCATTCACCCGTTCTGATCTGTGCTTCGTTTCCCTGCAGGTGTGTACATCCTGATCGCAGCCGGAGCTCTGATGATGGTCGTCGGCTTCTTGGGATGCTGTGGAGCCATTAAAGAGTCGCCGTGCATGCTGGGATTGGTGAGTGACTCTTCATATTAAGCAATATCAGCAGCTCAAAATCAGCCCATTAAGTTCTATGATACGTGTTATCAAAAGTTTGGTTTAAGTGACTGTTTTTCTTTTCTCTTTTTTAGTTCTTCCTCTTCCTGCTCCTCATCTTTGCTGTGGAGGTGGCTGCCGGGATCTGGGGACTCTCCAACAAAGACCGGGTACACACACACCAGCACATACAAATCTTTATTTTAGGTGTGCAGATTCAGCGTTGAGTCATTAATACTTCTCTTCCCTCGTCCTCGTCAGGTGGTGGAGGACGTCACAGAGTTCTACAAACAGACCTACACTAACTACAAAGACACTCGACAGGAGGCTCTGAAGGAGACCCTGAGGCTAATCCACTTTGGAGTAAGAACTCACACCTGATCACCTGGCTGTTATGTATACAGTAGCTTTTTCTTTTGACTTACACCTGGAAGATAAACTAAATTTGGTTAGATGTCTATAATTTATCCTTAACAAGAGATTATTTTGGATAATTTCACAATATGTATCACAAATCTAAATGCAAGATGTAAAGTCTGTTTTAATAGGAAGTATAGAATTTGTTTTAGATCATACATGATGAACCAAAAATGAATACTGGTTATGTTTCTAATACAAAATCTTGTGGTTCTTCCTCACAGCTGGACTGCTGTGGTCCAACAGGGACTGTGATCGATGCCGCTAAAGATATCTGCCCCAAGAAGGAGGGACTGGAGGTCCTCATCACCACGGTAACAACTTACAGGGTTTCTAATTGACTTACACAGGGTGCAGTCAGTGTCACATGGAGATGTCATAGACAGTTTTGTCGCTGTGATTTGTGAACTTTTGGGGTTTTGTTTGTTTTCTTTTCATTCAAGAGAGAATAACATTTCTTTTTAATATTACAATCTCACAGTGTCAGACTTCTCATTACTCTCTAAGTCACTTTTCAATTTGAAATCTCTGTTTTAATATATGAACAACAGAACAGGGGAGCTTATTCTGACATGGTGCAAAAGTCCTAGAGGGATACAAAATGAACCTAATTAGATAAAGAGGAGTAGGTTGTCAAAGAATTCAGAGTTTGCTGAACTCATATCTTACAGGTTTGATGTGCTCAGCCCATTTAGTCAAGATCTTATCAAACTTTTCGTTCTGCACTTGGAGAAAAAACATCTTGTTGATCTTATGTCCAATATCAGTCTATTCCTCAATGGTAGTCGGTTATCTACCATAGAGGAATAGGGTGGTTTCACACCAAGGATCCATGCCTGGGTTCGAGTTTGTTGGATCATGGACTCAACACTGTGATAATAAAATCCGATCATTTCTGCTGGTGTTTCAGAGTTGTCCAGCTGCCATAGACGAGATGTTCAACAACAAACTTCACATCATTGGCGGGGTCGGCATCGGTATCGGCGTCATCATGGTGAGTGTGTGATTAACAGTCGAACACCTTAACCAAACTTGATCTTAAACACCTTCTTTTGACCTAAAGTGAGAGGATTTAACCAGAGAGAAGTCCAAAGGGAATCAGGCTTTAAAGTCTTGATTTGGTCAGTAGGATCTAAAACACTGTAAAGAAACAGAATTCACTCACATCACTCTCTGTGGACGCTGGAGTGAAAAATGTTTGAGTCAGAGAGAGTTGATTACACGAGGAAATGAATCATTCAACATGTTTTATATGTTGAACTTTGACTTTTTTTTGTTCCTGTTATCTGATGCAGACCATTCGTCTGTCACCTTTTGCTCTAGTGTTGGTTTAGTGTTTAATTTTGGACGGGAAACAAGTGTGACATTCATGAAGTGCTGTCACTTAGTCTGAGTAAATATTTGTTTCTGAGCTTGTTTCAGGTTTTTTTTTTTTCTCTTAAAAACCAACAACCATCCAGAGTTTCTGTTTTCGGTCTTTTTCTCTGTTTTCCTCTCTTTTATTTTTTCGTCATTTTTAAAGTTTTGTCTGACACTTCATATCTCGTCTCTTTCTCCTCAGATCTTTGGGATGATCTTCAGCATGATGCTCTGCTGTGCCATCAAGAGGTCTAGGGACTATGTTTAAACCACCACAAAATCATCCAGACCCCTCCTCCTTCTCTTCCTCCTCCATCATTAACTTATGTATCCCTGTGTTCCTAACCTCTGCTTTAGAGTTTATCCGTTTAATAATAGCCGGTTAGTTTGATCTTAGTTTGGGTCCATACAGGAGGAAGCACCAACCTGTGAGAGTATGGAGCCTTTTTATTATTATCTCAGCTGACTGAACAAAGAGGTTTTTTGGTTTAGTCGAAGTATAGTAAGCTGTCAGCCTCCTCTTTATCAAAACGGAGCAGGTTGATCAGCTGCAGGAGAGAGATTTCTGTGACTCTGCTGCCCCCTGGTGGACTTTGCAGATCACTGACATTTACCCGTTCTGTCAGCTCTTTAGTTCAGATTCTGTAAAATGTGTTAAATTTCACCTGGTCCGTTATCTAACAGGTTTTTTTGCAACTAACGGGATTTTTTACCTCTCGACTCCTTTTTTTCCTGTTTTTTAATTTTGCTCATTTCTCATGTCGCGCGTTTAGAAGCTTCAGTTTTTATAAGAGCAGAACTGTGGAGTTTTATGCAAATATGTTGATGAATGCAGTTCAAATGTACCTTTACAGCACCAAATAAATGAACTAATAATAAAAGAGATTTTGTCTTAAATCGAGCCTTTTGTAATGCAATCTTCTGGACAGTTCTGACTGATCATGATGACCAAAATACTGTACACTCCAGTCAGATGGTGGTTATTAACATTTCCGCTCATAACCTTGGTAAAAAAAAAAAAGACAGACAGACAGTCAGGATATACAGTTATTTATTCCATAAAACAGATGAAATAAATAAAAACAGAAACTCATGGCTTGGACAATCCTAAAGTCGTGGGTGAGGTTTGATCCTCCGGTGGAAGGCGGGGCTCGTTCCCCTTTAGTCTCTTTGTCACTCCAGCTCTTTGTCGCTCACTGCTTGTTGTCAGTTAAACTGTGTGTTTACTTAAAAGTTCGACTGCAGATCATCTGTAAACAAAACTACTGCAAAACAAGACGAGAAAACGCTGCACAAGAATTGAATAAACAAGACGTGACTTTAGACGTCCACAGCAAGTTTGTTTGGAAGTTCTCCAACATAGACACCAAAAAAAACATCAGTTGACTGTCTGTAAGAAAAAAACAAAAGTGGATGCTGCCTCTGAGTTTGATAGATGGAGAAATGCCTCAAAACTGCATTCTGCCTCGTGGCCAGCGGGGGGCAGCTCCACTGGTTGCACTGGTGATTGTGCTCCCTAAACTCAGTTCATGATCTTAATCTGAAGTTTCAAGTCTTCTCCAACATGTAAAGATGTCAATGTTGTAAATTATGGTCCCGTGTGTAGACAGTTCTCTTTATTGGCTGACAAGTTGCTACCATTGTAAGAAGAGAAAAATGTCTGAATCAGCTTGAAGTTGTACCAAAAGACGCTTTGAGAAAGGAGTCGTTAATATTTTCTGTTATAATCGGAGCCTGAGCAGCAAATTTGACACAAGGGGGCTGATGAAATGCAAGTCATTAGAGGTAAACAGATTTATTGGCCAATTACTGGAGCCAATTTTTGGCATTTGGCTGATAATCTGTATTGGTTCCAAATATAAGTTGCCAGTTTCACGAACTACAAGGAATTAGTATTGGTATTGGTCCTGAAAATTCGGTATCGGTCCTTATTCTTTGCTTGGATGAATTACAGATTTGGCAGCTTTGATGTGCCCCAAAATTTGCCAAAGTTGGCACTCAGGTTAAACCTGGAAATTGTTGATAGTAGCCACAGTAACCTGATAGAAACCCAATTGAATAACGACTAAAAGCTATTTTTGAGCTAAATCACCCAAAAACCTCTTGACTTGAGCTCCTAAAACACAAACAGATATTGATTTTCTTTGCCTCTTCAAGAATAAATTTGCAGTTCTGATGATTTTGGATTTAAAGTTGGACCAGTCAAACTCTCAGAGGGTATCTTTATTGCTTTCTCTCAATAAAACAGTAATCCAGTGCGTAGAGTCTGCTAGTTTAAGAGACTCATCCAACTTTGGTGCAAAGGTGCATTTGGAAACCAGCTCTGTGTTAGTTTTAAATCCAGGGTCTTTAAAGCAGCTGCTCAGACTTCAGAGAGTTTCTATCAGCGGGAACTCTCCAACACAACCTTGATGTTTTGAAAAGACTGATCATACAAAGTGAAACAAACATTTTTGAGATTATTGTTCTTTGTTTTTTGGTGTAAAAATAAACCTAAAGCTACTCTGTGCTACAGACACTTGAAAATCAAAGCTTGAGATTGTAAATGGCAGTGTTATTAGTGCAAATTTTAAACGGCAGTGTGATATAGAAATGTGAAGATAGATCCTGGTGATATAGAAATGTGAGGATCTGGTGTGCTGTGAAGTTTCAGTGTAAAGCCACATGAATCGCTCTCATTCATTGTGATTGGTGCAGCTGGCCTGAGCGTGTGTGCGTGTGTGTGTTTTTGTGTCAGTGTGTCTATGGCTTACACAACCATTAGTGAGTGCTCAGTGGCAGAATTGGCAGTGGGTCTCTGAGTTTAATAAAAAAGAAAAAAAAAGAAAAATCCTCTTACTGAGACTCAGTTTGGAAACTTCACTAAATCCAGCCCTGATCATCAGATCAGCTGAAAAACAAAAGTTGAAAAAAGAAGCAGAAAGAAACGACAAACTGTTGCATATAGTTTCCTACACAGAGCTCAGGAGCTGCTGTGCTATTGCTGTGCTAGGCTAGCCCGTGCTACAATCTACAGTACTGATGGGAGGGAGGCTCTGACATCAACCCTCAGTGATTATGTGCTCAGTATTCCCACTCTGGTCAAAGGAAAAATCCACCCTCTTCAAATTCTTCATAGTTAAAAAACTATTGGCTTCTCAGTGCTGTGCATTACTTCGAATGTTCAGTTTGATATCAGGAAAGTGTTTTTTTTTCAGGAATATAAAAAACTGTCAGTGAATTTTGATCCAAAGAGCCTGAAGCAGTAAAATTTTCAGAGGATTGTAGGAACAAAATAGCACCTTTCTCCAGATCAGAGCGTAGCAAAGATTTAACAAAAACAGGAAATCTGCTGATGCTTTGACAAAAAGACAAAAAGCTCGACTTTTAGTGTAAAGATCTGTAACATATACTTCCAAGAACTCTCCTCTGTGGATTTGTCTTCAGTTTTGGTCAGAAATGGGAGAATAGTTTGATTTAGACTTTCTTTTCACAGAAATTTTTCCTGTAAATTCACAAGATTAACCAACGTTTTTGACTCCATCCATTCTCCTGTATCATAGGATTAAATTCACTAAGATGAGCCCTTGGTGGTGTTATTCCTCTATTACACTCTACATTATACTGTCAAGGAAGATGAGAGTGCAGTGAGATAAAAAGAATGGGCGCCATGACAGCACGCCATAAGTGAAGCCAAAACATTTAGAGCTCCCCCTGCTGACTGACTGACTGCAGTACAATTCATAAGGCTCACCTGCTCTGTGTTAAAAGATGGGACATGAGTCAAACTATAAAATCAAAATACAGGTCAGATAAATGTGGTTCCTGTCACTCCATTTTTATCATGTAGATTTCTCTTCAAGGGATCTCTTCTGGACAGTTTCATCGGCAGTCAAAGGTTCAACTTTCATATATCATTCATGTAAATTAATCGTTGTTTAAATTTTAATGGTTATGGTTTATAGCTCCTGCACTGTGCTTTGGTTAACCACAGCCTCAGACTCTGGATCCAGATCTAAGTGCGTGAAGTAAGGAGTATTTTGGGTTTATTTTGGCATCAGTTTTGTACAGCGAGAGGAGGAGGAGGAGGCCATATAGAGTCAACTGAGAAAAAATGTAACATGATTTAAAAATGGAAAAAAAAAGCTTGTTTTAAATGTGTTTTCTGTGGCTCATTTTGAAACCCTGAATGCACCGTAAAGCAATGAGGCAGCAGATTTTAAACTTGGATAATGAAGCTGTTCAAAATTCGGTCCAGAAAAACAAACACTGAAGAATGAAATAAATACAGATTATGTTTTGATTTTATAGCATGACTTTGATAATGATATAATGTGATAAAATGCCCCTGACAACAACAATTTGGCCCCTTTTTTCTGGCAGTTATTCTGAGACAAGAACATAAATTCTTAAATAGTTTAAATTAACAGGATTAAAGGGCAGATTTTTCCTTTAACTGTTGCATAATCATATTAGAGCTATTATTTCTAGTTTAAGTGCTTGTTTTTGTGAAAGGATATGACTGTAAATGTTTAAGTGCTTGTAAACACACCTGCTTCCTTAAAGAGTTCACCCTTCACCTCATAGTCTATCATGATTTCTCCGCTGTCACACCTCAGCACCAACAGCTCGGACAGTTTTCCTTCCACTGGAATCATCAAGTTTGACTGGTTTTGGTCTGAGGACCTTCAGTTTGCCTCATTTTGCTCCTTCACATTAAAAATGTGACAAGTTTCCTTCGCTCCTGTCCGTCCGTGCAAGTCCTCCCATCTGTCTGTCAAGGCCATGTCTTCCCTTCTTCCTCCTCCTGCTTGTCGCCGTCTCTACCTGACGTTGTGGAAGTACAGGTTGGCACATAGACACAGCAGCACGATGGACGCCAGCATGAAGTAGATCAGGTTCCTGAATTTGGGCTCCAGGTCGCCCTGCCGATACCAGAAGATCTAAGAAAGAAAAAAATCAAATATAAAATCAATATCTTATTTTCATTACTGCACTTTAAAGAGACCTGGTTCTGAAAGCCGAACAGCAACCAACATTTGTAACATTGGTGACTAAGGAGTTATTTTCTGTTTCACTGCTTTACTTTAATTAGCTGAACTCGTTCCTTTTACTTCATCTCAATGTAACTGGACTACTACTGTTTGGTCTCTTTTGCTATCAGCAGCTTTAGGTTGAAAACATGCACTTGACTCTATCTTTTTCTTCATATTCAATATTTTTTAACAGTTTCAACTATGGAAATTAATGCAGAAGGCGTCGTTTTAAAAGTGGTATTGAAATATAAACACAAAAAGTGAATTTTGTGAAATTTGAGTGAAGCATGACACAGCAGAAACGATATTGAAGAAGTAACTGTTGTTGCAGCAAAGCTCTGCTTCTCTCAAAATGACATTGAGTGTCATGTCTTCAGCTGAACGGATCAAGCCTTTAAAAAGAAAATCCCTCTAGTAAAGAGAAAAACTATTACCAGCACTAAAGTGGATCCACAGGCCAACAGGATGCAGATGGCAAAGAAGACATTAAGCGGTCGAGGAGGCAACGCAGGGAAAACAAATGAACTGATAACAGTCACCTGGAAGACAAAAAACAGGAGTGATCATTAGAGACAACCAAGTCTTTAATGCATTTGATGTTTAAAAAAAATCCTTTTACAGGTTTAAAACATCCTGTAAGACACATGAGCTTTGCACATGGATGAACAGATGGATTTCAAATGTTCTCTGTCAAAGTGATCTGGACTAAAAGACGACAAAGAATAGCTCCTTAAAACCTAATTTGTTTAACACTGTTAAAAAGGAACTTGTGTTTGGTTAAGTGAATGAATTAAAGCACAAAAACAGGAAACAGAAAAGAGTTGGAAACACTTTCAGTTTAGAGAAGTAGAGGTAAGAACAGATGAGTCTTTGTTTCATCTGCAATCACTCCCTGAAGTTGAGATTCTCTGACCCAATACCTTAGATAGATAAGCAGATTCAGAGATTTAAAAATAGATTAATAAAATTATGATGTTTTGTATCAGGTCAAGCCTTTTATCCAGGACTTTCCAGGATGTGTTTTTTTTTTTTTTCTCCTGTAACAGATCTGAGTACTTCCTCTGTCGTTGGCACTCTATTTTCATTGTCATTCAGATGTGAGTAAGAGCAGCTTTGTTCGTTGTTCCTGATTTCACTGATTTAGGAAGACTCAGGGGAATATTTCTGTAACTCACGTCTATTTTTGTGCAGCAGTGACTTTTACCATAAAACAGGTAGTAACAATATGATGCTGCAGTGCAATAATCAGGCCATCTGTCATGCTTTGAAACTCCTTGATTAGAAATGAGATCACTTACATTTAGTATCCTGCTTTCTTACTTGTTACCTGGCTGTACTAAGTGCTTGATCCTGATTGGTCACAACCCTGTAATGATCGTCATAAACTATATGACAATAAAGGTGTAATATGGCTGTCCCAGGTGTTACACATCACTCAAAGGCTTGTTTACAAGCAGCAAGAGCTCTACACACACACTCACTCAGACATGCACACACACACACACACACACACACACACACACACACACACACACACACACACACACACACACACACACACACACACACACACACACACACACACACACACAGTGCTGTTCTGCCCTGCTGACTCAGATGTTACACATCGCCTCCTCATGCTCGCCTTTCTGCCTTTAGTACTACCTCTGAGGGACAATCAAAGGTTGAACACCACCTACCCAATACAAGCAGCTGAGGTGTGACAGGGGCGGAGATGCCTTCCTCATTTATATAGTATTATGTGTATGTTGTGATGTACTGCTGCAGATTTGTACTCACTAAAACAACCGCAGTCGTAAATCCCCCCACTGCCAGGTTGATGATTCGATCCTGCAGGGAAGACAGTTGAACACGCGTGATTAGTTAAAAACAACAGTTTGTGTCGCTTACTAATACTTGAATATACTGTATATTACGTTACTGTTGACTCTTAATTCAATTTTAATTCATTCCTCTATGTTTTGGAGCTCATTTGTTGTTCCGAGAATGGTATGAAATGCAAAGAAGGAAAAGTAGATTAATGGTATTTTTGTGGGACTTGTAGACAACAATGAGCATAGACAATGACTCAACCCTGAGATACATAAAATAAAACTTACGTTAGCATTAGCTTGTACAAGTAAAGAATGACACAAACATGAAGGTGGGCTGTTCTTAAAACACAACAAGGCTACATTTATGGAATTACATATCACAGAAACATCCATCATTGTACATGTGATCTCCTCCAAATTGTAGCAGATTTCATCCTCTAACCTTAAATCAAACTTTTTTTCTCATTTGTGCAGTGTAACAGTGACATTTACACTGGATAAAAGCAAAACACAAAGTGCATTATGTTAATTTGTCTCCTAGCACAGAGCACGCTTCCTCCAGGCTCCTACCCGTGCCGAGGTCTCCCCGAACAGAGGTCTGTTGTCCAGGCCGCTGGTGCCGTACGTCCTGGTGGTGAAGTCATCCATGGTTGGCTCGGCAGCGACACTTTCAGCTCCAACCGCTCACCTCTCAGCAACGCCGCCTCCTGGAAACACTGGGCAACTGCTGCATGCTCGCTGGCTAGCTGGCTGGCTTGTTTCCAGCTCCTTCCCTCTGACAGCAGAGTGTCGGGAGGCTTGAGGGTCAACAGGCGGACAGAGGCATAATCGAGGGTGACTCTACTGGCCTTGTGTGTTTGTTAGTTTACCTAAAAAGAGAACAAAACTGCAGGTTATAATCAGGAAATGCTGAAGAGACTGACCCACAAAAATAACAGGGTTTTTTAACATCTTCGTATGATGGCTTCCTAAAACCAACTGACTGAATGCAGGACAGGTTATAAAGCCCATCTCCTCCATGTTAACAGATGGGACATGGGTAAAACTCTAAACCCAAAACATACGCCAAATACATTTCTCAAACATGCTTTCTGTCAGTAGAGTTGGTTCTTGTAATGCTGTTTTGTTTTGTTTTTTTCATGCAATCAACATGAACACCGAGCCCCAGGAAGAAGCTGTAAATTGAGGATGCTGTACTAAGAGATGCACGTTTCTCCTTGTACTGTACCTTTGCGTATAATCAGTTATAATGCAAAACCTTTTTTTAATCTATCAAGTTTGAATATAAGTCTTCAAATCAACATTTCATTTGTAGCTGCACTCTGCTGTACTGGTGAGAGCTTACGAGCACAATTTGATAAAACAAGTTCAAAAGGCTGTAGCTTTACTTTACTTTCGCTCAGGTACTGCGGCTGCAGTCCTTTTCTAAGCAGAAAGCTCAACCCACAGACTTTTGCCCCATGTCTCCCCCCTCTCACTCTTCACAGTTTCCTTATATATCTGCTGCCCTATTTCTGAGTTCAGTATAAATAATGTTTTGCCCTTTTAGTTGCAAAGGAAGGAGCTGTTCTCCTCACTGTGGTAACCACCTCACAATAACACACACCAGATTTATATTGTGGCTTGTTCTGCTTCAACTTCCTCTTTTCGGGGGTGAACATAACCACATATGCCAGTTCTATCTTTCAAAAAGACGAGCAAGAATGATAGTGATCAGAGCTGCAGAAAAGAGGAAGATAAACAACTCCACTTTATTCTCTTACAGTAAAATCGGTGTTTCCCTTCTTTTTCACAACAACAGAAACTCCATCCACCACACAGCCGGGCCACAGACCAAAGCTGGATCTAAAAAGTTACTGATACTGATGGTTTGCTCGACATATAGGACACTTTTTGGGCAAGAATTGTCTGGTGTTGGCCGATCAGATGTTAGGAACGACTGTATTATTACTGTGAACTAAACACTGTTCAGTTTTCAGAAAGTTGGGTACCAAAAAAAAAGCGATAACAGCCTGGCCTTTAGGGACTTGTGATGATTGTTCTTGAATTTTACAATATTTTTAGACCAAAAAGAAAAGAGTATGGGGGCGCAAAATGATCATGACTCATATGAAAAGCTCAGTGAACAACCGTATTATTAACATTGTAAGCCTGCTTATGTAAGAATCACACCACATGCTCTTGAGCAGCTGAGAAATAAGTGTTATGGTGGAAACAACATTAAGAATGAACTTTGACCCTCTACTTAGACTTGGCTTTCAATTCCTTGATAAGAAACAAAACTTTTCTTGTTCATTAGCGCTTAAAAGAAAAATTTCCTTACTGGAATATCTTGAATTTTTACGTTTAAAGGTCTTTTATGATAATATCGAGGAAAAAAAGCTTCAGTGTTCTCGCATTAATGTACTTTTTCAGCCCTAAGCTTTGCCCTCAGTGTGACTCGTGCTGCTCACAACCTCAACTCATGAGATAGTCAAGACTCGATGTAGTCTGACAGCCAAAACCCAGGGCAAACAAAAGCAAGAGTCAACTTTTGCGGCACTTCACATTGTGTGCATAAGAATTTGAGTTTATTTATTTTTACTTAGACCTCAGGCTAAGTGTTGAAAAGTCCCGATGCCTGAGAGGAAACAAAGCTTTGATCTGACGCAATAAATGTGTGAAAGAGGCTGTGAAATACACGCTGCATTGTATTTTTGGATATTAAATATTGCTAAAATCCCTGGAGAATTTTCAAATCGGCTCAGCAAGGCCTCATATCCCAGAAATGGCACAAGCAGACCACTGAAGCAAAGAGAAACCAGAAGAGTTTGATCTCTACAGAGAAGACAGCGATAAAATCATCACCAGGAATGTTAAACTTCTCAAAAAATTACAGTTCCACTCCTTGTCTTCAAGGTCAAACAGGGATTTTTACAAAGACAGCAGCTGTGGACGGTTTCTGCTTCCTTTCTGTGTCAGAAGGCAGCAGGAAAGGAAATAACACCCTGCACTGAGCTTTCTCAGCAGAAAACACACACAGCGGAAAACAAGAGCTTCATTATAAAGCGGCATAAAACTGGCCTAAAGCTACATTCCTGCTCAGCCTTGTGATTCAGTAGGCTCCTTAAAAAATGAGAGACCCCACGACTTAACTTGGCTGGAAGGAAAAATATTTAGTTGATATTTGAGTTGAGTTGACCCACATGGAGTCATTACACTTGAGATAACCTGAGGAAATAAAGCCCTTTAAGACAGGGAAGGCCCAGGTGCCAAAAAAAAGAGCTTTGATATACACGCAAAGTTGAAGGAGTCTGTCAACAAAACTAATTCAGGGCTGTGGTAAATGTTATTTACATCATTTCTTAAGTTAATCGCCAGTTCACTGATTTCATTCTTTATACTCTATGGACCAAATGAGTAAAAATGCTCAATGAAGTTCTGAGATATGTCAGACAAAGAATCCAAAAGCTTAAAAATCTTCAGTTTACGTAAAACAACTAGAACAGAAAATATGTTGCATATCTTTCATATTGAATATATTTACTTACCTTTTCAGTTAGACTTGCATAAGAATGACATTTTTACAGATTTTGAGACAAACACCTATGACCAATGGATAGGTGTGTATCTTCTCTACCTGGGTGCAATGGCATTTAGGGATTTTCTGATCTCAACTATTGGATTGGAGCCGATCTGGACATGTTTTGAGTGATCTAGGATTATTAAAGTCAAGCGAACTTTTCTCAGCTAAACCCAGACTTTTTAACACTATCATTATTCTGTACTCCCCTAAAATCATCAACATTAAACCACCAGGTAAACATCACTCTTACTAACATAATTATGGAATGAGGTACCCCTCCAAATAAGACAAGCCCCCACACTGTCCATTTTTAAAACTCGTCTTAAAACCCATTTTTGTTCATTGGCTTTCAACATGAGTGCATGAGACTCGGCTCCTGTTTTCGTGTTTTATGGTTAAATAGATTTTGCTTTTTAATATCTACTTTTATTTTATCCATTGTTTTAATTGTTTTTTATGTTTGCATTGTTTTGTGTATTTATGTAAAGCACTTTGTTCAGCTATGGTTGTTTTAAAGGGCTTTACAAATAAAGTTGAGTTGAGATAAGAGCATGTTATAGATTATGATGTTACTATATCTCTCCTATCTTATAATCATAGTACTGTATATTCAAAATCACACAATTGTATTTCATTTTCATTGTACTTTTCACTCACATTTCCCTGTATATCAATATACCACTGTGTGTACTTAAGCAGCTTGAAATAATATTCTGAGCAACATTCAATCAGTCCATAAGTAATGCTATTTGCTATTTTTAACATTTGCAAGATTCATGATCATGTCATGCATTTTTATTCATGTCTTAATTTCCATTGTGCTCATTGTGAGCTGTTGCGATAAGCATTAACAGAATCAATAAGGTGTTTCTTCTCTCCAACACCAACAACATGCTACACCTGAATGTCAACAGGACAATAACCCCAACACATGAAATCTCTGACAGCTATTAATACTTGAAATTTCCTCACAACTTTACCAAAGACTTCAGTAAGTTATAATACAGCGCAGCCCGCTTCCATTAGCTGAGTAAATACCTTTAACTTTAACCAAACAGCTTGTTAGCCGTTATGCCAGTTACTGCCAGAGGCTAAACGGTGACAAACCGACCATATGTTACCGTTAAGTGGTAAGTATGCCAGAAAACAACATTATAATTCCTTTAAAATAACCATAACTCGGTTTTCAATGGCAGCAAGAATAATAAAGGTACGCTACTTTTTGTCCTGAAAGCGAACCTGAGATTTATCCGTTACGAGGCCAACTGTAAATCAGGTTGCTAATGAAGCTAAGCTAACCACACAAACAGCTTCCTCACCGTAGACAGGAATCAATACGTCCGAGACAGCTGCTTAATAAGCTGATAATGCCATGTTTTTACCATCCCAATCCACCCATATTTAGTGGGACACTTGCCTTACAGCCTCCGTGTCGCTCGCTCTGGAAACATAACTTCAGAAAAGCCGAGCAGCAGGGTCGACTATCACTTAAAGGGAATGAGCCCGGTAGCTTCAGTTATGGCTGTTAAAGGGGAGTTCAGTTTGCTGTTGGGCCGACTGCGTCACAGCTTGTCGAGCAGGTTTAGTGAAGCTGCTCACCAAACCTCATTCAAACAATAGACAATTTAAGAGCGAGTGTTAATAGGTAAAGATACGTTCCCCGTTTTACTCAAGAGTTAGACTACATTTTACCAGTATGTTTATATATTCAGGCATAATTATTAGGGAAAAAAATCATCTGTCAGAGCTTTGTTCTGATTTGTTTCTTGCCTGACTCTGTTAATTGAGAGTCATATCAAAATTTCAACTCCTCAGAGCCCATTCGTTTGCTTGAAAACGGACTATCAATGGTTTGTGTAAACTTGCAGAATTAAAACACTAGAGCATTTTAACCCCACTTTTTTTTTACCCATACAAATGTGGTACCTGACTTTTGACTTGAACATCAAAAGTACCTTAAACCTTTTACCTTTTACCTGATGTAATGGACTGAACTTCATACTGATGCCACTAATGACTAAAGTAAGAAAACAAGACCATTGACAAGAAGACTGGCTATTTTTAATGTGGTGATTTTTTTATGGCTGCATAAAAATGGTGGATGTCAGCTGAGTAGCTGTAGAAACAGTCCTGTTCTTACAATTTCCACAAAACAACAAAAACATTTAATTGTCAAAAGTCAAGAGGATGAGAATTTTTTTTCCACAGACACTACTTATGCATTCAGAGGACAATATAAGCAAAAGCTGTATTGTCCACAGGGGGCGCCAAAATTGACACAAACCAAAGCTCCCTAAGGGAACTTAAGAATTACTACTATAATTCAGTTTTGATTGTACTTCAGTTCCTGGAGTGGGAGGAGTAAATATACTCCCTTCAAATTATACGAAAGCATATTTTCCTGAGATAATTTTAATAACATGACCAAAAGTAGAAATGTGTGATGTGATTGTAACTCTGTACCTATCCAGGCTGAATTATATAATAGTTTTGCAGCATTTTTGGTCAGTATTGCACTTAATAGAGCCCTTGATCATGTCATGGTTTTGCAGAGTGGCTTGTTAGAATAAGCAAAAAACAGGGACATGATTAATAATACAGGAAAAATGGGTTTAGACTTTAGTGTAATGAGGTGTTTTTGCCAGCAGTGAACTAAATTTTCTTGGTAAAATGGCAGAAATGATCCAAGCAGCTCCCCTGTCTCTGGTGCAGCAGGTTGCAGTCACCTCGCCTCGTACTTTACTCTCTGTAGGATCCTTACGGTCAACTTACTTTCTAATTAAAAGCTAATGAAGCATACATTTCTCATTCAAGCTATATTAAGAAATATGTTCTTGAACTGAGGACAAAAAATACACTCAGATCTGAGAGGCAGCGGGTTGTGTATGTAATCTCGCCCCTCATGTTACCATCACATGAGGTGAGTGTGACAGACCGAGCAAATAATCCCAGCAAAAGTACTTTTGTCACATTGTTAACTGAAGGTCATGAATATTAGAGTGACCATGAAAGACTGTAGTGACCTCAATAAGCCAGTAGTAGCAGTGGTAAACTGTCATAAGTCATCAAGGTTATGTAATTTGACTGAAGAATTTCTTCAACCAGCTACCGTTGGTCATAGAAACTTATCAAGTGCATTGGCAAGAACAGGAATAATCTTCTCTGACATGATTTATCTGCCCAAAGTAAACAAGCATGACTGAATCCAACACAAGAGTTGCATTTACAGTTTCTTTGCTGTGTTTTTCATGTACACTTCCTACATGCAGCCTTCAAATAAGAGCTCAGAATTATGTAGAAAAAAATAGAGACAAAAATGATCGGGTAACATGGCTGATTTTAGTTTGACAAAGTTCCTCTCACTATCATTCAGAGGTAAAACAGTGCTCTCTTCCAGGAAAGCCATAAATTCAATAGACCTTTTCATTTAATACAGCTGACCAGTGCCAAAATGGGTAAGGAATACTGCCACATTCTTTCATACCAAATAACATACATTAATCATACAGGAAATAGGCATTTAACACCAGGTTTTATGCATAAGGTTACATATATCATTCTGTCAATTGTACCTTTATAAAAGAAAAGATAATTGATAAAAAAGTGGCCCCTTCCATATAAACCAAAAACACAACTCCACTCTGGTGAAAATATTTACCAAAGCCCCTTGTTTGACTTGTATGTATTCCAGCTCATCCCTGTAGCCCGCCTGCTGGAATCTGTACAGGTTTTCCACCTCTGCAGTCCATTCTTTGGCTCTGCCCATGGACTTTGGCTTGGAGTTGTTATCAGGAGTATAAGACATGGTGGTGATGTCAAAAGATGCAGGAAATGGTCTCTGATAAATGATATGAGAGGAGAGAAAAACGCCTCACAACTGGGTCATAAACATGCATTAAAGTTTGAATCTCACAGGTTTGCCAGTTATAAAAAGTGACACCTTTACAAAAAAAAGTAAACTGCTTGGTATCTTTTAGTGTATGTCGAACTTGTACAGACGCCTTAAACATATAAGTCAGTGAAAAGGGTTGAAGAAGTTTCTTTTAAGTAACTTATGAAATATTTTAATTTCTGTTTAAATTAACCTCATATTATATAACTGACTTAGGCTCAAGGCTTTATTTAGAAGACGGCGTTTTGTGTGGAGTTTACACATTTTCATAGACTGTTTTCAGAGAAGTACAGAACAGTGTCATCCTTTCGACAGCAGATGGCAGTAATACTCGTTGGATGATAATAAATACCGCTAAAATCAGCGAAGAAGAAGATTGACTGCAAATGTTTACCGGGAAGATGTGAAGATAGTGACGAAGATCTGCTCCCACTTTTATTGATACAACATCAAATACTTATGAGCAGTTAGAGCTAAGTAGTCAAATGTAAAGATGAGTTCATTTGCAGGTCGTATGAAGGAATATCCCACCATTTCTCTGGACCGGTTCGACCGAGAGAACTTACATGCCCGGGCATATTTCCTCTCCCACTGTCACAAAGGTGAGCCACGAAGTCAGCCAGCATCACCAATGTGTGGGCTTTACATTGATGTTGTTTGATAGTATTTGAAATTCATGACATTTACCATTTAAAAAGCCTTGTAGCAACAGAAACTACAAGTTTACTAAAGGTGACGATGTGTTTTTATGTCATTTGGCTTCCACCAGATCATATGAAGGGGCTAAAAGGACCAAAACTGAAGAGAAAACTGCAGTTCAGGTGAGGAGGACTACTAAGATAGAAGAAGGTCGTTTTATTGGAAAGGGAAGGCATTAGTGATCAAATATCTGCAGAAAGGGTTGCTGAAAATAAGTCTGTGATATAGATTATTTGGTTAAAAGTTATCATCTGATATAGTAAATGACCTCAAAAGGATTCAGTACATGAAATGAGCTTGTTGAATGACTGAATCTTGTCTTCTCTTTGGTTCCAGTCGCACAGTCAGACTTTACTGCTCATTTGTGACCAAAGAACTTCTGCTGAGCAACCAAAAGTATGCTTTCTGGGAGGACTACATTGTAAGTGTGCCAGACAGAGCATTGAAACAGGTTTTTGGCATCATGGATGTTATCTTATTTTTTGATTTGCAACAGTTTACCCCCCTCTTTCTCTTTGTTTTGGGGTGTTTTTCTTTAAGACTGATAGTGGAATTAGAAGTCACATCCTTCTCTGATTGCTTTTTAATACACTTCTTCTCTTCTGATGGATGGTTTAGGTTCCCTTGGAGCTGGAAAGCCCAACTCAGATCTCTCTGGTTGACGAGGAGTCAGGAGAGGTAAAAACAGAACTCCTAGTTTCCTCCGACATGTAAATGTGTATGTAGTTTATTTGTTTGGTGAGATTTTCTGTTGTTTGTTTGACAGAAAGAAGACATTGTGGTCACGCTGTTAACTGCAGGCCACTGTCCCGGCTCTGTTATGTAAGTCGAACCATTTTCCAACTTTTTTTTCCCCAATGTCTATTTTCACAGCACACTTGATTCATTTCATAGGATGTTTAAACTGTAAATTTACTCAGTCTAGAGTGTTGTCTTTCTGTCCGTGTAGGTTCTTGTTCGAGGGCTCTCAGGGAAACGTTTTGTACACAGGAGACTTCAGGTTGGCAGCTGGAGATGTTTCACGGATGGAGCATCTGCACTCCGGCAGCAGGTTTGTACTAGTGTTAATAAAAAGTGCTTTTTTCTATTTTCTCAAACTAGGGTTATATTTCTGATCCTATTTTTTAACATTTCACACACAGAGTGAAGGATATTCAGAGTATCTACCTGGACTCCACTTTCTATGACCCACGATACCATCAAATACCTCCTCGGGTAAGTTGAAGGGATGGACACGTGGTTTACAGCTGAAATAGGAACAGCTGGATACCAGAAAATGAATCTGACTGTAGAAAAGCAGCTGGACTTTTGGAGAAAAATGAAGAAAAAAGATGTTAAAAATACACATTTTTAATCTCTGTGTGTCTGCAGGAGGTGTGTCTGAGCGGCGTCTTAGAGCTTGTCGGAAACTGGATCAGTCAGAGTCCGTATCATGTCGTCTGGCTCAACTGTAAAGCTGCGTATGGATATGAGTACCTGTTTACCAACCTGGGAGAGGAGTTCAACACACAGGTGACCCATGACACACATTACTATAAACTTCACAATATACCATAAGATCCGTAGTATGAGTCACACCTAGGCCTGTCACGATAACAAATTTTGCTGGACGATAATTGTGCTACAAATTATCGCTGATAAACGATATTATTGACACCGTTTTTTAAATTATAGATAATGATATTAAATGGCATAATAATGCGAGTACACCGTGTCAAAAGTGATAAACTTTAATTTTACCCACGACGAAGACGTAACGTTGACGAGCTAAACATAAGTCGGAGATGACTAAAATGTGACGAGACGAAAATGACAAACAGAGTTGCAAAACTCAGTCAGTTAAACGCTAAACATATAGGAGCAGCTTCAGTCCGCTCTGACAGCTCTCATCAGCCTGCTGTGCTCCTCCAACACACAGACACACACGAGCGCGCGCGCACACACGTGGAGTTTTCTGGTTGGCGAAAACAAAACTGGTTTAAAGCCGAAATATTCCCACACTTGGGCTGTTGCGTTCGGTTTAGACACCAAAGCTGTCGTGTTCATTCTGTTTGCTTGCTTTTCACTCACGACGCTCACTTGCAGCACTGTATCCAAAAGTCTGTGTCTGTGCGCGCCTACGTGTACCTGCGCGCGCGCCCCCTCGTAACAAAGACACTGAATGACTGACAGGAGGGTTCACTAACTCCGTTCATTCCGCTATAAAGCCAACGCCCCCAGGTGCCGAGAAAAATGCGCAGAGTGAGACCTCTTCTCTCATCCAGCGTGTTTGGTAGCGAGAGAGGAGGAAAACAAACGCACGTCAATTATCGAGGCTGGCAAAGTTATCGACCTCGTTTTTATTTATCGAGCGATAAGGCGATTTATTGATTATCGCGACAGGCCTAGTCACACCTGTGTATAAGGAGTAGTCATTTTTTGGCAGATATCTCAGAAGAAAAACGTTAAAGCTGTGCATGAGTACTAAAGACAGACTGATTAATCAATCGGCTGATCAATCTGGCTGATTATTGGTAGTTGGCACTAATGCAGCTGATATGACAACTGTCTTTTGTCGCTGTCATGTTCATCTTCCTCTTGTTAGCAGCAAAGCGGTGGTTTAAAGTTCAAGCGCCATCAGCTGGCGAACATGCTCTGATGCACTTAAATACCTTTGTCAGTCTTGTATTCTGGTGTACCCTTTTTTCTGATGACAAAAAAAGGTTTTACACCAAATTTTATCTCCGTGTCCTTCTACACACAAATCAATACAGTGTCTGTTAAAATCTTTGTTTTTACCTCTTAGATCCATGTGGGAAGTCTGGCGATGTTCAAAAAAATGCCAGAGATTCTGAGCTACATGACGACCGACCGCAGGACCCAGATCCACGCCTGTCGACACCCAAAGGTCTCACAGCTGCTCTCTCTATTCTGTCACTAAAGAGCTGTAATTAAAACCCTGTTTTGCTTTGGGTTAGAAAAGAAGAAAATAATGATCTTGTATCTGTTTCAACAGGAGCAAAACTCTCTCCTCTCTTTACTCATCTTTTGATGCTTTTGATGACCGTATCAATGTCTTCTCTTTTTCTCCGTATGTTCAGGACGAGGAGTTTTTCCAGGGTAGCAGGCTGCCATGTGGCTGCACAGCCTCTGATGGCACTCCCCTTCGCATCATCAGCATCAAACCGTCCACCATGTGGTTCGGAGAGAGGATGAGGAAAACCAATGTTATTATAAAGTAAGAGTTCATGTGGATTCACTAAAAAAACGAAAAAATGCTTTATCACAGTTTGATTTGTGTGTGCTGAATGTGTCTTATTGTTGTTGTTGTTTCTCTTTACAGAACAGGAGCCAGTTCCTTCAGAGCCTGCTTCAGCTTTCACTCGTCCTACTCGGAGGTTCTTAAACTGTTTATGTTAGCCGGCTCTTTTCGAAGCGGGCCCTTTTTTAAAATCTTCTCAGTCTTAGAAAACCATATTTTTTCATGTTTTAGTTCAAAATGATTGTCTGATTCAGCTGGCCTTGATTCACTCAGAAAACTTGTGAAAGCATTTGTGAACAAGAAGATTTAGTTTAAACTTTTCTGCTTTTAAATGACTTGTCCAAAATCCCCCATTCCAACAATGTGTCTCCATTTCAGCTCAAAGATTTCCTCTCCTACCTCAAGCCTGTCAACATTTACCCCAATGTAATTCCTATCGGTCGAACACTGTCTGACGTCACACAGATGTGAGTGAAGTTTAATTTTTTAATGATGTATTCAGCCTAAAATGAATTAATCAGAAAATGAATGAATTATCACAAGAAAACTCATCTAAATAATAATTTTATCAAGCAATATTACCAGTACTTGCGTTGGCGGGGGAATCTTAGAGTTAAAGCATTTTGTCTCTGAATAGGTTGAAGCCGATGTGCAGGAACCAATCCGACCAAGCAGCACCCGTGTACAAACCTCTGGGAGTCCTCAAACGCAGCATGGCGCAGCGACCTACATATGGTGAGACAAGAATACGGGTTCATTTCATGTGCTCTGTGAAAACACCTGTTCCTGCACCTGTAACTGTGAGGCTTGTTAGCAGTTAGTTATGTGATAAAACGACTTATTTGAATGAGTCCAAAGAAGACACAATGTTTGCATCACATACTAAAGGACGGTTAGATTTGATGTTATTAAAGAAAAACAACCCTCACAGCTGAAATATTAAAAGAGATGCACCATGAAGACAAATAAGTGCACTCCTAAAGCAGAGCAGGTGATCAATCTTCTTCAAACTAACAAAAAGGCCACAAACCTGATGGTTCCTCTCCTGCTTCTTAAGCCCTTGATCCCTTCGAAGCAGGACCCTGCACCCTTGATGAAGAGCCCCCGTTTGTCCTCACGGGTTACAGTAGGTTGTGGGACTGCCATATGTTAAAGAAGCAACTGCATGAAAAGTTTTCAGGTTTTGTTGTTTGTGGTGTAACTTTGCAGTTTCTAACCAAAAGCATCGATGCGGACAAAAAAAGTTGTGTGTGTGTTTGGCCTGATGAAAATAAAGCTGTGTGGTTACATTCTTCATATTGTTATAACATCAAAACAGTTTGAAAGCATGATCAGTTTGCTGAAATCTTCTCCAGTAAGAAAGCATTGCTTGTTTGAATAAAATAGTTTTTTTCATGTGTTGCATTAACACCAGAGCAGATGACCCTAGAGGCTGTAGTCTTCGGAGGGAGGCAGCCCAAACCGTGGCGTTTTGCCACGTCTCTCCTACTCTTGATTCCCTGTTAACTTCTCTACTGACTGCCTTTTTTTCTTAATAAAAACTTTAAAAAGTTACAAAAAATACCTTTTCGAATGTTTTGAATTAAGTCTGTTTGTTTCTATCAGATTCAGACAGCGATGATGAGCTGTTTGACGGCCTCGATCTGGCACCAGTGAGGAAGAAGATGGGGCTGGACCAAGGAATTCAGAAAGGTACAAAACTGTCCGTTAACATATTTATCCACTCTTAAACTCTCTGATTCATGCATTGATTTAAACATAGACAGAATCACAGGATTTGACAGTAAAATTATCATGTTGATGATTAACCTAAAAGTAGATTATTCATTTCTTTTAATGTGTTTATCAGAAAAAGCTCAGAGTCCTCAGAAAACAGCGCCCCCTGTGCTCTTGGAAGAGTCTTTACCTCTGTCAGTCACACAAGCTGCTGCAGGCAACTTTGTGGACTGTACTGAGTCCAACGGTGAAGAGGAGGATGAAGAGGATCAGCAGGAGGAGGATGAGGGAGCCGGGGATAATACAGTGATAATGACGGAGGAGAACGGGGCAGGGAAGGAAAATGAGATGAAGGAAGTGACTGAGATAAAGGAGCTTAAAGCAGGACAGGGTTCAACTGATCTGCCAAAATGGGAGGATTTCTTCACCTCAGAACCGCTCCCTGACAGCCAGAGCAGCCTCAACAGCCAATTACAGTCCTGCAGCTCAGTACCAAGCTCCACCCCTTCCAGACTGACAGGCTCACAGACCCCAGAACTCTTCAGTGAGGAAGATGAAACCCCAAACAATGATGAAAACTTCAGTCTAACCCTGTCAGCCTCCCTGTCTAATCACTCCTCTCAGAACCTGGACACTTATTTTCCTGACACCCTGATCCTTAGGCCAGAGCAGGAGAAAGAGGGAGAGGGTGATGTAGAGACCAAAGCTCTGGAGGACATGGACAATGACCTGAACATCCAGTCAGAGCCAGAGGAGCTCACAGGGTCTCAGACGTCTTCTGACTTTGATATTCCCTGCACACCAGAGTCAAAGACGCCACAACCTGAAGAGTTAATGCTGCTGTACAGGAAGCTGGCTTCAGGAGAGGACTTGGTCATCAAGAAGAGGGACTGAAAAACGAAACTTGAAACTTTTGACATTCCCTTTCATCTGTTAGATCCTACTCACTTTGGTCAGATTCCAAATGAGTTGTTAGAGTTATAGTACATAAAGACAGTGAGTATTTGAAGTTATGAAGAGAGTTTTGATGGAGTCTGCTGCTGCGTGACTTTGACAGATCACTCACTCTTATTTCACTCTCTGGTTCAGGGTTTGGTACGAGTTTAAAATTCTGCGTTCTTTGCGTCATACAGAGGCTAAATCTAACAAGAGCATAGTTTTATGTCGTATTCAAGACATTAGCCTGTGTGCATAAGAAAATAACCTGTGTGGAAGATCTTGTCTTGTGAGGGCAGATAAATCCTCTTGTGTTTGTTCTCTGAAGTTATCTATGTTGTGAGCACAAGATAACTTGTTCTAACAAGATGATAGTGTGAGCATGATTTCATGCAAGGTTAGTAACTTTCACCAAAATAACAATAAGTCAATTAGTTTGTGTTCACCACAAGATGATATCGTATGCACACAAGATATTGTTTCCACAAGAGAAATGTCTTGTGAATGCAAGGTAGTTATCTTGACCCCTCAAAAAAAAAAAACAAATACAAAGTGTGCACACGATAACTTGTGTGTACACCAGATAATTAACTTAATTGAAAACAATAGTTTGTTTCCTTGTGATATCTTGTGGGCACAAGATATTTCCTTTTTTCGCAATAATCCACCTTGTGCCTGCAAGATAATTTACCCCCCCCCCCAAAATAACAATTATTGTGCATAAGATAATTTACTTGTGTGTACAAGATACATATCTTGTGTGCTAAGTATAAAAAAAACTTGTCGACTTCAGTGGTTCAGTAAAAATACAAAATTTAAGTTACCGCGTTGAGATGGAAATCTAGTTTTCATGTTTGAAACTGCTCAGTGATGGCGGGTTTGATTCCTTAAATATGCCGATGTTGCCTTATGTATTCCTAGTCTGGTTCATGTTCTTGTTGGCTCGGTTGTCTCGACACTATTTAATTATCTAGCAAAACCACAACCCAAATATTGTGTGACCAAATCTCCTCTTTTCTTTCATTAGAAAGTAAATATTTACTCCTCAACTTCTCTGTTTGGAAGTCAAGCAGATTTTTCCATAACTCGGTAGATGGTCAGATTTATCGTGAGTTAATATTTGAAAAATGTTACAACTAAAATAAACATGACGTTTAAACTTTCTATTTTAAAAATTTCCACACAAAATGTGTAGATGATCATATTGCCCAGATTTTGACTCCCCAAACTAACAAAACTGAATAGCTTGTTTTTTTAGCGCCTTTTTCCTGACCTATCTGCTGCAATAGTTATAAAATATAGATTAAGAAACACAAAGAGCTTCTGTGCCACCTCACATGCCTTAAAGAGGCACCTGCTGCTCAGCCTCCAAACCACACAAACCTCAGGATGTAAAGCAACACAAAAACTCAGTTATTCCAATGCACTTTACATTCATGATGCCCCACATGCATTAATGCACCTGCACACTTCAGACCTCTTCGTTTTGTATCGACAGTTTGTGGTTTTTTCTCAGTGGGCCAAATGTTGTAAAGCGACTTAAGTTTTCTCACAAATAAAAAGTTTTCATTTAAAACAAAATCGCTTTTTCTTCATGAAGACGACGTTTGGTGAAAGTACGGTTTTATATCAAATTATGTTAACTCTCATACAGAGCTGTTTAAATTTTAAAGTCTGTTCATGTTTGAGGTTCAGCCTGAAATGTGTTATGATTAAACACGATATTATAACCATGTACAAAAAAAATTGGAACTTCCAATAGTTCTTAAAAAAAGCGTAACTTTTGAAACCAACATTGCGCAGTAGTGTTGTACGCACTCCACCACTTGTGCAGCAGCATTGTACTCATTTGGCAGGCTGTATGAGGTGTCAATCATAGAAAACATGAACCCCCTAATAACTTTTAAAAATGGAGCTGTACAGAAAAAAAGGACTTGAGCACAAACCAGTCTTACAGTAACTACATGTCAACATCGTAAGCAGGGGGAGAAAAATTTATATTCTTTGTAATACATCTCTAAAGTTTGTCCACAGCTCCATAGGGATTGCTGGAGGAGGTGGGATTTATGACCTATACTGCAGCCCGTCACCAGAGGGTGCTGTTCTCAGAGTGGCGCCACCCAGCGAGGAGGCAGACAGAAGTAAGTGATAGCGAGCTAGCTAAAACTGCCCTTTGAGAGGTGATTTAGCACTTTTTAAAACGGACATTAAAGTGAGTCCAAAATCGAAATTAAAATTTGTGCCTCTTGGGTTATTAATCCATTGCACATTTATAGAGATATCTAATGGTTCTTTAAATGGTTTCGTTCACCTCTGTAATTTACGCTCTACTGGGAGTAGCAAACTTCAAAATAAAAGCATAGTTTGACGATGCAGGGGGAAAAAAATCAAAATAAAAGCATGAGAAGCAATTGTAAGATAAGCCTGTCCTCTCCAAAGAAGTATCAGTCACAGGGCTGATAAGTAATAAATCTAAATATTATTAGAAATAGATGATGACATGTAAAGTAATTGTGTAGATTTCTTCTTTGTAAAGGAAAAGTAAAAAAATTGAATTCCAGTAACATTTGCGGTCTTTTTAAAAGGTTTATGGGAGCAAACCTTCCTTCAGTTCCAGCTTTCATTTCTTTTCTTCAGAAACTCCCAGAGAAGGAGATGTTCACTAACGTCACCTCACAGCAGCAGCTTTTAACAGCGTTTTAAGTCCTGGAGGGCCCGGAGTCTGCAGGTTTTATCACAAACAAACCAAACTGCAGCTGGGTCCTGCCACGTTTAACCTGTTTTTTATTACTTTTACACCTCAGAGCACTTTGTAAACTTTCAAAAAGAGAACATAAGTTGATTCTAGTCAGAGAGAAAATGTTGGTAACTTTTTCAGCAAGCTTTTCACTCATCCTCAGACAGATAAACACATTTAGTTTGATCATTTCATAATTGGTTTTTGACCTTTTCAGCATATTTTCACAGAATATTGTTGTAAAATGTTTTGTAGCTAGCTTGTTGATATTCACCTTATCCAGTCCTTAAATTAAAACCATCCAGTCTTATACAGATCATCTGTCCTGAGAAACAGACGTGATGACCCACAGCACAGCTTCCACTAAATGTCTCTCCATTTTGTGTTATTGGGCTGTCACAGATTCACTGCAACACCTGCTGCCAGCACTTCATGCAGCAGCTACCCAACACAAACCTTGAAGGGTACTCAGTGAAGTCATCACCTCAAAATGTCACTGTTCATAAGGTCATGAGTCCAGGTTGAAGAAGTCTAGATCAAGTTCATCAGACTCCACAATCCCATTTACGTCTTCTCCGAGGGTCACTGCTGGTCCCCACTTTAGACCTGGTTTGCTCCTTGAAGCGACACTGACGGCTTGACCAAAACTTGGAGGGTCTCCTCTTCTTATTCTTCCTTGAGAAAGTCCTTCCTTTCATTTTCTTTCCTCTGTAGCACCTTGTGAGAAACAAAGATGGGCAAAAGACAGAAAAATAGATATTTCTGGTGCTATGTTTAAAAGTAAACATGTTTGTCAGACTGAAATCGCACTATATTGACTTTCTTGCAGTCGAACAAACATACCTAGATAGATAATGCTGTTGGGAATTGATTCTGTAGTTTTCTATGTGCTGTAGCTCACATGTTGGACTGTTACCTAGAAGTTGAATGGCTTAAATGCGTTGTAGGAAGCCGAATGGTAAACAAAAAATCAACAGAAGAAGAAAGAACTTCAAATAAACTGAGTTGTCATATCTTACATACAAATGGTACAGAGCTGTAGCTGTAGAGTTGTCCGTGTTTTCATCTGAATAATGTAAGGTGAATAAAACTGTGTTAGGTTAAGAGGGGTTAAATATATATTTTTGCCCCCTCTTTCAAGGAGTGAAAGCTCTCCGAGTTTTCCTTTATAAGTGAAAACACAGAGAGCTTTAACTGCTGATGTGACACCACAGCTCTCATTAATGAGAGAGAAGAGAGGAACTGGAGGAGGTCGCTACACACACACACACACACACACACACAGAAGCAAGCACAGACCTGGCTCTTCATTAAAATTAGAGTCCGTTCCCCCACAGCGGCTTCCTAAGGGATGACGAGTCTCTCTCACTCTCTGTGGAAGAAAGTGCCATTAATTAATGCGCACAATAAATAATTGACTTGAATGCATGTGTAGCACCGACAAGAACACACATGTACTTTTATTTTTTCACACAAACACACGTTAAGGTCACATACTGTCAATAATAAAAAACACACACAAATACACGCACTGTTACTCAGTGATTTCTTTCTCCCATGCTCTCGTGACCCTGGAGACTCAACAGGAAATTGAGGCTGCGTATGCGTGTGTGTCTGTGTGTGTGTTTGTAGAAGTTATTAAGGAGTGGATTAGTAGTTGCACACTCTCACGTACACATACTGCTTCTCATCAAATGTAGAGACAGAGCATATTTGTCAGTCAGGTCAGGTCTGCATGGGGTTTGAGTATTTTCAGGCAGAAGCAACAATGTGAGCAAAGGAAGTTAATTTCTGCCTCATCATTATGTCTTTTTTTCCTCACATATTTCTAGATATTTCCAGGGGCTCTGCTTGTTGCTTCTGCACCTGTCCTTCACAGCATCATCTTCTCCGTTGAACAAGAGGGATGAGGGGTGAGTGATGGGTCTGGTGGCAGGTTGTGACATTAAAAGCATGCTAAAGAGTCGCAAAAGCAAACGATAAATGAAAAATACGACGATATTTGATAGCATTATTGAGTGTTCTGATACCTGGTGCCAAGGACCAAACTGCATCACTTTTTAACAGCTTTTCACATTAATCAAATTTGAGACGAAAGTTGGAGGAGAAAGCTTGAAGGAAGCTTTTCGTTTAAAGAGACAAATAAGTTTGAGACATTTAGCGCTTTCAGTTAGTATTCAATGTAATGTTAACAGCATGATGGCAGATGAAGAAATAGAGTCTATACCAATGCCATCAAGGTGACAGATTTAGTTTCTGTATTTCTATCTGTGCAACATACAAAGAGCTGTGTGCTGACACCTCCACTGTTTTCATGCTCTGATAGTTAGTAACACAGAATATCTTACTATAACTAACTAAATAAATAACTAAGTTACTGGGGAAAAACGTCACCAGATTGCTTCCATCCTTGCACAGTTTGAGAGGCGCTCTTATTGTGGATGTATCAAGCGTATCATCTGTATCAAGTGGCAAAACTCTGGTATTAAGAGAAAAAAAAAATGAGTGTAAAAGTGCTAAAAACTGCAGTTCCCAAAATGTCCACATGAGGCTGATTGCTGAAGCACTGAAAACCACATACGCACTAAGCCAAAAAGCTCAAAAATAAACACGTCCACTGTCATTTCCAAAACTGTTTTTAGTCTTAATTTTTTGGAAGTTAAACCAAATAAAATGTCTGCTTGTTTTATTAATTTTTTTCTTTTTAACAATCCGATTTGTACAGTACAAAAGCTTTGTTACCTCTGAGTGATCCGATCTGTACTTGAGGAATGTTGCTCATGTCTGCTGGAAAACCCACGTACACACCACCATAGTTCCTGTTTACACACACAAACAAACATGCGTACTTGCATTAATCATTTCATATCATTCAGCACAAATGCAGGAATGTTGTCCAGGTGTGTTTTTTCAGGCTCATATTTCAGTCATGACTCACTTCCATTTATCATCCTCTGGTGCAGACTCCTCTGATCTGTCAACAAACACACACATTTAAAATGATGCAAACTGACGTCAGTCGATTTGCATTAAACGCAAACATCAGAAAAAGGTCAAATAACTCATATGTTTTATCAGCAGACAAATTAACTCACCCCTTTGATGAAGACTCAGCTGGACCTGAAATCAAAAACAGGCAGATGTGTGAGATTTATCAGCTTCTGGTTGACTTCTTTTCTACTAACTCAAGCTCCCTTTAATCAATCTATAACTCTTAAAATTTATATTTAAAGCCAATAAAAACACGACAACAGGTACAACAAAAGAATAACAGAGGGTTCATCCTCTGAGGAGCATGAATATGAGTAAAAAGTAACAGGGATGCCTCCATAAAATTTCAATATATTTCAGTAGGTTACCATGATGAAAAGTTTACTTGATGGTTAATACACAAAGGCAGCCAATGAGATGATCAGAATTCGTTCTGGGGATCATGATTATCAACTAGAAATTAAAAGGATGTTTCAAGGACGGTGATCCGTTTTGTTGATTTTGATGTGCTGTTTAGCTTCTTTTAAGCTGTTCAGACTCCACATTTGGAGCTGAAATTCGATATTTTTCAAAGTGTCTCGAAAAAAAGTGAAACTCTGAATAACTGGCTAATCTAAAAGTAAAAAAACACCCTGAAAAATAAGTTTAACCAGACACAGCCTATGTACATATGTCTCCATTTTCCAGATCAAACTACTTCCAAACCCCACTGCGCTGAGAGATAACGTATGCCATCTGTGCTTGTTTACATCCAGGTAGTAGAGCTTTAAAACATAATGGCAGTTGACTCTGGAGGACGGTGGCTGTACCACAGGTTAAGCAGAACAAATCCTCATAGGGCACTTAAATCCTGAAAGTATCTCACTTATAGAGGCTGTAGTCTGTATCACAGCAGTCACTGGACATAACCATTGGCTACTAAACGTTTAGTCGACTTACTTCAAGATGATTAACGAGGGAACTCCACTTTTTCCTCTCTTTCACATTCGCTTCATTTTTCAATTCACTGTTGGTTGCTGGATGAGAACAATTTAAACTAACCAAATAAGATTTAAGCAAACCTAGTGAGCCTTTAGGGCCTATGTCCACCGACAGATTCTTTTCATATTGATGGTGCCTACAATTTTCAGTTGCAAGTGCAGTAAGTCCATCATTTGATAAGCTGCTGCCAAGCACATCTTTGCTTTGAGGATGTTGAACGCTAAAACAATGAACTGCACTGGGTTTGTGTAGAAAGTGGGAGCTGCAAGTGCAAAAAGTACTGATAGTGGAAACAGGCCCTTGTATGTGTGCATAGAGATCAACAAGCATCAACAAGAAAACAGCCCCTGTGGATTACAAAAGAGAAATAATCCTTCAGTGTATATCTTCAACAGATATGTGGATCCAAGATCAGTGTCATTCTTGCATCTAAAGTTTGAACTTGAACTGCAAAGGCAATGTATAGAAAAAGGAGTCTTAGCAATGAGTCCTTAAATCCCACTACTGGCTACACCAGGAGTCCCAAGAGTTGCACATCACTCCCAGAAGTTGTATCCTCCTCAGACGATAGCCAGAAGGTTCCATATACGATGAACCTCTTAATATTTGATAGCAAAAACAAAGTACAGGACAGTAAATCTAATAACATAATTTTTGCTCTAGTTTAAGGTAGACTATCCCTGAAAAGCTGGAGGCTTTCAGCGGACAAAAGGTCAAAACAACATGCCAACAACAGTGCAAAAAGAAGGATCTCTAATAGCCTAAAAGGACAAAAAAGTTGGTGAAATGTGCCTTTAATCTTCAAACAATCATCCACTATTTTCTACTGTCTGTCAGTGCATGACTCAGAGCAACAAAACGTCCTTTTTTCCCCACAAACATCCTCGCTCACCTGCAGTGCCGCCGTGGCTGCTGCTGCTGTTGGTGTTGGCTGGTGAAGAATTTCCACATCCCATTTCTCTTCTGACCCCCAGAAAACCCCAGAGGAAGAGGAGGGTAAGAGGAAACAAGGGAAAGAGAGAGATAAAGAAAGAAAGGAGAGTTATAGGAACAGAAAAATTAAGAAAAGAGAGGCTGAAAATGTGTCTCCTATTCTGTGTTTCTTTCTCTCCCTCTCTTCTCTGTCTCTCCACTGTAGCTCTCAGCATGGAGGGAGGATTAAAATGACGCCAAGAAGAGGAGAGGGGAAGGAGGAGAGGAAGGGAGAGAGAAAGAGCGAGAGAGAGAGGGGTAAGTGTGTTCACCCCTGCTGCTGAGGGAGCACAGCCTCCTTCTCATGTGAGTTTTCATGTGTGTTTCTCCGTGTGCTCTGAAATCTGCACAGTTTGAAAGAAAGTGATCAAAGTCAGCAAGAATGGATTTAATTGGCTCATTTTTTTTCTCCCAAATACAGAAGAAAAAAAAACCTCTAGAATCACAGTCAGCTTTTTTTTTTTTTAGCTGATTTTATATCCACATGCAACTTCCTCAAACACTAATATATAGAGTCAGTCTAATATTATTTCCTTTTTTTCTCATGTAGATGAAAATTTACTCCTAATCAAGGCTCTATAGGGAGAGTTGTGTCACCAGGCAACTCCCTCAATCCTGTGAGAACTCAAACTCCCATGAGTGACTACACCAAAATAGAGAGAAAACCACCAATGATGAGTGGGCTTATTATTGCTGCAGTCTGCAAATAAAGAAGTAGGAAGGAGTGAAAACAAACATGCATGAAGTAAACAAAAAGAGAAGAATCAGAGCTGACTTTTTAATAGTCCAGACACGTGCATTTAGGCTACTGTGAGTCAGTTTTATCATTTTAAAGTGATAAACTGTTCAACCATAAAAAGTTTAACACGTTTCAGACCCTCATGTTCAGTCTTTTTAGGCTTTTAACGACTAACAGACATATATTTCGACATATCAGCTGACTGTAAAGAAATGGATCCATGTGAGGAAACAGTTCATTGATGGATAATATGTTAAAGAAAAAGTTTTATGTTTTGTAACGAAAAATCGTAAGATCTGGAAAAACGTATTCTTGGTCATTTGGCTATGCTTTATAGTTGACATAGCTATGGTACTAGTGATGGGCATGGCAGTTCTTTTAGATGTACTGAATCACTAGAATCAGTTCACTAAAAAGATTCGTTCAAAAGATTCGTTCACCAAATCACCAAATCACTTAACGCTTGGCGGGAGAGGCCTGCGACCCCGACCTCCTGAACTGATTCACAGCTGAACGTTTCAGGATTCAGTTCAATTCATAGTTTCCGGGACTGGGAGACAAGAGTGTTTGGCTGTGTTGCTGTGGCAAAAGTCATGATGTTTTAAGTGTACTGTCCTATTGTTTGCTATTTATCAGGTCTGCTCAGTAAATTGGGCTCAGTGAGTGATTTGTTCACAGTGAACATGCACCGTTCCCTCTCAAACTGCTGCAATGATAGGATGCTGCAGGTTTGATGCACTACTTGTTCCATGCTGTGTCCTATTGTATGCAAGTTGTTGTGGTGGCAATTTAGCAGTAAAAAAAAATAGGAGTTTTGTCTGACAAAAATGGTTCCAGAAAATGTAGTTCAATGTGTGATTCATTCACCAAGTGATTCAGGTGTCGGTGCATGTGGCTCCTTTTTTGCCGGCTGCAGGCCTGGCAACGCTGTTTCTCACTTCAGCTCAACTGAAGTGAGAAACAAACAAATCACTTGAGGAAGTGATTTGGTTCAGTACATTCACTTAAAAGATTTGGTTCTTTTGAACGAATCGTTCACAAACGACACAACACTATAGGGTACAGTTAGATATAATACAATGAGAAATGCTACTGTACATTAAAATATATTAGGAAACAAAACCAAAGGATCTGATACAATATTAAAGATATAATGGGAGAAAACCTTGTATGAAACAAAGCCACAGGATATATGATACGATGTGAAATGATATAGTATGATTCTAAGGAGTAGATGTGATAGCATGCCATACAACACTATACGTTGTGATTTGATGATATGATTTAATAAAATGTGATCAAATATAATTTGATATGGTATGATACCGTATGACTTAATCCAATAATACGATTTACAATACAATGATAAGATTTTATATGTTATGATTGGCTACGCTACACTATGATACGCTATGATACGCTATGATATGGGATGTGACAATTTCATTTAAACAGAAGATAATGTACAGGCAATGTTAGTTTTCAATTAAACTGGGTTTTACAGAAGCTGATATGACTGAATAGACGACTGTTCATCTGTTCTTGGTTGAGAATAACAGACTTTCTGTTTCCATCAAACTGCAGGAAATGAAAAAGCAATGACTGTTTTGTCTCAGAAGTTTTTTTTTTTTCTGTCTTGCTTCCTTCTCCTTTGTGTTCCAGTTTTAAAATGACTCATGTTATCCACACACACACACACACACACACACACACACACACACACACACACACACACACACACACACACACACACACACACACACACACACACACACCATCTCCACACTAACAACCCCCTCTCTGCCAAAGTCACCTAAATTACAGGGTGAAGCAAAGTGACTTTCAGGATATAATTGATTCTTCTTGTTTCCTGTGAGAAGTGAAAATTTCTTCTCGAACACACGCAAGTTTTTCAATCAGGGTTCAAAATAATTCTCTTCCTGCTTGCTCAGAGGTTTTTAATAGAAAGATTTTAAAAAGAGTTTTTTGTTTTTTCGGGAACATATTCCAGTGCTCTGAAAAACACATCTGTTTCTCTCTGTAATTCAGAAAACATAAGAGTCTGGGAGCACAAATCTGGTCTTGTAGGAGCTTCAAAACAAAGCTAATGCACTTATTCCCATAAAGCAGCTCCACTTCCATCTTCATCATCTTATTTTAATGGATTTAATTTCTCTGGATTCTTTGTTAGATTATGCATCTTTATGTTTTTACAGCTTTTGTGAACAACCTGTGTTTTAGATAAAGTTCTCATTATCCCGTTATTGTTCAAAGTCTCTTGGGATTAAATGACTACATCAATTTTTTTCCAACCACACTCAATACTTACTTTGTATTCTTGATGTCTTGAATCATTTCCAGTTACTGTTTGTTGCTCTTTAATCAGAGAGTACATATAAAGTTTAATGTTTCAGGCTAAAGTGATTTACTTTGAGACCTTACAACTGCGATCAGCCTTTATTTGTTTGTTTGACGTGAGAAAATGTACGTTTTTTAACAAAACCTACCTTTTCAAAACAAAAGCTGCGCACCAAGCCATCTTTTATGAAAAATGGTCAAATATTAAGTTAAAACTTGTTTATTGGAAGTTTCTCTTCACATTTACAAGCTGCATATTTGTGCTCTGATACTCACGCTGACAGAAAACACCTGGGGTTCAACAATAAACTCTGTTAAAACCACTTTGGGGCAACGAGAACCGAAATCTCCAAACTGCCCACTAGAGGGAGCCACACACTGATGAATTTGATCACACCAAGTTTTCATTTAAGATATTCTGAGCCTTAATAAATCAAACAAAGAAACAAAAGTTTCATTTAGATGCAGTTTAAACGATTTTAGGCCTTAGACTGCATTAACTTGTCACAACCTGGAACTCACATAAACTTTGCTGCTGTGTCTTCATACTATTGATACTAAGTAGGTCCCTGTATTGGGAACATAGTACATAGCAAATTCATAACGTTCAGTTTTATATGTAAACAGTTTGCTTGTGTCAGGAGAGCATCTTTTACCCCACAAGAAAACAAAAACAAACCATTTACATTTCCAGACTCTAGACTGTGCAAAACTTTCTCACATGACTTTTAACCCTTAGAGATGAACTAAGCTAGTGATGGGAAGAACAGTTCTTTTAACTGTACTGAATCTTTAGAATCCATTTGTTCAAAAGATTCGCTCACTGAATCGGTCAGTGCTTCGGAGCCCCATCCTGCCGGTGCAGTACTAGAGTGAGTGACACAGCCGCGAGTTCGTTCATTGAACGAGCCCCTCCCCTCCCCTGCTGCTGAAGTCACAGTATCGTTCACTGGGTGACACACGTCGTTCATTCGCCAAGTCCTGAAGGAAGATCTTCCCTGCCCTAAAAAACTCACCTCTCACCAACAACACGCAGCACGCCCGCTTAGTGAGCGCGAGTCGTCGTTCTTTGAAATCGCAGAAGATGGAGAGATTAAAAATAAATAAACATCACAGACTGACTGAATCATTCTGTTCACTGACTGATACATGTCGTTCACAGCTGACTGATACACGTTGTTCATTCACTGTGAGCAAATCGTGAGACTCAGCCCGTTAGCTCGCTGGCTAGCTGTGTCGTTCACCAAAGAGTCAAAGGTAGCAGCTCCACTCCCTACCGGCACGCCAGGCTCGCAGTTGAGCTCAACTGAACTGAGAAAGGAACGAATCAGGTCTCGGAGTAATTCAGTTCACATCGTTCACTCAGCAGTTCCGTTCTTTTGAACAAATCGTTCATGAACGACACAACACTAAACTCAGCTAAGGGTCAATACCAGGGACCAGACTACCTCTGGCTCATGATGGTGAACAGAAGGCAGGGTCAGGATTTGGTCGGAGGTGTGCACTGATTGCCACATTTCTAAAGAATTTATGATACAAAACTATGCACCATATACCAAGCGGGCATACCTGTTATTACTCTGTTTTGCTCATTGTGATCCACATTTGATACGCCCATAAAAGAGCGATGGTACTGATGGGAAGAGACATCCATAAACACTTCCAAAAGGTTTCTGATTGTGCTATTTTACATGCCTTTGTGTAGCCTAGTTCATTATTTAAATTCATGCACGACCCTCAGTGGCACTTTTTATCCTCCATACAGTTGTTCTACCGCTAACTGGCACTGTCCACCCCCCATACACATGCGCACTTCTGCAAGTTTACTCCCTCTGCTGCAGTCTGTCCTCTTCATACACAGACAGACTCTCTCTCTCAGCGGCTGAACTCATCATCACAGAGGAACAGACGAGCTGTCAATGAGACTCACTCGGATATGTCGCTTTTAATCCACTTTCTAACTTTTCTGGGTGAGTTTATGTTTGAGTTTTTTTCGCATCTTCTTGGTGAAAACTGCTCAGATATCTTTACTGAAGGGAATTTCATCATCTGTTGCTGCAGAAATGCTCTCTGCTCTGTACAGCAGCAACAGATGTAATGAAAGCCATATGAAAACCATTACTCACGTTTGCTGCTGAGAAATGAGTTAAAGACGAAGGGGGGAAAAAGGGATTGTGCAACATCAACCATGTGACTTTGATTTAATTTATTACTTTTAATTAAAAAAAAAAAAAGAAAAAATCATAAATTAAGAAACTAATATATAAACAAATGATATTTTTTCTTCCTCGCAGCTCTATGGAGTCCCATCAGGGCTCAGTTTCCAGAGTTTGCAGATGTGTGCACAGAGGGCAGCTGTTATCCGGCCACAGGTGACCTCCTCATCGGCCGTTCGCACAAACTCACCGCCTCGTCCACATGCGGAATTAAGGGACCCGAGCGGTTCTGCATCGTGGGACATCTGGAGGTAAGAGACCAGCTGCTGGAGCTCCAAACTTTTGTAGACGAGCTGTGAACTTTTGTGTGAGAAATCCTAAAATTTGGTCTTAAATTTCAGTTTTTGATGGCTCCAAATTAAAGGTTTTGCACGGTTTTTGTTGCAAATGTTGTTTTTTTGCTATAAATAATTTTTTTTTTTATTTCAGCCTTCTTACAAAACCCTCATTTCAAGGAGTGTGACAGATTCTACTCTTGTGATCTTGAACTCCTGCACAAAAAAGCTACTGTTAGGAGACTGTCTTTCCTATCTGCTAGGAACAAATAAGCCCCAAAACTCTCCTTGGCCTTAGAGGGATCATCTTGTTTTATAGTTTGATTCAGTTTTAAACCGCACAGAGTGACAATGTTTCTCCTACATGCTCCTTCTTTTTCCCTTTTTTTTTGCATTTAGGCCTTAAAACTGCAATCAAGTATCTGACTTTCTACAGCATTTATACATTTGAGCAACAAACTGCTTTATTTGGGAAAAGAAAAGAGAAAGGATAAGTGTTAAACTCACAAAGATACAGTTATAAAAAAAAAAAAAAAAAAAAAAGATACAGTTATAAGTGAATAAAAAGACAGAAAAGGAGGGCATTTATTACTGTGTCACATGCATTCCTCCACAAATTCTGCATGAAATTCATCACATGTCGTCAAACAACAGAGAGAGAGCAGAAAACATGAGAAAAAAGCTCCTTTGACGTTTTATTCATACTGCTCTATTGTCATAAATTTGACACTCTGTTGTTTTACAGACTTATTAACCACAACAGCTCGGTGTAGGGTCCTCAAAAACTTACAATGTATCTCATATTACTAAAACATAATTTTTCATCCAACCTCTGCCAGTTTCTTTGTTGCCTTCAGGGACAAGAAGGAGAAGTGGCAGTGTGTGTCTGAGAGAGAAGAATGCTGTTCAGCATTTAGACTATTATCTATGTTATCTCAGCAACCATTGGTTATTAGTCGTGTGAATTACTAATTAACAATATGTGCTGACCCTGAAAAACGAATATAAGTCAATTCTTGGTGTCGAGATATGTTTTATATCGATATTGTTTTAGGTTGAAGTTGAACTGAAGCCCGTCTTTGTGTGTTTAAGGGTCACAAGTTCACTGATCATTTGATGGGACATCACAGCTTAAATGTACAGATGCTGTCAGAAATTACATTTAGAGATTAGAGATCCATTTTAAATGTATCCTGATAAACAACATTTACATACAGTTTGACTTTTTTAGTGTTTGGAAATGCATCTAAGTCAGGGCAAACTCATATCTAAATGACAGATCTGTTTTTACCTGATGTGTAAAAGACTTCATCACTAGCATATTTGTGAATTTGATATTCAGAGAAGATATTTAAGCTATTAAAATAAATCCAATCCACTTTATTTATATGGCACATTTTAAAAACATAAAAGCATAAAAGACATAAAAGGACAGAGATCAAATATGGAAAAACAGAAGAGGACCCAAGGATGAGCCAGGTGGAACTCCCTTTTGGATTATAACGTAATCTGATTTACTTCTATTGACACTGACACACTTGTATTGAGTGATTGGTTGAAAAACCTAATGGAATAAAGTTTGTTGAGGGGTAGATAATGATTTTAAAAGTTTTAGTGAATTTGAAGAAGAGTTTACTGTTCCCAGTGAAAAAGATGGAAACTTTAAAAGTGGGAAAGTGGAGAGCAACCAGTGGGTGGCTTGTTTCCCAGACACAGAATGAATGTCACATCGACAGAAAATGTGTTTTAGCAGTTCAATATTTAAAGGTGCAACTTGACTGTTTATAGTCTGAACTTTAAAAAAAACCTTTCTTGTGATTATCAGAAAAATGGAGAGAGTCTTTGTCAGTTAGAGCCAAAAGCTGTGTCTTGAAATTGTTTGACAAACTTTTGGCATTTTGACCAACACAGTCCCTTAAACAAAATCAAATTACCAGACTTTCAATCTACCAATCAACTGACCAATTGTAGATTGAGCTCTCTATCAGGACTCTTTAGATCGTGTGAGTGTGACACACATGTACAGTATCTGCCCGCTGTCTCGTTGAGTGGGAGTTCAGACATTCCTCTCCACAATAAAAGCCCTGTGTGTTCCTCACAATCCCTCCCTCTGTGCGTGTCTGTGTGTGTGATGTCCGAGGGCGAGGCAGAGGAGATTCTCTCTTTATCAAAAACCCTTCAGCGAACTCTCCGTGTGAATGCTGTCCTTGAAAATGAAATCTCAGACACAGCGTGGAGCCGCTCTGGGCTTCCTGAGGATGAGCACAGCACTCAAGTATGAGTTGAGGATGAGGATGATGAGGAGGAGGAGGAAGAAGGGGGCATAGAGGAGGAAGTTAGCTTCCAGTAGGGCCACTTAGTGAAACTCTGCTCACATTACAGCACAGACGGAGTTGGCAGAGACTCGGTGGGATTGAGAAACTTGTCCTGTTTATTCACACACTGCAATTCTGGGAGATTTAGAGTTCAGTTTGTGTACGTGCCAAACATCTGGCACGCAGGCGGGGCTTCAGCTGGTGATAAATGAGGTGAAAACATTATTTAACAAAGACCAGAAACTTGATATATGCACTATTAAAAGTCACTTTAACTGGATCATTTTCTCCCAGATAAAAAAACACAGGCAAAAAGTTTGTGGACGCCTCATGTTTCTAATCAGTGACCATGAATGTCCAGCCAAAACAGCATCCATGACTCCGCTTACGGGCTTTGTAGAAGACTTCAGAGCAGCTGTTAGGCCATGTTTGTGTGGCCTAACAGGATATTGTGTTAGTAAAGGCTAGGATCTCACTTGGTAAGACATTGGGTGTGGTCGAGGTCGTCGTTGTTGTTTTCTTCCGCTCCCAGGTCCGGGTCGCAGGGGCACCAGCTTCAGGAGGGAGGCCCAGACGGCCCTCACCCCAGCCACTTCCACCAGCTCCTCCGGGGGGATTCCCAGGCCAGGCGTTAGATATAATCCCTCCACCTGGTCCTGGGCCGGCCACGAGGTCTCCTCCCGGTGGGACATAAATGGAACACCTCTAACGGGAGGCGTCCAGAAGGCATCCTAACCAAATGCCCAAGCCACCTCAGCTGACTTCTCTCGACATGGAGGAGCAGCGCCTCCCGAGTGTCCGAGCTCCTTACCCTATCTCTAAGGCTGAGCCCAGCCACCCTGCGAAGGAAACCCATTTCGGCCGCTTGTATCCGCGATCTTGTTCTTTCGGTCATTACCCAAAGTTCATGACCATAGGTGTAGATCGACCGGTAAATCGAGAGTCTCGCCTTACGGCTCAGCTCTTTCTTCACCACGACTGATCGGTTAAGCGTCCGCATCACTGCTGATGCCACTCCGATCCGCCTGTTGATCTCCCGCTCCATCCTACCCTCACTTGTGAACAAGATCCCGATACACTTGAACTCCTTCACTTGAGGCAGGACCGCCCCTCCGACCTGGAGAAGGCAATCTACCTTTTTTACCTTTTTCCGACTGAGGACCATGGCCTCAGACTTGGAGGTGCTGATTCGGACCCAAGCCGCTTCATACTGAAGGTCACTGCTCGATGAAGCTAGAAGTACCACATCATCCACAAAAAGCAGCGACGCGATCCTCTGCCTGCCAAACTGGACACCCTCCACCCCCCGGCTGCGCCTAGAAATTCTGTTCACTAAGGTTATGAACAGAATCGATGACAAAGGTCAGCCCTGGTGGAGTCCAAGTGGTCGAGGTCAAGTCAAGCAAAACTATTTCTTAATTAAGCTCGCTTTGATAAAAAAAATCACGTCGCTGAGAAGCAGCAAAGAGTTTCACTATTTCAACAATAATTCCATCAGTGTTGTGCACAAAGTTGATTTCCAAACTCCCATCCCTCCTTGATTTTGATTGGTTGGTAATGAAGTTAAAGTGATAACCCTGAGACAAAAACAGCTGATGACAAGGAAGATTTTATACTTAGGCCCTAACAAAAAGTTACAGCCCTTGTAGACACAAAGAAAAACACTGTGAAAACAGGTCCCAACATAGCAAATAAATAAAATCATAAGTTACAGACCTCAAGGGAGTCAAGGAAAGTTTCATTCTCCTTTGCCAAATCTTGATTAATCCAGTTGTTTATGTACATGGCAAATATTATTGGAGGTTTTCTTTGGACCTACTTTCTATAGAAAATGCCCATTTATAATGCGTTTGGTATCATGTTTCAAGTCTGAATCACTTTGTTGTGTTAGTGTCCTGGAAGGTACCTCAGAACCGAATTGTAGAGTGAAAATGACCAACATGTAATAGTATTTTTGTTCTGTAATTTGTCCGAAATGACCCTTAAATATTCTCTACATTGTCTGTCCATCAGGAGGACACAAAATGTTTCACATGCGACTCCAGGAAAAAGTATGACGAGGACAACAACCCCATCAGCCACACCATCGAGGACGTGGTCACTACCTTCGCCCACAACCGCCTCAAGACCTGGTGGCAGTCAGAAAACGGTGAGACCTGAAAAACAAACGAGAAAAATAAGGAGGTTTGTTTGTTTGTTTGTTCCTGAATGAAAGAGTGAGATTTCCTGCTCACTAAAAAAGCTGTGTAGCGTGTGAGCTCTCGGTGACTCTGTTCTCATGGGAAACAAAGCTCAGTAATGACTAGACAGGAGATCACAGAGCCTCTCCCTGCAGCCAATCACAGCAGACCGAGGGGGCGGGGCTTACAGGTTTGCTGAGGAGAACAGGTGTGAGGATCAGAAACAGATGTGTGTCATCGCTTGAACACACACAGGCCTTAAAGGTGGGAAAAAGAGGAAGAGCGTAATGAGAAAGCAGCGGTTCAGGGACTTCACACAGTGAGAATGAGGGACTGTTTCTACTCTCACACTTAAATTCACCTTGAAGCCAGGTGTATATATATAAACATACAACCCCACAGAAGAGCAATAAAACACATTCTTTCCATATGGAAAAAAAAAACAGTAATATATTTTACTGAAGAGGTGCTGTGAGTGTGTTTGGTTTGATTTAAATTGAAAGTACAATCTGATTAAAGAAAGTTAGACTTTGTAAATGTTAAAGTTTCTGTAGGGAATTTTCAATAAATGATTGTGCAGATTGAAAACCATAAAAAAGAAAGGCTAATAGAAAATGATTTAAACTATTTTCAGTGTCTCTCTTTCTTTCTTAGTTTTCTTTGTTTAAGATAGAAAAATGACACGTCTGCGCTCGTGTTTAAACCAACAAAAAAGTTAAAGACATCAATGTTTTACCACATGCAGCTTTCTCCCAAACATCTAAGATCCACAAAGTTCATGTTTAAGTCATAAGCAACATTTTAAACGTTTTTTAGCGCCCATGAGCACAGCCTTCAATTTGAAAAAAAAAGTAGAGTAACTAAAGTAGACATACCATTTCAATAGACTGAGGTCATTTGTTTTCCCTGCTGAACACTAACTCATGCAGAAAACACTGATTAGCCCGGTTAAAAACAAAAAAACAGACTTTAATTACATTCATTAAAGGAACAACAATCACCATCACATCACCCTGAATTTGAGCCTTAAAAGAAACAGCTGAGTTCACAGACTGACATCTCTTTTCCCCTCTTTGCTCCCACATTCATGCTGCACATTCACACACTGTTGCCTGACGGTGGTGGGAATATGTCAGAGGCATGAGTCATGGAGGGAGAATCGGCCAGCAGTGCAGATGTCTCTAATTCAGCAGGAAGCTGAAGACTCACACACACTGGCTTTGCTTGAGATTTCCTAATTCCCTCGCTGCAGTCCTCCTGTTCGATCATCTTGCTGTGTTGGGAAGCTCTTGCAGTTGACATTAAGTTTAAATAATCCATTTATAGGTGTGTTATAAGTGGAGATCACTAAATTATATCACACATAAACTCACCATTTAGAGATAAAGATAGCAAACCAAAATAACTGAATAACTGCAGCAAGTTCTTGTTTAAGTTATAAGCAGCATTTTTAACATTTTCTAAGCGCCCATGAGCACAGCCTTCAATCTGAAAAAGAAAAGAGAGTAAATAAAGGTAGAAGTTGAGTTTTGGTTGCACAGAAAGAAGTTACTCGGATGATTTGTTGGTGTGTGGGAATGTAAAGAAAACCAGCAGATTCAGCTGCGTAAACAAGCGCAGATGTAAATATTTAAGAGGGTTTAAGTGTGTGAGAAAGTCCATACAGAGCGAGTTGACAGTTTTATTGGTGAGTTTTTACGACCCGTGTAGCTCTGATTGTTCATTTCTTGCGCATCTATCTTTTCACCTGCAGGTGTCGAGAACGTGACCATCCAGCTGGACCTAGAGGCCGAGTTTCATTTCACACATCTTATCATGACCTTCAAGGTATTTACTCTTCCCTTCTGCTGATCTCACACGAACACACATCCATCATACAAATACCCCTGTACCCATGGCACGGAGATAAACACAGCCCTCGTACAGCTGTGGTGGAGGAATGTGGAAAATCATCCTGGTCTCTAGAGAACGGTGGGAAGAAAAAGGGAGGAGGGAGAGGAGGATGAGGAGTGAAATCATCTCCACCACATGGTCGGCTATGATGGTGGCCAGCTGGATTCGTGCCAGTTACTCTGCATGAAATTACACACTTTCCATGTGGTTCCTGTTGAAGAGGTGATGGCAGGAAAGATTAACCCGTTTAACGGCCCCCACCCTATCAGGACTATTATCACTTTAAATCTCAGTCATGTGTATAAGTGGTGTTTTCACATTTTTATGGATGGAAAAGGTAATTTATCCAAATTAAAACCTTGTCTGCTACTCATTTTGCTGAATTGAGAGTATTGAAAGCTTGTTTTTCTGATCAATTACCCCAAACTTGCAACGATTATGAGAAGAAATAAACAGGAAGTTAAGAAACATTCAATTTCCAGGTTATGGAAACAAGAGTTAAACTCTAACAATGACTGTAATCTGAAGGTAGAAGATGCAAAGTTATATATCCTTTTAAAGATGTTCAACTCTTTTTTTAAATGATGGAAAAAAACAACTTGGAGTTTTAGATATGATAAAATTTGGTTTTCCTGATGAAAAAAGCAATAAAAGATGTTTTAAAGACACTGGATGGAAAAATTAAATGCACCAAATACAAGAGAAATAAAAAAATAAAAAACTTCAATTCACTTCACTTTAACTTTATTATGTCCCAAAAAAGGGCAAATCGGGTTGCAGCAGGCACAGACATTTAAAACACTGCCATACATCATAAAAATAAATAAATAAAATGAAATTCATCTACATAAAAAAACAGCTCAGGAGGTAAAAAGTATTAAAGATGATTTAGAAGGTAAAAAGAAAAGCAAATGTCAGTCATACCAGTACTTTGCATGAACAGAGTGCAATGTGCGGTTTGCTAGTAAGATACAGTATTCTGCCCATTATTAACAAAATTATCCGTCTTTCTGTTTCTAGACTTTTCGGCCAGCTGCCATGATTATCGAACGATCGATGGACTTCGGAAAGTCGTGGCAGGTTTACCGTTATTTCGCTTACGACTGTGACACGTCTTTCCCTGGTGTGTCCTCCGGAGCGATGGTCAAAGTGGACGAAATCATCTGCGACTCCAGATACTCAGACATCGAACCGTCCACGGAGGGAGAGGTGAATTATATGTTTCCTCTAAATCCTCTAAATCCTGGATTTAAATATTAGAATCCAAAATCCAAATAGTCACAGAGGTGTTAGTCTGGACTGATGAACATTTCCTTTCTTCTCTATCAGGTGATATTTCGTGTGCTGGACCCAGCCTTTAAGATTGAAGACCCATACAGTCTGAGAATTCAGAGTAAGAAGCATATACATGTATCACATACCCTAAACTCTTTGTATACATGAGAGCTTCACAACCACTTGTAAGTCATCCCTATAGTAAAGATATTGAAACTCTCAATTTTCTTACTTGGCCTTTGGGATTTATCTTCAAAGTTTTTTATTAAATAAAACCGAAACCCGCCTGCAGAGTTTTGGAAACACAAATGTTAACTTTTTAGAGCTGTTTCTCGAAACTCTTAGCCTCTACAGTCCAGGTGACTCCCACCTGGAGCAGAGCAGCAGCAGGTCAGAGGTCAAGCAGACAGAGCACTCCGTGGAATTTCACATGTAGGAGCGTCTTTTGCACACTCACCTGCATCCAGACTGAGACGTACTCACACACACATGCAGAGGCCTAATGTTGAATATGTGGTGAAAGCTGTGGGTGTGTGAGGAACAGCAGCGGCTAACTCAGCGAGAAAGTTGAAAAAAACAGAACAAATCACTTTTCCTAGTGTATGTTTAAAGAAGAGACATTAACCTCAGACATAAAAAGAAAAAAGACTTAGTTGGCACGCTGAATCAAAGCACCAAACACTTAAATCTTATAAAGAAGTTCTGTTGTGTGTGTGCAGACATGCTAAAGATCACTAACCTCCGGGTGAAGTTCATCAAGCTCCACACTCTGGGTGACAACCTGCTGGACTCCCGGGATGAGGTGACAGAGAAGTACTACTACTCTCTCTACGATATGGTCGTGCGTGGAAACTGCTTCTGCTACGGCCACGCCTCGGAGTGCGCCCCCATCGATGGAGCCCCGACTGGAGCTGAGGGAATGGTACGGTACACAAACACAATGACAGAGAGAAATGAATACACAGAGCATGCAGAGTTAGAGTTTTCACAACTTTTAAATTAAGTCTACATCGATTTTTGATTCTGATATCTATGGATTAACATTTCTGTGAAAAATTAGACTGAATATAAAACGGACTCAGATGCAACAAGCAACAAGATTAATGTTTCGTATCAGTAAAGCTTGTAGATGAGTAGGCAACTATAACTTGGGGGTTATGGTAAACTAACTAACTTAATTCGGTAACTTCTATACCAAAAACGTATAATATTTTGTATGATGTAACTATTATTATTATTATTAGTGTAGATGTCTTTTTGTATGACTAGGTCCATGGTCGTTGTGTATGTAATCACAACACAGAAGGGCTAAACTGTGAGCGCTGTCAGGACTTCTACCACGATTTACCCTGGAGACCAGCAGAGGGACGAAACACACACGCCTGCAAGAGTAAGAAAAACACAGAAATATCAGAGGAGGGCAAATTTTTTAATGTTTCTGGCTTTTTATCTTGGCTTTTTCATGTTTTCTGCGATGAAAGATTGCAAGCTCTCCAATAGCACGTCAATTAGCAGGCTAGAAATATAAGTGCCATGATGTAAACTTGGTCCTTTGAATATTTCTTTTAACATTAAAACAGAAAACACAATAATTAGTATATTTTTGATGGTAAATATATCATTTGAGCAGTCTAGCTTAATTTTTTAACTTCTCATATAACAATTTCTTGTTTTTCATTTAAATAAATTACACACCTTTTATTTTAGGATAATGATTAGTGAAAGAAAAGATGTAATAGAAACATAAATTTTTGTCATTTTAACAAAAAAAGATTTATTTTAATCATAGCTGGTGAAAAATTAGGAATAAAAATAGAATTTAGTTGCAGTTACTTTCTTTACAAATGAACAGAGAGGCTTATTGAATCTGACCGTGGACCCATTGTTCTCAGGGTGTGAGTGTAACCAGCATGCCAGTTCGTGTCACTTCGACATGGCCGTGTACAAAACAACTGGCAACATGAGCGGAGGCGTGTGCGACGACTGTCAACACAACACGGTGGGCCGACAGTGTGAGCAGTGCGCCCCCTTTTACTACCAGCATCCAAACAGAGACCTGAGGGACCCCAACGTCTGCGAGCGTGAGTCACCTCTGTGTAACCTCTGACCTCTGAGTGCGTGCTGCTGTATTTTTCCTCATTCATTACATGAACTGTCTGTTAAAAAGCACGCCGGTGTCCTCCTCCTAAGGGAGATTTTTCAGGCTGAGACACCTGGAGCTGAACTCAGTGACTGTGTTCAAGTCTTTGAAGTGAAAAGCAGAAAGTGGTTGTTGTAACATCATGATTGGAGTTAAGTAGTGGGTACATGTGGAAATACTGCCGTGGAAAAAACACAGCCTCCCACTCTGTTTTCCTGTTTTTAAGGCATATCTTTAGAAAATACTCAAACCTTTGCTCTTCATTTCTTGTCTAATTTTGTTTGTTGTCTTCGTAAAAATGTCTCAGTCATTCAAAAACATGAAAACCTTGGTGGACAACATTTATTGATGCATGTTTCAGTCTCCACAGATCAGAAAAAAAAGATCTTATTGGCTATAAAGCAGAAGAAAGGGCTCATTACTTGTGTCACCTGTGTTAATCTAAGTGTTTCGTGTGTCCACAGCATGTAGCTGTGACCCAGATGGGTCTCTGCAGGGTGGGATGTGTGACGCTCGGACTGATGTGGCGGCCGGGCTGATCTCAGGTCAGTGCCGATGCAAAACCAACGTGGAGGGTGAGCGCTGTGATCACTGCAGACAGGGATACCACGGGCTGGGGAAGAGTCCAGGCGGCTGCTTACGTGAGTCTGCACCGTTTATTTAAGCAAAATTTTTAGAGTTTTAAAGGAGTATTCTGTTCAAACCACAGGTTTTCAAAGTTTACTCTCACCAAATACTCCTCTATGTGCAACTTTCCCCCTGTTTTATGTTCCTCTTGTTCCACGATGTTGTTGGATTTTGGTCAGTTTTGCTTTGTTAGGTCTTTAGTGCTTTACTACTCAAGTCTTTTACACCCCAAATATACTACAGCTGTCAGAAGTATCTTCATTTCAGTTTTATAAATGGATTGATCAATTGAATTTCTAGGTTGAAAATAAGAGAGTAAAACTTAGAACTTTGTAAGAAGTAAAAAGTTCAGATCTTTATTTGTAGCACACTCATGAATACGGTATTCAGACTGAATAACATTATAAAACATATGTGACACTGTGTACTTATCAATCATCACAGACAGGATATTGAAGCGCTACAGTCCGACACTCTGGTCTAGTTCAGTCTGAGGCCTTATTGTTGCGTTGTGTGTTTTGGCAGCATGTACCTGTAACCCGCTGGGCACCCTGCCGGGAGGAAACACCTGTGACCCGAACTCTGGAGGCTGCTACTGCAAACGCCTGGTTGATGGATACAACTGTGATCAGTGTATTGTACGGACACATTTACAACTTAAAGCTTCAGTTTGGCGCCTCATTTTGTACAGTTATTACGTGTATTGTAATAGAGTCTCTTCTCTCCTCTCTGTAGCCCCAGCACTGGGGTCTATCCAATGACATGGACGGGTGCAGACCATGTGACTGTGACCAGGGAGGAGCTGTTAACCAGAAGTGGGTTTAGTTTGAGGAAAAGATCACAGCAATGATCTTTGAATGACAAAATGTTGTAGACAGCATGTCCTGAGAAGACTCTGATAACTCTTTTGAAACAAATAATCAAGGACAGATATTTGGAGCAGAAATCAGACCTAAAAATGAACTGCGTCTCTCTCTCTTTCTCTCTTCAGCTGTGACCCTCACACCGGACAGTGCGAGTGCAGGGAGCACATGTATGGACGGCGCTGCGATCAGGTCGAGTCCGGCTTCTATTTCATCGCTCTGGATCACTACACCTACGAGGCAGAAGACGCTGATCATGGACCTGTGAGTGTGTTAACTGAACCACACCGTCTATTCAAGGTGTCTCTTACCAGGAGAACCTCAGTGAAGCTTCGATGACTTCTTCTTCTCTTTGTCAGGGAGTGACGGTGGTACCCAGGCCTTACCCTCAGGATCGCAGCCCCACCTGGACGGGGATGGGATTTGTCAATGTGCCAGAGGGAGCTTACTTGGAGTTCAACATCAACAACATCCCAGAGTCCATGGACTATGACATCCTTGTTCGATATGAGCCTCAGGTAACACACACACCCCATCTGAATGAGCTGTATACCTTCATATACTTGTAAGAAAAATAACAATAAAGTTTGATTTGATAAACTTATGTGCGCCCTGATCTATTACCAGCTGCCGGAGCAGTGGGAGAATGTGAACGTTCGAGTGCAGCGTCCCGTCTACAACCCTCCGAACTACTCGGGTCACTGCAGCAACACCATCCAGAGCGGAGACGAGCAGTCCATCTCTCTCACACCTGGATCCAGGTAAAACATTTGTTTACTTCACTGTGTTTCCATAGCAACAACTTCACTACCCTCCGGCCAACCTTGTGTTGTGTTTCAGACATGTGCTGCTCCTGAGGCCGGTGTGTTTCGAGAGAGGACTGAACTACACGATCCGTCTGAGTCTGCCTCGCTACTCCTCAGCCAGCAGCATCCAGAACCCGTACACGCTCATCGACTCTGTACGTAAATAATCTCCAAGCAGTGTCTGACAGAAAAAAAATTGCCCATGATTCTGCCACTTACAATATTTTACTTGTTTAAGACGGTGGAGCCAAAAGGAAAACAAAGAAACAATCTTGTAGCTTTGGCTTCAAAGTAATTATACCTCAAAGATTCACACCTTTACGTAACAGCTTGTAAGTGTTTCATTAATAAGCACATTACTAAAGCAAAAAGAGATGTTCTTTCCAAGAGAGGAGAAAGTTTGTACCTCTCTCTAACTTGTAGGGCAGCCAGGAGGCAGATGTCCAAGTTTGGCATAACGGCTTTAACACAAGAGGACAACTAGCCTGTCTGTCCTCTAAGCCGTCTGGAGAGTGATGATACTCAGCCAAGAAAATTAATGAAGCTCAAGCTCTAGCGAAACCACGATTTATTGTTCTCATATATCATAAAACTTGTTTTTCCACGGCTGTGCACATCAATTAAGTCGTCTTCCTCCTCTTGTTTCAGCTGGTGCTGATTCCTCGGGTCAGAGAGATGGATTTCTTCCTCGGGAGTGAAGGTGAGGGAGCGTGGGATACGTTCCAGCGTTACCGCTGTCTGGAGAGCAGCCAGAGCGTCGTCAAGAGCCCCATGACCGACATCTGTAACAACTACATCTTTAGTGTGTCCGCTCTGCTGCACAAAGGAGCCATGGGTAAGAAATGGAAAGAGTAGAGCACCATTAACAAATATTTACTTCTCCTTATTATTTATTTATGATTTTTGTGATATCTCTTTTCTCCCAGCCTGTCAGTGTGACCCTCAGGGTTCTCTCAGCGCTGTGTGTGAGCCTAATGGAGGTCAGTGTCGCTGTCGTCCCAATGTTGTGGGCAGGAACTGTGAACATTGCGCCCCGGCGACGTACCTGTTCAGCCCCGCTGGCTGCAGACGTGAGTGTTCGCGTAAAGTGAGCTTTGACTCGTGATTTTTTCATCAGCAGGAGTAGTACTGATTGAAATCTCTCCTTTAGCGTGCGAGTGTGACCTCGGAGGCTCGGTCAGTCCTTTCTGCCACGAGGCCACCGGTCAGTGTCAGTGCGTCCCCGGTGCCACAGGGCGTCAGTGCTCCCACTGTCTGCCGGGTTACTGGGGTTTCCCTCACTGCAGACCGTGTCAGTGTAACGGACACAGCGAGTACTGCCACCCTCAGACTGGAGAGTGTCAGGGCTGCAGAGAATTTACCACAGGACACCACTGTGAGAGGTAAAACTTGGAAACAAGGATGGATGTTTGCAGAGAAAAAAAAACAATTTTGTTTTAAATCTTTAAAATGTTTGGAAAGTTATGATCTTATTTAGTTGGAGAGTTCAAACAGGACATAACTTTGATTGATTTTTACATTTTCTTTACTCCAAGGTGTCTGGATGGTTACCATGGTGATCCAGAGCTGGGGTCAGGTGGTCACTGTCGCCCCTGCATGTGCCCTGACGGACCTCGCAGTGGACGTCAGTTTTCAGACAGCTGTTACCTGCTGGCTCCATCTAACCAGCTGGTGTGTGTGTGCAGTGCTGGATATAAAGGTATAATACACACACACACACACAGACTTGTTTTCATGTAAACAACTTTTCAAAGTGTCACGTGTTGCTCTTTTGTCATCAAGTCTCCACTCACATGTCAGAACCTCAAACACCTCAAACCTACAGAAACACTCATTTTCTTCCCGTTTCCTGTCCTCACTCAGGTGCCAGGTGTGATCAGTGTGCTCCAGGTTTCTTTGGGAACCCTCTCGTTCCCGGAGGTCGCTGCCTGCCCTGTCAGTGTAACAACAACATCGATATGCACGACCCCGGGTCATGTGACGCACGTACGGGCGCCTGTCTCAAATGCCTGTACCACACGGAGGGCTACGCCTGCCAGCACTGCAAGCTGGGTTACTATGGCAACGCTGGCACCCAGAGCTGCAGGAGTGAGTACAGATGTTAATCTGACTTAAAGGGATATTTTGGCTTAAAATTAATTTAGGGTCAAACACACCGCTTGCTTCTCTAGTTATACCAACTTTAGTAATGACCACACAATAGCAATACACAGCAGTCTGAGGAGCCATAAACAAACCACAACCAAAACGCCACTCTATAGCCACAAATAATGCTCAGTACAGCACCTAACTTTATCAACAGTACATACAGGGTATTTTACGTAGAAGATGGCGCTCATAGAAGTAGGTAGCATTTTTATTTCTCAAAGTAAGCCGGACACTTTTCTTCATCAGAAGGTCATCATCATAAACTTTGAGAAAACGAGAAAGAAACAGAAAACAGTGACGTACTGTTAACTAAATAGCAAGGGCTACACATGTGCATAAAAACTTCTCATTGCTGAACGCAGAGGAAACCTCTCCACAGGGACACAGTTTAAAGTTTCTCTCTGGGAGCCTCCAAAATAGACAATGTCTCATTTAGAGATGTGACTTGTATTCTATATATTACGGTAATTTGCAAACACTGACATTAAAGCAGTGATGAAAAAAGTTAAAAAAGTTATTTTGACCACCTTTAACCTTGAAGACTTTTGGTGCGTACACACTACTACTCTTGTAAAAGAAGTTTTTGATAAACTTTCGGCTGAGGAAGTAACAGTGAAAAAGACAAAAGGCTTTTGGGTTTTTGGAGAAAGATTTTAAGTGATAGATTAGAATAGTTGACATCCTTGGGACTCTAGTCTTAGCTGAGCCCTGATTTTGATCTGAACTAAATGTGGTTTTAACAGTTAAAATGAGCATCCAGAGTCCTGCAGTGGACCTTCAGTTATAAAAACCTGTAGACATGGTTGAAGCTCTTGGTGGTAAACACTCTTTGTTGTGTTTTCTCCTCCTTGTGTGCAGAGTGCATGTGTTACTCAGCAGGCACAGTACCTCAGGCCTGTTCGTCCCCCGATGAGTGTCAGTGTAATCAGGTCAGCGGTCAGTGTCCCTGCCTGCCAAACGTGGTCGGTCAGAACTGCGACCGCTGCGCCCCTGATACCTGGAACCTGGCCAGCGAGACAGGCTGCCAACGCTGCGACTGCGACCCCGTCCACTCCTTTGGATCCTCCTGTAATCTGGTGAGTCAGACTCGGTGACAGCAACCTAAAGCCACAACCTGTGATTAAATCAAACATCTGTCTGCGTCATTTCCTGATTTATTCTTCCAGCAGCTGCTTCGATTCGCTCCCTCCTCTCTCTGAACTGATTCCCACACAGTCTTGTCTCTCAGTGAGCTTTTGTTTCCAGAGTTTTTCTTACACAATTCAGGGATATCTTCCAACAAAATCACTCTCAGAGCAAACCTGTAGGGAGCCACTCACTCACTGTGACCAATCCTGATCACAAAGGCTTGTGTTTGTGAAATCTTTTGATATATGGACTCCAGCTGTTTGGGAATTTCTTCTCTCCAGGTCCCTCTGTAGCTCTGTTTTCCTCAGACGCCTAAAATCTGCATGTGTTTAGACTGAAACCTGGACATAAAGAGCAGAATAACGTGCACTCTCTCAGACACAAACACTGGGCTTTCTGTGTTTACTGGCTGCTCTCCATCTGAGGAAGGAAGTCTGAGAATACTCTTGAGGGATAACTAAATTCACATTTCTGTGAGAGGGCTGAGTCGTATCAAAGTACAGAGGTCTATTGTGTCTTTGTGAGGGAGAAAAGACACAAAAACGCCACTTTGGGCCCCAAAATTATACAATTTAACACAAAAAATCTAACATTTAAGGCTTTAATTCTCAACCTCACTCTAATAAATCATCTCCAGTTGTTGATTTTTGCGTCCCTGTTGCTCTGTAGGTCACGGGACAGTGCGCGTGCAGACCTGGTTTTGGCGGCAAGACATGTCGGGAGTGCAAAGAGCTCTTCTGGGGAGATCCAGTGGTCAAATGTCACGGTAGGTTACTGCAACATTATTATAGCAAACTAACAGTTTTTACCATGCTCATGCTGAGCGAACCTCAGGAGGCACTTTATTCTCTGAAATTTGAATACAAATTGCGTGTTTAATCCGGTCATTTGATGCAGACAGTGATTTATGTTCAATCAGAATCAGGATTAGTTTGAGGTTTATTAGCAGTTTTACACAGATGAGGAATTTGTCTTAGTGTTGTGGTCCTAAAACAACGAACACAGAGTACAAGCTGGAAATATATACAAGTAAAAATGTACATATCTGAAACCTTCAATAGAAAAAGGCACAAATGTCAAAATGTGTAAAACTATAAAAGGCAGAATGTAATCCAAATGTATGCAGGAGCTGCACATGTGTACAGGAAGGGTGCAGGATGTGCAAAAGTGTGAATATAAACATCACAGAATATAATCTAACAGTATCTGTCCGTTGTGCATTAATGTAAAAAGTCTCATTGTAACTGAGTATTTACAGCTTCTTTTTCCTGCCTTTAAACGGCCAAACACTTCAAGTTTATTCACAAAAGGTTAAAAGTTTCAGCTCCGGATTCTTTCGAGCGTTTCTGAGTTACTATCTCCCGGGCCTGGACTGCAGCCGTTCTCCCTTCCTGCTCTTTCGGGGGGCTTGTTGACATTCCTTCTGTTCCTCAGTGTGTCAGACTGTCAGAGTGAGGTCAGGTAAAAAACGCAGCTAAAAACACGCCACTGTCAGGTCATGAAACACTCCTCCTGCACTTTTACCAACCCCAAATGGATATGAGCGGGTTTTAAAACAGCCTTAAATCTCAGGGTTCCTGTTTGATTTCAAATCAGGGAGCTGAAGCACAGATCCAAAACAGAGGGAAACATCAGTGTCCAAACACTTCCTCCACTCTACTCCTGTGTTTATACAGCCTTTAAAACTCATTATATCTTTTTTTCTTGTTCTTGTTTTCCACTTTCTCATGGGATATGATTTCCACTGAGTCATCACGTGGAAGGACTTGAGGTTTAGATTAGTTTTCCACCATTTTCAGCTTTTATTTGAGTATCTGAGGCTCATTATCCTAAAGAAAACATACCGGTAGTGAGTGTGAAACAGCTTCGATGAGTCCATAGAGGTTTTATCATCTCCTGAATAAACCATCTGAGAGCTCATCTTCACTTAGAGAAAGAGAGAGGGATTGGAGAAGAGAAAACATGGATGTAAAAAAAGAGAAAGAGGATCTGGGAATGACCTCTGGTTCCCAGCTCATGGGAACCAGATGTTCTCCAGAACTCCCAGGCATCCCGTTTTCGTCATGTACAACACCCAGAGAGCCGAGGAATCCTGAAATATTCCCGCTGTATTCCCTAAAGGTCTCTTAAGCTCTTAAAGCAGCTGGGCCGCCTGCACAGATGATCCGCTGATGTATGGATTCATGGGAAATCTGAACATCTGTGGCCACCGTACGGACAGATGTGTGGGAGAAATGTGAAGTTATGTGAGAGTTATGCGCCGCTTGTTGGCATCTTTGTGTGATTTGAGAGGACCAAACTGAGCAGCTGTTATTAGTATGCGGCTGCAGTTGCCTTAAATGACCCATAATCACCACTCCTGTCCCGACTCTCCCTTGAGTAATATTTCACTGTGACAAAAAAAACAAAACTTCAAACCCAACCTCCACCTCCTGCCCCATAAATCACACTAATAAAGAAAGCAACACCAATGGTGCAAACCTCTCCAACAGAGCATTCCTTCTTCTTGACTTACACTAAACCTCCTCCTCCTCCTCATCGGGAGGCCAATATTCTGGGTCAGTATGATCTTTGAGGTCAGGGTCATGACTTTGTTTTAGCTCTGGAGGTGTTGGAGGTTGGATAAAGTTTGTTTTTTGATGACTAATTTCCCTTGAGAGCTTCATGGTAGATTATAGAGTCCATTCGGTGTGGACGCCAAGCCATATTTTAGTCATATTAAAGTCAACTTTTTTACTCAACAATATTTTTATTAGTTTTATACAGTTTAATACAGTAAATACATCTCTTGAAAGAGCACAAGATACAAAGGAAACACATCAAAAACACACCCTTTCCCTCAAAACCCTGTCTACTGCTGGATATTTCTATTACTGTGCTTAAATAACAAATTCTGGAGCTAAAACAAAAATAAAATAAATGCTGGAATTCAGGTTTTGTAGATCTTGAAACATGTAAGACGTTGAGAAATAAAAAGTTATAAAGAAAATAAGTTACATGAACTGCTGTACGTTAAGAGAAATACATATATAGACAAGTCGCTGAAAACTGAAAAAGTCCATAAAAGAGATGAGAATTTCAGTTGTATGATTATAAAACATCACAGATATATATTTCAAAAAGAAAACAAGAAGAAAACAAGAAGAGGAGAGTGCTGATTCAAAATGATGAGAACTTCTGAATGTAGTCTAGAAAAGGTCTCCAAACCTTTTTGAATTTTACATCATGACCTGCAACCGAGTAACGAATCTTCTCAAGGTCAAAACAAGACGTAAGGTCTTTCAGCCACCGACTGTGAGTGGGCGGGGCAGCATTCCTCCGTCTAAGGAGAACCGCACGTCTGACCAGGACACTGTGAGGAGTTTTTAATGCCTCAGAGTTTTGCAACACTTGACCGTAAAAAGTCAGCAGAATCGATTGCTTCTTACGCAAGTAGAGGACAAGATAAGCAAAAACTGCTTCGTCTCTGAATGTTTCTCACAAGCTGAAATGTGAAGTGAAAAGACATATCGTTTTAACTTCCCAGCTGGGATGTTTGCATGCATAGTAGTTCCATTACATGTCATGACATCTGTTAAATGGCCTGCAACATGTCAAGCTGCCACCACTACTTTTTGATCAATGATTATCTAAAAAACCTTGCAAACAGATTAGAGAAGCAAACTGAATGTTACGTCTGTATCCATATCATACGACTGTAGAATGTAAACATGTACGTGTTGCTGCTGCTATCAACAATAGCCTTGGAAATGATCGACTAAATGTGACGGGGGATTTCCTGCTGGTCCTGCTGCCTGTTAATCTTGTGGCCACATATACAGGCTGCTTAAAGGACCACAGAGTGTTTACTTTCAGTTTCTACACCTGTAGTGTGCAGATTTTCCCTGATTTTCTTCCTGTGTGTTTCCAGCTTGTGAATGTAACCCTCTGGGAATCTCCAGCGAGCAGTGCCATCGCGCCACAGGTCAGTGTGCCTGCGTGGAAGGCGTGGCCGGCCTCAGGTGTGACGAGTGCGCCAGAGGCTACCAGGGTGAGTTCCCCAACTGTGAACCCTGTGACCCCTGCTTTGCCGTGTGGGACACCGTGGTCGGCGAACTGACCAATCAAACCAAGCGTCTAGAGGCCCAAGTTGCAGAGCTCAAGACGACTGGGGTGACGGCGCCGTATAAAGAGTTGATCGGCAGCCTGGAGAGAAACATTAAAGCTGTTAGAGAGATAATAGAGAGCAATCCTGCTGGAGTGAAGCTGGATCAGATTCAGGAGCTGATGAACCACATCACGTATGTAAAGGAACATACACAGATCCATGAAGAGATGATGGAGGGTCCTAAAGTACTTTTATCATTGTTGTTTCAGAGGTGTGATGTCCTACCTGAACATCAAGCTGAACACAACAGAGGAGGGCCTGAACCTTCTCCACAGTGACGCCAACGCCACAGACGCAAACCTGGACGCACTGACCGATGAGGCCAACCGTCTGGAGCAGAGAGTCAAAGACTTGAGACAGGAAGTGTACGACGCCAAGAACGCCAACCTCCAGGGTAAGAGCACAGCTGTACAGTCAAACTGAATGTCTAAGGGTGGTTTGTTTTGACTCGACAAAGAGGTCAAACGAGCTCCAGCAACACTTCTAGTTCAGGAAAACAGCTTTATTCGTGTCGAAGAGTCCTGATGAAGGCGACAACCAGAAACGCGTCGGTCGAATAAAGCTGTTTTCCTGAACTACAAGTGTTGCTGGAGCTCTTTTGGTGAAGTTGTGCCAGAACTTTTGTCCTCAAATTTTGACTCAACTAAGCAATTGAGTGGATTTGAAGGGGATTGAAAAATAAATCAGTGTATCATCAGCGTACAGTTTCACATTCAAGTGTTGTGAATTTTTTCTCCATCGACTCCTCATAAATGCCACTTTCTCGAATTTTAGCATCATTTTTTTTATTCGTTTGTAAAATTTTGGAACTTTTTACGAGTACTGAGGCCTTTTTGCTCCATTATTTATCATTTTAAAAGCTAAAAGAAAACAGAGATGTTGCCACTGTGTCAACAGGCAGAGGGGAAACATGCCAGAATAATTTTACTAGATTGATTTCATTTGACATATCTGATCAGATTGTTGCTTCTGCTGTTCATTAATTGATTACTGTCAATCAATAAGTTGTAATGGCGGTTCAACCAATCAGAAACAAGTATTTAACACAGCTTGAATATTTGTGACTCCTGGACACACAGAGACCTTTTAATCCAATTTATCAATCTTGTGTTTTTAGGTGCAATGGACACTATTTCAGATGCGTACGATCTGTCACAGTTGGCCGAGTTACGCGCCAACATCTCCACCAGCAGCCCTGGAAACATGGTGGAGCGCTCAGCCTCAGTACGGAAAGCCACAGAGGACAAACTCAGCGGCGGTCAGAAGGAGTTTAACCGCAAGCTCCAAAGAAACGTTCAGAAACTTGACAAACTGTCCAACGACCTGGATAACTTTGACCTGACACCTCTTAGTGAGAAGGTTGGAAACGCTTAAAGACCACAGAGTAAAAAGACAACTTTTATTATCTTCTAATGATGATTTTGTCGTATTTATGCTCTCCCTGCAGACATGTGGTGGTGCAGCTGAAGGTGAAAGCTGCTCCGGCTCCCCCTGTGGTGGTTTGGGTTGTGTTGGAGAGGATGGAGTGTCTCATTGTGGTGGTAAAGACTGTGCAGGTATAGCTACAACTTCCCAAAATGTTCTCAAATCAGCCAAAGATCTGGATCAGGAGATCCTCACTGCCACGCAGGAGGTGGACAAGCTCTCCAGGATGGTGAGTGAAGAAAAAACGAATAAACTCAACATAGATAAAAGCAAATATCTAATTTAACTCTTCTTTTGTGAGGTTTGGGAAGCCAATACCAGAGCTAACAAGGCCAAAGCAGACGCTCAGCAGGTGCTGATCAAAGCTAACCAGAGCAAAGAGAGGGTGGAGCAGAGCAACGACCAGCTCCGCAACCTCATCAAGGAGATACGAGACCTTCTGACCAGTGAGTGTCACACATAAACAAACAGTTTGTCCAGATCTTTAATATCAATTCCAGGTCCACAAAGATTCTGTCAATAATTTAAGTATCCACGTTTGAAGACCTGATTGTCTGAAGGTTTGCAGAAGGACTGACTGTGTTATGTTTCTACTAATCCAGATGAAAAGGCGGACGTTTCAGTGATCGAGGCGGTGGCCAACGAGGTGCTGGCTCTGGAGATGCCGACGTCATCAGAGAAGTTGAAGGAGCTGACGAACGAGATCAGGGAGAAGGTCGGCACTCTGACCAGCGTGGAGGAGATCCTCACTCAGAGTGCCCAGGACATCCAGAAGGCTGAGGCGCTGCTCAAACAGGCCAAGGTTGCGAGGTAATCCTTCAGTCCAGGGAATGAAAAAAAGGGAAACTAAATATAAAATGGATTTAATGTGTTATAGATGTTGTATGTTTATTTGTTTCTATGGCTTTTTTTAAGTAAGTTTTTTCTCCTGGATAATTAAAGGTTTCATAAAAAAATAAGTCAATACAAAGAGCTTATCACATATCAACACAACATGAGGTGCACCTCTCAATTTCGCCCAGCAGAGGTCTCCTTTTGTCTCTTATAAACCACATGTTATGTTTCAGAATAAAAAAGATCTTACGGTGGTAAAAATTAAGAACAGATGGTTAACTCGTAAGTTTTCTGTCCATCAGTGAGAAAGCATCCACTATGAAAGAGACAGCTGATGCCGTTCAGGCAGCTCTGGCTGAGACTGAGCGTGCTCAGACCATCGCCATGGACGCCATCCACCTGGCCCAGAACAACACAAGAGGAACCCTGGACCTGCTTTTAACAGTGAGTGATCGGACAACCCACAGAAACACACAGAAACTCAGTGTTTTTCATATATTCAATGATGTTTCCAATTTTTTTAACCTTTTTAAAACATCACCTTATGCTGTCATGTGCTCATAAGTGAAGATTTAACACCACCCAGTGTTTATCGCCATGAATTGACTCCTGATGTTTGTACATTTTTCTCAGAAACTCACTCCAAATATGTTTTTATGTCTTTAACTCCTACTTAACATTACAAATATGAAAATGTATTTTTTTTTTTACAGATAGCTCAGGCAGTAAATTTTAATAACCTGCCCTTATCTTTAATAGTTTTTCGAAGCATTGAAAGGAAACCTCTCTTCCTTTTTTATGTGTAACATTTGGCTACAGTCGATATCTCATCAGCTTTTTATCACTTTTTTAACAGCCCTCCTCCTGAATGATGCTGAGTTTTTAACGATGCACGAGTCTCATTTTTCACTTCAATGTGTTCGTGTGTGTCTTTGTGTGTGTGTGTCAGGTGGAGTCGGAGACGGCTGACTCAGAGCTGAAGCTCAGTAACACGACAGGTCGTCTGCTTCAGCTGGAGCGGGAGGTCGGCCTGCTCAGACAGAACAACCTGGAGGTGACCCGGCTCGCCGAGACGGCCGACTGGGTCGCGGACCAGGCCAGACTGACAGCAGAGGAGGCCCAGCAGGTCTGTTTCACACACACGTACACACACACACTGTATCATTTGATCCTGCTGAAGTGTCTCATGTAAACCCTTACCTTTGTGTGTGAAGGAGTTTGACTTGGAGGTCAAAGACAGGTTCGAGGACGTAAAGGAGCAGGTGGAGGATAAAGGAGAGGCAGTGGTGCTGGCGAAGAGGAAAGCAGACCAGCTGCAGCAGGAGGCCAAAGAGCTGCTCGCTCAGAGCACCAGCAAGCTGCAGAGACTCCAAGGTAGACATCTGACATACTTTCATGCTAAATGTTGACACACAGTCATCAAACACTGATTTTCTCTTCTGTCTTCAGAGCTGGAGAGCTCCTACGAGTCCAACCAGCAAATCCTGGAGTCCAGAGCTGCGGAGCTGGTCGAGCTGGAGCAGACCGTCCGCAGGATCCTGGAGGAGATCAGCCACAAAGTGACGCTGTACAGCACCTGCCTGTGATGATCAGCTGATAACAGCTCCTCAAGACTATTCACTGTTCTGAAATGAACCGGCTGGGATTTTAAAAAGTGCCAAACGTTTTAAAGATACTGCTCCCAAATGATTCCAAGTGTTTGAGCCAAAAGTTTGTTGCGAGTGTGTGTCAGCCAACATCTCTAACACTCAGACAGCTGTGCCAAAAAGTGTTTTAACAGCAGAGACCAGATGAAAAGCTGCCAAAGACCATTAAAGTATTAAAGTCCCAAAGGAAACCACTGAAAGCCAAAGTGACCTCAGTGCTAAAAACAGAGTTTAGAATTTACAATAAGTTACACTGTAAGAGAAACTTTTTTAAACTATGTATTTTAATATATGAATTTTTACAGAATTAATAAAGTTTTATTCAAACTAAAAAAGCCAAAGATATGAAACATGAAGAGGACCAAACAAACATTTCAATGGTTTTGTTACTGCAGAAAAATGTTGAAATTTGACCTAAAATAAAGTTACTGAAACAGCTTATTTGGTTTACTTTGTCTTTTTTGTGCTAAACTCAGTGTAATCATCTGAGAGAGCTCCACAGGGATACAGAAGCAGTCTCTGAGGAGTCTGAAGAGAGGTCTCATTTTGTCCTTTTGGGATAGAAAAGCCGCTGATGTGTGTTTTTAGAAATACCAGCAAAGTATTGTGTTAGTAAATGAAATACCTCAAAGAGAGAAAGAAAATGTTTTTTGCTGTTTTTCAGTAAAGGCAGAAAAGTTTGTCAAAAAATTGAGAAATAAATTTTAAACTTTTAAGAAAAATTAACTGTTTTGCTGCAAGTGCCTGTAAAAACTTCTTTTCTTATGGGCAACATGGTCACTCATGGCCACTACATCTTTCTCCTTTAACACCCTGGTATCTCCTTGCCTCAGTTTCTGTCTGAACATGAAACAGATCAGAGGTGTGCTCCCCCTGCTGCAGGCTTTGGTTTTCACGTGGAAGGGCAGGGAATTCCCAGAACAGAGCTACACTGTCAAATCTAACTTCGTTTTGACTAAAGGGGTCCCGATTTAAAGAATAAAACCTCAAAACAGCTCGTTTGCACCATTTTTCATTCATATAGAATTTGTTTCTGTTAAAATAGATATTGAGAAGGCCTCCTCTTTAAGCCCCTTAAGGATTTTTGGGGATTTTCCCGGCATCTTTTTGAAATTTAATTGCTTATTGTTAATGTCCGTCCATTAATGTCATTGTTTTTGTGTCCCATTGTATTTTAAAAAGTGCCAAACCAAAAGAAAATTAAAAAAATCATCTACACTGAAATAAAATGAATTCAGCTTAATGACAAAAGATGTACACACGTATACAGACTGACTTTTTCCTTTAAGTCTGTCTTATTATCGGCAGTGTTACAGGCTCCAAATAGAGACTCGACTCAAATCTTTGCAGACTCTTATGTCTTCAACACTCAAAAAATGTTTGACAAAGGAGGCGATTTTAAGACAAGGTTGACAATAGCGTGTTTTTAATTCTTACGTCTCAAGAATGACAATCAAAGTTTCATTTTTCTGTTGTGCTAAGGAAAAAAAAACACCTGAAACAAAATCAAAACATAAAGAAAAGCTTTTGAATTCAGCTGTTTGATGGATAATAGCAGCTCGATAAGGCAGAGTGAGGGAGGTTTACGCTGAAGCTTGTCGAGGAAGACGTCCTCCCCAGAAAAAGGAGAAAATAAACACCGGAATGATCTTTGTTTTAGACGTCTGGTGTAAAAATATATCACTGATGAATCTTAAATTCAAGCACTGACCCCTTTTAGTCCAACTCCAACACCAATGAGATCTCCAAACACTCTAAAAAGAAGTGTATGCCTACTTTCTCTCCTGAAATCTTGGAGTTTAAGAGTGGAGACACATGTTTGGTTTCTCTGTGTGCAGTAGCCTCAGTTTGTGTTTTTAATTCCTGCTGTGGGGGCCGTGTGGAGGCGGCGCTCCCTCTACAGGGGCGGAACTGGGGACGGAGAGCAGCTGGCCGGCGTGGATGCGTTCATTGACGCGCAGCTGGCAGCCGTCCTGCAGCATGCGTAGAGCTATCCTGGCGATGTTACGTGAATCATCGAGGCCGGAGTGAGGGCGACCTTCGTACTTCAGACCCAGTTTCTCCAACATGGTGCTCAGCTTGGTCTGTGAGCGGGGAACCTGCGGGAGAAACACAGATGGTTAAAGGGATCAAAAGAACATAACATGATTGATTGGACCCTGAACAATAAATAGATCCATCTTCTGAAAAATCACACCTATCAACTCAAATGGCTGATAACAATCAGTAATAAAACAAACCTTGTAGAAGTTTCCGTATAACTTTCTGATGTTTATCCATTTCTTTGCAAACTGAGGGTATCTGATGCCGCTGATCCGACACTGGATGTTGAGGAACTTGCTCATGTCCCAGGCCCTGGAGGAAGAAAACCAAAGCTGTTGATTAAGAATTCATTAAAAACTCTCTAAAGAACAAAGTTCAGTTTGAGATCTGCAGCTGTCACTGGAGTGTTACTCACCCGTCAGTGAGGATGGCGTATTTGTACTTTGTCCCGAGCTCTCTCTCCCTCAGCCAGTCCACTACCCGCTGCAGTACAGCTGGAAACGTGTCCGCTTCATCCACCATTTTCTGCCCAACAAGAACACTTTCAATTCACAGACGATGATAGATTTAAAGAGACGCACATATCAAGTAAACCAAGCTCTACCAACCTGTGTTATTCCTGTTAACTTCACACAGAAGTCTGACAGCTGCGGGTTCAGCTCTGGTTTAACATATTCCTGATAGGAGTCCACCTTCAAGATAAAAGTAGTGAGACACAGTCAGACCCCCCGAACTCACCCTGCAGATTAAAACCCAACATGAACACAAACTCGACTTACGATTTCCAGCGTGTGCGTGTTGATGAGCACCAGGGGGAACTCGATGATTTCATGGTGAAAGTCTGCAGGATTATCCTCCTCACATGTAGCCTCAAAGTCCACCACACAGATGTAGTCATAGTAGGTGTCAGTGGGTCCTCCCTCTGCTGCAGTCTGCATAAGCTTCTGCTTCTTGTAGTGACTCTTCAGCCTCTTCTTCATCACATCCTTTACACCTCTGAATACAATATTACAGATCAGTTTAATGAAGGTTATTCTCACAGCTGGCCTACACTGAACCAGGTCAACTTGAGTGTTAAATCTGTTTATTTTTATACTGTATTAACACTCACCTCGTGTCAAGCCGCAGCTCTGCTAACTTCTTCCTCAGCTCGTCTTTTGACATGCGGTTGATGTGTCCGTTAGCCAGAGCGATTTCTTTGTACACAGGATGGCTGAAGTCACTGTTGGACTGAGACGGGGACACCTGAGGAGCAGATTCATCTGCTGGACAAATCCTGTCACAGGTATTTGTCTGTGGAGGAACAGCATCAGACATGGAAGGTTAAAGAAACACGAGCACATTATACATACTGAGACAATCTGAGAGTGATGTTGTTTTTATACCTCATTCTTAAAAATAGTCACCTACAGTGAACTGATAGAGTTTTCTGTCTTTAATTCTTTAAAGAAGTGTTAGAAAGGCTCAAAAGCAGCCATTTATATAAAAAAGTAAATATTTAGATATATTACTTAAATTAACAAATTTTTTTTACCTTATAAAAATTTTCAAAAATTGGCTGATGAATCAGTAATCAGACCCCCCAAATAATCAGTATCGGCATCTAAAAAATCTTTATTGGTCGGGCCTTAGTTTAAATAGTGGTCAACAGTTTTTTTAACAGCAGATGCCAATACTGATAATGCAAGAGCAGGTTGGTTTGCGGATGGCCGATTTATGATGTCAATATCACATTTTCGCTTATTAAAAAAAAAAAAAAAAAAAAAAAAAACAATTATTGACAAATGAGAAAAAAATAGCTGAACTTGAGTTTAATTCTTTTATTTCAAACATTTTGTAAAATATTGTCTCAGTTAACTATCACTGCAGGCAACTATGGGACCTCTGTCCAGACATTTACATTTACCAAATTCAAGGTAAGCTTAGTTTGGGTGACATGACGAAAAAGAATGTTTAATATGCCGATGATGGGAAAAAAATGACCTATTTCATTTAGAAAAAATAATGATATCGGCTTCGTATGTGCCGATACAGATATTGTGCCGATTATTTCAAAAATGCCATTGATGTGCTCATTAATCAGCTGACCGATTAATCGATCTATGAGTAGTTTCAAAGCTGATCATCCGTCCTTGTTTTAATAAAAATATATATGTATACGCAAAATTAGTAAATATGCTGCTGTTAAATCAAAAGGATCTTGAATTGGGAAATAAGGATAAATATCTGATCGGAGTGTTACTGATGGAAAACAAAAAGTCGTGATCCAAGATATTTCCACTGTAGATGATCTGGTTTAGAACATCTTTGTAATGGGATGAATTACATAAATTTTAAGATCCCCAAAAGCTGACAACTGAAATCTGGTTTGTTAGATGATAACAAAAGAATAAAATCACACCAACCTTTTCCTTCTCCTCCTCCTCTTCTCCTGTCTTTGACATCTTCACATTGACGTCTTTAGTCTGAATATTCTCCTTGTGCTCATCCATTTAAAGTGGAAATTAGTGCAGGAAAACAAATCCACGAATCAGATCGATTATAATCTCCCTAAATTCACAGAAATAAAGAAGCTATAAAACAGGAGCAGACACAGACGACCACATTTACCAAGAGGAGCTGCTCGCTTCAGCACACAAAAACTCTCAGATTTATTCGCGCTCATCAACGATGACGCTGCAGATTAAAATGTCAACACACTAAAACGTTACGAAACACAACGACCTCACAAACTAAGACACAGTTTTAGTGATATATTTCCGACATAATCGACATTTTACCGCGGTCGATCCGTTAGCCCTGAGACAACACGTAACTTTTGCTAAGGTAGACAGTTGTGAGGACTTCCGGTTTGCGCCAAAACGCCTGTGCTCACGGCCGCCATCTTGTGGTGTGGATGTTAGAAGACATGTCCGAAAGACGGTAGCTGCGTCCGAATTGCCAAGTAGTAGTCGAAGTAGAAGTCGAAGTAGTATCTAGCATGTCCGAATTGGCCACCGGAGCGAGTAGCATGCTACTTCAGATACTACTTCAGATACTAGACACGCCCACATTGTAGGTTGGTCTCGGTGCATCCTACGGGCATGCTACTGACCCAAAATGCACCACGGGCTTCTTCTTCGTCCTCTTAAAAGTTGTAGAAGCGCATGTGATGCTAGCGCCACCAGCTGCTCTGCCTATTTAAATGTATCGCGAACGCCGGCTGGCCACAACAGCGCGCACCATGTCGCGGGACCGCAGCAGTACAGATGTAAGTTTCATGTAACTTCACACACTGTCCTAAAAAATGTGCGGTTGTATCTCTTTGTCATGTCATGGTGTCATATTTGCCCAAGTAATCATTTTATGAGCAAATATGTGGCGACATCATGGAGGTAAAGCTCACTTATTCCATCATTAAACTGCACAGCTGCAGTACTACAGCCAGGCCCGCAGATGAGGGGCTTCAGTTACCACTGTCTGCACGGGCGCAGTACCTACTCTCTGCCTGCGGGGGTCGTCTTTCCCCACCGCTCGTCTAGTGTGTCCGAATTGGGCCAACGTGTTTAGTATGTAGGAGTAGGATCTAGCAGTAGCACGTAGCAGTAGCATGTAGTATCCGAGCGGGCAGTTCGGACGCAGCAGAGGTGCTCTGTCTGCTGTTGCTTTCTTTATTTTGAATTTCTATTTCACAAATAGAAACTTATCCAACTTCTTAGTAATAGTGGGACATTACTGGAGTAAGATTTTTATTCATAAAAAATACTTCAAACCGAGGAAGGAAAAACGTGAAGTGACATGGCAACTGACAAAGTTATTGTGAATTGTTAAAAAAAAAAAAAAAAAAATAAAGACCCCAAATTATTTTTTAATGAAAAAGGTTTGAATAAATTCGCAATCATTTTGTTTATTTATTTATCTATACTTACTTGCCAACTTACTAATTACTTACTTATTCCATACGTAGTTAATTTAATACAAAGTTATTGTTTTATTTATTAACAAAAATGTTGTCTTTAACTGCTGATGATTGATCAACCAGACTAATAAAATGTTGATTGCTAACACAATCGCTGGTATTTTATAATAATAATAATAATAATAATAATTCAGTATAGTAGTATAATAATATTATTAATATTATATTATTGTTATTATAATTATTAAACTACTTAATCCATATGTAGTTCATTACACCAACTAACTTTCTGAGTGATATACAAATAAAGAGGTTATATTCATTCTTTTATTTACAACTACTACTACTACTATTATAATTATTAATATTATTTATAAATAAGGACAAATTTGTCACTAGTTTACTCTCCACAAATATTTCTGAGCTTAAATTAAAAAAAACAAAAAAAAAACGGTTGTGATTTAAAGACATTTCTTATATCTGGCCACTAGATGGCAGTGTCTTACGATTTTTTTTCTCTGCTTTGCATGGATACATCCAGTGCACCACCAAATGTTACAAATAAAAACTTCTTTAAATAGTTCGACTCAAACTAGTTTCTTGATTAAATGGGTTTGATTAGATTTGTGAAAGCTAGTACTTATCTGCATACTAACTTTTAAACTTCTATTATCTTAAATAGCTGCTGACTGATCGATCAGACAAATAAGAAAATACCACATTGATTGCAAACAAATTTCAAGTAATTTTAAATGTTACTGTTTTTTTATACACTTCTAACATAAAAATGTAGTGTGATTTGGAGGCATGTCTCATATCTGGCAGCTAGATAGCGGTCTCATCCACATTTTATTCTGTGCCATACATAAACATATTTAGTATACATAAATACAGTTTAGGTAAAATGCATGCTGTGAATGTGTCCAAGTGAATGTTCTGGGTTATTGATAGGTGTTTAAACTTGACCCGAACCCGCCGTGGGCAGAGATGTTCTTTCTCTGAATAAAATGAACTCTGGCAGAGACAGAGCGGTGTGCGGGGCAAAGAGCAGGAGCAGCTGAACGGGGCGAAAAATCACCTGAATTATGAATCTGAGGCCAGCAAAAGTGGATGAAAAATTAATGATCCACAGAAAAGCTGGAACACGGTCCTGATGGTTGTTTTCTAGCCAATTATGTGTGGCTGAAATACTCTTGTCTGTCTTTTTATTGCAGATCAATCAACAACATTCTGAGTTTAATACAAGATGCAGCTGTGAATCCTTCAGGAATAAATCAGTTTTTACTCATAACAGGTGTCTAAAGAAAGTGGCAATATTTCACTCTAAAACTAGACAAACTTGTTATGCTTTGTACTTTTTCTCCCCACCAGCGCAGCACACTGAGCAGCTGGTGTTTGTCGAGTCATTTACACTCATTTTATGTATGAATTCCTTATGAAGCCTGCAGAGCTGTTTGATCCCTGGCCTTCTTTCCATCCAATATCTCGTCTGATAGATGATGTTTAATGGATGAGATGTCAGGAATTTGTTCTAAAAAAAGGAGGGAAATAACAAAGCAGAAATTCAAGAACAATCTTAGAAAAACAAAGATTTATTCTCTCTTTTTGAAAAAAATAATGATGTTATGAAAACCCATTACCAGCAACTAATGCACAAAGAAAAGACAGACATGTGAAAATATACATTATGGACTCAAAATACAGCCTTGGAGAGAGGGTTTATGTCTCTCCTAAGCGACAGACAGGATAGATTTTAAGCTAATTTGGAGAAAAAAAATCAAAATTCAATCTTAAAGAAACAAAAGAGATAAAAATAGTCATTTCAGTGTTGTTTAGAAAGGCTGGGACGCCTTAAAAATCTCCATATTTGGCTTCTGAAGGGACACAAATAGACAGTACAAGAAAGAAGCTGCATTAAAGGCAACAGTCCCCTCATCATCACAGTGATACAGGGTTCAGGGAGCATTGAGCTACATCGTTCAGCGTCTTTTCCCTCTTTTGGTGCTGCATTCATGTCACAAAGAGGAAACAGGCACTGAAGTGTTTGCTTTTATGAGCACTTTAATGCTGTTCGGAAACAGCAAAATGGGGGCTGATATTTCTCGGTGTCTGACATTTAAGTGTTTTTCTGTTCAAGAGCAGATGTACTATCTTAAAGTACATTGACCTAAAAAGCAGCAATCTTTATTCCAAGTCAGAAAGAGGATCTTTTTGTGCAAGTAAAACCTTGACTGTGTCTCTGCTGAGATGTTAGAGTGAGTCAGGTGTGAAAATGCTGAAAGGAATTATACGAGCAACATCAACAGGTTTCAACAGGTGGGAATTGGTTTCAGGTCACCACTTCCAACAGTTAGAGGGGGTGCTTTTGTTTCCTACAGGAAGTGAACGCAGCACAAGTTAAAAAGGCGTCACACTCAAGTTAATTTGTTCGGTTCATCTTGCAAAAAAAGGCAATTTATCAAAAAAACTAAACAAAACATGATTTAGCGCTTTTCTCACAGTTTACATGCTAACGCTGGTTCATGCTAACGCTGCAGTCTTTGGAAACTGAGTAAAGCACGTCAACTCACAGGACAAGTTTTTTTTTGTTTCCTCAAAATGCAAAAACATTTCACAAAAAACCCAGAAGCATCAACACAATGAGACAGGAGGCAGTTTAAACGCTTTCCTTTTAAGGAGTTGATTCACATTTTGGGAAATATACAAACAAGCTTTCTTGATGAGAGTTAGCCGAGAGGATCGATACCTCAGACGCGTCTGAAACAGGGTTGTGAAGAATAGCAGCACCAGAACATGAGATACACTCACAGGCTGTATATAGAACGGACACCCTCTGGTAAAATGTGACTAGATCGCTTTTGTCCTTGTAGACAGTTTGAGATGGATGTATGTCTGTGTCAATGGGCAAGCTACGGGTAAAACTGCAGTTCCCAAAATGTCCACATGAGGCTGGCTGCTGAAGCACTGAAAACCACATACACACTAAGCCAAAAAGCTCAACTCTAGAGCAAAAATAAACAAGTCTGCAGTCAGTTTTAAAAATGTTTTAGTCTGAATTTTTTTGAAAGGATTAAAATGTTTGCTTGTTGAATTAATTTTTTGATTTTCAACCATAGACTGGGTGAAGCCCCCATGCGAAAAACGGCACCCTCTGGTGGCTGGTTGCAGTATAGGACATAAACACCGCCTCCTCCAGCAAACTCGATGGAGCTGAGAAAAAAACTTTAGAAATTTATTACACAGAATACACATTTTTCTCCCCCCTGGGTGCGATGTTGACATGCAAGATGTCAACTTGTGCGAGAATTTATTCACACATGATAATCATGTTGTGCACAACAGATACAAGATATTACCGTATTTTTTGCACTATAAGGCACACTTAAAATCCTTTTGGTTTGTCGGAGCACTGTAGCTATCGTAGCCTTGCGGAGTTATTGACTGAGTTAAATAAAGTTTGACTTATCTGACTGGTTTTTTTTTGGCTTAATGTGCTTTATAATCCGGTGCGCCTTATGTATGAAAATAGACGCAAATAGATGCGTTCATTGATGGTGCACCTTATAATGCGGTGCGCCTTATAGTGCGAAAAATACGGTAACTTGTGCACACAAGATGATTCCTTGTTTCCAAAGAAAATAACTAAGTATGCACAAGATTAAAATTTGTACCCTTCAAGACTTAAAGGACTGCAAAATAACATGTTTATTGATGTTTTTTAAGTTCTGTTTCAGACGAAGCTAGGCGAGCAGTTTTTCCAGACTTTGTGCTAAGTTCTGTTTATCCTTTCCTAGCTGTACCTTTAAATAAGGCGCCTAGAAAACCACTACACTCAAATCAAGAAAGCAAATATTTCACAAAATGTGCGACAGTTTCTTTAAAACACGGTGGAGACACACAAAGCAGGCGCACATTACATGAAGACAGTCGCACGGAAACAAACACGCCAAAACAACAGCTTCGAAATCGTCCTTTTGTACGAGAAACTGACAAAAACATGACGTAAATACCGAAGACGCAGTACAGATCAACCTTCAGGTGGACGTGTCTTTGTGATGTGTTGTCTTTGTGTTGTCTTTGTGTTGTATTTGTGTTGTCACAGCTGGCTGGTGCTCGAGGAGGCAGACTGTGCAGTAACAAAACCGATGCAGCGGCTTTATACTGCCTGTGAGTGTTTGTTTGTTTGTTTAGAGGTGTTGCTAGAACACACTTTCCTTTAAGGACAGGACATAATCAGTGTGTTTTCCTGCCTACTCCTCTATATTTAGATTTTAGCGTCTGTTGTGTGCGGCTAGAATCCTCTAATGAATCCAAAAGCCAATAACACAGCGACCACGTGCCAAATCCCAGCTGCTTTATCACTTAACGGTCCGATACTCTGGGCTGTAGTGATGCTCTGTTATGACGTGTAAATGTTGAGTAGTTCTGTAGACAGCGTGTCGTCGAGGTTTGTACAGTTGTGAAAAGTTATGTCAGCTTACGTGTGTGTTTGTCGGAATCACTGCAGCGGTGCATTCTTGGAAAAGGCTTCAAGGATTTGTGTGGACCCCTTTTAGACATGCAGGGCTGTAAACCAGTCATCATGGAGCCTATAATTGACAGGGGACCGAGGGACCAGTGTGAGGCTACATGTAAACTCCTCCCTAGTTTCTGTGTTGCTGTGACAACAAGCCTCATGGACACCTGGACCCCAAGGTCAGACAAAGTTTCCTGGTCTCATTAGCGCTCCTGGATCAGTGTGGGAGGACTAACCGTTCCAAGGCGCACTGTAAATGTTCCCAGTTCTTCCACAGCAGTGCTAATACTGACACGCCCACACAGGTGAGCGCCAGATGGAGGCGGCTACGCAGCAGCGGGGCGGTGAACTTTGCTGCCGTGGAAACGCACACTAAGATCACCGTGACAATAGCCAGCATGATGTTGATGCATTTCCCCAGCAGCACCTTGGCGTCTGTGTTTTCCACCTGAACCGTCTGTTGCTGCTGCTGCTGGAGCTCCAGCTTCGACACTCGGGTCTGACACGACTCCAGGACCTCCTAAACACACGACATGAGCACAGTTAATAATAAATAAAGACTGGGGAGCTATAAGAGGAGGACATCACAGACGGACCTGTTTTTATCCTTAAAATGAAAACTGCCAGAGAAGGAAACCAGGGAATCATAAAGTTGAGAGAAGAGAGGAGCAGCTCATTCTGGAGGTTTTTCTTATTCAGAAAATTACAGGATAAAGTAAAAACGTCAAAGTTTTAAACTTGGCCCTCCAGTTTGTTCTTGTTTCTTTATTTTTAAAATTGGAACAGGTTTTGTTTGTTGGCTTGGAGAATTGCTCTGAGCAATAAAACATCTCTAAGTTTTTGCTGCAGTCAATAATAAAGACAGCAGGCAAAGGTTCAAATTTTCTTTTATTGGTTTTGGCTTATCTTCAAAAATTACCCCTTAATTCCTATTTCTTTCTATTTTTTTTTAAATCTTTTTATGCCTTTATAGAGAGATAGGAAACTGTGACGAGAGAGTGGATGAAGGTGATGAAGTGTGAGACCAAAAACTGGAATCTAACCTCCAACCAGCCACAGCCTGTCAGACCAACCCCTCTGCGCACAGGGTGATTGATTTAACAGCCCTTAATTTTCACACAGGACTGTCAGTTTTTCTCTCTTTTTTTGTAAATCTAGTTTTTACTGAATTTGAAGGGACTGGTACACGACAGTTAACACTTTAAATGAGACTCTGTTGACATCAAATTAAAGATAATGAGGACAAAAAGGAGATCCATGAACTACAGGTCACAAAACTGTTTCACATTTCAGGTTTCAGGTAGTATAATATAACTCCAGCCAGGGTGTCTGATTTCTTTTAGTCACTCTGAGCAGCACTGATTCACAAGAGGCTGTTTTTGTCATTAAACCGACCCTTTCTTCCATCTCTGGGTGTTCAGTTGACTTCCAGTATCTGAGTTTTGTTCTTAGAGCTGTAACAACTCCAGACATAACAACTGACAGATATTCTCCCAACTAGACTGTCACTTTTAATCAGAAGTTTGAGTCTTTGTTCAAACTCAAAGGAAAAAGTTCAAACTGCAGAAAGCCTGTCAAATTTAAAATGCAGAATAACCGTATTAAGTAATTTGCCGTTTGGTCCAGCAGAGGGTGCTCTCATCGCTACCTGACCATTGAATGCACTCTTGACCTCAGTGAATTAACCCATTTATTCTCCAGTGCAGAGCCTTTACTTTTATTTATACAACTGCTTTATTTCATTTGAGTTTGTTTGTTCAAGGTTTTCAATAATGAGATGAAGGTTCGGAAAAATAAAAGGTAGTTATCTTGAAATCCACATGTGTAAGCTCTGTTTCTATCTGCTACAGAGGCTGAGATACCAGTTTTTTCGTAAACCTCAACACTTCAAAAAACCTCAGGATCTGGGGGTCATTCACAAAATTGCCCTCAGGATTTCAGAGGCGTGTCTCAGACAGGGTTCAGGTCTTAATGGGTTAATAATGATGTTAGTGCTGCTATCAAAGCTGTTCTGAGTAGACAGGTATGACACCAAAACATCTAGAAAGTACCCCGTGGAGATATTTCGGGTTAATTAAAGACAAACATCGGGCTGTCTGTCGACCTTGTTCGGAGCAGCTGTCAATAACAACAAATCTCAGACTCACCTATGAGGCAGCAGAGGAGATTAAAAAGTCACTGGGTTGTTCAGATTGTTAGAAAGCTGCTGATTTAATGCAGATATGAGTAAAGCTGAGGAGGAGTGGGCGTCTGATTTTGTTTGAACTAAAGCATCTCGTGTTTGATATTGGTTTAAAATTAATTTGAGGAAAATAACAGAACATGATGACAGAACATACTGAATATCAATGATTCATTTTACACCAAAAAACTAAAAAAAAAACCTCAAGGCACACAGGGGATATTTAAAAGCCCAAGTGTGGGTAGCAGAAAAATGACTAATATGGAGATCACACCCAGAAGACACAAAAGATGAAATCATACTACTCCTACTCGTATTACTACTACTAGTGATTGTAATAACAATGCTTATTTTATTTATATACCACCTTTAAAATAACAATACCTGACTAGATTTAAGTGTTGGTTGAAGACTGATTGTGATTGTCAGGTGTGTTTTTTGTGTGTGCATATAAACACACATTACCTGGATGTCTCTGGCCCTCTCATAAGCCTGGTACGCCACCTTCTCCTCAATACTGGCCAGCTCCTGCTTCAGGTTGCTGGTCTCATGCTGGTGCAGCTCTGTGAGGTCATTCAGCTGGTCCTCCAATCGCTCATACCTGACACAAACGCACACAGAAACGCACACACACACACACAGAAACATGAAGAGTAGGTGGAGGCAGAGAGGCAAGGAAAAAGAGAGAGAAACAATGCATAATTGAGAGAGTGTGTGTGTGCGTGTGTGTGGGCGAGTTACAGTACAGCAGTTTATGTACTACTGCTGAAAACATTTGCCCTTGGTTGACTTAGCAACTGTCAGGGGGTTTGTGTGTAAGCTCTCTTTTCTATTTTTAGGTCAGAAAAGCTTTTAATAATGTCTCCTTAAAGACACTTCAAAGTTTAACAGCACATGTACAAACATACAAATCCAGTGTTCATATTTGTTCATATTTGGAGTGGTGAAAACATATGAACGATTTTATTCACAGCTGATAATTCCTGCTGCTAGACTCTGAATCCCTACTTCTGAGTCCTCATAGCGAACATGATGGCAACAGTTCAACCAAAAGTCATTATCTCTCCAAAGATAGGTCATTCAAAGGACTTTCAGGGACTCAAGGAGGTTAAGAAGTCCACTTTTGATCTTACAGTTTTATTGTTATTTTCCCCTTTTGACTCTTTCATGTTGACATAATCATTTTTCATCCTCTTGTGTAACTGCAGTTATGCCAGTGTTGTGATGATCATGGGCTGGGTGGAGTTGGAGTTTGAGGGTTTTATGTACATACTTGTGTTCTGAATTTCTACTGTTGTAAAACTAAGGCTGTCAAACGATTGGTTACTGGAGTGTGATACATCACAGATATCAAACAAGTCATTACAAGAACGGCATATTAAAAAGATGATTAGGTTTTTTTAGATTTATCATTAAAACAAAAGCCACACTGCTTCCCCGGTGTGCTCTGAAACCATGACCGAGATTGGAGACAGCTTTGAAGCCCTAGTATGTGAAAAAAGTGTTGAATTGTTATTTTTTTAGGGATAAAATTGAAACGCATCTGGATCTTTTAGTGCATCTACAACATTTCCAACCAGAGTGAATTTGGTGTACACTAGGGGTGGGGAAAAAATTTATTTGCATACATATTGGGATTTTTTGTTTTACAATTTTTAAATCGATTTTTTTGTTCAAAAAAAAATTTTTTTTTTTCAAATTTAAGAATTAACTGTTTCACTGGTTTTAAAAATGCAGACTAAAAAATAAAAAAAAAAATCGACAACATCGTAATATCGCAATTTAAATCAAATCGGCATCCAAAAAAACGTAGAAGAATCGAATCGGAGGAAAAGCATAGTGTCCCAGTTCAAGTGTGCAGCCACTCTGAGGTTACTTTGTTTACTCACTGACGTCCAGTGATCCCTGGATAGCACAACAGCATCCACTTTTCAGGAGTTCCAGTTTAGTTTGTTCCTCTTAAAATACCACAACATGCCAACCAGAACCCGGTCTGAATCAGTGGTTCTCAAGTCCAGTCCTCGAGGCCCACTGTCCTGCATGATTTGGATGTTTCCCTGCTCCAACACACCTGATTCAAATGAGCAGCTCGTTATCAAGCTCTGTAATGGCTCAATAACGAGCTGATCATTTGAATCAGGTGTGTTGGAGCAGGGAAACATCCAAAACATACAGGACAGTGGGCCTCGAGGACTGGACTTGAGAACCACTGCCCTAGATCTAACAAGCACTGCTTTACCAGCGTGGTAAATGTGGTGGTCTGCTGAAATTAGTCAAACTAGCTACATCTGTAACTCAAACTCAAACCTGCTTCAGTGATATTCTAATTTCATTTGACACAAACTGCGTACTGGTATTACTTTTGACTCATCAGCTGAGCAGTCTGAGAGTTAATCAACGTGACGATCACTCAGAAGCACAGCGGTGACGTTCAAATCCAGCTCCTGAACTTCGCCCGTGCTCAGGCTCCTGCAAAACATGCCCCTTACGGTAATGAAGGCAAAAAATGGGATTCAAAAGAACATACCTGCTCCTAGGAGCTTGTACTCTACACTGAAAAGCACCCAAAAAATAGACTGACTCATTTTGAAGAGCGGGTCAAAAAGGATCTGTCAAAAAATTTCAATAAAACGCAGATCCATATCTGCAGGATTTTAAGGCAATTAGAGGCAATTTCATGCAACTCTCGATGGATTCTGAGCAGCTCTTTCTACTGACAGGTCAGCTGTTGACTTCATTCTCTCTCCTGTAATATTTCAAAGTGTTGCAGCGGGTTGTTAGATTCTGTTCAGAGATTTTCTATGAAAGAAGTATCTGGAGTATGCAGCACGCATAGATGAAGTGCATGCTGGTTCAGGCTTTTAACAAGAAGAGGAAGACTGTACTCGGCCTTTTTATGGTTTTTCCCAAAAAAGAAAACCTCAGCTTTAATCTCACAGAGTGCAGCTTGACCTACTTATCTATGACTTTCACTTTAGAGTGAATTCTGAGAGTGAATTATTGGTTGTGTGTGTGTCCTGTGAGTTGATAAGCATATGCCGTGATGCTGTCCTCACCTGTATCTCTCCTCCTGTATCACCTGAGTGAAGTAGCTGTAATCCCGTTTGAACTGTGTGCTCAGAGTCTCCATGTCCTCGGCCAGCTGAGCCTGAGCCTCCCTGATGTCCCGCACCATGTCCAGCACCTCTCCGAGCCTCCCATTCGAGTCTGACCTCCCTGGACCTCCTGACCCCGCTCCAGAGCCGCCGGCTGGGTTCCCGTTCGAGTCGGCGGATGCAGATGTCCCCGTTGAGCACTCGTCGTCACTTTGATACTTGGTTGCTTTGGCTACTGTTGTGGCGCTCCCGCTCAGACCCCTCGCCCCGCCTTCTGCCTGCAGCCCCGACCCCGACCCTGACTCCATGGAGCTCTTGAGATGGGCGATGTTGTCAGCGCTGCCGAACTTATTCCTAATGAGATTGGCGAACTCTCGTGGTTTGTTGAAGAAGAAGGGCGGTGAAAGCGACACACCAGGCCCGATGGTCTTCACCTTATCTAAATGTGGGTGTCTCCCGGTGGCGCTGACGTCCTTCAGACTACCCTCTTTGCTGTGAGTCCCGGACTCCTTGCTGCTGCCATCTTTGTGGCTGTGTTTCCCGTTGGTCTCGCTTTCCTTCACGCGGCGATGGTACTGCTCCAGCTTCCTCTGCAGCCCGGCGATGGTGTGCGCGGACTTCTGGTTCTTCTTTTCAAAGACCTGGCGTATTCGACCCTGCTGCTGCTTGTCGGCATTGTTCACCAGCTTCAGGTACTCTGCCACATTCTGGTCCCGAGCGGTCTGCTCCACCTTGATCTTCTCTGTTACCTTAAGAGAGACGTAGAGTTTAACCAAAGATGTAAAATTTGTTTTCATACTTTTAGACTTAAAGGGATATTCCAGCATGAAATTAATTTAGGGTCAAACACACCATAACACCGAGTTAGACACCCCCTCCAGAGATGAATGTTGCCGACTGCTTGCTTCTCTAGTTTTACCAACTTTAGTAACGACCACACAATAGCAATACACAGCGGTCTGAGGAGCCATAAACAAACCTCAACCAAAACACCACTCTATAGCCACAAATAATGCTCAGAACAGCACCTAACTTCATCAACAATACATATAGGGTCCCAGCCATAGTACTAGCCACCAAACATCTTTTTAACTTTGCCTGATTTCTTTGGCAAGGGACTAAACACAACTCACCTACTCTATTCCAGCAGCCACTTGCTTGTTGCAAGACCTCAGGCCAGTCCATTACGGACAGCTGCGGGGTGACGCAGCTCAAGGAAGAACATTTATGATTATTACTTTATCATTTCCTTGAAGTAATAATCACGATATTAATCATTTTGCTCTGCAGACGCAGTAGTTTTTTTGCCTTAGCGTCTCAGTCTGATTGCATTTCCATGAAGTAATGATCAGAAATGTTCTTCCTTGAGCTGCATCCCCCCACCTCAGTCGATAATGGACTGGTCGAGGTCTCACTACAAACAAGCGGCTGCTGGAAGAGAGTAGGTGAGTTGTGTTTAGTCTCTTTGCTAAAGAAATTAAGCAAAGCTAAAAAGATGTTTGGTGGCTAGTGCTATGGCTGTGACCCTACATGTCCTGTTGATGAAGTTAGGTGCTGTTCTGAGCATTATTTGTGGCTATGGAGTGGCGTTTGTTTATGGCTCCTCAGACCGCTGTGTATTGCTATCGTGCGGTCGTTACTAAAGTTAGTATAACTAGAGAAGCAAGCGGTCAGCAACATTCATCTCTCGAGGGGGTGTCTAACTCGGTGTTATGGTGTGTTTGACCCTAAATTAATTTTATGCCGGAATATCCCTTTAAATTGACATGGGTGAGGTCTACTCAGTCAGGGAACTATCGTTGAATTATCATTCCTCTGAGGTATAGAATAGAGCAGGCAATGGTGACAATACATACGACACTTGTATAATAACAGGATTGGGTTGCTAAAGCTGTTTGCAGAGGGAGCAGGAAGCGTGGGCAAGCTGAAACACTTTTAACACAACACCCATTTTGACATTTGCAAATCGGAGGGTAATTAGTCGAGCTGTCGGCTGATATGGGCTGATGTTAAGATCAGCTGATTGTTTGTTGTGGGTTGGACTTGATTTTATGGCCTGTTTTAACTAACAAGCAGTGACTTTTGTCAGTGTTTGTTGCATCTTCCTCTCTATCCTACTCTGAAGGCCTGTACAGAACATTATTAGGGCGGCATTTGTCATCAGAGCTGTGAGTCATCTTTTTAAGTCGACCTTTTATACTCAATTATCACCTTTCATGATATCAGTCTGGGGAGCCTAGAGAGTCGCTCTGCATGACTTGAATCTCAAAGAAAAAACCTCCATATTCATGTTAAACTATGAAAACCATATTAGCCTGAAATGCTTCATTTTGGCTCTGTGAATTTATGGAATCGTTTTTTTGGATGGAATATAATGATGAAGTTTATGATTCTCAGTAATGACTTGTGTGAAGATGTTGTATTGTTGAGCTGAAGCAGCACTTACAGCAAAAACCCTCCGCCTGTGTTGTTATCCCATCAGACAACTTCAGCTGAGGGTCTTTTTTCTCTAAAATTAACCTGTCAACTGAGCTTCACAAGAGTTTTTAAATTCATTTTATTGTTTGTGATATTTTGACTCTGCTACTTCTTCCTTTTTTTGCTGGTGCCTGAACTGCTTGAAGGTAATGTGGAGTTTTCAGGTGCCAGCGCTCCGCTATTGTTCTGGCTAGATTTCTTTTCTTATTTTGTCAAAACAGCTGCTTACTAATTCACCAAATGTGTTGGGAGTCGTGATGTGCCAGGAGACAGAAAACTGTTGGCAAATCAAGAAAGGAAATAAACCGGAGGGACATAAACAGAGCTGCTTTTGGAGAGTGAAGAATAATACGCAAATGTTTAATGAAGAAGAAAATGCATTAAAACACATTGAAAGGTGTGCTGGGTAGGAAAAGTAGGTATATAAAATCCTTGAAGCACTGGTCAGCAAATCGACGACAACCTGTGAACATATCGTGCATATCATCCCAGCTCCCCTCGCCCCTGATTTCTGTCTTTCTTTATCTGTCATATCCAATTTAACACAGAAAGTGTGATTCACAAAAGGATTACATAGTTGTTGCCCCGGCTCAACCTTTGCAAATGAGCTAAAAGACACCGTCTAATTCACAAAGGGTTATTGAATATGGGGTCTGTGAAGGGTTCACTGCTCTGTGGATTGTACTGCTAAAAAATCAGCATCTCTATGCACCAGTGTTGTTTATTTGTGTTTAAATGAGTCACTGTGAGTTCATTTGGAGCAAAATACGCACCTCTTCATGCAAATATGCCTCACTGCAAAAATCCCTCATTCCCAGACACTGGCGCTGATAAATTATGACTGTTTTTGTTCTTACACTCAAACTTGTCAATGATCAAGAAGACGACAATCTTACCTCTGGATGACCGAGAGGTAGAGCTGGGTGATAAACCGAAAATTAACCGATACCGAAATTTACTACAAAAACCAACATCTTTTTGCCTATATCGGTGTATTTGGTGTCAAATATTTAATAAATAAAAGTTGGTTTTGGATGTGTGTAGGTAGGCTATGGTCTCATGTCCCTTTGAGATGCTGTCCTACATCGGAGATGTGACTCCGCCCCATACAGTCTGTGACAAAGAGGGAAAGACAGGTGAGGAGATGGAGGACGGTTCAAAAGTTGTAGTGGCTGAAGTAGACAAAGTTATTGTTGGAGGGGGTGAGCAGCTTGTGGAGTAGTTATCGACCATTTATCATTATCCAGCCGAACTGCTCAATATATTGTGATATTGATTTGAGGCCATATCGTCCAGCCCTACCTAGAGGTGATATATCTGAACATCTGTCATGAATGAACCTCACAACAAACTAGGAAGGACTTTCATTCCTAATCCAGGTCATCATTTATGTGAGAATATAATTTAGTTCTGTCAGGATAAGAGTGCACAGTGAAGCTCTGTGGAGAGTGGTGATGCTGACAGCTCATGTTAGTCACAATGCAACACCAGAGCAAACTGCAGAGAGTTGCAGAATTTTGTTAACATTTTTAGCTTTAATATCATTGAATGAATGAATAATTTTTTTTTTATTTTCGTGTGTGAATGTGTATGCAAAGAAAAGAAAAGAAAATGTCATTTAGTGCTGTATTCTTTGTAAATGAGTCCTTGAGACGGTGCAAGCAGCAGGGACGAACGGTTTACAATTCTTTGTACAATAAACAACCACAAGCTGTTCTTCATTTACTTTACATGTAATCTTCACTGAGACCCTTTAATGAGGTTGGGAATAACCCGAACATCCTCAAGGATAATGCTGACAGTAAATATATGAATCTTATCGGGTACTCAATCAGCCTGTCACTGCCAGCGAAAAAAGCAGTTTGCTCTAAGGAAATGGTTTCAATTTGTGTTTATTGCTTTGTTTGTTTAGCCATCTGGGAGCAGAGGTTCAATTTTGTTAATGAGCTCTACACTGGGTTTCAGTTACAGCTCCAAACTTTTAGAAAGATCCCCTGAGAGTGATCCGAATCAAACCATCCTGACTCCTTATCTCCCTCTGGCAGAAATGATCCCTTTAGAGGCTTTCAAGCAACTTGTGATGAAACTTGGGACAGCAAACAGTAATGAAAACAAATAAGACTATGGGGTAGAATTTCTTTCAAACTAAACTCATGATTTCAATTTCTTTACTTGCACTGAAGCTGAAATCCTGAGGAAAGGAACACAGCCTAACTACTCTGCTAACCGAACAGAGGAGGCATTTCACTGTGTCTTGTGAGATGTTTGTGCAGTGCCCACAAGTCACATGCAGACACGCTGTTCTGCAAGTCAAAGACAATTAATCTGCACAGAGGCCGCGCAGGCAGGTGGTGACCGATGTTTCTGCTGACCTTGAGGATCTTCTGCTGCAGGCTGTCGATACCCAGCGCTCCCTTGTTGAAATCAAGGCCGACTCCATCGTCTCCGATGCTGTCGACCACGTCCAGGTTGGACTCTGAGCCGCCGCGCCGCATGGGCACCGGGATGCTAAGGACATCGCAACCACTGCGCTCCGCCTATTGAAACACAAATCAAAAGATCATTATGAACAGTTACTCCATAATAAAGAGAGAATATCTACATCGCATTTCTCAGAGTGTGACGTAATGTTGTCAAAACAGAGAACGAACAGAGTGAGCTGTAAGTGATACAACATGGAAAAACAGACATGAAACACTTCCTATGGAGCTGCAAATGAAAAGCCAGACAACACCTGATCCTCTCATTATTATTTGAAGCCTGTGAGAGGTATCACCTTTCACAAACAGGTTCAACTCAGGTTAAATCTGTTGTTGAAAGCAGCACTTTAGAGAGACTCGACTTATATAATGCCATATCCAACAAATTCAGAGAAATAAATCACAACTCTTCTAAAGTACATCCAGCGCTTTGGAAGCAGTACAAACAAAATAAAATTTACATATTTGTCAGACAAAAGGCTCTGGCAGGCTTTCAAACTAAACTGTGATCAGTCAACAACAACAACAAAAAAAAACCTTCAACTAATGTCAGCATGCCAGTGCTAAAACGCTCATGCCTTTCAGGTGAATTGTGTGCTAAGTAGAAATGTGTACTCGTAGTTGACTTGTCAATTACACAGTCACCTTTGCTAGTCGGCTCCAGAGTAGGAACAGATGATAGGTGGTTGAATGGTTTTGTCTACAGCCGTGTTTTTGACATTATTTTGATCTAAAAAACACAGATTGATTTTATTGCAGGAGTTGTTGCGACAATAACCCCCAGTCAGTTCGTTTACCTAAAATATGTTTCAGATCCAGCACTGATCTTGTATGGTAAGATGGATCATAGACAACTTGAGCAAGAGTGTACAGCCTTTGTAGATTTGAAGTGGATCTTCATGGATATTACATGTTTGGATTAAATATTTTACAAGACCTAGATCATGGAAGAGGTTAGAGGGACTTTAAACAGGTTTTAATGTAGATGTCTGTGTTAACTGTGGGTGGGCGATATGGCCTTAAATCAATATCACGATACATTGAGCTGTTCATCTTGATAACGATAAATGGACGATAACTACTCCACAAGCTGCTCACCTCCTCCCACATTAACTTTATCTACTTCATCTGCTACAACTTTTGAACCGTCCTCCATCTCCTCACCTGTATTTCCCTCTTTGTTACAGACTGGATGGGGTGGAGTCACGTCTCTGATGTAGGACAGTGTCTTAAAGGGACATGAGACCATAGCCTACTGACACACATCCAAAACCAACTTTTATAATTTATTTATTTGACACTGAATATATTGACATGGGCAAAATGATGTTGGCAATTGTCGTAAATTTTGTTATCGGTAAATTTTTGGTTTATCACCCAGCCCTACATGTTCGGATTAAATATTTTACCAGACCTGGGTCATGGGAACCCTTTAGGCTGCAGCAGGAAGAGAGTAGAGGGACTTGAAACAGATTTTAATGTAGATGTCTATGGTAACTTCTGTTACTCCCAAACAAAACTGATGATTAACTGTCATTAAAGTTAACAACAATGTTAAAGTCTGACAGTGTTCCAGAGGGGAACTGATGCTTCCCTTTACTAAAATTACAGTTGTAGTTTAATAAAAGATCATGTCAGAATTTATACTTATCTTTGGCTGACTGTCAACAGTCAGGCTCCGAGACAAAATGCAAATATTGCAGATAAAAAACAGACTTTGTGCAGATGTCAGATGCTGCAGGCTTGTTCAGATTTCAGGTAAAAGGTGCCGAAAACCTGCTGAACCACTGTGTACCTCTGATATGAAGTATCATAAGTTATTGCATCTTTTTTATTGTCTGAGTTCTCTGCTTTTACTTGGTCTATGTTTATCAGTCTTTTTTTGTCTCAAAGCACACACATTTTGGCTGGACAAACAGAAAAAAATGAGCAGATTTAAACAAAGAGATTAAAAGAGTAATAAACAAAAAGTTTGAGGGGATTTTCATTTTTGGATTAGAGAGATGGAGCAGATAAATACGCGTCTGATGAGTCTGTGAATCTGTCGAAAACTGCAGGAGGGTCGATTAGATGATCAATGTGGAGCTCAGAGCTGCAGACAATCAGCCCCCAGTGCCTCCTCTACTGAAAATCTACTCAGAGCGTTGACAAAAGCAGACGATTATGCAAGGCAAACTAAAATATTAGTACATGGTAGCTCTGGTTGCCACGGCAGCAAAGCACACATCGACAGGCAAAGCTCTGAAACACAAACACACACACACATATATGAACCCTGAAGGCAGGTTTTTGGCTCTGTTCTCTTACACATGGACAAGCAGAATACATGACTTTTTAATAGTGTCCCGTGGCTTTTGGCTGCATGGCTTGTGGGCAGCATGCAGAGTCAACAATCATTACCCAAATCAGAGAATAATAATCAAACAATATCAAACTGCATGAAAGTTTTCAAGTCATTCATTTAAAGGATTTGCTCTGAATTGAATAATACAGCTTGCTACTCCAGAGTGCAGATGGCTAACACCCTCAGAACATCACACGTCCATTAGTCCGACCAGACGGATAGAGAAGCAGCCAGAACAAACCTAAATTATAAATAACCCTGATATCAACAACATTGACTCAACACACCAATAATATTTGCTTTCTGTTGCTCCACAAGAAGAAGATTGATTTTGGTTTAATCTGCTTTACAAAACAATAAAATCCCAAAGTTAAAGTCTGACTGTGAGAGAGGCTCAAAGCAATGAAGCAGTTTTGAAGCTCTGGAGGCCTGTGATGAGATTTTAACTGCTTACAGAAGAGAGGGACAACCAGCTGGAGACCACTTTCCAAAACCATCAAACCAAAGGATGTATTTGTACTCTCTCTGCAGTGATTTCTTCCTGTGTGGTGGATCCAAATTGTCCCACAGGGTTTTCTGAAGTGACTAGCTTCCGAGAAGTTGTGACAGATATTTGAATTCTGACTAATTTAGCAAACTTGTCTGAGATTATTTCCTACAATGGACTGCCTAAAAATGGAGTCGGCAGACGAAAGAAGTAAAATTAAAAGTTTAAGGTAAGAAAAGCTATCACCACCAACCTCTGGTCCTCTTTACAGGTTAAAGTCCACATCTATGCTGGTTACACATCTGTCGAGTGGAGTGTTGATATGCCAGTTTGCCAAGATACAGCCTCCATACTAGGGCTGGGCGATAAACCGAAAATTTACCAATCCAGAAATTTACGACAATAACCAATGTCATTTGGCCCATGTCAATATATTCTGTCTCAAAAAATGATAAATAAATAAAAGTTGGTTGTGGATGTGTGTAGGTTGGCTATGGTCTCATGCTCTAAGACACTGTCCTACGTCAGAGACGTGACTCAGCCCCATCCAGTCCGTAACAAAGAGGGAAAGACAGGTGAGGAGATGGAGGACGGTTCAAAAGTTGTAGCAGCTGGAGCGGCGGCTGAAGTGGATGAAGTTAATGTAGGAGGGGGTGAGCAGCTTGTGGAGTAGTTATCATCCATTTATCGTTACTGAGGTGAACTGCTCAATATATCGTGATATTGATTTGATCGCCCAGCCCTACTTGACAACTTTATCAAACTCACAAAACAGCATATTTGGAGTTTGCACCAACAGATACCAGATTACTTGTTGATTAATTATCTTAATGATCACAGAAGCTGCTTCAATGGCAGTATCACGATCAGACTAATAACTTTAGGAACCATTGACGCTTTATGTTAATTTTGTTGTTGCTTCCTGGATGGAGAAGATTGATTGCATAGCAGTGGAGCATGTCGGACTATTGAATATGTAAACTCAGTTCATATATGCATCAAAGCTTGCAGAGTGCTGCAGATGTTATGTAAAGTGACTTCCTAAGTCAACAGGATTTTACACTTCTTTCAGAGCCTTCACACATATAAGATTTCTGCTGTGTGAAAATCACATTTGGAGACTCTCAGGAGCTTTTTTCTCTCTCTGAAAGAAAATCTATCACAGCCTGTTTCTGCACTCTGGCACATATGAAATATCTACATCAAGAATAGTGAATATCCGCTTTATATTGAGTACTGGACATGCCCTGTAGTGTTGTTTGTCCATGTTGGTGTGTGCTAAGTGTGTGTGTGTGTGTTTTGGCTGTGTGTCCACCCATCTGTATAATAATCTAAATGGCCTTTAGTGCAGATCGGGGTCACAGGGACGAGGAGTGGGCAGATAACTGCTCTGTGCAGCAGGCACGTGCGTCCTCTGAGACATATGCTGCCTCGAACTGCGCACATGTTAGTAATTTGCCACTCACACCCTCAGACCCACTTTCCACTGGGTGTTTGATACGTGTTCGGACTGCAGAGTGTGCAGCAAGGCCCACCGTATGTTTACACACTTGAACGTCCCACAGCTGGCTGATTTATGACCAGGATGTGTGTTCGAGAGAAAGAGAGAGGCCGCAGAAGAGAGGCGAGGAGAAGGGGATGTTGATTCGTGAAAATAAAAGCCTGATCTGGTGTCCAATTATTGTACGATCCAGTCCACAGCAGGAGATTCGGTGTTGAGGCGGCTGTTCTTTAAATTAGTAACTGCAGTGGGTTGAGAGAGCAATCACACAATAATCAATACAAGCTTTCTGACTGCAACTGAGAACGACAACATCAGTTTTAATTATTTAATGGCCTGTTAATTATTTCCTGATTTACCTTTAACCACCCACAGATTCAGCTGAAAGGGCGCTCGCACTTATGACGGCAGACAGCAGGTAAAGTCTCATGAGAATTAAAATAGAGAGGTTTTTTATACAGGTGATGGTACATTAATGACATTTAGAGTTTTAATGATTTCAGGGAGTCGAGGGAAATCTTAATGAGTGAATTTATTTTAAAACGCAACCAAATTGTTGAACTGACAGATTATTAGGGACGCTGGAAGTCCCTCATCGTTGAGGTTACTAAAAAAGTTATTTTATGAGATGACACTTTCTGCTATGTAAATTCATCTATTAAAAGGCTTACTAACCGGACTATTCGACTTTGTTTTGACTCAGAAAAATAGGCCCTGTCTAGTCGCAGTGTGGTGCAGGAGGTTGGATTAAGTTGCTTTATTGTACAAAGGTGTCAAACTGATCAAACTAATAACCGCTCATTCCTCTAAAGAGCCGGGTGAAGCAGCAGGTCGGCCTGTTGCCATTTACACCGTGTTCCTTTAATATTGAACACAACCAGAGTCGTTCTGAATAAAGAGAGACGTCACACTGACATTAGAGAAAGACTGAATTACCACTTGGCTGATTAACGGCATTTTGAGATAATTGGCATTGTTTTTTCTTAAGAGAACATGTTTTCCTTTCCGAAATGACAGAATCTTTAATCAAAAACAGTCACCGGCCAGAGTTTAATCAAAAATTTTTATCTTTATGGGAAGATGGAATAACATATGACTTTATTTTGTTTTGTTTGTCTTTTATAACCCAAATATTTTCCTTGCACTTTTCTCTGTTTAAGTAATGACAAAAGACTGGACAGAAATATGTTTACCCAATATTTTACCAAACCAATATTTTATGTTACAATTAACTGATAAAATATTTATTCAAGATTGGCAACTTTTTTTGCTTGTTTTCCGGCGTTAATCTTGACGGAAGCGTATTGCATTTACAAAAAAAAAAAGCTCTGTTTTTCAGACTTTTTTTTCTTTTCTGTTTTTCAGAAAAAAAAATTTGTCTGTTTTGTTTTGTTTTTCAGACTAATTGTTTTTCCAATGCCTGGGATCATGATCATTTAAAAACAGATGTTTTCATCCCCCTCTACTCTATTTATTGGAAGCAAACATGGCCCACTTGTTCAGTTTAATCAAGTTTTAATTTCTTTTGGGCTTGAGACACTGGAAGATACCTCCTTTTCAAAGTCAGATAGATGGAATCATCATAGGTTTGTCTATTTTGCACTGGCAACTCAGGATTTGCATACTCTATGTTTAACTAATAACACGCTTTACTCTCATTGACCCTGTAGTCGAAGTTATCTAGGAGCAGAGAAATACGCTGATTTGGAGCAGCCGTGTTGGTTAACGTCAGAGATGGGAATTGTGGAGTCACTAAGTCATCTCCGTGCCATGTATTTGTTCTGCTCTGTCACTGAACCAGCTGCTTCCAATGAGCAGCCAGGAAGGTGAGCGCATTAGTGAAGGCACCTGGTTCAGTAACTGAGCAGAACAAATACATGGCATGGAGATGACTTGGTGACTCCACAATTCCCATCTCTGGTTAACGTTATCTGATTGTATGAGATTCTCGCAGGATTTTTAAGTATTTGTTTAGTCAGGGAAAAAAAAATAGTCCAAGAAACAGAAAGATTAAAAGAAAAATAGTACGAAACACAGAATAAAAATTTGTCAGAAAAATAGAAAGAATGGAAAAAAATATTAGTACAAAGAACAGACGACAAAAAATAGTCAGAATAACAGGAAGAAGAAAAAAAATTGTCTGAAAAACAGCAAAAAAAAAAAAAAAAGTTTCCTTTTTTTATGTAAGTGAATGTAATACCCTTCGGTAAATCTTTATCAAATGCAAAATAAAAAAAAGAAAAATTGATATTAATATTGGCGGACCTTCCCTCTCATATTTGGTATTAGCCATTGAAAAAGGACATCAGTCAACCACTAACTGACATAGTTTTTATGACACGGCTCAACTTGATTAAAATCTTGAGAGACACTCTCAGACACGACCTCACACTTACAATCACGGGAAGGTAGGCTGGAAGACTTACTGGAAACTTCTTCTGAAATGAAGCTGTTTGGTGTGAAAGGACCAAATACAATGACAGCAAATGGACTGTGTACATTAGCACTCCTCTCATCTTTTGACCACTTTAAGTGCTCTTACATTACATGTCACATTAACCCATTCACCACATTGACACACTGATGGCAGAGGCTGCTAGAGGCCATCAGTTTCTGTCTAATTTACCTCCGTCTGCAAGGAGGAGAAACAAGGAAAGAGAGTGGAAACAAGCGTCATTGAATTTGAAAATTCAAAGCAGAGAAGATGAGTCACATGAAGCATTCTCGTCTGTTTTCTTCAGAGCATGATTGGCATCAGCTTTCTTTATTCAAATCTCCTAAAATCAGCTGGAGAGGAAGCTTCTGGTGTTTACAGCAGGACAGAGAGGAAGAGGAAGTACTACTCCAGCTCCCGCTAAGCCGGCTGATCCGAGGACACGCTGATGGTGCTGGGAGTTTGGACCTTGCCGTGGGGAGCTGATGGCCTCACAAAAACACACAGGAAACAGCCGAAGGAAACTTTTTCTCTCATCCTCACAGGTCAGAGTGAGAGAGCGTTTATTCCTGCCTCTGATCCGTCAATTTATTTGGCGCTAACATGAACCAGACGTAAACAAAAGTCACAAACAAGGAGAGGATGAAAAATACTGTCACTCATTCACCACCACACTCCCTTCCCCTTCAGACAGTCAGGGTAACTTTGCCCAAACACAGATGTGAGACTCATTTGTCAGAATCTAATCAGCATCTGTCCTCAAGTGGCGAACAGACTAATTGATCGGCAGCAGCGATCCATCAAGTCAAGGTTGTTCACAGGAAATCTGAAATCTCATGAGGATAACTTTGAAGTGAAGCTCTCTACATGCATGTTATTTATCAGTGTCAACAGAGACACAGGTAGATAAAACGAGACCCTGACCCCTACATATGAACGTGATGATAAGAGCCACGCTATGTTTATATGCTACACGACTCATGTGTGTGTGAGATAATGGAAACAGCTCTGAGCAGACTGGAATAAATCAAAATGATGAAAAATGAGCCTTCTGTTTTAGGAAGCGGTTGACAAGAAAGAGTCCGTTTATACTAACCGAATGAAAACTTATTAAAAACACACAAATGGACTAATTCATCAGTTTGTTCTGTGACTTGGAAAGATGAATTTACATAAATTAAACATTAGGATCTTTGAAGTTGAGTTTAAATTGATATTTGAAAGCCAAAGGTTATCTTTGTTTTTTGCATGATGTTTCATTCAGTATTGGTCTCAGTAGAAACAAACGAGCGCTTCAAATCACTGAACCTAACACATTAAACCGCATTAGCTGTTCTTTAGTCGCCTCAAACCTCGTTTGAAGCAGCTCGACAGATTAGCACAGGCTGATTTAAACGAGTGTGTGTTTGAGTGCTGAGGAGGAAATAATAGGATTTGGACTGGAGATGAGGAGATTTACTGGAGGAGATGTTTAAAGCGGCCTTCTTTGGCCAATCATGGGGAGCGGCCTCATTAAAGCAGGATGACATGCACACGTGGACAGAGGTTAACGACCTGCATTTCCATAATAACGATTTAAAAACAGACTCTCCTTAAAGAGCGCTTTAACCTATGACATGAATATAAAGTAGCCCAGACATCACCCCTCATGCATCATAATAGACTGAGGTAACCTTTGACTCCTGCAGCAGAATTAAGAGTATCTGCAGGAGTATCTGGCACAAAATATAGTTGAAGTTGCACTACCTGTTCCTTAGAGCCAAAAGTGGACATGCAGTACAGCTGGCCAACTTGACAAAAGTTACATCTTCATTTTGAGTAGATTTTATGTAGTACTTATAGACGGTGTAAAAAGATGGGCAACACGACAGCTCCCTTAAAGATGGACCAAAACATGGTGACTGGTCTTCTCCTTCATGTAAACTCAAAAATAGGGCTGGGCGATATGGTCTCAAATCAATATCACGATATACTGAGCAGTTCACCTCAATAACGATAAATGGACGATAACTTCTCCACAAGCTGCTCACCCCCTCCCACATTAACTTCGTCGACTTCAGCCACTACAACTTTTGAACCGTCCTCCATCTCCTCACCTGTCTTTCCCTCTTTGTTACAAACTGGATGGGGTGGAGTCACATCTCTGACGTAGGACAGCATCTTAAAGGGACATGAGACCATAGCCTACCTACACACATCCAAAACCAACTTTTATTTATTCATTTTTTTGACACAGAATATATGGATATGGGCAAAATGACGTCGATTATTGTCGTAAATTTCAGTATCGGCAAATTTTTGGTTTATCGCCCAGCCCTACCCAAACATGACATCAAATTTCCTTGTCATTTGACTGGAGCTCCTCTTTCCCACTAAAGGCAAAAAACAGCCAGAATATATCATGTCATGGTTTTGCGGAGCATGACTAAAGTTAGCAGAGCTAGCAACACCAGCTTTCAGCCAACCTTGTAGGTTAATGTCCACATGCCTATGCGGGTCACGTATTGCTCTGATCAAGGGTGCAGAAGCCAGTTAATCGAGTCACAGCCTACATAAAACTATAACACTATTTAACTGCAGGCAGTATAGTATCATCGCATTATGGCAGTAGATATTCACCAGAGCTGCAGCCTTGGTTAGTGAAGGGTGGCGGTGTTACAGCTAAAGCAGGACACACACGACCAAGTAATTGTGTCTATTTTGGACCCGATCAACCCCATCCTACCACTGTCAGCAAAGACCTGAGTGCTGTATGGCTCTAAAGATTATCTCACCAGATTATCCCTTTGTGTGAAGAGTGTAAATGGTGATTTTTCTTCCCTCTGATCAGAGCCTCCCTAAATAGAAATGGTAAATATTAAACATAATATCAGAAATTCTTGTGTGTAAGAGGGATCCAGGGAGATATCCAATGTCTCATAGAACAACTTGATAGCCAATCAAGAGGCAAGTAAGCCAACAGAAGAAGGAAGCACAACAAAGGTAGCCATGGCAGCAATAGTAAATGCAAAGCATAAACGGAGACCAAATATAGAAACCACTCTGATACATGATGACTAATCCGAATGTTTACGCTGCATACGCTGTAAGAACAACACATTTAATCTCATATCATTTGTCATCTGACATTTTTAAAATCAGTTAAGATGTTCATAATATTTTTGTTGCACATTTTTGAGGGATACAGTTATTTTACATCAACATTTCACAGTCTGACTTTATCATCATCACTTGAATGTTTTATGTAGTGGTCCATCCAAAATCGTAGAGATATTTCAGGTTCATAACTAACTGACAGACAAACATGCCGCTGAACTGGCTTTGCTGGAAATGGATGATGGGTTTCACTGTCTAGTTTTAAAACATCTCTGCTCATCTGATATTATCTCCTTCTTACCTAACAGCACAGGACATACGCAGGCTCTCTGCATAAATATGGACACTCAGAAAGTGAAGTTTTTAAAAGCAGAATTCTGCAAACTCCCATTGGTCTGCCAGGGCCACTCTGTTCCGACTGATTTGAGAATAACACAGCTGAGTATTCCCGGTAATTTATGGCTGTGCTTTTCCTCAGAGTGCCAGAGGAAAGCTCGTACACAAAGACTAATGCATCATGCTGCTACTGAACGGTGTGCAGGTTACAAAAACCACTGCACCTGCAACTGAATTCACATCTATTCAACCTGCGAGGCAGAAATGAGCTAAACAGCAGCGGAGCGTTTTGTGCTGTCTGATGAGTCAAGGCTTTCTGGGAAAATTATCAGATACATTTGGAAACACATTGTTGTTTGAATAATAAATGAAACAGTCCCACACTTGGTCTCTAACAGCGCTATCTATCATTCAGATTACCTTCAGCACACTGTGGCTGATAAAAAACGCTGCATAAATCTCAGGTTAGCTCCAGAGTGTTTCTTTTAACTTTTACGTAAATGCTGCTGCTGTGACTTAAAGGTTTATTTCTTACAGCTCCTCGGGTTATTTTAATAATTAGGCCAAGAAAGTTTCTCCAGTAAAGGTATTAGAGGATAATCACATACATAAAATCTAATTGTTAAATTATCACAAGAGTACTTTCATGAATATCTGATTTTTTTTACTGTAAAGAATTCAAGACAACAGCTGCCCTAACAGCTTTTAGTGATTGAGTTCCTCCTAGCTGCATCGAAACTTATACTTAATTCAAGTCCTGCACGGAGATGAAAATAGTTTCCAGTTCACCTATAACATCATAAAAATACAGTTTAAGGTGAAATGAGACAGTAATTGGACTAGAGCGTCTCCTGCCTGGAAGGTAGATGAGCTGTGACTCTGTGACCTCAGAGAGGAGCCTCCTGTGGGGATGAGGAGCCAGCAGACAGGCAGACCTTCCCCCAGGGGATCCAGAGGTAGAGCGGAGAGACAACCGAGGGAATAAATGGAAAGCAACAACAGTCGCAGAGCCGACGGGATATGAGGGGTAGACTAGAATATAAAAACAAAAGAGCTCAGGCGATATTCAGCGCAGAAGAAAAAAACAAAAAACAGGGACATTATAATGAAAATCCTTAAAAAGAGGTAAAGACAAGGATTGTTTTTCTGCCTCAGGGTTTTAAACTCTGTAGATAAACTTGAGTTTCAGGACTCTTACATTGATGGTAAAAATGATTTAGAGGAATCACTATTTCTACCACCAAGTCATGATGACAGAATCTTAGAAGAATTAGTTAATAAGACTTTAATTTCCTTATTTTACTTTGATTCAGAACTTTGTCCCACTAGGAGGTATTCCTCTTCAAAGCTCCTGTGAGACCCTCTATGCTGGCATTGATTTTGGTGCCCAAGTCATACCCAGTATTTCTTTGTTGATCATTTCTAACTCAGGCATGAGCTCCGCAGATCTCACTCTTGTTCATTTTAATGGTAAAATCTATCACTCACTATTACAATATTTATCACACAGTATTTTGTATAAGAAAGTAAAAAATGGAGGATTCCCTTTTGTGGTTTTACATACTGTCTATCATGTTAAGTATGGTGTTGTTAGCTTTGACAGATTTATTAAAAGGCGTTACTTTTAAATTCAGTCTTTTTTGAATGCAAACTTTCATTGTGTTAGTTTAAGTGCTGTTTTTATGCAAATGTGTAGCTCTTTGTAGTGCTGTAGCTACCTGTACTATGGTTGAACATGTATCCAGCATGCTTTCTACATTCAAGTGGTCAGTATTCTCTTCAATGCCACTTTCTGGGTTTAACACAGAAACACAACAAAATACCTTATATGCATTTTATACAAACAAAAATGGCATTAAAAATGCATCTAATTCACTAAACCTTAGAGCAAGTCCTTTATTTTTACTTTTGTTTGAAGGTTTTTGTCCAACTTAGAATTTAAAACTAAACGACAGTGTACTTTAATATCACAAAAGACTTAAAAAGGAGGAGTTATATGAAAGCAAGAAAACATCTGGGAATTTTGGGCCCTTTTTTTATAACTAGTGATAATTATCCTCTCATTAAAGCCACCGTTTATCGACTATTATTGACTTTATAGGCAATGAATGAAGTTTTATTACTCTGGATTACTCTAACAAATGTGAACGACAATGCAGGGCCCTGACTGTAAAATGCACAATGTCTGATTCTCTCTAAATCTGATCAGCATATTCTTTTACTACCTGTATGATAAAGTACATTTATAGATTTTCACATCTGTATTTGGGTTTCTAATCGATGATTTTTCCCTGATTTTGTTTCACTATCTAACCCGGAAATCCTCATTTTATTGTTCTTTTCGCTCATTATTTGTTTCATTTTTTATCCTTATTTAATTTGGTAAGAAGTGCTGCATAACCACAATTATCATCTCATCTTTGTCAGAGCACGCTGGCTGTCAGACTTACAAAACGTTAGCTCCAAAGCCTCCATATATGGTTCTGTCTGGGCTTTGGGTCTCCTCACATTCCTTCTTTCGGTTCTGCACGCGTAACACACCTGAAACAACCCCACACCTGAGCTGAAGCCAAACCCAAGGTGTGGCTGCGTGGAAGTAAACAGCGTGTGTCTGATTACAGTGTTGCTGCACAGACTGAAAACTGACTTCAAGTCTTAACAGGCAGCTCTCTGCACACGCCTACACAATAGGCTGAGCTCGCGGCAGGCTTAACAGGACACGTCCGTGTTATCCAGAGGCTGAGAGAGAGACAAATTCAACACTTATGTCAGAGCTCCAGTCTGCACAGAGCTGTTTTCGATGGGCTACGATTATTTATGGATCACTTCCGCATTGTGTAGAGTCGCCTCGTTATTCACAGAGATTGTAAATCCAATCTAGTCACAGTGCTTTCTAAAAATCATGGCTGCTTAAAATATCATGTTTAATCCTGCTGCCCGAGCCACTTCATTCCACTCAATCACAATTTAATCATTGTCATGTTGTCATATTGTTTCAACTAATCTGCTCCTGTTTTCTAAGTCTATCCACTTAATCACAGAGGCGATGAAAATCAGAGAGATGAGCGTGATTAGAACAGGAAATCTATGAGGAGGATCTGAAGCCTACTTCAGCAGCTGGAGCTGATTTTTGAGCGCGTGTGAATCAGCATGTTGAGGATGTGTTACATGGTGACCAGGACAGATTGATGCCATAACCATGGACTTAAATATTGTCTTATGTTGAACATTTAGATAACAAAAATGAAAGTACAGTGGCATAACCAGTTTGTTTTTTAAATCCTGCTCCAAATTATAAAACATATTCTGAAGCTGATTCATGCGGGAGTTTTGATGCAACATGTTTTATGTAAGGCTTATAAAACAAGACCTTCATCCAGAATTAAATATCTTTTTTTATCATCTTTTTGATATTTTCAAATTAATTAAAATTCAAGACCTAAGAAAGACAAACTCAACATCTGCTCAAGCACTTCTTCAGGCTGAATCTGGTATAGAAGCTTAAAACTTTGAACTTTCCTCAAAGTTCAAGGTTTTATTCTGGATTATTCATGTCTGATAAAATTTAGCACTTTAAACACAATCTTAACTAAGCAAAGATTGAATATTTTCCATTCAAGAGCCAGTAAACATTCAAGTAGTGTGATTTTTTAAACACGTGAGACTCTGTCTTTGCTTCTACCATCTTTGCAGCTCACAGCGTGTAGGGCCGTGCAATAAATCGATTAAACTGCATTTGTGGTTTTGAAAGAGTCTCAAAAATAAACACCTCCTCCTGTCATGCCTAAAACCGGCTCCCCCACCCCTGTTCACTTCCTGCAGGGACAAGCACACACAGTAACAACATGGCAGCTACTGTAGGTGAAAGGATTATTTCCATAATCTTGATGGTCATTTTGAGACTGGTTTTCCTTGGTTGTGTCATACCTCAGACAAAACCACAGTGTTAGCCACATCTTTGTGATTTGTAAGTTTTTTTAAGAAGAAGGTGATTAAAATGGTAAATAAAGTTTATGTAAAATGAATAATTAAATAATTAAATTAATAAAGTTTGTTTCTCTTTTTTGTCCATATTGCCCAGCCCTAACAAGGAGAGACTATCCTTCATTATGCATGATGAATGCAATGCACCTCATAAAAAAAATAAAAAACTGAGAACATACATGGAAAATAATAAAAGTTGTTTTCTATCTACAGAATGCAAATCTTTCAACTTGGTATTGGCAGCTTGGAAATGTGGTGAATTTGCTCCTTGTGGGGAATTCTCTGTTTGTTCAGCCTGTGGTAAGCATCAGTGTGCTGGGTCTGGGCATGCAAAACAGCATGTACAGAAGGTGGGCTCTTAGATAATTTACTTGCAGATCCTGCACAAATTTTGATAAACCTGTTCCTTTATCAGACAAACACTTTTTACCTGTATTTACTTTTGTGGGTGAAGACCGATGTGTGGCTAGGACATTCTCACCTTTTCCCATAGCTGCTGCCAGCCTGGTCATTTTCATATATTTTACTCCTCTGAGACAGAAAACTGCATATTTTGGTTCTAGGAGGAAAACCTTATCTGAGGTGGTGGTTACATAATACATTAGTTGCAGCCCTGAAAGAGTTAATGCTTCTTGCTTGTCAGTTCTGCATATCCACAACATAGCAACCAACAACTTAATCCCCAGGTGTGTCACTTTGTGTAATCTGAATAAAACCCTGACAATCGAGGGTGTGACTCTTGACCCACAAGGGGACTAGAGATTAAAAGATGAATTTACAGAGGAGGATTTATACTGGATTTCAGAACAGAAACATTTGGGTTAGTACACTCAAAGTCAATGAAAATTTCATTCACTTGGTGCCACTCAGTTTCTCTGATTTGAATAGTATGTGTGCTGGGAGACACGCACTGAAAATTCCCAGCACTGCTCTGTAGATCCTCAGACGGAGCCGTCCATACCGTATGACAGTGTCAAACTGTTGCTCTGACACGACAGAGGAAAACCCTCCTGAGCCTCATTAAAGGGGCACAGATGGAGAGATGAGACAGAAGGGCATGAAAGTCAGACTGAGTCAGACTGACAGAGATATCCTGCCCTCACACTCTCATCACTTATTCCTCTTCGTGTGCACTGAAAATTCAGAGCTGTGATCAGAGAGATTCTCCCAGGAGGGAAGAGGAGAGGCGACTACTGCTGCTTTAGATTTTCTAACGCATAAAAAAACTACTAACAAGATCATTCAAAATGTGACCGGTCAAAATGTTCCTGAATAGGCTGTATGTGAAGAAAAAACAGCTTTCCTGTGAGGGTTAAATACTCTGCATTATAAGTCATTAAAGTACAGACACTCGAACAGCAAGATAAATTCGACTGGTACATTCACTTTAACAGATTGAGCAGCTTTTTCAGCAGTAAGCACACTTCTCATTATAACTTACAATACTACAGCCTTGACCTGATATGTCAGCCGTTACCAAGTTTCAACAATCAATCTTGCAGAGTAAGAACCTCATGGTCACAGCAGGCTTTTAGTTCAGCATGAGAATTGTGTGATCTCTGTTCTTTTATATCTTTTATGGTCCTTTTATCGCTTCCATTTCTTTTATGCTTTTGTGTTTTTACTTCTTTTCTTTTTTTTTTCATTTTAAATGTTTTTTTACCAGCTTTTATTTATTTCCTCTTGATGTTTTTTTTTATATTATTTCTGCAGTGTTTGTTCTTTTCATTTTATTGTGCAGCACTTTGGTAAACTTGAATTTTCCTTTAAAATGTGCTATATAAATAAAGTGGATTGCATTGGATTGGAGGTGAAGGACCAGGAAAGCGCTGAAACAAACAGAGCACACTAATATCTCTTACCTGACTCATGCAACTTGATCAAGTATATATTGACATATTTTGGTTATACTTTGAGGATTGATACATGTAGGCGGCAGGTAACAGCAAAGTAAGCAAGATTTATCATCCATGGATAATGTTTGATTGTGCACAGTTTTAAGGCGATCAGTTCTACAGTTATTGCGAGAGATTTCCATCAAGCTAGAAACAGACCTCCTGACCAACCATCACAATCCATGAGGCTATAAGGGATAGGCGATATGGGCTAAAAAATAAAACATGATAAGATATGCCATTCTGGCAATCATGATAAAAGTCCAGATCAAAAATATTATAATTTCAATCTATATTTTTGACTCTTTGTCTTGAGAACACCAGCTGGAGTAGTCAAATAAGATACTTAACCACGAGTTTTAGTGGTAGGTTACGGAGAAAACTAATGACACCAAACAAGTCTCAAATGTGAAAACATTTAACATTTGTTGAAAACTCTTATTGCACAGAGTGAACAACAGCAGATCCCTGTCCGATGGCAGGCATACCTGACTGCGCTCATCTAGCCCCAATCTTGAAGGAAATCCCTCATGTGGAGCCTTATTTTGTAACGAGCTGCTCAGAAACATCTTCATTACTTTCAGCCATGTTTATTTGTTTGTTATTCTGCTCTGTGTGGGCTATGGCTGCAAGTTCGTCGCTTGCGCTTACATCATCAACTTGCATTTATCGTGTCATAAGATGGCAAATATTTATCATGGAGGATTTTTATGACGATATATCGTGAACAATAATTTATCGCCCATCGCTAATGTAGCGAAATGTGGCATGAAGTAAATTAACATAACTGATACCTACTCCAACCAGTGATTTTAAGCATTAAAAAAACTATTGAAAAAAATAATCAATCTTGTCGCTGACAGTCATCAATTTCACTTTGTTTCCTAAGAAAAGACAAACTCCTCACAGGAGCTCTGGAGAATACAAAATGTACCGATAAGACAAAGTGCGGGATCATCCTCATTCATGCCACAAAGAGAGGGGATGGAGTACAGATGCAGTGAGTCATAATTGAAGGTATATCTGCTTAGAGTCATTACAGATATGTTAACTGTTATTGCATTAGTCAGGGTAACAGTGTACTGCCTTTATCCATATTTCGTTTGCTTTACTGTACGTTCGTTTTTCACCAACCCAAGCCACATGCTGCTCAAACTTCATATCCTTCCAGTGTAAACAGGATATTACTGTGATGTTTGTCTCCTCTCTGCAGCACTCCTCTGATGCTGAGCGAAAGAAAAGAGTCAAGAGCCTTTCAAAGGACAGCATTAGATCATACAGCGCTGATCTGAAACTATCTGAGCGGAGCAGCACCCATGATAGGATTGCAGACCAGACTGGATGACGCACAACATTCAGTACAGCCTGCAAATCTGTTCAGGTCTTATCAGTTGGCTGTAATTAAACTAATGTCTCCCAATGAATGATGCTAATGATAACTGATGATAACAGGCTATATTTAGAGAGTTACATTAAAGGTTATTTCCTTTTTGATACGGTACATTTTCTACAATTAAGGGGCTCATTTGAGAGCTGGAGACAACTGCTGAGGTGGAAGAGGAGGTAAACTTTCTAGGGAGATTAGTTTTCTGCAAAAAGTAGGTGAAAAAGTAAGAAGAAAACAACAACAACAGAGAGGAAATAGTTCGCTATGCTGCCAAAGAGGAACTGGGTACAACAATGAATCAATGGAACACACTCGCGCAAAAAAGCGAGTAGATATCGAGTCAGAAATCAATGAACTGTTGGCAATCCAATTATTTTCAAAGGAGCTCAACATCAGCTAATGACTTAATGCTGCGACACCTACACACACAGACACTGACACACACAAACCAGCTGTAAAAGTGAACACTCAGAGTGAAACACAGCTACAGCTCATTTACACAACCGGAGCCACACAGATGCTCATATTTGACCTGCTTTTCACACCCACACACAATTTTTGACTCCATAAAAAAAAAAAGGTTGTAATCCCCCCCTCTCCTCTTGTAATCTGAGATTTTAATCTCTGCTTTCAAGACCAAGATTACCCAGCAGCCTTTGCTCCGATTCAAGCAGATGCCTCAAAAAGCCCTCGGTAGGATAGTCAGCAGGGCGGGAGAGGAAGATACAGATGTGTGAGGTTGTAATCTTGAGACGGAGACAGAAATAGTAAAAAGGGGATTAAGAAGGAGAGAAGAGGAAGTGATGAAGATGTGGAATGACATAAGAAGAAAAAAAGAGAGGAGGAGAAAGAGGGGAAATCCTGTGTGCTGCAACAAGTGGAGGTCAGTGTTTGAATTCCACAGGTTAACCTGCAGGATCAGATTAGAGTTATAAAACAAAGGAATGAGGGTCAGAGGTCACTTTTTCGGCCTTTAAACAGTCATTTTAAAATCCTGTCTCTTCAGCTGCAGTAACCCGATAATACAGGAGACTGAATGAACAGATAATTTTGTACATTTAAGACCCATCTGGCATGATTTTTTTTATAGATTCAGTGTCAACAACTGACTAAAAGTTCCAAAAAGCACATCCATGATATGTAAATATTAATAATACACTGATCTTATCAAAAGAAATTTCAATAAATACAAATAGGACTCCCTAGAAACGTCTATAAAGACAGTTTAACTCATATAATACATCCAGTGCTGTCATTATTATCAGCATTTTATTGGTAGTGACAAATAGGGCTGGGCGATATGGCCTCAAATCAATATCACGATATAGTTCACCTCAATAACGATAAATGGATGATAACTACTCCACAAGCTGCTCACCTCCTCCCACATTAACTTTGTCTACTTCAGCCGCTACAACTTCTGAACCATCCTCCATCTCCTCACCTGTCTATCCCTCTTTGTTACAGACTGGATGCGGTGGAGTCATGTCTCCGAAAACCAACTTTTCTTTCTTTTTTTTTCATGATACAAAATATATCGACATGGGCAAAATGGCATTGGTTATTGTGTTAAATTTCGGTATCAGTAAATTTTCGGTTTATCGCCCAGTCCTAGTGACAAATATGAAAATTCCTGCTGAGCTTTAACATGGTGACTGTAGGGAAGAAGCCGACAGTAAAACAGGTATCTATGATGCTTGTAAAGCACAGGGGATGAGAGGAGGTGCAAAAACAAATCTCCATTAACACGACCATGTTAACAACACATCTGAAGAGGGACCACCAAGAGGTTTTGAAAAAGGAAGAGTGAGAAAGTGTCAGTGCAAGCAAAAACCTCTCAGCAGCTTCCACTGCAATGGATTGTGGGAGAGCAGGAAACATCATTATGTGGAAAAAAACAAAAGGTTGTCTTGTTATGCAAACTAACTGACTGGAGGCTTTTCTTTTAGATATTTTAAAGAGTCAACATACTATCTAAATGACATTTAAAATGCCAACCCCTCTGGAGTTTGATTTGCATATTTGCTCATTTGCATTAATCTACAGTAAATGTAAAAATGATGGGAAAATGATTGTGCTGCAGGTTTGAGAAACATTATTAGTCAGAGATGCACTAGATAGAAACGTCTGTGGCTCTGCAGAACAACGAATCATCCTGAGTGCATGCTGAATCAAGCAAATTGAGGTATTGGTACATTTAGTACGATAAGACACTCATGCACACACTCTGTACACTCGTCTGCTCTGTATTTCAATTCCAAATATATCAGAGGAAACAGTCAGGCTGCGTTCAACACCTCTACAGAGAGACACTCCATTCTTGGATGTATGATTCAGAGCATAGCTCCGCTCCGCTCTGCACTGCGAGTACACACACACGCACACACACACCAACGCACTGACAAGATTTGACTTCACTGGCTCTGGCAAGAGTACAAGTTACAGCTGACATGATAGTAACTTTGAAACCTATCCATGCAGTCTGACTGACCTGCTTTCTTCTGTCAACACACCGACACATGCTTACGCTCCCTGGGGATTACATAACAGAGACTGGCATGTGTGTGTTACTTTATTTACCTTTGAGCCGAAACTATTGCGTAATTGTTTGACAAAGTTATTCAGCCGCTAAGCTGATAATTTCAAGTGATCATTAAGTCCCTTTTGATCCAGTAACGGCAAAAGTTCTTCACAGCTGGAGTGAATAGGAGCTGGTTTTCACAGTCTGCCATAATAAGATAAGATAGTAAATAATAGTAGATTTTGACAGGTTTTAGGGTGTGATGCATTCTGAAAATAAATGTTACATTATTAGTAAAATCATTAACAAAAAGGTCTTCACTGGAGCCTTACAGGGAACCACAACAAATGATTCATTTTTGATTCATCACTGATGATGTAAGGCTGCGAAAATCTTATTTATTTCAATATTGATGAATCACGTTGTAGATTGAACATCTAATATTGTTCAGAGAAATACAAGAAAAACATAAAAGCTTGCTGAAGACAAACTCCCACTTTCCAGTGGTATCCATCAAAGCTCCTGTCAGGGACTTTTTGTTTGTGTCCATTTTACACCTTCATGCACAGAACATCCTGCTTTCTTTTGACAGTACGATGTATCACTCACTGTGGATATTGGCTGTGGGAAATGAAAAAAGGTTGAAATAGTACCGTCTGACACCTACCCCCTAACTATGATTTAGGGAATTATTAAAGACACTGACCATCTTGTTGGTGGTTTAATTTGCCTCTTCAACTCATGAAGAAGTTTCTCAATTAAGGATCTTTCAGCTTTTATCAATGTTGGCGCCCCCTGTCGACAGAACAGTCTCCGCTTATTATGTCCTCTGCACGCCTAAATAGTGTCTCCAGACAAAAAGTCTCCTTCTGCTGATTTTTGACGGTGAGTTGTTTAATTCATTGCGACTATTTTATGTAGAAATTCTGAAACCTACCCCTTCCCCAGTTTAAAAGGCATTAATTAATTTCCGATCTTGTTGCTGATACTTTTGTTTGCTTTTTTATGCTCTTAAATCCCATCATTGTGAATTTCAAGCTATTTCATTGATATGTGAAAAAAAACTTTTGACATGAGCTTTAAAAATCCAAAAGTGGGAGCCAAAAAATGATTTGGCATTTTGGACTAAAATATCGATGTAGAAAATTGCTGATAAGATGTAGAGACAAAACTCTTTGCAAAAGTAATCCATCTCTGGAGCTTGCAAAAACAACACAGCAGGTAATGTCGTTCACTCTTACTCATGATGAGTTGTAGATTGGAAAACTGTGGCTACAGCTACTGCAGAAAAAACCTGACATGCAAAGACAAAGGCATATTTTCCAAGAGCCACTACAAGAGCTCAAAAGCAGCAATTATCACACCTCTGCTGCTATTTAAGCGAACGTCACAGTAACAGCGTGGCACTGCAAATTACAAAGTCAACTGAGCGGTTGACAATAGTTTGCAGAGCCAGGAAAGTGTATTTACACTGATTTTCTTTTTCTGCAGACACACAGAACGGAGAGCTAACACTGGAGGGTGTTCCCTCAATTTGACAGGGAGTGATGGCAGAGACTGTATCTCCAGTTATTAATAAAGCGGGAGCGATAAATAGTTTATAGACCACAAGATGTCTATTCAATTAATCAAGCATATTAGTTTCAGCTTCAAGTATGACAGCACTGCACAGAGAGCCTCTTCATCTGCACATAAGCTTCATCTACACTACATCTTTACATTAAATGTGTGTATCTATTACATAATGTTCCAATGACTGTGCAGAAGCTTTACAGCCGAGTTTCAGCTCTTTGAAAATAATACGCCAAAGGGGGTCGGACCGAATGTAGGCAGCTAGCTGAATACATCTGCTCCACATAGTATAATAATTGGCAAAGATTCAGCTTTATATGATATGACTGGGTTGGGTTGGGGGGGGGGGGGGCTGCCGTGTATGTATGTGTGTGTGTGTGTAGGATCATTTTAATGGGCAGAGTGTTTGTGTGTTGGTTAATCCACACTGTGTTACTCACACACCCGGCATCACCGCTGATGTGTGTCTATTCACTGTCAGTTTAGCCTACTCAATCCCTAATCCAAAGCAGGGAGAGAAAGAGCGAGCGCCGAGCTAAACCTGCGTACCTGCATGTGTGAAACGTCTCCATCATTCAGACGTCACAGTCTGCGCCTCCTTTCACACTCCGCTTTCCTCCTCTCGCTCGCTCGCAACGCAACGTTTTCACGAGTATCAGCAGCCGTTTATTTCGGGATACGACACAGATTCCAACGGTTGCCCAGACAACGGACGCGAGTGAGCGGACAGGGGCTCACACCTCGCCGTTACAGCCAATGAGGCGAGGCTAGGGTGAGGGCCATCAATCAACTCCCATTCAGCGACATTCACTGCTCCCATTGTGCCCTCTCCCTCAATGGCCAAACAAAGGGCACGGTTTAGCCCATCACTGAGATTTGTGGTGCTGATGGGTCCCTCTGTGTGTGTGTGTGGGTGTTTGTGAGTGTCCTGGTTATAAACCGGGTTTACAACTTGTACTTGTTCACTGCATCCAAGAGAAGAGCAGAAGAACAACGAGCTCTGTCATGATCTTCGACTTTTTCCCTCTATTTTTAATCCATTTGTCTTTTATCCAACACTTTATTACCTTTTAGTCTTGTGTACCAAAATACCAGTTCCTATCCCACCAAAGTCTGCTCTGACTCAAAGTTTGCAATACTGTCATCACCATTTGAAACGTGCATATAGTGTTTTATACACACATTATGACTTGAGTCCTCATATGACACAAATGTACTTCCTCCAACACTGATGCAGCCACAGCGGTGGGTGAAATTGGCAGCACACTGCAGCAATTTGTGACCCACAACAACTTAACAACTGAATCCTGGTCAGAGCAAAGCTGCAACCAGCACACTCGTCAAAGAGCAACGCCTCCTACTCGCGGTAAGTGCAAATGTCAGAGTTTATAATGAAAGGACATCAGGGCGCAGCAAGACCTGGGATTTCAAGCACTGAATGCATCAAGCTGCTGCTGCTTTGTTCCTAAGTACAAATGGAAAACAAGCTACTCTCCTACATTTCACAACCATGACTAACATAGAGGAAAATGTCTTCTCAAAGCGAAGTGATAAAGTCAAGTCTGTGTATGCAGATAAGAAGGAGATGGGTTCTGGTACTTTCTGTTGCCCCTCATATTTCTATGCAGTTTTCACAGAGCTAATGAATCTCCCAGAATCTCGAATAGTTGTTTTTTATTAAAAAACTCCCATCTAAGGCTGTTGCAGTACACAGGTACTTAAAGTAACCATCTTTATTAAATTATAAAATATTTATATTATGTGGGAAAAATCATCTCTCTAAAAGATGATTCAGCACTTTTAAAAACTGAAACTCAACTACGAATCAATTAAACATTCATACTTTCTAACCCTTCTTATAACTGCTTTCATTTGGTCCCGCAACTCACAATCTACCCCAGTCTACACTTCAAAATAAAAGCATAGTTTCACAATGTAGGAAATACAACAACCACTTATGACTTTAAGACACTATCACTTTATGAGTCAATGTTTTCTCTAAAGAAGTTTCAGTTACGCCACCAGTGATGTGGATAAATCATAAATACCGGTATGAGTGAGTGTTATGCAGAGAATGTGAATGTACAATGTACAGAATGTAAAATGTGAACATGCACGCCATGCTGCTGCTGCCTCACAGAAATACTGGCATGAAGTGTGAGACAGGCGCTCACTTATGCAGGAGTGTTGGCGCTGTCAGCAGCACCTGACACTGGTGCTGGTCGACGCCGCTGCCACCCTCACTGGAGTGTTTACTTTGGGTGTCGACATCTGCAGCACGCCGGGTGAAGTGTTGTGAGTCACTGTTGTCTCTTATTCTCTATAGAGGGCTTGACCCCAGAAAATGTGGACTTTTAGACCCAAATAATCAAAGTATGGTTGTATTTTTCTCCAGTGTACATAGGGAGGCACTGCAATTACGCGCTGTGAAGTTTTGTGATATTTTCCAGCCTTATGTCTGTGTGTGATTGCTTGAGAATGGGGGTTGACTAATTGTCAAATCAGTAATAGTGACAGTCCACTCTTATTTTTGCTTGAAATGTTCACACTTGTTTAATTTTGATGTGATTTGTATTTCCTGTTCCTTATTTATCTTGATATTTACTATCTGTCTTTATCTGCTACAATAAAAGCTTTGTCTCCTGAGCTCTAATTAAAGCTTATCTCATCTTTCGGTCTCTTGATCATGTGAGGAAATGGATTATTCAAATACTGGATCGTTTCTCATATCCCTAAAATAAGCTGTTTATCAGCCAGATCAAATCAGAGATCCAAAGAGCTGAGAAGAGATTATCAAAAAAAAGAGTAGTGCCGCAAGTAAGAGTTATGAATTAGTGTTACCAGCTCCGCTTTCATTCATAAACATTGCAAGTTTTTCTCAAAATCTGAATATAGTTTGCACAACATTCGAAAGGAATCAGAGCTTAGGTTTACTTTGTCTCACATGACAACAAAATCAGTTCTACTCAAACAAAGGGCAAAAAAAAGCGATAAACTTTCAGCTGGTTTCGCTGGAAGAGAAAGGGAAATGGATACCGGCTGCTCGAAGCCTGTCAATTAACTAATCAAACTGTTGTAAGCCAAACAACAGCAAATTGATTTTGAAAAAGACAATGCTTCGAGTACAGTCGAACCCTCATCATGTGCTTCAGTTCATCGATACTGCAGCGGATTCCCGTCAACCGAAGAACAAAACAAGCAGAGATAGAAACCTGCTCTTTTTTTGTGCTTGTAAGATAAAGACCTCTTACATAACTAATTTCAGACTCTGTAAAAGAATAGTATGAAGTGTTGTCCTGGACTGAGTGAACCTCTGCTCCTGCTGGGATTCAGGAGACTAAATATAAAAGTGACGAGCTGATCCTGTTCCTGTCTTTGTTTTGTGTTTTGTTGTGTCAGGCAACAGTTTGAAAGCTGCAGCTGAGTTTGTTTTCACTGACAGATCCCTCAATTATTTTACCGTCTTAAGCTGCTGCAACTTTCCAGAGCCAAAGATGACCTCTGTGTGTGTCTTACAGTGTTTGTCAGACAATCCAAACCACAAAAAAATGTTGATTTATGTGGGGATTATAGAAGCAGTTAAGACCTTCAAAGTCTTGGTGTGCATCATGGGTAATTAAATGAATGATATCTCGGCAAAACATCTATCTTTATAGAGGAATTTCTCCATACAAGTGCATCAAACTGTTTGTTTTAAAATAGATATTAACTTGAGGGACAAACCTGCTAAACAAGAGTCAATCAGCATTCAAATTTCCTGACTACCACAAATGCATTACAGGTGTTTAACATTTTAAAAAGTTGATTTCCTCTCCTCTTAAAACTGAAGTTAGGTCAAGCATACTCTGTAAACTGAAGATTCTGACCTGAAATATTAGTTGTATGACTGATTTTGAAGTCGAGCCACACTGTTGGGTAAGATCATGGTCAGATCAGCTGCTCAAACCGGTCAGATGAATTTCTGACATGTTAGAAATCTTGGTTAACAATCTCTTACAAAATCACTCATTACTCAAATGGAATTCAGTAACAATTCAGTGATGGGAACAACTAAAATATACATGGATATACACCAGAAAGTCACAGCATAATAACCACCTGTAACCCTCTTGTAATCAAATACAGCAGCTCTATTAAACGCTACTTCGACCACTCTGTTCCATTTTCATCTTTTGTGACTACTGTACAACATGTACTAAATATTTATGATCAAAGTCATATCCCCTGACCTCAACTTGAGTGTGGGTTTTTTTCAAAAGACACATTATTGACATATGCCAAAGCTCAGTCCTGATTAAACATAGACAGAGCAAGCACATACGTCATGAGCCCCAAATGTGCATTATAAACAGTTTACTTTCTGCAATGTGTTTGTTCACTTTCCACTATGTACTGTAAGTCTGAACTCGAGCAAAGCCTTTGTGTTTCTTTCTGTCTGCTGCTGAACTTCGACCAACCTTAAACACAAGAACTGGCACTACTCCAGGGAATACGAAGGACCAAAAAGCATTGAAGTCTAGGCTGGAAGTCTTTTAACAATGGCTGCTGGCTACAAAGGAATTGTTGAGGAGTTGGCACCCTCAGGGGTACATATCTCAACGTCAGATGTTGATGATGAATGCTGCTGGGTTCTGAGATGGAATGAACAAAATTAGATTGAATTCATAGACTTCTTTTGACTTCAAGAGCCTTTTATTACCATCATGTTTCTTTCCGTCTGTCTGCGTTTTTAAAATTCCCTGAATCATCATTTGTTTTAGCTTAAAATTGATCATTTTACAGACATGGACTTACCATTTCTGGCCTCAACTTCCACACAAACAGGATAACCAAATCCAGACACCCTAATTTTATCAGAATATCTACAAGATGAGTCAAACTGAACTTTTTTTGTCAGTGCACAGAATATATTTGCGCCTCTCAGACCCAATAACTAAAACAGAACTGCGGTTTAAAATACTTAAAGAGGAAGTGCTGAATAAGGGTGCAGGGTTTGCTCGCTAAAAGCTGGCAAATGTGGAGGTGATAATAACTCACAATGTAGCACAACAAATGAAACAAAAGTGAGGGAAAGATGAGTGGTCAACAGAGTAGTCATCAGCAGACAATGTGTGAAAAAAACTAAACTGAAAGTAGATGATTGAACACGGCAGCTAAAAACAAAACCAGACATTACTTCCATGTATAGAGTGAAAAAAGGATCTAACGCCTGGTGATGAACGTCTTCTTTACATCAAGTATTTCTCAGTCATAACAAACACTAACCCAGCTTCACTGCCTGCAGATGTATGATATTTCAGTGAAAACAATCCACCCTGCCAAGACAGAGGAATTAGACCTCGAGAAAACAATCCTCTTTTTATTGGAGGACAAGAAGACAGAGAAAACCTTAAAAAGACTCACTGCTGCCCGGGGGAATACTGCCAGGATCTCAGAGAAGGAAACACACCCCCATCAGGCTTCCTCGAGATCAAAAACACACACACGCAGCCTGGAAAGTGATCGAATGATAGCAAGAGCAAAGGCCTCTTGCTGCATTAATTAGACACCGAACACACTTGCTTCGGGTTAATGTAAACACACTTGAGAGCTAACTGACCTTCAAGATCCATCCACAGCGGTATTTCGCAAAACTGAGCTGACCGCAGTTCTCCAGCCTACCTGAGTGAATCCGTTTTCTCCCTCACATATCCTTTTCATTTGCAGAAGAGCCAAATCTATGTGCTTCAGGAGAAAAGAAAAAAAAACAACTGCAGAGAAATGCTGCGGAAATGTTTACAAGTGTACTGTGAATTACAGCAGGACACACTTTTTCCGTTGCTCTTTTAACCTCCAACCATGAAGAGAATCCTGTTCAGGAAAAATCAAGGTATTGCAGCTGACCCATAGAACCACTTTCTGTGATGGCATAAGCATACAGCACTGTTTTGTTATAGAGACTGCCTTTAGAAGTCAAATCACAACAACAACCACTCTCTTTATTTACCTTGATTAGACTACTGTCTTTCTACACCTTACAAGCACCAAGCAAAAAATGATTCAGGGACCAAAGTATGTCTGTAGGTGGCGGCCCTTTTGTGCTCAATACACCTGGACTACCCCTTAGCTGGCATACTACATCACATACCAAGACAATCAACAAAAACGATAGCAAAGAGCTAACTGGTTGTACTTAGACTAATGAAAGCACCATCAACTTTACAGCTCTGTATGTTTTGTACAGTTGATTGAACACGACAACTCTGTCATTTTACGTCCTTTTTCCTCTGGTTTTGTTTGCTATCTAGCTCCCTAGCAGCACATTTATGCGTTTCAACTTCCATGTTAAAGCTGGAGTGCAAACTGTAGAGAAAGTGGCGAACGCCTGGGCCAGTTTCAGTCTGATGGTGGCATTTAAATGAGAGATCCTGAACCACGTTCTCAAGGTATGTCACTATGAGGAATTTGATTTCCTGCTACTTCCCTAAAACAGCTCTTTCCTTTAGGTTATCATCTGAGCTCAGATCATGATGCAACGAAGTTTGGGAGAGTGAGAGAGTAGCAAATTTACTTATTGACCTTTTCCATATTTTGATAAAATCTAATATGTTGATGTTGGTTTTTTTTATCTAGGTGGACACACTGACATTCTTTGGTCTCGTTCAAAGATACTTCAGCCTTTTAACTGCAACTGACCTTCCAACTGAGACACCAATCCTTCCGCTGAGCCACGGCTACCCATCCTTTACTGAGTCAGTTGAAAAAAAAAGAGGATTTTTTTAGTAGCATGCTCTTATATCTTCCAGCTTCAGCAAATAAAGCCTCTTTTATGACACTTGATGGTCCAGCCACTGTCTGAAAAATACGCTGGAGGAGAGTGACTAACGCTGCATCCTTCAACCACAACTATTGCTGAGGGGCCCTCAGGCCAGGCTCTTCATGCTGCACCATCAGCAGTAAACTATATGTTTGTACTGGGCAGCTAGCTCTCAGGTGTGTTTATATGAAGCCCAACTGGAGAAGATGCTCAGTCAACACCGCAATAAGTATCCCCTGAGTGTTGTCGAATAAAGCTTTAACAAGCAAGGACGAGTGGCCTGCCTGAGGTCCCTGAACACCTCATGAAAGTGTCACAAGATGAAAAATACCTCCTTCTGTTATCTAACATACCTGGGTTTGCTGATGCCCTACAGACAGCAGAGCAATGTAACTCACAGCTGGGTATGTGGGTGTCAACTGGCAGAAAATGCTGTTGCTCACATAACTTTGAAAAATTGTGTCAATCTTTTGACAATTCTATTTAAATTGAGTCGAGCTGATGGTGACAACTGTGATCTCTGAGTAATTTTCTTCTTTTACATCGAGAGAACACAAAAATCCAGCACACCTCTCACTTGAAAAGCTGTGAAATAACGATAAGTGAAGAGGTACGTTCTGTACAGGGCTGCACACATGAGCAGCTCTCAGTGAGTTCCCCCGTAAGTGGGTCAGAGAAGAATCTGTTTTTCTGTCATGACACGTCATGTTATTCAACCAGGAAAGCACATATTGTATGTCCATTTAGCCTCCTATCCTCCTTCCTAATAGGTGCCCTGAAATGCAACAGGAACTTGAACACAACTTGTAAAAACACAGACCCTCTCTTTATATTCATGTCCATTCATATGACAGAATATGACAGCAGGCACTGGATGAACCTGCTCAACTACTGGCTTCGCCTGTGGGTGCACATACTGCTTTGCAAACAGTCTACGTGATGCATAGATGAAGAGACGTCGGGGCGATAATGGAGTTGACTGAGCACTCTGTCTAAATGAAAAAGGACAGCATGAGAAGTTCAATGTCTGGCCAGGCAAAGATTTGAAGGGAGCTCAATTCATCTCAACCAAACTCCATTAAAAGATGTGCCACTTTGATGTCTACAGCGGTCCTGAAAGGTCAACTGTACAAACATTTTATGACCACAAAAAACTATTCACAAAATAGAGAGATATGAATCGTTGAACACAAAAATATCTCCTAAAACACAACTCAATTCATTGATGTGATTAACTTTTTTAAAAATGCAAATTACTCCCATGAAAAGCAAGAACATTTTTAAGATGCAGAAAATTTTATGTAAGCAAAAAACACTTGACAGATGCAAATGCATTTTTGATGCACAACTCCAAATATTTGCCAAAAATATTTCACAAAATATGCAGATATTCTTGGGTTTTTTTTTCATTCTGTGCATCTTTTTTGAGTTTTGTGACGTAATAAGGGTTTGGGAAATTATCTATAATGTTACACTACATTTTTTGTTCGTGGAATTTTGTGTATGATAGATTTTTTTGGCATTGTACTGAACATTTTTGCAGGTTAATGCCCTTTTCGCACCTGAATTGTTTATGTATTTGGTGTTTGGTGAATTGTTTCTTGCACATCATGTAATGTCTGTGCAGGGCCACCATACTGTTGAGTCCATGCACAGAAGTGAAACAGTGCAACATGACATTAAAGCGTTTTATCCTAACTCTCCTAACCACTCACCACAGTGCATTTAGGCGCAGAGCACTACAGTGAGGTTAAGAAGATAGTCTGAGATCAGTGTTAAGAATAACTGAAAAAAATCCGAGATAATGTACAAAGTGGAGGGTCTAATCTGAGCCGAAATCGGATGAGGATCCACAAGATTTAAGAGGACTGTCAAAAAATGTAAAGCAGTACTCGATTGTCACAGTTTGAGACCAGAAAATGAAAGAATAATGATTTCTAAATGAAGTTTGGTGCGTTGGTCTTTTCAAAGAAGCATATAAAACATGTCTTGACTGGTCGGCAGAGCGGTTGGACAGATGTTTGCTCATTATGGTGCTTTAAGTTTAACAAAAGGAGGGTTTTCACATGTCTATCATTACAGAAACTCGACGTTGAGTCCGTTTGAAATGAAAGAAAACAACTTGCCAGATTTCTTGGTGTGTTAGTCATTGAACAACTCTGTAATTTATCGACATGGCCAAAAATTACACAACGTGAACGCAACATAATGTGTGAAATGACACAGAAATACAACACTAACAGACTGTCCCATGGGAAAAAAAAGATTCAGGTAAGCAGGCGAACGTTGGCTCATTTGTTTAAAGTAGGATTGTATATTTACCATATTGTTACTCCCACTGGTGTGTCCCTACTTGAGTGAAACTTTTCTCCACAGCAGCTCCAGAAGCTCCGGGCATAATCTCAGGACTCACACTGGATCCCCCGTTTCGTTGTCTCTAAACTGAAAGTTGACCGTTGGCATAATCGGTGAAACAGATGCCATCACGGCTCCCTCACCCGTTGCCTCACCACTGCTGGAAACTGACCGACGACGGTGTGACTCGCTCGTCCAGCCAGTCAGCCCGCCGCGGTAATCCCTCTAAACCCCGCTAGCCAGGCAAGCACAATGTGTGATTAAGCCCCGCCCACCGCGTTCCGTTAAAGGAGGGGCTGCGTAGGATATCAAATACACCCACATGAATTAATTCATAAGCAAAGACAGTCCGCCGAGCTAAAACAGCTGGTTAATCCATGAGAACGAGTTTTATACGGTCTGAGTTTGTAAATGTATTGAGCTCTGTCTAATCTATTCCTTCATGGGAAAAATACTGATTTCAAGCTTTGATTCAATAAAATCACAGGAGTGTGATGAGCAAAAAAGGCTTAAAGAAGAAACGTCCCAAATTACCAGGGGCGTGACCAGGCTTTTTAGACTGGGGTGGCTAAAACTCATTACTCATTAGGAACTTCAATTACCTATCAAGGCATCCCTGCTTACATTTGGATGATATGATCTTATGATCTAATTATCCTAATGATTTTAAAAGCAAACTGAAAACTGAATTCTATATCATTAACTTTGTTTAAGTGTTTTTGCATTTATCTCTTCTAGTTTTAATGACAGGATTGTCTTTTATTGAGCTATTTTGGTGCTCTTATTTTAGTTTCTTTTACTGCTGTTTTTTATTTCATTTTCTTTATTATTTCTTAAATTTCATTCTATGTTTCTTTGTTTTTAGATTTTAACATAAACCTCCAGTGTTTCCTTATCTTGAGTTTTAAAATGCGTTTGCACACATTCCTGTTTCCACAAAATCAAGCCCTTTTTTAAGTTCATGCATTTTAATACTGTTTCTATTGCATTTAGATCGTGGGGTGGGAATGCGGGTTTTGGTTGGGGAAGATTTGGGTATTCTTTGTTTCTTCTATTCCTTTTCCTGTGTAAAGCACTTTGTGTAACATGGTTGAAAAGTGCTATATAAATAAAGACTGATTGATTGATTGATGATTATAAAATCCAGGAGATTTTTGTGTTGCACACCGGCAGTTTTGGGGTTACCTTGTTCCAAAGGGTTACCTAATTATGAGAGTATTTGTAATTAGATTGCTCATCCATAGAGTATAAGTGAAGCTGCACACTTTGGATGGTCTACCTTGAAAAACGGGAGTGTTGGCAGGTTTGAGTTAAGGAGGAAACCTGGGGAAAAAAATCTTCAGAGTACAGTCTACTGTACTGTACGCTTACTAAAACACGTAGTTGTACATCTAATTAGATATCTGATCCAGGCTGACATGACACCAACCACATCTCAAGTGAAAGGACAGCTGAATTACCCCACAAAGGTCTAGGGAATGACTCATGAATGATTTAAATGTGCAGCAGCTCTCCTCTGACCGTTCACTGATAAAGAAACCAATTAGCAGGGTTAGTGGCCGTGTCATGTGATCAGGCCTGCTGATAGTTTAATGTCTGAGCTTGCATTAAGTATTCATTATTCCAGTAAATGTCCACTTTTTCACCCTCTATCTTAGAGAACATACACTTACTGCAGGTTTAATCTCTGCCCTATACTCTCCTGTCATTCCTCTCTGGTCTCCTGAACACATCGACCTGAAGGCCACTTTATGAGGACAGGAGTGAGTCAGCCACCTGTTAATCATTGTGATAAGCGTGCATGTTGACAGGTTTGGATGCTCTGCAGTCTGGTGATTCAGCCTGCAGGGCACGAGTGCTGTTATTGAAATTTGAGCTCAAACCACGCTGATCCAATCATATCATTTTTCATGTGTGTGGATTTATAAAGGTCCTTGCACAGCTCTGGGATTGACCCAAAATAAATCATTCTGCTGCCATCAATCCAAATCACCTAATAAACTTCCAGTCCATTTCCCCCTGGGTATTGATTTATGATATCCATGCTGGTATGTGTAAAAGAGAGGGAGCAGGCGCAGAGTTAAACGTGACATTTAATTAGTTTCAGATTGGTGCTGGCTTTGTATGTTAGCATTGATTTTGAGCGGTGAGGGCACTGGCTGGGGGCTTGCCAGAGACAACTTTAGCCTTATGTAAATGCCATTAAAAGCAGATGCGTAATGGCTTTTGCAGCCCTGCATGACATGTGTGAAGCTGTGAGAGCAACAGCAGAGATTTTCTTATTTTTAGATTTTCTCTTCCTGCGTGCTTTAATTGGTTGTAATAAAATAAAAATAAAAATTCCATCAGAGTTTAGCCTTCACTCTGTCAAACAAGCATGCCATTGTAGTTCCTCATCTAAATGTCACCACATTTGACTTTTAATAAGCGCAATAGAGCTCAAGATCCAGTTAGATGACAGGGAGGTGCAAAGATTCTGATCCGAAGGGGATGAATGTCAGAATTCTTCATTTTAAAAGGACATAAAATCTATGCGTGCGTCAAGGATTGAAGGAATTGCGTGCCTACATATCGTACTATTCCCTCTGTTAATCACAAGATGCTATTGTTCCCCTTCCCTACCAGCAATGTTTGTGTTCTTTATGGGCTTCCTGCAGTACTTCCTGTCTCCATCTCAGCCAAAACACCAGTTGACCTCCCCAGACTGGACTTCAGGGACACTGATACCGTAGTTCCTGGATGCACAATGAACTACTTACGCCAATCATTGCTAGCTGCTTGGTACTTCCTGGTACAGCCATTACACTTCACCTCTCGCCTTGCCAGCTATAGTATTGTGTTTTACATTCATATAGATATCACAAATCAACAATTGGGTTCTCTATTTCTGATGTCCATCCATGATGTCCGTCTTTGAAGGAAGGAGACTTTGGGGACCAAACATTTGAAGGAGTCAGCCTTTTAAGAACACTGCGTTTGATGGGCCCAGCATTTAAAGGACACAGCCTTGGAAAGATCTAGTATTTGAAGAATCCAGAATGTGAAGGATCAAGCTGTTGAGGGATGTAATAATTAGATAGAGCATTTAGAGGATCTAGAATTTGAAGGGTCTACCATCTGAAGGATCTGGCATTTGAAGGATCCAGCCCTTAAGGGATCTAGCTTTGAACGACGTAGCCGTAGAAGGACCTAGGCTAAGAAGGACCCAACCTTTGAAGGACCCAGCCTTCTAGGCCTGAGTAGACTGATCAAGCCAAACTGAATCTTGGCATACTTTCTTTTAGATCACCAGTTTTGCCTGCCCATACTTTGGCATCATGTTTCGTAGATGACCAACAGAAGTCAGATTTTTCTGTGGAGATTCTGGATTTTTTCAATCCAGAAAATATCAAAATATTCCAACTGGGACTTGAACATCCAGAGTTAGGGATTCTGATTTTTCTCATTGAGTTTTGGAATACTTAATGAGGGTTCCAGAATGTTTCTGTTCAGGGTGGTACAGGAATTTCAGGATGATTCCTACAAAGTGGAGATAACTTGTGTTGGAAAGTTCCACATCGCTCCAAATGCAGGAGGGGACTTTGAATGTCAAAGTCCCAGTAACAAAATGTTCCCACATGGTTTTTGGAAAATTAGATGGGTAAATTAACAGTCTGTAGGGGTTCCGGAATGTTCCAGTTGAAGGTGGTTTAGAATGCTCTGGAGGGATTCTAGAACAAGTAAAAGGAACTGTTTTTTTGAGTAATTAGAATATCCCTGTGAGACTTTAGAATGTTGTGGGGGGGAAATTGGAGAAATTCTGAAGAGGTTCTGGAATGTTTATTCAGGGGTGGCTCAGGCCCGGGTGAGATTCCACAGGGTTAAAGTAACTTTTGATGGAATGTTCTTCTGAAATGTGTGAAGATGTCGAGTTTTTCCTAGGCTGTCTTGGTCTTGATGGAGTTTCTTAAACTCATTTATATATGTGACAGAGAGAGGCAATAATGAATATGTCACACTATCACTGGGAGCTGTAGAAAAAACACATTTCCGTTTTGACACTTTTTCTTTCAAACAGATGTATCAAGTGCTGATTCTTGAGAATGTAATACCGAACACTCTCGTTCCACTATGCTGAATTTAATAGTGCGCCGCCTTTTCTTACACCCTGTCATGGTGACTGAGTGTATTATGTTGCTTATAAATGTCACTCGATGCCGTACAACCACCTTCAGTGTTATTGTTCATTACTTCCACTCCAGTGAAACTAATGTAAATGCTAATATGAGTTCCCTCACTTCAATGACTTAAATCTATATGTGTGAGATTAGAAATGACAGATGGGAAGAGATAGTGAGGCCAGAAATTGAGAGCTAATTTACCAGTAGCTGTTTTAATCCAGCCGGGTCAGAGCTGCTCATCTGAGTCAGAAAGGAAGAGAAACTCTAGATCAGACTGAGTGTGCAGATGAGGGGAGGCGCATCTCTTTCTCTTCCTCATTCTCAGAAAAATAACACTGCAGCTTAGACCCACTGTATTTAATAAAGCCTGTTGAATCAGTTGAAAGGATATGGAGGAGGTCATGTGTAATTAATCCTGTGATCATTTTTATTCATTACACACTCAATGAATCAGTAATGCTATTAAATGTCATATAAGATCCAAAGAAAAGGTCATTATGAGGGTAGAATTACATTTAAATCTGTAATTTTTCACAGTTATGACTCCAGTCTAATGTTGTTATGATAGCACTGTCTCAGAGATGCTCAAATGTGTTTATAATTTTCCATTCAGTCAGGAAAATGCCAAGCCAACATCCAGATCAGTACAGAGGCAAAAAAAAAAAAAAAGTCTGTGACCCATTGCTGTGGGCATCTGTTGGGTATGAAGTCATCTGTCATCCTCAGTGCCATGTAGGGCTAAGACAGAATCAGCGTCAGCTCAGCCAGAGTCGATTGGACAGGGACTCGCTTGCACATACTCATGCACATCCACTGGGGCTCTGTAATTCGGCTGTGAAGTTATGGTTTTATTTTGTGATTACATAACCACCACAGAAGCCCCACCGAAGAAATAAATCCCCACTTTCATAATTGTGTGCTCCCACAGTTTTTTATTAAAACTTGCAACCTCATGCCCACTTTTTTATTACGTCGCTACTTTAGTGCCAGCAATTACATTTTCTTGCATCCCCGTCGTAGATGATAATGTCCCTGCCTCTCTTTTTCACCTCATTGCTTTTATATCTCCAGCAATACTCCCTTACTTTTTTCACTTACTCTCTCACCTCCACAGACCAGTATTTTATATTCAATGAACACTGCAGCCTTTATTCAATCGCACAAAACTCATGATCCATGTCGCTCACTGTTCCACCCTGGAAAAAAAAGTAATCCCCCTGGATCATGCTGCCAAAAAAAGATGGATTTGCCACTAAGGGCAGTTTGAACTACATGGATGTTTTCCTCACTTTGTGCTATAGATGCTGATAAGCCCCATTAGTCTCAGCAGTGGACGAGTAATGATGCATGCTCACAATCAAACATGTTGTTACAGAGGGGATGTAGTAGGGCACAAGGGAGGCTACTGCTGCTGCTACTGTGGCTCCTGTTTAGCAACGGGGACAGTGACTAATCAGGGTAAGCGTCCACATATATCACCAGAGATGAGCAATAAGTACAGTGGACAAGGTCTGACACGCTTTTAAGGAGCACACTGCAGCAGTGGGGTCAGCCATGATGCCAAAGTCTGTATGAAACTGATTGATGGTGAAGTAACCGAGAAGGAGTTTTAATGGATTTCCTTATAGTGAAAATATTCAGTTTCAAATCTACCATACAAAATTACACTTAAAAAACTGTACTAAATTGTGGGAATTGTGTAAACTGTGTGCACATCAGTCTAACACTACCTCTTCAGTTGATACGGTTTACTTGTTGGAAAAATAGGGGCTGTGTTGACTGAGGCCATTTTTTTTCCACTGGCAGTGCCGTTTTTCCATTTTAACCAAACGCAGCTCAGCATTTTCAGCGCTGAACGCTCTCAGAATGAAAAACACTCTCAGCATCATCACACTTTTCTCGCTATGCTCGCAGCGCTCTCAGTTGAAAGTGATTCAACATTTGAAACACGGCTGCATTCATCATCATTGTTTCTCGGCCGCGACCAATCAGAATTAGGAAGAGGTGGGACTTCTGATATTGCCTATGTTGACAACAATGGCAGGTCTAGAGCTGATATATCTGCTGAGATGTGATTTCTTTACATTATCCTTGGGTTTTCTTTGTAAAAAGCCAATGAATGAAAGCTAACATGAGGCATGTAGTTGACTGTAAGAATTGCCTGAACCAAATAGCAAAATGGGCGAGCAGGCTGATTGGAGAGGCCAAGCTCTACCCACCATCCCTGTATATTAACAGAGGATGGCTGGCTCCATTTTAAATGATAGCTCCCACCCTCTCAATGCTGAGTTTCAAAAATAGTTTTATTCCATCAGCCATCAGGCACATTATCATGGAGAAGAAACCCTGAGAGCTGTTGGTTTTGATTTGGTTTTGTTCGGTCTTATTTCATTCATTTTAATCTCTTACCCCCGAGCACTGTTGTCACTTTAGATGTATGTACTGTGCTGTTTGTTCGTCTACTGTCATACTGAGGGTACAAATAAAGTAACCCTTGACCTTTGACCTTTGACAGAGCATTGTGAAACAGAGCTAACGGTCGATGCTCTGCAGAGCAGAAGATGCTGATGAGAAGTGCTGTGAAATACAGGTTGTGGGTGCTGCTGTTGCAAAAAAAAACACCATAATGGACACAGTCCTCTGCACTTGTACAAAAAATCTCACTCTTTACTGGCTACAGCGGATATCTTTACGTCTTTATTTTGTCACCACACAGTCACTGATGTCTGTATTTGGTGTTGGGCCTAACATTTGAAATTTTAGAAATGTGTTATTTCATGATTTGTAACCAAAAAGCAAACATCAGGAATATCAGATCCATGACTTTTGTACTCCTTACTGGCCTTCCAATGTTAGCAATGTTCATGTAAATCTTCAATAGAATGAAAAATATGGTAGAAATAGTTTGTATTTTTTACTTCAGTCTTACATAGAGTATGTTTATATCTGATACGTCACTCAGTCAGTATTTTTATAACACAGTTAAGTTCGATTGTATGAGTAGCATCTGGCTTCAAGGCTACTTTAAATCACTGTCCCTTTCTTGGTTATTACTTTCTCTCCTCTCTTTGCTGTCTCCTCCTCCTCAAAAGCATCTCCTTTTCAGACAGATAAACAAGAGACACTCCCCTCCCGCTCTGTCGCTCCCTCCTCCTTCTGCTCCTCAGCTCTTTTCAGCCTTTATAAAAGAATCTCTTCAGGGACTTTAAGGTTCCCTGCTTTCCAGCATTTTCTTTTGTCTGAGCTTCGCAGGAGAATTAAATCAATGGGGCACTTGAATGGAGAAGCTGGGAATAAAACAGAAAAAGCAGGGCTGGCCGTTTTAAAAAGACTCTGGCGGTAAAATTTGAGCTGAGCTCAGTTGAAGCTCTGCTGCAGTTAGATGCAGGACTGTCAGAGATAATCACACGGTCAATATTTCACACACCCTCATGCATGTTAATTACATACAGTGCTGTTAGTGTATATGACACTGCAAGAAAACAATTGAGCGAGCATGTACTCGAAGAGTGGGGCAGATGGTCTCCTGAATGGGCTTTGGGGACAGGGATTTAGAGGCCTTCATATCCTCTGAAAAACAACTAGAACTTTTATAAATACTCTTCATACTTATTATAAATTATATTCAGCTCCTGCAGTGCTCCTGAAGCCTTCTCCGCTGTTGCCATCATACAATGTCATGTCTCACTGTTTGAAGTAACAATTAATGAAATATGAATTCTGAAGTAGTACCAAATTATACCCAACAATAAAGAACTGAACAGTACATTTCCATTCTCTTGGTTTTGTTTATTTTCCTCTTTAAAGGAAATTCACCAATCAGTGATGTTACTATGTGAGCAAATAATGAGTCCTCCTTGTGAAATTCTTGTGTAACTTATTTCCAAACAAGCCGTTCAGAGCTGTCTCTAGTCTCATTCTGGGAAAACTCCATCATACCGACATTCGTTTACCTCACAATCTGAAACTTTTCATACAACATGTCTACTCACTGTGCTTGATGCAAAAACGCATATTGACACCTCTTTGGCAAAAAAACAAAGCAGTACAGCTGCTTACTGCTGAAATCTAGGTAGACTCTTACCTAAATAAAGTAGAATAAGACCTCAAGTTAGAAATGTTTCAGGAACATCATCACTATCTCTTTGGGCCTTCATAATCTTGAGGTAAAAATCTGATATTGTGACAGTCCTGTGCTTCACAAACATCCAATATCCTCCCAATTTGCTGGCTTGTTTGCTTTGTAAGATTTCTGGTTTCTCTCTCTCTCTGTCTCTGCTCTGTTATTCCCGTCCCTGGCCTGCATCACTGCTCAAAATCTCAGCCCCACCATCTCCCCAGCATCCACCCCCAGGCTCATACTCGGAGTTAAAGATGTTATCTTATCACTCCTCGGTTTCTGCAATGTAAAAATAAAACTCTGACAAGTGATGAGGTCAGAGCCTGTAGACGCAAAAACACTTCAAATGATCCCCAGGTGCAGAAACTTCTCAAACTATTACAGCCTGATTTGTCCGAGTGAAACAGAAAAAGTCCATGTCGTTAAAATCAAAAGTGTATGTCCTCATTTTTAACATACTGTGTGTATATCATCCTGGTTTACAGCTCCACCTTTGGTCTCAGACGAATAGGATTCGCTATTGATTTTTGAGGGTAGCTGCTACACAGAGATGTGAATCACGCTGATGCTCAACATTTCAGCACATCTCTTGCCTTAGGTTGAATTTGCTTACAAAAAAACTTGCACTTTTGGTCTTATCTCAAATCTTTCATCCTTCTATTGACTGGAAAACTTTGTAGAACCAGCAAGATCATGATCACTGAGCCTGGCGTTGTTTCCACATGCAACAGAAGCAGTTTAGTGCGAGTTAAAGTAAGCATATTTGGGCATAGAAGGTTCATGCATGCAGAAATGTTGAGCTTGGACATGTACTCTACTTGTAGGGTGCAAAAATCTATTTCACTGAACATTTTTCCATGCTTGTTGCCTGTTTATTTTGAGTGTTGGTCAGTTTTTCAGCCCACTCTGCAGTTTCAAACCCTGCAGATACACATTAAATGAGAACTGACCTGACCATCAGAATGTGTGAATGTATTCAGAAAGGACAGCGCAGCCTCTTTGTGTAAACACCGGCACCAGGCGCTGTTTGAAATAAATATCTAAGGGGTCACACTTTCAAAGTGTCCGGGGGAGGATGGGAGGGGCAGCAGCCACGCTTTCATGTTCTATCCTGCTACACACCCACGACACTGCCTGCCTTGCACCGCGAGCTTGTGACATTTTCGCCCCTTTGTCGTCCTCCGAGCGCTTTGAGATTGTCTGCATTATTCTGTCCTGCTGAATAATAATGACAGAGATATGAGATATGCAGAAAGACAGAGAAGAATTAATGGTGTTCCATTGAAAACAGGAGGTCAGAGAGATGAAAGATGGCAACTTCATGGCCCGTCACACGATCACCACCATTAATCTGTCAATATATCACAGAGTTTAAAGGCAGATGGGTCAAACTCTCACGCAGACAGTCCATTCAGCATCTACAAACCTGCAGCCCTTGGTTTGGCTTTGCATTGTGGTGGGAATCAAAGGAGATTCATTTAAAAAAGATGTAAATGTGCTTATAAGTGAACTTATGTGAACTTAAGAGTGATTAGTAAGTGGATTCTGGACAAAACTAGGCTGGCAGTTACGTCTGTTTCCACCCCCATCACTTAGATAAGCTCGAAAGCTAATGCTAGTAGCTTCTAGCTCAACACACAAATTGATACCAGAGCAAGGAAGTTAGCTTCTTTTTAACCACATCTACTTGTTTAATTGTAATAAAGGATCAACAGAGATGTCAAGATTTTATAACAGTCTTCCAACACCGTGTTCCTAAGACAAAATGATGTTAATGCATGATGCTGGCTCTGTTAGTGGTAACCAGCAAACCAATTCAAACTTGTTTACCAGCAGACTCTGTGATGTTGTGTTGAGCTCAATTTTGACATTACTTTATCATTTCCTTGAAGTAATAATCACCATATTAATCATTTTGCACTGCGGACGCGGTAGTTCTTTTGCCTTAGAGTCTCGGTCTGATTGCATTTCCATGAGGAAATGATCTAAATGTTCTTCCTTGAGCTGCGTCACCCCGCTGTAGTCCGTAATGGATTGGTCCGAGGTCTCACTACAAACAAGCGGCTGCTGGAAGAGAGTAGGTGAGTTGTGTTTAGTCTCTTTGCCAAAGAAATTAGGCAAAGTTAAAAAGATGTTTGGTGGCTAGGACCCTATATATACAGTTGGTGAAGTTAGGTGCTGTTCTGAGCATTTTTTATGGTTATAGAGTGGCGTTTTGGTTGAGGTTTGTTTATGGCTCCTCAGATTGCTGTGTATTGCTATCGTGCGGCCGTTACTAAAGTTGGTATAACTAGAGAAACGAGCGGGCGGCAACATTCATCTCTCGAGGGGGTGTCTAACTTGGTGTTACGGTGTGTTTGACCATAAATTAATTTAACGCTGTAATATCCCCTTAATGTCTAATAGTTAAAGCTTTTTTAAAATCTGTACCATGAGTTAGAGTTTGTCATGAGTTTGTGAACAACCTTCCTTAACAATTCAGCTAATATCTCAGAAAGAGCCCTAAAATGACTACAAGGTTTTATCAACACCTCTCTAAAACAGCTTGCAATAAAACTAAACATTACTGCCTTCATAAAGAAGGGATTTATGCTGTGTAACAGCTCGAAACCTCATATACCAGCATCCAGATTTTTCATAAAGCCAATAAAGAGTGAAAATCAGGAGCAGTAACAGTTCAGCTTTTCTGCTGATTCACTGATTAAACAGATGATGGTATAAGAAGAGGACTAAACCTGTATTTACAGTGCAAAGCATGCTGCCTCTCACAGAGCTAGAGGCTACAACTGACACAGACAAGGTTATATGTTAATGGAAGTGAACACACACACACAAACACGGACACAGAAACACACTTACACACAGCTGTTTTGAACTTTGATTCAACCAGACAAGTTAATTATGAATGAATCCTTTAATATGTGGTGTAATTTTACTGTAGCTAGAAAGAACATGTGCTAATTATGTTCTATACTGTCTCGTTCAGACTTTAATTATAAAACACACACATATACACACGCATATACACACACACAGCAGCTGCCATAAATGTCATTGATTATTGCTCAACCCTGGTTTTGTCATCATTAATGTTTCAGTCTGCACAGAAACAGGTGGACACATTGTCAATAATAAGCTGTTACATGAGCCCTTGAATCACTCAACTAAATATCCTCACGATGGGAGTCTGGTAGATAATATATCGACAAATGAGGAATTAATGGATATTGCTGGATATCTAAAATGTAATCCTTGACTGGGTTTGTTACAGAAAATGTGAATTTATTCAAAACGCCTGAAAGTTTCTAGAAATTATCTAGGTGGGCTTTACTTTACTTTTTCTCTGGTAAAATCTGGGAGGTTCTGGTTGGAGGGGGTGATGGATTTCAATTGTTTTAAGCAAACTAGTCATGTACTCATGAGTAGTATCTGTTCCTTACCTGACGCCTGTTCCCAGAGGCCTTAGGCTCTCTGTGAATTCCATTTTGTACATCAAACCATGATCTTATATGCTGTCATGTGGGAATAAAACTTTTTTATTGAGAAGAAACCTAGCTTTGATTTCAAGAACTTTACAAGAGATTTTCTTCTCATTTTACTGGCAGACTTGATTTACTATTTTCCAAAAATTCAGTTCTTATTTCTGAGAGAAATCCTTTGAGCTTAGTTTGACTTTTTTCCCTCAAGTTGTTTCTTATCTTCTTAATTGTCTGAGTCCAAAATTAAATTTCTGTCCAAAGCAACAGAACCAGTTTGAAAACTGAAGAGGGTCCTCACAAGAGCAGAGCCACAAAGATATGGATGTTAGTGCGTTACTGTCTGTCACATCTAAAGCCAGATGACCAGCAGTGTAGAAAGAGAGCAAGTGGCTGCAAGCATCATCCTTTGTTGCCATGGAGACAAATTGCTCAGTGCATCCATGACAAACCTGATGAGAAATGGATGGTGACCATAGGATGGCAGCTCTTACAGTACATGTGTGGGTACATTTGTGTGTGTGTGTGTGTGTGTGTGTGTGTGTGTGTGTGTGTAGACGTATCTTGAACAGATCTACTTAGTCGCTGTCAGTGAAGGTCATTATCATCAGGGAAATTATGAATCCTACATGCAGGAACACACACACACACACACACACACACACACACACACACACACACACACACACACACACACACACACACACACACACACACACACACACACACACACGGTCTAATCAATGTAGCAGGGCTTAGAGGAGGCCGGAAGTTGATGAGGTTTTGATTCATGTTGTGTACATCTGCTGTTTGTCTCCTATAGGGTGAAGTGACAGAGGTGCTGTGTTAACCACAAACACTATGATCTACACTGAGACGAACTGTTAATTGATCCAGGAAAGCAGTTTAGAAACCACACATGAAGGCTCCTGTTCAATACAAGGACAAGGATGCAGTTGCAAAGTTTGTAGCACTGGAAAACTACGGCATGGAGTCTATGCAGAAGTATAAACCAGGCTAAAATCTATGTCTTATGCATTCTTTGTGAATCACATAAGTTGTTATGGTGATGTTTTACCTCACTGTGTCCAGTCGTCTGAGAGACAAGAAGGAGAGAGTACAGATGGAGTTAAGAGATGACAAGATGAAGTTTTAGTCGCTTTAACGTGTACAGAACAAGGGATAAAGATATATCACTTTGTTAACAGAGGAAGCCAAAACTGATACACGTATTGGCACAGCTGACAGTTTATCCTAGACAACAAGCAAGCCAAGGCTGCATGTGTGTCAGGTCTTTTGGCAGGACATCGCACTGCATGTCCTATGATGCATCGACTGCGCTCCTGCACATCACGGTTGCTACGTTTAAACAATCTATTGATCATCACCACATCTCAGCATTTGAATCTCTCTTTATCCACTCACTCTGTTCAGTCGTGTCCTAAAGTAACCCTATCGTCATAAAACCTGTGCTCAAAATGCATCACTGTTTCAAGGGCACAGACGGACAAAAGCACAGGAACACAAACACACAGACGTACTAAATGAGCTCTATTAGCTCAGAATAGAGTTGTTGACACATTACACTGTGATGTCCTCAGAGATATTTCCTCTGTTGTGGTATAAACATTCGCAGCTTAATGAGGAAGAACAGGGGAGGTAATAAAAGCAGGGCTTAGACCGAGGTCTTGAATGCTGTGTGTCTGAGACACTGGGATGGTTACCATGGGAAAGGGATGGAAGCGACCACGGTTAACAGTTGGGGGGCATCTGCATTTCAAAAGCTTTGTAAACACGATGTACACAGAGTTCGACAACATGTCAGGGTTGAACAAACTGTGAAAACACTCATCAAGACTTATTATAGACTCGTCGCAGAATTTTGCAGACATCCATGATGGTGTAAACAAACCCCAGAGTGATAAAAATGATCTTCCTGCTGCTTCTTCCACCAACTATTTCTTCGTTTGTGGACTTGTTAAGGCTGCTGGCTGTACAGGAAGAGCACCATTATACTGTAGGGGTTACATAATCTTACTGCATTTTGTTGTGTGCATGCTGGCAGACACACAACATAGAGTGTCAGCACAATAAACGGTGCCTAAAGCGCAGAGACCATTCACGCAGCCATGCAGGGATGCTTCTCTTTCAGCGTATCAGACTTTCTTGATGGATTGCCCAAGATTGAGAGAGACGGATGAAGACAAGAGGAATATGACCTTCTGCTTAAACAAAGGGTTTGTTTTCTTTAGAGAGAGAAAATGAAGACAAGCTGTGCAGTTAAAGGCATGTTCACAATCTATGGCTTCTCATACACATTCCTCAGAGGTTACCTCAGTAGGAAAGGCCAACCACATGTCTCAAACACACTGAAACAGAGAAAGAGACATGGTGAAACTTGTCTGAATTAACCTCTAACTGCGACAAAAGCAACTTCCTTGACTGTGTCTGACTGTAAACCACCAGAGCTTGTTTATTTGCTCGCCTTGCGGAAAACAAAGCCATGTAGGAGACCTTTGCCGCTATAAAATGAGTGCTGAGTCTGCTGCAATTTTCCTGAAAAGCTTTAAAAGGAATCAGAGGGAAACTTTTACACCTAGAGCTTCGCATGTGACCCTATAAAATGTCAAGTTCAAAAGTGCAACAACGCCCCCGCTGAGTCCATGTGACTCTCTAACTCTGTTTGACCTTTTACAGCTTTTTTATCATGCGGGAGGCACAAACACCACCCAAACAAGAGAACAAAAAAACAGTTTCACAGTACAAACAAATGCAAGAAGCTAACCTCTGTCACATAGATGAGCGGAGTAGCACTGTAGTTTTTCCTCATGCCTCCTCTTCCTCACAGCCGGAGGTCAAAGAGCAGCTTCAGGAGGGAGCCGTGCACATCAGAGAGCTCTGTCTGCCTCTTTGAAGAGTGGGGACGACCCAGAGAGAAAAAAAGAGTGTGTTTGTCTCTTAATCTACTCCTGTGTGTGTGCAACCCTCTTCTTTAGAAATATTTCACCTCCTGCTCCAGCTCCCTGCGCACCTCCTCATGCTTTAATCCAAACCTGCCTCGTCCTGAGGTGCGTTCCCAAGCTCTCCTGTCCCGGACTGTTTCTCACACACTTCTGCCCTGCCGGGAAAACACCACCTTAAAAGGCATGAAGGCAGCTCGAGTCGGAAATTCTGTGATCCCTATCTGCACGGGCACACTCAGCTGCCAATCAGGAGGGAGCAGGGAGAGGATGGAGAGATGAGAATAGACGGTGAGAGAAGGAGAGAGGTAGAGGAGGGAAGGAAAGAGGGGACACTTAGAGAGGGGAGTGAATGAGTGTAGGAATGTGGACTTAGAGGAGGAATCTCCTGCCAGATTTACTCCCTGAGGGGGGGAACACACTCTGCAGGAGGACTCTGACAGGACGTCTAATCTGCAGAGCTAGATAACAGCCTCTATGTGTGTGTGTGTGTGTGTGTGTGTGTGTGTGTGTGTGTGTGTGTGTGTGTGTGTGTGTGTGTGAGTGAGAGGGAGGGGGGGGACTCTGGACTGGACTCCCACTCATGCTCACAGTGGAAGTGGGAGCAAGGTCATCGTTGTTACTGGTCATCCAGCTGATAAAAAGGCAGCGGCGGAATGTAAATAAAGACAAATTGGAACTGGACTTTAAAACAAACACAAGGTACTTCAACTTTGTCCTGGTACTTTCTGGTGCTGATAAGTTTACTTTCAGATGTATAAATATTAAAGGAGTGGGAATCACAAGGAACTTAAAGATGCCATGTATGATATTTGCTGCAAAATAAAGCAATACTAGACAAGAGAATGAAACATGACACAAGGTGGTAAAATATGATGCAATATACTGCAATGAGACAACATGATGCAAAACAATATGAAACAGCATGATAGAATACAATACGGAATTATAATATACTAATCCAAACAACACAGTATAATACAATATGATACAAAACTAAAACTGAATGATTTAGTGTGACTCCAAAATTTAACCACACAATATGAAACCAAATGATATGACACAACACAATATGATATGATACGATAGGTTACGATACTTTAGATAAAATACAATACATTACAATAATGATGATACCGAACATAATGGTACTATATAGTACGAAATTATATGATACAATAAAACACCTAAAAGTATGTGAATAACAATACAAAGCTTATTGATACCATAAAATACAAACTATGCATTAATTTAGAACAATACAATATAATATGACACGTTACAATACAATATAATATAATATGAAATGATACAGTGTAATATAGTATTGTACCGTACAATACAATACGATACAATGCAATACGATATGATTCGATACGTTATGATACGATATGATATGATATGATACGATACAATACGATATAATACGATACGATGGGATACAGTAGGATATGAAATAATAAAGTGGGATTAGATACGACATAATACTATATAAATTATATGTTATGATATGATACCGTATGTAAGATACAATTCAATACAGTACCATAAGATATTATTTAAAACGATACAATACAATATCATTTGATATGACACAGTATAATACAAAATATGATATGACACTGTAGGTTACATATGATAAGATACAAAAAGACACCATACAATATGGCGCAATACTATTAAATAGGTTTTAAGTGGGGTAGCATAAGGTACAAAACATTAAGGCAAGATATATGATACCGCACAATACCATAGGATATGATTTGATGTGATACAATCAATACTGTTTGGTCACAAGTATATATAATATGGTATCATGATCCCATCAGAGCAATTCTGCAAAAGTTGAGAGGTTAAAAAAGTTGAGAATTTCCAAGAATGTTTTAAATTACACTTCATAATATCTGCTTAACTGAGGAATGCAAAATGTCCCCAGCAGGAAAACACAAAATTAAAGTCGTTACTGCAGCTGTGAGGGGTCGTGAAAAGTAATGATGCTCTGAGGCAAACTGGAGGGGAGAGCTGTCTTGAACGGTGAAATATTTTTCGGTTTAAACATTGATATTTGGCTCCACGAGGGGATAATTGTTTTGTGAGTCAGGATGAGATTTATTGCTGTGCCAATATTTTGTCCCACCACTCACATTAACTCTCCTTTCTACCCCCCATTTATTTGACAACTGTTTCAATAGATTTTTGCACACAGATCATAATATCCATCATACAAACACAAAAAATAGCATCGAGGGAAACAAAAATGGAAAATTCAAGTAGTGTAATCTTTGCAAGCTCTTTGTTTTTCCCTCTTATCGACAGAGACCCACATGGAGAGATGGAAGAAGTGGGACATTTTTGCTATTTTCCCTGCAAAACACTCAGAGGAGGCCTAAAAATGAAAGACCCCCAAGGCGCCCACTCCGCCCCATTAGGCTCAGCAAACATTTAGAGAATTAGAGTGAAAATGGGAGCCTGGAAATCCTCATTAAGGGTCTCACACACTCCTCACAGCCATGCAGGGGGAAGGAATTCGAGCATGAAAGATGCAGAGGAGAGGACAAGGAGGGGAGGAGAAGAATCCAGAGACAGTGACGTTAAACTGAGGAGAAGGAGAATCGTGGAGGAGGAGGAGAGGAGAAATGACAGCTGGCAGGAGAGAAGATGGATGAGGAAAGAGGGACAGACGTGGAGTGTGTCTGGACATAGAGATGACCCTCTTTAGCCCCTTTCTGGTGCCCAGCTGGCATCACTAGCGGCTGCCACTCCATCATGCCGCTGCATCAGCAGCTCTGGAGTCTGAGATATTATCTGCTCCATTTTGCAGCGGGTGAATCACAGGATGCCTCTCAGCCAACTTAATATGTAGACACAACCAAAGAGCAACAATCTATTCTTTTCATACAAATGTGATAAATTTGGTTGGAGAGTAAATTACAAATAACGAACACTCGGGGCATTTTTTCTCATCTGCCTCTTCCTGCTCATTATTTCTAATTAATTTCTGGAGTTTTGGATGATACGCCGACTCAACTCTGCGAGCCAAGTCTGCTCTGGTTTCTAAATAAAGACCGGGGAAGTATTGTTGTTCAGTGAAATGCTGACTCAAAGGATGCTCAGAGCCTTTCTCATTCCCTCTCACTGACGCTGGGCTCAAACAGCTGACTCACAGACATGAAGCATGAGAGACAACGCCCCCTGTTGACTGTTAAACATATTACTGGGGGAGTGCTGATAATACATTTGGTAAATTTGTCATTTACAGATATAAACATATCAAACAGAATCTATTTTAATGGTTTTCAGGAGAGAATCAGCACTTTATTGCAAATCTCTGATAAGAAAGCAGCACAAAACTAACATGTTTGGACAATTTGGACTATTAGAGAGGAACATTTGCCCCTTGTTTTACATTTCTATCCTTTCTTTTTATTCCAAATCATTTTTTTGTCGATAAATTAAAGATATCTTGCTCTCAACTCACAAATGGTCATAAATTGCTGTGAACTTTGTCCCAAAAAAAAACGTATTTCTTGTTTGCTCAGAGGAATCAAATTTACTCAGAGTGCACTAAATCAATTTTTAGATATTGTGACGTCCCTGACCTTTTCATATAAACTTCTTTGTGAAGCTGCGCAGTTGATTTGCTCCTGTGCACAGCGTAAGAGTCAAGGACACAGAGGGATTTATCTGGTCTTTGTTCATCACTTTCATTTAGTAGTTGGACAGTTTCCAAGCAACATACTCAATGAAACGATGAATTAAATTATATAATATACACAAGGATCACAGAAAAATTCATCTGCTCTTCTTTAACTGTTAATCTAACCCAGGGGTGTCAAACTCAACCACAACAAGGGCCATAATCTGGATTTAGGTCGAACCAAAGGGCCAAAGAGGGTCAACATTTTACCAAAACTGTCAACCTCCTTTTCAAAAAAATATGTAACAAAAATAGCAATGATAATAAATCATTTGGAAATTGAAATATGATAAAAAGACAGAAATTTGTTTATTTTTTATTCTATTTTTATCTATTAGTTCAAAAGATCAGAGCATGATATTAAAAATACAAAAATAATGCATTTAAAGAGCAAATACATGAGGAGAACGTTGAAATCAAGTTTAAAAGGTCAAAATATGACTTAAAATTTAAAATTGGAATCTAAAGTATAAAAATGAAACAAATCTAAATACTAAGTTTAACAAAATCTAAGCATGAAATAAAAAAATCCAATCATGTTTGACTTGTAATACTGAGATGCAAAATTAAAAACATGAAATAAAAGACCAAATATTTTTTCCCCCACATTCTTGACTTATTTATCAGATCTTCCTTACTCTTTAATTTCCCAGATTTCATGGCCTATTAGGGGCATTTTTAAATAATGGTGCTAAAGTTTACATTACCATACTGGAGAAAATCTGCAGACTTCATACTGGTGGGACAATAATAATACAAATATGATATGATCTTGTGGGCCAGATATAATTGTTCTACGGGCCAGATTTGGCCCCCGGGCCTTGAGTTTGACACCTGTGATCTGTCTGTCTGTCTGTCCGGAAGACAGAAACAGAAATATGAAAAGAGTTTCACTCAATGATGAACACTCGAGCCATAAATGTCTGTAAATAGATTTTTTTTTATTGAGGACATGTTGGTGCGTTGGCAGGGTAACATAATTTACAAAGATGAGGTCAGAGTTTACTCAGATCCGGCTTTGGGTGGGACCCACTCGTGGATCTTCTTGCGGGTGGTGGAGAAGGGCACGTACTGCTGGGAGGTGCCGCTCACGTTGATCTGGTGCACATCAGCGAGGAACTTCTTGGGTACAGGTGGATGTGTGGTCGGGGGGTCGTCTGTCATGCAGTGAAGCCAGCGATGCCTGAGGAGGGAGAGGACAGAACAACTATTACACTTCAATCGAAGAAGATCAGGTGAGTTTTTTCTTCTTTGTGCAAAAAATAAACAGACAAACTTGACAAATGTGCTCTGAAGATGCAGAAAGTTAAGCTCTATTCATTCTGTCATCACTTGTACTGATTGAAGGTTGTACCATTCAGCTGGAACCATGCTGCCGTCCACCTCCCACAAGGTTTTTTTCCCGTTCATCTCTGTTGTGTAGATCACCCAGCGATGCCGTCCTGAACGCAGACAAGAGCAGATTTTAAAAAAGCATCCATCCACAACTATGAATCCAACATATCTACTCAGATTTGGTACAATTACAAGCAATAAAAAAGAAAGCATTTTTCCTCTCACCAAAAAAGTAGTGCTTGTTGTCCTCAAAGTATTTGTTCCCATATTTATCAACACCGACGAGGGTTCCTGTCTTCACATCATTCACCCTGCCAATGAAATAATAAGTCTGGGTTGACAGTCAAAAGCCTTACAGTACGCTTTCATACGCTGATCAGCCCAGTGAGAAGATTAATGACAGAAGAACAGAGAATATTGTGGCACATGATAGTGGATGGGAAAAGTCAGAACAAAGTTGATGCATTGGAAAAATGGTAGAGAGTAGAGCTGTGATTGTGACTGACTCCAACAAAAATCAAACAGTGAATCACAGTTTTGTTTTTTTTGCACATGGAGCTTCATAGCTGCAGACCTGCACAGTATCAGACAGGTGGTCATAATGTTGTGGCTTATCAGAGTCAAACACAGCTGCATGATGGAAAAAGTGACATTGCCAGATAAAGGCAAATAAGTGTGTTTTTGTGCAAATGACAGACCTAATAGATATAATAAAAATGACTGCTGTGCAATAAAATTGTTCAGTATTGGGAGTGCATATTAGCCATTACCCGAAGATTTTGTTTTTAATAAATTATCCCTGAAACCAAAATAAATCCAGAAAGCCTTTCAGTTCCGCTATTAGTTAATCTGAGGAAAGCATGTTTATTTGGCCTGACTGGAACAAATGGTTAAGTTTGCACATTTCTATTTTCATCCAATATATTATTCATAGTTATCATGTTTTGAATTTTGCCCTTGCTAAATAGCAATAAAGCTTTTACACCTGAAATTAAAGATTACAGTATGGACATTTCTCTTTGAGCTCCTTATACATTAAATTGTTTAAGAGTGTACTTTTTATATTATTATATATTATTATTATATATATTATTGTGACAAATGTTGTCTTTTTGCAATGTGTTCACTGTAAATACTGTAAAGACACTGAAAACATTGAAGAGTAGTTGACCTTCACTTCTGCCAGAGTATTTTAACACTGAAGTGCTGATACTTTCACCTCATTATGGCACTTCTTCCTGCATTAGTCTACTAAGGTGGCTGAGAACCGACACTGCTGCAAAGAACTAAAAAAAAAAATAAAGAAGCCACAACAGAGGTTGCCAATAAAAAAAATAGAAACCAAAGCCTGCTGCATATATAAAAAAGAAACAGTACAGATTTTTAAAAAAGCCACAACAGAAGTTAACGACGCAAAAAAATGTGGCGATTTACTTTTTACTTTTAGCATAGGTAACCTCTGTAGTGGCTTCTAATTTTATTTGTATCCTTTTATTTTTGTATTTTGCATTGCCACTTTTTTGTGTCATTAACTTCTGTTGTGGTTTCTTTCTTTCTTTCTTTTTTTTAATTTTATTTGCAGCAGTGGCTGTTCTTGGTCACCGTAGTATACACAGGTTTAAATCCGGTTAACATAGACTGTTATCTGGGCTTTAGTCTCATTTTATAATCGAATTTAACCTTCACGTATGGGACAGATGCATCAAACTTAACATTTAAGACAACCATACCAACACACAGCTCTAACACAAACTTTAATATCTTTAAAAGTCTGCCTTTACATCCAGGCAATGTTAGCTGTCAACATGCTAACTCCGCTAACATAAACTTGTGTCTTTACCAAACCCTCAGAATCACCGACAATCAATCAGTTCATTAAAACACACTCTTGTTCTCTTACTGACCTGAACAACTGTAGGAGAAAACCTCTAACTCCTCCATGACCTCCCAGCTGTCCCAAAGCCCTTCGGACAAGGTTCGTATACTCCGCCATCTTTAGACGGAATACTTATGGAGACGGACCGTTCAGAGACGGAACGAATAAAACAGATCCGACGTACAACACAGCATCAGGAACTATCGGTTCCTGATGTACGATTACATTTGTATGTGGACATTAGAACACGAATAGTGGCATTTATACTATTTCTTCACGAGTAAAATTTGTGCTCACAGTTGTTAGTTAAGTATCTTGTTTGCACATGTTGTTTTGTTGTATAAAAATAGTATCCTGTGTGCACAATCCAGAGAGCCAGCCTAAGCCTCAATGGGGCCCTAAGCAAAATTTAATTTTGGGGCCCTCTTTTTCTGCGAGTAGCGCCTGACATGTCTTTACAAATTTAAAGGGGTGGCCTAGGTAATAACAAAAATAATACCAATGCAACCATACAAATAATACCAATGAATGACTGATGAATGATGCTCAGGGTGCCAAATATGGATTTTAATCTTAAAATGTAACTCATTAAGGATGCTCAGAGCACATTGCACAGCAGGAGGCACATAATGGTAGCAGAGCTTTGACATATCAGCAGTAAGAGTCATAGGCTTATATCAGCAGCAGCACCAAAATATTTTTACTTTATTTCATTTTATTTTTACAATACTATTTATTTGATCAGATGGAAAGCATCACTCATACATGCAAAAAATCAAAAATATTAATTTGATTTATTTTCTTTTTGATTGCTCTTGGGGGGCCCCTACTGGCCGTGGAGCCCTAAGCAGAGGCTTAGTTCGCTTATGCCTTGGGCCAGCTCTGACAATACATTTTCATAAGAGAACAAGATACTTATTTTGTGCTCACAATCAGTTTATCTTAATAAAACGATTCCTCACATTGTGATTAATATCTTCTCTCCTCAACTTCTTAACATGTGTGCACATAATGTCAACTTGTAAACATACTGTCCACATGAGAAAAAAGTTTCCTTGTGTGCACACTATACTCATATTGTGTACCTACAGTATTAACTTGTGTGGATATTAAACTTTTTTGCACACTTTGGAACTTCTAGAGCCCTCCAGTTCAGGTGAACTAGACGTGAGTTATTACATTACAAACTCTTCCTAATTAAAAGTAAGTTTGGAGTTGCTCCACCTTGCTGTGACAGTTTTGGTCTGATATGGTCCTGAGTCACAGCTCAGGTAGATAAAGCAGAAAACCACAGTAAAGCTTTACTCATTAAAACTTCTGTTAAACTTTGTCTCAGTCTGTCTTTGATCACCAGTTCAAAGACTGACCAAGATAAAAGATACACAGACACACATGATGTAGCAGACGGCCAGACTCCTGACTCCCTCGTCCACATTTATCTACACTCAGCAATAAGGTTGCAACAGTGGTTTGTGATCAATGTTTAAAAGAGACAGGACAGGAAATGAAACCAAGAAAAAGTGTTTTATTCATATATTTTTTATTAAAAACTGTTGCCTGACAGTTTAGAATAATTGTTTATAGGAAACTCTTACTCTGAAAGAGTGGATGTTTACAAAATGTTAATGTACAATCACTGGAAGAATTCATACTTGGTAGCTCTTGACTAGCATTTCAATCCCAGGCTGCTACAGATCTATACATCACCAGCCTGAAGGAAGTAAAGACAGGATTAACAGTTTATTCCTTCACTACAAATGTAAGATTTAGGCATCTTCGGCTGACAGATTAACAGGGGTAGTGCAACAGACTGTACAGCAACATAACCAAGAAGAAACAGGTTTAAAAATGAGTGTTTTTAAAGGATACATAGCTACAGTACCCCGGAGAAAGAGTGAGAAGTCCTGCCTAAACTTGTTTTTGTTTAAGGATTTTCATAAAAAGCACCTACATTATTGCAATTTTCTCAAAAAATGGGACACGAAAAAGCAAAATGTCAGCAAAAAAGCACCAAAATTCATGTTTTCAGAATGAGCATTTCTGTTAAAGTAGTTCTTTACTGTAGTAGTTGCTCATAAAAATGTCTTTTTATGTATAAAACAAAAACTGTTTGATGGAAAAGTATTTCCTAACAAACCCTGACTCCCAAAGTAAGTGGCAACCTGTGCTTTCCACACAATAAATCTGACTATTTTATAAATATTAGCTCTTGGCTTTCCTATAAAAAAAGGTCAATGTTGCTCTCTTTTGTCCATGTACACATTTATACCCATTTGAACCATTTCTATCGTGGCTGAACAGGCAAAACACACATTAAACTGTACGTAAAATATCTACAAAATTCATGATATTTCCAGTTTTCTCCAGGATTTTTTTTTTCATGGTTTTGTGTGTTCAATTTAAAAGCATGGGCGTAAATCTCTAAACCAGAGAGATTAACTTCAAGACTGAGCAGAATGTGGATTTCGTCTCTTTGTAGAGGTCGGTTTCACAGTGAAATCTCACCTCTCCAGACATCATTTAACTTTAAAATGACATCAGGGATCGATTGTGGGTTTTTATATCTAACCGCCACAAAATGAAACCTTAGAGTGTTGCAGGTCTGAACGTGATGGAATGGACAGCATTATTTCACTTCTTCATCTGTTTTGGAGTTCAAAGAAATTCCCAGACCTTCCAGGACTTCCGAGGGCTTTAAATGTCCCCGACATCTGTTCTGTCTCACTTCCACACACATGCTTCTGGACTTGACCTGTGACCCACAGCTGCAACAAGCTCAGCTCTGCTCTCAGCAGCACGGCTGAGCATCAGTTACTGATGATAGAAAATTTGTTTGAATCAGAATCCTTTTTTTTTTCCCAGCAGAAAAGCAGTCTGTTTTTTTTTTGTTTCAGATTACAGTATGCAGCGTTCTGCAGAGGGTTACTGCTCTAAGTAAACAGTCCATCAGAGTCCTTCCTGAGCGGGTGACCTCTGACCTGGGATCATTCAGGGGTCAGAGAGTTTTCTATCAAATGGCTCTGGGGCTGTGGTGTGACTTCACTGTTCAAGAATCATCGCCTCCTGGAACGCCTCGATCCATCTGAGGAAAAAAACAGGAAATTAGCCGCACTTGAATGTGTCAAAACCATATACTGTATATACTATGGACAACTTGGTTCGGCCTCCCGCCTGTATACGGATTTGAAGCCAAAAAGCTCTCGGTATTTCCAGGATTTTTCTTCATTTCCTGAAACCAGAGCTGTGCAGTAGTGTTGTACGCATTCGGGAGGAGAGTCGCTGTGATGACCCTCGGCTCAAACAGCGTATCCCCCGGGTAAGCTACGCAATCGCTGAACACTAATAGGCTGTATCAGGTGTCAATCAAAGAAAACATGAACCCCCTTATAACTTTTAAAAACGGAGCTGCACAGAAAAAAGAGGACTAGAGCACAAACCAGTCTTACAATAACTACATGTCAACATCACAAGCAGGGGGGAGAAAAAATTATATTCTGTATAATAAATTTCTAAAGTTTGTCCACAGCTCCATAAGCTTTGCTGATACCCCAAAAGAGTATCTGCTCACTGAGTTTGCTGAAACATGAGGGACACATTAGACACCAAATAAACAAGGAAACAAACCCCAGAGTTATGTCAGATACTTGAGTTTGAGTACCTCTGTGCAGTGGGGATGTCATCCGCCTTGAAGATGTAAAACAAAGTGTTTTTGTGATACAGCTTAAACTGCAGCTTCTGAGCCGGACCGTTTTTCTCCTCCCGCAGGAAAAATCCCAGCAGGGGCTGACTCTCCAACGCTGCGACATCCTGGAAGAAGAAGATTTATCAACCCATAAAGAAGAAATACGGCAGAGAGTCAGGGCTCAATTAAAGATATAAAATAAAAGAGGCTGAAACTTTGAGAATCAAAAAGTTAATTTATAAAATCAAAGCCACAAGTTCGGGAGAGTAAATCATAAAAGAAAAAAGTTATGAATTAATTTTTCAGTATAATTTCAAAAAGTTAAATATCTGAGTAATAATTATGAGACAGAAAGTCATCAGTTTGGATCACAATTATAACCCTACAAGATTAAAGCTGTAAATTTGCAAGAATGAATGAATACTTACTTACATGTATCATTGATTGATACATTCATACACTTTAGAAAACGAATATTAGTTATTCATGTTTCAAACTTCTACTCAAGTAAACCTTCACAAGTAGCTCTTCATGCCTTATAAACCAGACAGCTCTTCAGTTCAGGTTTACAACATTAACTCCGTCATTTACAGCTTCAACTTCGTAAATTCACAACTGCAACCTTGTAAATTTACAACTAGAATCCCACACATTCAGGACTTTATTCTCCTACATGCTATAAAATATTACATTTCTGACTTCACTCTTTATTTTTCTCCCTCTTTAAGGTGACCAAGTTGTAGGAAAAGCTTTCAAGAGATGAGAAAAAAAAATCAAAATAAGAAAATGTAAGTACCTCACTGGCCGCGTAGGTATACAGGACTTTGTTCTTGATGACAAACCACAGCCTCTTCCACTGCTTCTTGTTGCCCTTTGACCTGTTTAGGTAGCCGCTCATGGAAGAGTTCTCAGTGTTGGCAGATACCTGGAAAGAAAAAATGGAGTTATGCATTCTGACTGTATAAAAGATGTGGGACTGACATGACCATCCAAAAGTAGTCGACACAATCCACTCATGAGTGTTAATTTGTGAGCCTGACCTCTTTTAGTGCAGCAGGAATCTTCTTCTGCTTCCTGGTGAAGGAAAAAGCTCCAGATTTGATCGGAGAAACGGATGATGAAGCGCAGCGGTCACCTGAAACAAAACAAACCCACTGATTGCACCAAAACCTGCGTTCAGGGACAAGCCCAGTGATCTTCACAGGATTCGGTGACAATATAGAATAGAATAGAATAGAATATTCCTTTATTGATCCACGATGGGGGAAATTTTTTTTTTTATATATATATATCGAATATCAGTCATCGAATGTGAAATTCCTCGTCACTCACTGTTCTCCTGCAGCTTGGCAAAGCAGTGATCACACACACGTGCTGGCTGATTCTTTAAATACTCCAGGTAGTACTTATTGGTAGAACACGCCTGACACACCACCTGCAGGATCACACAGGAATGACTGTTATGAGGTAATGTGTAAAGAAACAACGTGCAGTTTTTTTAGGAGCTTCGGTGAATTTAACAGACCTTTCCACAGGCGCGGCAGTGATGCCTCCTCCAAGTGAGCGTGAACTCGCAGGTACAGATCATGCACATTGTGGCCCTCAGGTCTGGGATCCAGATGGGGGCTTTGGAGCCTAATGGGGCCCCACTGTCAACAACCCCCTCAGCCTGGAATAAAAGACAGGTCTTTATAAAGATGCACTCTGGATCAAATTATACTCAGTCACCCACATGGATTTCAAGTTTTACCTCCTCCTGACTTCTGCTTGATATGAAGGTGATTTTCTTCTTTGTGTAGTCGTCGATGGCCTTGGCGATGGCCTCCAGCCACTCGTCTCTCTCTGTGGCTGAGCTGCAGAGAGGTAATAAACCTGTTTATCTCAAGCGATCACACTCGATGTTATGAGTGTTTACAGCTCCACAGGTGACATATTTAAAGAGTGAGTGCTGACCTTGCAGACAGGATGAAAGAGCGTTCAACACTTTCGATGTTTAGCTCGTTCTGGTACGCCTCCTGACTGGGCTTACTCACCTGGAGAACACAAAACCATTAATAACACACCACCGCAGTGCAACGCTATGTAGGAAAACATTTAAACTGTTACTGCAAACTTGCTAAAAAATGGTAAATACAGATAAGAGGTGATGATAAGTGTGCTGAGTTTGATTTCAGTGCCTCTTACCTTCATCCCAGCCAAAGAGAGAACACTGTTGAGTTTATACTGAGCAGACTGGACTGGGGTGGTGTACATCAGAGCATCATTGAACTGAAAAAACAACAAATATTCATAAAGGCAAAAGAAAAGATGCATGTTTAACTGCTTCTTTGATTGAACAGAAACCATTACAGAAATAATGCTCAAGTTGTTGAGCTACATCTCACTCACCAGGAAGAACATCCTGGGCTGCATGACCTTCCTGGACAGCTTCATCAGAGTGCCCTCCTTCAGAAATACCTGCAAAACACGGACGATTTTCATTGGTTTAGTTTCAAGTTTCCTATCAGTAGTGTACAAAAGAGGATTAGGGCCAGAAGAAGAGAAAAAAATAGTAACATGAGGGAGATTTTTTAGATTTCCATTTTGAGATCAAAGTCGAAATTTTAAAAAGTTGAAGTTTCGACTTTATTCATGTCGACTTCAATCTCGAAATTTTAATGTTTTCTATGACAAAATTTCGGCATAATTCACGACATTTTGTTATCTCAAAATTTCAACTTTAATCTTGAAATTTCGATTTTTGATGTCGAAGTTTCGACTTTATTGACATAATTTCGATTTTTTAATCTCGAAATTATGACTGTAATCTTGAAATTTCGACTTTAATCTCCTTCCTGTAATTATTTTTTTTCTTTTCATGTGGCCCTAATCCTCTTTTGTAGTATTGTTATCAAATGGCTACAATAATAGTGAGAGAAAAATCTTAAAATGTAACAGCCCTGGTTCATAACTGATTTGTTTCTGCAACACCAGTCTTTAGAAAGGCTTTTAGAAAAACAAATGAGTAACACATTGAAGTAAAAACAGTAAATGAATTCAGTGAGATACAAAAAACTCCACATGAAAATCTCTCAGGTGAATCCACCAGATACTTGCTATGATTGAAATGGATTTTTCTGCAGAAAAACATTCATTAAAAATGAAAGCTGTTGCTCAAATTTTTATAGACTCGGACTGTGCCTCAGTCTGTATTCTGGATTGTATTCTGCAGCCTGCAGGTTCCTGAAGTCAGAAGTAAATGTTTGTAGTCTGTATATCTGAGTGTTTCTGTCTCATGTTTGTTCAACACGCCTCAAAGAAAACTTCTGCAAGGGTAGCAACATCTAGCTGTCTTCTCTGCACTTCATGAACTTTGCTTTGTTTGGGATGTTGAGTGTTGACATGTTGTTGACTCACCCTGCCCGGCTGAACGATCTCATGCTGACCGTTGAGGCTGTACTGAATCTGCATCAGCTTCTGAAAGTTGTCCTGAAAAACAATATCAGAGAGATGAGAACAAAGGTGAACGTGAAGCTGAAGCAGATAGAAAAATAAAGCTCTGTGTGTGAAATAAGGTCTCACCCCTTGTTTCATGATGTCATTGGCGTGGTTGGCCACTTCTTTCACAATGCTGAGGGCGGCTGCATGAAGAGGAAAGATTACACATTATTAGATTTTCTTTCTAGCACAACTAAAATCATAATCCCGGTGAGTATTATCCTTTATCTAACCCTGTGTGTCTTTGTAATCCTCAGAGTCCTCTGGAAGGTTTTTTAGATAATCTGGAAAAGAGCAAAATTTTGTTTTTTTTTTAATTTTGAGAAAAAAAAGTCAACACAGTGTAGTTGCATTTGAAGAACAAGAGACACAGAAACAGAAGAGAAGGCAGTCCATCCACAGGAATTTACAAGATTTAAAAAGTTTCTATAAATTCAAGACTTTTTATGGAAGGAAAAGTCACGTAAACAAAGAAAATTTACTTCTCCTGACAAAATAAAAATTTAATCTAAAATTTAAAATAAAACTTTACTCTCCTAATTTACTACATACAGAGAACGCACACGAAGAGCAGAGACAACACACTTAAAAACTTTTTTGCAATATTTTTCAATTCATTCAAACATGGAAAAATTGTTCAGTGTGTAAATGCATGTGAAAAACAAGCCAATACAGACAATTAATTAAATATGAAAAAATATATAATGCAAAAGTATTTTCAGAAATTGCAAAAGTAGTTATTTTGAAGAGGAGATCCTTTAATAATGTTATCTTTTATTTAGAGATATTTTTTTTTCTTGTTCTGAAAAATGCATACAAGCATTATAATGTCATTGTATGACATTTTTTAAATCTTTGACAACTATGCGGTTGATTCTTAATAAAGTAACATCTGATATCCTTTGTTTTTGCCAAAAATAGTGAGTGAAATGGACTTTCCAAATTACGTGTTGCTCAGCATAAGTACAGAGAAGCGAAAATCACCAAAAGTCTAATTTAAGTATGATAGATATTATATTTTGTCAAAGTTAACTGAAAAAATTTGCTGTAATTGTGCAGGCGGTTTCTCCTAGTAAATCATGTAAATGTCACTGGTGTCACTCTGGTTTCTGTTACTACGATTGTCCACCGAGTGTCACTGTAGCCCCAAAACCAGTAGAAAGCCGCAACAGAAAGACCCGACCACAGTCCAAGTTTCATCCACATGCTGTCAATAAAAAAAGGCTGTGATTCAATAAACTCTCAACTTTCAGTGTGCAGAGGTCAGCAGGACAGACCAGAACGAGGACTGTGTGATTAGTGTCAGTGTGTGTTTGTACCTGTGAGCAGCAGCTGGTACTGAGGGATCCTCTGTACTGGTTTCAGCAGGTAGTGTTTCAGAGCCAGGCTGGCACACCTCGGACTCATCTGAGACAAAACAAACATCCATGAGAGAAGACAAACAGAGAGGCAGACAGGATAAAAACAGTGATGATGTGACTTTTCTACTGAGTGATTCATTGTTATGCTGAAAACGGACCAATTTAGACCAGATATAAGTCAATTTGATCCCAGGAAGTCTCAAATTGGCTGCTTACCTCAAACTCTCTGACAACAGCCGCAAACGCTGTGTTTTTCCTGCACTGCTCGTCCAGCAGAGCCACGTTGTTGTCAAACTGGCGGATGTAGGTGGAGTACATCTTCAAGTAAGGACCCTTCTGGACGAATATGTCTGACAGTCTTTGGTGATCAGCCCTGAAGCCAGACATGCAGAAAGAGATCCAGTTAGCAGGTATGCCAGTGGCATCAGACAACAAAAAAGGATCAAACATTAGCATGAATACTTGGAAATGAAAATTAACATTGCAATGCAGTCTGCAGATGCCCTAAAATCCCTGTTACATCGTATTTATTACCTATTTCATTCAAAATGTGTTATGTGTGATTTAAGGGTTGCCTCTTTGGGTCGGAATGTTCGTAAAATTCACTCCTGAATTTACAAAACATAAGAACAAACTTCTTACTTTGTTGTCTTGATGCTTTATAGACACAGAATTTTATGGTTTTTTTTCACTTTCAAAGGTAGAGCTAAAAAGATGTAGAAGGCAGTAGAAACATTTGCAGGTTGAACACTTAAATAGTTAAAAAAGATTATATCAAATGCAGCAAAACTGTCCATTTAAACTCCTAATTGCACAGGACACCTGCACAATGACAGCAATTACAGTAAGTCAAAGTCGAACCGGGAAACAGCTCTGCTAACAGGTGAGTCACAACACTCCCTGTGTTGGATGATGACTGGTATTCCCCCTTTTGTTTAAACTGCCTTTTAAGTGCGCTAAATGAGGGGTTTTAAGACAGGAGAGTGTGTGTGTGTGTGTGTTTGGGGAGAGGAAGAGAGGATATTACCTCAGGTTGGAAAAAAACACAATGTTAAGTTAGAGGGGCTTTTCTTGGTGATTTGAGATCTTGATGATCACATGGTGCAGAATTACCCTTCTAATTTGGACTAAATGATGAACCCCCCCTCCAAAAAAAATATTGTTATATTTAAGGTTTAAGAGTTTATCATGTCAGGTCAGGGTAAGATTTAAAGGGATATTCCGGCATAAAATTAATTTAGGGTCAAACACACCTCAACACCTAGTTAGACACCCCCTTGAGAGATCAATGTTGCCAACTGCAGGATAGCAATACACAGCGGTCTGAGGAACCATAAACAAACCTTAACCACAACGCCACTCTATAGCCACAAATCATTCTGATTGCTTTCCTTCCTTCATAGAAATGCAATCAGACTGAGACGCTAAGGCAGAAGAACTACTGCGTCTGCAGTGTAAAATGATTAATATGGTGATTATTACTTCAAGGAAATGATAAAGAAATTATCATAAATGTTCTTCCTTAAACTGCGTCACCCTGCAGCAGTCCGTAATGGACTGGCCTGAGGTCTCGCTACAAACAAGCGGCTGCTGGAAGAGAGTAGGTGAGTTGTGTTTAGTCTCTTTGCTAAAGAAATTAGGCAAAGTTAAAAAGATGTTTGGTGGCTAGTGCTGTGGCTGGGACCCTATATGTACTGTTGATACTCTGAGCATTATTTGTGGCTATAGAGTGGCGTCGTGGTTGAGGTTTGTTGATGGCTCCTCAGACCGCTGTGTATTGCTATCCTGTGGTCGTTACTAAAGTTGGTATAACTAGAGAAGCAAGCGGTCGGCAACATTCATCTCTCGAGGGGGTGTCTAACTCAATGTTACGGCGTGTTTGACCCTAAATTAATTTTACACCGTTTTTTTATATTGTTTTATTTTTAGGTTAAAGAGTTTATCGTGTTAGGTTAGGGTAAGATTTAAGGTTATATTAAGGTAAATTAATATTGGTCAGGAACTGTCAGAGTAAAACTCCAGGCAATAATTGACTGCTCATGAAACGTCCTCAGGATTGTCGGTGTGTGTTTACCAGTGGGCCACCCTCTCCTCCAGCTCCCTCAGCAGGTCTCTGTTGAGCTGATACAGCTGTGGCAGGTAATACAGGATCTGATTGAGGATCCGCTCGTCCACCACTGGCTTCCCGTTCTGCCGGGTCGCCTTGGCAACAGCATCCCTGAAGTCCTGAAAAGACACAAAGGACATACAGTATAGTATCATTATTCACACACATACAGACACACACTGTTGTATAGGGTGCAGTGACACATGACCAACATACTATATTACAGCTCTCCAAGAACACCTGGTTGTCACCTCATAAAGTTCACCCCTCCTCCACACTTTCCCCACCAACTCTGCACGCACTTTTAACAACACACATACACACACGCACACACAGACATGCACATCACATGCGCGGAGCTGAGTAAGCACTCTTAACTTTGTCTGATGTGTGCCAACACTCACATCCACCTGGAAGGAAGCAGGGAGGCCACGCAGGATCCCAGTGACGTGATTACCTTGTGCTTACTCTCTAACCCTCCCAAGTACAACCCATTTCTATAAGGGATGGGAAACTGTGCCGAATGTTACTAAAAGCAGAATCAGCTGGTTTAAAATCTCTGCTGTCTCATTTGATCACAGCAGAGACCCAAGAACAGAAAAAAAAAATCACAAAAACGAGTGAAAAAAGAAGCTAAACAAGTTTGAAGTGACTGTAGGAAATTCAGCTGCATCATGATGTATTCATCATCACAGCTTATATAACTTCACTTGTGCTGACAGGGGAAAAAAAGCTGCCCCCTCTCAGTCTTTCAGTGCTTAATATAAACCAACAAACCGCTGTCTTAATAGTCACTAAACACACATGAACTTTGGTCACGAATAAACTTCAAAAGGGGCCAAAAATGTAAACACATGGGCAGGATGACATGCTACAACTCTACACACACAGTCACCAGCCCACGCACCCACTTGACCCGCACCCACACAACACTCACTGCACACACACACGCACACAGGGGATTATCTGAGGTATGCGTGTGTCTGGAGGTCGTCTCTGTGGCCTGAGGAAGCAGCTGCTGCTCGGCCGGGTTCGTCCGCAGAGAGAGAAGAATGCGATCTGACCTCTTTTCTTGGACAGAGGGCCACGCCTCGCCTCGCCCTCCCCCGTCAGCCACAGGACGACGTTTTCTACTAATCCTGTGGTGGGCTCCTCTAAAGCCACGTCTGAGGCCTCCAGACAGGTGGACCCCGGGGCCTCTGCGTGGGCTGTCTGAACCCTCTCACCTGGGAGTCCACTCAGGACAGGACCTCCTGCTGAGCCTTGTAACACACTGTCCATACTTGTTTGACATCACTGTCTGTGTCCGTTTGAAACATTTTTAGAACCGAACACGTGTACAGAGCTGCAGAATTTACAAATACTGACAGTCAAAGTCACAAGACCGGCTTGATTTTGCTCCTGTCATGACAACAACCGGACGTCATCCTGTCACATGACTCCTGTTAGTTCTGGCTTCATTCAAAATAGAAGAGCGTGCTACAAGAGGAGCAACAACGTGGTTTAACATCAGGAGCAGAGCAACTGTTTGTGCTGTTGCTCTTTCTCTGTTTTTCCTTTCTCTCTGTCTTTCCCAACAAAGTCCCAGCAGCAGCAGCTGTTAAACATGAGATTTCTGTCCTTTAAAGCTCCTAAACAGATTTTAGTTGATTGTTTAACAGTCTGCATTTGATCCTGATTTCTCTGTAAGACCAAAGAAAGCAAATAAGATGTGTAGAATAAAGATCAACTATTACAGCGCTCTTTTCTTCATGTCTAAAACCATCCCAGGGTTTTTTAATGATTCTGCAATTCCTTTGACAACAGAGAAAATAATATACAACAAGAATAATAAAAAGAAGATGTAAACATTATGTATGATGAAGTTCAGTATCTTGGAAATATTAACATCGTAAAGTTTGTTAGGATAGCTATCAGAGATCTACGGAGGCCCTGAAGCCCCACAAAAAAAACTTTTAATACTACTAAAACTTTTCACACTGCGTACAAAAAATATATTTAGAAAACAACTCATTTGCACAAGTTAACTATCAAGTGCATACGAGGTATGATCTTGTGTGAAAAAAAGTTAAAGTCTCTTTAACTAGTCTTGTGCGAATGAGCTAACTTGATCTAAAAAGTTGTTGTCCAGTTGAAACAAGTTATTATCTATTGGGAATAAGTCATCTTTTGCGTATCAGTCAAATATCACTTAAGTAAACTAGTGCATAATATTAGTATTTACAACAAGATGTTTTTTCTAAAGAATATAAATAAATCTATTTTATCCTCGAAGGGAAGTTCATTTGTCTTTAGTCTCACTTGTCATGTCTCAAAAAATCATCTGCTATTTATAAAAGCTTCGTTTTGCTCTTTTAAAGCGAGCAACTTCTCAAAAACAAACCATGAAAAAATCATATTAAAGCTCCAATAGGAAACTTTTGGTTTGTGTCAGTTTTGATGCTGACAAACTGGTGCCTCATATCTTTCACTGATTTTGTCATGTGCTTGTGTACAAGGTGTGTATTCTAATAAAAAAATCCTCCCTAAAAAAAAAAAAAGATGCTGACGCCTCAAAAATGACTTAACAGAAACATTGAATCTGGTCATTTAGGGTCTTATTTACGTTCACAGCTCATACAATGCAGGACCATCACAGGAGCTTGAACAAACAAATTTTGTCGCTTTTTGACTCGCCAGACAAAATACAACGCTCACTTTAACGGAGCCAAACCAACCAAACCTGAATTACAGACAAGCTAATAATCTTTTTCCTACTCAAAACACTCATACAAACACACACACTGATCAAAGCGGCACTACTTTCTTGTGGCCGTGTGTTCACCTGCCCACTGCCGCCCACCAGAGAGACCAAAACCCTCCAGCACAGCAACATTAAGGAGCCCCTGCTTTGAAATGACTGCATTATTCAGCTCTGTATGGGCACTTAAGTGGAGACAGCCAACAAGCTCATTAATTCATGTCCATCCCTGGGAGAAAAAAAAAAAGCTTTGAACGCCTTTCAAAACAATCACAGCGTCTGCGGAAAGTTATTATGTTGGGCTCTCTTCTTCCCCTGACGGCTGAAAGAACGAAGCTTTAAATAAAACTCTTGAATAAATACGACACTTACTATGTGAAGAAGCTTGAGGACGTCCACAAACCTGTTAAAAAAGCAAAAAGAAACAATAAGAAATCATAAAATGTGAAAGATTTTAACAAAAATTCTACTTTAAAAGTGTTTTTTTGTTTGCACTTACACTTTCTCAGAGCTCATAATCTCCTGCGCAATGTGCACCACTTTCTTCCTCTTCATCTCGTCCTCCTGCTGAAAGAATACAAACACAACACAGTCAGAAACGCTAACAGCCACCGACTTTTACCAAAACAAGTCGCCGTTCACTCACAGGCTCACTGCAAACCACCATGATGACTGGGTCCTGTTTCTCTCGGTAAAACCATCAGGACTTAGTTTACAGCCGTCCAAACAACAGCTCAATCAGGCCCCGAAAGTAGAGCACCAACCTCTCCCTCCTCTGCCTCAGTGTCTCTGATGGTGTGTGCTGCTGAATGGTAATGGGGCGGTCTCTCAATGACTTAATTTGGACAGCAGCCTTGGCCCCCAGCTTGACTGAAATGTGCCCCCTGGTCCTATCGGAGCCTCTGTGTGTGTCTGCATGTGTGTGTTTTGTGTGATACCCAAGAGCTGCGAGGGGCATCAGACTCTGGCGCTGACATTATCAGCAGAGAGGGTCACGCAAGAGGGGGGAAAAAAAAAACTCTCATTCAGTCATTAAGAGAGCTATTCCTGAACCTGTAACCCTCATGTTAGCCCACTGCCCCCCTTTCACAGCACACAAACACACGCATGAACGCACGCAAACATACACACCTACTTCTGAGGCTGTGACAGGCAATCAACAAACATTCACGCAATCACATCAGGCTCCAGTTTGACACTTTAGACACCAGCACTGATATGAAGAGATTCCAGACTTAATCTGCAAACGCTCTGCCTCTTTCACTTGATGGCATCATGTCTGAAAATGGGTCATAGATACTTCTGCATGTATGTAAAGAGTAGATAAATGGCAGGCATGTACTAACACGCTCTTTTTGCTTCATTTGAAAATTATTTAAACCCTTTATTGAATTGAAAATAGTACAAAGAGCTGAAGACTGGGGTATAGCAGACATCAAAACACTAAAAAAGTTGCATAATCCCTAAAAACAAAACACCAGAGGGAATATCTCCCAACTGAGCAGGTTAATTTGAAACATTTAAGCCACACGGCTGAATATAAAAGGGGCTGTACAGGGAGGCTGAGACTCTGTGAGAGACTGTGTGAGCTAAACATGTCCTTGGCACAAAATTACATAAAGGTCAAAAACCAATATGGTACAGCCGTGATCTCTGAGGTCCCAGGCTGAACTGCATGAAAACCAAATCACTTCCAGATACCACTGTGAGTAAACACTGTGCCAGAGGAAATCTTTTATAACGGTGGTATAGGTCCACCTGAACTGATTTCTCTGGGCCTAAAGAATGGTCCAACCAATCAAAATTTGTCATTCCCTTTGGAAATCACAGGATCTGAGATTGGACTAAATGGTAAATGGACTATGTTTTTAAAGTGCCTGACCCAAGGCCTAATTTTCACAACTCACAATTTAAAGGGATATTCCGGCATAAAATTAATTTAGGGTCAAATGCACCGTTACACCGAGTTAGACAACCCCTTAAAAGATGAATGTTGGCGACCGCTTACTTCTCTAGTTATACCAACTTGAGTAACAACCGCATGACAGCAATTCACAGCGGTCTGAGGAACCATAAACAAACCTCAACCAAAACGCCACTCTATAGCCACAAATAATGCTCAGAACAGCACCTAACTTCATCAACAGTAAATACAGGGTCCTAGCCACAGCACTAGCCACCAAACATCTTTTTAACTTTGCCTAATTTTTTTTAGCAAAGAGACTAAACACAATTCACCTACTCTCTTCCAGCAGCCACTTATTTTTAGCGAGCCCTCAGGCCAGTCCATTACGGACTACAGCGGGGTGACACAGCTCAAGGAAGAACATTTATGATCATTACTTTATCATTTCCAAGTAATAATCACCATATTAATCATTTTGCTCTGCAGATACGGTAGTTCTTTTGTTCTTCTATCCTGCAGTTGTTACTACATTCATCTCTCGAGGAGGTTTCTAACTCTGTGTTGCGGTGTGTTTGACTCTAAATTAATTTTATGCCAGAATATCCCTTTAACTTGCACTTGAGCAGAGATGATTTAAACAATGAAAAGTTTCAGTTACTTTTAATGTATATCCAACGAGTTCACAACTCTATAGTAATACTGTATGATGAGTAAACTGTTAAACACTCTCAAGGGAGGAGATTACCTGTCTGTCTGCTTCATCCAGGTGCTCCTTACTGGAAGTGGAGCTGTTGTCCTCGTCATCAGAGCTGTGGATCCCCTCCTCCTCCTCAGAGTGGATGTCCTGTCTGAGCCAGTCACTGCTTCATCAAAACACAAACACAGTATATTCAACACAACAAACAAAAGCAGAGCAATAATCAGAGGGACATAAACAAAGAGCTAAATTTATCTCTGATTCGTTGGGAACATTGAAATATGTGAATGAGAAGCTGAGGAGGAGCCACAGCAGATAAACAAAGATTATTGACGGTCATGGGCAGGTTTTGTGACAGACAGAGACTTTTCTAGTTGAGCTCACTTAATCTTTGGAGACCATGTACAGCGGAAAACACTGACTGCACTGTGACAACAACTCTAATGATAGGAATCATTTCAACACATTTAATTTAGAGGTTTAAAGAAATCGGCAACAGGGGATGAGTCATCGACAGATTGAGTGCTCAAACAAATGAGAGGAAAAAGATAACTGATTAAAAGAAACCTAAAAATGAAAACAATCTCATTTTTTTTGTGTGTCTGATACCTAATACCCAATTAATTAACTAATTTATAAGAAAGTAAGAAGCAACTTTGTCCATATTTGACAGTTTAAGTTTATGCTGAACTCAACAGTATGGAGGCCCTAAAGGTCCACTGCACATGCATAAAAGAAACATAAAATTATTTCATAAAATATTTTATGGAACACTCAAGATTTTTGTCAACACAGGAAAGTTTCCACAAAATGCAACAATATTTCATGAAACCTTAGAAATTTTAAGAAACATAAAAAAATTTGATTCAATTAAATGTTTTTGAATTTTGCGATTTTTTAAGGGTTAAGTCATTTTTTTCATTTTTTTTTCAATCTTTATGTATTTTATGTTCATGTTCTGTTAAACAGTTATGCACTTAAGATTTTTTGTATTTTTGTGTGATTTTTTTTCAAATAATTTGCATTTCATAAAATATTTCTATTGTGTGACTTTTTTGCATTTCATGAAATATTTTTGTGTTTCATGAAAAAAATCCAGTGTTTTGTTAGATACTCTTGCATCTAAACAATTATTTTTGTGTACATATTGTGTTTTTCATTTTTCATTTTGTGAAATGTTTTTGCATTTCATTAAATTCAGTTTATCTTCTGGTGTACTGTACATCTATTGTAAAACTGTTAGTTTCACATCGTATTTACCTGCTGTTCTTCCTCTCGATGCTGGAGTATTTTTTTTAACAGGTTATGCATTCATTAAATGTTGTAGAAGTGGCAAAGAGTTGTGTTGCATTTACTTACTGCTGATTATTTAGCGCTTCTGAGCGATGTGATCACTTACAGTTACTAATAGTAAAGTTTGAGAAGTTTAATGCTTTCACTTTCTCTTATTCCTATCAATGTTTGTACAAAAACAGCTCTATTTTTTCCAAACTTATTTTCTCTAAATGTTGCCAACAAGGTTAAAACTCATATTCCTCTCATTTCTTCTACTGGAAGCAACACAACACTCTTGACTCAGCTCTGCCCATAAAAAGTGTTGTCTGCCAGGTCAGTACAAGCAGCAACTTGTGTTTGTGTGTCGTTTCTGTTTTGATCTCGCTCTCCGTAGACACAGGCTGTCTGATTTCAAAGACTGATGAACGCAGTTGTAAGATGAGGAGGAATTAATGTGTTTTGGTTTTGCCTCCTCAGCTGTTTCCCTGCCCTCCTACATAACCCTCTGTGTAGGAGCTTGTAGATGTTGGCACAAAGGGTGATGTGTAGAATAAATATTAAATAGGAAAGACTGTGGGACTCCAAAAATTCTCACATTTCCTCTCACTCATCTGTAATAACCCACCCTCTCGCTCTCTCTGCACTTCCTTGTTTTTCTTACGTGCCTCCTGACAGTTTCTTTGACCTAAATCTCAATTCACACTCACTCTCCCTCACTTCTTTCTCTATAGTCGAGCATTCCAACACACTGGGTCAGGCACAGAGCGCCACTTGTTTACAGCCTGGGGTGACTTACATAAACTTAACAGGCTGAGATGCCTGGGAAACACTACAGATTCACTCACTCCCTCCTTCTCCGCTCACACTGTGGTAACCACTCTGCATACCAGACTGAATTAAGAAGCTCAGCACATCTTAATTGTTTTTCTAACACTCAGTTTCACACTTCATAGTCAGCTGACTTGGCACTGACTTTATCACTAACGGTGCTCAGTGATGGTTTGACAGACAAAACAAGAACCATGCCGTCTATCAACCAAACAAGTCCTCGAGACAACAGTCAGTCTGGGCCTACTATCAGAAACACAGTGACGCAATGAGACCTAAATGGCATGAATGTGACTGAGCGACAGTAATGTTTGCTGGCCTGGTGCCTTGTTTAATTAACTGGTGCTGATTTCGCTAATGAGTTCATTTATTACAACCAGTCCTCGTTCACTCTGACCTTGCAAACAGCCAAATTAACTCCAGTTTCAGCTTCTTCAAGCTGCGCTGACTAATATGTTTTATTACTAAAGCTCCTGTGAGGAACTTTCGGTCTGTGTCAACTTTGGCGCCCCCTTTGGACAAAGAAGTCTTTGCTTGTCTTGTCCTCTACATCTGTGGCTCTCAAGTGCAGTCCCACTGTCCTGGATGTTTTGGATGTTTCCCTGCTCCACCACACCTGATTCAAATGATCAGCTCGTTATTAAGCCATTACAGAGCTTGATAACGAGCTGATCATTTGAATCAGGTGTGTTGGAGCAGGGAAACATCCAAACATGCAGGACAGGGGGCCTCGAGGACTGGACTTGAGAACCACTGCTTTACATACTTGAGTTGCGTCAAAAAAACTAATCCTCTGATTTTGACTGTCAAATTTGTAAATATTTGATTTAATAAAATATTTAAAGAAACAGCTGTTTTCTTAGCTGCTTGACTGACACCTACCCCCTTCGCACCAGTTTCAGGTGTTAAAAAATACAGTCTAAAATTCGTCAGTCTTGTTGCTGATGATCTTGTTTGCTTATATATATATTATGAAAAGGCATCCATATGAATTTAAGCCTAAATTATGGACATCAAAAAACTCCTCACAGGACCTTTAATATTAATGGAATTATGTCAGGTAATGTTAAAAGGGTGGCTCTCCTCTGCAGCCTTTGTTTTCATTTCACATCTGTAGCTTTAACGTGAGGTTTGCTCTTTCCATTGTTGTTTTCTGTTTCCTACCAGTTCCTACCTGAACTGAAGGGATGATAGAAAAAGTAAGAGAAAATACTAGACAACAGAGAGGGCTACGTACCTTAAATCGACCTTTAAACAAGTTAAATGGGGGTGGTGGAGACCAAAAACAAAGCTTTTAGTAGATTGAATTGACAACTATATTTAAATACTAGTTTGTTTTTGTTGGGTGTAAATAAGGTGTTTTTTTTTTTTAAACCACTACACTGATGGAGGGGAAACAAAACACTGCTGTTAATACAATCATTCACCAGGGTCTGTAGAGCTGTCCAAACATTTCCCTGTATGCTCAATTTGTTGTTTTAATGCTCATGCCATACTATATTCTGTGAGTCAAAGGGCAAATAAATACTTTGTTTTCATCACTATTTCCATGTTTATTTCCATACATAGAGCCAGCACAAGCAGAAAAGTCCCTGTGACTCAGTGAGGGGAGAATTCCCTCTAAACATTATACTGATCAACTTGTAGGAGGTACTGATGCAAATAGGTGCAATGCATGTGCAGTGTAGTTCACTTGCACATATCAGGCTCTTGCTGACAGTTAGATATTTCCCTGCCAGTACGGGAGTCACCCTTTTACTGTCTTTCAGGGACAGAGGTTAAACTTGCCTTTTCCTCACAATTTCAAACTATGTCCATGTTAAGTCCTACATCCAACAGTTTAACTTCACGTGTGTGTGCAAGATATGAAAACGTTTCATGCCACTGCTTTAAGCCAAGAAACAACTGGATCCACTGCACCATGACACAGCAGGTTTGAAACATGTTCATAGCTGGAGGAGATTTTGCAATGATAAAGTTCTTTGATTCCCACAATAAACCATGGCAAAATCTTTCAGAATAGGTCGCTTCAGCCCCCCCTGCATCCCTGATAAAAGGATAAAGGGGTATTGATAATGGCTGGATGAATAGGTGGCTGTTACTTAGCTTCTTTTTTTCCCCTGCCACAGCCCTCTGGTAGTTTACCAGGTTGAAAACATAACTCACAGACACGCAGAGAGAAGAAAAGTGGAGTGATGAGGTTAAGAAGAGGCTAAGCACAGTGCGAGGGCGGCTAGCCTGAGGAGGAGGAGGCCGGTGGTTGCTGGAGGTTTATTTTCCCTGTTCTAGAGAGCTGTGTGGCGTTTCTGCGATTCTCAGACATTTCCTGCCCTGGCCACTGAAAATAACCCACAGGAAAACAGGCCGACCTGCAGCACATCAATGCTCTATTCAAATCCAGTGCCACTGGCTCACAGGCCGACTTTCACACACTTGTAAATATAAACCACTAATATCACCTGTGCAACCTGTCGCTCTTAGAGGTTCCCACACTGAAGCTGCAGCTCACCTGAAATTACAGGGCAGCAGCAGCAGCAGCAGGGTTAACTCTTCGACAGCAGGGCTGCAGCTTCAGCCTACGTCTGCTTTCACGCTCTTTTTTTTCCATAAACAAAAGAAGCCATGGTTCAGAGTACTGACATGTCTTTTTTCTTGAACCTAACTTGGAAGTTTTCTTGATAACAGATGTTGAACACTCACGTTTTCAGACTTTAGGAGACACCTTGACCTTTCTTCTTACCACATGGCAAACTAAAATAAATAGCTTGAAATAATGCCAAGATGGGCTCTGAGTGGAAATGCAGTGCAAGGAAGGATGAGATTCTTGCTTAGTTGAGGGGTTAAGACAACTTAATTGGTGCTGATGAACTGAAATTAACAGATGTTTGCTTCAGTTTGCATTGCTTCAAGATAAGAATCCATGTGACATAACTACAGGATATGAGAAAAACACAAAACTGTGAGTAATTTCCCTATTACCCCTGTTACACAAACACTACATGAATCACAATTAGCTGGAATCTGAATGCCTAGATGACTCATTTTATTGACCAATAAAAACTTTTGAAATCCTGATCCTGTGGTCTTGGGAAACTTTGATTGTACAGTTAGAGAAAAAAACGTGTGGATCAGAGCATCTGCATCACTAAAATACTCGTTCATGACATAATTCTACTTTTATAAAGGCATTGAAGCTTTTGTGATTTGGATGTTGCATTCAGCCATACTGTAGGATTAACTATAGTACAAGTTAATAAGTTTATTGTGCAGGTCTGCAACTGGATCACCTTATAAACACAATAACAGTCATTTCATTTCAACCATGTGTTTGATTGAAAATAGCGCAAAGACAATATAACAAATGTTGAAACTCAATATTTGTAATGTACATGCTTATTTTTTTATTGGGCGCCAACAAATCAAATAAAAAAAGTTGGGACAAAAACTCTGAAAAAGTTGTGCAGTGCTAAAAAAAACCCTTTAGGAACATCTCCCAACTAATTATGTTAATCTAAAACAGGTCAGTAACATGACTGGGTATAAAAAGGGCATTCCAGAGAGGCTGATTCAGAGGTAAAGATAGGATGAGGTTCACCACTCTGTGAGAGACCGCGTTAGCAAGTGGTCCAATAGTTTAATGTCATTTAAAGAGATGATTGAACCTCATTTGACAAGAATGAGTTCCAAAAGGAAAACTGGATGCCCATGATCCTGCAGCACTGCATTAATTACAAATGACTCTGGAGTGGGAATCACTGCACAGGCTCAAAATCACTTTAGAAATCCACTGTCAGTGACTACAGTTTGTTACTGTATCCATAGATGCTGGTCAAAACTGAATCATGCAACACTAAGAATTTGTCCCATTGGGTTCTTAACAGTCCCAGTGTGTTGTTACAAGAAGAGAGAATGAAAATCTGTGTTAAATCTGCCCCTGCCACAACTTTTTTAACATGTTGCCACGATCAAATTCAAAGTGACCATATATTTTTCATGAAACAATAGAAATTTTCAGTTTCAACATTTGGTGTGTTGTCCTTGTGCTATCTTTTGGAATTGGGGTTCAACATCCTTTTGCTTCTCTACTTTCCATAGTAAAGCTTGTCATCTTTCTACAGTGGTACTTCTATAAACGCCACCTAGTAATACTTAAAAAAAAAAACACTTGTTAATTAAAAGTTATAGCAATGATAGTAAAAAGTTTCCAAAACTCTACAAATGCAAAAGACCGTACCTTTCATACTCATGGTCCTGGTATCTGTGATAGGGATCCTGCACCTCATAGATGTCTGAATCATCGGAGTCATGAGGCCAGCCCAGCCTCCCGCTATGAAATGGCAGGTTCATGTACTCAGGGATCTCCTCATACAGAGGAACGTTCTCATACTCCACCAAATCGTCTCCCCCTTCTCCACAAATATCAGCCTCCCCTATGCAGCTCTTCGGTCGCTCCATGCTCCTCTCCCCCCGGTTTGACTCCACGCTGGTACAGTCCAAAGACTGGCCTCCTTTGGCCAGCAGCTTTGGCAGCATCTTGACTGACAGCCGGAGCTCCAGTAGCTTCCGGAAAGAAAGGCTCCTCTTGTGAGAGTCGGCCCGGGTTGCCAGATCTGCTGCGGAAAAGGATTGCGCCCTCTGCTTGCCCCCCAGCGCAGGGGCTCGGCCCTTTGGTGGCACACTGCTCCTGGTGGGCATCTGTCTGCTGAAGAAAGTGACGCAGGGTCGGGTGAAACGCCATGATGTCTTCTCCTGAGGGGGTGCAGGCAGCTCCCTCATGGGGGTGTTGGCATGAGGAGGAGCCGGGGGGCATATAGATGGAGGAGGGGGAGCTGGCAGGCTGTGTCTCTGAGGTTTCCTGGGAGGTGCTCTGGGTGACGGATGGTCCTCAGCGGAGAAAGCTTTCCTAGAGTTAGCCAGCAGAGGGTGACAGCCAAGTTTGATCTGCTTGGGGAGGCTGTGCGTGATTGGGTAGCGCTCAAAGTCACCATATCCGTCCTCCTCTTCCTCCTCCACTCGCTGCTCCTCACCCTCTTTTTTCTGGCTCACTGAGTCAGGATGTGAGAGCAAATCTAAGGAGAGGGAGGTGTTTTTGTGGAGAGAGGATGAGGGCAGGTGCATTGTCCTGTGGAGGCGAGGAGAGAGCGACGTCTGTCGTGGAGGGGGCACAGGAGCGTCGGGCTCATCATCTCCCACCCCTGAGTGTGTTTGTTGTAAAAGGTCCTCACAGGAGTCCCGTTTTAGCTCCACTGAACTGAGAGACAGACGAGCTAGACTCCCCTCAGCCTCCTGAATCTCAACTCCATGTTTCAGCTCCTCTGCTGTTTGATCCCTGGCACTGCCCTCGATGCCATCCTGCCTCACCAGGGTTGGCTTTTTAAACTTGCGTGGCTGGGGGACCGGGAGAGGCTTACTGGGGGCAGCAGGGACCTGCAGATCAGGGTCAAACCTTGTCGTGCTGAGTGGCTCTCTGTGATCTGCCTGAAAGGATTCCTCGGACTCGTGAAGGGTGATAGTTGAGGGGAAAATGATGCTGCCTGCAACATCACAGACCGACTTAGAGTCTGCTAAGTCTGCCTCTGTTTGTGCACCTGCTTTTGACACATCAGGCTTAGCAGCAGCACTGTCCGGATGTTTTATAGTCTCTGAGGCGCTCTCTCTCTGCTCCTCACTCTTCTGCGCCTCTTTATTCACTGAAACTCTGTCCAGGTATCTCTGTCTTTGAGGTTTATCTCTTGGCTTTTTGCTCCTTCCTCCACCCTCACCCTTCTCTTCCGTAGCCGCCACCTCCTCCTTCTTTTCTGCTTGTGTCCTTGTCTCTGCACAGCCCTCCGTAGAAATCCCATTCTGCAACACCTCTTTGTGCAAATCTCTCCCAATCTCAGTTGTGGTCCCATTTTCTAGACCCCTGCACAGCAAACCATCCTCATGGTCGCAGGAGCAAGTAGGAATGATATAATCCGAGTCACGTTTGTTGTCTTCTGTAAAAATCCCATTTTTTGAATTGAGAAGCGATAAACTGTCTCCCAAAGTTTCTTGCTGTTCCTGAGATAGGATAATGGCTCCGCCGGGTTTGGGTGGTGGGGGTGAAACAGGGGGTGTAGTTTTGGGAATGCATGGTTTAGGGGCAACAGCAGGTTTCGTCCTTTTTAGGGTAGCAGGGGATGATTGGGAGATGACCAGGGACTGGGACTGGCAGAGGAGACCCGGTTTGGGGGCGATGGGTGGGGGAGAGGGTTTGGTGGTAACAGGGAGTTTAGGTTTGGGAGCTAATGGAGGCTTCTTCACACCTGTGGACAAGAAAAAGGGAGGAGAGAGATTACAAAGTCATTTACTCACATTTTCTCTGTCGAATGAATCAGACTCTTGCAGAAAGCATGCTTCATCAACACCTCCTCCAACATTAACAGCTGCAAGCTTCGGTTAAAGATCAGGGTCAAGAGGTTAATCTCAGGGTCAGAGGGGAGGAGCTGAGGGCTGAAGTGATGGTTGAATCAAATGAAGTATTTATGCATTTGGCAAACAATCAAACTTAAATCAAATCAGCTCCAAAATCTAGTGCTTAAACTTGCAGGTAAAATGGATTGTGAGTTTGACAGATCTGCTTATGCAACATTAAATTGCAAGCATTGCACTCGGACTGGGCAATTCATCATATTTCAATTACATCCCCTGTTGCCTATAGCCATATTCTGGTTGTCCACACTACATCATCAGCAGGGGCTTGGATTGATGCACAAAAAAAAGTTTGCAAGTTGTGGTTGTTGCAAAATGTGCCAAGTGGGGGGTGGCTGTTTCTTCAAAACAAACAACTATGCAGCCACAGGTGGAGGAACGTGAGCTGTGTAGCATTATCAATAGAGGAGCAAGAAAAGCAGGTGTGTTAGTAAAGCAGAGGGACAGAGAGAGCCATTAGAAAAAGGCTGTAACAATAACAATTGGTAAAGAACTGACACATATTTCCAAATCACAGAGAAATCATATTGAATAATAATGATTCTGTAATTATGCTATTTGGCATAATCAGGCAGCCCTACACCTTAGAATCATCCAGGATGAGCTGGAAAGTGTTGTTTAGCAGTGAGTAAGAATCAGAAAATGAATGGATTGATGGATAGTACTGGCACTGGCACACTAATATAGGCACTTGTGTCTGGAAAAATACAGGGTAACTGAATAACTTCCCTCAGAATAACAACTTTATATTTTCGATGAATAGATATAGACAAGTACAATTACAAACAGTAACTAAAATAATTAATTTTAATCTGGGTTTTCAAGGTTTGAGTTTTCAATTTTTTGGTTTGTAAGTCCTTGTCTGATCATTAAGATGTAACTTAACATTCAGAAGCTTTTTGAAAGTAGAATTTACGGTGTAGTTGTTGTAATAGCTCTTATTACACTGCCCAGGTGTTCATACTGTAATGGCTGTAACTGTGTATACAAATAAAGTCACTCCACTCACAAAAAGTTGTGAATTAAGATTATAGGCCACATTTTCCGCTCTACTGGCTGAAATTCTTGGCTGGCCGACACCACGAGAAGTGGAGTCATCGAGCGGATGTTTCCGAAAAGACCAACGACCAAGAAAGCGCTCTGTCCCTAACACGCTGCTCGGCACAAGCAGCGTTCCGCACCGAACCCCATTTATAAGTCTTTCGTTATAAACTCACTGAGCCTTACAATAAAAACTTTACATTGTTATAAAGAAAATCACAACGCATTCTAAGAATTGGGGGCCGCCTTTCAATTCGGCGATGAATTTTTGGTTGAATTTGTGTAAGAAGTGATTCAATCAGATGTCTAACAAAATGCACTACGGTATGGCGGTGATAAGCAGGAAAAGTCCAACTTTAAACTTTACTCATGAGCAACTTAGTGGTATAATTGTAAGCCGAATCTTTGTTCTGGATAGCATGCCATCACAGTTAATTGACTTAGTCTGTTTAGATACAAACTTGAGTAAGAGCTTGACCACATTAGCTAAGTGCCAAATTTTGAAGCGGAATTTGGCCTAATGTTTTCGCTGTAACATGGAACGCCAGGTATCTGTAGTTAAACCGCTTTTGTTGTTGAAAGAACAATCACAAAACTCTATGGCATGTTTCCATCTTTGTGAAAAGAACTAACCATTGACATTTGGTCAACTTTGAATGGTTTTATCCGATATGTTTGCCTGTTATCGACTCCAACTTCTTGTAACAACAGCAGGACAGATGTTTTAAGACAAAGGATTTAACCCCCTCCAGTTGCAGCAGTAACTGGGATTTCATTCGGATTGGGCATTTTTGACTTTGAGTTGTGAAGGATGGTGTAGAAAGCAGTCAAAGTGAACCCTGTCATCTTTTGTGTCATTTTGAAAGCTGTTATTAAGAAAAACTGTAATTAACTGTGGCTGAGTGGAAATAGAGTGGATGCTGCTGTCCGTTACTACATATAGACCTCATATTCCTCAATCTGAGACATCAAACTCAGAAAACGTCAATGTTACAGTTTAGTTACACACAAAAAGTTGGAGGAGTTTGTTGAATTAAGATCGCTCCCACACGAAACAAACCTGTGCTCATGACTCCCGACTGGCTCCTTTCTCCATGGGTAAATTTACTTTCAATGGAATTGCGAGAAAATCCGCGATTTTTCCTCCTTCGACACCATTGTCAGTCCAAAGACCTCTTCAGAGAGAAAACATGCAGAAGCAACGCGACTGTTCCTTATTTCTCGGGCGGATGCATTGATAAACTCTTAACGCCTGATACTTTTTCCATTTTTCCCAAAGTTTTCAGCCACGGTGCTTTTCTCAATAATATCAAGCACAAGATAAGAACGCGTGTCACTTCCGGTTTGAGCTTAAATAAAACCACTGCTAGTTCACTCAGGGCTTACTTCTTCAGCCATTAAATCGCACTGAATGCTACTTTTAATCTTATTTAGCTATATCAATGCTTTTAATTTGATGAAAACATAACTGTAAATGTGTTTCTCCCTAAAATTTCTATCATTCTCGCAAATGTTATGCTTTAATTTTGAAGGATATTTCCGGTTCTGTCTTGATAATTTTGCTAACTTTACGATTCTTTTCCTTCCTTTGCTTTACCAACGGTTGGGTCACAGCCTCTCGTGACCACTTGGAGCGCTCTCGAGCACAACCCCTCGACCGTTACTCGCGAGAAAGTAACAGTCGAACCTTGGCATTGTGGGAATTGTAGTTCAGAATTAAGTTTAGCAACCGGCTAACTCCTAACTTCTCAACGGCTGTTCTCGACTGCTGGCGCCTACAACTTCAGAATGCAAAACGGGCTGTGTATAGATGGCGGAGAGCAATGACTGAGGAGTTTGATGAAGATGTGGTATTTGAGGTTTGTATCCCCGCCGCTGCTTGTTCGCGAAACTTGTAATTGATGCTTTGTCATACCTAGCCCTGAGGTGGCTGTGGACGTTGGGTTCTTTAACGGCAGCTAGCTTTACCCAGATAGCATAGCTTTGTAGGTGTGCTAGCCTTCGTCCATTGGCAGCCGTATGCCCTGTTGCCATGCATTGACAGACCAAAACAAATCCACATAATTGGCTGGCTGCGTATTAGTTGTCTGCCAAGGAGCTTTGGTGGTCATGGGAGAGGCTGAGCTGGGTGCTGAGGTGCCATTGTTGCTGGTGTTTCATCAGACTGGTTGTTAAAGGTGGGGTGGGGATGACCAGATCCAATGCGTCGGTTCTGGAAGAAAAAAAAAACCTTCACACACACACATACACACAAAAACACACGTACACACGCAGCTACATCTGGGTGGTGACAACATGAGCTGCGACTTCGTATGACAATGCATGTGAGTAACCTTTCAATGCTTTACTGTTACTATCTGCTGATTTGAATGATGTTGAGAACAGTGTTGCATGATGTATGATGTTACTGTAAATGTGATGCTCCTGTGCAGCTGACCACAGGCACCAAAACAGCACAAATGCTTAGAGCAGTCAGTGTTCACGATGCAACAGACAATCAGCAGCTGGGAGAGAACTGGGTCATGCAATGGAAAATTTCTACCATGGGATATTTTTCTTCCTTTTCTGCTTGTTTCATGGCAGATTTCATTGTGGGCTTTCTTTGTTCAAGGCATGAAAGCACATAGGCTGTGTTTAAGAAGATAAGGATTGTGCTTAGGAGGGAAGGATATCAAGGAAATCTCGGGTACAGGTAGAGGCTCAAATGACAGCCTTGACGTGTGCATGAGTGTATGATGATTTACAGATTCACATATGAAGACACTTGAGCTTTACAGCATTCCTCCTAGATCAGAAAGTAAGCTGCGTGCTGGAGAGAGAGGTGCCGATAAATCCTGAGGGAAAAGTACACCAACTTGACTAATGCATTACCCCTGCTTATTGGTCACGTTTTCCCACTGTGAAAAAAATCTGTGTGTGTGAGCTCAATCCACATCAGACTGAGCATTTTCTCTCTTCCATCCACTTCTTCTCCACTCATCTGGCATTATTTTATCTGTCAGTCCTCTTATTCATCATTCTTCAACTATGGCTCAATGTTTCTCTTTTTCTTTGCAGAACTCCCCTCTTTTCCAGTACCTGCATGATTTAGGGCACACTGACTTTGAGGCATGTCCAACGGCTACACAGGATGAGGATTATGGTGGACAAGAGGGAGACACCACCTCTCCTGATGAAGCACCTGAGAAAACTAAAGTGAGTTCTACCAACTACCTTTTATGCAAATTTTGCTTCACACCTGTCCTGCTCTGGAACTACACCAACTGATTGATAAGTTGACCAGGCTAATACATGACTTATTTAATCTCTTATGTGTCAACTGTATTGTTTACATGGTGCACTCTTCATTGTCCGTCCAATCCTTAAATGAATTCAATAACCTTGCTAACAGGTGCATCGCAAAACATTAGAATATCATCAAAAAAGCTCTTTAATTTCATGATTCAAGTCAAAAAATAAACTTTCATACACTCCTTATTCATTTTGTTTGAAATCAAATGAGTTTGGATAATAGCTTGTGAAAATCAATCACCCAGATTATTAGAACATTTCATAAGATCAATCATGAAAACAATTAACACACACAGAAATGTTCTTCTTTACTCAGTATTTGATTGGGGCTTCTTTGCCATAAGTTATCAGTGTGGCATGACATGGAGGCAACCAGCTGGCTGACTTTAGACTTAATATAACATAGTAGACCAACACCAGCAAATGACATAGCACCCCAACTCACAACAGACTAGAGAAAATTCATGCTGGACCTTAAACACATTAGATTTGTGCCACTTGACTCCTTCTCCAGATTCTAGGACTTTGGACCACTAAGAAACTTTTCTTTTTCTTCTTCGATAAGCTCAGAGAAGACACTTCTGAAGTTGATCCTGGTTCAGGTGTGTGTATGCGTTTTTGTTGTGTTTACTGAACCAGAGCAAGAGCTACCCAGTATTTGTACTCTTTTTTTTTTTTTTTTTACATTTTTGAGCTGCTGGCCTTAGTTATCAAAAATGAGAATTTAAAAAACACTGGAAACATTGAACTCTACATTTAATGAGTCCATAGCATATTAAGTTTTTACTCTCTTAAAGCTCCTGTGAGAAACATTCTGTTTGTTTTAATTTTGGTGCCCCCTTGTGGATAAATCAGTCTGCTGGTTTTGTCTAGTTTCCTTTTATTTTGGTGTGTTGACAAAAAAAACTCATAATGCATGCTTTAACTGTCAGATGCATCATTAATTCTAATCACTTAGCCTTGGGAAAATACTGTGTTTTTTTTCAACTCTCAGATTTTCTAGACCACAGGATTAATCAGAAGATCAATCACAAATCAAAAATGAAACTAAACAGTTTAAGATTGAGTAAAAAATCTCGTTGGATGTTGATCGTATAGAACTGAAATCATCCAGACTTTTTAATAAAACAGAAACCATTACGGTAACAGAGGCTTGGCTCAGACTATCCCCATAACTGGACAAACAGTCTGAGTCTCTGCCTTGGGGCTGTGTGTGTCACTGTTTGACCTGTGCAGTCAGACAGAAAGTAATAAATTTGACTGTTGACTCCATCACTGGCACATTATACCACAGACTGTTATGCTCGCTGGTTTGTATGCTCCAGTCAGCAAGACATGAAAAGAGGGGCTTCCTTCACACACATGCAGGTATTTTGTATTTGATATCAATAATTCAGTTTTCTGCAGACTCCTGTTTTTCACCAGAAAACCTCCAGCTGTTGTGCATCTCTCTCCTGCTGTTGTTCTGATCTTCCCAAAGACGGCTCAAATCTGATTACTGTCGTCACACTTTCTGACGTTATTCCTGCCTCTCAAAGCATCCTCTTAAAGTCTGTGTGCTCATATTGATGTCATTTGTTGGTCTTTTTTACTTTAAGTGGATTTGTCTGCTCTTAAGCTTTTCAATCTCAGCAGCTTGTGAGCTCTGAATACCTCTTTTGTTCATTAAACTGTTAATGAGTGTATTAAGAGTCGACCTGGGGTTCATGATGTGTCCTGGGATGCTCTGAATCACATGGCACAGTTTTAGTCAGGAAACGGTGTTTGTGTTTGCTGTGTTCAGGAACTTTCCGTACGTGTCACGCTTCCTCTCCAATCCACTGTTGTTTTAAGGAGTTTTGGAGGATGAGGAATCAGGATAAGACAGGAAAGCTTTTGGTTCTTCCCTCGGTTACCGGTTTCCTGGAGCTCAGATAAAGTCGGAGCCAGGACCAAACATCTTGTTCACAAAGACAGATGAGTTTGTTTGACCAATAAACAGCCAAAATGTCGTGTCAGAACTTTAGAAAAACATTTATGCTCTTGACCTGATTTAATCCTAGATACTTGGGAGTCATTGAAGTCATTTGTTAGTTGAAATGGCTGATGTGTAAAGCCCCTGTATGCGATATATTTTTTTGTAGAACGGTAGGGGAAAGTCCCGCCTCCTTCGCCTCTGATTGGCTAGAAAAGCTGGAAACATCATCACATGCTTAAGCCAAACGTGGACTATTGGCTCTGTACATCGAACAGAACACTACAGAACATTATCGCACTTCTGAATCTCCTAACCCTCATCCTAATCCTAACCCTAACCCTAATCCGACAGACGATGACGTTTCACAGCCATTAGGAATAACCAATCGGAGCCCAGCACTTCTAGCCAATCAGAGGCGAAGGAGGGCAAGAGACCTTCCCCTACCATCGTACAAAAAAATTTCGCCCCCTGTTTGGAAATTTTGGTTGATATCAGTGTTGTTTTCGTTGACGATGACGTTGATAAAAATATTTCCTCAACAAAAACAAAACTGCAGAATATATGTTTAGTGTTTGACTGACGAAATGCTCATGAATTTTGCAACTCTCTTCGTCGTCCACCACTAATGTTTCATCTAGTCTCGTCAACGTAAACGCACATTCGACTCGTCACATATAAGTCATCTAAGACTAATGTTTAGCTCGTCAACGTAACGTCTTGGTTGTGGAAAAAAGGGGCGTTGACGAAATATTTTTGTCAATAAAAAAAACAACACTGGTTGATATCAACTTTTGCGCCCCCTGTGGACAAAGCAGTGCTCTTTTTTTTCTTTGCTGTTGTTTGTCCTGTTCATGTGAATTTAGTTTCCTGAAGAAAAATCTCATTCCTCATTTGAAATGCTTAATATGCAACTCACTGACCTAGACCTAGAACTCAGACCTACCCTGCAGAAAATGATCAAATATGAGTCTTGTCTCTTTCCATCTCTTTTGCTGTTGTGAGAAGCTTAAGTATACATTTATGAGGGTTTTAAAACCAGCTCATTAGAACTTTAACTAACACAAAGAAGCAGAAATAGTCTTAACTCAGTGAAAGCAGGAGCACAAAAGCAGGTTAAAGTCCTCAGACTGGTTTTCACAAATGATACTCAGTAAATTACAACATTCCCTCCCTCTGTGTGACCACTGGAGCTGCTTTTTATTTCTCAGATACAGGTTTCAACTGACACCTACCCCCTACTGACACCTTACAGTAACTCTGTAGTAACAGTCAGCTTGTTTTGTTCACTATTAAAGCTCATATTGAGCTTGATCTGTTTCAGTCTGTTTGGTTACTATCTATGAGGTCTTCACAGCAGTTTTATTATCATGTCCAACTGTTTAAGTGTCTGTTCCCTCGTATATTCTCTCATATAGCATTGGAAATGGTGTCTGAAAGCTGCAGTGATTGCTGTCAGTGTGACACCAGGAGAATACTGATGAGTAAGAGCTGATAGTGCCTAAAAGTCAGAGCTACAGAGTACTCACACATTGGAGTTCATTTGTAGATGCTTACATCATCCCTGTTCTAGCATAGGGTGAGAGTAGCCTCTTTGCTGTTACAGAGGACTGAGCAGAGTTGTTGCCGACTTGTGTCCGCTGTTTCACGAATGCCCAGTCCTAAAGCTCAGCCTCCAAAGAGTGATCAATACTACTGCGGCCTTTAGACTAATAACGCTTGTGTTTTGCTCTCCCCTGAGTAAAGGGTCGGTGTGCAGGCCGCTCGCTCGGTGGGAATCAATCACTGCATGTGTCTGCTGCAAACTGACGCCCGTCACGGGTGTTATTATTGAGCTGATTTCTACAGGATTGTTCCTTTTCAAATGGTATTGAATCCTCCATATACAAACTCTTTCAATATGGGTCCAGTTTTACCACAAGACGCTTTAAGCTCATTTGCACACAGTAGATCCTATTCATGATTAGGCAATACTTACAGCTTGGTAATTTGCTTTTGGCTCTTGCAAAGAAATCTTGCCGCATTTCAAAACAACCTGAGATTGTTTTGTATCAAACTTCCCATGCACTTTGAATTCTGAGGCACCGTGCCACTCTGGTTGTGTTTGAATGTCTCAAACTGTTTATAGCGAGGAGTCTACAGGCCCAGGAATGCAGACTCAAAGTAGGCAAGACACAAAACAAAAGTGTTTCTCTGTGTAGTGCTTCCAGTAAGGGATGAACAAACTTGTTTCTTTTTCTAGATCTAAAGGAATCCGTCCCCTTCAACCTTGAAACATGTATTTTAAGCGTTTTATTGTCACCAGAAATGTAAACATTCAGTTTAAATACCACAACAGGAATCCAACAAAAGTGTTTTTTTATTTGTGCAACTGCAGAGCTACATTAGACCTGAGAATGGGTGCTTTTACAAACACACATTTCTCTTATTGTTGTTTCCCACAAGAGTCTATCTCCTGGGAGACTCCTTTGTACAAGGAGTGTGGTTGTTTGTTGGTGCGCAGAGTTTTATTTTATGGGTAAGTGATTTCTGGGAAATAGATCCAAACAAGGAGAAGCAGCAGAAATGCCTGACAGACTTTCAGGTGAATTATTAGGAATATTCAGTCCTTCAGAGCGCCAATAAAACTTGAATTGAGGAGATTTTTTCAAAGATTAAATACTAACCTTTCCATTTTATGTGATTGGCAGGGAGGACGCTGGTGGAGACTGGCTAAAGCCTTGTGGAGATGGAGTCCAGTTCACCATGCGGCTGCATCTCATAAGCTGGGGCAGCAGCTGGTAGGTAGAATCAGAAACAGAAAGGAATGCTGGCGCTGAAACCAGCACCTTTCAGCACTTTTATCACATGTTTCTCCTTTTTCATAGGACTGCGTGTTTGGACAGTACTCGGTGAAGTGTATTCTGGACCAGGATGTGCTGCTGCAGGAGGATGTGGAGCTGATTGAGCTGTTGGACCCCAGTCTGCTCACCCTCGGCTCTTCCCCCTCTACCTCGTCCAGCCGGGCAAACACCCTACCTAGACCGAGCCTTATAGCCAAGCCTTCACTATGGTATATTGTTAGAAACTCAGACATACAATGGTTAGGTAAAATAGAGGCCCACCAAAGAATATAATACAATGGAGTGAGTGCACATGCATTCAAACTTGTCTCCCTGAATATAACCGAGGCATTTTTAGGGTTTCAGCCCAATTTAAGATCACTGCCTCAAACTGCAAAAACCTCCTCCAAAGCCACAGAGGACATGATAGGTCCATTTTCACTGACAATATGTAAAATTAAACTGTAGAAGGTTGCTCTAACCTAAATTCCCTCCTCTCATCCTCCCACAGGGACATGGCGGGGCTGGTCGGCCTGGCTGCAGTTCTCCTCGGTCTCTGCTCTGTCTCCGAGGGCTTGTGGTCTCTGGCAGCAGCCCCGTGGGGTCTGGCACTGCTGGGCTGGGTGGGGCTGCGGGGGTTCACGCTGTGGAGAGTGGGCCGCATGCAGAGAGCCGTCCACGCGCGGGCCACGCAGCTCCAGGCTCTGGTCCACAACAGCAAGACCCTGACGGGACTGTCTCGTAAAGCCCTGCGCCTAGTCCAGGAGACAGAGGTCATCTCCAGAGGTTTCACCCTGTAAGTGTGCTAGTTTTATGTCGGCCTGCAAACACCTCACCCAATCACATGATGCTGATGCGCATTTCCTGTTATGTCTCTGATGTTCACTGTCTGAGTCAAACCTGCTTGGATAATTCACTCCTTTTTCAGTAGCTCTAGTTAACTTAGCTCCTCAGGTAGTGTGTCTAGTGGTGTTTAATTATTCATGAAAGCACTTATTTTAGATCACCATTTGTGTCTGTCTGTGTGTAGTTGTAGAGCTGTCCTCAGTCAAACACTGATTATCCAGGATTGCACTTCAGTCTTAACTAAAAACAGCATTACACTTTAATCACATCTTTAAAAAAAACACCTTTGGATAATTGCTAACTCTCTTTTTGCTGAGAGCCAGATGTTAATATGAATTCTAATATATAGTGGCCCTAAAGGTCAAAAGCACAAACATTTTATAATTACAAAAAAAAAAAAAACACGAGTGCAAAAATATTTAATGAAACAATAACACATTCCAAATAAATGCAAAAATATTGTACAAAATGCAAAAATATTTAGCAAAGTGCAAAAAACAGTCAACAACAAAAAAACCCCATTTCAGAGAATGCAAAAATATTTCATTTAACTCAAAAAATTATTCAGAAATCTCATAAAATGCAAACTCATGTCACACGATTAGAAAACAACACTTTACAAAAAAATGTTTTTTCTAGAAAATAATTTGTGAGGCAAAATATATTCTTCAAAGATTTTTAATGAATTTTTTTACACTATATAATTTTTTTTTAATTTAAATGCAAATATGACATAAAACTGAAAAAGATTAAAAGCCTTTATTTATTAAAAAAATGCAGTCAAATGTTTTTTGCTCCATGAAATAACATGTTTGGGGGTTATTTTTGTGTGTCTCTCTCTAAAGTGTTTTTGCATTTGACCTTCATGGCCACCATACCTATCATATGTCTGTACTGCAAACAAGTTGATACAGACAGCTGAGTGAGCTTAGCATGTCAGTAAGCTCTTAAGACAGCACTTTATTTTTAAACACTTGAAAATAATCCTATTTTGATACGTACATTTTTTTAAACTGAAGAATTGCTGCCTATGTAGATTTTGCCATCTTTGGACAGAATCAGGCTAGCTGTTCCTTTGGTTTTCGGTCTTAATGCTAAGCTAACCAGCTGATGTAGCTAAAAATTTATCACACAATGATGCTAATAATATCAATCTTGTCTTTTAACGATCTGGGAAAAAAGTGAATTAGCATATTTACCAAAGTGTCAAACTGTTCTTTTAGTAGCACGTCATATTGTCTTGTATGTCACAGCTGGTCTTTGTACAGTTTTTATGTCTAATTGTCTCAGTCCGTCAGTTTTGTCTGTTTTGTTGCCTTTAGTGATGTGGTGTTCAGTGTTGTATGTGCCCCCCTGCCTCTTTGGGACGTCTCCACAGTTGTATCACATTTCACTTGTCAAGTTTGCTCGACAGGGTGAGTGCGGCCGGCTCCTTTAGCAGGGCGGGGCCAGGGGCGATGCCACGGGGCCAGCAGCTTATTGGACTGAGGAAAGCACTTTACCGAGCGCTCCGCTCAGCCTTCAGAGCCTCACGTAGGGCTACCTGTCACATGCTCAAGGCATATCCTTTACCTGGAGACAAAGAGTCAAAGATGTGTATTTATATCTGGAGTGTGGAGGGAAAATATCTCGAGGCAAAAGTCGTCAAGTTCTCATCTTAAAGTTTAACAGCTGCTTTAAGGCAAGAACAGACTATCAGTTCTTTGATGGCCATGTTGGAAATCCCAGAACCTTTTGTTGTGTCCTTAACCCCGCCCAACGTTCCCTCTGAACTCTGAGATCGACAATGTGACCAACTACGTGTCTGCAGTGCCTCTGAAGGAACTTGGGCTTGGCCTGGGGATTGAGCACCTGGGGGACGAGCAAGCTCAGGAGCTGACAGACGACTACAGTCTGCCTGCCCTGAAGGTGAGACCGGAGAGTAAACAAATAGAGACTGTTGAGGGGCTGGAATGTAGGTAGAGTACCAAGAGTAGAAAAGTTGTATAAATACAAGCCAAATATAATCCTCAACCTGATTTCTTGTCAGTTTTTCTACATATGATGATCTACATATGAATTAATGAAGTATAAACCAGTATACACTCTAAGAACTGGTACATGGCGAGACAGCTTCCATGTTTAAGTCTCAAAATCTACCTTAAGTAACTGTAATGCCCACTAGTTAAAACATTGAACTCACACATAGGAGTAAGTGAAATGAATTCTATCAAATACGGTCAGTTTCTAGCTGCAGTAAGCTAGCCGGTTAGTCCTTTGCAAATAAAAACTCGCCTATGCACGTTTACTCCTCCATCCTAGCAATCTTGAGAATGTGGGAGCCAAGCAGCCTCTACACTACTCTGCACCCCACCCACCGGTACACCATAGATTTTACAAGGCCGTTTGAATCAGCTCCTGTGGTGATGTAATGACAGGAGTGACTTGCAAAACCACTCCTGCTCCTTAAATGATTCAACTTCCTCCTGCACTGTTATTCATTGGAATGGCCTACCACATATACGTGCGCACAAAAAGCAAAAATGTGGAAATACCCCTCAAATTTTACCATACCATTCAAAAACATGCTCTTCTCACTGAGGCTCTGGTACTTCAGCAGTAACCTCCATCTTGTCTGAATCATGTATATTGTGTATTGGTGTGAGTTCTTCTGGAGAGCTTGCCATGTTTATTCTGGTGTTTTTCCACCTCTGCATTTGTCCCTACTGGTCAGCACTCCCCCACTTCTGACAACATTAAGCCACTACGCCTCATTATCAGAGCATCCCACTCAAATCACTGCCTGATTAATAAGGTTAGAAACTGAGGGGCTGCAGATCTTAAATCAACTAGGGCATGTTTTTAAATGCTGAAGCACTATCAGACGGGTAAATGCAGAGTTGGGACTGGAAATGGAGAAAACAAGCTCACAAGGCTGTTCCCACAAACTCTACCTCAGTTATTTTAAGCTTTTTCTTCACACTGATTAAACTAACATGATGTAAGGTGTTAATTTTTTATCTCGAGACGTGCCAGTAAATAGGTTCTCTACCTCTGGATGAACTCTGCACAGAGTTCTCAAGAGAATACAGCTAACCATCTACTCTTGGTGGCCTAACTTACAGACTTATGAGCAATGCACTTGATCTACTTCTCCATCATCTATGTGCAAGTTTCCAGGCTGCAAACACAGTATTTTCACAGAGCCTGCTTAAAAGTGGCATTGGACTTTGGATTAAGGCAAGAGTAGGATATTAATGAACTCATTTAGTCTGTAAGAGCTTATATAACAGCAAAAACTGGAAGCTATAAGGGAATTTTGCATATATTTCGTGATGACAGGCTTGTATCAACTGTAGAAATGTTCAGATCTTGTTTTTTTGTCTTCCTGCAGATGCTGTTTCAGCTCTGGGTGGGACAGAGCTCTGAATGTTTCCGTCGAATGGCTCTCCTCCTCTCCCCCCAAAGAATAGAGGAATTAGAAGAAGGCGGCACCAAAGGAGACACCTCCCTTCCACCTCCCTCTCCCTCTCCTCCTCCGCCTCCTCCCCCTCCTCTGCATCGGACCATAGCGGCAGTGACCGAGCCCCTTCATCACGCCCTGGCCAGCTGCCTCTGCGAGGTGCAGCGCAGCTACGACTTCCACCGGCACTTCGAAACGCAGCTGAGGGCGACAGGCACAGACAGGACAGGCAGAGCGCGGGAGAAATGCAGAGAGCTCAACACTCTGCACACCTCCATCCGAAGCCTGCAGCTGCACCTCAAAGCCCTGCTCAGCGAGTGAGACACACACACACACAAATATAACCCTTACTGCCCTCAATCAACACTACCTAGAGGATGAGATGAGAGTTTAACGGCCAGTATTGGGAAATTAGGTCAATCCAACAGCAAAGCAGTGACAGCACATGCTAACAAAAGATACAATCAACTCGTTTTATCAACTTTCCTTTTCTCCTTGTCTTATGTGATTCAGGATGATCATTCTAGAGGACGACCTGGAAAAACTGATGGTGTCCAAGGTGCAGCCAGAGCTGACATTCGAGGGCTACCAGGAGCTCAGCGACCGGCTGCACCAGCTGCAGCCTCACATGCAAGCCAGCACCGGCTGCTGGGAGGACACCATCACCCAGGTGGAGCGTATGCTGAGACGTGCCAATGCCTGTCCAGGTGTGGGAAGTTGGATGAAAATGCACAAAAATGAAGCAACTCCATACCTTTAAAAACCCCTGAAAGTTATTTTCATTCTAACAATTTCAAACATTTAAATGCAGTCACTTTCACAGGAATCACTGCAGGTCACTTACTAATTATAAAAACAACAAATAGCATAAAATTTTGCTATAAAATCTGAACGCTGTTGTTTTTATCTCCATGTAAGAGCTGCTATAGAAGCTCAGACTCTCTCCGAGTAAGCTTATGTTTGCCCCACATTTTTCTATCATGCGTTTCTCAATATGCCATAAAATATAAGCATGTCAGAGGAGTGACGCCCCCTTGTAGTATGCTGCTCTCCACGTATTTACAGCGCCTATTTTTGGAGCAGACTTCCTCCTTCCTGTACAGTGACTCAAGATTAATGCCGGTCACGGAGGAAGTAGCTCCTTCAGAATGCAGGACAAGAAACAGAGCACTAGAGCTCCAGTAACAAGATGTTGAGGTCATTTGTTTTTGTTGTTTCAGTAATGTCGGTACAATTTTATCTGCAGGTAATGATGAGGCTCTGGAGCAGTGTGGTCCCTCTTTTGCAGAGATTCCTGCTCCTCCTCCGTCCTATCCATTAATCCTAGATCAGGATCCTGTCCCAGAGGAGCTGGTAAGATAAAAATATCCCCCATTCACCTAACATCTCTCATTGTTTGCCTCTATTTACACAAAATCCCCCTCACTTGTAAGGACTCAGCACTCGTATTCCTTCTCAAGCTTGTCTGAGAAAACCTGATTCAAGATTTGTGTCCTCCTAATCATTTCCTTTCTCTGAAACAGGAGTGGGAGGCCTACGTGTCTGACTCCGACTCTGACTGTGAAGGTAGAGATTCCTGGTCGGACATGTTGTCACCAGAGGAGCGGGAACGGCAGCGGCGGGAGAGGGAGGAGTCTCGGCGCGTCCTGTCAGAGCTGAAAGCTGTGCTGGGCTTCCGCGCATCAGAGGGAGAGAGGATGAAGAGGAAGCAGCTGCTCTTCAACGACCAAGGTCTGAACTCACCCATCTCATCCGTCTGATGTGATAACAGGGCTTGTGCTGTTGACATTTATAGAACGAGGTCATTTCAAATTCGTTTATTTTAGATTCTTTTCAGTGTGCTCTCAATCGATACGCACAAACACACATTATTGCAAAAGCACCATCATCAGCAGTAAGTATGAATCAATATGAGGGAGAAACGACGTCTCTGCAACATCTGTGTTTTCAGTGTGTGATAGGAATCCCTTTGTGACTATTTCTTTCAGCCAACAAATCATACTGAAAAACAAACAGGTGGAATTGTTTATTTTTACATTCGTTCGAGGGTAAGTGCTCTCCTATTTACAGAAGGTAGTAGAGTATAAAACAGAAATAACCAGGTGTCTTTCAAATGTGAGAATGCATGCTTCTAAAATGTAATCTACTGGATAAAATTGATTCTGTCTCTATATTTTGAAAAATTTCTTCTACAATTATCCAAAAATGACATCTTCAAATGTCTCACCAGCTGTCTGAAACCCAAACATATTAAGGTACTCTCTTTTTTCACTTTTGCCTCGTACTTAAAATCTCAAATCAGAACATATTTGATACTTTTTTCATACAACACGAATACCCAAAAAGCCGGGACGCAGTGTGAAATGTTGGTTCGAATAGATCTTGATGATTTGCAGATTATCTGAACACTATATGTAATTGAAAATAGAGCAAAGACAACATATCAAATTTGAAACTGGGGAAATTCATTGTTTTATGAAAAGTAAATCCTTACTCTGAATTGGATATCAGCATCACTTTTCGTAAAATTGTGGCAGAGTGACGATAAAATACTGAAAATGTTGTGGCGGAACATTTTCCTACTAATGACATTACCCCTCTCCCTTACTCATTCTCTCTCTCCTTCCCTCTATCTTGTTCTCTTTCTCCCCCCCTGCCCTCTCTCCACTTCTCTCTCTCTCCCCTTATCTCTCTGTATTCCCCCTAACCCAGCAGCGGCCTGGTGGCTGTCTGGCATGTGTCTGGTCCTGCTCAAGGTTTCTGCCTGTTAAAAGGAAGTTTTTCCTTGCCACTGTCACTCATATTAGATGAGATGGGCCAAATCCCATCTTAGGTTAGGTCTTGATAATTCATCAAACAATGAGTGTGGTCTAGACCTGCTCTTTCTCTTGGAAAGTGTCTTGGGATGACGACTGTTGTGAATTGGCGCTATATAAATAAAATTTGATTGATTGATTGATTGGTTGATTGACTTTGCAGCAGGTCAGTAACCTGACTGTAGGTGAAAAGAGCATCCCAGAAAGGCTGAGTCTGTCAAGACTGAAGATAAGTGTTTGACTTCTTTTTTAAGGGACTCTGTGAGCAAATATTACAGCACAATTTCAGAACAATGTTTCTCAGAGTTAGTTTGCAAAGAATTGAAGGATTTCATCGTCTGCAGTGAATGTTATCGTTGAAAAACTCTTTGTACAAATGGGACAAAGTGGATTTATGAACATTTGACATTGTGTACTTTTTTAATTGGAGTTGTAGTAAATAACTTAGTAGAGGAATTCTTACTAATTAAATAGTTAATAATCTGACATTTGAATATAAAATATGATGACTCAATTGAAAAACAATCTGTAGATCACCACTCACTGAAGATAATGAGCTGCAGCATTAATCCTGTCTGTTTCTTTGTAGTCATGAAAATTTAAAGGCCTCCCATTGTGGCTGAGTTAATCATTCTGGATTTGTAATTAAACTTCAGAACTAACCACGGTGAATCACTTGACATGTTTCCTCTGTTTCTTCCAGCTGCTGTGACGCCTTCAGCTCACAATGAAGCTTCAGGCTCTGCCGCAAACCCATCAGAGGCAGTGGCTTCTCTGAGCTCAGTAGAAACCTGCGATGAAGACGGAAACCACCTTTCAGAGCGTCCTGCAGGAAACGGAGGGGAGGAAGGGGAAGGAAAGGACGGCAGGGTGAGTCCTGACCCTCCAGCAGAGCCGCTGACAGAGTTCAGCTGCGGTTCGGGGGCGAAGGATGGGGATCTGGGAGGAGCTTCTGTCTGTACAAGAGGGGGAGGAGGAGCGTCAGAGCTGCATCAGTACGACGGCGTCCTGGAGGAAGGGGAGGCACAGAACGGTTTGGACTGTTTCATGAAGCCCAAAGTCACTGCTGTGTCTGTGATGGACAGACTGACGGAGATGCACGGCTCAGCGGCTCTCAGCTTCAGCTCCGCCATCGCCGCACAGGTGGCAGCTCGCTCACAGTCACTCATCAGCATGGAGGAGCAGACATTCGGAGACGAGGAGGAAGAGGAGGAGGAGGACAGACGAATCCCTGAGAAAGACTGAAATGAAACCTTGCTGCTGTAACAAAGCACTGAGCAGACACTGTATTTATGTCTGACTGTCCTGGCGTCTCTATCGATGGGTCTCGTGTTTCATCATAAATCTTCCTCCGATTTCTCTCTGTCGCCCATCCGTCCACGTCGCTGTTCATCACCCACAATTCTTACTGCTCTTTTGCTGTTAAAACTCAGGTACCAGAACCACTAAAGCGAATTCTGACCCACCAGTGTTTTGGGGTCAGAAAACTCAGAATGTTTGCAGTTTACCCGGCGACATCCACATAGTGTTCATCCTTCACAATCGCGCATCAGGTGTGGAAACAAAGATTGTAAAATTTAAAAACAGTAGCTCGCTTCATTCATTAAAAATGGAGAAGTAAAAATGGTCGAAACGGCAGTTTTATCATTTATCACTGTGATCAAAACCTCCATCCTTTTATTTTTTTACTGTCAGGAAGTAGGACCAGGACTGGAGAAATACAGTTATTATGGATGTGTTCAGACAGAACGCCAGAATACATTCAGTCAGACGGTTAATCTTGAGAAACAAACCAGAGTCTTTACGAAACTTAGAGGAATTTAATCAAATGCTGAGCTCGTCAAGCACTCCTTCAGTCATGGCCGTTGCATCCTTTGCTAGCTAGATAGCAAACAGCTGGATGCATTTATATCCAGTGGCAATACCTTCTGTACAATGCAGAGGCTTTTTCATGTCCATCTGTAATACATCTCCATTGAAACATGCAAGGAATAGAGACTCATCCCACTGAGCATTTTGTTGGTCTAAGAGGTCTAATAGACGTCTAAATGTAGTCTAGACGACTGGTCTAAAATCAGGCTACCACAGGTCTAAAAATGAAAGTTTTCAGACATCTAAATTTAGACTAGCCGGCTAACAGAGGTCTACCAGTATATTGCTCAACGGCTATCACAATTATTTTGGTTAAGTACTTGGAGATCACTTGTGCAACTTACAGTTGCTTTTTGAAATAAATACTTATGGAATAGCGGGTTAAAGTGCAACATCTAAATTCCGTCTACAGATATACAGAATCTAGACAGTTAAAATTAGGTCTAAAAAATAACTACACGTCTAATAGCCGTCTATTGCTCAGTGGGATGACTTTGTAGCATGGCAGCAGTGGAGAAGGCTTCTGGAGTGCTGAGTTCCAAAGTGTCTTAGGGGTGTCTTTAGAGAGAATGGGTAAAGCATTTCATGCCAAAATAAGCTTAAATATACTTGGTACTTGGTTCCGTTTTGATCACATTCAGCCAAAAGTTATCCCTGCAGTCTGTCTGAACACATCTGAAGCATAAGGTCGAGCTCAGCTGACATGAATCCTCACAGACAGACGGGTATGTAAACACTCAAAGTTCAAGAGGAGGAAGTGAAACTATTTTTACTACGAGGCTTTTATTTTTGTCTGATCCGTGTCTCTGCTGTGTGACTGGACACAATGAAGGAGTGTCTGTGAAGTGGACACATGAAGTGGCGTTCATTCATTTGCAACAATACTGTATTAAGACTGGAACAATGCTGTTAGGAAGAGGACAGGAGGACTCATCGATGACTTGACACTTAACTAAATGAGCTGTGTGGCATGAATTCACTGAATTGTGCATCCATGGGGTGAAAAACTAAATAAATACTTGTACGGGTGAAGTCAAAAGAAGAAATATTCTCTCATGTGAGGGCAATCTTAAAGTTTATGTTACATATGGAGTTGCCATAAGAGTCCTGATGTTTGCCTTCACCCCGTCCTCCTCCACCCTCCCAGTCTTTCTTGCCACCATGTCTGCCTTGTCCTGACCCTCCTGCACCCTCTCTCTGGGATGAGGTCTCCTCCCCCTCCTGCATTTTCCAAACGTGAAATAAAATACCATTCTGAAGTGTTCGTTGTATCCTCCAGTGTTTTCTGGCGCTCATGTTTCAGACGCTCTCACGGTGTCAGGGGCTGGAAACAGGTTCAGTGAGTTACTTGATATGTTTTAAGGGGTTTTGCATTTGTCTTAACCACAGCAGCTGGTGCTCCCCTTTAAACCTGTCCCTGCCTCCTTGAGCTTTAAACACAGGTCAAGAGCAGTGGACTTAAGACTTAACATACTAGTCCCCTCATCTGTAGAGTTCAAACATTTATAAAGGAGAGCAGCATGTTTGAGTTAATCAGCTGAGAGGAAAAAAAACCTGTACAGACACTGTTTCCAATAAAATGTTGATCAAGTGACAGACGTGTTTCTAAATATAAAACCTTAACAGCTTTATTAGGAAGATTGATTTATTGGGTTTTAATCTGTATTTGCTCTGCCACCCTGTGGTCACTTCTATGGCTGCAATTATGCACAATTTATTTTATTTATTTATACCTCAAACTACACCAAAAGCATTTATTTTTTTTACATAGAAATAGTAACTTCTGTATATTTTTCCCCCCATATATGCTGGTAATCTTTTTTATTTATTTTCCTTATGTTACAACTCAAATCAGGTCAAATCTGCTCTTTTTTCTTATATACAGAATATAGTGAAATTGTTATCAAGGTTTCTTTAAGTTTATTTTCGTCCCTCCATATGTTATTTTCTCTGTAGGCTCACTGCACAGTCCTCGCTCTCCTCTTCAGCCGATTCAGCATGTTTGACATCGTGCTGCCTTCACGTGCTCCCATAAATTCTACCAAGTGGTATTAGAAGTCTAGTCATGATTATTGCCAAATGTTTTCACAGGAATCAGCAGTATATAATACGTAGCACGTATATATATATATATATATATACATACATATAACACAATAAGAGCCGAATTTGAGCCCTAGATGCTTAACATGTTATGAGAAAGTTCAAAAATGGATTTCAAAAAACAAAAACTGAAACCTAACACCAAAATGTAAAAAATTAAATAAAGATATAGGTATTACATTTGCATTATTTGGCACAGTGACCCAAAAAGTTACCGCATACATGTCATAAGATACAAAAAATGTTCACCACAACACTTAACACATTAAACGCACATAAATATTTTCTGCAAGTATAAAAACCAAAAATAATAACTGAAAAGCAGAAACATTTTCGGAAATGCTGAAATATTTCATGAAATGAGATAGTGTTTCAGTAAATGCAAAATAAAATGAAATACTACTACTACTACTACTACTACTACTAGTGCTACTAATACTACTAATACTAATACTACTACTACTACCAATAATAATAATAATAATAATAATACCACTACTAATACTGCTACTACTACCACTACTACTAATGATAATAATGATAATAAAATAAAAAAAAAGGTTAATTTGCGTTTTTTGCAAACCATATCGGATATTATGAAACATTTTTTTGCTTCTTGAATTTTTGTTTGCTTTTCACAATTTTTTTGTTGTTGTGTATATATATATATATATATATATATATATATTTGTTTTGTTTTGTTTTTTTGTTTCTGTTACATTAAATGTTGGGTTAATGAAATATTTTTTGGCGTAATAATTGTGCCACTGATCTTCCGGGCAATGAGTGCATAAACACGCTCATAGCCAATAAAGGCCGAGTAATTGAGTGTGGGACACGGTTTGAGAAGCTCCGAGCGTCCCTGAAGGCAACATCACACACAGCACTCCCACAGTCCCTCGCGCTTCCTTTTCCAGCAGCGCCTGTGATCATGGCGGACGTGGTTGCGGAGCAGGTTGCGGACCAGAAACCAGTCCCGGACCGGGAGCAGAACGGGGAGGCAGAGGACAGAGAAGAGGCAGACCCCGTGGAGGAGACAGCGAAGAAGAAGAAGAAAAAGAAGAAGAAGAACAAGTCTGCAACAGCAGGTGAGGCTGACGGGGCCAGTTTAGAGCTAACATGCTAGCAGAGCTACTGAGAGTTATAGGAGCTGCATCAAGTTAGCCGCATTGACTTTAGACAGACTCGGTATGAAGGGGAAGTTACTTTCAAAATAAAAGTCCACAAGCCCACTGGTGGAGAGGTCTCTTCACTGCAATACAGAAAAAGTAGCAGGGATTATAAAGATGTCATTCTGTTAAATGGGATTTGAAGGGGGAGCTCAAAATAAGAGATATTTTTAATGCAATTCTGAATTAAAACAGACTAAAGCTATGGGGGTTATCAAGGACAATTTCACAAATATTGAACGACCATGTAATATAAATTACATTAAATGCCAAAAACCCATATACAAGAATCATTTGTTAAATTAAATTTGAACAAAAAAATTGTAAGATGTCACTGTCCTTCAATTTCTTTTGCCCATATACTTAAACATTACGCATAACACGATGATTTTACCACTTAACACATCATAAAACGAAAATATAATCCCTGAAATCTGCGAAATAAAAAATAAAAATTCTGCGATGTTTTTTGTGCTTCATGTTTTTTTGCATGTTGCATTTAGCGGAATGTTAATAGAAGTTTGTAAAATATTTTCACTACTTCACTGAAATATATATATTTTGGTAAGATTGGTAAAATTTACAAAAGCTGCAGTTAATCCTGTACTTCAATTTGGTTGTCAAAAAAGAAATTATCCACCAACTAAACGATATTTGCAGTTTGAACAGAAGTATGGCGCTTCTTTCTTATGCGGCCTTTATTTTGAAAGTCGTACCGGAAGCATGTTACTTTATCGGGTGTGTCTTAACACTGATCCTCATTAGCCATGCGGGTTATGAGCAGTGTGGACGGAGTAGCTGTCAGGCCTTATGAAACACGCCGGGCTTTGGTCAGATCCACATCTAGGAGCGGTGTCATGAACCGCAACTGCTGTAATCTGAAATTTACACTTTAGTCCGAACAAAAACACAACAACACGGTGAGCTAGCTGCTCCTCTGACTGACTGTTTTTCTTGCTGACTGAGTTGACCCTCAGCCAAGTTTTCCTGTTTCGTAATTCTCCCCTCTACTGGAGATATTATATAAGAAATGAAGAACACCAGACGAGGATTTCTCTCTGAATTACCATGACAGTAATATTACAAAGCCATGGGCGCTTTTATCAGTGAAAGCCCTCAGTAGAATCCATTTTACTGAGGGACAAACTAGCTGCAAATATATACAAGCAATAGCAGGTCCTCCTTAGACTTACTGATATCCCTGCAACATAAACAAGGCAGGAAAAGTGGTTAAATTTAATATCTATTTGCCTGTTTGAGGGAAGTGTTGTTGAATTGTACTAATTTTACCTTTCATTATGTCAGTCTGAGACACCCACAGGACAGATTTGCATGATTTACTGCTAAAAATAACTATCTAGAAAACACATCTCCTATCTGAGTGGGGTCTGGAACTTCAGTATGGACGTCCAACACCTGTATGAGGGTCACTCACCTGTTTTTCGCTCTTACGAGACCGCTTTATTTGTTTGTTTTCCGCCGTCACCCTCTGCTGCTTCTGCTGACTCAGCAGACCTCGACAGCTGCCGCTACCTGTTGGTGTTTTACTGTTTGTCGAGTTTCTATTCTCGTTGTAAATGGTGTTCTTCTTGTCGCTTGCAGTTACTGAGGCGGAGGCTGATGGGGTGCCTGAAGTGACCAAACAGCTGGAGAAGCAGGCGATAGAAGACAAAGAGAAAGAGGAGGATGGAGAGGAAGGTGGTTGTCTTTTTAACATTATCATTGCGTTCAGATTTCGTTGATGTTGAATATTACAGGCAGAGTGTGTGTGACAGCGGTGTCTTTTACTCACTCAGATGGAGACGATGGAGAAAACTCGGCAGGGAAAAAGAAGAAGAAGAAAAAGAAGAAGAAAGGACGTGAGTTGTGCACATTTAAATCTTAGAGGATGGCTTCACATCAGACTGCAATGCTGTGATTATCGACACTGTAAAAAGCAGCATTCGTCCTCAGCTGAAGGTTGACTGTGTCGTCTCAGTTGTCCTGATCCAACCCTTCGTAGTAAGACATCTGTTCCTCAGTCTGATCTCCTTTCTCTCTCTCTCTTCCTCTTCTCCAGCCAAATCTCAGACTGATCCCCCATCTGTGCCCATCTGTGAGTTACACCCAAGTGGAGTGTTCCCTATCGGACAGGAGTGTGAATACCCCACAGTTCAGGATGGGTAAGAGAAGCGCACACACACACAAACCTTCTCTTGTATTTTTGCAGCTCGTTCACATGACAGCTCATTAATCCTTTTAGGAATAAAACCGCTTCTGCCTCCCTGGAGGCTGAAGTACTTTCTTTTATTCAGTGTTTTATTGTTTTCTTTTATTTGTAGCTTGTACCATTTATGGACTCCATCGTTTCGGCTGTTGGCCCTTTTTTATCCCACAGTTTTTCTTTTTTATTCTGTGTGAAGCATTTGGTGATTTCTGCCTCGCAGCTTTTTTACAACCCCAGTTCTAAAAGGGTAGTGATGCTGTTTGAGATGTTGAAACAGGATTTGATTCACCGATATGTGCAGGTGAAGCTCAAAAACCAAGAGTATCCATAATACAAGTCAACAAGTGAGACTTTGTATTTGATAAATTTAGAATTTATCAGACTTTTTGATTTAAATTATAGGAAAAATTGACTTTTTTGGACTTGTATTTTTACTTGTAAGCTACCAGGGATGCTGGCTTGGAAACTGCGCTGATAACAAGCTGGGTGCTGCCTTTCTCCTGAAGAGTGGAGAGCATGGTGTCCATGATTTCCAAAAAGAATGTCAAAGTTTGATTTTTCAGACCACAAGAAAGTTTTGGTTTGGTTTGTAGATGCTCTCCAGGTGTTGTATATGATAAAAATCCCCAAATTCTTAGCATTTATATGGAATATAATCCTGAAACCTTTGAACTATTTGTTTGCACAGTCTCTCACAGAAGAATGAGGTTCATTAAGACGCTTTATAGCATTTCACAACTTTTTCCAGTGTTTTTTTTTATTGTTTTTGGAGTGTGTTGCTGCGTTTAAAATGAGTATACATTTCTCACAAAGTTGAATTTAGCTGAATTTCACATGCTCTTAGTTCATTTTTTCAAGTTTAAATGTGTCTATATAGGCATGAAAACCACTCACAGGTCTAAGAGTAAATAAAACACATCATGAAACCTATCAAACTTTACAGATGGACACAGTTTTCGTATTTAACAGCAGTAAAGTTTGTGACTTTTGCTGTTTGTGTAGATGAACTCATTGACCCTGATCAGCTGATTGTAGCCTGCAGATCAGTCAGGACTGTAATGTTTTTAGTGAGTTGTAAAACCAGTTCCTGCTCTCAGTTTAAACATATTTAACTGTCATCAATGACAGTCAACATGCTAAGCTGGTCATACTACACCAAATTCTTAACCTGCAGCCCAGAAAGTTAACAATGTTACTGTTTTGTTCTTTCAGTCGCAGCGCAGTGTGGCGCACCACCATCGAGGAGAGACGGGTGATGGATAAAGCCAATGAGGAGGTGTGGAACGACTTTAGACAGGCAGCAGAGGCCCACAGACAGGTCCGCCAGCACGTCCGCGGCTTCTTGAAACCCGGCATGACCATGATTGAAATCTGGTGAGGCTGCCTTCGTCACCGCCAGATATCACAGTGATGCTCCTTCAAGCTGTTCTAGTGCAGAATGTTCCTGTGAAAAAGGCACTGATTTCCTCTCTGGAAAGTATTTTAGTTTCTCTCTAATCTTGTTTATTATCGTTTATTCCTTGTCCCTCTACACAGCGAGCGGCTGGAGGACTGCTCCCGTAAACTGATAAAGGAGGACAAGCTGAACGCCGGTCTGGCCTTCCCCACCGGCTGCTCCCTCAACCATTGTGCTGCCCACTACACTCCCAACGCCGGAGACACCACCGTCCTGCAGTATGACGATGTCTGCAAGATCGACTTCGGCACGCACATCAACGGTACAGCAGGAATAAAAATCTCCAACTCCCCATGAAAGAGTGTTGAATTTTGTCTTTTGAAGAAAAGATGTGCCTCTCTGATTGTCAGCTGCTGGTGGTCTGACCTGAGTCAAACCGTATCAGCGCCCAAACTGAGCCGCTTAAACCCATCAGCTGAAAGATGCTCTGCTCTGTGTTTGTTTTCAGGGCGAATCATTGACTGTGCCTTCACTGTCACATTTAATCCAAAGTACGACAAGCTGCTGGAGGCTGTGAAAGACGCCACCAATACCGGAATCAAAGTACGGCACACACACGCACTCAGACAGTTTACCTCTTGGGTGTTTTATCCTTGTGGTTTCTGAAGTCAATAATCCCATTTGTTTGTTGCAGAATGCAGGTATTGATGTGCGTCTGTGTGATGTTGGAGAAGCAATTCAAGAGGTGATGGAGTCCTACGAGGTCGAACTTGATGGCAAAACGTACCAGAGTAATTCATCATAATTTCTGACACGATCATTTACATATTAATTTCATATTGTCAGAAAAATTTCATGAACTTTTTGCATGTCTGAAGGTGTTGATGACAGTTTATCAGATGATTTATGATTTGAGGTAGCATAAAGTTGAGATGCGGACAACCAGCCTTGTTGCGCCTCTTCTTTGAGACTGATTTCTTCTGTTCCAGTGAAGCCAATCCGAAACCTGAACGGTCACTCGATCGGTCAGTACAGAATACATGCAGGCAAGACCGTGCCTATCGTTAAAGGAGGAGAAGCAACAAAGATGGAGGTGAGTTAATCACGTCCACCATCATTCTGGATGAATCTTACTCCTCCCTCACAGTGTAGAAATGTGAATGTTTGACAACTTAATGCTCAGATTTTTGCACTTTTTCTTTTGTCTAAAGGAAGGAGAAGTTTATGCCATTGAGACGTTCGGCAGCACAGGTAAAGGTGTGGTCCATGATGATATGGAGTGCTCTCACTACATGAAAAACTTTGATGTCGGCCACGTCCCAATCAGGTCAGTTTGTGACTGTAATCTCTGCTCATAAACCCTGATAGTGTTGTTGAAAGTGTGCTAAAAATGCTCACCAAAAGTTATAAAACAAGGAGACTTTTGGTCTAACATATCAGATATTATATCAATCTTACTCCCCAGACTTCCCAGAGCAAAACATCTCCTCAACGTCATCAACGAGAACTTTGGCACGTTGGCATTCTGCCGCCGCTGGCTGGACCGTCTGGGTGAGAGCAAGTACCTGATGGCCTTGAAGAACCTGTGCGACCTGGGCATTGTGGACCCATACCCTCCCCTCTGCGACACCAAGGGCTGCTACACGGCTCAGTTCGAGCACACCATCCTGCTCAGGCCCACCTGCAAGGAGGTGGTGAGCCGTGGAGACGACTACTGACACCCCAACCCCACCAAAAGCACCACAACACCCCTTCACCTCCACTCAGATCCTGTCAGCAACTCTTCCTCCAGAGAAACAGCAGAAAAGAGCTTGTAAAACAGGACGTTGCCTTCTCAGAGAAACTCTGAGGGATGCCAAATGCTACTGTATTCTATCCACAATGCACCACTCACAGCTTGCACGGAAGAAGAACTGGCTTTTTGAGTTTTTTTTTCATCATCCACTGCTAAAGAAATTTAAAAAATGCCTCAACATTTTTCTGAGGGAGGAGGAATTGTAGTTTTCCTCCACTGTCCTGCGGACCTCATTTTACAACACATCAAAAAGTTAACTGTCAGACAGTTCAACATTTATTTAAGCTGCCTCTGAATCTAATGCATCCCCAGTATTCATGAGATGGTGAGCGTGGAAACTCCTCTTTACCTCCCCTTTTCATTTTCAAAGTTTCTATGGCTCCACTCTGAGCCTCCAGTGCTTTAGTGCTCGAGTTAAATTAAGCACAATTGCTACTGATGTGTTTAAGAAGTGGTTATGCCGATGCATGGCCAGAAATCTCTGCAAAAGACGATTCCTAAAATTTAAAGCTTGGGGTGTCGTAGTGATAAAAGATGTCTACATACAGGCACCGTGCATCTGCAGCTGTATGTTTGGCTTCTGTTACTACAGGAGGGAACTCTGCACTTTGGCCCTGTAATCATCGTTTCTTTGATGTTTGTAAAATATCTTTGAAATGGTTGCTGCCTCAGTATGTTCCCAATTGAAATGCTTCATTTTGAACTCCCTGAAAATGTTTTTGTAAGAAAAAAAAATAAAGATTAAAATGATTTTGCTCATTGTGGAGTGTCCTCTTCTGGTGTTTCTATCTACAGCACAACAAATCTAACCTCAACCTCAACAGTACTCTAAGATAAATGTAACCAGTTAATGTACTTTGTATTTTCTTTACTGATCATCCGGAGTAAATGGACTCTATGCACAGCTTCACCACTTCCTTAACTTAAGGCAGCTTGTTTATTTCCTGGCTTACAATACTGGACAAACTGATAAAACCAGGTGTGACTGATCAGACACACCTGGTATAATCAGTTTGTCCAATAATGTAAGACATGAAATAAAGCAGTGGAGCTTTGCTATAGGGCCCAGTAAGTGCATCAAGCAAATGTCCTGTTTCATAACTCCAAAGATGAAAAACGGGGCTTTCTGTGAGGAGCATCTAAAACCCTAAATCATAACACAGAGACAAGCTCTAAAGAGTAGCTAAACATAGACGAATAAACACCTGTTTGGATCAATACTTGGCTACGTACGTTACAAATTAAAAGCTAGCTAGCAGCCGTTAAATTGAATCAAGCTAGCAACCGAGGCTACGTAGCTCAATAAAAACTTTATTAGTGTTTTAAGTTATTACAACTAGTTTCAGTAGAGCGGTTTTGTCAGTTTTGGACGAAGTAAGCACAGTTGTTTGTCCTTCAGCTGATTATTTCTATACGTTGTCGTTTTTAATTAAAATTGAGATAAGTATTCTCGAGTTGTACCGTTGGTTATGCTAAACTTGCAATTTTAACGGACATGTACGACTTAAAAATATTTGATACATTTTTGCCATTTAAAAAAAAAAAAGCTAAAATATTCATTTATGATACTTTGGAAGTGTATTCACCACAAAAACGTCTGTTGTGGCCAAATAAATATGAAACAACCTGCTAGCTTTAGTAATCTGCTAGCTCACTTTTTAAGTTTGGTTTCAATACGTTAGCCCTCCGTTAAATGTTATGTTTCCTATAATATTAGCCCTTATCAATTTAAAATTACATTTCTGTATAACTTGTATTATTTAGTATTTAAAATATGTAACGGGGAACACCAAATTAAGCCTTTTCAATCAACACTTAGATTTCTGGTGTCAACAACATACTGTCATAAATAAAAACAAGCAAGAGTCAGACACTTCCATCTTTTGTAGAAAAATGAAAAAATATTCTCATTTATTGAGGTAATTTTCTCTAGAAAAAATTGAGGTAACAATTTGCATAGTATATCTTTCATAAATTTACACACACACGCAAACACACGCACACACACATCCATGGAGTAGTAACCAAAATGCCAACAATGTGTCACAACATCAGACAATGGAGGAAAAAACAGTATGAAGTGTGCTTTGAATCCCCCTCCGATGGGATCAGAGGGAACAGGGTTGATGAAGAAAATAAATTCTTTTTTACAACTTCTCCACTATGGAGATAAATATCACAATCTGTATACACTGCAGAAATCCGGTATAATATGAATATTTTACTGAACAGAAAGTAAATAAAATACAATATATACACTCACTTACATAATTGTGGGAAAAATGTGAAATCTGTCTTATCTGCTGGTGGCTTTTAACAATCTGCGCTTGTATAAAATCTTTAAAACAGTCAATGGTGTCTTTTCTAAAGCGTCTGAGAGGATTGTATAAAAATACATTCATAATCTAGATGCTGGTGTGAGTGGGACTGCAGCTGTGCTTGTTCCACTTCCATGAATCAGTATGGACTATAAAAATATAACTGCTTTTTCAACAAAAGGGCACTTTTCTAGTACACTAGTATGTCTCTGGTCGGGGATGGTTCACACTAAAGATAGTTACATTCTAGGGCAGAGAGATGGCAGCATTTAGCCAGAATTAAAAACCATTGGAAACAGTCTCCACTCAGTCAGAGGAAAGAAAATATAAACCCAGCAAATGTTGAACCGTTTTGGAAATGCTGGGAAGTTTTTCCATACACTTCTTACGAGGCTTTGGCTTGAGGTCTGCCGATTTTCCTGACAGACCCAGGAGGACTCCAGAGTGAAGAATACATTTCATGCCCTATTAGTAACACAAATAGGAATCGAAGCCGAGTTAAAATACAACCTATTCTGTAGAAATTAGTGCATTTCTGGCAGGAAACTGTTGTGTGCATCTATCAAAACTTTACCTGTGTAGAAAACAGGAAGGCCGTTTTACCAGCTGAGAATGACATTGAACAACCCTACATCCAGTTCTGTGACAACTATCTAAAGTGACTGAGAAACATTTGAGTTGATTCCAAACAAACAGCTTTTACAATCAACAATCCACCATACGCAGGCAGGCAGACATGTGAATACACCTGTAACACCTGTAGAGGACACTTGTTTCTGTCACAGTCTGTTGGCTGCTACTGAGACACATCTTGGCTGATACTCTTTTTTTTATAAAATACAGCTGTACACAAATCACATCACCTTTTTTTTTAAAATACCTACATATAAACAGCATATACAAAGAGTTCACAAAGCAGAACCAGGTTTAAAAAGGGAGTCCTTCCTCTCTTTTGTTTCCTTATTGAGAAAATTTAGAAAAATAGACTTTAAAAAAAAAAACGCACCCGTCCTCCTAGAATAAAAAATGCCCAAAGAAATAGAGAAAGAGCGAAAGGTGGGGCTGTGCCGATATCTTCTTGAGGAGGAGGGAGGATTGTGGTCCTATAGCGGCCGGTCTTTGTCCTGAGTAACTCGCTGTGTGTAGAAGAGGATGTAGGCCTGAGCACGACAGACCTCATCCACTGAACACACGTTTAGTTTAGAGTCATTACAGTGAACCCAAAAGCCTGGAGGAGAGAAGACAGAAAAAGTGAGTTTATATAAAGGCAGCAGAGGCACAAAAGTAAACAACAACATGTCAGACTAAACTGGGCAAATATTGCTCAGTAAGTCAAACTGAGAGTGGATTAAGGTTGGGTAAATTGCGTTCAAAATCAGATTCACAAACATGTGCCCCTGTAGCGGCTTTATAATAATCTGTTTCTGACTTTTAAATCCCACCAGAGCAACTTTGGTTTGAAAGTCATCATCCAAAAAGCTCTACCAAGTCCAAAGAGCAACCACAAGCTCATTAGATGAGGGTTTTTAGAGCAGTCCCTGGCTATAAATGCATTGTAATTCAACAATCCCTAAATGTAGACCTTTTATTCACAAAGTTATTGAGTTAAGTTATATCCTTAACCAATTTTAACTCCTCACTCACCTCCTTCTGTGTTGTAGCAGTAGGAGGTGTAGTGGCCAGAACCAAAGCCTTTCCCATGATGCATCACCACAGCTGAGAGGTCATAGAGGAAGTGCTTGGGGCGCGGTGAGCCCGTGGAGCTGGGGCTGCTGGGACTGGAGCATGTGGGCGAGACTTTGGGTGAGGGGTCTCTGCAGCAGTACGGCTCCATGTTAAGGAGCTGGTCGAAGCTGACATGGACTCCGATCTTCTCCCGGTGGTTTCGCCCAGACCACCTGAGGACCAATGAGGAGACAGAAAACAGAGACGTCAGTCAGACATGATTTAGAGTTGTTTCACTTACATACAGGGAAATTCTCTGCATGTCATCAGTCATGCTATCTGTCAGCAAGCACTTATTTTGAGCACTGGGATGTTTGCCTTTCTGTAGCTGCTCGGGAGTGTAAGGAAGTAGCTTTAGAGACTGATTTATCTCAAAACAAACATCAAGTATTAATCATGTTTTTATTAGAGGAAGTCATGATTTTCTCATACAACATTGACCTCCCTTTAAAACTCGTTCTAAAGCAGCAGGGATCTGTGGTCTGAGCTGCCGAATACAAATAACCCATTAGGACTGAATGAAAATGGACCCCGGAGCAAATGTCCTACCTGAAGCGTTTGAGGTGAAGCCGTAGGACCTGAGGCAGTTTGTGGACCATCAGCTGTTTTTGTGCTTTGGTCAGGATGACTGGTTTGGAGGAGCTCCGCCTTCGAGCAGCTGTGAACAAAAAGGAGGGTGTTCAAGGAAAAATAAACAAACAAAAATGACTTTGAGTGTGAACCCTAAAATCGAATCTTCCACCTTACTTTCTAATGAGTTGAGTGAATAATCTTCCCTCACAAACAGTCTTTTGATTGCAGACAGTTACGACAGGCAGAGTCTTGTCGGAAGCGTTTTAATAAGTTTAAGGTTCGACTGTGATCAAGTTTCTGACAAAATTATCATCATTACTGACAGCTGATGTTACTGCTGCCAGCAACATCAATCCTTTGGCTCAAAGTGAGAAGCGGTTATCAGGATGTTTCGTACATTTCTCTGCTAATGAGAAGCTGGGAGGACATATTCGTTGGCACCGTGGCTCAAAGTTTCAAGACAAGGTCGTCACTTGCTCCCTTAATCACCCCTTGTGGTTGTGAAGTGATGGTGGCCGTTAAGGTCAAAAAGCTCCTGTGATGAATGATAAGTATGAGCCTCCATTTGTCAAGTTTGTACCACCAAAACATCCGTCAACACTAGTTCTTTTGCACTCAGCAACCACTCAGTAAGAATGGAAATACTTTGACATCTAGCTGTCACATTGCAGACTGAAATGCCCTCTTGCTCACCCTTTCTGACAATCAATGGATGACCTGGCAGACTTAACTCCTTTAGGCTGTAAAACTATCCATTAATATGAAACTTCTTCTCGCATTTAGAAGATTGATTGATTTAGGATTGTAGGCAAGTATGAACATTTACTCTCAATGAACTCCAAAGTATTCTGTAACCACACTAAATTGAGAAGATCGATATCAGTATCTGTGAAAATCAGTACTGGGCTTGTTTAGAGATTCTTAAGGCTACAACTGAGAAGAAGAGAGAAAAAAAGCGACCTACCACAGCCTCTTTCATAGAAATGTCAGGAGTCACGCCTCCAAATTAAGTGTTAGTGCGCAAGATATTGAACTCACAGTTACACTGGTCACAGGCGTAGATGTTCCCCTCCAGTGCTTCAGTCTCAGTGAACTTGGCCAGCATCTCTGTCAGGTGGCAGGACGCCTGAGCAGCCGACTCCCTGCTGTTACTGTGATAACGCTCTGGAAACTCCAGAGACAGATCCCAGAATGGCTCCACGGTGTTGGAGCGATGGTCACAGGCCAGACATGTCACCTGCAGAGAAGAGAAGTGTCTGCTTGTAAATGAAAAAGTACATTGCAGCTACTCTAGCAAGCTGTTTTCTTGTCTCTTCATGCTGGCAAGACCCTCGAGAAATTGAACAAACATCTGGACGTCAATTTTTTTTCATGTACAATACAAACTGCTCCTGCAGTAGTCGTCACAGTTTGCTAACACAGTCTGGGCCTGTGCTTAGTCAACAGCGACAGGACCAACTCAGACCGAGATGCCCCCAAAAACCCGTTTACAGACACACAGCCCTCTCTGTTCAGAAAGAGCAGGTGTCTCAGTGTGTGCTCAGCCTCTACAAGCAGAGGATAATCACTCTCTTCCATCAGCTGCTGGAAGTAATGTGTAACTCGGGTTCAACTCGAGGTCGTGAGTATGTTTGCACATATGCATAAAATACTATCGGCTCAGAAGCACATGCTACACACACTGGATAATGTGATAAAACTGAGATATAAGATTTTAATGTATAACTACATTGTATCAGTTAGGCAGAGATGCTGGATTTTGTTTGTCTGCAGTGCTTCATCCTGCACCCTGTTTAGGTGTATCTGTGTCAGTTTCATTCTGCTCACTGTCGAATCTGCAGCTCTCACACAGACCCTACACAATCAAAAGTGTCCTGATTCACAGGCCGGGAAAGTTCAAAGTCCTTTTGACATCTGAGAATGATGCATGCTTCCTTTTGTGTCTAATACAGACATACTGAGAGCAGAAGCTAGTAACAGCAACATCACCTGGACCTTATGTATTTTATTATAGTCCTGATCTATGGACCGTAGACAGAGAGCTTTACCCTGCACAATGATTGATGCCAATGACAAACTTTAACAATGCAGACACACATACAAACACCACTCCACACTTCTTCTGGATTATGAACGATAATTCAGAGGAAAAATACCTGTTGCATATTTGTTCTAGTTCTCGTTTTTCTTTACCAACAAATCTTGTCGTGTCGTATTGCCATATTTTATTAAAGTTTGAAATCTTGGCACTGCAACAACCCTTTTAGATATCACACCAAAGTAATAGCTGTTGTCTTAGAAATCTGTTTATTCTGCATTTCGAGTGAAAATTAATCTGGTGACTAAGCTGAAACATCACAGAGGAAAAAAAACACTAAAGTAGTCAGTGCTTGAACCAGGAAAAATGTTGGTTTTAGAATCAAATAGGATGGAAAACAGTCTTCTCCTTAAACTGTGGTTTTAATGACAGCGTTAACACCCGTCTCAAATAAAAACTGTCATAAATGTTTGAGGTCAGCAAGAGAAAGTCATTCAAATGTAGAGGGTTTATCCTCAGAGGAGCAGGAGTCTGGTTCAGAGGAAATCTGACAGAAAATAATGACTCGTCCCTTTTTGACCAGTTTTTCAGAAGTAATCTGATCAGATTTAAACTTTCAGATTGGATTTAGTGGGCTGCTTGGATGAGAATCACAGACTATAAAACACAAACTTTGTTAAAAAAGAGTTGGGAGGCTGCTTCGAATGTTGATCAAGACAGATTTTGATGGTTTGCAAAATATTTAAAGCCTATAATTAACTGAAAATAGTCGGCATATTAAATGTTACAAACCAAACAGGTCAAAAGTTGTGTACTGCTAAAAAAAACAACTGGAGAAACATCTTCTAACTACCATATTTTCCTGACTCAAGTCGCAAGAGCCAAAAAATGCATAATGAAGAAGAAAAAACATATTATACCAGTATAAGCCGCATTTTTGGAGGTAAATTTATTTTTTACAAAATCCATGACCAAGAACAGGGTCAGACAAATCAAAAACACCAACAAAAACGGCCTCTAGAAGGACACACTTTGTCCTAATTTCTGCTTGTGTGAAAATCTATTCACAAATTTTAATTTTAACCCTCAAGTATTAAAACTAAATGACAACTGTGAAAAGCTCAGGGTTGCTTTTTTTTAGGGTTTTGCCTTATCACAGATTTAGAGTATCAAAAAATAAATATAAGTCTCTGTCTGAGGAACAGAAAACAGAAATCTATGCTGACCTAAAATATCAGACTCATCTCAAAGCTGGATAACTCGATTTAAAAATTTTAAGTAATACATGAATTAATTATTTGCAGCTTATTTAATCTGAATATGAATTAGTGATGCACTTCAGTCAGAGCTGATGATAGCTGCTGAATTTTCAATGTGTGCGGGCCGAGGGGGGTGAATGTGTGTCGCGTGTAAATTTGATGAACCAGATGAATGAGTCAATGATTAAGGAAATGTTACAGCAGCTGAACGTGAGATTGTGTAAGTCTCGTACCTGGCTGAGCAGCTGGCCGTGAAAGATGGTGTTGACCACACTGAGCACCTGCTTGATGAGTCTCTTCTGTGTCTGTGGGACTCCTGCGCTGGTCGTGTGTTGCCCGGTGCTCTCCAGCTCGTGCTGCACCTTGTCCAGCAGCTCGCACAGAAACTCCTGAGCGTCCTGCTGAGCGTAGCCCCGAAACGCCGGGATCAGCTGCCACACTGAGTGCAGCATGGCGAAAGGCGAAACCAGCGCCCACTTGCCTGACCACATGACCTGGAATAAGGTGTGCAGCTCGTGGCAGAGGGAGATGTGCTTTGAGCTTGGCTCTTTGGGTTGTATTAACTCCATGCTGCGGGCCCTGGAGGCCCCTCCGCTCAGCCCCGCCCCAGAGCCTGAGCTGGCCTGTGGACCCTTCTTTTGGACCAGGGGTGACAGGGATGAGGTCTTCCCCGTCAGCTGACCATGGACAGCAGAGGCCAGCAGCTCCAGCGCCTGGGTCAAGTCCAGGCGCAGAAAGCACTCCCTGAAAACATGCAGGTGGCTCAGAACCTGCAGGATGGAGTTCATATAACACGTGTTGCCGAGATTCCTCAGGCCCGTCACTCCAGGGGTGACAGTGGGACGCCGTTTAAAGGGGGAGCCGCCCTGTTTAGAGCTCTGTTTAGAACTCTGCTTGCGGCGAGCGGGAGTCTGAGCAGAGCGGGGGGTTGCTGAGAGAGTTTTGGGCTTCGGTTTAGTGGCAGAAGAACGGCTCTTGGTTTTGGGGGTAGGTTGGACCTTTTTGGTCCTGACAGCTTTCTTGGGTGTAGCAGTGGCGGGGCTTCGAGTCCTTGGCTTGCTGGTGACAGGAGGAGGCTCTGGAGGTTTTGTCTTGTTGCGTGCCCTCCTAGAAGGCGTCGTGACTGCTGCTTCTGCTACTTTCTGGCTCTTTCGACGTAAACGACGACTCTTCCGGAGAGGGGCATTCTCCAGCTCCTCCTGTAGCTGCCTCTTTAAAGCCCGCCTCCTCTCCCTCGCCTCCCTTTTCTGCTCCTCCTCCTCTTCCCTCTTTCTCTCCTCTTCCTCCCTCTTCTTTCCACATTCAGTCAGTCCAAACCAGAAGCGAAAAATACGTCCCATCAGCGCCCTGCGGCGGTGCCAAAGTGCAGTAAACATCCTGTCCTCGTCCCTAAGTTGCAGCTCTCTGGCACCGCAGGTCATGACGGCGTCAGAAGGCGCGCTGGCAGAGCGGAGAGTGCGCCCGCTGCGTGTGGTCACCTCATAGCGCTGGCTCTGGATGGCGCTGAGCGTACTCCGAAGCAGCTTCAGATCTCCTGTGGCATTATCGTTGAGGACGTAGTCGTCACACAGATAGCAAAATACATAAAGTTCATTGACCTCGATGGCCAACGGGTGGCCCTGCAGCTGGAAGTGCTGCAGAGCGTGTTCTTCGATGTAGCGCCCACACGCCACATGAGCGCAGCCCAGACAGGCCCAGATAGACTCGGAGGTGTTGCAGTCCACGCAGTGCCACTTCTGTGGGTTGAGAATGGAGTGGTCCGGGGCGAGCCGCAGCCGCCCCACATGCTTACACCTGTCCATTACACACACACCGGCCGGCCGAGCTGGCTGGCTGGCTGTGTCAGTCAATAACTGACTGTATGAGTGTGAGTCAGAGTGTGTGCGTTAGTGTTTCACACTGGCTTCATATCACCATGGTTACCCTGGTGAGCAAAGAAATGGGACCCTCCCAAGGCATGGTGGTGGTCTGGAGGAGAGAAGAAAAGAGATGTGGTTGGTCCAGATGGAAAAATAGATGAAGAGATACAGTAAAGAGAAATTAAAATCGACTTTGAGAAAGTGGCATACATCTGAAAAAAATACAACCCCTTTACTATGAGAGTGGGGAAATGCAGTAAAATGTTCATAAAACACAAGCTGAGGATTTCAAAATCATTTTAACTCTATATTTAATTCAAAATAGAGCAAAAGCGCCTTATTAAATCTTGAAATATTTTTTCTTTTAACATTTCATCAGAAAAATGGGTTGTTTTGAAATTCTATGCAGGTGACACTCTAAAACAAAAATGTTAAAACAGGGAAAACAAAACAAAAAATATGCAACTGGTTAGTAACATAACTGGATATAAAAAGCGCATACTTTTCAGAATTAATAAATGCAGCATCCTCTGTTTGAACATTAATGGTGAACAATATAAAAAGGTTTTTAGGTGATAAAGGCTGCCATCCAGACAATGACGTTTTTGCAGATATCACAGCAGCATGACTCTGTAGTAGAAGAATATATGAGTGCCAAACTGGCCGGACTGCAGTCCTGATTGGTCACCTATTAAAAATATTTGACACAAAACCTACAATAACAGACTCGAACGTGCTGAGCAGCTGAAATCCTCAAACAGGCAAGAATCAGACATTTCACTCCCAACGCTCCAGAAACTGCTCTCTGTTCCCAAATGTTTACAGAGTGTTTTAAAATGGTTCTTAAACACGTTGCTGAACATGCATTTTTCACAGCAACATGTTCTTTTAAAAGTAAAGTATAAATGATTTGCAAATCATCAAACTCTGCTTTTTATATACATTATAAAAGACATACTGAATCTTTTCAAACTCGGATTGTAAATGATGAATAATGAATCTCTTTAGGTTATTGTAATCCTGTTATTACATTCCTCTTACAGGCAAAGAAATTTGTTTTTAAAAATCGATCTCCTTTCTGGAAAACCACATTCAACACAGTAATTATTTTATAGTTGCTGCATCTAACCTCGAATGAATGTGTTTTATGAGGCCAAAGCTACACACAGTAAACTGTGGCAAACTGCCAGATGGTACGCGGGCTTTAACATATCCTTACAGACGCCCGGGCCAACAGTAAAATGTCTGGATCATAAACATGACTGCAGTGAGTGCTGCCAGGCACATTCACAAAATAACAGAAAGGTGCGTAAATGATCATGAGCTGTTGAAATTAACTGTGAAAACATCAAAATGTCAAACTTTGGAGCTTTTCCAGATATGAGAATAAACCCTCAGTAGAAACAACATATCTCCTTCATCGCATTTTCAATTTGATAGACAGCTTAGGAACAAAGAGGATGTCTCTGGACAAAAATCCAATCTTGGTTTTTTCCTGAGGAGGAGTTGTTCACAAACACAGGTTGAGAATAAGGTTCCACTTCAGTGTAAGACCTACTCTTAAAACCAGTGCCAAACAATCAGTCTCCACTCAGCCTCCTCTGGTTCCTTTCACATCCCTGTGGGGCTCATCTGAGAAAGTGGGGATCCTTGAGTGGACTGAGCGCTATCAAAACCCCCAGAGAGGTCAAGGAAGTACGAGTATCCAACAAAGGCAAGGGGACTGAGATTGCAAAGCAGCGCACCTTTTGTCTACCTCTGCTGGGGGAAAGGGAGAGTGGAAACCAGGGGGAGTAGAAATGACTGCTAGGACTGGGCAGCAAAAAGTAGAGTGATGAAGGGACTAAGACAAAAATAAAAAGATTGGACAGCAAGAAAACTAGTTATGTCCTAATCCTGCTTTCCATGACTAGATCAGATCAGATATGAGCATTATTTCACTGATTGGGTATCGACAATTCAAGCCGATCATCAGGACCTGATCAGTTACATCAGCCGTCATAAACTGAGCACAGGTTTTCACAGAAGTTTGTGCTGACTTCAACATTAACAACTTGATAAAACACTATAAAACTAAACCTTGAAAAGAATGCAGCACATTAACTGAGACAAAACAGGAAAAAGTTGCTGTGCCGAGGCAAGACACCATTTTTCAAACGCCACAGTGACAGTCTTGTAAATAACAGGCTGCTCTGTCGGGTGCAATTGTGCGTTGTAGGTGTGCCATTATATTGTCATAATGTAAGAGTGAGACTTCCTCCAGGGCGATAATAACTCAAGATGCCTGAACAAGACATAACTCAAGATTTGACAGTTGTTTTGATTCTGTTTTCACTTCTAAGAATCGTTAACATGTTCTAAATGTCTCAAACTCATGAGGAAATCTGAGCAGATTCACATCAGTGGGGTCATAATTGTTCTCTTAACCATTCATAGACATGTAAGTAATGCCTGAGAGATGAAAACCTCATCATTTTACCATTATAGAAACATTTTTTCTGTTTAGTTCTTTTGCTGCAGCAAACTCCACATTGGCTCTATACTTGTTACAGCAGTCCAGACTGCTGTGGGGTGACAATGGAAAAGTGGAGTAGCTTATTGTTTTGCAAAACACATGCTACCAATAAGTCCTATTATAGTTCATTTAAGAGTAACAGGGAACAGTTAAGATTGGCGAGTGATTTTTTTAGATTGTGATATAAATCTATATCGACTGACATGAAAAAAATAACTGTGACGGACTTTTTCCCATATCGCCCAGGCCTACTTTAAGTAAACACTAAAGTTTCCAATACTAAAAACAGAGTATATCTCCATGATTTATAACCACACAATTACTTTTACCATTTCAAGAATAAGACTATGATCAAATAGTTGAGGTTATAGACGGTGTTAGTCTGTGTAAATGTTGGAGTGGGCGTGTTTATTAGATAACAGCTCATCAGACTATCCTACCTTGAGAGTGTGCAACTACTGAGATATAAATACAAACTCGTGTGGCAAGGATCCAGAATAGACAGCGTGTGTCGGGCTGATATCTAACTCAAAGTCCTGTTCAGATTGAAAATCATTAAATCGTTTCAGGTTGGTACTTTGGGTGCAATAAAACGAGTAGAATAACGTGGCACTATGAGCTGAGTCCACATGATTAATGTCCACATCTCTACGGCGCTGGGAATTAAACCCTCTTTAATAAACATAACGGAGCTTTGCAAAGAGATTAATCGTGCTTTTTCTTTGAAGACAGATGCGGGGTCGTACAGAATAATGAGCGTGGGGACTCCGGATAGGACAGCTCCAGAGTTTGTAATGTTACTAAGTTTGATCAGCAACTTAGCGCGCTTTGCCTGGTTTGTCCTTGTGCTGCGTGCTGGTAAGAGGCTCAGACAACACAGCCTTGCGTTAACACTGCTTAAACAAGTCACAACAACTAATCTCGCTTTCAAAAAACTCCACTTTATCGCAGCATTGTGATAAAAATCGTCAAAATAGACCAACTTTTAAATAACGTTACCTCAACGGCGAAGGTTAGCTGGCTGGTGCTAGCGTGTAATTGATACAGCCAAGGGGAGTTTCAATTACAACACACTCAAATCAAACACAAAGAAAATTAACACAACTTGAAAAACCCCGAGAGGTAATTGTGCAAAATATACAACAACGTATGTGGCGCATGGATATACAAGCGCCACTCCCGTTGGTTCTTTTGTTTTTATTGTATTTATTCAGGAGATTAGTGAGCCCTAGCTGTCTCGCTAGCATTAGCCTAGCATACTTGGTAGCTAGCGCGAAGCTATCTTTGATAATCCGAACAAGTTCGTGCTTCGGCTCCGTGCGTCAGTCTCGGCATTAAAACCGGTATGTGAGATGAGTTTTAACCAGAACAGAAATATCATTGGATTCCCCGCTGAAAACTAACAACAGTGAACAGTGAGTGTAAAGAAAACAGCATACCGAGCCTCTCCTTCACGGCAGTTACTCCTCTGTTTCTAAAATCATCGCCATCTTGTCAGTCCCTGTCGCGTGGTGTGGGCTCGAGCGCGTCCCCGAGCCGTGACGTTGTTGTTGTTATTGTTGTTGTTGATGGTGGTGAGGGTACCTATGCAACATATTTTCCATTCAAACTCTATATTTCCTCCCAAAGATGTATCTTATACAATCTGTTGTTGTTGTTGTTTAATATCTTTATATCAGTTTTAAATCCCTGATAGTTCTGTGCTTAGAGGCCTATTTCTGTCCCCTTTAATATTGAGTTGTTTATCGTGTACCAAAATGTTGTTGTGTTGCTTGTGTGTCAAGTATCACAAACACAACCGTAAAGCCAAAAAAGGACTGGACAAAATCACTGCTGTGCATTGACAACGAAATTACTACCATGCTACACTGATTATTCACCACTAGAGAGAAGTGTTGCACCAGTTACAATCAAATATCAGCCTGGGCTTGTTACTAAGCAGGTTTACGCAGGCAAAAAAAAAGTTTTCCAGTGTTTTGGTGAAAAACAGAAATAGGGGAGAGTGGGTTGAGCCATTATCTGATATTTTGGATCACTACATCAAGGCAATCATAGTTTTGTCTCTTACTAGTGTATCTGCATATATTTTCCAACAGAATGAGTGTAAACTTAGCTGTCTTGATAATATAGCATGCCAAAAAAGTGGTCTCCTTTGGTCAACTTACCCCATGTTTAGGGTAAGTTGACCATAGGAGCGGGGTAAATTGAGCCGTATCCCTACTACACCGCCAGCTAACCATTTGGTAAGAGTTTTTGCAATTTGGGCAGGTGCCAAGTCCTGCTGCTCAAGAAAACTGGCATCATCATAAAGCTCGTCTGCAAATTGAGGCCAGAAGTGTTTTTACATTTCTAGACAGACTTTGGACTGAATTAGACCAACACCAGAAAATGATATGGCAGACTTTTTAGACTTCACACTTTGATATCTGTGCCTTTTCACTTTTCTTCTCAGACTCTAGGACCACAATTTACAGATGAAATGCAAAATAAACTTTTGTCTGAAAAGTGGACTTCTAACCACTGTGCAATAGTCCAACTATTATGGCTTAATATAGAACCCTGTCATTGCTTAATATTTAATGATTGATACATGTACGTAAAGTTAACAGAGCAAAGTTAATTGGAGTCAAAGTTCTGAAATGTGCATACAAACAGGAATTACAGCTGATTCAGATTTTAATATATTTAACTTTCATTTCAGAGAAACAGCAGCAAAAACAGGATGAAAACAACGTCCATGTCAGGATCATGTAAAAGTTTCAATTTCTAACAGTAAAAGTAAACAAAAAGTACAGGATATGAAATGAAACAGATTATGCAGATTAAATAATTAAAGTTCCCCTGAAAGGAGCTTTTGGTTTGTGTCGACTTTGGCGCCCCCGGTGGACAAAGCAGTCTTTGGTAATCTTTTCCTTCACACCCTCAATTAGCGTCATCTGTCAGAAAAATCCCATCCTACTGAATTTTAACTGTGAAATGTTTCATTTAATATCACATTATATGTACAAGTTATGAAAATAGAGATGTTTTTCATCGCTGCTCCACCTTCATATGCCCCCTTGCACTGATTTGAGACATTAAAATTTATATGGTAAAACCTGGTGTTGTTCCCTTTTGTATGCTTAAAAAGGCATCAACCAGATTTTCAGTTTGTTTCATTAATCCAATAACTTTAACAGTTATGATTTAAACACTACCTCTGTGATTCTTTCTCGTAACACAGCAATTGTACGCGTGGTTTCTGTGTGTCTTACCTGAACAAATTGCTTAAATATGGATGCCTTCACCCTGAGAAACACTTTCTTTCATGGTTAACCAGTATGTGTGTGTTTTCCTCTGCCCTCTGGCCCTGCGGTTGTACCTTTAGCAGGTATGTTAAAGTGTTGTGTGCTGCTGTGGGATGCAGGTGTAGCACTGCATGGTGGTTAATGGGGGCTGGTGGCACTCAGTGTGTAGATCCTATCAGTTTAAAACGACAACACCGTGCTGTTAGCTGTCCTAACTAGTAAAGTAAAGTACTGTTACAACATGTGAATCCTTGTCTAAATCTAAGAGTAATTAAACACTTAATGAAAGCGTCTCTATTATGAGGAAATAAAGGAGTCTGTTTTCATTCAGATAGTCGCGTCTGAAGCAAGACTTTTAATCTCCTGATCCGTACAAGCTTTGTTAAACCTCCTCTGAAAAGAGCGTGGGTGTGTTGATAAAGGGTGTGTGTGTGTTTTTGTGCTTGTGTGTCTGTCAGTGGACCCGAGGTGTGTGTGAGAGAGATTAAGGGGCGTTTGTGAGTGACTTAGAGTAAGAGGTATGTGTTGATATGCCATGCGATGCCTGCGAATCACCTCTAATGTTTTTCTGCCTCTATGTCCCCAGGGCCTTCACTGCCTTCATGTCTGCACATGCTGACACACTCTCCCTCCCTCCGTCTCTCCCTCCTTCCCTTTTCTGTCCTCTTTTCATCTGCGCTCTCTCCCTCACTCATAAACACACACTTTTCTGTTACTGTTCCTCTGAGGACCTGTGTTGATTCACTTAGAGGGGCGTAATCAGTAATTTGTAGTTGGAATCTAATCATCTGAAATGTCTTTGAGATTTATCACAACTCTTTTAACTTGTTTTGGTTTTACAGTGTAATAACATCATAATTTAGAGTAATTTTTTTACATTAAACCTTGTTTTTAACAACCAAGAATACACATGTTTAATTTTGGTGCTTTAAGTTAATGAGTTCACATAGTTTTTTGGAGTTTGTGCGACTTGAAATGCATAAAAGTGGATAAAAACAGATTTGTTATTGTCAAGTGGTCAGAAATATAATTGATCTTTACTGGTGGGTGCGAAGTAAGTGTATTCACTCAGCTTCTGTACTGATGTACTTGTTTTTGTATGAGTATTTCTATTTGATATAGCCAGAATTTGATGGTTTGATGAGTATTTGAAAACAGTGCAAAGACATCATGTCAAACGTTGAAAGTAAAAAATATTGTTTTATGAAAAAATACAGTTAAATTTGATGCCAGCAACATGTTTCCAAGAGTTTTTTCATCGTCAACTCTCAGTACGTTTGGAAACTAAGGACATCAGTTTGTGGAGCTTCAGGACTTCATCATCATATTTTCTGTCACATGTTGTGTTGCTGTTGTTGTAATGCATGCAGAATGTGATTAAGTGTTATCTTGTTGTAATACGCAGTCTTCTTGAAACAAAGCATTGTCTAATGGTGGCATATGTTGCTCAAAAGCCCGCATGTTCAGTTTCTTTCAGGATTAATGGAGCTTTTCCTGATGTCTAAGTTGCAACCCCATATCACAGGTGCTGGCTTTGAACTGGGTGCCGATAACAAACTGAGTGGTCCAAATAGCTTTGGTATAATTTTTAAACTTTTGTTTTTGTTAGACCTGAAAGTGAAAATTGGACATAACAAGGAAATGCAATCAGACTGAGACGCTAAGGCAGAAGAACTACCGCGTCTGCAGTGTAGAATGATTAATATGGTGATTATTACTTCAAGGAAATGTAATGATCATAAATGTTCTTCCTTGAGCTGCACCCCCCGCCTCAGTCGGTGATGGACTGGTCGAGGTCTCAGTACAAACAAGCGGCTGCTGGAAGAGAGTAGGTGAGTTGTGTTTAGTCTCTTTGCTAAAGAAATAAGGCAAAGCTAAAAAGATGTTTGGCGGCTAGCACTGTGGCTGGGACCCTATATGTACTGTTGATGAAGTTAGGTGCTGTTCTGAGCATTATTTGTGGCTATAGAGTAGCATTTTGTTTGAGGTTTGTTTATGGCTCCTCAGACTGCTGTGTATTGCTATCATGCGGTCGTTACTAAAGTTGGTGTAACTAGAGAAACAAGCAGTTGGTTACATTCATCTCTCGAGGGGGTGTCTATCCTGGTGTTATGGTGTGTTTGACCCTAAATTAATTTTACACCAGAATATCCCTTTAACACCTGACTTCAGGCAGCTGTTTTTTTTCTGGTGCCTAGAGCTATATCTATGTTTGTTTGTTTGCATAGCTGAAGTATAGAGAAATCAATCAACACTGGCATCAGCTCAGAAAAATGTTACTGCCTTCTTCAGCTGTAATAAAACAATCAAACACACTGATGTTAACATAACATTTTTATCCTGTAGCTTAAATTCTGAACAAGTACTGGCCTTCCCCATAAAAGTGCAAACTGTCACGTCGAGCCACCTGGAGAGAATAGAGTTTTATTAATGCTCACAAAAACCTGCAGCCTCACAACCTGCAAAGTTGGTTGATAATTTCAGTGAAAGGAAGCTATTCCGGTGGTTTCATGGTGGTGTTAACGCAGCTGGACACGGTGTTGGTTTTGTAGCGGGTGAAAACACAGGTGCTGATGACGCCAAGGGGAAATGGTTTACAGCCTGTAAACAAGGACTCCTCCTGTAATCTGTGCTCCGGTTGGTTTTGCCTTTATGTTACTGTTGGCGACTCAACAGCTTCTGATGTTTAATCTGTTTTTAAAGAGAGTCCCAGCTTGTCATGAGCGTCTGTTTTCCCTCTCAGACTGTCTGCCTTGTCACGTTGATATGTGGGTTTGGTCATAATGACTCGATGACATCAGGTCCTTGTTTGCATGTCTGTATATAATAATCAGCAGTAGCGTCTGAATCACTCTCTACTGTGTCAACATCACGCACCCTGTTCTGGCTTGCTCTGATGCTCTTCAAGTAGAGAAACATTCCTGATGCGTGTGTGCATGCATGTGTGTGTTTGCACCAAATGAGTGGAGTGGATGGTTTCTAAGGACAGAGCTGGATATTCTAAGGTGAAGGTTGTCCCTCACAGAGCGAGCTCGTGCCCTTGAGAGTAAGGTGAACACTCACACGCAAACATGAGCAACTGAACCTCTCTCTTAATTGGTCACATCAAGTTAAGGTCTGTGTCAATTTCAGCTTCGCGTGAGTCAACATAATCATCTTTAGGCTACTCTTTCTATGCCAAGTGTGGGAAGCACATAGGGGTTCTAAAAGGACACTCAAAACCTTCATGAGACCATAAATCTAGATTTAACAGTGATTTATTACCCGATTCTCCACTTATGTGTTTAACTTGTGCTTAACTTATTTGCAGCCAATTTCTTCTCAAGCTCAGGCTGGGACACTCAAAAACTTTTGTAATGTTGTATAACTGTTACCGGTATTTTTATTTGGCCACATCTTACAGGTTCAACATGATTTATGGCGAGGTTTCGACTTGATTTGACTCTTTATTCTATTTTTCTTCAAGCTAATGTTGGAAGAAAGTTACCAGCTCTGTCAAATTAACTTCAAAAAGCAAATTTATAAAAGTACAACATTACAAAAAAACGTTATTAGCTTCCAGTGACTTCTTGGTTGACACGCGGCTGTGTTTTATATCGCTTGTGCCAAACGTATGAGTAGTTTGTAGAGCTTTTTTGAGACAATATATTAGACATTGCTAATTGTTTTCCAACCCAGTAATGATTTGTCCAAGGACCAAGTAAGTCAGAGGCTTGTGTGTTGATCTGCAAGAGCAAGAATTTGAAAGATATCGCTTGGACTTTCTCTTTGAAAAGAGTCATTTACTGCCCATTGTCTTCTGTTAGGACAGGCCTGAGCTGCATTTATTGGTGCACCTTATTGCACTATAAAAATAAATTCACCTGGACTGTCGTCTGAGTTTTATCCTCAGTTTATGCTTTAGCCACTAGGCTATCTTTACAGAGCTACTACAGGAGTTTCAGTCTGATTTCCTCTGCCAATAATCTTCTCATTTCCTCTGTAAGTGAATCACAGCTGATGGGATAATACTGACCACATGACTCACTTATCCGGAGCACACTTCCTCCTCAGGAGAAATCCCCTCTTGGTTTATTTTCTGCTTTTATTTTCCTCCTCCTGCCCTCCTCAAGACCTTTAGGTGCTGGTGCTTGTGCAACATCCATACAGCAGGCCAGCTTCAGGGCGTCTGTCTCAGGGTGCTGGGTGCTCCCGAAGAGGCGCATTGTGACTCCCAGTGAGCAGATGGGGGGTGTCAGAGAGGGGGGGTTATTGTCCCCCAGCCTGCGGGAGCTGCCATGCACTCCGAGGCCAATAGCAACACAAGAATGCTGACAGGACAAAGGCCATAACTCCATTCTATAGCAACACAAGCGGAGCATTGTGTTCATACAGGGACTCACACACACGTATACACACACATGCATGCATACACCATTACTACAATGACAGACTCACACATAAACTATACAGGAGCAAACTATGCATGTGTGTAAGCATGCCAAACACTCATTCATCAACTAGTTTCCCACACCATGCAACCCCCCACAGGACATCTCCATCACAGGCTGAGAATGGCCAGTCAATCTGGGGACAATGAGCGAGTGAGCGAGCAAGGGAGACAGTGAGAAAGACACAGAGGGAGAGAGAGCGAGGAGGTACAGGGTTCAGCTGCTGCAGTTCATGTTTGTGGCTCCCTGTTGCGTCTAAGTTTCAAGGCCAGTTCCCACAATATGAAACACCTCTACCCAACCTGCTCTGAGTGGATTTTCAAAGAGGTCCTCAGGTACTCAGATTAGATTTTTTTTTTTAATCAGTGTCCAAATGTTTTAATAACTTTATGAAGGTGGTTACAACTGAATCCTAGACAGTATTTAATCATAGTAGTAGGTGGAGCTCACTTTAATTACTTTATATAAAGTTAATCCAGTTGTCTCCACTGAGGGGTTGGCCCCCATAAAAGGGTTTAACTTAATCTGACGTGTCAGGAGATGATTAATGGGTCCGAAAAAAAAAGAAAAAACATCATCGCACAATTCTTCTCTACTGGATTTTTGTGCTTCTCTATGAAATATTGGACTAGTCGACCTTTTTTAAGTCTCAAATGTAAATCTTTGTAACTTTCATGTTAAATGTCTGGTTATCCTCCTTTTCTCTGTTGAACATTGTCAAATGGCAATGCCCCTAATTATGTGAAAAGGGAGCTTTCGATCCACAATTAAACAGAATGAGTGACTGCAAATATTAAAGGTGGGGTAGGCAGGAATCTGTTAAAGAAGAATCTTTTTTGTGGTGAATATACAAAAAAACTTTTCAGTCAATTGCCATTAGTCATTGATGACATTTGGTAATATAACAATATCGTTGTTTTTTGTTATATGTCTGTGGTTGTGAGGCGGACCTGCTCCCTCGTGTCATTCAGGAGCCCAAACAAAGTTAACGTGCTACAATATTGGACAATGGAAACCAACCAGAAAGTACAGAAAATTGTCTGAATCCTCCTTTAGCAACGACTGCCAACACAAGCAAGAAAACTCTGGTGGAATAACAGGAGCTAAAAAGGCCAGGTCAACAATGATGGGGGAAGCTTTGGGATCTTAGGGACCCTGTAACCTTTATGATGGACAGATAAACTGCTCTAACAAAGTTAGCTAAGTGTCTGTAAAGCCTTGATTGATGGGGTCTGCCTCTTGTGGACACTTAAGGAACTGCAGTTTTGGACTTTTCATTTACCTGATTTTTCCACAGTGGGGTGACCCTTTGGTTTGCACATGATACTGTGAAAAGTACTGGTGTTTGACAACCTTAGTTAAGCTTACTGTACAAATTCATTAGGTTTTGAGTTAAAGACTTTTTGTGTGAATTTCTTTTGTGTATTCAAATAATCAGTAATATAAATTAAAGGATTAAGTGTAATTTTCCACTGCCGTGTTGTCATATAGTGGTATATTTCACTTTAAACATGCAGTAACAGTGGAAATACCCAATTTGAGGGACTTCAGTACTTAGTTACTCTGCACCACTGGCACTGAGACATTCCTTGAAGTCAGATCCCTCTTCCTGTATGCACTCGTTCACCCTCCCCTGCTGCCTAGAAGCAGCCTGGCAGAAACCAGGAGGAGCCGTGACCTCTTTGCCACAGATCTGTGAATGGGCCATGAACGAGGAAACGCAAGTACAAGAGGCTATCCGGACACAGCTGCAAAACAAAAAAAAACATCAAGCCATGCTCCTTTCTTGTTCAGGAGGCGAGGCCGGCAGACAGGTGAGTGACCTTTGACCCCGCCTGCTGCGGAGCACCGTTTGACGTGCCAGGAATGCGTCCACACCTCTCGGCCAACCACGTCACAGCAAGTAGGCGAGGAGTCGGTGGAAAACACGCAGGCCGCCTTAACCCAAACAGAGCGTGTGTGCTCGCCCAACCTCTCTGTTATGGTCTACATTCTGTGGCGCTGTGTGAATGTAGGGGAGAGTGTTATGGGAGCGGGAGTGATGGATGACTTAATCTGAAGGGACAAGGAGAAAGGAGCAGGAGGTGTGTGTGTGAGAAAGAGAGCGGGGTGATAAGGATATTTTTGTCCAAATTATGACAAGTATTTCAAGGCCTGTGTGGTTATATCAGCTGTTTTTAAGAGTTCATGTGTGGCTGCAAGGTTTTCAACGACAGAGGGAGCAACATCTTAGAAGAAAGTGGGATTTCATACAATCTCAATTTTAGGTTTTTGGCCGTTGTCTTATTTTTGTTATGAAACGTCATCCTCTATCCAAGTTGATTTATGATTTACTGGAGCGTAGCATCATCGCTAAGAATGCCAAGAACAACAGGACAAGAAACAACCTGTTTAAGGTGAGAAAAAAAGAGGATAAACTGAGAAATTATTTCACAATCTTTTCTTATCTAACATCGTTAAAGACAATCCTGACTGGCCGTGACAAACCATTGACTGTCTGAAAGGCTGGAGGTCGCAACAGCTGTCTAAAAGTGGAGCTAGACCGTTGGAGCTCCTCCTACTGGCTGGCTGCAGTATAGGTCATGAAGCCCACCTCCTCCATATAGACAGATGGGACATGGTTAGAACTAGGGCCTGACTGATATGGATTTTTTTCGGGCCGATGCAGATACAGATTAATAGGGGGGAAAAAAATCTGATAACTGATTAATGGGATGATTTTTAAAAATTTCAATCAGTGCTGCCACGTCTTAACTCATGTTACACATTTCCGGTCCGGTCTCATCTGGAGACATGCAGCTGCCTCAGTAAGAGAAGTAGCTCGATCACGTAATGTGCACTGTTGTTTATTCTACCGTTACTGGCACTGCTAACAGTGTAGCAAGACTAATAGCAGGTGGCCAACTCTAACTTTAGCTTGCATATATTGTTAACTCGGCGTGACCTAGACCAGCACAGCGGGGAACATCGTGAAGTGGGTTGAACTGAAACTTGTTGACTTATTGTTTATTTCACAAACTGGTTGATTTACCGTTGAGGCGGACCACTCTCCTCTGTGCGTCCCTGCAGCTGCCTGCTTCAGATCCGTCACTCTGCTGTGCTGTGAGGTAGTTAGTGGATGAAGATTGTCATGAGGTCGCTGCGCCATCTACAGGATAAGTCGGAGAACTTTTCAAATGGCGAGACATTTACGAAGTGAAACCGAATCTTATTCTCCGCATTTTATTTCTGAAAATACCAGCAAAAATCAACGAGTTTTGGCCAATTACCAGTTAGTCCCAAATGGGCTGAAATTGGCCGGTTTAATCGTCTTGCCAATAAATCGGTCGGGCCCTAGTTAGAACAATTAAAGTGAACAAGTCACTGAATAAATTTTCCTCAAACATGGTGTCTCTGATTGTAGCTAGTTCCTTTCATTATTAAGTTTTACCAGGAAGTATAAGGATTTTATCTCTAGGTTATATGTTTGTTTTGGTTTGTTCTGGCTCTACAACAGCAGCACAATATGTCAGTGTCTGTTTTGTTTGAAGGCTTCACTTAGAGGGGAGGACCACTGCTAGCATCCAAATCTTTCAACCGTATACTGCACAGTGCATGGCACAGTCTAAATGGAGTTTTGGATTTTTTCAACTTTCTGATGAATGTTGGAGTAATACTGTAAACGTGCAACAATAACCATCCAGCCCTAGTCTCAACCCTTGTGTTTGGACTTTCTGAAAAAGACTCTGCAATCAGTGTGTGTAATTAAAGACTATCATAACTGAGAAAAATGGCGGCTTACAGTAACTACCTTGGATTACACTTTCATCTTATCACATAAAAAAAAAAATTAAACAAAGAGAGAAAGAAGAACATCATATTTATATAGATATGTACAAATAATACTGTACAGGAGCACAAAGGAAGGAATAACAGAATGTTCAGGATTTTACTGTAATATGAGATGAATCAATATACAAAACGCTGCAGCATAAAGATTGGAACGGCTGTTTTTAAAAAGTGAACACAAACCTACAGAAAGAGCCGGACTGAATCTGAACTGTGCTCGTAATAAACCTCTGCATTCAAGCACTCTCTCTTTGTCTCTCTCACACAAACACACACACACACACATTTGAAAAACAAGCAAATACATTCACGTTCGGGTAAATCCCATTCACTCTGATTTCAACACAGGCACACCTGGACTGGCTAAGGTTTAACCACCTGTAGTGGCTTGTATGGCTTGTTCAGCGTCACTCCAAGTGCTATGCACATTACGTCTGCAGCACACACACACAGGCACACAAACTGCTGTCTGTGTGTGTGTGTGGATGTGGAAATGAGTGTGTGGAGCGTATCAGGGAATGGACGTGCTGCGTCCACAGTCCATGTCAGGGGGTCATTTAGAGCGTGTGTGTGAAGTCTTCCTCTCTTTGTGTGTCCATGTTCCCTCAGTCCATCTTAGGCTAAAGTGCAGCAGAGAGGAGGAGATTCAGTCTTTTTTTTGTGTGTCGTTTGAAGTCTTTACAAAATATCGTCTCATGTGCTTTAATCCGGCGCAGACAGCTGCTAGCTCTTATTGGACGACAGCAGAAATATGAAAAAAAGAGGCTTCAATCATCTCAGTTCAGCCTCGGAAACTTGCTCCCAAACTGTTTGCCATTCACACCAGGAGGACAAGAAAACACAAATTCACAGTCTCTTCTGTCCACGGGTCCCTCTGTCCTCCAGCGCTCGACAGGACCATCTACCAGTTGCAGTCTTTCTTGAGTAGCGTGAGGACTTTGCGTCCCAAACTGGCTTTCCAGGGCTTTACGAAGCTCTTCATGTTGACCAGGAGGCGGCCCTGCTTGCGGTCTGAGTGTCCTGCCACGAGGTACTCAACCCCTGAGAAGGGACAGACCAAGTTCAGTTTCCAATGAGCTGAATAAACTGAACAAATTCTGAACATAACCTAGCTTTCTATTATCTCAAAAAATGTATTTATTACTTATTGTAATGGTTTAAGTCAAAGAGATTCACTCAGTATCTGCCTGTTTAACCATCTAACACAGGGGAGGGTTAGTCTGACCTGGGTTGAGGATCGGGCAGGTGCATCCCCTTGCGGTCCAGGACTCGGGGTAAAGAGTGACCCGACCCCGCTGGATCTTCACCTTTGTGTTCTGACTGAGAACCTTCTGAACTTTGACCTCCACCTCAGCATGAGAACCCTTATCATGCGCTGACAGCACCTTCACCTTCAGGACTAGGGGAGAATTAGAGCAATAAGAAAACATTTAGCGCACACAAGTCCGTGTTTCTGAGCTGAAATCTGACTGAAAATGTAAAGAGTGTTGAGAAGTTCTCACCGTATGCATAATTCATGGTGCAGAAGAGTTTACTGTTGGTCAAGGCTTGCTCTTTGCACTCGCACTTCTCTGCAGGAGGTAAACACAGCCACGGATTAATATTTATAACCTAACTGATGTGCATATATGTGTGTGAGCGCATGCAGGTGTGTGTGTGTGTGTGTGTGGTCTCGGACGCTGTGCGCGGCGTCCTAAGAATGCAACCGCAGTGTGTGTGTGTCCAGTGAGGAATGTGCCAATGAAAGCTGCAGTTACATGAAGCTGGGGGGTCTGAGAGAAGGGACACTTGGAAACTGTCCACACACACACACACACACACACACACACACACACACACACACACACACACACACACACACATCCATCTTTGTTCAATGTCCTTGTAAGGCCTTATCAAGACTTTCATTACTTAACCATTAATGCTTGGTCACCAGACTGTGGAGGAGGGTAGAAAACACACATTCACACACATGCACACACATGCACATTCACACACACACACACACACACACACCTTACCTGAGTAATGAAGGGCAGAGAAGAGCTCGTCTACTCTGAAGATCCTGACTGGCTCACTGGAGTTTCCTTCTAAGTTGTACAAGTCTAGATCAGATCTGCAAAAATACGAACAAACAGGAGCGTAAATGTTGATCTAAACTAAACTAAACTAAAATTAGATCAATCCTTAAAGATACTCACCCAAACATACAGTCTCCTGTAAACGGATCACACTCTCCAGCACAATCACACGGACGGCAGCCGTATTCGTGGAAGCCCCAGTATCCCACCATGCACCTGTCGCACTGCGTTCCTCCCACTCCGGGTTTACAGATGCAGTTTCCATTGGACGGGTCGCAGAGGGAGCCGTCAGCCAGGTGGAAAGGCATCGAGCCCAGGGGGTGACAGCTGCATGCTGGGAAGGAATAAGAAACTGTTATTCCTCTCATGTTTAAAATTATGAGGTGATAATGCTTGATTCTGATTGGTCGAAACTCTTCAACGATGCAAATTAATTCAAAGAGGATACTTTAAGTCTGGGTCCTGTCCTGCAATCCATGCAATGGAGGCAGTGTTGGTGAGAGCATTTCAAAGTTAGAGACAGCTACCAAGTAAATTAAAGCTCCTGTGATGAACTTTTGGTGGCAAAGCGGTCTTCGCTTATTTTGTCCTTTACATGCTCCCATAGAGGAAAATGCTCATTTTTGACGATCTGATCAGATTCATTGTAAATAATGTTTATAACACAATAAAATAGCTGTTCTCTTCAGCTGATATAAAGACGATCATGTAACTGATGGTCTTGTTTGCTCTTGAATATCATAAAAAGGCAAAAAAAAATTCAGTCTGTGCCACAAATGTCCAAAAAACTCCTTACAGGAGCTTTAAGCCATAAGCAAAAGTTCTCATCTTATTTTGATTTCTGAGAAATGTGAAGGTCGAAGTGACTAATACTTCATCAGAATAATGCCAACAAGAAATAAAAGCCTATAATATAAGGACCTGGCTTTTCATTCGACAACTTCGTGAGCTGTTAGTCTTTGAGCACTGACCCAGTGGTAATTATATTTTGACTTAAACAATCAATAAGGAGTTATTTATACTGTTTCTAATGCAGACAAATCCTTCTGCTGCTTAACATGTTAGAGTATTAAAAACTTCAGCAGTTTATGTTAACATAATCCTGATTTTCAATAACGTGTAAATGCTGAAAATTCCCCTGACTTATACAATTAAGTGCTGCTGCAACAATCCAGTAGATCTACATCGTTTGATTATATGACTAAAAAGAGTTGTAATCAAGGTAAGGCAAAACCAGTGAACAACATGAAGTATGAACTTCTCATGTCTGCCCTAAAGGTCGGTGTTAAGAGGAGGGTTGCAGAAAACCACCCCATTAAAACCTGACTGGTTTAACGCATAATAGAGTCTGAAAAAGAGGGTATCTAACAAGAATAAATCATGTCTGCGCAAGGAGCAATTTTAGCTTGATGTAAAGTAAGAGAATCAACAAGTTTGGTGAGATTTATCCTCTGGGCACCATGAGTATTAGATCCTTATTTCATAGCAATCCCTCTAATGTTTCTCTTACGAGTTGAAGTCTCATCTTAAATCTTAATATAGATATAAAGTCAGAGGATCACCTAATTTTGTGAGTCATCCCTTTGGCTTCATGGACATCTACGCTAAATTTAATCCATCCAAAAAAGACAAGAAGTGACCGATTAGGTGCAAGGGTGGCTTTCATTCAGGAATATTGAGATATATACATGGAAACAAAATGTTTAAAAGTCTAAAGGTCTTCCACTTGACTCTTTGCTGACCTGCAAGTCATAATTTATTACCAGAACTGAAGTATTTCATCATTCATCATAGTTTTATTTGTCTGTGTGATATTATTGCTGGAGCACGTAACACAAAGGACTCTCTCTTTTTCTTATCACACACACACTCGGACCTCTCCAACTCTTTCCCTCCCCCCCTGTCCCCGCTAATTGTGTGCTGATAGTGTGTTCTTTAAACAACCTCCAAAAACAATATACTTACACACACAAACACACCCACACATGTTTCCATTGGCAGTCTGAGAAAACTACTGTCTGATGTCTCTCTGCTGTTATCAATACGGCAGACCAGGAGCCCTTCAGGAGGAGGTGAGCAGCCTCTCCCATAAATCTGTCCCTATCTCCAGGGGGCAGACAGAGGGGGGAAAGAGGGAGGGGACAAGGGGGGAGACGAGGTGAAGGAGAGGCAGAAGACGAAGGAGAGTAACAAAGACGGGGGCGTTGTTTGGGGCCGTTTCTCTGCTGTTTAATGATGCTTGAAGCTGCACTGGCAGTAAATGACTCTAAGTACTTACTGTACAGCCTGAGGCCTGTCTCGCTGCGCTCTCACCACCTCTCCATCAGCAATGTACAGTTAAACTTCAGAACACTAATGAAAGCATGAGCATGTTTGTCAATAAGGTTGTGTTTTCTCAGACTAAAGTTCATGAAGTGTAATACTTTTGTGGTAACTTAAATTTGCACACATCTTTGAGGTTGGGATTTATCATTCAGCACAGGACCCTTAACGTTGCTTTTTCCGAAGATATCAGGTGTAGTGCAATAATCTAGAAATTGTTGTTGTCAGTGTCATTGTATTATTGTTTGATTTTTTTGGACCTCTTAATCAGCATGAAATCGATAATGGAAAGAGATAGTTTGGAAGCTAAGGGACGACATGCTTCAGAGAAATCAGTCAGTGCAATGAGATATGATACAATACCAGATAATAACTTACAATTCAATTGAGGACAAATATGATGATATGACACGATTCTATCCAATACATCAACATATGTTTCAATTTAATACGATATACGATGGTATATGCAAAAACCATATGATATGATATGATACGATACGATACGATACTGTTCGGTACATTGGGAATGATTTGATATGAAAAGATAGGATTGGGATTGCATAGCCTAGCATAGCATACTACACAATACAGTGGAATATGATGTGATCAATACCATACAATACAAAGCTACACCATGCTGTTGATACAATATGATATGATGCACTAGATGTAAAACAGTATGATAAAATAGGCTACAATATAATATGTTACAGTATGATAGCTATGATAGGATGTGATGTAATACAATGATATCACATAACATGATGCGATGCAATACAACAATATATGATATGATATGATGTGATCTATTAGATCCGATACAGTAACACACAAGGCAATGTGATATGATACAATACATCAGGATATGATATGATACTTTCCAGTATGAGATCATATGGTTCAATACTGTTCAGTGAGAAATGATATGAAACAACAGAGTTTGATGTGATATAATGTGATACAAGTTGCACATCATCTGAAACAAATTTATGACTGCCCCTTAATGTTGCCGATTTTCTTACTTTTAAGAAAATTCATATGATATACAGTATCATTAAGTAGTTTCTGTTCATCTATCCACATACTTTTAAGTTTGATATGTATCAGTCATCTGCTGAGATGCATTTGTCCTTAAGCCAAGAGTTAATTACAGAGAGTGATATATATATTTATAGAATAAATAAAGGAGCAGAGCTGACTTTGTGTCCCCTGAACTGACTTCTTATACAACAAATGAATGAGCAGCTTTGTCTTTTTTCCTTGCGAGCCCACACCAGACAGTTTATCAGACGGTTTATCTCTGAACAACAGAGATAAGATAAACCTAATCATGAGACTGAGGTGAGCAATATCAATAAAATCATAAAGATACCAGATTTATTTACCCTGCAGGTGTGCAACATGCAGGTAAGACCCACACAAGTCACACAGGTACTGGACATGTCTTGACAATAACAAGACAGGTTTTTAATTTAACTGAGAGGCTTCATGTGTGAGTCTACAGCGATGTTTAGACTGTCAGTAATTAACCAGGATTATGGCACCATTGTAGCTCCATGTAAATCCAAAACACGTGTGACTGTGTTTAGTAAGTGTGAGTGTTTACACATCTGAATTTATGGGCTTTGAAGGGGGTCAATAGACAAGGACTCCTGTGTGTAAAAATGTGTGTGCGTCTTCGATAGATAGCTGCGGGAGCTCTAACAATGAAATCTTTATGAGCGTGTGCTAAGACATGACAAGACACCTGCCTGAGCAACCAGTGCAGACAACAAAATCCCCCCGACACACACATGTAAACAAACACTGTAACTTTCCCCCCCTTGCTTAAGTGTTTTTTGTGTGCATGAGCTTGCGTGGAGCCTGACAAGAGTGTTTTCTTTCCCGGGCCCCTCGGAGCCTGGTATGAAAAAAATGTTCCTCACGATGGAGGGAAATTCCTCCATTGTCAGTGAGCGGCTGCAGTGGGATTTCACAACCTGTACCTTCGTCTCAGGGGTTCTCAAAGCATGCCACCGCTCCCATTTTCTATCAGTCAGCTGTCACAGCTTTCATAGATACGCCACAGCAAATAAAAACAAGGATGACACCCTACCCAATCTCTGAAATTCAAACCTTACATTACATCTGATTTTAAAATGGTGATGGGCCAATTTTCCTCATCACAGACAGCTGAACTTATTGCTGTGTCATGCTAGCATACCTCCACAAGGAGTTGATCTGAAATTCATCTACTATATGAACCCTAAATTGTTGCTTAAAGGGATATTCCGGCGTAAAATTAATTTAGGGTCAAACACACCGTAACACCGAGTTAGACACCCCGTCGAGAGATGGATGTTGCTGACCGCTTACTTTTCTAGTTATACCAACTTGAGTAACAAACCACATGATAGCGATTCACAGCGGTCTGAGGAGCCATAAAAAAAAAACTCAACCAAAACACCGCTTTATAGCCACTAATAATGCTCAGAACAGCACCTAACTTCATCAACAGTACATATAGGGTCCCAGCCATAGTACTAGCCACCAAACATCTTTTTAACTTTGCCTGATTTCTTTACCAAAGAGACTAAACACAACTCACCTACTCTCTTCCAGCAGCCGCTTGTTTGTAGTGAGACCTTAAGCTAGTCCATTACGGACTAAGCGGTGACAAAGCTCAAGGAAGAACATTTATGATCATCTCCGAAATGTTCTTCCTTGAGCTGCGTCACCCCACTGCGGTAATGGACTCGCCCGGAGGTCTCCGTATAAACAAGCAGCTGCTGGAAGAGAGTGGGTGAGTTGTGTTTTGTCTCTTTGGTATAGAAATCAGGCAAAGTTAAAAAGATGTTTGGTGGCTAGTGCTATGGCTGGGACCCTATATGTACTGTTGATGGAGTTAGGTGCTGTTCTGAGCATTATTTGTGGCTATAAAGCGGTGTTTTGGATGAGCGAGTGGCTCTCTGTATTGCTATCATGCGGTCGTTACTAAAGTTGGTATAACTGGAGAAGCAAGCAGTCGGAGGGGGTGTAACTCGGTGTTGCGGTGTGTTTGACCCTAACTTAAGTTTTAGCCGGAATATCCCTTTAAGGAGTCCAAACACAAAGATCAGGCTGAACACCAATTGGGAATTAATTGGTAAATAATGCAGGGGGAGTAGTTTTGCTTCTGTGAATGACTACGGTAGATTACAAGACCACAACAGCCATACCAGCAGCTGCTGAGAATATATGAGGGGAAGTTAAAGTGGTGCTTTAGCTAAATGTTAACATCAACATCCTTAAAAAACCTACAGTGCCTGTTGACAGTTATCATATAATGTCTGCTAATCTTCACTATGTCGAAGCCACCGTTTATTTCTAAACTCCATTATTTGTTTGTTTATGATGCTACATCTAATTCTTAATCAGTTTTAACACAAAAAGTTTGTCATAAAGTATTGACAATCAAACTCTGAATGACACAAAAACACATTCCCTCCCCTCCGAATGTTTGCAAATGGTCTGGTGCAATTTACATTCTTGTAATCACGGCTGAGTCCAGCATACCTGCAGGACTGAGCTCACTGGGTCAAATCTGACAGATAATCAGAGGGAGAATGTAGCCACCGCTCTGTGTTTATGGATGACTATCGCGTGTTTACTTAAGGACTCGTCTCATCACCGGAGGGCAGCACGCCGCTCAACCCAGACACACACACGCACACACACACACACAAGACCCTCACACATGCACTTGCAGTGATTACCCTGAAGCAACTGGAGCTCTGAGTCACACATGAAAAATTGCAAAACAAGCCAAAGATGGACAAGGAGGGGGTTGTGTGTTGAGATTTGAGTCAAGGCGAAGGAATGCCACCATCTGATGATTAACTACGGTGTAAACCTTGGATCGAGCGTGGGCTGTCTGCTGTCTCTCGCACACAAACACAACCACGCACACTCTTAAAGCCAGGTGCCCATCAGGAACCAGTGTTATCCAACCGGCACGTCCCAGCTTGTGATCTCAGTCCTTAGCATTCCTTCAGAGAATGAGAGCATCGTGCCAGTGTGGTCTGTGTGAGGTTAATGTTTGGATTCACACTGGTAAGGTTTTTCTGTCAGCGCTGGTATGATTAATTATGATTTATGACATTTCACAGTGTGCTCTACATGTCTCGTTATGGTTTTTTACTGTCAGTCTGACGAAAACATTTGGACTAAAAAAACTCATCTGATATTCACAAGTGAAATTCCTTCACCCAGGCACATATAGGCGCCATATGCAGTAACTGAGCTTATATTATGTTGTTATTTCAACAACGTATTCAAAATAGGTCACCTGATTTATGATTATTATACATCATGATTAAAGCATGATACAAGCACCTGAGGGTCAGAGGCAAGACTTGAAACAAACAACAACCGTCCTATTATCATGAAGAGGCAGACCACAGCCATCTATTAAAGCTCCTGTAAGGAGTTTTTTTTTTATGTAACTTAAATAGATTGAGATACATATTCTTGTTTTTTATGACATCCAAAAGCAGACAAAAGCATCAGTGACAAGACAGTGTCAAATTTCCACATCCTGATTTCTAATGCCTGAAACTGGTGCCAGATGTCAGACAAGCAGAAACAGCCCTATTTTATGGTTTTCTCCATAAAATATTCACTATAAATGATGTGTTTGTCAGTCAAGAGTCAGTATGATGAAAATTCATGTCAAAAATAACTACTTCTGTACACAGAAGATAAGATAAATAGAGACTTCTTGGTCCACAGGGGGCGCCAAAATTGCCTCAAACCAAAAGTTTCTGATTGGAGCTTTAAACTGTAACTTTCAGCTTATATAACATTATATAACTGTATTTATACCAAAAGAAAACATTAACCCCATGAGTCATAAAATACCTCAATGTACTTCAGTGATGAAATAAATCAACCATCTTACATTTTGCTTTCACTTTCTGTTGTCGCATAAATATTTATTTTGTTTCTGTGTTGTATCTGTTTTTAGATTAGGAGTATGTGGTTTTTAAGTGTGTTTATTGGTTTAAAATGTGTCACTGTCTGTCGTATGTTACCTTGTGTTTTCAGTGGAATATGGTTGCACATCTCTGCTAACAGATTCAACATAATAATGTAGTTCTCTGTACCAGGGGACTGGATTTCAAACACTGAAAATGTTCTGATTTCTCTCTGTAGTATTGACCTGTCATATTAAAGCAGGCTTTGAAAAAACAGTCTGTATGGAGGGCAAAAGTAGGTGTTGTAACATCATACTACCTACTGATTTAAGGCAAAGCATCCTCTTGTTGAAATCATTTATTCCTAGAAACTTTTGAATTGATTTTTGTGTGTCTTACAGTGTTTTACTCACGTTTACAGGAGTCAGAGGCAGTTTGAGGTCTTAGGGGGTCTCTGTAGAAGCCGGCCTTGCATTTCTCACACTGGCGTCCTTCAGTGTTGTGCAGGCAGTCACACACACCTCCGCTGCGCTGACCTGACTCACGCCAAGCTGTCCAATCGAAATGGCAGCTTTGGGCGTGTCCGTTGCATTTGCACTCTGATGAAGAAAGAGGAAATCAGGAAATCAATCTCTAAAGCTTTCCCCCTCCAGTTTGGGGCCCCACCACATGTAGATGATGGGAAAATTCATTATCTCTAAGTATTGTAGATTATGTTTCTCTGTAAGCAGGTATGTCATATGAGCATGAGACCTCTGTGCTTGTGATGGAAAAAGGTGCAGCTGTGTTTGCTCGACTTACTCCGACATTCGTGCGGCGCTCCCGTCAGTCCGTCAGCGGGCTGCCAGGGCCGGTCGTTGTAAAGAGGAGCGCAGTGCTCGCAGTGATCTCCCGCTGTGTTGTGTCTGCACACACACTTCCCGTGAACCTGAGAGACATACGGAGGGAGAGGCTCATTAGAGACGAGAAAAATGTCAGGTGGAGGTGGAAGAAAGAGGTCAGCGGGATTGAGGGAAAAGTTTCTAATCCAAGAATAAGGGTTAAGATTTTTTTCTTCTTCTCCTCTTTTCTCTTTTACAACTCTTAACCTCCACTTTTATCTCCTGAATTTCTCTATTTCCTCTGATTTCCTCCCCCTCAAACTCTCCCTTGTCTCTCTCTTACTCCCTTGCCTGAAATTAGTGAATGGAGATTGATTGTTTGGCTTCATCACTGGAAACAAGAACGGGCCTCTGGTCTGAAAAGCCTGTGTGTGTGTGTGTGTGTTTGTTACTTTGTGTGTGTGTGTATGAGAAGAGAGCAAGTATGCAGCACTGAGAGCACAATAACAATCTCCTTGTCATTCCTGCGAGCTGGAATGCCATGCATGCTGGATAATGATTGAAGGGGGGGTGCAAGGCATCTGAGGAAGCTCTTTATTTGTTTGTGTTACACCGTGCGACTGTAATGTAGGACACACACACACACAAATACACACACATAATTATACAACGATTACAGAGGTAGGCACACAATATTCAATGCAAATACACATGCTAGTCCCAATAACTCACAAAAACACACACACACTCAAATTCTTGCGTTTGTTTCCCACGGTTTGTCAGCCTTCGGATATTAAAGAAAGTAACAGAGTAAAAATATAGTTGAAGTACGAAATATAAGGACTCTTTTCTGGTGTATAGTACTTTCTCACAAAAATAAATACTATTTCTTACAAATATCACTGTCCAGGTTCCTACCATTAATGCTACAATGCTCTACGACGTGGATATAAACAAGCACAGTCGGATGATCTAGAAAATGGGGATGAAGTTGTAAGTAGGTTGAATTGATTGAACATTCATACAACAGAAGTGATGTTTAACCTGCTAGAATATGTAGATGTTGAACTACAAGGGAAACTACAGACTGGTGGTGCTAGCTCTGCTAATGGTAAACCAATTAGAGAATGTTTATCTACAGTCTGTGCCCAATTTTGATGGTTTTCTGAGTGTTTTCTTACCTTTAGGCTAACCAGTTAGTTGGAGTAACCCTAAACCTAACCCCCATTTATTTCATGTTCCAACGTTAAAAGCTAAGGCATGCAGAGCATTAGCAAAGACCCTCGTGTACAGAACAGAGCAGGGATCAGTGGTCTGGATTACTTCATAGATCTTCATAGATGGAGAGGCATGAGTACACCATTTTAATCACACTAATAGAGTGGAGCAATGTCAGTAATAAGAGGTCGCAGGAGACTGAACAACACATGTAGTGTTAAAAAAGTAAGAAGAATAAGTAATTCACTGGAAAGTAATGAGGGGAACAGGAAAGAAAGAAAATGACGGGAAGAGGAGAAGGAGCTGGCTCGAGTCCAGACAGTTGTTATTTTATCCTGATTCACATGTTTACCATACCGTGATACGGGATAATTAACACATGTACACAGTGAGAGCTGCACACACGCTACTGTGAAAGACCAGCCGCACAGATGGGCTGATGCTGAGAGCTGGAAGAATTAAAGAAGCTGCTGAAATTGAACCACCTTTTAGCCAAAAACAGGGAGAATTGTGCAGTTTGAAACATGAAAGTTATTTTATTTTTATCCAACAAAATTTTGCAGGTACTTCATAAAATTTTTTCTATAATAGATGAGTAAATAACAGTGTTCATTTAAAGAATCTTATTGCAAGAGTTACGACAGAACTCTAATCTGACTGTTGAAGAAATTCAAAGATCTTTAAAAGTCTCGTTTTTGGAATTAATATTTGTTTTCATCAAATTTATCACTCATTTAGAAATTTTGTCGTGGGGTATGTGAATGAACTCCTCCCTTCAACATGCAAATCCGTCTGTGGTTTTAGACATGAAAAATATCTAAATGAAATAATTCACAACTGATGTTGTTTGTTTTGTTTGCTAAGTTAGGCAATAAAGAGACATTCATAGTCATTGTAGTTAGTTGTTGAACAGCTAAAACTCCCCACACAAGCTTTAATAACACATTTAAATAGGTTGTTATGATATCGTTAAGAAGTAAGATTTACACACCCCATAAACCAAAAGTTTAGGAAATCAAAAGATGCTTTACAAAAGCTTAGAGCCAGGGGTCATTTGGAAAAAAAACTTCAATCTAACACACTGAGTGGTTGTCCTCTTAAAAAAATACATACAAAATATATAGGTTCAGCTTCGCTTTGCAAAGAGAGACCAAAATTCTGCTACACAGATGAAACAAACCACAGAGTAACATTTTTGTGTAAGGAGGAATAAGATGAAAGAGAGTGAGACGGAAACGTAAAGAACAAAAAAGAGCCAGAAAGGCAAAGACACACAAACACAGCCTGGCCTGACTGCTGCTAAAACTCCAGTAGCTGTCTCTGGATATCATTAAGTCTGGATACAAGTGTGAGTGTGTGTGTGTGTGTGTGTGTGTGTGTGTGTGTGTGTGTGTGTGTGTGTGTGTGTGTGTGTGTGTGTGTGTGTGTGTCTTTGTGCCGAACTAGTAGACAGTGAAATCACTCTAAACCACAGAAGAAGAAAAAAACAATGTGGGGGGCACAGCAGCACAAATAAACAACAACAAATTCACAAAGTTCTCCTTACGTCTTTAGAGTCTGGACAGTAATGAGTCGACTTATCAGCACACGCGCACAGACACACACAGACCACTTTCACTGCTGATTACTGCGCACACATGCACACACTGCAGGAAGACAAAACATTGCATGCTTAAGCACACACACCTAACAGAGCAGACCAAACAAACAACAAACAACCTGCTGTGTAAAGAGAAAAAAGTGCATTTCTACAGTGACCTTGAGTTTTTGATGGGACCCAAAACTTTGACAAGAAACGGACCTTGTAAGAAATCGAGGTTTTTGAACTATTTCTATTTTACATAGCTTACTACACTTTATCTCAGCTTCTTTTTGAGCTGTTCTTGCCGTGTCATAAATCCTATTTCTCTATGCAATGGAGACATCTTTGCTTGTCATGTCGAACAACAACAGCACTTACACCAAACTTCTTCTGCTGTGGCGCTCGCCCTTCCCTTCCCTGAGCGACCGCTTATCTTTGCCCACATCTCTCATCTTACTCTGCTCTGTTTGTTTGGGTTTTGCCAGGTCGAAACAGAGACACAAAACAAAACCGCTGATAGGCGCAGAAAAAAAAAAAAGACACTTATATAACTGTCTTGTGTGTTTACCGAATACTCCTGCATAGCTGAGCGATGCTCTGATGACCTGAGGTAATGTTATGGGTAAAGTTAAGAAGGATTTAGGTTCAAGTCTGGGGTAAAGCTGGACTTATATCTGAGAGGAAAATATAAACTCTACGTCATGTTCCTGACATGTCAGCTCTGAAATGATCTGTTTTTGTTATGAGCCTGGCGTGCAGAGGAGGGTTTTACATCCCCGTGGTCTAAAGACTGTTTCAGAGGATTTTCTGCCCTCAGAAGAAGGAAATCCTCATGAAAACACTCAGTAGAGCTACTTGGAATTCCTTGGCATGAAAATAGTCAGATTCAAAGATTTAAGGACTGTTTTCAATAAATCGGCCATCAGCAGCTTTGGCACAAAAACACTGTTATCAGTGAACGCAACACATGAATGGTCTTGTCCATTTATCGTGAATGTTATACCGAACGTTTTAAATTCATATCGGCATCACAATAAGAGTTTGTTTCAGCTACTGGTTAGAATAAAAATATTATGGTGCTGTAAGTTTAACATCACATGACTTACATGTAAAATGACAGTGTGCATGTGGAAATGATTGGTGCAATGTGTAGAAATGGACAAATTCAATGATATCTTGCAGTTAGAGCCTTGAATGCTCCCTTACTCACTCCTGAAAGTATAATCCTCTATCTACAAATTCATTTGGACACAACTACTCTCACCTTTGTATTTCAACGGGAGCTTTTTGTGCGTCCATTTGCAACCTACAAAAACACTCTCATTCCTAACTACCGTATTTTTCGCACTATAAGGCGTACTTAAAATCCTTTTGGCTTGTTGGAGCACTGCAGCTACCGTAGCCTTGCGAAGTTATTGACTGTTTTGTTCGGCTCAATGAGCATTATAATCCGGTACGCCTTATGTATGAAAATAGATGCGAATAGACGCGTTCATTGATGGTGCACCTTATAATCAGGTGCGCTTTATAATGTGAAAAATACGGTGTGTCCATTCAGTGCTTCTGTAGAAACATGGCAGTGCAAGATGGTAACCAGCGCTCCTATGTGAACATAAACATCTCATTTTAAATCAACAAATACGAAACACCTCCTGTGTAGTTTTAATATATGTTTTGCTAACTTAAACGTACTTATGAGTGTCATTCTGCACATTTAGAAAAGGCTACAGTGAACAAGAAAGCTATGAGGCTTCAGATGTCATATGTGACATGAAATCAGGCTGAATGAGAACCTGTTATGCAGATCTGTACTGTAATGCATACATATAATGTTACAATGTTGGAGGTCCTTTCTAAACGATGGCAAAGTTCCAGAGCATGATGTACAGGAGCGGTGGCGTCATTCCTGCAAGTGTTCACCTGGTTGCGAAGACAAATCGCAGCAAACAAGGAAATTTTTATATTTTGGGAGTGTAATGCAGCTTTTTGTGCACCCCGTTTTGTTGATGACTCCTACGTAAATTTTATTACTATCAACTGGAGCCTCAGAGGTTTTCTGTTCTGGCATTACTTTGTTTCATGATGACATAACTGTGCAAAAAGTTACACCCACAAACAGTGTCTCACTTTGTATCAATGGAAAAGCAGCCTGCATGAAGGGTTTCAGACAGTGGTTAAATATCAGGGTTTTCTAGCATCTAAGTTTTTATAAACAAGAACGAATTATTGGTGATGTAAAGACATGGCATCTGCCCACTGCACCTGATTAGATTTAACACTTCTTATCATCCTCTAAGATCCATAATCAGCCCAAGCCTGACTGTTTATTCTGTTGTCATGCTGTTGTTTATCAGTGTAAATCTCTTTGCTTATATAAGTCCTCCTTGTTGACTCTCACTTTCCTTGTCGAGCTTCACTGATTGCAGCAGAACGGACGCTCGGCTTCAAAGTCATCCAGCGTGATTTGTGTTTGTGGAGATGACTGTGATAGGAGCGCCGCTCTGAAACACTTCACTGTTGGTCTCCAGGAAAAACACAGACTCACACTTTTATCAGCGCACACACACACACACACACACACACACACACACACACACACACACACACACACACACACACACACACACACACACACACACACACATACATCAACACCATCATTAACCGTCACTCAGACGGATCAGTATCTCCATCTCTTGGGTTTGTTATGAACCGGAAAGAACGGCAGCTGTTTATCTGAGCAGACGGACCCAGAAGAGCAGCGGAAGTAAAGAGGAATGGGATCCCCACCGCCTCCACCACCTCCACCCCTCCTTTAGCGTGTTATTAAGACGACTGCCAACACAAAGTGAACAGCCCATTTAGTTTGTAAGTGCCCTGCCTAATCTTGAATAATCTTAATTTCAAAGAACAAGTGAAAAGCCGGCCTGTGGGGTGTGATTACTTAGTGATAATTATCGAAACGAGAGAAATCTGAAGAATGAAAGGAAATGCCTGCGTGTCAAAACAGGAGTGGTGTGTTAGTGTCAAAGAATCAAGGCTGGAAACAAGATTATTTACATTGGAGATTTGATTACTGGCAAAGAGCACCGGTACAAAAACAGATCAGAAAGACGAAGAGATGCCATTGAAATCGCCAAAAAACCGACAATGACGACGGCCAACACATTAAGCCAAGAATTACCTATGTGGATGGAGATAAATTTGATTCAGTTTAACTCTAGGAGATGTTTTATAAACCTCTCTTACCACATGGTTGGTCCGGTCTCTGATGGGCTGGTATCCCCGTGCAGGAACACACTGCTCAGCATGTCCATTGCAGAAGCAGCTCCCCTTCACTATCAGGTCGTAGATCGCAAAGTGTCGGGTGGGGAGATCTTCGTGTGCGGAGGCGAGGTCTTTGGCCTGGCAGGGACACGACTGTTGTTTCAGAAGTCGAATTCTGATGTTAGTCACCCTGAGCTGCTGCTGGCCCTCCAACCCGAATGGATCCAAAGATTCCCACTTGGGGAGGGTCCTGTAGATCACCTGTTGGTTGTAAAGAGACAAGCTATCACACAACTGAACCAACAGTGTTTTACTTCAGACTTTGTATAAGTAAAGATTCCTGCTCCACCAAGTTATAAAGTTAATTTTGAGACCTGTGCAGTCATTTTTTCCCTAACACTTGGACTGACTTCTTTCTCCAGAATGAGGAGATTTTGTCAGACTTTTATCGTTTTCCGTCTCCCTCATTGGCTTTTACTTTCTGTCTTGGATCTCTGAAAGGACTAATAAAACACAAAAGATGCAGCATGGTACTCCCTGTCATCCCCACTCTATGATTTAAAAGGATTTGACGGGTTTATTTAGTGGCACTATCAGGGTCATTGACGCCTCTCTGTCACTATATCTGTCATGCTAATGGAGGTTTGTTTTGGTCGGATCTGTGACTTCATAACTCATCGTCACTGACTGCCATCTTCACGTGATCATGAGGGTACTGGTTGCCCTTAAAAGAGTGCCCCCAACCTTTCTCTCCCCCCTTTCTCACTCACTCTCTCTTTTTTTCTCCCTCTTTCCCTGTCTGGTCCCTGGACATCCTTCAAATCGAAGATCCCTTTATGGGCTGCCATTTCCATGGCTACTGCTGCCACTAGCAACCAGCACCGCCGCTGTTTTGGCCACGAAAAAGTTGGTGTCTGCCCCAGCTCTAGCTGTGAAAGAAGTGTGTGTGTTTGCGGTGTGTTTCTTTGCACAGGGTGTGTTGTTGTCTTTGGCTGTCATTGATATCGTTGGATGAGTAGTGTGTTTATGTGTGTTTTCTTTGGCCAAAGCTTTGAGATGCAGGCAAAGACCCCATGGGGCGCCCTCATTGGCTGGATGACTGGCCCAGAGTGTGATGGGAGGAGCACTATTAATTTCCCTGTTGTTGGAAAAGGTCGCAGGGTCACGGCATTGTGGTCCACAATTAAGAGAACACGACAAATAGAGGAGCAGGGGCGCCGGTCCGCGGGAGAGCACAGAGAGCAGGGCCAGACAAAGACGGGGATGGAGATGCAGATTCACATAACTCAGGGACGGACAAAAGGCCTGCGACAGCTCAGTGATACCACAGCAACTCCAGCAGATACACACATCCTCACTGGCATGCACACAAACAGCAGTGCTGCAGATTCCAAAGAGTCTATCGCGGAGCTTTCGCAACACAGTGTTGCTTCGTAGTTTTCCTCTGAATGTATAGACAAAATAAAAGGATTTCATATACTGATGATACAAAGGTTTACATAACAAAATCAGCTGTCTGCCTCATAGATTCCTTTCAAATTATGGTGACAAAAGATTAGAGTTTGCAAATATGCTGATGACACCCAGGTCTATATTAGATTTAGCAGAAATCTGGTTTCCAAGTCCATTTAAAGGAATTAACAACTCAACCATATCTTGCAACCATGCCTCATAAATTTCTTTAAAGTACAGAAACAAAACATCTGAGTTTGCAAGTTTGCTGATGATACCCGTGTTTATGTGTCCATTTGAGAATTTTGGGAAATCAAAGAGTCCAATTTGAAGCTTTCACAACATAACTAGTATGCCCCAATAATTATTTTAGAATATAAAGACAAATATAGGGTTTGCAGATATGCAGATGACACACATCTTTATTCTAATTTAGGTTTCAAATGTCTTTATGTTCTAGGGCGCTCCAACTTCTGTAAGAGGGTTCTGGGAGCCAAACAAAACAATAATTTACTTATCCAGGAAATTTTGTAACAGTATTTTATAAAACAGCCATAGAACAAAAACTGTATGACACTTTAAAACACATTTTTCATTTTTGGTGGAAAACTGTTAAACGGTTGATTGATAATAGTGCTACAGAGCACATCTAGCAGCAAATTTGGTGGCATGATCCCTCGCTCAGTCTTTATATCTTATTTAATACAGAGGTTTTCCATTTGATTTGGGACTATTTTCAATAATAGATCGGATAGAGTAGGAAACTGGGAAGACAGAGTGGGGAATGATGTGACAAAGGGCCAGGGGTTGGAGCTGAACCTGAACAGCCCACTTTAAGGACTTAAGCCTCTGTCTATAGTTTCACATAAAGTAGTTTTAAATGGATGTTGTTTTGTAAATGCAGAAATTAGGATTTACATTATATTTTACTGATTAAATTATTCAGACATCATCTGGTCCATTGCAAAAATCAACATTTCTGTTTTATTTCTTGTAGAAATCTTTTGACTCCTAAGCCAGTTGGCCTTCTCAAGTCTGAGTGTGGCATCCAACCAAACTGTCCCTTGAAGACTTACTGAGATTTACAGGACAAAAACTATTTCCAAAGAGACCCCATGAGGAGTTCACAGAAAGGAAACAGCTTTTACGTATTGGACCATTAATTCTATTTTCCAGCTAAGTCTAAGAAACCTGGAAGTCAGAATAGGAAACCAGGGCCTGGAATAAACATTACAGGTGTTGTTCAAAAGTCAAAAGGAAGATTTGGACGATTTTAACGACTGCCTGTTGGGATTAAAAGTGACTTAGCTTGCCATAGGAGAGCTGCAGTAGTGTCTGCAAGAGATTTATTTTCTGCTTTTTTAACTTGGATTATAATTTATTTTGCTGTATGTTGAGATGCATCTAATGTTGACTCTGCATCAGACAACATTGTTACATTACATTGGAAATTATTGGGCTTTAAGTTGTTGCATCAATTCCAAAAATGTATGGGCTCTTCTTTCAATTGCTGTCCAACTTTCCACCAACTTTGAGAAAAATCTGCTCAGTGGTTCCCTAATCTCACTCAGCGACAAATCTGCAAAAACTCCCTCCTTGGTGGATGTAAAGCAGATTTATGGTTTTAAAGACACTTGTGAAAATGTTGCACAGTTTCGTTTTATGTGAATGGAAGCACATTCCCTGGGTCTGTCGGGTCCCAAGGACACACACAAGGTGTTTTGGTTAGAAATGCTGACTATGAACATTTTTACAGACTCAAACCTCCACGAGGGAATCTTAAACTGTGAGCGAATTCACAGAAAGACAAGTGCCACGAGTGAAGGATGGAAAACATCTGCTTTCGAAGACTACTGTACGTCCAATGTGGGATCTGTGAACTTTTGCCACATGCAGAAGCACACGGGTGATTAAGTTTTATACTTTGCATGGAAAATACGGGACAATTGAAAGCCAATGAAGCAGATTTGAATTTAGTTCCTGAGGTGTTTGGTTCACTGTAGGCCATGTGTTCACTTCAGGCTAAAAAAAAAGTAAGTCTGGCTTTAACAGGCGTAATTCCATCAAAGCACTGTGGGCTGTAATCTGGTAAACAGGCACAATGGGCATTGATGGAAGGAGAGAGATGGAGAGGGAAACAGAGTGGGTGAGGGGGTGAGGCAGAGGAGGGTGGGGTGGGGGGTGGGAGGCGTCTAGCCAACAGTACCAACATCCATCAGAGCAACGGCACTTCCTTCCCAGCAGACAGACGGAGAGCTGACTGTATGTGTTTATCTAGAAAGTGTGTGTGTGTGTGTGTGTGTGTGTGTGTGTGTGTGTGTGTGTGTGTGTAGGCCTCACTCTCTTCCCTAAGGAGGTCAGTCTCTACAACAAACACTCACATTCTTCCAGCCCGGCTGACCTCATAAATAAGACAAGAAGCCCTGCATACTACACACACACACACACACACACACACACACACACACACACACACACACACACACACACACACACACACACACACACACACACACACACACAGGTGAACATGAAAAAGCTTTCAGCACAAGAGATGACATGCTTTCATGGCAGAAAGCTGAGACTACCAGCTCCCTGAATCGCTCCCAGCTACAGAACAACTCCCAGAAACCTTTACCGCCATCTGATAACAAGCAAACACGTGCAGGAGAACTTTAAACCAATTATCAGCCACATTATTTATGTCTTATTTACTTTGATATTGTTGATAGTCATATATATTTTAGAGATACTCTGAGACAAAAAAGGTAAATCCTCCCAAGGCCAACCACTTTTGATTTGAGTTTATGATGAAGTTTTACGATGAGGCTGCAACCATAGATAAGTCATCATAAAGATTTACTGACTGCTTATTCATAGATTTATTATTTGATACGCATAGCATTTATAAAGAAAATGCGTCCATACAAATACCTATAGCCCCAGGTGACGTCTTCAAACGGTTTTTTAACAGTAAAGGCAGGGTGTGGGTGTTTGAGCAGAGAGAAGCAGTAAATCTCAATTTCTAAGGCACAGCAATCTGGAATTGTTATTTGATATGATATATGAAATGATACCATACCCTGTGATTTAATTCATTCAGTAAAATATGATACAAAACATATGCCTCAATAAGTCTAACCCAGTTCCAAGTCCTGATTCCAGCATGACAACATCTGCATGTTGCATATAGGCCAGCTTTATCTAAATAATAATGTAATCTACAGCTGAATAATGATAAAAACAGTAAAATGCATGCAAACAAATAAATAAATAAATTCCTCTAGAATAGATACAAATCAAGTTTAGAGAAGAATTTTACCAGTGAAGAGGTCACTACACATGTAAAACTCACTGAAACGTATTGCACAGAACAACACTGCGCTGTCATCATCCTGCAAAGGCTGCGCACTGTTTAGCTGTCAATGCAGGTGACGCACAGCCTCAACACAAAGGAGCGGGAACAGTGTGAACAGCTGAGCAGCAGCAGCTGGCCTGTCAGAGCGCTACTTGACCTCTGTTAACCTCCGGGTCGGGAGTTGACAGGGTTAGAGGGCAAAGATCAAGCTGCAAGCACAGGTGGCTGAGACGTACAAAAACCAATATATGAACAGAGAGAGACAGACAGAGAGGGAACAATGTTTTAATCTTTTTAGGCAACAATAAATAGAAAGTAGAGCCGGTTCGTCTGTTTTTTCTTACACGCACAAGCTCATAATCTCATTTAAAAACGCACAAGAAGCACAGCGGGAGGAGACGGGGGAAGATTTATGATCCAGCGGCAGAATAAGTCCAAAACAGCTGCGAGGAATACTCGGAATACTCCATCAAAGAGGGCGTCAACACGCATTACACACGAGAGCTCTGCAGGGAGTCCGGAGCAGCACCACGCTCGGCATGCGCCTCCACACACATCTGCAGAGCAGCTCCCGACACACACTGCTTCAATTAAACATCAAGGGACTTCAGGAAGCCCTCTCGTGCTACAGTCAAAGTACACCCATTAAACACTCACTCATGCACGTACACACACACAAACACACACACACACACAGAGCTTCCCCCACCTGGCTGTGCTCTGCTTTTATTCTGCTCTGTGTGCTAACGCCGCTGGATGACTCGCCTTTTGACATGTTGCGTGACTTACTGAAGTGAATCTAAGCTGGTATCACAGCTACTGATGGAGAGGATACACTTTGATCGCTTGTCAGAAAAGTGTCGGTCTCCATGGCGATTTACCTGCCATACCTGGCGTGTGATATGACATCGTTAGTAATAAAAAAAGCTGAGCAGGAAACTTTCTGTAACCCCCTCCGGCGATTCTCTGCAGGTGTGTGTATCTGCTGTCTTTTCCCACCTGCGTTAACCTGCTTTCTGACGTTTTTGGACAAAAAGGGATATTAGGAAATCAATCTGATACTGATCTGATCGTACAAAGACGTGTTGGCTGGTTACTGGGTATGTTGAAGGGAAAACAGAGAAATTAATGTTCCAGCTGAAACCGAGGACAAAGAAACCTTTTGTGTCGACTTCAACTTTTGACCTGATCGTTAATTAACGACCTTATCTACCTTATCCTCCGATTTATTTCATTCAGTTTTCATACGTCAATCAAGCTGTCACCTCTGATGTTAAGAAAAGAAGAAAATGAAAAAGTATAAAAATCTGCAGTCCCACTTTTGTCCACTTGAGGCTGGCTCCAACAGCTTGGGAGACTCCATTGGAGTCCATTAAAAAATGACCATTATTACAGCAAGATTTAACATGCGTACAGCCTGGTAAAAGTTTGGGCCTCTCTATCTCCTTATTTTAATTCAGTTCAGTTAAATTTTTTAATAAGTCATCCATTTTCACTAAATTAGAGATAGTGGTTGGGCAAGATGAGAGGCGTGGCTGATACGATACATTATAAAACTGTATAGTACCCCATGCAATAACATGTAAAGTGTTTTGGTATGATACAAGATGAAACTATCCCAAGCCAAAAGCTAGTTATGGTCAGAATTTGTTGCAGTCTTTGGGCTTTATGAAGCTACAAACCAGTGTGTGAAGTTACTGAGACTACGTCATCATTGTTGGGCAGAATCCTTGAATCTCTGGTTTTAATCAACTTCATATTTTTGGTTTTAATCCGTTTTGTTCATCTCCTTTTGTGTCGCTCATTGGGCTCTTTTATGGGGTGTCTTTTTTATACTCTCTGTAAAGTAGTGGTTTAGGAGATAAAAGATGATAAGCATCACTTTATTATCATTCTGACTAGACTCAGGAGTGAGTTCACAAAAGCCCAGACTAAAAGTCGTATGTTAAAAACCAGAAAAGAGGGATACTTAGAAGGAATCAAACATAAAAACAGCTTGAAGAGTTAAAATACTTGAAGTGTCTTTTCTTGTTTCTTGAATTGCAACTGGGTATTTGGCTTAAAGTGCTGCAAGGACTCAGCTGACCCACATTTGCCACTGCACCTGAACACCTCCTACAAAAGGCACTTGTTAGCCCAGTTTTCAATCGCTCTATCTCATTTATATCTTTGCTCTTTGTCTCCATCATCTTGAGGTAAAATATTGGGCTCCCTAGCTGCTAAAAGCTTAATTGTGTGAATTTACTCATTAGCCAGTGAGCTTTTTCTGTCCTTTGTTTGATCCATGCAGTGCTTTCAGGTCTGTGTAGAGTTTAACCCAACTGAGACACTTCATTGCTGGAGAATTTTAAGAGTATGAATTTGGCTTCTCACCTCTCCACGGTTGCAGGGATAAGCCCCAGAGTATTTGGACGTGCAGGTGGCTCCATCCCGGCCCCCTCCTGCCTTTCCCTCCTCCAGCCCAAAGGCGGCGCTACAGTTGCTGGCAAAGTACTGCAGCATCTTCCACGTCCTCCCAAAGTCCTGCGATCTCTCCAGGGTCATGGCGGCAGGCCTCGGCGAACGAAACACCAGGATAAGATGTGTGAAGTAGAACTCCGCCTCCAGGTCCAGCTGCACCGTCTCAGACTCCACCCCTTCCGCTGACTGCCACCATGTGTTCGGGTGCCGGAACGAGGAGTCGGACATGGCTCCAGCTAGGTGAGACAGGTGAGGTAGGGCAGCGTTGCATTTGGCGCACTTGGCGGCGTCGCAGCCCAGGTTGATGTTGGGGTCAGAGTAGGAGCAGTAGAGCTCGGTGCCGTTGTTGCCGCAGACGGTCTGAGTGAGGATGCGGCGGCCCAGAGCGAGGTTACCCATACGAGGGTTGCAGGCGCGACTCTCACAGCGAGGGGCCACACCTGCACGGAACACCTCTGACAGACCTGCATGGAAGGAGAAAAGACTTACAAATGAAACTGAGGCGACAGGAAACAGTGGTACAGTGGTGTCTTTTACAATGCCCCCTGGAGTTGGGGATCCAACTTGGACACACGGGGGAAGCTCAGTAACCTTGAGCTTGAAATCCAAACAACTTTCCACTTTGTAGCTTTGAAGTGACATCATTCCCAAGACGAAGGGTACACACCTATCCCTACCCTTAACCCTAACCCCGCCCACGCAGCCCTTACCCAAACCTGCAACATTTTGTCAACAAACATAAATACTAGTGGCACCTTTACAAGGACTTCTCTTTTAGTAAGATAGAAGTTTTATTCTGAAAACCTTCGAGTGAAAAAACAAAAATCTTGCATGAAAAGATGCCCAAAAAATGTGTAAGGGAGGTCTGGATTATTAATGGAAGGTGATCCAGTTTCCAGGAAAGATATTAAAAACCACATTTGAGCACTCTCTTTACATTGAAGCTGATATTTTGTGTCCCATGTCCAATAATCATTCAAGTTATCCCAAAGAAATGTCTGTTTGTCAGCACACAATACCAGTGTGAACCTTTAAATTGACCCGTTCTTTCGAGCTGGTTTGGAAATGTTTGGACTTGCAGTTTAGCAAACAGACTGACCTGAATTTAAGTACAAGAAACAGAGAAAATGTGAGAATGAGTAGTTAAAGTGTGACTCAGTGTGAGTGTGTCTGTTAGTGTGTACACAAGTCAAGTGATTTACCTCGATCGGAAATGTTATGCAAAAGGGATAATAGAGGCATTGTGCACCTGCCTGCTGCAGACTGCAGCCAGCGTGGACTCTAACACAGATAAAGTTTGGCAGCTCGAGGAGGATGAGCGGCATTCAGACGCCTCCCAGACGCTTTGGAAGGAAAAAAAAAAACTCACCCTCAGGGCCACAGTGTCATCTTCCTATGAGGATTTATAATCCAAAGCCTGAAAACTTTGTCTTTGTGTTTCATATCAAAGCACCTCACAGATGCGATTGTATTACACCCTTAGAGCCTGAATTAATGAGCTTTTGCACTGAGGAACTTTTTCTGGAAGCATGTTTTTGTCAAAGTGGAGTACATGATGAATTACATAACTGTCTGTAGGTAGAGAGGTCATGGGAGGAAACATAATAATCACTTACTGTTATCATTTACAGTGCTGAGTGATAGTATGCCAACTTAAAGCATGATAAATAATGTAAAATTTAACTGTAATGAAGATACAAGTGACTATTGGTTTGTAGAGCTTTGAATCAAATATAAAATCAAAGCTTTATCAACTTTCACGTTTCCCATACAAAACCTCCATTTAAATTTGTGCCAATTAAAAACAACGAGTCCTCACACATGTGCTCTGCTTTTCTGGATATTCCTGTGGTTAATGTGGAAGCTGGAGTTTGTTAAAACTTATTAAAAACTTTATCACTCTTAAAACTACTATCATATGTGGGTTAATATGTCAGAAATCCAGTGTAAATACGCCTCGAAGTAAAGCTTAAATTTGCTAAAATTTAAGGCGAGTTCTGCATTGGTGCACACCTCCAAGAGGAGCAAGTGCACATTGATGCAGTAATGACAATAACTCAGAGGATGGGATGTTTAATGTATAAGAAACACACTAACCTGCATCTGACAGCACGGCCAGGCTGATCACGTATAAAACCAACATATCTTTTCGTGGCAGGAATAATAATCCAAAACACGCGAGGACAACTGATCCAGAAATGTCACTTTTGGAGTTATTCAGACATCAAGTGTGCAGAGATTTGACCAAAGAAGCAGACAAGTGCGCAGGTTCAGATCCAGTGTGGACTTTCTCTTTCACTCAGCTGCGATCCAAAGAGGCGATGAAGAAGAAACAACATGATCCCGGACGGTGCGTGAAGTCCCGCAGAGAGGAAGCGTACGAGCAGAAGAGGGAGAAGTTTTCGGTCGTGCCCGGCTCGTCGTTAGTTGCCACTTCGGGACGCGCTGCGTGTTTCATTTCCCCGCAGTGAGAGCTCGCTTCTGCCTGCTCGGCCCCGCACATCTATGAGTGAGAGCCGGAGAGGAGGTGTAGTGACAGCAGCGGCAGCAGCTCCGCCTCTCCTCCGCATTTTTCTCCGGCTTAAAGGAACATTTACAGTTTCAACACAACCTGCTGCTCACACCAGGGGGCTCCCAACATGAGGGGTCAGGACCTCCAGGCGGCCAGAAAGATCACATTCAGGCAGTGCTGTACTACTTCTAAATGATCACACTGTCTGCAAATTTTAAAACTTAACAGATTTATATTAGATAAAAACTTTATGACCTTATTGAGAATATAGGAATGCATGGTTAGACACGGGCCTGTTTCCACTGGTCTAATTTTTTGGAGTGGTAGTTAGACAAGGGCCTGTGTCCACTGGTCTCATTTTTTGGAGTGGTAGCACCCACTACTTCCGTAACAGAGGCTTTTTACCATAGACATAATATACGTAAACACCTCAAAGCCTGACACAGCCTATTGGAGCTCACATATCAGCACGGCCTCCATCTTGGATGGGTCCCCCATGCGCTTCCAGTGCATTAAGGTAGGTAGGAATGCCCAGCCATATTAATGATTAAGGTCCTTACACACCGGGGCCGACACGAATTTTGAACGGGAAATTATGAAATATTCAGAGGTGAATTTTGACACGCCTGACTACACACATCAAGCCCGATGCCATTTTGCGACTTTCCGGGGGGAAAAAGACGCATCCCGGGGAAGACTTTCGCCAGGGAAAGTCCTGCCTCCTTCGCCTCTGATTGGCTAGAAAAGCTGGAAACGTCATCACACGCTCTAGCCAAACAGTCAGCACTTATAACAAATCAGGGGGATTAGATAAGCACATGAAACTATGGTAACAACCGTTAGCATAAGTTTGCACAGAATTTTCACAGAAGTGTTGAAATCTTGTAACTTTTTTTAACTATGGAAACAGGCCCTGAAGTGACATTCATTAACTTTTTGGTATGTTGTCCTAATTTCCTTTTTTTTAAAGATATTTTTTGTTATTGCCCCAACAGTCAATGTCATTTCTCCATCATTGACCAATCAAAATCAGGCTACAGCTTGAACCCACTTGGTGAAACCAGTTTACTATAAAGACTGTAGTGCACGCATCTCAGCACGCTATTTATCAGAATGTACATTATTTGTCCTTTAAGTGTTTGAGCATATGACTATTTTTTTAAATATTACTTAGTTTTAGATGAATAGGCTTAACTTTTATCCCTGCCATGATAATAATACAATATTGAGTAAATTGTGTGTTGAAGTACTTGCACATTTTAGGTATAAATTAATTAGTAAGACCATCAGTATGTCTGGACTTGTGAAGCTTTTTAACATACGCATGAGATTAAGAGAAAGCCTGTCATTTCCTCCTAAGTGGTGTAAGTAGGACCATAAAGTAGCATGAAGAACGTTTTTAACCGTCTCATTTCAGAGCATATTTAAACAATTTCCCCCATGACCACATAAAGATCAGCGGTCCATGACATTAGAAAGTTTCAGACCCCCTGCACCGTCAATGTGGAGTCTGATGAAAACCTGATGTGCTCATGTCCACATTTCTGGCTAATTGGCTTTGGATGGAGAAAGCTTTAACACACACCAACACACACACACACATACTGGTACAGAATGACGCACTTCAAATTACACCGATTGGTTGCTTGGCTGAAGTCGGCCGTGGCTTTTGTTGACAACATTGCTGGTGTTCAAACAAAACCAGTGAAATATGCAGGCCAATAAACTGGGAGCTTTTTAATCCCAGTTCTGCATCCCACAAGCCTTTTCACTTTCAACAATGGCTGCTTCAAAACCCACAAAGCAGATATTGGCAAATTAATACGGTTCAATAACACATGCAAACCTCTGCTGGTGTTTAACAAAGTAAGATCGCTCTGTTTAGGCTGCAGTGTGCCCCCCTGTGCTCACTGATGGTAAAAAGGCGGATTTGTAGGGTAAAAACCGATGTCTGCAAACTGTTCCTTCCTCCTGTTCCGTTTGAGTGAAGCTCCAGTGAACACAGCATGGTTTTGGCTCCTCCATCTGCTGTGTAATCGGACCATGACCTGCTTTCTGTGCATCTGACCCGAGTCAAACAAGCAGTGAGCCAAATGAAACTATCTCACCTGGTCACTTTGTTCTCTTTGTGCGGCTCCTGGACAACTCGATGCAACTTTCCTAGAGATTTAACATGTACAAACACCGTACTTGCAGTATTTCTGGAACACAGACAGGATTGTGGTCCTAAAAATGAAGATTTAAGTGGCGACCTTCTGAGCGCACAGACATTGTTATCCTCAGAACAATGGCTGAAAAGTTGTTTGCACTTCTGCTCACACTCAAGGAGATTTGTGAGTCCCGTGTTTTACACTCCCTGCAGTTCATCCATTAAGGGTTAACTTTAGTTTCTCTGCTCCCTTCTGCAGACTTCAAAGAGCCGTTTGGCATCAGACTGGAATGATCAGGCCGGCCTTCTGCAACTTCCTCCAAATAGTAATCTCAAGCCGGAAAGACTGCAGCAAAAGCATTTACAAAAGTAGGAATTTCTTTCTGAATGAGATAGACTGCACTTCAACTGCTTTTTCTGTGTTTTCAATGAACTGCAAATCAGTCTTTGTCATATTACTTTCTCAAGTCTAACAAAAGAATATCAAATCAACAATGCCATGTAATATAAATTGAAATAAAATTAGCTTTGAGAGTCATATCTGAAGCAAAGCCAGAACGTATCCATAGATAATGAGAAAACAGGTCTATTGAACACAAGGACAAACTACCTTGGCTTATTTTGTAAGTTTTCAGGAGCTCTGTTCTGTTACTTATAAATGCGGTTATTTTAGCGCTTGCCTTGTCCAAATGTAGGGCAAGTGCTGAAATAGCTTTCGTAAATGTAGCCATCTTGTTTCAGGCCTCCAATTTAGCTTTTTTACGACTTGGTAACTGAAACGCTGGGAACTCAGGTGTGACGTCATTTTCAGCTCGGACTTCTGACTTCCGAGGTAACTCGAACACAACATAAGAAAGTTTGTGAGCAGCCAAACAAAATGGGCCAAACACGAGTCCCCTCTCGATTACGCAATAAAAGAGCTCCTTTCATTGAGCCAATCAGACAACTGCTTTCATGTCAAACCAGAACAATGATTATGATTGGATAATCAGAATGCTGCTGTTAATTGGCAATTCAGAATAATCTTTCCAAATGATTAATTAGAAAGCCCGCTGTTCTTATTCGGCCAATCAGAATGTTCCTCTCATTTGGCCAATCGGATAGTCCACTCATTCAACTGATGACCACTTCTTTCATTTGGCCAATCAGACTGTGGATCTTATTGTGCCAGTCATTTTAAATGGGCAATGAGAGCATTCTTTCTGACAGGACATGGTTCCTGCTTGATGCTTGTTTTGTTTTGTTGCGGACAGCTCAAAAGGAGGGATGAAGACAAAGGCCAAATGATGTCAGTGCAGGAATATTTCAAACACGCGAAGAAAAGCTTTTGAGCTATTTAAGAGGAATTTTCTGAATCAATTAGCCTTTACTGTAGGAAGTAAGCTGTTAGTTCACTCACTGTGTCAGGTATGAACTTGTTTCATGCTTCAGTTACAGTTGAGAGCTTCAACACAGAAATATGAGAGAAACGTTCAGACTTTAAGTGTCTGGAGAAAGCTGTCCAGGCAGAGAGCCGGCTCGACCCAGATATGACACTCATTTCATGTCTCTGCTCCTAACCAGGTCAGAGATTTCAAACACCAAACATGTCTTTGGCACGGTATGTGTTACAGTCAAATAATCCTAAAATGTACAGCATATATAGTACAGCTTAGCTCAGTGTAGAATGACAGTTTGACGGTGAAAAGCACAGTTTTAATTGCATTTGATGAAAATTTTTTTATCTAAACAAATTAATCGTTCAAGTTGTGGTTGGTGTGTGTTATAGTGAAAGGTATTCCTAATATTTTGCCCTGAGGGTGCCACTCAGACTCACCACCATCACTAATTACATATTAAATATAAAAAATATTAAAATATGGCAACTGAACTAGAAATAGAACCTTCTTTAATGTTTATGTTTTAATCTTTTAATCTGCATTATGTGATTTCACACAATTTTGGTCCTAGAGTAACTATTTTGTGTTTTATTATCGCTCTTTTCTATTATTTGATTTTAAGACAGTTTTATTTAATTTAATTTGGAGCTTTATCACCTTTATTATATTTTTTCATGGTTTTATCCTTTTAGTCCTAGGTCCAGAGTTTCCTCAGCTTTTTTAACTCAAAATAGCATTTCCTCAGTCCTCTGTGACAAGTTGATGAGTCCTCACCTGGTCTTTTATGTATGCATCTGTGTGTGTGAGCGCTGTATGTGTTGAATGGGGGGTAGAAGGGTGGGTGGGGTTCAGTATTTTTATTTTTATTTATTAAACTTAATTGTTTTTTTAATATCCTCCGTGAATAGACAGCACTTTGTGCCACATTCCATGTATGAAAAAAGTGCTATAAAAATAAAGTTTGATTGATTGGATTTGTATTTCATTCATTATTCTCTCAAATAAATCTTATAGGTATAAACTATATATCTGATGTTGACATGTAATCATTGGTGCATTCTGATTTGAAGTTGTAGTGTCGTCTTCCCACCAGAGGGGGGCAGTGTGTAAAAACCCGAAGACTCCCCAGAGGTCGGAGATTTTGTACTTCCTGCTCGGCGGTAAAGCGTGTGCTGGTGAACGAAGTACGATCGTTTTCTGGCGGAAAGTCATTACATTTGTAAAACGCTAAAAAGCACTAAGTCACACAGAAATGGTAAGCATATCTGATCATATTTATTATAACCTCAGTAGGTGTTTTGTATGCTTGTTTTCTCCTTTTCTCCCTCAACGGTAGTCGTATTTTGCGTGTTAGCATTAGCCACGTTAGCTTCTCATTCACGTTTAAGAATGAATGAATGAACATCCAAACTGCATAGGAAAAGGTGTTATGTTATAATTTCCGTTGTATGTAAAGTTAAAGACACCAGCAGGTATTCCGTTTCTTAAAAGTATTGTTTAGTTTGCTCCAAGAGCTCATTGACCTGCATCTAAAAACACAACTCTATTTATGTGTGTGTTCACCAAGCTTGTTTTTGTGTGTTGTTAGAGTTTACCTCTGAACCCAAAGCCTTTCCTGAACGGCCTCACAGGAAAACCCGTCATGGTGAAGCTGAAGTGGGGTATGGAGTATAAAGGCTACCTGGTGTCTGTGGATGGATACATGAACATGCAGGTGAGACAATGAGACAATATGTGGTCACCTCGACTTTTTAAGGACTTTATGGCAGTAAAAAGGCACAGGTACATTAAACAGTCTGTTTTTTGTTCATTTATTTCCTTTAAAGCTTAATAAAACGTTCAAGATCTGAAGGGAGAAAAAGGTTCATTCCTTGTGTAACATTTACTTCAGGGTTGGTATCAGATACAGTGGTTGGTGGTTTCTTAGCAAGGACATAAATATTCCCTGAAAACATTACTCACATTTATACAGGACACGTAACAGGTGTCTCTAAAAGAAGCACATATAGAAAGTTTTGAATGTATTTTCTCTTGACTTTAAAGCAAGAATACTTTTAAGACATTTATGCAGATATTTATGTCTGTAGCCACAGACTCAAACATTAGGAAAAAAATTCTACCTGCTAATCCTTGTGAATATCATGACAAACAAAATGTCTGTTGAGCTTGGCATTATGGTAATTTACACTTAAAGACACTGACCAGCCTTGAAATGCAGGTATAAGGACTGTAATTTTCTGTAATCATGTAAAACACTATGTTACTGGAATCATTCTGCACTGAGCCAGTGTGTATGTTGCTGTTTTAGATTGTTTATTATCAGCCTGATAGAAACACAAAGCTCTAATGTTCCGTGAAAGGATGCACTGATTACATGTATGATGTAGGGATTAAATCATACATCTTTGCATACAGCATAAAAGACCCTCCTAACTTTCAACGTAATTGGGCTTAAACTTGCACATTTCTCATAACAGTACAAGAATTTGAAAAGTCTTGAATCTTGTATCTCCAGAAAAGAGAAAAAAGGTTTTTTTATTTTTTTTTTTAGGGATTGACTGATAATGTTTTACTGCACAGACACCAATTCCAATCACTGAAGTTCATGAGACTGATATCTCTAAGTGATATGCACTGAAAGTAAAGGAAAAACTTAAAGCCAGAATTCAGAATTTAAACACCAAATTTTTCAATCAAAACTGAAATTTTCAATGTTGTATACATGACTTAAAAACTTACATTAACAGTTGTGTTCATGGTTATGTGACATCTAGCTATTTAGATAGTTCGGCATCATTTGCACTGAGGACTTAAGGCCATGGTGGAAATGCAGACAACGATGAGCTACAGGAACCATTTAGGTCCTCGAAGACAAGTCAGTGGAACCAAGAATTCTGGTTACTTTTAGTTGAAGTGATCTAAAGTTATGCAAGAAAACAGACTCAGAGTTTCAAACACACCTGCAGCAGAGGCATCAGCAATCTCTAATACAGATAATCAGGGAAATACCAAATGTCGGCCCAATAATTGTCCAAGGCTGTTTGGTAACACCTCTCATTTATTTTGACCTCACAGCTGCCAGGATGTGTTGTGTGTAAATATCTGTTCTAGTTCCTTTGTTTTTTAGGTTTCATTAGTTATTACGACTTAATAACCAGATTTGTCGAATTTAAATCAGTCCAAACAAGAGCACACATTACTATATTACCAAATCTGATTTTACTCTAATCTTTGGATTCTTCCTTGTCTCCCTGATAGTTGGCCAACACAGAAGAGTACGTGGACGGAGCATTGGCAGGTCATCTGGGTGAAGTGCTCATCAGGTTTGTTCTTAAAAATCAAACATATATAAATTGTTCCATTAAATACATAATACTGCAGTTTGCACCCGCCAAGCAAAGCTAACCATCTAAAGTCTCGTTTGTAATGGAGTTAACAAGAATACATCCTGACTTCTGTAACTAACAGTGTTAATAATTGACAGTGTCAACTTTTCAGAGCTAAATATTAATATGACTCCCTCATTCATCTTCTTTGTGTGTTTTATACCTGCAGGTGCAATAATGTTTTGTACATCAGAGGTGTAGAAGAAGAAGAGGAAGACGGCGAGATGAGGGAGTGATGTTGCTGAAGACGCCAGTCTGATCTGTCTGAGTGTGGTTGTACCTCGTAGTCGAATTGATGTGTGTTTGTGTTTCACCATGTGAAACAGATGAATGCCTGGGTTTATTTTTGTTATTTTTCAAACAGTTTTGAAAATAACTTCTTTTTTTTTTTTACTGTTTGTGAGACCAATTTTATGTTGTGACATTGTGATACAGACACAATAAATGATTTTCCCTTTCTTAGTCCTGGTTCTCATGAGTTTTGTTTGTGCTTGAGTCATATGCAGAAAACATGGTTGAAAGTCTGTGATGATGTGCAGAAGCTCCGCCCCCTCCTGCACTTTGAACTCTGCTCTCTTGGATAAACATTTGCCTTGCTCCTAAACTAGTTCAAACTTAGTCACTGTGAAAGGAGCGTGTCTGCTTTGGATGAATCAAACATGTCCGGTAATTACAGACTGCTGGTGAAAAACGCCAAACAGGTGGTTCTGATCTGCAACAATGGAGAGAAATACCTGACCAAGCATGGGATGCAGAACCTGTGTGTGATTGAAAATGGGAGTGTGGTGATAGGAAGGTAAGAGTTTGTCCTCCTGAGAGTAACTTAAACCTGTGCCTGTGATAGCTGGCAGACTAAACTATAGTTGTTCACATTTTTTTACATTATGTATGGACGAGTGAAGAATAAAAACATTAACTGATGTATTTGCTTTTTATACAACACCAAACGGTGGCACAGATTGAGTAAATTTTGGTTCAGATTTACAGAGCTGTAATCACGCCCTCTGCTGCTCTCTACAGGTAGCAACGGTTCATTACACCTGTAAAAATGATTATAACTTCAGACAACTCAACAAAATTCACAGATGTGACTCTTCTGGATTAATTCAGAATTCAGGATTTTTTCAACCCGAGGAGGGTACCCACATTAATACCAAAGTATATAGAAACTTCAACATTTCCCTTCTCACCACATGAGTTTTGGGGGTTTCTCTCTTTCCAAATCTCCAAATCTTCTCTTTCCTCAGCTGTCATCATTCCAGACAGCACTTTGTCCAACTCGACTGAACTGATGGTCTCAAGCTGACATATAAATGACTGATTTCTTTATGCAGTGATGGTCTGATCAAAGCTGTGGGTCCTGCTGAAATCATCAGGTCTCAGTATTCAGAAGCATCCTTTGAGAAAGTGATAGATGCTGCAGGAATGTGTGTCCTACCAGGTGAGTGTTATTTGCTATGGTTATATATGGAGTAAATTGTTGTGTACAACTACTGAGTTACACTCTTTACAATTTCTACAACCTTCTTATCTCAGGTCTGGTTGATGCCCACACACATCCAGTCTGGGCAGGTGACAGGGTGCATGAATTTGCAATGAAGGTAAATCACTTTTGACCATCTTTCTATTGGTAGATGTAACTATGGGGAAATGAGTCAATGTTCCTCTTGCAGCTGGCCGGTGCCACCTACATGGATGTGCACCGAGCAGGTGGAGGGATCCACTTCACGGTGGATCACACTCGAGCAGCAGGCGCCTTGGAGCTGTTGGCCTCCCTCAGCAGCAGGCTGGTCCGGATGCAGCGAGCAGGGACGACCCTGGTGGAGTGTAAGAGCGGGTACGGCCTGGAGCTGCAGACTGAGCTGAAGATGCTGGAGGTGATCGAGGAGGCCAGACACTCTCTGCCAATCAACATCTCCTCCACCTACTGTGGAGCCCACGCTGTGCCAAAGTAAGGAGCGTCCTCAGAGTCTCATCATATCCCGGGGATGAATCCTCTCATGTGATTCTTTTTATTTCAGAGGGAAGACAGTAGCAGAGGCTACAGAGGACATCCTGCAGGTTCAGCTGCCTCAGCTAAAAGAGAAGATCGCTGCAGGAACTCTGAGAGTCGACAACATCGACGTGTTCTGTGAGCAGGGAGTGTTTGACCTCAGCTCCACCCGCTCCATCCTGCAGGCCGGCAAAGACATGGGTCTTAACATCAACTTTCATGGAGATGAGCTTCACCCAATGAACTCTGCTCAGGTGAAACTCACCTCTTTAGTGCTGTGTGAAATGTTGCTCCCAAATAAGATTTGATAGTTAACAAATATTTTAAAGCCTATATTTAATTAAAATGGTGCAAAGATGACAAACTGAAAACTTTACTCTCTGTCACCAGCAACATGTCTCAAAGTAGTTGGAACAGGAGCATGTTTGCAAATGTATTGCATCACCTCTTGCTTCACTCCATAAGCAAACAGTGAAGTCCAGATCCAGATCTTTGTAAATAATCCTTTAAATGTCATATTGCAATTGTACTGAGGTGTTGGTGATAACATTGTTAACGGGGGTGTTATACTGTCAGCTGGGTGCAGAGCTGGGAGCACTGGCCATCAGTCACCTGGAGGAGGTCTCAGATGAGGGCATTGCTGCCATGGCAACATCAAAAACTGCTGCTGTACTTCTGCCAACTACAGCCTATATCCTCAGGTACTGTGAAAGTAGTCGTGCAATGTTACTGATAATATTTACCTTAAAAAACTTAAAGTTCCCATGGAAAATTTAACCCTCTGTGAGTCGCTTTGTCTACAGCCTAGAATAGAAAATAACCAATCAATTTTGTTGCTGTTGGACTTGTTTGTTTTTGTAGGTCATATAAAGAGGTCAGTTTTTGTCATTTCATTTTAGTCAACAGCTGTAAACCTCAAACAGAAGCTTTAAGTACATATTAGAGGCAATTTATTTGAATGATGGTTGGTATTTATGGCACTTCATGGTTATTCAAGTCTTGTTTCTAGTTTTAGTTTTGTTTGAACTTACTCCAAAATATATATCTTTTTTTTTTTTTTACAATAATCACACATTTGAAATTATTTGTCACCTTTCAGTTTATAAATAAAATGTTTAAATTTGAAAACTAACCCCGCATTATATAGTGAATTTTTAAAATGAATTTTCAAACACCATCAAGATTGCTGTTACTAAAGCAAGTTTTCTGCATTAGTATCATTAGTATCTAGTATCTGAATAGTTTAAAGCTCCTGTGAGTAACTTTCAGTTTGTGTCAACTTTGTCGCCCCGAGCGGACAAAGCAGCCTTTGCTTATCTTGTCTTCTACATGCTTAGGTAGAGTCTCTTGACAAAAAATGTACTACTAAATGTACTACTAAATAGTTAGTCTTATCCCTGATAGTCTTGTTTGCTTTTAGATATCTGGAAAAGATATATATAGGAATTTCAGTCTTTTCTTAACATGAAAAAACTCCTAATAGGAGCTTCAAAGTACTTATCCCACTGATTACGCACATGAATTTAAGCACTGAGAAATTGCAGCATTTTAAATGCAGAACATTTTAGGGTAATAGTTCTGAATGCTGAAATTATCCTGCACTTACAACCCTTTTAAGAACGCTTAAAAGCATTTGAATACAAATCTTTCTCTCTGTGTTCAGGCTTCCTCAGCCTCGGGCCAGAGACATGCTGGATGCTGGAGTGATTGTTGCTCTCGGCAGCGACTTCAACCCAAATGCTTACTGCTGCTCCATGGTAAGTGCCCCAGGTGAAGGCAGTGCTGCATGATAGTTAAAACTCAGCTCTTCTTTGCTGTCCTATACAGTTTACTTTTCCTTTCTTCTTCAGCCAATAGTCATGCACCTGGCCTGTGTTAATATGAGGATGTCCATGCCTGAAGCATTAACTGCAGCCACGATTAACGCAGCATACGCCCTTGGCTGCTCCCACACTCACGGCTCTCTGGAGGTCAACAAACATGGAGATCTGCTGATACTGAACACCACACGGTAAATTAGGACAGAAAGAAACATCAAATTGAGATTTTTCTAATGTGTCAATCTGTAAATTTGTTGTGGAAGGGTGCTGAAATAATTGACAGACCTACATAAGAGTTGGTGGTTAAAAACATTTAAGTCTTACTTTAAAGTTACATTTCAAGTTAAAAATACGTGTTATAGTGCTAAATATTTGATATTAATCAGACCATGAAACTAGTTTTAATGAAAACTTGATTTTATCTATAAGTAGTAGCATTTTGTGTAAGTGCTTTTTAGATTGAGCTTTAAATGCTTTTTAAATATTTTTGTAAAAACTAAATTCCTATGTTTACATTATCTGTGTGTAAAAAAAAGTTTCCCCTTTGTGTACTGTATCTTATTCCAGGTGGGAACATCTGATCTACCAGCTGGGAGGACATCAGGAACTGATCCGCTACGTCATCATTAAAGGCAGTGTTGTGTTTGACAATGACAAAACTCTAGGTTTATAACCACTAAGTTACTTCTTTCTCTGTGATTCTAATGAATGAAGATAGCATAAGTAATAAATAAAGTCAGCTTTAGTTTTTATTCAGTGTTAAAAACTCCTGTAAGGGACTTTAATTATGGTGGCCCCTGTTGTCCGAGTGATGTCTACGTTAGTTTTGTACTGCACATGTGCAAATCTTGAAGCCCTGTAGAGTGTGTAGGTTATAAATAAAGATATGAACTATTCAGACCAAAATGTTTCTGTATTAGGTTTGAACATGATGAATTTTTGTGTCAACATTGGTATTTTAACCCTGGTCCTCCCAAACATTTATTGGCTTTTGCTTCCAGCCTCAAGTGGACACTCAAGGTACTGCATTTTTTCTCCTTTTTTAAATGTCAGGAAGTTGTTGTGTAGTTTTCTTGCGACTCATGGTGGCAAAAAGGGAATTTCTCTAATTTTGGGGTATGTATGTGAAGCTTAGCCAATCAGCATGTTTAACAGTCACGTTAACACTTATCTTGACTGCTGCTTTAACTCCTCCATTCCAATAGATGAACACAATCAGTCAAAGGAATGGAGAAAGAGGTCAAATATTTCATACTTTCAATGATTAAACATTATTGATTGACTAGATCTGACCTCAGTTAAAGTTTGACCTGACCTAATGCTAACCCTGCTGTCAAATCAGAGAGCTGATAATTGACCATCAGGGGAGAAAGCAGATACCAAAACTATACTGTCAAAACAACCGCCATGAGGTCAATCAGTTAGGAATAATCAGTTCACCTGAAACGACACAGTCACAGTCTGTGTGTAGAGTGCTTTTATTGAACATGTTAGTACACAAAGCTCGTTTATCTAATACAGAATATTTCTCCACAGGCATGAAGCTACAAAACCTAAAAATCAACAACTCATTCTTCGCCTTTCAGTACTTTCTCTCTATCTAAGACATGCACTTTATACGCTAACAATATCAAAAGTAGGTCAAAAGCTATTCACATCAATAAGTGGGTGTTTATGTGAAGAAATGTTAGATGAAAGCTGTAGTGGCACACAAAAACAGGCTTGTTTTTACTACAAACAGTGAGTGTAACAGACATGACAGTGAAAACAGGCACAGGGTGATCTTAAAAACCCCCTCAGGCTTCATATTTCTTCCCCGCTCTGTGGATCTGTTGGTAAAGCGTCATTGAGAAAGCCATGCCAAGAAGCTGCGGAAACAAAAAAACACAGACGTTAAAGACAAATAAAAATGTATAATTGAGAGAGAGGGGGAAGAGCTGCTCACCTGTATGACCAACACACACATAGCGATGGTTCCCAGAAGGTGTTTGTTGTCATCCAACCACTCCTCCACCTTCTCATAGCAACCCTGAAAACACACATCAACAATAATTAGACAGAGGGGAAGAAAGAGTACACATCTGAGGGTATCATGTTAAAGAGAGAGACTCAAAGACTTCACTTTTGCTGTCTGGATAACACATATAAACTCTTTACACAATCCTAAGACTGTTAGACTTTTTAGCATGCTGTATAAAATGCACTTTAACATTTGAAATGTAGGTCGCTCTTTCCCATCAGGCAACGGCAGTGAGAACATCTCTAAGTTGTTGATTTCAACAAGAAGTTATTTGTTCGCATCCTGCTCACCTTGTCATGATTATAATATGCCTTGACACCAATTCACTATGCACTATCCCTCACTAAAGCACACAACTTCTCTCATCTACTGCAAAATAACAAAACTGCTTTCTCAAACATTGAACTACTTCTGTACACTTAAAAGATACACAAAACAAACTCAACATAAATAACAGTTCAAGGCTCTAAAACAACACTGACCCGTGTCCAGAAAGCATTGGAGGAGTTGCGTCCACAGCCCTGAAAAAACTGCTGACAGCAGCGGTCAGGAACCATGTTTCCATGCAGGGCAGTGTACCAGTCATTGTGGTTCATCACTCCACAGCATCGCCACTGATGAAGAGAGAAGATAAGACAGAATTTAATAATCCTGAAGAAAATTCTAGTTCCAGATTTCTTCAACAGAGCAGCACCATCAAATTAACATCATCCAACAGGGCATTATATGTAACAGAAGTATAAGAGGTAGGTAAGATTGTGTACTGGCTTTGATTTAAAAAAAAAAAAAGAAAAGAAATTTGTACTCCCAAAAAATAAAATAAAAATGAATAAAGTAAAGTAAAAAGAAAAAAGGATGTAAATTTGTGTCTGATAAGATACCTCTCCCTGTATGGTGTTCCATGCGTCCCTCAGGCCAGCGTTGTTATCCGTGTTATACAGAACCAGCCCTTCTTTCAGATCCCGTCTAGCATTTTCGCTCACCTGGGTAAACACAGGTCAAGAGTTTAAACATGGGAAACGCAAATACACCCAGCTACAAACAAGAAAATATCACAGATAAATATGAATCTTCTCCCACACAGTCATCTCACCTTATCTGTGTAGACAAAGAACAGGATGAGGAGGATGAGTTCAGCCAAGAGGATGGTCAAGAGAACGATGAAAAACTGAGAAAATCACAAAATAAGAGGAAGGTGTTATAAACAAAAAAACTTGCAATTTATGTCAGTACTTTTGAGATATAAATTTAAAAAAAAAAAAAAAAAAAAACTAAGCAAAAGGCTCTTATGTCCAAAATTCCAATACAGCTTGAATGCAACATAACTTAAGAACCTACTCAAATCAAAACTGAAATAACAACAACAGTGATGCATCCTGGGAATTGCAGTGTACTCACGCTCAGCAGTAGGCACTTGTTCTCCTTAATAGCACCCAGGCAGCCGAGGAAACCTGTCACCATAACAACAGTGCCCAGGGTGATGATGAGGTTGGCAGCAGAGAGTGACGGGAAGGAGGGCGACAGGGTGGCAAAGCTGCCCTGAGACACCGACAGCCACACGCCCACGCCCAACAATCCACACCCACCCAGCTGAAACACACACAGGAAACTAAGAAACTTCCTGCTGATTTCAGGATAAAACTTTGATTGGGGACAATGATTCGACCTCTGATTTACAGTAAAATCTAAAAGAACTCAGCGTTTGGAGTATTTACCCAGAAGAGCAGGTTGAAAAGGAAGAGCATGTACTTGACGCAGCAGATGCAACCACGAGCCATGACTGAATCAACAGGCACTGTAAAAAAAGAGAACCAATAAAAACAACATCAAAGTTACAAAAAAGTGTGTACAAATTGTCCTTATGAAAGTATAAATACACACAATTGTATATATACACTATTGTAAATTGGTATATATGTTAGCACACCACGAGTTATTAAAATGTTTGTTTTGACATTATTGTTTTTAATATTTATCATGAATTTGGGTATCTTTTAATACCGTCTCATGTAAAAAGTACACAACTTGTGCCATCTTAAAATTTGACGTTGAAGAGCATCAAAGTTTTGACTGAAGTTTGACTTTTCAACATGTTGCAGGTAATGAGCGCTGAATAAATGCAGCACCTTATGAGTAACATCTCTCATACTTAAACTTGTTATTACTGAGAGTCAATGTGAGGTATTTTTGCCACTTGAGTCACATCTAAAGCATCACACTGTAGTTCACCAACCTCTTGTTTCCTGTTACACAACATATCTGTAAACATTTTACTGTCCATGCACAGTCATGCTTTAACCACATCAAAACAGCATGGAGATAAACTTACCACTTCAACTAGCAGAAGGGGAGGGAAGCTCTTCTATTGTACCTTGGAAAAACAAGTATACAAGAACAATAAAACCAATCTTACAAGCAGTGAGTGAAAATTATTCTTGAGCTATACAAAAAAATAAATAATTAAAATAAAAATAAATTGATGTACTTTTAAACCACTTTTGCAGAGATTCATCATGGTCATTTGAGTGTAAAACAGATAATTTGTAAGTAACTTAAAATAAAATAAAAAACATTAAAAGTGTTTAACGAAGAGCAGCTGCCACCAACGTACAGTCAAGGTTTTAATTACTTGACTCGTTGACTGTAAGTGTTTGATAAGGGCAGTCTTTTATCCGCAAAATAACCGTGTTACATACTTTTATTCGACTAACAAACTCAAAAAGAATACATAAAGATAACTTACATCTTTTAAAACAACTTATTTGATCTGTATTTCGTTAAAAACGGTCATAACTGTAGCTTCTCGTGCCTCGAAGTGACGTCACTGGACCGAACTCTACCGTTTGCGGTTGGACTAAAGTTTGCGTTAATAACGGTCTAGAATAGCGTGAATATCTTTGCAAACAAGTTACTAATTAACATTATTCGTACGAAACCGCGTTTAATAAGCCGTGCATACAGCTAACTCGTTCCACCGAGGCTCAGGCCGTGATTGTTTTCATGTCCATGCCCTCGGAAATGTGGACAAAAAAGAGGGATAGTTTCCTACCGTTGGCTACGAACTGGAGCTCATCTTTCTGCTATCGTCTCGAGTTTCAGTTGCTGAAAACTTAACATGCCGACTTCAACTGTTTACTTTGAAGCATCACCGGACTCAAGATGTGAATCCCACAAGTTGAAGTCCGTTTTGAAGTTTTTTCGATGGCTGGAGAGAAGAGGAGGAGGAGGAGGATATATACTTTGAAGAGGGCGGAGCACAACGGAGGACTGACCGGGCTGGAGGCGTGACTGTAGCGGTTGGGGACAGAGGGACCAGTCGGCCAAAGACCTCAGTTATGTAAATTGGCTGAAATAGTGAACATACTTGTGAGTTATTTTGGTTAAATCCCACAGATTAATCAATAAAGATAGTTACCATGTGTTCCAGTCTGAATCTGTTTTGGGCCAGTGGCCAACTGCGGTACTGCAACAAAAAAGTCCAGAATCCACTTAGGACAGACCCCCACACCAAAAAAATATAGTGGAGTTTGTATTCAGGGCCTTTACCAAGATAAATGTATTTATAGCTCACTGTTAAAATACTTACATGTGGAAAATGTAATTATGTAAATTTAAATAGTGCTAGGAGTTTCTATAGTGGCCCTAAAGTTTATCTGCACAAACATGGCTGTCAAAATTATATCTGTAGTACCAAAAATATTTCAATAAATGACTATTTCATTAAATGCAAAGCGTTTCTAAAAACAAATAATTCATAAACTGTAAAAATATTTCATAAATACACAAAGATTTCACAAAGTGGAAAAATGTTTTATCAAACCTTCTAAGTTGTCAATAAATAATGAAGTATTTCCAGATACAACCACAAATTATTACAGAACAAAAATTTTGTCATTTAACATAAAAACATTTCACAAATTGTAAAAATATTTGGTAAAACCCCCAAATATTTCTTAAATATTTTCAAAATGACCCCCTCATCCCACCCCAAAAAAGTCATTTTGTGAAATGTTTTTGCTCTCTTGTAATAATTTTCATATTTTTAAATGTTTTACTTATGAGGAATTTTGTTTTATGTGTGTTTTTTAAAAATATTTTTTGCATCCACTGAGACATTTTATGCAGTCATGACCTTCAGGGCCACCATACTTAGTTCCTCTTTGTATGCATAAAAGGACTGCAATTTATGACAACTCCCGATTATAAATACATTTGCATGTATTGTCTTCACAGCCATCACACTCACCCAGAGATGTAACAGAGACTTCAATATTATCTTTTTTCTTTTCAAAGAACACTCAAACCCCAAAGGAACCAACAATAAAAGCTAAGACAACATGCTTTTGGTATTTCCCAAGAAAAGAAATTATAAATTATCATTAAAATCACTTTGAGTCAATTATCTTTTTAAAATATTGACTTATGACACATGAACCTGTGCGGTAATGCAACACATGAATGAAAAAATTCCAAAGTCAAATTGGACTTTAATAAAGTGTCATCATTATAACAGTAATATAAATACATGACTTTGAACAGAAAAATACCAAATAAAATACAAAACATACAAAAAAAACATTACAAGCCTGTCTCTCTTTCACTTGCTGCCCTGAAGCATCCATGGCGTTAAAGCAGCAGAGTATTTCCTGTGTTTTCTACCAGAGCAAAAGCTTTTGTCCAGTTTCTGCCAGCGTCCCAATTTCCAGTGAAAACTGGGCTCTGTTGTGGTGTCCCCCCGACAATAAAGGGGTAAAGACACATGTAGAGGAGGACAGCCAAGCGGTCACTGTTGCTGTCCCGCTTTCTTTCTCTGTCTCCGTCCCCCTGACATGAGTTTATCCAAGGACCCATCGATCAGACTGAGATGAGTTCAGCTGCACTGACTCACTGCTTTCACCATCCTCCTGCTGGGAGATAAAACACAAATTTGAGGTGTCATAAAGAACAAATTTACGCATCAAAAATCTTTGAATTGACAGTTGTAACCATGGAGATTAGTTGCCTGGTCCTTTTTTTGCATGGCTGATGGCAAAATGGTCTATTGTTTGATCACTTTGTTTGCTGTGACATTCTGACAAGCAGTAAATTCACTGTTTTGAAATTTTCAGACAGCCATTGTTCCCAGAGAAAAAGAATCCATAAAACTTTAAAACTCTCTCGACTGCTGTATTTAACCCCTTTTGTCAAAAGCGTTCATCGTTTGATGGGTTCTTCCAAAAAAGATCATGTCTAGTTGTATGGACAAAGCCTTGAAAAAAGTTCAAATGAGAATATTTTGCAGCACACTGGCTGACGTGCCGCTGAAAGCGAAGGCATGCACTATACAGTCAGTCTAACACACCTTGTTAGCGATAGCCCTCAGTTTCCCCAGCAGGGAGGGTTTCTTGGTGTAGACAATGTCATCTTCAGGCTCCTCCCCTTCAGCCAGGGCACAACTGTCTGGTGCTGGCAGCTCACACTCTTTGTTGGCAGACATCACAAGACGAGAGTACTTATACTCAAGCCTAAACAGAAGAAAGGAAAATTAATGGGTTTTCTTGGGTTTGTCTTCAGTTAAAGTTAATTCAAAACATAAACACAGACTTCTTTTTCTCTCTTTTTCTCTCTGTGGCTAACAGCTTCTGCTAGTTCTCGCTTTAGCGGAGTGGCTCCTGCTAACCAGTCCAGGCAGGCAACTCAGACTGCATCAATTTCACACTTAACATGTGCCATTCCCACAATCACATGAGTAACATCACATCCTTATTTCACAGTCTACTTCAGTGTTGCCAGACTGAGTTAATACCTAAAGGTGACTATGACTGAGATAGTTTGTGGTGTCAGATAATCAGGCGCCTCTGACCTCTGATTTTTCTTCCAGAAATAGCAGGTGAGAGAGATGAGCAGCACTGCCATGAAAGCTCCACCTCCGACTCCGACCTTCAGCCACAGAGCGACAGCCTCGCACGGAGAGGAGCTTCTGGGAGGCAGTGACACACCTTTGGTGCAGAGCTTTGGCTCGTTCCAGACATACAGAGTTTCCTGGAGGAGGACAGAGGATCAGTTTTTCTTTTTCTTCAGAATGCAGAGATTTAGGTTTGTAACTACAAGTCTGGATTTAGTGCTTAATTTTTCTAGTGAAATGGGGCAAAAAGTGGTGATGATGATGATCTGGGTAAGCTAAAACAAGATGACTATTTTTACAGTGAGACATACCATCACATTTTATTAATGCCTTCATGTTATCTAATCTTTATTTTTTGAAGGGAATAAAATACAGAATAGAATGTGCAGGAAACATCAGATATTTACTTTGTACGTTGGTGTGTAGGCTAGTGTGTGTTCATGTGTGTTACCTGGACTCCTCCCTTGCATGCTCCGTCTATCTGGTGGTAATCCTCCTCAGAGCAGCGAGGGCAGGCGCTGGAGCTCTCCCACAGGAAGTGAAAGGTGCATCCATCACATGTCCCTGCCGGACAGGAACTGCAACACACACATATTTTACACCCTCTTACATGTTCTACTTCAGTCTTTTAATTATATACTTTTAGACATTATACTTTCATTCTAAAGTTTATATAAAAATAGAAGTTATTAAGCAACAGTTCCATCTGTAAATAAAGCACAGCCTCACACACAGCCTCAGTGAACCATCTTCTACCTGGGTACGGAGACCTCTCCTCGCTCAGATTTCTCAGGGTTGCACCGCACAGTGATGACTGAACTCCGACCCTGATCACAGGAGGCTGTCGGCTGCATCGACCTGTTAAGAAATAATGTCACTGTTAAAATGTGAACACACAAAAAAGCAAAAACATACTGTGATTCCTGTAGTACCTGTAGAAGAAGTTGATATCTGCAACATCTTTTGAGTTTTCAGGGAAAAGATCTGGTTTAGCGTTCACCCCGTCCAGCACGCTGTCCACTGTGGCTCCTGAAGAAAAACACACAGATTAGAGCTCGCAATAGTCGCTAATTATTAGAGAGAAGCATGCAGTGATTTGACAGGCTTCGCACCAATGAAAGTTTCTGCAAGGCTGATGGACTGGGAGGAAATGGCCATCCTGAAGCCCCGCCCATCTGCAGGGATGATGGTTGATTGACAGATGAAGCTGTCGACTGAGTTGACAAACTTAGCCAAGTCGCTCTGGTCGTCTTTGTTGGACACATCAGTGACATTATCTGTGCAGACAGCAGCTCTCCTCCCCTGTGACAGCACATGCAAATAATCTGTCAGTTGCTATGGTTACGCTTCAGGTTTCCCAGCAGCTTTTGTTGTTGTTTTATCACACTGTGGTGACAGGCAAGCTAAAATATCAATCATTTTCTTGCATTGTGAATATACTGTATCTTAAAACAGGGTATGGAATTTTTACAAGGATATTGGAATAAGGCCTGGCCAAGAATAAGGTATCTAGTTTAAAAACAGAGTAAGAAGGATATGTCTACAAAATTAGAGTTAGACAGAGACCTCATGAACTTTGCTGAAAAGGCAAAAACAAACAATATAAAGAAAGTGTGACCTACCTCATGGCCACACAGACTGATGTTGAACATGTGAAGGTATTTTGTTCCTTTAGAGGTGAAGCTCGGCCCGATGATCAGGGAGGCCACATCGTTCATGGGGCTGAGGTCAAAGGTCAGTGTCCGATTGTTCTCTGTGTAGGTGAAGGAGCAGTTGCTGTAGCAGCGTGAGTGTTCCTGAAGGAGAGGGAATACATTAATGAAATGTCAACAATTACAACACATACAACCACCAAGATAGGCAGAACTATGGACTTATTTTTTTTCTTCAACATCTGCTCACATTATGGTATTTTCTTGACCAGATTCTCATTAGCTGTGCTCACAAATACAGTGTTTTCAGTCCTCTACCTTGTTACTGATACTTCCAGGTCCACAGGCGACACATGCGTCCTGGCCGTAGGTGTGTCGTCCAGCTAGGTGTGTATTTGGGGGACACTCCTGGCAGCGGTTGGTTTCTCTGTCGATGTAAAAACCGGCAGGGCAGGGGACGCAGGAGGAGCCAGGCTGCTGGGAGTTCTGAGGTATCAGAGCGCAGGCCCGACATGATGAGGCCACACCGTCCAGGACGTTCGTGACAGTGATGGAGTACAGCTTCACCACGTCGCTCACATAACGACGAACCTACACAAACACAGGGTAAACTTTAAAACATGCTAAGGTACAGATATTTATTCAATTTGATCAGACGATTTGAAAATCCTTATCAAACTCTTAAAGCTCCTGTGAGGAACTTTCTGTCAGCCCTGTCTTTGGTGCCCCCTGAGGACAAAGTGGTAACCTTCAAGTAGTTGCTAATTTAACTGTGTCCTCAGGAATCGTTCTAATTGACAAAAAAATCTCCAGTTATTTTTTTACTGTGGAATTTTTTACTCACAGTGAACATTTGCAGAGGGGAAATGTAAGAGAGACTGATTCTTCAAGGTACCTACCCCCTTACAGCAGACACAGGCATTCAAATTATACTTATCATCAGTCTCATTTTTGATGTCTCATTTTGTACATCTTAGAGATTAAGCACTGCTCATTTCAGTATGTTTCATAACTAATCAAAAACTTCCCACTAGAGCTTTCATCTCAATTGATAAATCCTAAAATAATTTGTGGAACATGAACATTAGTGCAAAATTAATTCACAGTCCTTCTGATAGTCCTATTTTAGTTTGGACCGATCCTGTATTTAGATTCTACAGCTAAAAATCTGATCATTGTTTCATGTAATAGGGCATCCTGTGGTTTCACTCACATCCAGAGCGTGATTGGTCCTCTGGAAGGCCCATGTATAAGTGACTGAAGCGTTCCTGGTCATGCTGTGAGAGTACGTCTGCTTCCCTTTACTGCCTTCCCAGGACTCCACCACCGTGGTGCTCTTCCTGTTCACATCCTGCAGAGACAAAGCAAAAAAGAAAAGAGATGTAACTGAACTGCAACATGCTATCATTATCTTTTTATCAAGTGGACCACCTCTGGGGACAAATGTTGCTATTCTGGGCTGCTCTAAAAATGTGCCACCTAATTACCACCTTCTGCTTCAAACACGAGATCACACACATAGACACTGAGCACACACCGTCATGAAGTAGAGCTCACAGTCGGCCGAGCAGATGGTCTCAAACACGAAGGTTATCTGGCCAAACTCACTGCCAGTCATCCCTGAGAGTGAAGCTGGAACTCTGTCATGAAAAGAAAAGAAAAGACATGTAGTTGTTGTAACTACATATGAAACATCATCTGTATCAGATACTTACTTGAAGCCGGGTACATGCAGGCTGAGGATGAGATAGTCGTTATCAGAACTTCCTGCTCCACTGCGAATGTGGTCTCCTGCTACTTCCCACCCTGAGGAATAGAGCAAATCAAGCACTAATGTTACACCACACTGACTTTGACTGACAGATCGTGAAAGCTACATGTGGGCGACTATGAAAGAGGGTTTCAGCTGGACAGAAAACATTAGTCATATCAACTGAAATCATTGTATTACATGACGAAATCTGAGCTAAATAAATATTGTTAAATATTGTTGGTGGTTGTTTACTTCTTTGGTGGGTTTCATGAAGAAAATTTGCAATCTACCACAAAAAGTTTGTTCAATGAACAGTGATTTATTTTCCTCGTATCACTTTGAGTTCATCATTCTCACCGTTCATGTCGTCACAGTTGGAGTTGCCCACGTTGAAACAGGACGTCTTCATGTTGGAGGGCAGCACGTTCCACCATTTGTACTCGTAACCCAACACCGGCTCTGAACCTGCAGGACACTGAGTGCACACTGGTACAAAACACACACACAAGCACACACAAAAGCTTCATTTAGATGCTTATAATGATGTTTACTTCTCAGATAAAAGAAAATGTTTGCAGAAGGGCCGAGATTTCAGGAGCGGCTTATCCTGCTGGGTCCTGTCTCTTTTATCCGTCTCATTCAAAAAGGCAGATAAAGCCGATAGAAATAACTTTATATTATGAGAGAGTTTTATATTAAGTTCAGAACTTTGAAGAGAGTATTTTGAAGAGTAAAAAGACACAAAAAAGTGTTTGTATAACTTTCATGATTAACTCTAGATTGAACAGGTTTGTTTTATATCAACACAGGTGTGCAGAGGTGTGGTCAGGTTTACCATAGGTGCCATCTGAGTGGGTTCCAGGTGGGCAGGGCAGACAGGTGGAGTCATTGCTGTTGTAGTAGCCGGGGTTGCAGGGAGGACATGGCTCTCTCTGCCCTGTCGCTGGCAGCTCCACCGCTCCTGTGATGTTCTCCACACAGATTTTTGGCTCCACCCATCGATACAACACCTGAGTCTGAAACCAAGGAGTCTACTTTAAATGTAGTTTAAAAAACAAAAGAAATCTACTGATAAAAAGGGGTAAATCTCTATTTTTCAATCTCATTCAACATCTTTGGAAACAAGCCTCCATAACAGGCCAAGGTCATGGACGAACACAGTGAAAGCTTCCCTTGGATTAGATGACATGTAAAGTGCACACAAAGCTGTTCATGGTTTTCCCTTTCATCACATTGTGTGACTTCTCTGGTTTCAAATTCAATGAGCTGACAGAGCTGAAACAGGTCTGCATGATAAATAATCTATTAAAAAATGAATGTAGAAAAAGCTACAGACGATGCATTTATGGACAAGCTACAGGCTGAAGCAATAATTGCATGTGATCTTTTTCATCACCTGAATAAGAACCAGGATAAAATGAGTTTCTTCAGACTTGAATCCAGCTCGAGTCCTGGTTTTCTAGACTCAAGCTGATAAGTTGTTTGAATGGGTATAAAAAAAAATTCTTTGTAAGCCTAACAACTCATCCAAAACTAACTTAAAACTCAAAATGTGCATGTTTTCCTCTAATATACACCATGTTAGCAATGGGATGTGTTTGTTGATAATTGTGTGAGCATGTGCTGCTGACCTTTCCTTCGCTGTCACAGGCCGTGTGGATCTGAAAGTAATCCCTCTCTGAGCACGGTGGCCTCGGCTTACACTCTGCCCATCCTTCCTCTGAGAGAGAAGAGAGTCAGAAACAGAAGAGTCAAAGACGTTATGATCCATTATGCTGTGATAGACAGAAACGTGTGCAAACCAGAAAGAGAAAGGTGGATTCATCTCCAAGTAGATCCCAATATAATGAAGTTGCCTTAATTCTTATAATAGCCAAAACCAAGGATAACATGTCAGTCATATTTGTGATAACTATTTACATTACATTACAAACTGGAGTAGTATCGACAGGAAGTCAGGATAATCATAGCAGATATTTTTTAGATTTGTATTTGCTGATCTGACAGCTATTCTGGAGAGAAAGCAAGCAAAACATCACATCTTTTAAAGTAACGGAGGAAATCATACATACGGGAGTAATGGTGTTCAGGGCAGGGTGAACAGAATGATGCATCCTTTATGGAGAAGGTGTTGCTGGGACAGGGCTGACAGGATGAGGAGCCAGGGGTCGGGCTGAACCAGCCAGGCCGACACGGGAAACACTCTGATGTGTAGGCAACACCTGTGCGATGTAAACAAACAGTGAAACACAAAAACACGCATAAGGTGATCTTTAGAGTTTTTCATTACTTATTGTATCTGTTGGAAATGTTCAGTTTTGTATGTTCGAGTCTTTGTTTCACCTTCTATTTGGATGTTCTTGAGCAGCACAGGTTTAAACATCTTCCCTCCCACCAGGATGCCAGTGGTTCTCCAGTAAAGGATGTTCGTACCAGATTTCAGATTCACCTTAAAAACAAACAAACAAAAAGGAGACACTCATGATTAAGTACTTACATGTATTAAATCTGTCTTTAGTTACACAAAAGGAGCCTGCCACTTACTGTGTGTGTGCCCCATTCTCCATTGTTAGTGACTTTAATCCATTTCTGCTCATCAGTCTGGGCCATTTCCTGACACTGCTCGTTTTGGACCTGAACAAAAGAACAATTCACTGATTCAAGTTCAACCTGAACAAGCTAAGTTGCAATTACAGCAAACAAGAGTGTAACCAGATTTGTGGTAGGCAAGGTGTTCTGGATAAGAGCTGTGGTAATTTGGGCCAACGTGAAGAGGCGATACCTTCAAACTGCGTCAAATGAACCGAAGCTATGTCTTGGTGAATCCCATTTGAACACATCCCTCAGTATACACCCTTAAGTTGGATTTCCCAACTTGGAAACTCCAAGCAACTTTTGAGGCACCCTGAGCTAAAAATCTAAGATGGTTGGTCGTAATTCAGTCAGCCACTCCAATAGCATTGTGCAGGTTTCATCTGAAGACATGTTGTTATGGTGCTTTCAAACTAGAAGTATGTTGTTTGTGCCTAGAATTTTGAAGCAGTAAAATCGAATGTGGCGTCATTCCCAGCTCCAACATATTATAATGTTAGCTCATTGTATTGGCTTTAAATATAATGAAATAAATCATGCTACAACAAGAAATTTGTGGTGCTTACATAAAACTCAAAGAAGATGTTGTTGTCTGGATACTGGTAGGTGAAGGAGACGGATCCTTGTTTCTCCAGATGGACGGCGTAAACTAAAGACACAGTGCACTCATCACGGTTTGATTCCAGGTATACACCTTGTGGCGTCCAGGAGGAGCTGTAGCACGAAGAAAACACAATCAGTAAAAACAAAAGGGTAAATAAAGAGTTATATCTGTGAATAGCGTGGATTGTGTCTCTGGGGATGATGTTGTCTGTGATTGTTTGTGTCACCTGTTACAAGCCTGAATATCTTCACCATTTGGACCAGCATCTAAAAAACTGGCCATGCTCGTGAAGCCTGCAGGGATGGCGTCCCATTGGTCAAATCGTAGGCCACTCCCCAGAGAATAGGAGCCTGCGGCACATGGCGTGCACTGCTGTGTGGTCATCTCTAGATACATCCCAGCCGGACAGGAGAAAGCTGTGACACGGGGAGAAAACAGAGTCAAAACATCTCAAAACGTGAGGATACACACATGAATATAACGGCTGCACTTACAGCAGTCTGTTCCTCTGGTCGGAGGAGGGAGGCCTGAGCAGGAGCCTGGGTTGAGAGGGATAGCGACTCTCCATCGAGACCCTGTGCTGTCACACTCTGTGTACTGGAAGTAGTAGTCTGTCTGCAGAGACACACACAGATTTACAGATCAATAAGTCATCCCATTTGGGTTTGGCTGAGCTTGCAGGACCACTATATTGATTTCAAAGTAAGTCAATCACTGGAGTCATTCTGATATTGCAGCAGGTGTATATTATGTAGTCTGCTGATTTTGGCGATCACTTTACTTTTTTTCTGGCACTGTCATCAGGTCAGGGTTTCCAACCATGCAACACTTTTAGACTTACTTACTTACTTTTATACTAATCCAACTATTTTTCTGTTAGCCTACTCTTTGTTTCAGGCAAGTTAAAGCTCTTGTAAGTAACTACTTGTTTGTGTTGGTTTTGGCACCCCCTATGGACCAGGATATGTCTTGTTTTTTTTGTGCTTATTTTGTCCTGCACGTGTGTGGTCCGTGTTTTTCATAAGCCAAAGATTTTACCTATTAATGCTATTTGCCTTGAGTGCTGTTAGTTGCCATGTCTGACAGCTAACACCAAAGCAGCATTTACAGGAAAAAAAAAGCTAGTAAACATCATTTGTCTCATTTGTTTAATATGCTACTTGCTTATACCGGCATGTAGGTTAGTCATTAGTAGAGTATTAGCATTCTTATATAAGCATTTGACTCACATTGTGTATCGTAAACTTGCATAACATTTCAGTTAATATTCATTATAAAAGCAAATTACATTTATACTCCACTCACAAAGCTCCTTTTTAAAATCACACAGAGCACTGAACACACATGACTTGTTGCAATCATGTAGCAGAGGACATATGACAACAAGCCTATGCGTGCATAAAAGGAACATTGGCAGTGACCCTGATCACCACGGCAACCGACCACTGGAACACTAATGGTCCATTAAGAGCACGACAGCAGGTCATGTGTACAATCGCTTCTTTCCGAGGGCTTTTGGTTGTGACCTTATACTCATGAATTCATTATTGCATACACATAAAAAATATCAGTTTGATTTTGTTGACCTAACTTTAATATTGTATGTAAAATGATGATACAGAATGACGCAGGAAGAAAGCAGCTGTTTATGTTTTGCACTGTCTTCTTTTTCTCAGCCCTTAATCCAAACAAAACCTACTGTATTTTTTAGGAAAACAATAATGATTACACGCTCTGTTCTTTCAAAGCATTGTCCAAGGACTTCAAAACCTCTCTCTCTCTCTCTCTCTCTCGTAGATCTTCATCTCCTCCCCCTAACCTGCTGTTCAGCTGGACAGACCAATTGTCAGTGTCAGGCACCTGGCTCAGCGGCAGCTAATTAAATAGGAAAAATCACATAAAGTGTCCTGGTTTGTCTGTGTGGGGTGGCATCAATCAGAGACAAAGAGAGATGGTTTCACATTCAGAGTGTATGTGTGGTAAAGATAAGCTTTTCCTATCAAATTACGAATCACTTCTCTGCTATAATAAAACCTGCCCATTCATGCTGTCCTCCCCCAACAAACAAACACATAAATTGTGGATTGCCATGAGAGAAGTCGACGTCTTCATTAACATGTAAACATGGCCACCTGCACAGGGAGTCGCCTGCTGACTCTTTCTGTGCAAATGGACAAATAACAGGGCTGGAGTGTTGACAGTTCTAAAAGGTAACTGATAAAAAAAAAGACATGAGCTAATGTGTTTCACTGGTCTCTAGGGTGACTCACGCTTGTTGTCATAGAGACTGATGAGAAGAAAAGAGACAGGGGATGGGGGTTAGGATTCAACACCATGATGAGCCATCCTTTAAATCAGGAAAGTGCAGGACTGAAGAAAACACGCCTATTTGTTTTATTGCTAAAAGTCACATTTACAATACACTGTTCAATACACCACCCACTTAATTTGACAGCAGCAGGATGCAGCTGACCAGGGGTGTAGTCAGATAGACATCTGTCTTAAAATCGCAAAGATAGAGTGCAAATATTTTCCTTAAAGTTTACTAGCAGAGCATCGAATTTTAAGATCTGGTGGGGGTAAAATACAAAAACACTTTTTGATAATCCAGACTTTGGACATGCTGTTCAAAGATTTTTTGCACTCGACTTACCCCCATGATCCATTCTCTGCAACTTCATACTTTTAATCCACTTTTCAGCAAGGATTTGTTTGCTTTTACTCTGGTATTGTGTTTGTTAATTTGATAGTTTAAGCTCCTGTCAGGGACTTTTCGTCTGCATCAAAATTTGTGCCCCTTTTAGATTAAAGTATCTTTGCTTATTTTGTCCTTGCTGACTTTTGACAATCGAATGTAGCATTCAGTATGGCCTGTTTGTAAATGTAAAAACTTTAATCCTTTAATGATAAATTTAAATGTTGTTTTTTATTTATTTATTTATTTTTTATAGTTACGGTGGCCAAGAATGGCCACTGCTGCAAATAAAAAAAAGAAGTCACAATGGAAGTTATTGATGCAAATAAAATAAAAAAGAAACGGTGCAGATAAAGAAATAAAACAAGCCACGACAGAAGTTAACGATGCAAAAAAAAACTGGCGATGCAAAAAAAAATTTCACTTACTGCGAAAATAAAAGGATGCAAATAAAAAAGCCCCAATGGAAGTGAGCTTCTGGGGACCAATAATGATGATGCACCAGTGTTTTACGATCAGCTTTTTAAGTTACTTTTTTTTTTGCAACTCCACTTTTTTGTGTCATTAACTTCCGTGTGGCTTTTTTTTTTTTTTTTTATCCGCACCATTTCTTTTTTTATTTGCAGCGGGCTTCATTTTTTTCTTTTCTTTTTTTTTGCACTGGTGACTTCCATTGTGACTTCTTTTTTTGCATTCTTTTTTTATTTGCAACAGTGGCGGTTCTCGGCCACCATACATAGTAGTCTTCCCAGCATCTCATCCTCCACAGCGGGTCATCCTAGCCCTGTTGGCCGGCAGGTGGCTGCTGTGGAGGAGGGATGGAGGCCAGCAGACAGCGTCATCTCGTTATGGAGGGTGTTTATAGTCAACATGAACCGCATTTTAAGCCGATCAGTGGTGTCAAGAGAACCTTGTGTTCTCGCGTGGATACATTAGAAAAGCTTAAAAGGAATCTGCGGTTTGGGGTTTTTTAAAATGAGCTCCAATGAAGCATTTTTGAGCATCATCTGGGGGGTTATTTCTGCGCGCATGGCCATTTTCTTGACTTGATAATCGCTTTGATAAACAATGCCAATTTCTACAAAAGAGCAATGAGATTAAAATGCATGTAATTACCCGATTAGAAAACACAGTCTCTAAATATCACTCAGCATTGAAGTAGCATCAGATCAAATGGAAATAACATATCTGTCCTATAAGCGCTCACCTCATCGCACGGCCGCAGCTCTCTGGCGGCGGACACAGATGATGATGATGATGAGTGCGCGTTGATGAAGAGTAGAAAGCACCAGGAGAACCAGGAGGCCCACACCTGCTCCCGCATCCTCAGCTCGGATCACAAACCGCCGGCTGTCCGCTGCCTGGAGCCTCGAACATCCAACAGGCTGAGAGTCGACTGTTTATGTGCTGGGGTGTCTGTCATTGATGCCTACTGCCTGCATGTCTCTCACTCACAATACACGTCAATGTCGACTGTGCAAACACCACACTTCCGCTCATGACTTTCAAAACAAAAGTCTCAAAAAGTGAGCGAAAACGTCTCAACACAGTCTGACTAGAGATTTACTAGCTTTGGTGAATTTCTCACTTTTTCATTTGCGCTTGTGGTGATGGGTATGGCAGTTCTTTTAGACATACTGAATCACTAGAATCAGTTCACTGAAAAGGTTCGTTCACCAAATCACCGAATCATTGAGCGTTTGGCGGGAGAACCCTGCGACTCCGACCTCCTGAACTGATACACAGCTGAACGGTTCAGGATTCAGTTCAATTCGTAGCTTCTGTGGTTCCTTGTTTGCTGGCTGCTGGCCCGGCAATGCTGTTTCTCACTTCAGCTCAACTGAAGTGAGAAACGAACGAATCACTCAAGAAAGTGATTCGGTTCAGTATGTTCACTTAAAAGATTTGGTTCTTTTAAATAAATCGTTCGTGAACGAAACAACATTATACACAAGCTGAAATCAGTGTTTGTTATAAAAAAGTAGATAACATAGAAGTAAACTGATATTTGAGTGTAAAGGCCAACCTTTTTTTTGCTGATGATTTTAGAAATTATATTGGACAGTGTTTTCTCTGTAGTATTCAAATAAAGGCCTATTTTTCACAAACAAAACAGTTTTTTTTATTTTTATAAAAGCCTTTAATTTTTGTTTTATCATGGTGCTGACATTGATCGAAATAATCAATCTTAAATAAACATAATCTCCCAGCTTTCATTTCAGATAACAAGGTACTTTTTGATTTAGGCCTAATTTAATTTTAAAAGAAACCATTTAAAATATCCAAAGCACCAATTTTATTATTTGATCTATTGTTTTAAAAATGTAAGAGCTCTTCATCTGGGTATAATTGCAGAAGAAACCAAGAATTAAACGTGTCAACAAAAAGCCTACAGTTTTCACTCTAAACGCAGATATTCTAAATTTTGCACACATTAATTCATTTGTGGATAACTGAAAAACAATAAAGCATTTGTGTCTAATTTGAAATGTCTTCATCCAATCAGCTGTCTCAGAAGCAACACTGGCAGATGACTATTTTCATGATGCTTTTATTTTGAAAACATAACTATATGTTCCTGATGTTTCATTATAAATGTATTTACTTTTCCTCAGTACCAAACCTTTACTCAGACAGTGACGCCAGGAGTGTGATAACACGTTATCTTGATTGACAGCTAAAGATAGAGCGCAGGCTTGCAGGCTGCAGAGCTTTTTATAACTCCTCTTCTCTACACCTGACAGCAGACACTAGGAGCTCTGGGTTCACACTAAAACTAAGTGTGAAAAAAAAATGTTTTTCAGAATTAGAATAAGCGAATCTAGTTCATAATAGTACAGTTTGGAGGAGTTATTTTTCATTATAGGAGAACCAATGCTACAACTTGAATCTGAATATTGTGTCTTTGTGCATTTGGTTGTTTTAAACCAGGGCATTACATGCACAAGTAATCGTAACTTAAAGGGGTTTTCTACAAAGCCATAAGCAAATAAACGTCCATTACATATCCTTAGAAGAAAAACTGATAAAAGTAATGAATCAGTCTTCATTAACAAACGTGGGGAATGAAAATAGTCTTCAAAATCAGTATCTGGGTTCTACAACATTGCTGTTGTCTTGAGGTCATGTGATGATTAGGTCAAGATCTCCCTGAAACAATGGAAAAAATGGAATTAAAGACACATACGCAGGTACATGTTAAACATACAGCCCAGATTAAATTTTAGTCCTCTCAGACCCACGGTGCATAAGAATAAACTATACGAATAAAACTATAAAAGTATAAACATAAAATAGACAACTAAGCCAAACAAAAGACTACCTTAAACACTCACATAAATTTACAAAATGAAGATAACAACATAAACAGCATAACAGTATAAACATAATAATAATAATAATAATAATAATAATAATAATAATAATAATAATAATAATAATAATAATAATTATTATTATTATTATTATTATGTTACTGTTTCAAACTCCAGTCCAGTAGGTGGCGGTAATGCACCTTCAAGTTGGTTTGCCACTCGCCAATAAACTCCATTGAAGAGGAAGAAGAAGAAGCCGGAGATGACGTAAAGTGCGGAATCAAAACAGTTAAAATTTGACAGCTCGCCGTCGCATCGTGTATAAAATGCCATGGGAAATGTTACCGCCAGGGTGAAAAATAACCCACATTATTTCGACAAGGTCTTCAGACACTCTGGTGACTTTCTGACGAACTGTCGAGGAATGTTAATGAGAAGAAAAGGTTCTTTTGGTTAGTTTGTCTACGAGCTAGCCTTCAGCTGCTCCTCTCTCTATGGTACGAGCCCGTTAGCTTCTCTGGCTAACCAAAGCGGCTTCATGGCGATCTATGGGCTGAACATGACCATATATAGACCGACAACAGAGCTCCCCCGCCGGTGAAATGTAAACGGAGGCTCGCTGAGGAGGCTGAAAGAAGGACAAGAAACACAAAAGAAGAAAACTCACATTATCTTCAGCAGCTTCATCATCATGTCATCTGAGCAGATTATCGCCATCGTCATGGAGGACAAAATCTACGAGGTGAATAAGAAGAAGCTGATCGAGAAGAGCGACTACTTCCGTGCTCTGTACAGCTCTGGAATGAGGGAATCCACGGAGGACTCTGTGCAGCTGCAGGGGCTCAGTGTCCCCGGACTGGAGCTGGTCCTGGAGTTCATCAACACCTCCAAAGTCCAGGTTGTGAATGAGACTCTGGAGGATCTGATCGAGACCGCCTCTTTCTTACAAGTCACCTCCATCCTCAAGCTCCTCACCTCAGAGATCCGTCAGGACAACTGCGTGGAGCTGTACAGCCTCTCTGAAGTCTACGGCACCCACGACCTGCGCCACGCCTGCCTCAAATACATGAGCTGCCACTATCACCCCATGCTGAGGAGGCCTGAGTTCAGCAGCCTCCCCTCAGCTGTCAGAGAGCAGGTCAGAGACATGCGCATGAAGGGCACCGCCACCCTGGTTGCCATAGGAGACTTCACCTGCCTGTCTCTGGACGTGCCGGATCAGGATGAACCCTGGTCCATGCTGAGGTACGGAGAGATGGAGCAGAGGTGGAAGCCGCTCGCGAACAACCTTCCTCCTGATATGATCAATGTCAGAGGTTATGGATCGGCTGTGCTCGATAACTACCTGTTCATAGTGGGTGGATACAGGATGACGAGTCAGGAGATCTCAGCCGTGCACTGCTACAACCCCTGCAGGAATGAGTGGAACCAGGTGGCTCCGCTCAACCAGAAGAGGTAAAGCCGGGTCAGAATCATTCCCTCAAGATTAAGAGTGAAGATCGTGTTTCACTGACTGTGTCCTCTTCTCCTTCAGGTCAAACTTCAAGCTGCTGGCGGTGCAAGGGAAGCTGTTCGCTGTGGGAGGTCAGTGTCTGGGAACAGTGGAGTGTTACAGCCCAGAGCAGGACTGGTGGACCTGTGTGTCCTCGATGCCCGACCCGCTGGCTGAGTTCTCTGCCTGCGAGTGTCAGGGGATGATCTACGTCATGGGTGGATACACTGCGAGAGGTTGGTAAAATTCACAAGCATGAAAATATTAAAGGGATATTCCAGTGTAAATTAATTTAGGGTCAAACACACCGTAACATTGAGTTAGACACCCCCTCGTGGGACGAATGTTGCTGACTGCTTACTTCTCTAGTTATATCAACTTTAGTAACAACCGCAATAGCAATACACAGCGGTCTGAGGAGCCATCAACAAAACTCCTCTCTATGGCCTCAAATAATGCTCAGAACAGCACCTAACTTCATCAACAGTACATATAGGGTCCCAGCCATAGTACTAGCCACAAAACATCTTTTTAACTTTGCTTAATTTCTTTAGCTAAGAGACTAAACACAACTCACCTACTCTCTTCCAGCAGCCGCTTGTTTGTAGCGAGACCTCAGGCCAGTCCATTACAGACTGCAGCGGGGTGACACAGCTCAAGGAAGAACATTTATGAACATTTCTTTATCATTTCCTTGAAGTAATTATCATCATGTTAGTCATTTTGCACTGCAGACGTGGTAGTTATTCTGCCTTAGCATCTCGGTCTGGTTGCATTTCCATGAAGTAATGGGGGGCTGTGTAACTTGGTGTTGCGGTGTATTTGACCCTAAATTAATTTTATGCCGGAATATCCCTTTAACAGTGCATTTCTGATGTGCTTCCTTCCAGACAACATATGTTTCAACAGTTTCAAACAATCTAAACAGGCTGATATTAAAGGAATGTGGCCGCTCGTCTGTGCGCACTGCTGACTGTTAAACAGTCTTGTATCAAGTTTTACTTTCAGCCTCAGGCAGTTTAATGCAGTAATATTCATTTCTTGACATTAGCAGTAAAAACAATTGATGAGCTGGATAAGTGTGACAACTTTGCAGAGTGTCTTCTGTTAAACTCAGCTTTGTAAGATCTTTAATACTGCACCAATAGAAATCAACAAAGTGTTGGCAGACATCCTAAACTTTCCACAGGGAGTCATCTAATTTAGTTTTATATAGATAAGCTAGATAGAGGAACATATTTCAGTTTGAGCTCATTTTTTTATTAATTTTCCATACCATTGGAAAACGTTAGATGAGCTAATTAAATCGTTAATCCCCGGCACCCGCTGAGCTGCAGTAAAATGCCCCTGAGCAAGGCACTAAACTTTTAACTTCTTCCAAACAGCAGGAGTTCAAAAGCTGTGTGCATGTGGGGAGATTTTCTGTGTTCTCAGCTTAAACAATCAGATCTTATACCAGACAATCATGGTGTTGTAGCTGGCCAGCACAAGAAATACGGATTACACTAGAAGAATGAAATAATTACATCCAAAAAACTCAGTGCAATAGTAAACATTTGTATTTGCAATACAAACATACTGATGGTTTGCTGGCATACTTTTGAGTACTGCATGCAGGATTGTTCATTGTACTGTAGTCTCCTTCTGTCCTCTGATTCAGCGCTTCCTGAGTTTAGGGTTTAAACCCTTAAAGGGTCAAAAGAGGCAAAAGCTTATTAAAAGGATAAGAAACTAAAATATTTTCTCTTCCAGAACAAAAAGAGATGCGGTTTTCATCAGTAATCTGCGTTGACAGAAGTGATAGTGGGCTTTGTTTGTTTTTACTCTGCCCTGGGCTTTGTCTCCCAGGCTACACATTTATCCATGGAGGTGTTTGTACATAACCTGGCAGGAAGACCGCAGTCGGGCTGAACGCTGAGGTAGTAGAGAACAAGTGTGTCTGCCCTCCTCACAAGGACGGACATCTAATGTTTTTCTGTAAGATAATTTTCAGGGCACATTAGTTTTTGGACGGCTCAAGATGGAGAGACACGATATGAGGTGAGAGAGTGAAAGATGACGTAGCTGAATCCTGCTGGGACTGGACTTGCCTCTGCCCCACCAAATCAAACCAGACCAAATCCTCATGATGCTGAACTATTCTCAGTTTTTAATGATACTTATTAGAGAGTGTTTAGTTTGATTGTTCGTGGGACAAAAGAATAAAGTTTTGACATGAATTTTGATCAGGTTTTGACATTCTAAATTGTTAATCTTGAACAATAAAAATTAGCAACTCATTCATGAAAAGAGCTGTTAGCTGCAGCTTGATTTGTACAGTACATCTGTGCATGCATCGGGACGCATCAACAGTGATACAATCCTCGGGGTGTTTCAGGTCTTTCAGCATCAGGCACCTTCACCCGAGCGACCCCAGCAGGGTTGATTAAACTCTGGCTGGAGTCCCAGAAGCACTTTCAGCTTGCTCTGTTTGATCCACATCAAATTAGAGGATCTGTTCTGCTGCCTCGCCTGGCTTTTGTTTTCTTATCCTCAGTCGCTTCAGCAGACTGAGCCTCCTGCTGTGTTTGTTGTGGAGATATAAATGTCTAAATATGCAGGAAAAGTCATTTAAAGCGCCTTGATTTGGGTAAAGAAGCTTTAGTTTTGAATAAAGATTAACAAAAATATCTTTTTGTTCTTTCTATGAGTTTGATTTCTTTTTCCTTCTCTGTGTCTGACAGACAGGAACACAAGCGTCCTCCGCTACTGCCCCACCTCTGACACCTGGACTGTTTTTCGCTCCTGTCCCGCTCACATCCGTAAACAGCAGATGCTCTCAGTGGAGGACACCATCTACTTGGTGGGCGGCTACACCCACGAGCTCGAGCTGACCCAGCGCCAGCGGCGTCCCAGCCAGACGGAGGACGTGCTGACGGTGCAGTCGTACAACATCACCACGGGAGAGTGGCTTCAGCTGAAGGAGAACACGTCCAAGTCCGGCCTGAATTTGACGTGCACGCTGCACAACGATGGCATCTACATCATGAGCCGGGATGTCAGCCTGCCCACCAGCCTGGAGCACCGCGTTTTCCTCAAGTATAACATTTTCTCGGACGCCTGGGAGGCCTTCAGGCGCTTTCCGGCGCTGGGACAGAACATGCTGCTGTGCTCGCTGTACCTCCCCAACCTGCTCTGATGGAGGCCGAGCCGAGTGAACACTAACAGAGAGTGAAGCCCTGCGGCTTTAACACAGGCCAGTTGGTTGTTCTTGCACAGACTGGAGCTCTGTGGTTTTAGTGGGAACACTGTCTGGTTGCCAGGTTTGATGCCTCGTGACCTCTGTGCCTATAAAGTAAAAAAAAAGCACTACATTGTACATACTGCTGTGGATGCAAATACAAAAGCTACAATGACAACAGATATGAAAGAGATCATGCGCCATTGCCCAAAAACAACATAAAGAAGCAGCTGGTTCCAGATTGTGCCTCTGATGTGTTTATACTCAAGGAGCATCAGAGTAATGGTCTGTCTCTCTGATCGATGTCTACTTTAAAAAAAAAAACGCTAGTTTGTGGCGTGAACAACACTTAACGCTCAATTGATGGTATTACCAAGATTCTTAAAAACAACCTAGATAAGTAAACAAAACCTCAACACAACAAGAGTTAGGATATTATAAAGTTTGTAAAACAGGTATGGGAACCGAAATTGGTGCAAAGATAACAAATCAAATGTTGAAGCTGAAAAATTTCACAATTTTATGAAAAATCCTATTCACTCATTTTGATTTGATGCAAGCAACAAGTTTATAAAACATTATGACAGGGGCATGTTTGTCATTAGGGTGCATCACCTCTTATTTTGGTAACCAAGGAGACCAGTTTCAGGAGTTTCGACAGCAAAATGTTGTCTCAGTCTTACCTGATATGAGATTTCAGCTGCCAACCGTTAGTGTTTACAGTATATGTGTATTTTTTGTCATGATATGCCAAAGGTTTTCAATGGATGACAGGTTGGGATTGCAAACAGGCCGGTTCAGAACCATGCTGTTGTAGTACTGACAGAATGTGGTTTGGCATTGTCTTGCTGTGTGATGGAAGACAGTAAAATTTTCTGGATGGCAGTATATGTTGCTCCAGAACCTCTTTATTGGATCATGTACCCTCTTTGCAAAGTGAATTTTTGACTGCCCATGCAATGATTCCCACTACAGAGTCATGACATAATTCTGAACTATTTCCACTCCCGGTCTCTACCTCTGAGAGCCGGAGCCTCTCTGGGATGCTGTCTTAACCCAGTCATGTCACCAACTTCTTGCAAATTAACCTCATTAGTTTGGAAATGTTCCTCCTTATTTTGTTACATTCATCTCTTTCAGTGTCGTCCCTGTCCCCACTATTTGTCAACATGTTGCTGGCTTCAAATTTAAGATTTTTGATGAAACAATACAATTTTCAGATGAGGGTGTAAGATTTAGAAGGACCCAAAAGCAGAACTTTGACTTCTTTTATATAAAATATGATGTGTACTTTCTTTAAGTGTATAATAACACAGATATGAGTAATATTTCTATTCTGGGAGTTTGTTCTTTGCGTCTCCAGAGGCAGTGACTCTCCCCCACAAAGTATGTCGTGTTTCTACAGTAGCACAGAAACGTGGGTCCTTGAGTGGGACTTCATTAGTGGTCTTGTGGTCACCAAGGGTTCTTCTTAGAACTTTTAAGTGAAGGGAAAATTTTTAGTTGTTTTTTTAATTTCTCTATTTGATGCTTGAAAAGGACTTCACATCACATCTTCAAAAGGATTTTTCAAACTTTTGACATTTATTCTTGCCAAGGTTACTGCCTGGCTGCCAACTTTGTTTCCCACAAGAGTTACTACTCAGTAAAAGATTTTTTTTACACTGTAGCTTTCTGAATATTTTCCAATTTGATTTCTCTACAAGTCTTAAAAAATCTTGAGTTAGCCCAGAGCAGCACTAAGTGTTTTTTTATGATCTGTTGGCTTGTTATTTTTCAGAGAGACGGATGTTTACCTCCGTCATGTGGTGTAAACACGTGAGAGGCACAAACTGGAGCTGCATAAGAGCATGCTTATAAACCTACGGGCTACAATATTCTTGATGTTTACACTCCAGATGTGGCATTGGCATAGATATGTAATCAAATTCACTACAAACCTTAAAATATCTCAGAAACTTAATGAGTTTATGTACTGTACATAGCAGATAATCACGAGTATGGCTTTGGTTTTACACTGCCAGTTTTAAGAGATTGGGTGAAAGTGACAGTTTGGGCTGAAGAGGCTCAGAGAGAGCTTCATGTGTCGTTAGTGCTCTTGCACTTGTCTTATTTTTCCAGAGAAACACACTAAGCAACGCTTAAAGCGCAACTCCATGAAATGAACAGCGCACATGTGCCTTCTGCAACCTCCGTTAACGGGGACTTGATACAAAAAAAAAAGCACAAAATGCAAGACTTTGTTACATTGCCAGCAACTGACCAAAACTGCTGTGTTTTATTTTCCTCTCTGCCGATGCAGATCTTGTGTTTGTTGAGGTACTTTTCAGTTCCTTGGTTAAATATTTGGAGGTGTTCAGTTGTGAGAAATGAGCCTCAAAGCAGATTTTATCTCTTAAACTCTTGGATGTTTCGGTTGAGTGCAGCACTGAAAATGTTTGGTTTGATGGATTTCAGATTCTCTCTGTAAAACTCATTTGTTCAACAGTTTGGGAGTTTAGATTGTGGAAATAAAGATGATGTTCAGGGGTCTGTCCTGTTGTTTGTCTCCTTGCTCTGTTGCATCTTGTTTCTAATGTTTTGCTCCAAGTTTCAAAAGTCAATCCAGAGAGCTGGCTGAAAACATCATGTCACCTGTGATGTTGCCTCCTTCAACAGTATCTTCACATTTTTGGACTTCGGGTGCTTTGAGAATGGTTCCATTTCCACAGTTGAAAAGTTGTTTGGTGCATTCATGGACTCTAAACAAAAACATGGAAATAATGTTACAGATAAACTGGTTAAGATTTGGTGCACCAAAAAAGGACAACAAGTCATTTATAACTCACCTCTTGTATAATCTGTTGATCTCAGAAGTCTGCTGAAAATTTGACAAACTATCCACTGAGCATTTTTTGGTCTAAAAGAGGTCTAATAGACGGTCTACATGTAGCCTAGACGACTGGTCTGAAATCAGACTACCACAGGTCTTAAAATGAAAGTTTTTTAACGTCTAAATTTAGAACAAGTTTAGACTTAATCTAAATCTGGGCTATATCTATACTACAATGTATATTGCTAAACTGCTCTCATAATTATTTTGGTTGAGTTATGCAACTCACAGTTGCTTTTTGAAATAAATAGTTATCAAATAATGGGTTAAAGTGCAACATCTAAATTCCGTCTAAAAATATACAGAATCTAGATGGTTGAAATTAGGTCTAAAAAAATACCAGACGTCTATTGCTCAGAGGGTACCTCTTCTCGCTAACTGACTAACCGGTAGATCTGGTGACGCCTACCATCAAGGGAGACTGTTGGCAGGGAGACGAACACAGGACCAGCTAAAGCAACAAGCAACAAAGAAGGTAAAATGATCACACATGCACCCATTTTGTTCCAGACATACACAAACTGTTCAAAAGTTTGGGGTCACTAAGACAATTTGTGATTTCCATGAAAACTTACACTTTTGTTTATCAAATGAGTTGCAAAGTGAATGGAAAATATGAAACAGTTATAATTATAATTTGAAATAATAAATTTCTCCTTCAAACTTTGCTTTCGTCAAAGAGTGCTCCATATGCAGCAAATACAGCTTTGCAGACCTTTGGCATTTTAGCTGTTTATTTGTTGAGGTAATCTGGAGAAATTTCAACCCACGCTCCTAGCACTTCTTGGGTACCATAAGGTCAAGCTGCTCCCACAGCAGCCCAATGGGGTTGCCACTCCATTACAGAATACAGAATACCAGCTGCCTGCTTCTTCCCCAAATAGTCCTTGAATAATTGTGAGTTGTGCTATGAGTCATTGTCCTGTTGTAGGAGGAAATTGGCTCCAATCAAGCGCTGTCCCCGGGGTATGGCATGGTGTCGCAAAATTCTGCATGTCTGTTTTCTTATTTAGGCTAAATCACTTTTTTAACAGTTCAGAGTTTACCATAAATTCACCAAAAGACAGGATGTTTGGCAGAATTTGAAAAGCAGTGCAAAACACAGATAAATAAAGCTGAATAACAAGTAAATGACCAGCAGGGGGCAGCAGAGTACTTTTAGAAAATCACACATTTCAGCTTTATTTCAGCGTTCCCCCTTCACCTTCAAGAGGACCCAGTCTTTCAGAAAATATGACATATTTCTAAAAAAAATCCTCAATTTTGGAGCTTACTTAAGTGATAAAAATGCATTTTTAAAAAGACCGCTCTTATAAATCATCTGTTTTCTGTCTTGTTGAAGGCTTCTCCACCTGTGGGCCGACAGATGAAGGCTACAAAGATTGTGTCATCATTTGGAGGTCATGAACGCTGATGGATGAGATATTTTTAGCCTTTGTTGGTGCAGACAGATGGATGAATAATGGTGGAAATCGGGTTCTCTAATTCACAGCGGCCACGGCAGAGGCAGGGAAAATCAATTGTTGCCATCAGAGGTCCAGATTGATCCCTGTGCATGGGATCAAATCAGTGTGATCTCTCTCACACCTCCACAAAGGACTCACATGAGATGCAGAGAGTTTTCAGAGTATTTCACATCAAGAACCTGTTAATTTTAGTCCGTTTAATTGCAAAGTGACTCCCTTTTTCTTTGTGTTTGAACTATGTGAGATAATGTGGTCTGTAATCTGGAGGCGAGCGTGCGTCTATGACAAGTGTGTGACGGAAAAGAGGAGGGTTCAGACACCAGAGAGAGAGAGAGAGAGAGAAAGAGAGAGAGAATAGACTCATGACAGCAGATATAGAGAGTAACAGAGAGAGAGAGAGAGAGAGAGAGAGAGAGAGAGAGAGAGAGAGAGAGAGAGAGACCAAGGACAGACAGCACTGAAGGGAGGGGGGAAATACACACACTCTTCGTCACACCTTCCTCACAACCTCACACAGCTTCTGAGAGACACAGAGCACATCTTGACATTGTGAGGAAGATGCATGTCTTCATCAGAGGAGCATCCAGGACAGGAGAATAGCTAAAAGCAAAGAGACAAAATACATGCCAAGGACTACAAACAGAGAGAGAGAGAGCAGAGTGAGCCCGGAGGGAAGGACAGCAGCTTTCAGAGAGGGTAAAACAGGCAGAAAGAGGCAGCATCTGCAGGTTTATTCTGATGCTTTTAAAGCAACTGGAGAATAATTCTTAAATATCCGACTTTGAGGGTTTCTCCTTCTTTTTTGCACACTGACATTCACTCTTTCTCTTAGTATCTTGCTGCTGCTGCTGCTGCTGCTGTGAGGTCATAGTCTCCAGCACTCACTGCCAGAAAACAAGGACTGCTTTTCAGACCTGACACCATGAGCGAGGGGAAGAAAGGTGAGCTCGCCATCCGGGATAAAGCCATCCTGCACCAGCAGAGGCGTCTCAAGCAGGCCACCCAGTTCACACACAAGGACTCGGCTGACCTTCTGCCCCTGGACGGGCTGAAGAGACTGGGCACGTCAAAAGACCTGGTGAGTGGAATCACAAATGTGTGCTTGAGGACAGCGGTTTGTAAATGACTTGATCTGAGAGGCTGTTGTTTGTGCTGCAGGGTGCTGTGGGGATGGTAGAGGTTAAGTTTGAGTGGAAGTAGGTGTGAGGTGCTTAACGGCATGTCTATTGATAGTTTAAAGGGATGATACAAATGGTGAAAGTCATATCTAGAAAGATTTCTGACTTTTCGGGCTATTTGGTCTTTTTTTTGGATGAAAAATCTAAAGAAAGAGAAGATGTGAGTTCACCTCTGTATAGCTTCTTATTTGAGACACACCAAGCCAAAATGCTAGTCTAAGTTGGCTTTATTCACAACTACAGAACTAGACTGACAATAGTCCAAAAGCGAGTCAGCTGTGCTATGCTAAAAGCTAATGTACCCTTTAGCGGCAAACATTAAAGCTCCTGTGAGGAGTTTTTTGACATTAATAAAATAACCTGAAATTCACGTTGATGCCTTTTTTTATGAAGCACAATAACAGAAAAGATTTTCATGTTGCACTTTTTAGAGCCTGAGCACCTGAAAAAAACAACCCTGTTTTTACATTTTCTACATTAAATATTCACGATGAATGATACATTTGACCGTCACAAGTAGCATAAAAAACTTTTGTTTTGTTACTGTTTGGAAATGTAGAGAAAAAGATAGATCACTTTGTCCACAGGGGGCGCCAAAATTAATGCAAACTCAATATCCCTCACAGGAGCTTTAAGCAGGGGTGAGCAGGGGCACTCAAAGGTCTAATGACATTCAAGTATTGCTGTATGCATGCTCAGTAAAAGCCCGCCTCTTTTACTACATTTTCTGTTGGTCTACATCTGGGCTAACTCACATATTTTGTAAGAAAAAACAGAAATAGATAGAAACTAGCTGCATTCTGGTGGCCTAGTCATGTAAAAATAAGCACTTGACTACTAATACATGTGTATTATCATCGTTTCCTGCAGCACTATTATCTGGTTTAGCTCTAAATGCCATTGAGTGCAGCCTTGAAATGGAAATTTATCGCTGAAATGGTCATTAAAGATTCAGAGTCCGGTGCTCTGCATACAAAAGAGGAATCATTGAGTCAAAGCATGTTACAGTACACTGTGCAGGGCCCTCAGACATACAGAGAAGCCGTTATACACTCAGAAACACACACTCACATACATATAAACACACTAAGGCTGACACACACATGATGAAACCCAGTCCTGAATGTTAAGTACAACCTCTTCACCCCCTCTTCCTCCACAAGCTCACTTAACCGAAAAACTGTTTTACACTCAGGAGGAACTCCCTGTAATAATTTCTACAATTTATTACTCCACCTCTCTGCTGACACAGTTCTGGTTTGATGGTGGCTTCCCAGATTCCCCAGAGCTCTCAAAAGAACCTTCACACAAACGCTCTGGCACCGGGAAGCGGCACTAGCTCTGCTCTGTGCTCTGCTAATCTCACACTGTGATGCATTTATGTGTCTGCCAGATTTTAATACCAACATTTGCTGCTAGAAAAACACTCCACCCCCCCTTCCTCTTTTTGTCTTCTTTGACTGAGTCACATTTCTTTATTATCATGTTGTGATTCAGAGGCAGATATGTTTTTATACTCCTTCTCTTATCTACTCTGTGCTCCTGGGGAAACATTTCATTTAAAACTCCAACTGTGGCAACAAGCAGTGGATGTTATCTGAGGCATACATGGTGAGTTTATAGCTTTGCTAGCAGTAAAGCGGATGGAAACTGACCAGGCTGAAATAAAAAAAACAGCTACTGGACAAAATGTGATGTAAATATTTTAACAATTTAATGTTACCCTTGCTGGATGACACCAGATTTATAAAACAAATCATGATATTTTTATTGCGGTACTGCTTGAAAATACTGGTCATATGTTGTGTTTAAGCTGTAGCACAGCCGCCCACCACCAGCCAATGGTTGATGACGACTTTCATGATGCTACAGATGCTCAGAGGCTGACAGTCTTTTGTCAATAAGCCAATCCTCGTCTAGTGCTTGTAAACTGGGACAGAAAGACAGAAGTCCAGTTAAATTGCCTAATGAAGCTATAACCATAAAACACCCATTACCATCATGTCGTTACCTGACCATTGACTGTCATTCTTGACCTCAGTAGATTAATAAAGTGATAATTCCACAAAAATGTAGGATATGTGATGCAATCTGAGCCATCATTTTTTGAACACACCAATTCTAAACATTTTAAAACATGAAATAAAAGATAATATCCAACAAGATGAAACTCTGTTAGAAAGACTTTACTGTGAGTCGACATCTCCTGCAGCAGCCTGAAGACACTCTTATCATAATACCAATTATCGTATTCTATAAGACAGAATGAAGCTCATTTCAGGGCTTATCTAAAATCCTATCTGCGGTGCAGCTGTGGCCACAGGGAGCCGGACACGATTTGTCTGAAACAAGTGTTTTTCGTTGTCAGAATAGCTGCAGGAACTTAAAGGAGGAGTGCAAATTGGAAGGCGGTCTTCGTCATGCCTGTAATCTCTCCTCTGCAGACAGCCGGAGACATGGTTCAGGCTGTGAATAGACATGAATGCAGAGAGAGAAAAAGAGAGAGCATGTGTTTCTGAGACGGTTCCCCTGTTGAACCTTCGAAGACGAGAGATGATTTTGTCTGAAGGAGGCTGTCAGATGTGTTTGTTTGTCTGCGGGCTATCTGACTACAAATGACAGCCTGGTTTTCTTTTTGCTTTTTTTCAGATGTGTCTCATTTTGTAATAAAATCACAATACAATTATCATATTCATTGTAGCTTGTGGCCTCAATAACAAAGGCTCTATCTCTTTTGTAAGCCACCAGCCATGTGGAGTGTTCAAACTAGTGATCTCCTCTATGATAAATGTAACAGTTAAAGATAATTGGACAACGTTAAAGGTGCAGTTTGTGGTATTTAGCAGCATTTAGAAGAGCATCATTTGTAGAGATGGAATATAACACTCATAAGTTTCACCTGAATATAGACATAACTTAGATGTTGTTTACTCAGAATGAGCCTTTTGTATCTAGGCCGCCATCTTGCACTGCCATGTTTGTATCGTAGCTCAGAGTGGACAAACTACAGAAAGACCCAAGTGTTTTATATTCAGAGATGTAAAGGGTGGTTGTTGTTGTTGTGCCAGAACAAATGTTTAATTTATGATGGTAAAACTTGTCAAATAGAGGATCAGGCGTCACATGAGCTCTCTGTCCTTAAAAACCTCTGTAGCTTCGCTAATAGGAGGGGTGAGCAAGGGAGCATTTTCACCTAGAATCTGTCTAATTAAGCTAAATGTTGCCATTTCTATACTAAAAATTTGGTATAGTTTGTCTCTTAAAATTGGAAAATTTGCAGTCTTTGTTTAATTCAATTTCTGATTGAGTATCTTTGAAAGATAGAGGGAAAATGGAGGACTTGAAATCAGTACTGGGGATAATCATAAACTTAAGAGAGTTGAAAATACTGACTCACTGATCCTAACAACAACAACAAAAAAAATCCATTTATCAAACACCTCCAAACACCACAGGTTCTTTTTTCTCAGATTTGCTGCATCTCTTTGGACCATAAAACCCTAAATTATAAACCTTTTTCAGAAAGACAAACTGAAACACAAATTCAATTTAAAAAAATCTATGTGAAAACTGCTACTGGTTTATTATTAACTGGATGATCAATTTGAGATTAGTTTGACAATATTTCACCAAATTCATTCATTATTTTTTAAAGAGAAAAGCGCTGAATTTTCTCTAAACTGAAGATTGCTTGTTTTGCTTCACGTAAAATGGAGTGTTGTTCATAAAAAAAGTTAAAAATGGGATTCATTTTGTTGGAAAAGCACAAAAAATCATCAGCAAAGAAGTTGAACTTGACATGACTTGACATGAACTTCAACAAATTGGTCATGAACAAGGAAAAATACCTAAAATTTTCTGGTTTTACTCCCTCAAATTGAGAGATTCTCTGCTTTTTGTCACGGACAATCTTAAAGTAAGAAAAGAATCATAGTCTACCAGCTAATTGAGCGATGATTGATCAATGTTTAGGATGGTACAACTTGGTACAACTACTAGTCTGAAAAATACAAGATGTTTTGAAATATCACCTTTTTCTATATTTTGACAGTTTCCAGACCTTACAAGCAAAATAAAGAACGATAAGGCCAGTTATCCGCATCCTTATCTCCATTCCTGCCATCCTTCCTCTTAATTTGTGCTTGCTGTCCTGTCCTGTCCGCTGTGTAATTCAGCAGCAGCGCCTGTTATGTAAGAGTGAATTTGTTTTGCTGCTCTTTAGCCCGAGGTCCTCTCACTCTCAGCTGCAGCAGCACCACTCCAGCCATGTTGTGTTGTTGAGGAAGGGGAGCAGTGAGCATGAAAAGGGCAAAATCTACAGTGCGAACGCAAGAGCGATGAAGAGGAAGAGAAGAGACGGCTGGAGATATATAAGGTCAAGGAGGACGCTTGGTATAGTGTGGAGGTTTTATGTTACACAATGAAGAGCGTTGAGTACATGTGTGAGAAATGTATAGAAAGTAAACCAGACAGAACAAGAGTACATACTGTGTGTGGATGTGTGTGTGTGTGTGGGGGGGATTGGGTTGGAAAAATCTAAGCCTGGTTGCATTAACACCTGAGCTCAGCATGGACCAAGTTATTGTGTAACCGCTGAGTAACATTAGTGTTTCAGCTGCACACAGTCGATAGTGGCTCTTAAAAGCTACACAGAGGGACATCTTGAAATAAGCAGTGATTATTCTGTAATCAAGCTCCCAGAAAATACTCAAAAATTATAAATATTCATTTTATTTTCATGCCAAATGTTTATAATCTTAACCAGGTTTCCCAGGTTTTGCAAAGATTGACATTGTAAAACTTTAAACGCCTACAAATTCACTTATTTATGCAGGCTCCTCTCAAAGATACACTGTAGTCTGTAGGCACATGTAAAAAAACAGACCTATAATATTCAGAATAATGAGTGTACAATCATACAGTCTATAAAACCTGTTTCTGTATGGCCTTCAACTGTACATCTATACGCAGATCCGTTTGTACGTGGGCCTATTTTGAAATTTAGTGGGTGGTTGTGCAAAATGCCTCGTTCAGAAGACAAAGAAGAAAAGAGAGGTTGTTGTGTGTGAAAAAAAAAGTACTGATAGCTGTTTTTGATGATAAGAGTTTAGCAAATGGAGGATCATGCGTATTGTGCAATGCATCACAGCACCTTCTTGACCTCAAAGGCCACCATCCCCTCACAGATAAGAGAGTTGAGCAAAGGACATTTCAGTGTAGAGTTGCTGAATATTCCGATTTCTATGCACTAAGTGAAAGTCATAAATAAAATCAACAGCTAAATTAAAACTATCAAACTTACCAGGTTAGAGAGCGGAATCCCAAAGCCGCCCCCTTTTGCCCCGCCCCCTGTAAAGGAGGGCGGGGCACTAGGACAAAGGAGTTGTCCTAGTGCTGCTTTACAACAGAGAGAGAAAGAAGGCAAAGTATAGGTCAAGATGTGCTGAAAATGAAATTAAAAAAAAATGCAGTTCCACCATTGTCCATTAGAGGGTGGCTCCAAAAGCCAAGACATCTCTATTTGGTCCCATGTTAATACTAACATTTTTAAAAGTAGCAGAATAAAGTCACTTATTTGTCAGTAAAGATACTGTAAAGGCTGAGTGTTATGCATTAGTGTGCATAGTAAGTTGCATGGCTGGTGTAACTGCATATGGGAGCTATTTTCCAGCTGTTCCACCTCTTCGTCTGTGTCTAGGCTGATTGAACAAGAGCTTGAGTCAGCATTTCCAGTAGGAGGTTAGGCAGTCAGCTTTATGGGTCCTAGTGCGGGAATTTAAATGGAACAACACAAGCTGTTTTCTCCATGCTTCACTTGGCTCATTTACTCTGGTAAATAAAGCAATAGTTTTCATCTCATCTAACTCTCAAAAAAAGGAAAGCTATAGTTTCCAAGTTTTGCAAAATGGCATGTCAGGTAGACTGATTTTACCTACTAAGCCTCTGAGACTTCAACCCTTTTTCAAAATTCATTAATCTTTTGGTAGATAACAAGCTCCAGAAAGAAAAACATCTTCATTTTAAACATGTGCTCTGATTTTGTTGTGTACACCTCCTGTGCACAGCGGAGCGTCTTTCTCCCTGCTGCTTAGCTGTCTGTTTGCTAACGTCTCTCTCACACAGATGAGTGAGCCTGAAACTGTGTAATAGCGTGTGTTCGTGAGTCGGAGCCTATCTAATGGAGACATTGCAGTCTCCAGGTAATTTGGAGGATGATCAAAAACTCAAGGCTGGGCCTGAATTCAGAAATGTGCCAAAAGAGGAACAAATATGAGAACAAATGAGCAGCTGTGTGAATTATGTCCAAAGACTGGGGAAAGATTGTTTATATTGAGCAAATTTTTTCGTATAATCCTTCTTTTATAGCTTTATGCAAATATTTGACCTACAAACAGCGCAGTATAGCTGTAGAGCGACAGATGACTGAATAGTAGTGTCACTCACTTTGATCACGGGGCTCTAGGGATTTGGACTTTTTCTACACCCCTGAAACAAAGCATGTTAAATCGCTTCAGATGCAGCTTTATTATTAGCTCTAGAACAATCAGGCAAGCCAGAAAGACGTGAGCATAGATCTGCCTCCCTGTGTGTCATCTAGAGTTGAGGATAGGAGGGAGCTGAGCCCCCCCTCAGCTGCTCCCTCAGTACAGTGTAGAGATAAAAATACCTGACAAAGACAAGAAAACAAGCCCTCACAGCAGAGGGGAGGAGAACTCACCATACTGGGTAGAGGTTCAATTGTTGGTTACTCAAGCTTTGATACATGAGGTCTTCAGAACTGCTCATTTCGATGGGTAAAAACATGAAGCAGAAATTCCTGAAAGACATGAATTTTAGCAGCATTAAAAAAACAAATCCTGATGGCTCTAAGTTTGGAGCTATCAGATTATTTTGAAATATTATTTACTGAATAATCTTAAAATTAATGTAATTCTCAAAATATCTATCCCAAAATGTAAAATCCTTTTTTTTGTCATTAGTTTTTCTTTTAACAGAAAAACAAACTTACCTCTGTCGAGACTAAGGTCAAGAGGGAAGTACAAAATTATGAGTTTTTTTAGGGTCCTTGACCGTTCAGCTTTTGGAACCCCACTGCACACCTCAGTGTCCATTCCTAATGGTCTCTCATGGTCTAAAATCTGGCTGTGTCAAAGGGATATTTTGGCGTAAAATTAAGTTAGGGTCAAACACACCGCAACATCAAGTTAGACACCCAGTTCAGAGAGCCACGCGCTCAACCAAAACGCCACTCTATAGCCACAAATAATGCTCAGAACAGCACCTAACTTCATCAACAGTACATATAGGGTCCGAGCCATAGTACTAGCCACCAAACATCTTTTTAACTTTGACTAATTTCTTCAGCAAAGAGACTAAACACAACTCACCTACTCTCTTCCAGCAGCCGCTTGTTTGTAGCGAGACCTCTGGGCGAGTCCATTGACTGCTGCGGGGTGACGCAGCTCAAGGAAGAACATTTATGATAATTTCTTTATCATTTCCTTGAAGTGATAATCATCATATTTATCATCTTGTACAACAGACGCGGTAGTTCTTGTGCCTTAGCGTCTCGGTCTGATTGCATTTTCATGAAGTCACAATCACTGCTATAGAGTGGCGTGTTGGTTGAGCACGTGGCTCTCTGTATTGCTATCTGCAGTCAAACTACTAACTAAAGTTGGTATAACTAGAGAAGCAAGCGGTCAGCAAAATTCATCTCTTGATGGGGTGTCTAACTCGGTGATATGGTGTGTTTGACCCTAACTTAATTTTACACCGGAATATCCCTTTAAATACTTGATTCTGATTGGTCAAAATCCCACAACAACACTGTTTTAATTCTTGAAAGCAAATTGTTGCCTCGGACTAAGTGATCCCTCACACCAAATGGAAATAAATAATGGACAGGAGTCTGGTAATGTGACCTCTGCCTGTTGACACTGTGGCAAAAACAAACCTCTGCCAGTTTCTGCTTACATCCAAAACTCTCCAACAGCCTCTCTAAGCTGAGATAACACAGCTCAGCTTTGCATGAAGGTCCTACTCACCCTGGAAAAGTGGAGTAGTTTGTTTTGATGGACTAATCATTCAATCAGCTGATTCATTCAGCACTAATTAGATCTGAGCACCAGGAGACACACTGGAAAATGTTGTTACAGACAAGGTCGGCTGAGTGGTCAATGAATCGTCTAATGAAAATAAAAACTGTTGATTCATCTGTTGTCGTCACTTAATGACTAATCACCTTATCTTTTAGCGTGGCAAACTGATTATGTCAAGTGGAACAGACCCGCAGAAATATTATTGACAAAACTATTTCCAAACACCGAACAAATGACTTGAGATTTGGGGATTTGTGGAAGCGACAGAAGGTGATGTAAGAAAGTGAAAGAGGAGGAGGAAATAGAGGAGGAAGAGGAACAGGAAAGCAGGCGGCAGATGTGGAGCTCCTGGAGACCTCCTGCTCGGTGCGACAGGAAGTGGGTCGCTGGGGACCTCTGTCAGAATGAGAAAGGGGGCATTAGAAAGGTCACATGACCGTGCTGGATGAGAGAGAGGAGCCTGTTGCAGACAGATAATTAGTCCACATTGCAATTAGGCTCTAATCTGTCTCACAGAGGGAGAAATCCAGAGAAGAGAAACTGAGACAAAGACTCGGAGAGGAGGAAGAGCACTGGCGTCATACATTAGCGGTTATTCCCCCATCCCACAGGCAGATAACTGGTTTAAACTGGTTTGAATTCCGGGGTCATGACAGGACTCATATCAGCAGCATCAGCAGCAGAACACGTATGAACAGACAGGGGTAGCCTGAATTTTTTAGACATGGTCGGTCCACTCACAAAATACAAGACTAGTGAAGACAGTTTCCCATATTTCACTCAAACATGATACGAGGGTTTTTTATTTACCAATAAAACAGATAGAAATAGTTACCTTTGACCCTATATGACCTACAACAGCGAACAAGAACATCTGAAAGAAGACTGATGACTTCCAAGGATGATATTTTGTACTTCTCTGTACAACAAACGCCTTTGTTCACATTTCCCACTAGAAAGCTTCAAAGAGGTACATTTGAGCTCAAAATGAAAACAGGATTTGATTTTTGGTTTAGTTTAGATGTACTGCCATGATTTACTTGAGGTAGTGGCAATTTCACTTCAAGAGGCTGTTTTACACAAAAATGTATTTCATAGAAAACAGTTGATTATTGTTGAGGTTTAGTTTTTTCTTTTCAGTGGAACCACATTTTGAGTTTAGAAACCAGCTTCCACAGAGGAACGTCACCCTTTCCCTCACACCATAAACTGGCAAAACTGTGAAAATGTCACGGTCACACCCTTTTCATTTATATCATGAATGTTTGTTTGTAAAAAACAGCTCAATAAAGGGACACTCATACGGGCAGGTGTTGGGCTTCTCCTTAGTAGTGTTTCATCAGCTACTAGCTTGGCATGCATATACCAGCATTTTCAGATACTCTTGCAGGTCCATGTGCAGCCAATTGTTTTCACAGCATTCTCATGAGAATACAGTGTTTTCAAAAACACTTCAGTATTTTTCAACCTGGGTCCTCTTTTCCTGTGTTTGTGTGTGGATGACTGAGCTGTTTCTGAAATTGATCCAGTATTGAGGGAAAGCGGAGCAGCTGGCAGCTGTGAAACGAGCTAAAATGTCGTTTGACTGGGCGATTGTGCATCATTAAACTGCGCTGAAGTGCTTTTCAATATTATTTTACCCTTTCTTCATATAAAAAAGATCAAATGGAAGATGGTGTCTGGCATTCTCAGTGTTATTATTATTACTTTAACGCTCGTTTGAGGATAATAAACAACTATGGGACATAATACAATAAGCAGAACCAAAGATTCAAAATAATATCATCCATAATGAATCTGCCTGCTGTGAGAAATGAACAGATGAGACCTAAACGCTGCCAATTTCTCCTCCAGTAAAACGATTCACTGTCAGATGAAGTGAAACAGCAGGATGCATCACATTCAGTTTATTAGGTCTTAATGGGACAGCACTGGTTGCTGTCTTTGTTAGATTATATGACGGGGAATCCTCCAGGAGACCATATGATTGATGACAATTCACATTTTCTCAGCCTGTTAGCGAGCAATCACAGGACTGAGGTGTGAAATATGTACAAACCCTCCAAATGTGACAAGAAGAAGGATTTTCTCATATATTAGAGACCTGTGGAGTTAAATGGATTAACAGAGCAGCTGTGTTTTATCAGGAATAAAGTGGAAATGGAATGATAGATTAACTGTGAAGTTCAGGAACTTTGTTGTATGTTTCTTCTTTCTCTGCATGGTGTTTCAGCTCAAAGACAGAATTTAATCTTTTCCGCATAGAAACTAAAGACAATAATGAACGATCTTTTGGTGTCGGAGCTGCAATTTCTTAGCAAAGATACTCTCCGTGAGTTTTCCACTTCAACACAAAACCTTTTTAGTTAGACGCCTTCACGACATGATTCACGAACTTGACTCACTCCAACTTTAAAAGTAACAGACTGTATTTTCAAGATGGTCAAGTTGCTGTGACGTCAGGCTTGGTTTGGACTGGGAAGCTCAAATATTTATATGCCTCACTGCTCTGTTCAAGGTTGTAAACTATCAAAAATCACAAGCTATGTTCTGATGGAAGAGTGAAGTCTGGATTTTTCCCTCTGGGATGTCGTTTTCATTTACCACCTGAGGAAAGTACAGATTCTCCAGGTATTTAACATGTTCGTTTTTGCATGACACCTCATGTACATGGCCTTTGGGGATACAGCTCAAGTGTAGTAACATCCTGGTCAAAGATAATGAGAAATCATATATTGCACTTAAACTAAAACACAGCGTGGGTCAAGTCTGCGTGTTCAGATTTAACTGAGTGAGGCACAAACATGAGGTGCTAAGTGTTTTTTAAAGTACCTTTAATCGTCTTCATTTTTCCTGCGTTTTCAGAAACGCCTCATCTAAGAGCTGACCTTTTGGTATCCCTCCATTTCATTTTCATTGTTTAATGTGTTTTGTACCTCACTTTTTGTTCTATATCGATGTAACAGTTTTACACAAAACCACATGAATTCCTCATGAGCAAAATCACATGACGAAAAGTTAGTTATGACAGACATATATTGTACAAGTGACACATTTACCTTGAGTCCATCTGGTCATATGTGGGTTATGGGAGGACTTTGTTAAGGGGAGTATTTAACTCATACAGTTTAAATATGAATATAAATATTTTGAAAGAGAAGGGGGTTCTGCTTTAGGAGAAAATCTATATAAAAATAAATAAAAAAAATATTGACATCCAAAATAATGGCACGAAAAAAAACGCTCCTGGTGTGAAAGGACCTTTATCCAATTATGTTAACTGCTTCTCTCATAATTATGATGCTTCATTCCTTCAAAGCTCAGTGTTGCCATAGACCAGCTGAGCCCACATTCATATCAAAGTTCAGCTTTGCCTGTTGACACTGTGGCAAAAATGTCAGCTTCTGTCAGCATTAAGAACCCTTTCATGGGTCATTATATTGTTTCCTTGTGAGGTTTTTTTTTAATTTATCTGCTAAATTCTTCTTAATTTTCGAAGAGAGCCAGACAAATCAAACTGAAGTTCATAATAATTCACCTCTAGTTGTATCCGCACCTCGGGTCTCTCACTGCGTGACCCCTCGCTGCTCTGCTGTCTTGCAGTTACACATGTAAACAAAGCTGCATACAAATTACAAAGTGCAAGACTGCGACTAACCCTCGAACCGTTCAACAGGACAAGGGCATGGAAGTTTGACACTGTGAGGCTGCAGATCCTCCAGAGAGGCTGAATTCGTGATGTTTTTGCAAGTGAAATCAAAACTTTGCTTTAAAGACAACTAGGACGACATTATATAAGAGCTTTAATTTGTTATTGAAGGTTTGAACTGTAATTATCAAATGAGAGAAATACAATTCAGACGCTGGTACTGAAGTGTTTGAAGAAAAAAAAAAACAGGGTTTAAAAAGCATTTAGTCCAGTCTGAAGTGTAACCCCTCGCTGGTTTTGATTTGTTCAGATGTCGAGGAGCTCTGTGTGAAAAAGCTTCTCTTTAAGTGGAACTCCTGCCGAGAGGAGAGGAGAGGAAAAGATTTTCTCTGAGGATTAGGATTACTTTAATGTTCAAGTTGGGGTTTAAGGCTGGAAGGAAAAGAAATATGGTCTTGATGTCTATTGATTGTAATGAAAGGCGGACGGGGAGGCATGAAATGTGACAAGAAAGAGGAGGAGGAGGAGGAGAGATGAGAAGGAGAAAAAGAAATGAAGATGGAAGAGGAAGAAAAGAGCAAAGGGAGATTGCATGGAGAGGGGGTGAGGATAGGTGACATAAAATGCAAAGGAGGAAGGAGGGTGAAATTGAAAAGGGGAATGAGTTGGAAAACAGAGGAAGGAAGAGAAGAGGAGAGGAGAGGAGTCAAGAGGAGAGAGTAATGAGGAGGAGAGCAGGGAGGAGGAGAGGCCATCAGTGGTCTAACAGCTGCTGGGCCACAGCTGGAGCTCAGAGGGGAACCAATGAGCTGAATCAGTGTCAGGTGGTGATTACTGGCTGCTTGTTTCGGGCAGACATCCTCACAGAAAGGTCTATAAAAAGAAAAGAAATCTACCTCAGGAACACTTGATTTTCACAGCGTTTGATTCAGATTCTTATGGATCAGACAGGCCGTCAGAAATGCCTCCTCCCTATTCTGTCGAGGTGTTGGACTGAGCTACACATTGACAGATGAATGTCTGACACCAAGAGAGAGCAGGTGACGCATAAAGACAGAACAGAGAGACATGTCCAGACATGAAATGACATGGTTACAGCCAGGAGAAGTCAAAAGGCTTCATCTGTTGAGTCCTGAGATATCCTTTCTTGTGCTATCGTCTATTTTCTTTTTGTCTCTTCCTCCCTGACGCCCCGGGAAATCGCCCTCATCTTCATTCAGATTCTGCCCAGCAATACTTAAACAGCCGCACTGTGCAGCCTTGCCATGTGCATGTTAATCAGAGCAGAACATCAAATAATGGACAGTAATGCAAGGGGGGGTAAATGCAGGAAGGGGAATAGCAGGGTCTCCCATATTGTCTGGATTAGCTTCCTTTCACTGGAGATCAGAGCGGCACAAAAGCAGCCGCAGGATGGAGTTTACTCCCAGACAAAAGAGGGTTATTGTTCTACGATCGAGCTTTGCTTTTGTGTGAGCACACAACGCTATCACTCACAAGTCTTGTGTAATAGTTCGATTCTAATAAAAATATGAACAGAAGGTTGCACGCAGCTCTCACAGGACAAAAACACTTTAGTTCGACCGCAACCTCTAATGAATGTCGTAACTAAGAGAGGGGATGTTGGTGATGAACAAGAAGTTTGGATAGAAGATGGATAAGGTTTTGTCACTTTTTCAACACATTTAAAGTTCCCATGAGAAATTTTTTGGCTTGGAGGCAGCAGATCTGAAAGTCCTGGAAGTTACAGATAAAAAAGGTTGGCAAAGTAAAACTGCTGGCACAAGTTTGGACCATCTTGTCTTTTTATACGGGGTCAGAGCTACAAAGAGCTACTCCGGCTGACTGTGCTCACCCTCTTCATGCAGAGTACAATCTGCTGCCATCTGGTCAGAGGTAAAGTCTGCCCAGGTGTAGGACAGCAGACTGAAAAGCTCATTTGTCTCTGGCACTGTTAAACCTCCTGGGTTGAGTGATTTAACTTGGACTACTGTCTCGTCCAAGTTTATCAGCACCTGGCAGCAATAGTAGTAGTTGTAACATTAGCTTTCGACTACTCAGTTGTGACCTATTAGGCACCAAAACAATTGACAAACCATATAAGGTCTACAACAAGAAGAACATCACCACTTTTACAGCTCTGTACCTTTCATTTGTACGATACAACAGATTTGTGTTTTTAACGTCTGTTCTTAGACTGTTGAGTTTTTATTTTTACCACTCGACTACCTGGAAATGCATCCATGCTGTTAAACTTTGGGCTCAAACTTCTATCGCACAAACTCTGGAGCAGATTCGGTGTTTCAGCACATCTCACACATCAGATTTGTAGACCAGGCCAACGTCTTGAAATTGTCATGGTCCTCTAGGCCTTCTTCTGTCATTGTTTGGTGATCCAACTCTAATGATCACATGCTCCTTGCAGGCACTTGAGCTGAAAAAAGTGTCCAAAAACATGATTCATCATAGCAGGTTGTGTATGAGGTTAAATAATGTTGCGTTTGAGTTACCTCGGAAGTCAGATGTCAGAGCTGAAAATGGCGTCACACCTGAGTTACCAGCGTTTCAGTTACCAGGTCAGAAAAAAACGAAATCGGAGGCGAAAACAAGATGGCTACTTTTATGAAAGTTATTTTAGAACTTGCCTTGGCTGAATATAAGGCAAGCGCTAAAATAAATTTCGTAGATGTAGCCATCTTGCTTCAGGCCTCCAATTTAGCTTTTTTTCTGACTTGGTAACTGAAACGCTGGGAACTCTGGTGTGACGCCATTTTCAGCTCGGACATCTGACTTCCGAGGTAACTCGAACGCAGCATTATTTAACCTTCATACACAACCTGCTATGATGAATCATGTTTTTGGACACTTTTTTTCAGCTCACAGACTGACCTCTAGACCCTTTCTCTAAGGCTGAGCCCTGAGAACCTTTGGAGGAAACTCATAATTGCCACTTACATTTATTTTATGTATGTTTTCATCAACACTGTTGTCTTTTTAGTTTGGAGATCTGCTCCTAAGTGATAAGATTCAACCAAAATAGTAAGCTGTTACAAGGTCTTGGGGGAATGGTATGGTTTGGTACATGGTTGGGTAATAATACGCCCAGCATTAATCATTTAATGGCATCTAGCTCTGGGCTATTTAAGGCTTATCTTAATGTTTCCATAACAAAGATAAGCCTGAAACTCTTCAGATGTTAAAGACTACAAAGCAGCCTCTTTCAAACTTCAGCATCAACAGACGACATGCACCAAATTTACTGATGGATTCTGAACTATTTTAAGCTTTTTGAGATGCTAATTTCAGATGGGAAAAAGTTGGGATGTGACAACTTTAAAGGTTTTCTTGCTGCATCAGTATCCGTGGAAGTTGATCGCTGATATCTATCTGTTCTTTAACGTCCTAGCTTTATCTTGAAATCTAGACAAAACACAACAGAGGAGATGAATTTCATCACTTTATTCTTTGCTTTGTGTACATTTAGAGCTTAAGTGTTTGATGAAAATGGCTGTAAAGCTCCTGTAGGCTGTCGAGTACAGAAACACCTTGAAAACAGAGCAGAGCACATGCTTTGTGTTTTATTAATGCAGCGTCTGTGCTGGTGTTTGGTGACGTGCTCTTTTCAAAGCTCGCAGTCTGACGGTCTGCACCATGACTCTGCTGAAGGACAATGTGATTACAGAGAAACAGAAAGCTTTAAATATGATTAACTTTTTCATATGATCCAGAAAGAACAACCAGTCTGTGAACATGCGCTGTTTCAAAAAACACTGGAAATGTGTCATTGAGTTCATGACAGTTGTGTTTTATTCAGGAGATGCAGGAGTAATGATTGAGTGTAAAGCTCCTGTAAAGCCTCATATAATGCCTGTGTAGCTTTCTGCATGGACTCTAAAATGCTGGAAGACTTCAGGCAACATGAGAAAAATCTGTCTGCAAAAAGAGCAGCTCCAGAAGCCTTTAATACCTAATGACAGTGATGACCTGCATGTATTGTCTTATCCTCATATCTGCTGTCACGGAATGATAATGTGACCTTTATTTCAGGTGCTGTGAAAGCTCTATTATGTCAGCGAGTGAAAGTTAGCATTTTAAATGTCTGTGTGTTTTTGTGTTTGGTTGAAGTGAGGTAGGGAAACATCATAATCACCTAGATCTGCAGAATCAGCTGGGAAAAGTAGCCGCTGTTGCCCCAGTTTGGCCAAAAAAAAGACTTTTCCAGATAGTCAATGGAAGATGGGAAGAGATTTATGATGGAGCACTGCATCTTCAACAGCAGGAGAAACTATCATGCAGTCGCAGGTAGAGAGAGGAGGGCAGGGAGAGGAGCAGGACGAGGCAGGGGTGTGTATTCGTAAATGTCTGAAAAGCAAAGGGACAGAATGAGCACAACCAGAGAGAGTTTGTAGAGTGCTAACAAGCTAAAGTGAGAGACATCATTCTGAATCTTAACAACTTTAAAGCCCAAGTCTTGACATATTAAAGGGTGTTACATGAAAGCTTGAAAAGTCTGAATGATTTGTAATCAACAAAAACGCTCCCAAAGTGAAGATTTTAAGAATGGTTCCTTTAAGTTGTTGTTTACATGACTTTTTAAAACATTTATATCATCCAGTTCGATGGAAAGAGATAGAGGCAAAAGAGGCCCGCTTGTATTGAGTTTTTCAAAGTAATAATACCTCGTCTTCTTTTGTTGTCTAAATGTACAATATAAGAGGAAATGTGCTGCTCTGGTTTTGCACAATTGCAGAAAGCTGTGTGTGTGTTTGAGTGTGAGCTTGTTTGTTGGTTGATTCAGTGTGCACAGATTCAGTTACAGCTTTTTATCAGTTATTTACAAGGCCATGCATCCCGGCACCTGCATACATAACAGAACAACTGAATCTTTTTGTGAGTGGCTGTTCTCTCTCAGGGCCTTTTTAAGGTTTCTTAATGGCATTTTTTACAGAGGCAGCTTCTCAGGTTTTCCACTGGTCTGTTTTTAAAACTCATTTCGGTAGATCGGTGTTTTCTTGAATTCTATGTTGTGTATATATTACTCATGCACTCTCTCCTGAATGTAAAGCACTTAGTGAATGATTTTTAAAAAGTGATACACAAAGTTTATTACTAGCACCAAGTGGGACTGCACTTAAATTCAAGGCTGGTGCTCCAATCTCATTAAAAAGACTGAGTGTGCTGTACTAGGGAGTGAAAATCATCAACCGTGTTCATCTATATGAAGGTATTTAATGAGTAACTTATAGAACAGTCTAGTTTTGCACATAAATGAGTTATTTCCAGGCTGGATCAAAGCCAATGTCAATGTTATTTTTTACCTCGCAGTCTGACACTTCATTAAGTATACGTTAATTTATAACTTGCAACACTAAGACTGATTATGGAGCTCAGCCTCTAATTGGTACTAAACATACTGATGTATGCACTGAAGTGATGTTTTTGTGTTCTGAAGCAAATGTTTTCTTTGAAATATGAACTCTCTTGTGCTAGATGCAGTAAATTGGATTTCATGGATGGAGGAGGCTAATCCTTCTGTTAAAGGAGAAAACTATCTCTGTCTTTGAATGTGCAGATAATCTGGAGTCACTCGAGTTATGCCGACATGTTTCTTTAACACAATGACCCACATATGTTTTTTCCTTCAGATTTTAAGTATCATGCGTCACAAGCTATCTCTGACGTACTCCGTGAGATAATACTACTATAAATATTTATCTTTGCACCATGCAAAGGAGGGCAGACCAGCTGGTGTCATTTCACCTCTGATATACTACGCTGAGTTTACTCTCTCCAGAGCTGATGTTATTTCACAGCTTTCACCTCCATTTGGCTAATCCTGTTTCAGGCATGTGTGGTTGTAGTGTGTCTGAAAAGAGTCAGTTTTGATGGAAAATGCTAAATAACAACTGGGGAAGCAGATGGCAGTCCACCAATGAGTTCAGGTCTGGTCAAGGTTTAAACCTGTTAAAGAAGTTTTAATTGAAACTGTTTTAAGAGTTACACGAGGTTGCAACAGCTCTGTATAAGTTAACACAAATTCCAGTTTCTAATTCAGGGATGAGTCAATGCACTACTTACCGTTTGTATCTTGCATCTGTGGAGATATTTCAACTTAAATATGCAGTGTAGCATTTAGGGGTGTTGAGCAGAACAGCAGTCACTTTCAGCTTTTGTCAGAGCTCAACTTTAATTGCTGCAACAATCGACTAAAACTACTCAGGTCAAGATCTCAAACAACTTATTGCTGATTCTGGATTACAGCCTAGGCTTATTCCCCTTGACATAAGCTTAGCTCAGCCTTTGATACAGTCAACCACGATGTCTAAAACAGTCGTCTAAAATACTCTGCCACTGCGTCTTTTTTTCTGTGATGCTTGGAAAGGCCTCCTCTTGTGCTGCTATCTCTTGTGGAGTCCCTCAGGGGTCTGTCTTGGGCCCCCTTTTGTTCACTATGAGCAAATCCAACATAGGCACGGTATAGACTTTCACTGCTATGCAGGTGACACCAATCTTTACGCCTCAATAAAACTTGTCTGAGGATGTCAGACAGACAAATCCAGTATTCTCTTTTAAATCTCTTTTCATTACTAACTTTTATTACTTGGCTTTTCCTGATGCTTTATTGACTGCTGGCTTTGTTGCATGTGTCTCTCATCTTCTATTATTAAAGTTTTTGGACCTTACTTATTGTTTTCTTTTGTAAAATGATTGAATTTTTACTCGCCTTGTATATTGGCATGCTCCTTTTATATACCTATATTTTGATTTTTATTTGATTCAGCTGAACTTGGTTTGAAAAGGGCCGTATAGATAAAATTCTTCGTCTTTTTTGTTATTATCGTCTGACATGTACTTCTCTATTTCCTTCACCTCTAGCAACCTCACAGCATCGTCCAGCGTCGCCTGCTGGAGGGTAACATCACACGGCTGCGAGGAGAAGCCAGAGACCCCAGCAGCAGAGTCCGCTCCCCGCTGGCTGACTCCAAGGATGGAGCTGCAGATGCCGAGGAGAGGAGTGAGAGCACGGCAGACGACTCCACAGAGGAGAGGGAGTCTCTGGAGGAGAGCGAAAGGAGCTTACGGTCAGACGAAGAGGACGACAGCAGCGAGGCGGGAGCCAAACCAAAGACCGAGAGCACAGAGAGCTCGACCCTCCTCACAGCTCTGGTTATTCAATGCAAGGTAGTGCTCAGTGCAGAATGCCTATCCTGGCTGATTTTTAATAGTATTTTAGTCTCTAGTAGTGCTCAAAAAAAGGGAGAAAAAGAAGAGACACAAAGACAGCACCATTTTCCTACAATGACTCATCACTTAAAGCCCACTCTCTATTCTCCCCTTTCAACACATTAAAAGCTTTGCAGATCTCAGCAGCTGTCTTGTTGGATAAAGACGGCAGATATTTGAGTCAAAGTGACCAAAAGTTCACACTAGTTAACAGGTCCACACGGGTCTAACATTCATTAAAAGTAGACGACAGGGATAACAAGAGCACAAGGGTGCTACAGACAGACAGACAGACAGACAGACAGACAGACAGACAGACTGTGTGGGTTTAAGGACAAGAACAAATCAGTGATTGAATGTGTGCTGCATCTTAAAGGACTCATTTTCACCTTTATAATGTCAGACCAGGACACCTAAAGAGTAGCTTCAAAAAAATCCTTATTTATCTTATACTGGCATCCTTGAAAACCCTTGTTTAGTACCATTCAGCCTCTGCCTGAAACACTTTGTTTTGGCTGCTTTTCCACTGGTACAAAGTCAGACTTAGCTTGTGGGTGTTACTTTTTACACAGCTCTGCAGTACTGACAGAATCTGGAAGTTATCTCTGTACAAAATTGTCTGAGGCTAGGTCTCCTCTATAGCAGAAGTTACTGATGTTACTTTCAGCTTCAAGTTCCAGTATCAGTTGAGTTGCCAATCCAACTCGTACTGGTCTTTGTTTACAAAGGAATCATTAGTAAAGTAGTGAACAACATTTGCCAGTCTTTGGCATACAACAGCCACTCACTCTTTCTTCTTCATCGTCTAGCATCCCACTGAGCAATAGACGGCCATTAGACGTCAAGGTTTTATTTTTAGACCTATTTTCAACTATCTAGATTCTGTATATTTTTAGACAGAATTTAGATGTTGCATGTTAACCCATTATTCGATAGCCATTTATTTAAAAAAGCAACTGGGAGTTGCATAACTGATCTCCAAATACTTAATCAAAATAATTATGATAGCCGTAAAGCAATATACAGTGTTGTAAAGATATAGCGCAGATTAGATTAAGTCTAAACTTGGTCTAAATTTAGATGTCTAAAAAGCTTTCATTCTTAGACCTGTGGTAGCCTGAATTTAGACCAGTTGTCTAGGCTACATTTAGACGTCTATTAGCCCTCTTTTAGACCAAAAAATGCTCTGTGGGTTGTCCCATCAATCCATTAATGGTTCCACCAAACCCCAAATGGTTTAAGCAAATGAAAAGGTTTAGGAGGAAGATGGAGTTGAATGTCAGGAAAGTTCTTGAGGCTCTTAAAATGGTAAATATGCTGTAAGTCTTCAGTAGGAAAAGCAAGATCCACTGCCTACACCTGCCAAGGACTAACGTTAATCTAATCAAAAATGAATTTGTGTGTAAAATAACCATTTCCGCTCTCCAGATTCTTGTTGGAAAGCTCTGTGTGACACCAAGAACACAGCCAGTTTTTATCCTTCAGAAAATTCAATCCAGTATTCAAAAAGTTTCTCTTCCCTGTGGTGTAGAAGTAATGTTGTGTATCACAGCTTCTGAACATATTCAGTATTAAAATAAGTTGTCCACCCAGGACTTTTCTGGTAAATTCAGCATTTTCCCCTGTTACTCATTGTGTTCCGCTTGGTTTTATCATCAACTTATTAAATTCAAAGTGTTCCTCAGTCACTCATTGGGCTCCGAGAGGGAGAAAGTGGAATTTTGCAGCGCCAGGACTGAGACAAAAGAGCAGGTTTGTGGGCTTGCTGATAAGCCACCGAGGACAAAAAGGGCTCAGCTCGGTCTGTACAGAGTGTGAGGGATCAAAACAAGCCTCATGGAAACTGGACGTGTTTATTTCCGAGGGGGAAACATCCTCAGGTCAGGAGGGGGAGATTTATGACGTGGAGGAGACACATCAGAACCGAGATGGGTGCAGGAGAGTAAAAATCCTAGCAATGTTAAAAAATATCAGACGACTTTGGCTTCAAAAAGGGGCTCCATTATAACCTTGACTCCAGATGTTTTAAGTGAGGGGGTAAAAAAGGTTTCAAAGGATGAATGCCACAGTGATTCCCATGTGAGAATTCATTAGAATAGACAAAGGCTCGAGTTGGAAGAGATTATGTCAAAGTAAGTTTGTGGGTAGATAATTAGTAGATGTGTATAAAGTATCATTTAGATCTATAGTCATAACTTCCAAAAATGATATAGCTAACATATTAGTCCAAACTAGATGCTTCCCGATTGTCCTGGGGATAAATCAAACCAAAGAAATTTTGATGTATCACTGCCAGTCGGACCAAAATTTGCATATAATAATCTAAAGTTATTTAGCATTACCCACATAGAATTACCTGCTGTAAAAACGACACTGATTAAAATAGGAATAGTTCTATTTTGAGTAGCTAACATAAATTTGATCTCGAAAATAGGCATTAACGTTTGCTTACTCATAACTGTTCTGTTTTTGGTCACTTTGCATAAAAAACAGATCCCTTAATCCATAAAGTTTTCTAAATTGGTTTTGACCCTTGCCAGTATTTTGCCAGTATTTAAGTTGCAGTCTCTTTGAAAGTTTTAACTGTCTTTCTGCCTCATGATTTCCATCGTGTTCAGCAATGTGCAGTTTCTGTTTAACTGTGTAGCACCATCTCTTTTGCCCAAGTTTGCAATCCTGGAAGCCACCATCACAATAGTTCAAATCAGCATTATCCAGTATCTTGGTTGTGAAGTATGGACCCACTCTATGTGACGAATTGGCCAAAACTCACATCGCTATCTTCGCTCTTTTCAATCAAACCTCCACACAGCAGGATTTATTTACTTAACGGTGCGCCTCCTTTTCTTTCAATATGTGATTATGATGCAAAGAGTTAAAAAAATACTGCAAAAAAAGAAATTAAAGGTGTAACTTTCACCTGAAATTTCCCTTCTATGTAGACGATGAGTTGATTTGTCCATGCTAACTCTTGCCAATGAGCAGCTTACACAGAGCACAGCCTATGTAGTTTTTAGTCTATTTGGGAATAACTCAGTGATTAGCTCCATCTTGACCTGACGACAGCACTAAAAGAAAAAAAAAAAAAAAAAGACATGCTGCTTCGTCCTGGGGGAAACATGATTGCTGTATTGTACAAGTTTCTCTATTATGTCTGTTGCCTAAATGCAATATCACTCAGCGGACATCTGATGTGTGCTTTAGAGGTAATTAGTTTTTAGATTTAGCCGTAAGTGCTTCTCTTTTCATCTGCACTCGAGTAAATACAAATTATCTCTTTCAAAGATGTCACTGTGATCCTGCAATAAAAGTCTAAATGACTGCATATTAAAATAAAACCCCAGTCACTGTCTGCTTTCCTTTATTATTAGTATTCATAACCTGTCAAGATCCAGTGTTTTGAGGGCTCAGTCTGCGAGGACTCTAACCTTGTTTCATAAATATGTAAGCAAGAAAATCATAAAAGCATAACAAGGGGATCTATTTGCATTTGATGGTGGAAAAAGCAAATAATTTATACATGGGTTGATATGCATTCAGGAGCGCAGGGGTGGTGTCAACATGTTGCTTATCTCACATGCATGCAGAGCTACCATATGTTCCCTATAGATTCCTTCTTTCATCATTTTATTTCCTTTACAAAATTTGTCCTGAGGTTAGGATTTGTAAGACACCAAGAAAAAGACTGTTTAACAGAAAGAAACCATTTACAGACATTTCCCACAAACCATGACACTCTGCTGTGAATAATATACGTCCTTCTGCTTCCCATGAATCATGTCTTTGTGACATGCACTGCCCTACAGGCAGCGGAGCTCGACTGTGTGATGCAGAAGAGGAGAAACGTCAGTTAAAATTAGGACAAGCTGCTGCTAGCACTGCTACTGTAAACTCAGCTTAAATGATGGGAAACTCATTTGCTTTTGGGTGAGGCGATAATGCTCGGCCTTTAATTTTGAAGCTACTTCTAGGAATATGGCTCTGAGGACATTAGTATAAAAACACAAATTATAAGACCGTCTTTTTCCCCTCTTTTAATTTTTGGAAGATTGAAAAAAAAACAATGTATTACAACCTAACCAGTGATCTTAAAGGGATATTCCGACGTAAAATTAAGTTAGGGTCAACACACCATAATACCGAGCTTTACACCCCATCGAGAGATGAATGTTGCTGACCGCTTGCTTCTCTAGTTATACCAACTTTAGTAACGACCGCAGGATAGCAATACACAGCGGTCCCAGGAGCCATGCACTTAACCAAAATGCCACTTTATAGCCACAAATAATGCTCAGAACAGCACCTAACTTCATCAACAGTACATATAGGGTCCTAGCCACAGCACTAGCCACCAAACATCTTTTTAAATTTGCCTAATTTCCTTAGCAAAGAGACTAAACACAACTCACCCACTCTCTTCCAGCAGCCGCTTGTTTGTAGCAAGACCTTGGCGAGTCTACTGACTGCAGCGGGTTGACGCAGCTCAAGGAGGAACATTTATGATAATTTCTTTATCATTTCCTTGAAGTAATAATCACCATATTGATCATTTTGCACTGCAGACACGGTAGTTCATCTGCCTTAGCGTCTCTGTCTGATTGCATTTCCATGAAGAAATGATCATAAATGTTCTTCCTTGAGCTGTGTCACTCCGCTGTGGTAATGGACTCGCCAAGGTCTTGCTACAAACAAGCGGCTGCTGGAAGAGTGTAGGTGAGTTGTGTTTAGTCTCTTTGCTAAAGAAATTAGGCAAAGTTAAAAAGATGTTTTGTTCATTTATTATTATTTGTTTATTTATTTTATTTTTTTGGGGGGGGTATTTTTTGACCTTGGGATGACCCAGGTACACTGGCTTTCTCAGTTTGATTCTCTCAATCTTTAACATTTAAAAAAGCTAACAGTTACTAAGCTAAAACCTTTAATTTGACTAAAAGGCATTGAGTATGATATCAGTCTTTTGTCTTCAATTGCCGAGGCTAAGGCTGAGTACCTGGGTTCGATTCCAGTGTACAGATAGTTTCCCATGGTAATATTTCACTCTCTTCTCTCTGGATAAAAATGACAACACTAGCATTTGTGTGGAACCAGTTTTACTTTATGAAACTTTTATACAGAATCTTTCTCATCTTAAATGTGCTCTCCTCTGACAAACGGGGGAAATATCTGGTTACTAACTGCATCTTTCTGTTGGGCAGAGTAGTGAGCTTTCCTCAGGTTTACTGCTGAATTTGTTGAAGTTGTTGCTTAGAGATCATTAGAGGTGAAAATAACATTGAATTTAGTGTCCTTTAAATCAAAATAAGAAGTTAGCCGTCATATTAAAAGCTGTGTAGCATAGTGTGCATAATGAGCATGTTCATTACTTGTGAAATATTCCCAATTTAAGACTTTGAAAATGAAAAATAATCCTAAAGTCAAGTAAAGGTTGCTTGAGATTCAAAATCAATGTATTAAGAAATAAGCAAAATATAGGATTTGGGGCGGCTAGAACAAACTTTCCTCCAATTTTAGCTCAGTGCTGAAAACAGCTGCCTATGCCAAAATAGGAGTGGCCAGAAAATCAAAACAAGGAGTTCAATGATATAAAGATCTTTGTAGAGCTGATTGTAGCTGAGTGTCAAGTGAGCCTGTCGTCATGTGAGACGTCTTTTTACATTATTGATCACTGAGGTGTTAAAAATTTAGATCCAGCTGCTTTAGATGTTTTTCTGTGGAGAGTTTATCGGTTGAGTGGTGGAGTGAAATGCACATGTATGACTCGTTTGGTTAATATTTTATACTCTGGAGGAATTATTAAGTCAGGAAAATCAAAGTGCACCGACCGAACTGAAGGGTCAGCATCTTGTCCGGACAGGGTCAGCAGAATAAACTTAACAGATCAGCTAATAATCAAAACCAGCTCGTGTAATCTGTACGGGAAGTTCCTGTTGGGTTATTTTGAGCGTGATCATTAACTGTCAGGCTTTGACCCTGCATGAAACAGAAGTGCCATGATTCCAGACTGAAACAAAGAGTCGCTACAGATCAGAGTGCAAACAGAAAAAATAAAATCTCCCCCTGTAAAACAAAAGCTGGCTCAGAAATACTCCACAAACGGGTGATGTGTTTTGCGTGTGCAAAGCTGATTAGCTGTCAACTTGGACTTCATTTTCCAGCCTGGCAGGTTCTCAAACATGTGTGAGCTGAATAGATTTGTCCGAGAGAGAAGAGATCAACGGTTTCAAAGGCTCCCCAGAGTTGTGTTAATGCACTGTTATGACTGGCTGTTTCCTCCCTCGTGGGGGTGCCGGAGCAGAGTGGAAAATCACACTGTGACATCCAAATCTCCCCTCTGTCCTCCCCACAGTGCTGCGAGACTGAAGTCAAGGCATCCATCAACACTGGCAGCCAACATAACCACATCTCCACCTCCTGCTGCATGAGGCTGGGGTAAGAAACGTTGCGCTGGAAACTGCACTTTGATTTCAAGGCGGCTTTTAAGTAGTGGTTCAAACATCAGATAATCAAAGCAAATGCTGATAAAAATAAGATTTACAGCAGAGTAAAAGAGTCTAAAAATAACAGGATGAGAAGAGAAAGTAGGTGAAGAATTAACATGAGAAGAAATGGCTCATAAAGGTGAGATTTACAAGCTCTTACAGCAGGTTTTATAGATCTTAGAGACCTAGAAAGACGCTAAAATGCCAAATAAAGCTCTGGTTTAAGCTCAGAGTATGTGCATCTGCTTAAGAGTGTCAAGTAAACATGACATTTGTCCATATTTGAATTCTAAATGTCATCTAAAAGGCAACAGGTAAACAGTAAAACTTTATAAAAGTGGTGTTCTCATTATCCTCAAAGAGCTACAGCTGAATAACATCTGAGTGATTCGACATCCAATAAAAAAGTTCAAGCAATAAACCTCAAAGTGATGTTTCACCAGCAAATGTTTTCCCAGGAGATTGCAGGGATATGAAATAAAAGTTAGGTATTATTGTCTGTGTCTGTGTGTATTATTAGATTGGTGCCCAGCCAGGAAAGCTCACCGTGTGGTGTGAGCGGCTCAGTGACAGGTCTGCAGCTGCAACTGGGCAGACAGAGAGTCCAGTGTTCAGCTTATGTCAAAGGTAAGACTATGAAAACTTACACTATAGTTAGGAGTTATGCAGAGACTGGAATAAAGACTCTGGCATGGATTGGGTTTTTTTAGCCATCAGATTTAAAAGCATGCTAGCAACTCTGTGAGGTTGTACTGCACAATTAACGACACATGTCAACATGAAGCGGCTTTAGCATAGGGCTGGGCGATATGGCCTCAAATCAATATCACGATATATCATTATCACCTCGATAATGATAAATGGACGATAGCTACTCCACAAGCTGCTCACCCCCTCCCACATTCACTTCGTCTACTTCAGCCGCTACAACTTTTGAACTGTCCTCCATCTCCTCACCTGTATTTCCCTCTTTTTTACGGACTGGATGGGGTGGAGCCACGTCACCAATGTAGGACAGCATCTTAAAGGGACATGAGACCATAGCTTATCTACACACATCCACAACCAACTTTTATTTATTTATTTTTTGGCACTGAATACACGTTTTTTTTGTTGTTGTAAATTTCAGTATCTGTAAATTTTTGGTTTATTTCCCAGCCCTACTTTAGCACTTAAACACGTGTCAGGTTTATTATGTCCATCACGGTTAGAGTGATTAGCATGCTGGCGTTGTACTAGTGTCAGTAAAGACAAATATCAGCTTGCTGTTCTTTTGGATAGTACATGTCACTCCAAAATCTTTTCCCAGATGTGAAAAACACAGAATGGTGTTTCTGTGTCATGTTTACATACAGTTCCCTCTTTGCATGGTACAGTTACAAGTTTACAAGTCTAATTTTGCACTCATGCAGTGATTTCCACGATAGAGTCATGTCTTTTTGCATCCAGTAGTGGTTCTCAGCCTTTTTTCAATTGTACAGAGATTTCACAACTTTTCTACTGTTTTTGTCCTTTTTCTAACTTTAAAAACATGTTGGTGACATCCAGTTTAGGATGAACACAACTTTGCCCTTGTAACATTTGATGTCGTCTTTGCACTTTTTTTAACAAATTCAGAATTTAGATTACAAACAAATCTTCAAGCTTGTTTTTGTCGACATTTTACAGTTTCCCATATTTGGGAGGAATTAAAGGTGTAGTTAGTTTTCACTGCAAATATGAAGTGACAGAAAGGAGACTTAATAGTAACACTGAGAGCCAGCTGTGACAAAATCAGCTTACTGTCACCTTGAAAGCTTATTAATTAACACATTATGCATTATTTTTACACTTCAGCTTTCATCCGGATTAAAAAAATGAAGCTGTGAGCTGTTAGTTAGCGAGCTTAAGAAGAGCAGGTATGAAGATTTTGATAGAGCCAGACAGCAGGTTACTCAAAGCATTTCCATAAAAAGTCAAACTTGTTTTTTAAAGCTGAGCGTTATCTCTAGGACACCAAACATAAATACAAATATACTATCTTATTTCAACTGCTTTAGAGGTTTATCTTGACCTGGTTCATCTTTTGAGGATGTTTGGTCCCAGTAAAGAAAAAGAACAAAACTACATAAACATTTATGTTGTAATTTTTCGGGACTTTCCTGTTCCTGACTCTGTTATCTCTTAACCCAGCTCTTGACTCTGACAAACATTAAATCTCCACATGGCATTAAAAATGTCACTTCTCTGCCACAATAACCACCATCACAGGAATATACGCTTATCGCTCATGAATAGAGTGAGGAGTAAGGTAGCTGTGTAAAGGATGGAGGGGAATGTATGCAGGTTAAGATAAAACTGTTTCATTATTCAGAAATGAAATTCAGTTTTTTCTTCCTCTCTGCCCTCTCTCCTTATCTTCATTCTTTCTTGTTCTTTCAGAGGATGAGACATTCGAGCTGTGCCTCGGTCTTCAGACTCTGCTGGAACTCAAAGTAAGGTCCTCATTTGCTTTGCTAATATTTGCTGTGCTTTATTGTGTGTGTGTGTACGTGTGTTTGGGTTGAAATTGTCACACTGAATAAGCTCAAAATCTTGTAGAAGAGTAAACATTTCAGAGGGAGGAAACAGCAACACAAGCACGAATTCTCCAAATATGATTTACTGAGTGTGGTGAGGGAAAACTGGGTTGATTCATTGTAGTGGTTGAGCTTTTTGTTGGCTGCCCACTGTGCTGACAGAAACACAAAGAGCAAACTGAGGTCATACTGTGTAGTGGAAATGAAATCTGCACAGTGTGAAAAATGCACTTTGAGCCCCACGGATAAAATATCTGATTGTCTGACAATAGATTTCCCTCTCACTGCAGTATCTGGTTTTTATCTCCCTGATAATTAAATCAGGAAATCAGGACAGTGTGAAATAAACATAATGGTATAAATTTCCCCTGAAGGACTAATGGTACTGCAGGCTCACTCCTATTCTAATGCGTTCTCTGCAAACCTTCTTAAAGTAATTGTGACTAATGATATTAAAAACAAAAACAGGGTTGATTTTCCTTTAATTTTTACCAGGCTGTGTTAAATACTTAATTATGATTGGTTAAAACACCTCAATAATGGTGGTTAATTCATGAAAGCAAGAGCAAAAGCAGAGACAAATGCCAGATCGAATCAGAACGTCATGTCAGGTCAACCTGCTGAAAGAAGTCCAACAGACACATTCAGCTCACTCAATCATTAGTGGCTAACAGCATTGTTAAATAGCAGAGGATATTTGTGAAATAAGACTTAATTTATGTGGGGAGAACCAGACTGAAGATTCATGTTAAACAGCAGAAAAAAACACAAAAAGAGGATGAAGAACAACGCAGAACCTAGCGAGGGATATTAGAACCAGAGGTCAGCAAAGTCAAGTAAAAATCTAACTCTGACTACCATCAGTTTACCAACAAACACAGCTAGCATTAATGCTAATGTGAAAGCCCGTTGTAAAGGTTTGACAAACCGTCTCCTACACCGAGGGTCGCCACTATCCACGTCCTGTATAAGATTCCATCTAAATACATGATATCTATAAAGATCCACTTGTTACTTCAAATCCACAAAGGCTGTATTCTCATGCTCAAGTTGTCTGTGATCCATCTTAACATGTGAGAGCAGAGTTTGGATCCTTCATCTGTCTCTGGTAAACTAATTAACTGTCAGTAAACCAAACCCAGCATATGCAACATGAAAATGAGGATGTTAAGGAAATTTGGGTTTAACTTAAAACAAGCGTTTATCTGATTATGTGGATAGTTAATAACTAATTGGTTTACGGGTGTCTGCCTAGGTCTGGTTAAAACACACAAACATAAAGCAATCACAATTACAACATGATAACTGTTTGAGCTTTGGCACTGATAAAGGACTGGCTGAACAGACTACTTTATGTGAAGAAGACCTTACACAAACCAACATAACCTAATCTGCAAGTCCTATTGTTGCTGTGGAAACACTGCTAACCATGCACCTGAAGGACTACTTTTTTGGCTGCATAAATCAAACATTCACAAATTAGTTAAATAAAAAACACATTTTCATTATCACAGAATAAAAAGGTGTTGCAAAAGATGTAGAGCATACACCTCCAAAAATTGAGCTATTTATCACACTACCAAGACTGAATTAAGATAAGGCCTACAGTTACGGGATTAGCAAACTGTTTGTTTAAATAACCATTTATTCAGCTAACTGACTGTGCGACATCTGTGAAAATGTACATTATGTAAAATTTAAATGATTGAGGGGAGCAATGGGTGAGCTATCCTACATTTAACTTGGGAAAATTACTTCCAGCAAAGACTCAAAAATGGAACAAATTTTAATGCAGGGCTTAAAAAATGTTTCCTTTGATCATCCTCCAGCCTCCTCAGTTTTATCTTGTTTGGAGCCATTGATGATTCACTAATTATATTTCACTCTGTTTCCTCTCAGTGCTGCCTGGACCTGAGCAGCAGGGTCCTCAAGCTGCAGGGCTGCGGTGAGGAACTGCCCTTCCTGAACCCTACGCCAGACAGCCAGTGCCAACACGACACTAACAAGAACCTGTGAGCCCGACGCGACCGTGGCCACTAATTTTCTCCAATCTTGACTGGCTGGAGCAATGAGCAAGATGCTGTTTGTGTCTGGACTGTCTGACCACAGTGTCTCACACGGCCAGAACATGGAGGAGCATATGCCAGTGTTGTCTCTTGAGTTTACATGGTTATGTTTGTAGGGTCAAGGCATTCACTCTGATTATCTCTTATATTAAATTAGTCTTGTTCACAGAGCGGATGTTATGAGCCAATCAGATCTCTGTGAGTGTCTTTCTTTTTGATTATACTGTATATCCAGTCCAGTTTCTCTGCTGATTTGCTCGGTTACACTGAGGGTATCTTAAAGGGAATAAACAGCTGTTTTGACTTTTGTGGAAAATTTTGTAAATTGGCTGTGAAAATGATTTTAAATCATTAAGTAAATGAAATGTATTATCGAAATCGTAGCTGTTTAAGTGGTTTTACAAGAAATGGTTTTATATTTTGAACAAGTTTCAAGAGTTTCTCCCATGCTGGTTTCTACAGCCTAGCCCAGTATAAAGACTGCAAAGGCGGAAACAGCTGGCCAGGTTCTGTCCAAAGGTAACAAAAAACCATCTGCAATTGCTTTTTAGGTGCACAAGAAGACTTAAATTTAACAAGAGAAGCAATTAGTCCTTACTTTTGGATTTCACACCATTGTATTACATGCAGTATTAGCTCAATAATCTGTTCCTTCTAACTAACTTTTCCAAGTATTTCTGGTACCTAAAATCATCAAGTACTTGTCGAGTCTATTAGCTGATCCATTAGCTGTTGACATTTCGATTGTAAGTTCTCGACTTCTAGCACAGCTGTTAGTTAATGTTAGTTAACAGCCTATAAGTTCACAGTGTCATTGTTTGCATTTTAACCAGAAGTTAGTTGAAAAAAAGGTTGACTATCATCCCCTGACCTTAAGCTTGTGGTTGTAGCAGTTAGCGCTTAACTGTTAGCTAAATTATTTTTTAGTAACATCTTCAATTACTACTTACTAGTTCTAGATATATTTCTACAATTTTCTCACTTGTTTTTGGATGACAGTTTCAACTGTTAGCTGAAAAAAAAAACCAAGATTTAACAGTTAGCTAAGTCGTTTTTGGCTAATTGTTCCAACGGCTAGCTTAATTATTTCAGCCAAGATTTTGTTGGTGAGCTCAATTCTTTTGGCTAACTTTTCCTAAAAGTGTTAGCTCAATTATTTTTGCTAGCTAAGTCCCCCTTTTTTAAAATCATTGTTAGGTTTGTAATTCCGCTACAGTTAGCAGTTAGCTCATTTTTAGCTTACTTTGCTTGTTAGCTTTAGGTGAGCTGTTATATTTTTATCCATAGTAAAAAGGTAAATTTTGAAAAGATTTTTTACCTGAGCCTTGCAGTTAAATCAATAATGTCTAGTTAACTGATTTAACCTCTGTTTTCACTGTTTTTGCTTTGTTGTTATTTGCAGCTAACTTAAGGCACAGATATTGTCCTCTTAAGAAAATATTACATTAATTTTAAATATTAGATTAGCTTCCTGAAAGTCTGAACACTTATTATTGGGGATGACTTGAGCAACGAGAAAAAAGTAAAGATAAACAATGCTAAAACTATTTTTGGACAGAGCCAAGCCAGCTATTTTAGGAAGATTTGCTGGCTGTGACCATCACTTTTGGCTTTTCGAATAAAAGTGGTGTTGATAACCTTCTGGGCCTCTTGATGAAAAACAAACATGCTTATAACTCAAAACTGTTCATTTTAAGAGTCATTATGACTTATCAGAAAAGTCAGTACTCAGGATGCTCTTTCTAGCGGGTCAAAGGAAATTTTCAGAAGCTTGAAGTGTTTTGAAGTCTTGTACAATTGGGTCAGGATCAGGCTACCTCTTTGAGAAACAAGGTAGGTTTTTAATCAAGAATTTTTGAGGATATTTTAGGGAAATACTAAGGTAACTGATGTATTTGTGCTCAGCTTTGTAAAGCCCCTTTGCTCTTTCTTTCCCAATCAGAAAACGTAATCGCTGAAGTTTTCCAGGAGCACTACTACAGTCAAGACTGGATTCAAGTAGTTCCTCTATCAATCCTCTAATAAAAATAGACTTCAGGCCAGCTAAACATATACGAGTCAGACGACAGAAATATGAAAACATTCCATCTGCATGACTTTGTAAAGTTCTGCCTTTGTATAAGTCTGCATGTTTGTGCATTAGTCTGATTGTGTCATGCTGAGAGTCTGAAGGGGGCTGTAAGTATGTGTTTCTGTGTGCTAGTAAGGAGTTGAAGCTGGGGGGGTTTCTGCCTTGTTTTTGGCTCTTCTTTCACACGGGAAAAAAGTGAAATATCTTCCCCAGACCGGTCCACCGAACTTTGGACAGAACAAGCTGCCAAAAGCCAGCCCCAGCTGCCTTCCCTCTCTGCCTCTTTCAGGAGATTTTACCCATCTTTATTCAGAGGACCTGTCTTCTTTGTGTATCTAACACCTTTTTAGGCTGATGTTATTAACTTTGACACAACCAGTTTGCTGATTTGAACGAAAGGAACTTCCCTCTTTAGTGCCACCTGCCTTTCTCGTCTCAGTGTTTTTTTTCATGGCGTGGAGAGTCAAAGACAGCCTCAGATTTAGCCGCCGTGCTTGGCATCAGCAACACCTGAGCCGTGACGCGCTTCTGACTGTGCTACAGTATTCGTCTCACCTCTTCTTGGAGGTGATCCACGCATAGTTTTGGCGATGTTTGTTTCTCTTTGACGTGCTTGTGACCTTCCTATGCCGTATGAGAGGAGTCGATGTATAACAGAAGTTTATTTTTGGTGTTTCTCTTCTTCTGAACAGTATTTTCTCTGCCTAATAAAATATGTATTCTGGCTAGCTCTGTTTGCATTCATGTTTTTTATTATGAACTGGAGGAAATACAGGCCTATTTTAAAGCATTGCCATGCAAAAGGTTTGGTGTTTTAATCCTCTAATCTCTGTCTGTCTGAGTCATGTGAATCACAGACTGGTTGTGGGAGGTTTCACTAAAGGACAGCCAGAGAAGCCTGTTAGAAAAATTTTGGACCCTCATTTTGATTCCCATGGTCTGTACTCCCAAAACACCCCTGTATGTGCCCTTCACTGGTACATGCTGCTATATTAAGAACCCTGTCCTGTTCAGAGAGAGAAAGCAGATGTTCCCACTGAGACATGGTGTTCTGAAAATCAACCCCTCTGACCAAAGAAGGTTTCGATTCCACAAAGACATAAAAACAAGTCAACCAAACCAAGTCAAGACTTTCAAAGTGAGTCTGATGTCAAATTTGAGGACTTAAAATCCTGAGGAGAAGGTCGAATTCCTTTTTTCAGGTCTCAAATTGCAGAACCAAGTACAGTTATTTAATATCTAACTTTCAGATGGATCAAGATGGTTAATTCTTTTATGGAAAGGCATTAATATGAATTTCAATCTTTTCATAGATGTCCAAAAACCCCTTACAGGAGTTTTAGATTACTAGAACATTCATCAGTATTTCTTGTATCAGATAACTGATTGATCATAATAAATTCAACCTTCTCACATAGCACAAACTATATTGGTTATTTCATATTTCATCAGCCCCCCCTTGAAAAAGCATTTTAAAGACATCACACTGGACTCTGAGATATTGGATCTGCTCTCTGTGTAATTCTTTCTCTTTATTTAATGACTTTATTGTAAGATTGAAGTCAACAGATACAATTGTAGCATTGGGAGGTTAGCATGTGGCTTTAGTCTTTGCATGTGGCTTTAGTCTTTGTTTGTTCATCAACAGCAACCAAAAATTAAAAAGTTCAATTATACTGAGAGTTGGTGGCAGTGGCCAAGACAGAACTAATTTCAGTTTTGGATAACATGCATTTCACAAACTCAAAATAAAACTAACTTGTAACATCAGAGTCTAAAAAAGTCTAAAAAAGTCCAGCTGAATCAACAACAAAGACAAATCTGCTCTGGTTCTGAGTCACAGAACACAAATCCAAGGAGACTGGATCAACTTGAATCAACAAAACTTTTGTCGGGTTTTTGTTTTTTATCCTCTTACACATTCCACCAGGACTAATCAGGAATGGTAACATGTAATGCTTGATTTTCTTCTTGGAGAAATTTGATTTGGAAGTGTTGCACACGCTCAGCTGCATCCACAACAGTGCCAATCAATAAAAGTCATGAATGAAACATGGTCCTTGGTTTTATGAGTTCGATCTGAGTTAGCCAAGTGAATGCAAAACAGGATTTCAAGGCTGATTTGTGAATTTTGATATTTGTTTAAAAACAGTTTTTTTTTTCTACCATGATAAAATCATTGTTGCTATGATATAAAAGACTTGAAAATCTGATGATAAAATTTTGTGCTTGTAGTTTTCTAGGGAAATCTGGTCAAAACAATTCTGTTCTAAAGTAGTTCCACAAATTTTATTAGTGGTTGCATGCGTCATAGTTAGTGTTTGATGAGATAAGGTTCACACAGTTAAACCACTTTTTGGTAATATATGGGTCAAGACTTGAAAATTGCACATGGTTGTGTTGTGAGTCTTGTAAATCTGGACTGAACAAAGATATTCAACCAGAAACTCATTTTAAAACCAGTTTTAACACATTTCTTAAGTTGTTGTGGACATCTTTTAAATATTGTTTAATCAATAATTTATATTAAAACATTTTTTTACCTTTAAAGATCATTATACTTTTTGTTTATAGCAGTTTGCACCTTAATTGTTATACTTCAAAAACACCCAACACCCATTAACAGCACTTTGCAGCTGCAGCAGAAACCTCGAACAGGACCAGACTTACTGGAAACAGTCATCTGCCCTAACAGAACGGCATCAGGTGTTAAACTGCACAGCAGCTCAAGTGTCCAATGATATCAGCCCAAAAGGGAAAGTCCTTCACCGATTTTATTTTTCATTCAGGGACACATCTGCATTGGTCTGATATTTATTCCACTTTACACAGCTGTCTCATCTCAAAAAGGTAAACTACATTAATCTTGTCAGGACTGTCAGGCCATGTTTTCCCCCGTTTCAGCTCATGTGACAGCTCCCAGCACCAACAAGATACTACAGGAGAAGAACATAACAGGAACACGAAATTACAGCGAGCGCTGTCAGAGACGATCCCCCTCAGTACGCCCCCTCTCTCCTTTTGAGTCACTTTACACACCACATCCTGTTATCACTACGGCAGGCGACACCTCTGCTATAGGAAAGTACCACGAGCAGCACGTTTCTGTCTCCTCTGGTGTTTTATATAAATGCAGAACAATTGCTCCGTCTGAAAACCACAGAGCTGGAGGCTTCAACGGTCATCAAAAGTAACTGGAAAAAGGTTGAGGCTCGACTTTTTGACCTTTAAGTACGGCTCAGGCAGCGGCTGATGCTTGTTTGTCTGTGCTGTCAAGGTGTTGCATAAAGCAGATGTCTATTGTTATTTGGAGAGCAGGCTTTGATGGGAGGATTGCAGTAAAAGGGGGCTCACTCATCTGCAGTGATGACTAATATAAATCTCAACCCAGAGGAGTAAGAGCACACAGAGCAACAGGATGATCTCTGTAGGCTTTCAGGTCTCATGAGGAATGAATCATCTGAGGCCATACACAAGCGTACAGTAAACCTCCTGTGTGCTTGACAGCCCATGAAAGTGTATTTATGGATAATCATTAGCTATCAAGGTCGAGTGTAGGAGTTGAATGTAGAAAGGTCCTCACTTCATTGCACTGAAGCACCGGGTTATAGATATTGCACTCTCATCCCTGCTCCTAACGGTCGCTGCTGTTGTGATTTAGCAGGCATGTGGCGTCTTTACCTGACCTTTTACGGCTGGGCATTTACAGTGTCGGCTAAGAGCTGCTCTATATTTTTCTTGAATGCCAAAAATCCTGTGAAAAGGCCAAAAAGAGATGTGCTTTTCGTTCCCTCAGCACTTTTTCCCTCCCTTGTGGTGTTACTTACTCAGAAACCCATTTAATCCTATCGAAGTAGAAAGCCCTAAAAAGGCTCAGAAATACAGTTTGACATTTGTCGCAACTGATCATTGATTCCTGTCTTATGGCAGTTTGTGTAGCGGTAACGGAAAAACGATATGATGTGAAAATTTTGTGTCCACAGATGTTACCTGTAGTCATGACATGGTTAATACGTTGGTCTGTCTACCAAATTTAACACTATTGAAGAGCCACTCCGATAAATATCATGTTTTTCTTGTTGTCTGTATGTTCATATGGCATTTTACTAAGAACAAAGTTGCATTTCTGGGTATACCTCTCACAGATCCAAATGGCAAGTTGAAACACAGTGAGACTTCCTATGTCACAAATCCAAGCTCCGCCCCCAACTCACTGTTCTGAAAGCTTTAATCCTGTCCACAAAGACATTAGTGTCCGAGAGCTGAATAGCTCCTATGTCATCTGCTACTTCTACTACACTGGCAATATAAGGCTGCGAGCTAGCATGAAGAAGAGTGTGTAGAGCAGCACTGTCTCCGCCCACAACAGAAGTGAATTGCTAATAAGCTACTGGAGCTCTGCAGAAGAAAAGCTCTTGAAGATGACACAGGTAACATGACTTTGGTTAAAAACTTAATAATCACAATTTAACGACCACTAATACCACTTTAAAGGTAAAAAAAAAAAATACAATGGGAGTGGGACTTTGAGCAATCATGTGTAAACATTAGCCAATACTATTGAAGCATAAACCATAATTTTTTCTTTTACCTTTTTGGGCTCTAACTTCTACAAACATTAACCTTCAATCAACCACCACATTGCTGCTATATTTGGCTTTGAAATCATGATTTGGGTTTTTCTTGAAATATATAGAATAAGAATTATTGCTTTTCTTAAAATTTTGAGATTTTGCATGAAAATGTAGAATATGCAGGCGGAAGAGCCGGGCTTTGTAGATGGAAGAGTTTTGGTTTCATTAGCAGAAAAACAATCTACGCAGACAGCAAAGGGGCCAAACTCAATTACTGTAATGCAACACTAGAGTGCTTTAGTGATTATTGGTGATTAGTGCTGCTTTAAGTTACTTCTTTCAACCATAGACTGAATAAAACATGGACTTGGTCTCTTATATGTCACCTACTGTATGCTGCTCAACAAAACTTCCAGTCTATCAAGGAACCAAAAGAGGTGGAGAGGAGGAAGGCTTTTGGTATCCAACAACCACAATATGCCCTACGGTCAATTAAGCCAGTTTCAAATGCACTAACAAATTCAAGCAATATGAGCCCTAATGGTGTCTTCAGGGAGGCTTTCACACACCACATGAAAGCCTCCCTGTTATTCTAGTCTCAACATTGTCAATAAAAGCTCCAAATTCATAAACTGTGCGGTGTCTAGTGAGGTTTTCAGCCCATTGAGCACACAGAGTCCAGTTTCACAACAACACAGAGTGTTTTTATGGTCAAATGTTAGTCGAAATCACTCACTTTCTGGACTTGACTTTTGTTCCTCTGTGTAGTGTTTCAGCACAAAGAAATCAGTTGATTGAAAAAAAGAGGGGACAACGATTGATCTTCTGGCGTCCATGTGACGTGTTCTTAATCCTTTACCGCTTGACCACTAAGGCTTTCATTTATACGACTTCACAGCATGTGACTGTAGGAGCTCAATTTGAGGGCCGCATAAGAAGGATTGGTTTAAAATTATTCATCTAAACAGACTGGAAACACTGTTAGCTGAGGGATTTTGAGGCTGCATTTAAAACTGATTTGTACTTCTTGATTTTCCCTCCACTTCACTTGATTAAAGGCTGTGGAAAGCCACTGTGGGCAGAGAGACTTTGATTTTGTCACAGACCCTTTGATATCAGCTTAGCCCTCTCTCCTCCATCTGAACCCTCGTTACAGCTTTTTTGTTTACTTCGCCTGCCGTCAGAAATAACCCTCTGTCTCTTTTTGTCCTTCATCTCTAACAATAGCATCTCCTCCCTCCATCAGGGCTGAACTCACACACATACATACGCACTGAAACCCGGCAGGCTTGATTGACTTAGAGGGAATGACCCACAAGCTTTAAGCCTTGAGGGTGAGGTGGGGATGCTGTGAGGGGAATATCGATCAAACCTGATCCACCGTGGTGAGGCAGCTGTTATGTAACTCAGCAGCTCCAGTGAGTGGGAGATCCTCCAGAGAGTGACAAGAAACAAGAGCACGTAAATGTAAACGCTCGCTTGAGAAGAATTAATATGCAAATGGAGAAACGTTGAGGGAGGAAAAGATGAAAGCGAAGATCGTGTCGTGTCAGAGTTTCTTAAATCGCTGTGAAATTCCCTGAACTGTACAGAGTGTTCACACCAGCACCACGCTCTTAATTATGACTGAAAATGCTGCTTCAGTGAGTTTTAGTGAAGCAGGACTGGAAAAGACACAAGTGCGTGGAAAATGAAACAACCTGCAGGTATGCCAAACTGCACTGAAACCATCTCACTGCAGAGCACGCTAACGTTAATTCAAAACCAGCACTAATGGAGTTCAGGCCGCTGGTTTTGAAGTTTGTTACGTCACATTTTGAAGTGCTAAAGAGGATGGAGGGATAGATGGTGGAGTCGGTCATGGTAATGCTACATTTCCCCAGAAAAAGCATGGGTAACACTTTACAATAACCATAATTTATAAATGGCAAATAGATAGAAAAGATATCATCATTTAAAAACAGCATATACAATAATTATAAATGGCAAATAGATAGAAAAGATATCATCATTTAAAAACAGCATATACAATAATTATAAATGGCAAATAGACAGTTTATTAATGTAAGTTAAAGGTGGAGTAGGCCGGAATCCGTTAAAGAAGCACCTTTAATAGTTACTTTATCATTAACAAGCAATGAAACTATGATTAATAATTTTCATTAATTATTAAATGACTATTCATTAAAGGTTTATAAAGGGTTTAAATATTGGCTGTAAAATATCTTGATTAAAATGTGTGTCAGTAGCACTTTGTAAATGGTTAATATTTGGTTTTTAAACCGTATATAAACATTACTTAGATGGTTATTGTAAAGTTGCAACTGATGTTTGTAATACTTTGTAAATGATTAATAAGTGGTTTATAAACCACCTATAAACATTACTTATTTTTAAAGTTAGAGTTAGGGTTAGGTTTTTAATTTATTAATGGTCTATATGCTATTTATAAATGATTATTAAACATTATTAAACTATCTGCTAATCATTTATAAATGGTCTATTTACCATTTATAAGTTATCATTATTGTAAAGTGTTACCGCATGTAAAAAACGGGGGTCGCACTCTGGGAAATCTGCAAAAATACTCCTCATACTCAAATAACTCCATCATGAAGATCACACACTACTGGACTTGTTTGTAATAAAGTGATGAATCAGGCAGAAATCCTCTCTACATCAGTTGCACTGGCTATTTAAGCTTCCTGTTGTGTTCTTAATCCACGATGGCACAAGGAAATGTCACAGTACGAATCTTGACGCAGGAGAAATTTGCTCGCTGTTAATCGACGGTGTCAGTCCTTTCAGTAGCTCGAGGCTGTTGATGGACCGTGATGGAGCTGGTGTCAAACCTCCTCTCCCCTTCACAAGCTGAAGCTGCAGCTGTCTGTCAGTCAGGCTCAGAGAGATATTTCCATACCAACCACCCACTGTGCCACCAGGACCACACATGGGCTCTGAGCTGAGGAGAAACTGGCATGACAGGGTGTGGAGAAACTGAGATACACACAACAGTATAACACAAACTACGTCCCGAAATAAAACTGTAATTGATTTTCACAGCAAATATTCGAGAGGCTGTGAAAAATGTTGATAGAAGCCACATTGTGAGAGACTTCGAGGGCAAATAGTTGAGCCGACTCAGAATTATGAAATGTGCATGTTCATCATATAGCGAAAAGTCATTGCAGCTGTCTTACAAATGAAGGTAGATGGCGAGGTAGATGGACAGAAAATCAAGGAGAAACTTTCCACTACTTTCAACACAAGCCGAGCATTTGAGGTTTTAAAAGCTTTAAAAATCACATTAGACTCTTAATAGTCCTCGTCATGTCTCCCACCGTCTGAGGATGAGATTCAGCTAAAAATCCCTGATGCAGGTTATTAGAGTACTGCAGTATAATTATCCCCATGTATTCAGGCCTTCCCTGCCATTTGTGAATCATCAGCATTGTATTCACAGCGTGGGAGACGCGTAAATGGGTGATGTATGAATCAGTGTTCTGGATGGATTGTCCAATCAAATATAATAGCAGATAATATTTCTCTGAAATCATATTCAGCAAATTCAGGTCGATGGTCTACGAGAAGTTGGAATTCTTAGAAAGTGTAAGACCCCCCCTCTAAAGTTGAATCAGGTCATTAAAATTCCTCCTCTGTTCAGTTTAATAAAGGTTTTCAGAGCATAAGGATTCAATTTACAGAAATCAAAATTTTTCTACTCATATCATTTTGCCATAAATCCATTCCAGGTAACCTCGAAAGCACGAGGCCGATGCTTATACTTTTGTATGTTAATTTACATACTTAATATGTATATAACGTGCAGTAAGGCTGCTGCATCCTCTGATAACAAAGCACTGCCTGAGGAGAGTGTTTTCATGCTGTCAGCCCCAGTAGACGTAGCGCTCGTGATGAGTTCATCACTCTGTAAAATGCCTCATGGCAGTGGTCTTTCATTGACTTTAAAGCCATGGTTTATGTAAACACTTTAACCTTTTGGCTTTCATAAATGAAACCATACCTTAAATGTTAGATGTTGATCTTTGACAGAAGCTTTTCTTCAGCATGACTGTTAGAGATGGTGATAGAGATGATCAGCAACCAGTCGAAGAGTCTTTTCTGAGGTGTTGGAGTGCTGTAAATTATATGTAAAACATAAGCGCATGTCAAACTTTTGAACAGACTGCCCATAAAAGAAGAAAATGTGTCCTTTTTAAAGGGGCTATATCTACCTAATTACCCATCGTACCATTTGACATTTTACCCCTCTGAGAACTGAATACAAAAATGATGCATAAATCCAAATCACTCGACAACTTACTCCTCAGAGGTATCCTGTCTTTCAAGCTGACTTCCAGATGGCAATAATCCTGCAAAAAAGAGGGAATTTGTTGCAATTACAAGAATTTATGCCACCAAAATAGCTGCAGAGAAATCTATACACAGACTCAAATAGATACAAGGTCAGATAGATCAGGACCAGACCCCTCTCCCTGTGTGGTTTGGTCGCAGGGTCAGATGTCTCAGACGTGTTTTATGTCCAGCCGGTCTGCTCTGGGGAAAGATCAGAGCAAAAGTCAAAGTCACACAGGATTCATCAGGGAAAACCAGGGAGGACTCTGCATACGAACAGGCTGACATTTTCTCTGGGAAATGTGAATGAAATCAAGAGACAGACAGGCGGCTGATTTACAACTGAGACCAAAGTACCAGACTGAAATCTTTCCACAACAGATGTAAGCTTCAGAACAACAGTGTGATATATCTGCCCAATCCTGAATGACCATTAATGGTAAAAAAACACATATCAGACTGAGCGCACAGCAGAGGAATGTTCTCTTACATGGAAAAACTGCAGCTAAAGGTTCATGTGTTAGCTTTACTGATAAAACAGTGAGGAGAAAGGTCGAATAATTATGACTTATCTGCCACTGGAGCGGACCTACGATAATGGACCACTTGACTTAATTACCATGTTATTATCATGACATCAGAATCATTAGCCTGAATTATAACACAGCCTGGGACATGGTGGTGAAGGAAGAACTCATGCTTTACAACAAAGACTGTAAAGTGCTGCAGTTCCAGTACACGCTTTGTTCCTTTTCAAGTGTGAGTATCTAAGAATAAACAAGCCATCCATCAGAGAGTGAAAGTGCTCTGTACTCTTATTTAGTGTGTTTTTTATTTTATAGTTTGACCCAAGTTCCATCTGTTAACATGGAGTAGACAGGCTTTAAGACCTGTACTGCAGCCAGTCAGAAGGGGGAGCTCTGAAAGTTTTGGCTTCAGTCTAGAGTAGCTGTTATGTGGTTTATGATTTTATAAATTCTCTATTATGGGCAGCAGCTGAAGGGATATTCCAGCGTTTAATTAATTTTGGGTTAAACACACCGTAACACCGAGTTAGACACCCCCTCGAGAGATGAATGTTGCGACCGTTTGCTTCTCTAGTTATACCAACTTAAGTAACGACCGCACGATAGCAATACACAGCGGTCTGAGGAACCACAAACAAACCTTGACCAAAACACCACTCTATAGCCACAAATAATGCTCAGAACAGCACCTAACTTCATCAACAGAACATTTAGGGTCCCAGCCATAGCACTAGCCATCAAACATCTAGCAAAGAGACTAAACACATCTCACCTACTCTCTTCCAGCAGCTGCTTGTTTGTAGCGAGACCTCGGGCCAGTCCATTACGGACTACAGTGGGGTGACGCAGCTCAAGGAAGAACATTTATGACCATTACTTTATCATTTCCTTTAAGTAATAATCACCATGTTAATCATTTTGCACTGCAGACGCGGTAGTTCTTCTGCCTTAGCGTCTCGGTCTGATTGCATTTCCATGAAGAAATGATGTTGTTACAGTGTGTTAAACCCCTTAATTAATTTTACGCCGTAATATCCCTTTAAATCTGATAATGTTCCTGACAATCTAGTTTGAATGTGAATTGCCATATGTGTATTTTTTTTCCAACTAAAAGCCCAACAGAAAAGCTAATCCAGGAGGTTAAGCTAGCACTAAGTCTGCATATATGAGAAGCTGGAACCAGCAGGTTTTACATGCAACTTAACCTTTAATTTGTTCAATTTTGGTGCCGTATTTTTACTTGTTTTTTAGATAAACGTTACAAATGAAAAAGTGTCAAATTTATGAGGTGCATTGAAACACCATTTCCCCCTTTAATAGTGAATGAGAAGATGTAATTAGGCAAACATGGAAATAATGAGGTGAAAAAGGGTTAACCTCAAATTATCTCTTCAGTTCGGTACTTGAGTAAATGTACTTAATTAGACTCACCCTCAGCTACAAAATACTTCGGACACTTTTAATGACCTACACTGATGAGGTGAAAGTCATTAGCCTTTACTGAGCTCTCTTATTAAAGTGGAAACACTCAGAAACACGGAGATGAATAGAAAGGAAACCAGATAAGGAGAATATTTGGGCCAAATATGTGGGAAAAGGAGGTGACGGTTTAGCACAGTATTTAAAACTGTCCACCCCATGTATAGAAGCTATAGTTAGTATCGTAGTCATGACCCTTTCCAGTCTTTACATGTCCAATAAAGGCAAAGTATGCCCCAAAAATTACACAAGAAAAAAACATGCCTGATACACTGTAATGTAAAATCCATATGAGGTTGTGTTTACATTTGCTCCTCTGGACAGCATATTCTAATATTTGTGTATTTGAACATTGATCCCTTCAGGCTATGATAGTAATCTCCTGCAGAAGTTCCTACTTAAAAATAAGCAGTGGTGTGAACAGACACTTGACTGAAATTTACTGAGACTAAATGTGAGCAAATTTGCAGCTAAGGGCCGACATCTGGATGGAAACAAGGCTGCAATGGCTGGAAAGAGATAGTCCTCATTACAGTGGTGGCTAAATCGACTCACTAAATGTCTTACCTGACTCTTTACTCTCCACAGTTTGTTTCTCACTTCTACTGTACCATCACTGAAGGCATAAGTGCTCCAAAAAACAACTTTAACATAAGAGAACAAACAAAAACTAATGTATGTGGGTAGAGCAGGGGTGTCACAGTGAATTTTGGGGTCCCTACAAAAAGTACAAGATAGGACCCCACAAACTGATATTTAAAACAAAATACCAATTTGTCACATTTTTTTTATCACTATTAAAATAAAACATTTTGGACTTTAATCTACCGAGTTTTTAGGATTTTGTAGTTTTATCAACAACCTTTAATAAGGTCTCTATTTAAAAACTCCAACCTTGTAGGAGGCAGAAAAACATTTTATGCCATTATCTTCAAAAATAAGAGCCCAGGAATGAGGAAACCTGGTAGTTTCATGGGTTAAATAAGGTACAAAAAAGTGATAGATACATGAAAGTGCCAATATTGTAAGTGGGTCTTAAGATAGAAGGAAAAGGAGGCCTCAGATAGCTGTAGAAGTTTACGTACGTGTGTGTAAACATCACAGACATCAAATGGAAATGTGAGATTTGTGCAAAGTCGCTGTTTTCTCCTGTGCTGTCTTAAATGAAGCTTACTATGCAAACATGAAACTTTTAAAGTTTTAGCCTGATTTAGCCCTTCATCTTAAGAAACAACCACCTTAAACCTTAGTTTAACTACATATATAATAAATGTTGTATCATGATTGGGCAGATTTTGCTCTACTGTCACACAAAAACACGTGAAGGCAAACACACCTAGCAGTGTGAATCTCAGAGGGCTGTCAGAGTCCTATAGGTGCCTCCCTCCCTCTGGCACATCTTTAAAGGTTACAAACACGGGGAGAGTCTGAGGCCTGCGAGGACACCTAAGCCTGCGTCTACCCTGAGGCTCACACACACACACACTCACACACACAAACAAACACACACACACACACAAACACACACAGCTCATTTATTTTGCATGAGCAAAAGAGAGGCGGTGTACATAAGGGGTTATAGGATCCTCCCAGTGGGAACAGTGGGTGATTCCCTCCACTACCTCCAATCATCACACCCTGCAGGCTCCGACAAACAAACACTGTCATCACGCAACAACACTATGTGTCTTATGTAACATATTAAGAGCTTTATGTGCCCGAGATGTTGCACCGGATAGAAACTCAAAGAGACAACAAAGGAGAAGGAGGGAAAGGTGTTTGATTAGACGAGCTTTTCATCAGCCTGTCAGCGCTGACTGACAGCAGCATAATGTCTCTGCCGATCCTCCTCGCTCACCACCAAACACAGCAGGTTAAACAGCGGAGCATCTCGCCTCCGGCTTTCATCCTCTCTGCCTTGCAGAAAACAACCAGGGCAGACAGAATACCAATGACACGGAAACCTAAAACCTGTCACGTCTGTCTGCAGGGGAATACAAATAACAAGCGGGCAGCGGAGGAGTACGACATTCAGGGTTTATTAACAGAGTATTTACAGTCATGGGGGGGGGGGGGGGGGGGGCGGGATAGCAGTGTGTCACTGTGTTAAAGCTGTGAGTCCTTGTACAGAAGATCTGACACCAGGGCTCTGGTTGCTGCTGGGTCCTCAGAGTCTGCGGAGAGAAAACACAAACAAGGAAATGAGGAAAGATGTGAACAACTTCATGAAAACATCTGAAACTTCTTTAGGATGAAAATAAACATCACATTTTGATATTTTCTCTCCTTTCTTCTTTAACTGGTTCCAACTTTTTGCTGAAAGGTCCTCACCATTCTTGCAAAACGACGTCAGACTTGGTGAAAGTTGTAATTACAATATCAGCTCTAACAAAAGAAAGGTCCAATATAACAAATAATTGGAATACTACTCACTTTTCAGTCTGCAGATAAACTCTGGATATTTCTGTAACATTCAGGGGTTTTTCTATCCCACAGAAAAGTTTGGTGTATTTTCAGAGACCCCCTGGATCCAATCTCTCAAAAATGAAGGTAATCTGTGATACTTTACGTTTCAACTTTATTGAAATAGTGTGATTTCCATAGGTAGCTGACTATGCCAATCTTTGCTGTGCTGACCCCTGGGGCAGCATATATTGGAAAAAAAATAGAATCGGGCCAGAGACAGATCCCTGAGGGACACCATAAGTTATAGAAACACTCTCAGGTAGACAGAGAACCTTCCGTCAGGCTCACTGTGCTGACCTTTACTTCAGTACATACAATAATAATGTTGGATATACTGTATATGCTAAACCTCAGATAACTTCAAATACTTGAGATACAGGGATGGCTAAATTGTGTTTCTTGAATGGCTGGTTTTGAGACAGCTTAATGTCGCTCTTTACTCTCCTATGATTTGATCTTTTGGCGACAACAGTGAAATCAAAGCTGTTTCCGCTTCACAGATGACGAGCTGGATTTGCATCTCAGATCTGAAACTTTGGGCTGTTCCACCTGGAAAGACCTTCCATGAACACTCACAACCACAAAACGTATGAAATCAGCTAATGTAACAACAGCTAACGTATGCTAAAAGGGCTAAACAGAGATGACAGAGATTAGTGAGCACTAATAGCTAAACTTGGATGTTTTCTGTAAAGGCATAACTCTCAGGTTGTGTAAAAAGTAACACCCCCTAATTTAGTAGCTACTTAGCGGGTATAGCCCACCTGCTATATGAGCTCAGCTTGTGTGCAGTCCTGATAAACAGAGTATTGTGGTGTTACTATAAACTAAATCTACTTTGACAAAAGTCTCCTGAAACTCCGAACTCTAAAATGTCTCTTGCGTCAGAGCTCTCTCAAGCTGGAATAAGATTATGATCGAAATCTTCAGTCAAAAATTAAATTCGCTTTAATTTAACAAAAGGAATGGAAGTTGAGGGAGTCTCTCAGGTTTTTGATGGAGAAGTGACAGACTCCTCATCATCACCCTTTGGCTGGAGGGTTGTTATTAAGGTAGGGGAACAGCAGGACCGAGCTGGAGAGCTGCTGCTGACATTTGAAGAGGGTTGGAGAGAAGCAGCTAAAACTGAACTGACCCGCTTCACTTCGTTCTTTAACTTTCTTTCTGTTTAATTGCTGTAAGTTCTGAATCTGTGCATTACTGCAGAATCTTCCCTCCTCCACGCTCCACATATCAGACACATTTTCACACTTCTCTCCATCTGCAGATGTCTCTCCCCCCTCCTTTCTATCTCCTTGTCCCTGGGCTGCTACATCAGACATTTTCCACATCGAGTTAGGTAACAAGCCGACGAAATCAGAGTCAAAAGAAACACAACAGGCCCAGAGGTTGAATTATTAACAACAGCAGCAGCAGGAAACTACGCTAACACCGCCACCAGGCTTCAATAAAGTCAGCTGGAGCCTGAATTCTCATCTGCGCTCATGATAATATTTGTGCATTGGTGTTGCTGTTTCTCTCTTTCTCATTTCACTCTCCTCTCAGGCGTACTTGACTGTCTGGTCATCCATGCAGACGTAAAAACGTGGACTAATCTGTAATTCTATTAGTCTTCTGCTTAATGTGCTAGTTGATAAAAACACACGATTAATGCGCTAAACCCAGAAAACATTAACAGGAAATTTGCAACATTGTGCGCATAATAAATGATTAATCCAGTTAACTAGAGTTTGTGCGTTTGAAAAGACGCCGGCAGCAGACACACATTTTCCACACGGAAAGAAAAGAAACAGAAAGGCGTTTTTTTGGCCTCTGAAATGTGAGTGCTGTTGGATTACAGCCTCTTTACGCACACTCCAGTCTTCTTAGCCAAGTTTACTCACAGCCTGCTCATTTATATACATTTGGCTGTAGAAAAGGAAACATTAGGTTTGATGCTTCCTGCATAATTTTCCCTTCTCTTCCTGTGCGCACATAGATTTTACGTAATAGTGAGTAATTAAGTTGAGGCCGGAAGACCTTTCTCGTCAACCTTCATTTACTTTCTGTCCAGATTTGGATTCACAAAACTTTTTCAACATGTTACAACTCTTTTGTTTTCAATGTAATGAAAGCCGACTGTTCATGAGGAGGTGTGAGCTGTGAGATGTGATCATTAGGCTAAATGATTCCCTCTTAAATAGCCTTTTAATGTTATGTCGCTCTGCTCTGGATGTGGGAAAGTTTTAGGAGAGAAATCACGATTTAATACGACAGCAGCAGCTTAAGTCCTGCTGTTCAAGGAAAAAAGCGATGAGAGAGACAGCAGAGTCGGTAATGTGAGAGGAACCTGAAAACATGATGATTTATTAAAGGATCCTTGGAATAAAAAAGGAATCCTGAAACAATCTGAAAATTTGGAGAGAAAATAGAAACAGAAAGCTGTGATGAGTCCCAGACCTCTTTTTAGTCCAGGAAATTTGACCAAAAGTGCAAAAAAAGTCTTGAGATTTCTCTAAAAACTCTGATCAAGACCCAAACCATATCATCTGCAGCCCCAACCCACCCCTCAACACCACAGGACTCACTATTCATGAGTGTTTGCAAATAAAAGGGGCATTACGTACAATAGAAACTGCAAAATAATATTTTTGGGGTTTTTTTGGTGCAAAAGCATTTTTATTTTGTGCAATACTGTCCTGAAGCCTGAGAAGCATAAACTAGCGGCTCCCTAAAAGTGAAGCCAACAGTTTGAGACCTCCCCCCGGTGACTGGCTGCAGTATTGATTATTAGGCCTGCCAGTAACACTTTCTTTTACAGTACACTTATTACTAGGTAATTAAGAGGTAATTACCTTGTAACAACATGAAATTATCTGGTAATTACATGATAACTACTAAGTCAATACTGTCTAGTTTTTCTTTTTTTCTCTTTTCCGTGCAGCCTCATTTTCAAAAGCTTTTTGGGGTTCTTATTTTCTATGACTGACACTTGATACAGCCTATGGGCGTGTGAAGATTGTGTAGTGATACGCTGTTTGAGCCGAGCATTATCACAGCGACTCACCCGCCGAATGCGTACAATGCTACTGCGCAACAGGTGGACTGCGCAACAGGTGGTTCCAGGAAGAGGAGAAAATCCTGGAAATACCAGAGCAATTTGGCTTCAAATTTGTTTGATGATGGAAGGTTAACAACCTGGTAGCTAGACAGTATTGACTTAGTAGTTATCATGTAATTACCAGATAATTTCATGTTGTTACTAGGTAATTACATGTTAATTACCTGGTAATAAGTGTACTGTAAAAGAAAGCGTTACTGGCTTGTCTCCTCTAATAGATGTGAACCTAAAAACATTTCCAATCCTGTCTGAAAGCTTGTTTTTGTCATCCTAATAAATGTCTAAATGTTCCTCTCCTGACACGCCATCCAAATGTGGATATGATGTCATGATTGACAGCTCTAATAACATATGTGAGCTGCGTGAGAAAAAACAAAACCAAAACTGACAGAAGAGCCATTGAGCAAAATCTACAACATGGTATGTTCTGCAGAGGACCAACCTTGGGGATCTCCTGCAACAATCGCAGAGGTAGTTTTTAACAGTGGGGGGAGACTTAGTCTTGTTATACTTCTTGACTCTTTCTTGTTTTTGTTCATGTGCTAAAACAGACATCCAATTCTGAGTAAATTGGTGAAAAAGTTTCCTTAAATCTCTTGTAGGTGTCTTTCAGAGACAAACTGTTAGAACGAGTCGTTCTTGCATGAAGTCCATTAAACTTGCCAGCACTTCAGCCCTTGTTAGCAGTAAAATCTGCCGTGCGGGGATCATTTTTCTCTTCCTTTCCACATTAGTATTCAGGTCAGTGTTTCACAACAGAACGGCAGATATTCACAGTTGGTCTCACAGAACAAACACAGAGTTTGAAGTTGAAAGCAGGTTCTGCAGTCTAAATTGATTTCTCTAAGTTTTTTGTTTCCTCACCGACTCCCAGCGCCTTCAGGTAACTCTTAAACTCGGGTTTATCCTCCAGGACCCTGAACAGGTTTGTGGACTCCATGTGCTCCAGCCCCACCTTCCAGTAGACGTAGATTTTGTGGTTGAAGCTCACATACACCAAGCAGGGGCTGTTCTTCCCCTCTTTACATGTGTACTGACCTGAAAACACACAAAACAGACAGTTTACTCCAACAACAGAGGGGGTTTCTTTGGATACAGTAGGTTGGGTGAATCCAAATGAACACATCAATCCTCTCCAGCCTGATGTGAGTCTGTGCAGCAGCAGCAGCAGAGCCAGCGTCCACAGAAATAGAGGAACTAATCTAATCTGGTGTAATGACCCCACAGAGCAGCAGAGAGCAGAGAGGATGAGAGAGGAGCGGGCGAACAAACCTCAGTTCACTCAAACAGTCTCCTGCTCTCTCATCCACTTACTCTTGTTCATGTCTTATTGGCTCATTTGAATAAACTGAGGCTCCTTCAATCACAGGAGACAGGAATAATAAATGACAGGCTGAGAAATAGAGGCAGGAGGACCTACAGCTCAATGTTGCCCCCTACTGGAGTCATAAGGTGCCTCAGGCTACTATCAGCTTTTGATTTAGTCTGAGCCCAAAATTACATCAAAATATCAGACAAGCCAAAATACAGAGATAAGAAAGGGCTGTCAGCAATAATGCATTAATTGTGATGTGTTAAGGTCTGTTAATTACTTTTCATTTAATCCTTATTAAGTATTTCTTTCATTCAGGTCCACTGAAGTAAAAAACAATCAAGTTTTTGCTCGTGTATGTTGTATTTCCTCTGAGGCAGGGAGAGGACAGCACATCCTCTCTCGGTTTTATTTTCTATTTTGCCCCTTTCAGCTTGCTTTGGTTAAGCAGCCATAGTGTCTTCCTGTTTCCAGCTCCTGTCGTGATGGGAAATAACAGACACCTCAGATGTTGTACTACAGGCAGCCACATCCCAAAAGCTGACAGAGCACAATTTGAAAGTGTGCAAATGCTCACAGTTAAATACAGCTCTTACTGACATAAAGAAATGCCGGTCAACATTATGGAAGGTTTTGATTTCAGGAACATGCTCAGATTTGAATGTTGTGACCCAGTGAAGCCTCACTGTTTGGGGTAACAACAATTTCACAAATGCACAACCTTGACTGGAAAAGAGTAAGCACAGTGTCTCGTACCCGCACAGAAGGCGTTGACGTTCTCATCAAACTGGAACCGAACTACCGTCCTGTTGTGGTCGATGATGTACGTTTGACCATCCCAGGCACACGCCACCACCTCCTCTCTGCCATCGCCCTGGAGACGAACACACAAGTGTTGAAATGACTGAGTTTCATTCTTTATTCACTGTTTGTTGATATTTTTCTCCGTAGAGACAGATTTGTGCCTCTGGAAATGTGGAAGTCTCTTTCTTTAAATAGATGTTAAATAGACACTAGAGGAAATAGCACAAAGAAAACAGCTGAGTGAATATCAAAATAATAAATCCCTTGGCTCTTTGTAAGTAAACATAAACTCACTGTAACGTCGAGTTTTTGCAGAGCAAAGAGCTGATGATCCACCTGAACAGACCACAACAGCTGCTCTGAGCTGTCCATCAACTTCAGCGTACCTGAAACATGGAGAGGCAAAAAGAGAAGAAATCTTTTAAATCAGTTTCATGTGCTAAAGCTGGTCAACATGAGGATAACAGAAGTCTGTTTATGAGCTCCTGAAAAACATTTGTGTCAGTTTGAAATAAAATAATTAGAAAATAAGTGCTATATAGTTCATTTTGATAGTGGTGGAAACATCTTCTTGTCTACAAAGTGAGAAAATCAGAGCTGTCCTGTGTCATTCTGACGCCTCCACACTGTGACATCTTTGTCTAATAAGTTTTTGTCATCAGCACTGAAGCGCAGCCTGCTAACAGCTTCTCTTAATGTTCTTATTTCTTTAACCTGTGGCGTGATTTCTTTCCTCTCTGTCTGCTCGTCATTGTGTCAACAGGAGTGAGTCTGAGCGCTGGCAGTCGGAAGCCTTCAGCGACGATAATCCCACTATATCCTTCCTGTTTAAATATTGATGAACTCTCCAGCTGCTCTTAGAGCTGTTTGCTGCCAGGAAGATCCTCCACACTGGCTCACAGCCACAAACTCACACCCCAGTGTTTCCCATTCCACCTCGGGTCCTGTATGTGTTACTACCACTACAGAGACAGGTGAATCATACGACACATGCCACTAATTTATTTATATTCTACCTCAGTACACAAACAGCTTGTTAGCTGATGAAATTATGAGTACTTCGCATTAGGTTTGTGTGTTCAGTTCTTACTCAGCTGGTGTTTACATCATTGTTTTATAATGTGTATTCATATAAATATAAGATTATAGTGGGTGCTCATTTGTATAATCTGATGTATAATCTTATAAAACAGTGATGTGATACAAAACCATCAACCATAACTGAAAGGTGAAGGACACAATGAAACATATACTTACTTCAAACATGTTTAAAATGATAAACTCACCGTCTAAAGTACAGAGAGCAAACAGGCCGCATTTAGAAGATTCCTCTTTGGAGCCTGAATATTGAAGAAAATCACGAAGAATTAAGACTATTACATACACTTCACAAGTAACTCACAGATTGCATCAATAAAAATACCCTTTTACTTTACTGTTAGAGTCTGAGTTTGCTCGATACCTTTGCTGATGCTCCCAATAAGGTGAGTTGACACATTTTTGTTGTGAATCCGCCCAGTGGTCAGATGGAGAACTACGTCTCTAGAGGGTCCCTCACTGTAAGCAAAGAAAGCCGCAGATTTTATACAAACAATCTACTTCTTTAAGTTTGAATTCAGCCTTAAACGGGGTCTACCTCCCCGGGGTGGCAGGGGCTTCCTCTCCAGAGTTAGAGTCCTGTTGGGTCCAGGAGCAGAGCAGGATGGCGTATCCACAGCCGGGCTGGGACACCATCAGCTCTGGCAAACCCTCTGGACCTGGATTGACTGATAAGCTGTCCACCTGTAAAAAAAAAAAACATCATCATTAGAGTAAAGGATTTTCAAACAGCTGGTTTTTCCAGTCCTTAGCAGAGTTCTGTTGGTCCTCCTTCTGTGAGGCTGTTGCTCTTCCTTTGGAAATATGAAAGTGGGTTTCTTATTTAGACTTCCCCATCTGCAAGTGTTGATTATTTTTACATTATTCTTCATGTTTCAGTATTTTTTTCTCAAGTGTTTATATCTGTTGGCTTCCTGGTGATTTTTTAGGAGCTTTTTTTGACCTTCTGGAGTCAAAGGCTGGTAACTTCCATCAAAATCTGATTCTGCTGTAAATCAACGCTGCCCAGACCTGAGCCTCCCATTTTCAATTACTCTAACTTCCTATTTCTGTATCTGTGTGAGACTGACTGATGAAACTCAGTGTACCTGCCCCTCCAAAAGCCATTTCTTCAGCAGGACCAGCTGTCCTGATCCCAGGTCGGGACCATCACATGGCTCTTCCCAGCGGAAAGCCCTCACCACCCGATCTGTGTAACCCACCACCAGCTCACAGCGGCCATCCCCATCTACATTTAAGATGTGCAGACAGTTAAGCCAAATCCAACACGCAGAACAAATGTAGATTTATTACACAAGACTGTAGACTAGAGGGAGGATTCACCGATGTCACTGATGAGGATGACTTTGGTGTTGGCAGGTATGTGCTGGGTGAAGAGCGGCCTCTGGTCATCAGAGGACATGAACTCATGCTGACTGGATGAGTCTGATTTATTTGCAGAGGCAGCTGTCAGATCAAAGAGGTGGAACCATCCCTCTGCACCCACGGCCACCACAAAGTTCTGTCAGACGAGAAGGAAAACAAACATTTAAGGGGAATATTTATTCAAACTAGCATAATTAGGGTTGAGAAAGGAGTTAGAGGATTGCTTTGCAAAAAGACAGCAAGCTACAGCTGAGTGATGGGTACGGCAGTTCTTTTAGTGTACTGAATCACTAGAATCAGTTCACTAAAAAGATTCGATCAAAAGATTTGTTCACCAAATCATTTCCTGCTTGGCGGTAAAAACCTGTGACTCCGACCTCCTGAACTGATACACAGCTGAACCTTTTTAGGATTCACTTCAATTCACAGCTTTGTTTGAGTGTTTTACTGTGTTGCTTTGGCAAACAGGTTTGTAAAGTGAACTTGTTTATAAATCATGCTGTTTTAAGTGTACTGTCCGTAAATTGGGGTCAGTAAGTGATTCGTTCACTGAACATTTAGAAGAATTCACACTAAACATGCACCGTTCCCTTGCAAACCGCTGCAATGATAGGATGCTGCGGGTTTAATGCACTACTTGTTACATGCTGTGTCCTGTTGTATGCAAGTTGTTGTGGTGGCAATTTAGCAATTAAAAAAAAAGGGTGGTTTGATTTTCTCTACCATGTAACCGGTGTAGTTGGAGTATAATCGGACAGTGCACCTGCGACACGCCCCGTAACACTGGAACAAAAACACCAGAGAAGAGGAGTAGTGTGCATCTCATCTGTAGAAAAAGTAGCGCGTACATCATATACTACAAAAACAACGCTGTATGATGCTCCATCTTCTTGCTCCAAAATGCCCAGCAGCAGTTGTCGACACTTCTGATGTAATTTTAGGGAGGAGGACAGGTTCACGTCGCTGATTCAATTCTCTCAGCTGCATGTATACAAGGAGAGAAGTCTGATTCGGCCAAAAAACAAACAAACAAACAAAAAAAAAAAAACAATTATGAGCTTAGTCTGACTGAGCTGTGCTTGTAAACGCACTGAATGCTGTTTCTTACTTTAGCTCAACTTAAGTGAGAAACGAACGAATCACTCGGGGAAATGATTCGGTTCAGTACGTTCGCTTATAGATACGGTTCTTTCGCATGAATCGTTCGCGAACGACACAACACCTCTACAGCTGGATTTTTTATCAGGTTTTAAGAGAGTACTGAGTCCTTTACTTTGAATAAAATGATTTCACTTCCGCAGTTGTTAGTTTTACTTCCAATTCACTAAACGTTTATCAAAATAACTGTACTTTCACTCGAGTATAATAGTCTAAATACTATGATTCCATCCCTGTGTATTCCTGTAGCCTCTTGTTGTTTCTTCCTCACCTTTCCTTTGTTGCACACATCTCCGACAGCAACACAAGTCAGCTGCAAACCAAAGGAGAACATATCAGTGAGATGGAGCCTTTTCAATGTGGAAAATCGTTCATGTTCACGACAGTGTCTATTTCTGCTCTTACCGTGCCCACACAGGTTCTTGTGATCCAGGGTTTGGAGTCGTCATTCTTGTACACGAGCAGCTTTCCACTGGTGTCCCCTACAACCAGCTCGTTCAACTGTGGGGTGAAGCAGGTGCATTTACATCTTTATAAGAAAACCAGATCTTTTTTTAAATCTACACTAAAAACAATTTAACAAGAGATTTTGTCGGTTTCATTTCCAATTTGTTCGATTCATTGAGCCCTTTTGGCTTCTGTTTGTTCTGGTTTGGACTGAAATATCTGATAGTAAAGCTAATAAGAGGCTCTTACCGAGTCGTTGTCTGCATCTCCCAAACAGATCGCATGAGGAAACAAAGTTCCTGTAAAATCCAAACTGACGCGGTGAACATAATTTAAAGCCCGCATGGCTGTAAAATAGACGATTCTTCAAACCCGATTCAACATTTAGGCGTTTGTTCTCAGCTTTGGTGAGGGCACAGCTTCAACTCAAGCTAGCACCAATTATGCTAGTAAACAAAACCACGTGACCCGAAAGTACGGAACTAACGTTGAGTCAAAAAGGTACACTTCGAAAGTCTTGCAACCATAGACATATTATAAGAAAGGCTAGATGAATCGTGGCGGAGTCACCGGCGTCCGTACACGGCGGCCATCTTACTTCAGTACATCATTCTGGTACATTGTGTGGTAGCTGACAGGAGAATTCTGTTGTTTCAGTGTCCTTTGTAGACACTTGACTTTAAAATTCACCTTGACCTGGGTAAGTTAAGACTCAAACCCATGATCCCAGGAGTCCCAGTCAGTCTCCTTATTCTCTGAGCCACGTGGACACGCAGAAGAATTCTGTTTCTTTCCTATTTCAGTGTCCTTTGTAGCCCCTTGACTTTTAAATCCACCTTTCCGTGATAAGGCTTGAACCCACGACCTCAGGAGTCCCAGTCAGTCTTCTTATCCTCTGAGCCATGTGAATTATTAAAATGATTGATTATTGTTAAGTTACATTAAATTAAATAGTCACAAGCTTAATTAATTTCAGTAAGCGAAAGGGAACGATAAGAAATAACTAAATAAGTGGCTGAATAAAACTTTTAAAAGGTTGCTCCACTCTTGCACCTCTGAAGTCCAGTCTTGAATTGAGGGTACCCCCCTCTCTTCTGTCTTTCATCCTGTGACAAGTAAATCTGTCTGAAACCAGCTTCTGGTGTCTTTATCTCCCTTCAGAAGAGTTGAGTAATCTAGGGCTACATCATGGAATCTCCTTAAATCTGACAAAGACTGTCATGGATTACAACTTTGACCTCCTTTGTTTTTTTTTTTGGCAGAGTGAGTTAGACTTGACTCTCAATTTCATGTACCAATATTGGCCACTAGAGGGCGACATTTAACCACATTTTCCGGCATTTATCAGAACCAGCAGCGGGAGGAGGGTAGGGGTGTTTACACAAATATCCCAGAGTGGCCAGAAGTCTATAATCGATATAGTGGATTTAAAAATGCCATAAGCTGTAATAGAGAGGGAGGAGTGTATGTTTTCTTTGACACCTATTCTGTCCTCCCTAACTTAATCGTTGTTTTCCATTTGCTGTTTTTAAGATTGTAAATACGCATATTTCCCTCTTTATCATGAACTTTGTACAACAAGAATACAAAAAGCCTTTTTCTTGCACAGTGAAGGGGACTATGTTCAAAGATGTTTCACCTTAAAAATCAAAAATCTCGACTGTGTAAGTATGAATTAAACTAAAGTTTAAAACTTTCATTCCACAAATTTGGCAAAATCAACCCTGAAGAAACTTTCTGCTCATTCAGCACATATCGATGTGTGTTGGTGCACCTGCTGTAAGACAACAAAGTGAGAAAAACAGTTTTTAATGACAAACAAATTAGATTATCCTTTACATAACGCACAGACTGTCTGAATGATGCGGCTGCTTTCAAAGTTTTGTTTTATTGTTTCTACAGGGCGAAGTCTCCAAAGAAAAGAAGCTGAAATACAGAAAGTGGTTGAAGGGGAACTCGGGCGCCCAGATGTCATATTAATTATTACACATGACTATGACTGGAAAGCCCCTCAAGAAAAATGAGCGCCCTCCCAGCCTCTGGAAGACCGGCCTATGCAGCAGCAGTGGAAGGAGAGAAAGTCCTCACAAAGCGCTAATTGGACTCTGGAAGCACACTGACAGGGCATGGATAGGTTTCAGAAAACCGGGCGGTGTTGGAGGGGTGCAGGGGGAGGCTGAATAGAACCCACGCTTCTTTTCTAAACTCTCTTGCTGCGCTGGAAAAAAAGAGAGGGGGGAGACAGAGAGAATAAGGGGGGAGGGAAAGAAAAGAAAGTATTGGTGGTGGTGGTGAAGGAGGAGGAGGGCTGGACTAGGGGGGGCTCCTCAATGCAAGCTTGATTTTGAATGCCACTGCCAACGCAGAAAAATTGCACAATTTATTACAATCCGCTCTTCAGGGCGCGCATGTACAGACGCACGCGCTCAGAAAAAAAAAGCAGAGAGCAGGGTAAGGTGCTAAGAATGAGCAGAGGTTGTCCACACTCACACACACAAGCACAGACACACAAACTCTCTTACACACACTGGAGTAATTTGTACTAGAAAGCATTGGCAGACACACACGACAGGGAAACAGTGCGTAAAAGCTGACATATTACGCAGGAAACGATGAAAAATGTACATTAATTCTCTGTTTTTTCTCAGGCAAAGACGAAAAGGAGAAGGGGTTGGATAAACATTTACTAAACACCAAAAGGGTCGTGCGTACTGGCTGAAAAATAGCAGAAAATGCACACTGAAGGTTCCAAAGTGAAGTGTTTTATTTCTTACTGGGGTGTAAAGTGAAGGGTGAGAAGAAGAGGGGGAAAGGGAGAGATGAACGTCGTGCGTAAAAACTGAAGATGCAGCCTGTAAGAACATTCCTACTTTCAACTTTTCTTCTTTTGAGGTTTATTACACGTCCACGTACTCCACGTGCACGCGCAAAAAAAAAATCAGGGAAAACAGAGGGGGTGGCTTGGTTCTTGTTTTGTTCCGCGCTGAAAGACGTGTTTTTATTATTCTGCTCTTCTTCAAAGCGACGATAATCGACAGGACTCGGCGCGTCGACGCTACTGTAACCATATCGGGTGTATCAAATCATACACAAAGCCTCCTCTTAACTGCTCCTCAGGGCCCCTCCGCAGATTTGCGCCCCTCCGTTCCGCCTGTGCGCGGCTGATGATCTGCTCCAATCAAAGTGGAAAATTCGGCCCTCTTGTGCACAATGGAGCCTTTAAAAAAAGCGGCATGCAGACGCGTCTGTAATGTTTACAACAAAACTAGAGCAGCGTTTGAGCCGGAGCGACAGTGAGCGTCAGATTTACGCGCAGAGATGAAGTGCAGAGTGAGCAGAGTTGGTGATGTTATAGGTCTGGGTGGTTTGCTGCAGGGTGAGCTGTCTTTCAGCACCACACTCTGCAAGAAGAGCTGTACAGAAAACCCAAAAGATAAAGAAAACAGAATGAACACGTCCTATGATAAAGCCTCATGATTCTTTGCATATATTTTGTTTTAAAGCTCGACTCTCAATAGAATTATTCATTAAACAAAGAAAGAATGGTGTACTTTAGGAAATTAAAAGACTTACTAAGAAATGTAATATATTCTTAACGTTGGAATATGCTTACTGAAACTATTTTCCATTTCCTGACAGTTCAAAGTGCGTATGTTCAATGGAATATGAGAGGGAAAGTCCGATGACCCATCCAAAAGATAACAGATGAGGTTTGGAGAAAGTTAAGTCAAGACCTGATTCTCTCGAGAAGATTCTTAGAGTTGATACGATCGATTGATTTTCTGGTCTTTTTTCCATGGGCATGTGCTCCCCAGAGGAAAAGAAAGAACGATGAGTAAAGTTGATTTTAAACAGGACCAAATCAATAGTTTTTGCTTGTCGATAATGAACAAAATCCATGAGTTCCAGGTGGAACTAAAAGTCTTTCTGCAGTTCTTCTGCTCTTTACGCACAGAGTTTGGAGTGACTTCTCTGTTTTTCAAACTTTCCTCTCCTCTCCTGCTCTCACCTCTCTGACACTCTGATAGATAAAAAGAAAAAAAACTCACCACTGACTGTTTGTTTAGTGCTTCAAGTGGCACGCGTCCGGCGCGCGCAGCACACCGGCACCGGGGCAGGAGCCCAAGGTGAATCCACGCGACCAGAGGGCGTGGCTAGTCCCCCATCCACACGCATTCAAAAGCAGTAGTGTCTCTCCTCGAGGACTCAGTAGAGCTTTGAGGAGCGCGCGAGGCAGCAGCCTTAGGACTGCCCCCACTGAAACAAGTGCGCGTCAAGCGACCACAACACGTGAACGGCACGAGCGGGACGCACCGCCCTGAGACTTGGTGATTTTTCTTACGTTTGTGTTTTTTTTCTCCTGGGGATGGACCTCGCAGCCAAGATGGAAATTAACGTCAGCCAGCAGCAACTCCTTCCACCCGCGTGCTTCTTCTCTGCAGCAGCGGCGCAGAGCATCCAGCTGAGCCCGAGCGGCAGCAGCCAGAGCAGCGGGAAGTCGGTGTCCAAGCAGCCCAAGAGGCAGCGCTCCTCCTCCCCGGAGCTGCTGCGCTGCAAGCGGAGGCTCAACTTCGCGGGGTTCGGGTACAGCCTCCCGCAGCAGCAGCCGCACGCAGTGGCCCGGAGGAACGAGAGAGAGCGGAACCGGGTCAAACTGGTCAACAACGGCTTCGCAACTTTGCGAGAGCACGTGCCCAACGGCGCTGCCAACAAGAAGATGAGCAAAGTGGAGACGCTGCGCTCTGCGGTGGAGTACATCCGCGCCCTGCAGCAGCTGCTGGACGAACACGACGCGGTCAGTGCGGCGTTCCAGTCCGGAGTCCTGTCACCCACCATGTCACAGGGATACTCCGCTGACATGAACTCCATGGCGGGGTCACCCGTGTCCTCATACTCATCAGATGAGGGCTCCTACGACCCCCTGAGTCCAGAGGAGCAGGAGCTGCTGGACTTCACCAACTGGTTCTGAGCATCTGTATGAGGTAAGAGCAGACTTCATGCATCCAAGTTAAAAACCAGACTTCTCTTTTGATGAAACCTTCACCATGAACACTCTGAGCAGCATTTTAAAGTTTCTTTTTTGTCATTCTTTACAGAAATATGGATCCACTCATTTAACTGTTGTAGTGCGCTTGGGATGGTCCCGGAGGAGGCTGGCGGTCCTCACCAACACGACGCACTGTGCACACGCTTTGGCCCCGCGTCCTGAACGCCCAGTCCTTCCCGACTGACTGACTGACAGACACGGCTTTAAGGTCCTGAACACTCGGGGGGAATCAGGCCAGAGATCAGCGCCAAAGGATTAAAGGAAGACGGGTCTCCTGACAGCGTGGGAATCCAAACTTCTGTGCATTTGTCCATGTTTTGAAAAAACAAACCCTAAAGTGAATTCACGCTCTTTTGCAGCACATTGAAAACATTATTTAATACGTCGCTCTTTAACTATGCTTAACCCAATCACAGAACAGCTACCCTTTGGTAAACCTCTCAGAAAATGCTTCCAAGTCGCGGATTTATTCTATGAAATTCTATATCGAACGCTTTTTTTGAGATATATTAAGATATTTTTGTATGTAAGAGATTTATAGATGTTTTGTACACATCATTTTTGTATATATTTTGTCTATATATTGCGAAGTTGCTTCTATACCTCCTGCCTATGTAGACGTGTAGTCTATTGTTCTCTGGCTCTTGTGTTCATGAGGTCTCCAGAAGGAGTTTGACACTCCGCCTTTTTATTCTATAGCACCGATGTGTCTTATTTAATAGCAGAACCATGTTATTACATTCATGAAGTTCACAATGATCAAAAGTTATGCAGCTACTGTCCAAACAGAGCGCAATGTCCATGCATTGTCTCTACACTGCCAGCTCTATGTTGTCTTCACATAAAAGAAGTCTTATAACCGTATTTTCTACACTCAAGTCCAAAAATAAATGATTTGCTACTGAATCTTTCTACATGTCATGTCTTATTTTGGGGTTTTTGCTGAGAGAAAAGGGTGGGCATTGTTTTAAGTTTCAACATGTGGTTTTTTAGCTGAAAGAAGGTGGAATTATGGAGAGGATGTGATTAGATGCCACAGAAACTAACTTTTACGCACACTTTACGCACGACATTTGCCTCTTGAAATCCAGGAGCAGTTTCTCCTTGTGGTTTTCCGCCACGAGTCTACATCAAATTTTCAATATCCCACTGTCTTTTGTGATACTGGACAGTAACAGGAGCTGGATTTATCCAATTTGAGTCAATGACAAACGCAAATCAGATGCCATAAGTGCGTAAAATCGAAGCCATCTGTCTGTTTCTGAGCACGAACCCACCGGTTTTCTATGTTGTTAACCTGCAGCTGTATGAGATAGCCCCCTTCAGAAATCTTGTGGTAAAGAAAGTGATAATAAAGATTAAAAAAGTACAAAACAATGGTGCTGATTATCTAGTTTTGACTTGAGACATCTCGCCCTTTTATGGACTGCATGCCTTGAAGACAATCTAAAGCAAGTATAAACTGTTTTCAGGTCGAAATTCCAACAAGTTTCAGTGGATTTACGTCTAGAAAACTGTTGCACACAAAGAAAGAAACTTTGAGACACAACAAAGTTGAAGTCCTCTGACTGAAGGAATTGTCCCTCGTTCTCAAACAAGAGTAACTCTGTGTAAAAAGGAGGAAATCTAAATTTATTATCTGTCACGAGCTCACGGAGGGAATACTGGTGGATGATAAAGTTCTATGTTTCCAGGTGAAGTTCGTGTTTGTGTAAAACGAAGTTTGACAGGTAGGACTATGGCTGCAGCCGGGCGCGTGTCTGCTGTAATGAGTGAATGGAGTCTGTCGGTGGTCGAGTGGAGACACGGAGCTGAATTGGCTGATGGCGTGTGCCTCCTGACAGCAGCATGCCGCTGAACACACAGCCAGCACCTGGACCCCACCCCCCCTTCCCCCCATCTCTCTCTCTCTCTCTCTCTCTCTCTCTCTCTCTCTCTCTCTCTCTCTCTCTCTCTCTCTCTCTCTGCCTGCTTGCCTCCATACATTTATGAGGACCAAACAGCCCTTCTTTTCTTGCAGACATTTTGCCTTAATGTGACAGTTTAACTCTTATTTCTCCTCTGATTTTAGGGTCATAGTTTTACATCATTGCAGCTACAAATATGGGGAACAGAGCAATGTCCACAGATAGTATTAAAGACAGGAATTACTAACACGACACTATCAAATGATGGATTCTGGTCATTTCACTTTTATGCAAATTTACAAAATAAATTTAACAGAAAAATGAAAAACATTTTTTTTTTGAGATATGAACTAAAAAAGTTGGGGTATGTATTCTTTATCATTGTTCGAGATGTAACACACCAGTGGTGCTCAAAGGAGGGATCATGGGCCACCAGGGGGCCATGAGAGGGAGCAGAGGGGGAGCTGCCAGATCAGTACAATGAGGGTAAACAGAAAAGAGAGATTTGTAAAAATGAAAATTAAGCATGATTGTCTTCCTAAAGTAAATGACTGTATTTTTAAATGTTATGTTGGGCCTTAATTTGGGACGACAGGACAGGGACCAAGGCTGGAAATGGGGTGAGAAAGCAGGGTGTGACTTGCAGGTAAGGAGCCACAGGCTTGAATCAAACCTGGGTCTCTACACATGAGGCACACTCGGACTACTAGGCCAACCTCAGAATGGCCTTTAGGGCTCTTTACAATGTCCGAATCGTCTTTGAAGCAAGATTTTGACTTCAGTTACAACAACCTTCACAAAGTCAGCCTCTATAGAAGATCTGCAGCCTCTCAGCTTCTCATGCAGTGATGATCTGAGTGGGCAGGGATGAGGCATAACACTCACTGGCTGAGCTGACTAAATGTTGTCTGAGGAAGGAGGGTGCAGACCAGTGCAGACAGATGCAGAGGTGGAAAAACACCCAAACAAACAAAGTGCTCCAGGACAACCCACATCAGTACACTAGACACACACTAAAACTCTCAAGATCCTGTTAATTATTTCAGTAGAATGATGCAATCTATTTTCATTGCCTGCTTATATAATACAGTAACTTTAAAAGGCGTTTTTTTTTTTTGTAGTGTTGTTAGTCATCTGGTCCGACACCTACCTCCTGACTCTGAGACAGACATTAAGAATCATAACCAAGGAGTTGTCTGTGTTGTTGCTGATGGTCTTGCTGAGTTTTTAAGGTATTATTTCTTCTATTTCTTAACCAGATAGGAACTCCTCACAGGAGCTTTAAAGATTGTGGAGATGAACCTTGTTAAATTTGCTGCACTCACTCATAAAACCGTCATTCCCTAAAGAAGCGAGCTGCTTCAGCTGAGAGAAGAAAAGGCAAAAATGTGTATCCAGTGCACTTTTAGATTTATGGTTAAGTTACAGACCGACAGTTTCAGTTTTGAGTCTTTTCATGTATTTTCATAAGGACATATGCTTCACACAGGATGTCCCCCAGTCTAACAGTCGTGGTTTTGCAGCCTGTCAGAGTCCATTATGCTCCCCTCCTTGGCGGTTTGTCAAGCGTGTTCGAGCTGCAGGAGAGCACGGCCATGTCTAATTGGCAAAGCCGAAGCTAAACAATGGCTCAAACTACATTAGATGAATATCTCATTGAATATCATTCATCAGTGTTGATTAAGTTGGATAGAAGAGGACAAAAGTCTGAGCGTGTGTCTTTGCTCAGATATTGTTTTTTTTGCGGCAGAACAATACCGGGTTGTTGCATCAGAAAAAGTACACAAACTCTCCTACCAAAGCAGTGTCTTCTGGGTAATTTATAGACAGAGTTTGAGAGACCTTATCTGATGCAACAAATGTATCAGTGCTGCGGTGCGTTCAAGGCTTTGTGAAACTAAACCGCAGAATTTCAACAGTGGATAATATCTGAGTGGAAAATAGATTTCAGGACCACAGACAGCACTTTACAGCTCTCTGAAACTGAGTGTGTAAAAGTTACTTTTTGAGAGTGAAAAACAGAAAAAGTCAATGTATTGTCCCTGAATGGAACACAACACGGTTTTTATTTGGAGGTTAAAGTTGTAAATCATTGCGTGAAAGAGATTGTGTGAAGTGTTCATGCAAATTTAGTTGAGAGACTGACATGCAGCTCTTACTGGTGTCATTTGGAGCCACTGTGCTCCCCGTGTCTGTTACTCTTACCCCACATTACCTTTAAACATACAACCTTCTTTATCAAATCAATTTGAATACGACTAACACACTGTTCTGTAGGCTATAGGAGTTGAAATACAGCCGTTGTCAAATTATAACCCTGTAGCCACTATGCTTTGTCACCCATAGCAACAAGTTTTAGCACCAATATATCAAGATTCAGCATGAGATGAAACTGGAGATTTGCACAGATTTAATGTATTTTCTCAATGAGTACAAAGTGAAAGAAAGAAAACTACTGAGTTAATCCTAACTCAGTATTTTTCACTCATTAGTCTGATACCAATGAATTTATCAGTCATATTGATGGCTTCAACAATCATTTGTCATTGGAGTTTAGTTATACTTAAAAAACACAAGAGATGGTGCTTCTATTTTGTTGATGTCACACAGAGCTTTTTTTGCAAAGTAACTCGCTGTTTCTGCATTTGTAGATCTATCTATACATCGGTTTTTCTAAGTGGGAGATTTAGGGCCTGTGTTTTTGAGCTGGCAGCTTTTTTTTGGCACAAAACCAATGAAGTCCAAAGTTTTCAGCTTCAATATTTATGTTATTTTTGTTTGTCACTGCCCATGTAGAGCTATCAGATGAAAATAGTTCAACAATTGGAGTGCAATTGCATTCATGAATGTTTCTTCTCTGTTACCGGCCAATCAGAATCCAGAAGAGGCGGGACTTCTGATGTCAACTTTGTCAACAGCAATGGCAAAGGTCTGTACGGAGAAGAAATCACACTGACTTTTTCAAGGGTATAATCTCCATTTGTAGAACTTCTACTAATCCTACGACATGATTTCAATATATGATTTATTTCCCCCTAAAATTTCATTGAATAAAAGCAAATTTGACGCACACAAATCTCTTAAAAACAGACTTCACAGTCACTGTTTAGGGAAGCAGAAGTGCTATGAACAACCTTGTAACATTGAAGCACGTGAGCGCAGGTGAGAAGCACCCTGAACTCTTGAGGTCATGGGCACTGTCAGCTGTCAGTGGACACAGGCCCTCAAGGCAAAGCAGGGTTAAGTCCTAAAATCAAGTAATTCTTGCCTGAGCAGTTTTACTTCAGCGATGCCTTAAGTTGTGCTCATTTGTGAAGATTAATTTACTGAATGAAATATTTGAATATGATCAAAACTTGGGTGGAGAAAAGTCCCTTGGAAAAAGATCCAGAGGCAAACATGGCACAGGGTCTGAGGTCAGAGGTTGCTGTAGCTGTCCAGAGGGTTAGAAATGACTGACTTGTGGATGAGCATAAAGAGGGGCAGGTACGCCAGGAAGTCCAGCAGGTCGAGGGGAGGAATGTGCTGCAGCTCCAGCCTCACAGCCGCCTCCTGCTCTAGCTGGATCCCCCCGGCTTTCAGCTCTAGTAGAAGCTGCTCGGCGCTGATGAAACCCGGCTGAGCTCCGCTGTCTCCTCGCTGCTCCTCCAGGAGGAACAGGAACAGTTGCTGCATGAGTCAGGATGAGAATTTAAGATAGGAATAAGACGGAAAACAAGGAAGACTGGTTTCAGCTGTGTCAGTGTGTTTGTGCTCACGAGTCTATGCATAACACAAGTCCATGTTGTGTATGGAGCCTCAAATTACCTCGACCTGTTTGCAGGCTTGTTTGCGTGCACCTGTTTGCACAGTTAACGCAGTCAAGGTAATAATTGTTGGGGGAAGGGAGGGTGAGGATAGGTGGTGTGTGGGGGGGGATAATCCTCCTGGCAATTAGCCCATTCCCCCCTCCAGCCTCTCCAGTTAACAACCCTATCCCTAACAGCTCTGTAATTACACAGCCTCCCTACCTGGCCAGAGGCTCAGTTTCCACACCCTCGGCTGCAGGCTTTCATCTTCCTGCTGCCTCTACTTCCTCGTATGAATGAGGGCCGGGTCTGTGTGATCGGCCAGCTGGTCGGCCGGTCGGCCGGTCCCCGGTCCATCTGAGATGAGCCGTGTGTCTCAGGCTGATTACAGGGCTGGGCGGAGTGGACGGCATGTTCACTGCTGGGCACTTTAATGAGATTAGGCTCTCCCTAATCTATGAAAAGGGAAAAGCACCCCTCTCTCTGTTTCTCCAGCCTGTCCCCCTCATTTCTATGCATGAGGACTGAGTGTTTCTCCCAGAAAAGAGGAGCTGGCTTTACAAAGAATGCTTTGGAATTGCTCTTCAAAGTGTTTACTACGTTTTATTTCATTGGAATGGAAGAGAAGCAGGGGCATGAATGTGGCTGATGTGGGAGTTAATCTGATGGTGCACGAAGGGATTCAAGTGCACCTTGAGAAAACAAAATCAACATTATAAAGAGCCAAAGAAGTTTAGGAGAACTTTGGAAATGAAAGTAAGACTCTGGCTTTACCTTTGCTTTGAAGAGACGCACTTCTAGAGAGCGGAAGTCCATGACGCTAATCAGCGATCGCATAAACTCACTGAAAGAAAAAAAAAAGGAAAATGATCAGCAAAGTTTTCAAAAGCAGAGACTGAGGTGACTTGATTCTTATTCTGTATTCACCATGTTGTCTTAAGATAGTAAATCGCTCAGAAAGTTGTGAAAACCGAGCAGAATTGATGTATCATAGCTAAACATGAGGAGCAGAATAAGCTGGTCAGAGTGTGGCTAACAGTAGCAGAGCTAGCACCACCAACTGCAAGGTAACGAGTGGTTTTGTAGGAATTCAGCCACACAGCCCACATACAACTTTATTTCTATTTTCTCGATCAAAACGCAGACCACACTATCAAATGCCATCTGTCATCTGTGCTTATTCACATCCAGGAAGTAGAACATCTGCGCACATTAACCTGAGCTAGGCTAGTATAGGGTGACCATATTCTGAATCCCCAAAAAGAGGACACGACTACTCAGGGGTGAAGTTATGGACAAAAAGTTACTTTTCAGAGTTTTTTGGGTCGGATCATGTGTCTTTTATGCACTTTTAACTCAGTAAATCCACGTGACACAAATTTGAAACTTCCATAAAGAAAACCCTGGACATTTGAAGGATTTTACAAATTTTCCTGGACAAAGCCGGACAGCCCGGACAACCCCCCTAAAAAGAGGACATGTCCGGGTAAAAGAGGACTAGGGCTAGTGCCACTACAGCATCACATCTGACCATCATTTTTTTATGTCAGTAATGTCAGCTGGTGCAGTCAAATAGAGAATCTGGTGCTAACTAACAAGAGTGACAATGTCAATTATTCAGTCAGTTAAACATGAACATCCTCAGCCACCAATAACACAAAATATATCCTACACTTACCGGAATTTAACTCAAAGTAACTTGTGTAAAACTATTCTGTCTTTGTGTTTTCTTCGTTTTTAGGTTTCCTTCCCGGACAAGGCAACCCAAAAAAAACTCTGAGAGTTTATCCTGTGTTATTTTTCATTTATCGAGTCCATCTTCCAAACAGACTTGGAAATGTTAAAACAGCCCGACTGCCTCTGCAGACAATGTCAGGACAGTGTGTTTGTGTTGATGAGCGAGTTTTGGCGGTTCCATCTCGTGCGATGTTGTGTTTGCAGATCTGTGATGGTAAAGTGTTCTGAGCCCATTGTGGTTGCTCACAGTGGCCTGGCTGCCCAAACAATACGTGGGCACACGTGGACATCCCGCCACAGTAACGGATAAAACTGCTCTGGTTTTGGGACAGTGGGTGTGTGTGTGGGTGTGAGGGGGGTCGGCTGGGACAGGGTGAGGAAGGGTGAGCGGGGAGCGGGTTCGTGTGGAGGTTTAGGGAGGGGATTCAGCAACCAGGGCACACACTCTGGAGCAATGCGAGTGCTGGCAGACCAACAAAATCTAGGTCCGCACGGATAATTAGAGGGAGACACGACTGCTTATGTCCTCTCCAGTCCAGCGTGTGGCACAGCGACGGTCATCCCTTCTCTAACGAGCGCCCGGTGTTAATGAGCCCCTCCTCACTGAGCGCTCAATGCCCTGTTAGAGCGAAGAATGGGCCAGCGATGGGCCAACGGGTGCAATGTACGCCTGAGTGCTTGCAGCGCCATGATTGGCCCTTGTCCTCCAACCAGGGTGCAAGCAGGGGCTTGATGGGGATGAAGCGAGACAGGGCAGCTAATGATCATTAATTGCACTTGGTTTGCAGTAAAAGAGTCCAAATGCTGGTGTGCTAAGGACACTGGCGTGATAATGGCGAGCGTAAACGAGGGGCTGGGGGACTGGAGATGGACTGCGGGGAGGATAATAGCAGCCTAACCCATTTTCTTTTGTTGGTCTCCCTTGGCACCCCGCTGTGACACAGCAGACTTCTCGCTTACGTAACGCTACAAAATTCTGGCGGTCTCCTCATTGGGGGGCTGGTATACAGCAGAACGGGGGGTAAAAGGATGCAAACATATTCTGACCTAGTTTGATTTGACAGAAATGAGAGTTGTTTTGGGATGATTTTGAGCGGGATGAGCAGAGCTGTGCTGACTGAGGGAAATTTGGAGGAGGAGGGAGAGTTTGTGTGCCCAGAGCAGGGCTGTGGCACTGGCTCAGAGGATGAGGGGAGGGTTTTTTTAACTGTAAAATATTATGATAAAAAACATTTATTAGACAAGGGTTTTGCTTAAGTGTTGTCAGTATTTTAACTTCCAAAACCACCTGTTCACTCTACATCAATTCTGAATAGGGTTGGCAAATTTTCAAAGTTGGAAACTTTCCATGGGAGTTAATGGGAATTAATCTGAAATTTACAAACTGAAGGTTGGCCCTCAACAGAGAACTTAAATATAGTTGGGGAAAATATATTTTAGCATAATCTTGGCTAAAACAACCAGATTTAATACAAGTAGACTCCTCAATTACAGGGACTGATGATTTCTTGAACCCTGGAGGCCACACTTTTGTGCCCAAAGCACAAGACATCTGAGCCCACGAACTATATAAAGTCAAGTAAGTTTTGATAATGTTATGGGGTAAATATATTTGATCTATTATAGTATTAATATTTAACTTGCAAAAATTAAATAAAAATAGATGCTAAATATAAGCTATTTTTCATTACATTGACCATTTAAGGGGCTAGTTTATTATGGTGGTGGTCAAATGTGATGCTGTTTCTTTTGACTCCTGCAAGACGGTTTCCTGTAACCATACAATTATTTATACATCGACTGTCAAATATTTTGAAGACCATTCCAGTTGTTTAGCCAACTATATTTCTGTTCATGACAGCTTTTTTGTTATTCTATTTTACAGAAAAATGCCACATTCACCATCTAATGTGTGGAAGCATTTCACACAAGCCATTTTATGATGACTTACAAGGTCAGGTATTATAATGTGTTGTAACTGTTAACAACTCACTGACAATGCCCACATAGATAATGCATTATACATATATTTATGATGTGTTATAATTTGCTTTTAAACTTGTATAACTACCATTGTAAACACGTATCAATTATCATAAGGCTTTATAACAATAGTCACAACACATTATAATACCTGACCTTGTAAGTCATAACAAAACGCTTTATAATGTGTTATGATTGTTGCTTTAAAGCATTATAATCATTAATGAATGTTTATTACTATTGTTATATAGTGCTATAATGTGATTATTACACATTATACATATATTTATAATGCATTATAGAGATAGACATCAAATAAAGTGTTACTGAAAAAATATTCTTGACACATTTGTGACCTTATGGAGATACGGTTTATGTTCTGCTGTGTCATGACAGCTTCTTCGCTGCGTGACTCATTAAGTCAGTTTTGTCAAATTCCAGGAACGAGGAGACTTGCGGTAACACTCAGAGCACGCATGCATGCTCACAAGGGGCCGCAGCGACAATAACAATGACCTCGATGCTGTTTGGGGGGAATCCTGTATGGCAATGTTCTTGTCGGCGGATCATGTGACTTGCCCTGAGGGAATGCGGCGCTGTGTGAGGTGGACTTGTTGGGAAAGCACAATGCTGCAGCACACAGGGACAGATGGGCTGAGTCAAGGGCCAAAACAGCACGAAACAGAGGGTGAGAGGTAGGCAACAAGAGAGCCGCAGAGATTAGAGGGACGGACAGTGAAATCTGAAAAGGAAGGAGGAGAATGAAGGGGGAAGGGTGCAATTAGTGCAAGGTAAAACTGGAAGAAGAATGGGAAGCATATATAAAATGCAGACTGCAGCTCCTCAGATTTCAAAGGCTTACATGATCAGAAAGGCTGATTGTGTAACTACTGTTGCAGCTCATTTCTAAGACAGGATTAGAGACAACAGGATTAAGTGAAACAGGTAAGAGGATCAGTTTAGTTCAGTTGGGATGAGATGACAGAAGGATGCTATTGTCTTCTGCTTGTTTGGGCGCTGGCATTATGAACGCTGATCTTCCTTCTTCGTCTTATTTAAATTGCAAAGAGGACTTTTGTGCAAAGAGGTTTAATATAGTAATTCATTATCATTACTATAATTGCCTCCATACAGAGCAGACACCCTGGTCTCACAGTGCCAGTGGGGCAGGCGGTCTACAGGCCTCCTCTAATACGCCTCACAAAGGGGGCAGCCGTAAATCAGGGGACCCGTGACCCTGGCCCTGTCCTCGCTGAGAGGGAGCTCTCACTACAGGGCGAGGGCTCCGGGAGCAAGCCTTGACCCTCAGAGACCTCCAGAGAAGGCTTGGCTCCACACTCTCCTGTCTGTAGGAAGCTTTACACCCCGGGGCGGGAGAGAGGCGATGTGTGTGGGAATCTGAGACATATGGGGCCAAATGTAAGAGACACGGGGACGTGAAGGCCGAGTTCAAATTAGAGTGATTTCTTCAGTCTTGAGGGTTCACCGCAACGCTGTGGATATGCTCTTATCAAAGCATTTTGAGATCATGTGTCATAAAATTGTGGCGATGTCTTAAAGAAAGCCTCATAAATCTTGTTTCGCAAAGTTGATTTCTCCAAGAGAAGATTTAAATTTGGTTTTAACTTCCAAACTTTAACAGTTAATTGATGAATGGGATTTTTTTAGTGTCCTAACTTGGGTTGCCTTCAGGGTTTTTGCAACATACTGGTATTGATAATAAATATCTTTCTAAAGAAGGAAATATTGACCTGGTGCTTAAAGCATTCCAACTGTAGTATACGGTAACTGATCGGTTGATAGCAAAGGGGCATCAGTGGTTCACCTACCAAAAAACAGAGGAGAAAACAGAGGGAAAAGAAGCAGCAGCTGCTAGCATGCTCACTGTAGCAGCCCTTCAATAGATAGTCAGACATTTTAAGAAATGTTCCAGTTTACAATCAGTCGAGTTATTCACAGAAGAAAATAGTGACACAGCTGGTCTGAGATGACGAAAATATTCTGTACAACCAAGTTAAGTCAAACCAGATTTACATTTACAAAGACTTCATTAAATTATTTATTTTTCATTGGAGGGACAGAGCATTCCTCGCTGCCATCCTACCCTCTGGAATACACTCCCCAAACCCATCCGAGAATGTACAGACCCCCATACTTTCAATTCACTACTAAAAACACACTTTTTTAAATTGGCTTTTAACCTGTGAACTGTTATTTTGTTGTCTTCTTATATTTTGTCTTTTTTCACCTTTTTCTCAAATTTTTCTGTATTTTTTTTTTAATTTTATTTTTTTAATTTTATTTTTTTCTTTGTCTTGGAGCACCTGTAAAAGTGAGCTATAAATAAAATTTATTATTATTATTATTATTATTATTATTATTATTATTATTATTGTTGTTAACATTAATAATAATAATAATAATAATAATAATAATAATAATAATAATAATAATAATAATAATAAGCGGAAATTGGCAATTATTTACATTTGAGAAGCTCAACTGTAAGGCTATCACTTCAGATGAATCTTTTTTGAAGTTTTCAATCAATTAGATGTTAAAGCGCTTCTGAATATGCAGCCATTAAACCAAACTCATAACTGGGACTTCTAACAGTCACATAAAACATCTGAAGACACGAGATGACAGAGATCACAGACAGCCCCACACACGACGCCATAATCAGCAGAACCAAACTTATGAACACACCCTTCTTCTTTTTTATTGCAGGTCAAAGACTGCTCTTCCTGTCTCTCTGAGAAGCGTGTCTGCGGACATGACTTACTCCATGGTGGCGATTTTCTGAGCCAGACTAGCGATCACAGCGAAGAGTCTCAGGTCCACGAGTCCATCTGTCACTCTGAAGTCCACCATTTCTAGGATCTGCAACCAAAACACAAGAGAGACCACTGTTACAGTTCTTAAAGTTTGCGTTGAGTGTGAAGAGTGTATGTGAAGATCTAGGATGAGCCAACCCTGTAAACGTAGATCTCTTCCTCCTCAGACAGCAGCTCTGCAGGGAGGATGGTTTTAAGAGCGAGAAGAACCTGAAGGCAGGAGATGTAGCCGTCACCGTCACCGTCCTCCTGCACAGAGATAATGATTATTACAATCATTAATAACATCATCATCAAATGCTTCCATGAGTGAGGCGTCACTCGTGGACTTCTGCAGATGAGTTTTTAAGCCCATTGATGCCATATTGGAAATGCCGACTCAACCTCACTTTCATAAACAGAAATTACCTCAAGGAGACTCTCTACCTTTTGTAGGACATCACAAACAATACTCACCCTAACCCTGCAATAAGACACGACATGATATGATGAAGGAACTGCAGTTTTTTTTTTAAATTATTTCTCGACACATTCCTGGTTAGCTAAAACCTCATATCTCCAATTTACTTTAAAGTTACACTTCTTTGACACTCTTCATCAGTCAAAATGTCAAAATATATTCACTGAGGGTATGATTTCTTAAAGATATGTCACTTCTAGGGACCAACACTGGGGTCGTGGTTTCGGGATGTTTGGTAGGTTATTTAAAAACACGGTGACAGGTTTTGGAAAGTTATGATAATTTTCTGTTGACCGTGTCACTCATCTTTCTACCCTCATCTTCATTATATCACCTTTTCATTTGAAAGCACAAGTTTTTGGACCTGGACCTTGTGTTTTCTTTCCTTTTTTGGAACAATAAATTGCCTTTAACACTCAACCGGACTGATGGATTAACAAGTCACAGATGCAAGTACACCTAAACCCCAGAATCTGAGCTTTGTCACAGATAAGAGCTCAATACAGCAACGTTTTTTGTAACATACAAAGTCGTGTTTGATTCTTCCCAGTTATTTTTATCTCTTGTTTACTTTTGTACGACAAATCAACATCCCTACATGCAGATAGCTGGCAGCATCTAAAGGACTTTCAAGAGTCTGTAACAGTAAAACATCCAATTTTTCACAGAAAAAAAACTTAAATTAGGCAAAATCCTAGAAAATCCTAGAAAAATAAAGTATATCAAGACTTGAAAAAGTTTGTCATTCACTCCAGACTCTTTGTGACCCAGGCTGGGAAAAATGTCATATGATTATGACTACAGCTGATTTATAGGAAGAGAATTGGCAACAATTTTGGCACTTTGCGATTCATTTTCAAAGCAGAGAACAACGTTCTGCTCCTTGAATTACATATATTCCCAGAATCGTATTCTTCTGTTATCATAGTTTGAACAACTTCAGGTTTTGACTGTGTGTTCGATGAAATGAGGTGTTGAAATAAGTCGACTTGAGTTCTGGGAAATTGTGAAAGACACCTTTGTGGTAGAGTTTCTAACTAGAGAGGAACCAGAATGAAAATCACCCCGTTTGTATTAATGAGAGCAACGTTTTATTGTAAGTGAAAGCATAAAAGATTTCAAGGAAGTATGAAAGATTGAAACCTCTTTCTACTTACTGCTTCAAAAGCTCTTTTGTACTCCGCCAGCTTCTCCTGGCTAAAAATGCAGAACTTTGCCAAGAAGTCGACTGCAAAGAGAAAAGAAGACAAAGACAAACTTTCAGAGCTTATTCACAGCGTATGAGCTGCACTTCCAGGCTAGACAAAAGCAGAAATTACTCTAAAAGTCAGTTATTTGTGTCTTGGTGCATTTTATACCACATATACATTAATTTTAAGCCACGGTAACAATATTAGGCTCTGTGTGCACAGAGCTTTGAGCAATATTTCTCTCCCCTGGGGTCATGGAGTGTGGTCAACACAGGGTGAAGAGTTCACAGGGAGTCCAGTTGGCCTTGATTGGTTTGGAGGTGGGGTTGAAGGGCCAGAGTGGCACTTAGCTGCTGAATAGATGATGGAGATGCAGTGGCCAAGACCTTGAAATAAACCACAATATTCCACTTTGTGTGGAAAAAAGGGTTTTAGATTGAACACACAGTCACTCAGTATAAACCTTGAAAACACTCAGGTAGGTCAAAATGATCAAACTCTACTCTGAGGTGGAAGAATTAATAACACTAAATCAACTACAAAAATCAATCGGTAACTTCTGTGAAAACGACTTCAACTTTTGAGCCAAACAAACTTTCTGCTATTCTAATATTTCACAATTGATATAGACACATTACATTACCATATGATACAATAAAATACAATACAAAACAATGTATGATAAGATACAGTACAACACAATATGATACATTACTGACCTTAAACCTTACACTGCAATGAAATTAGAAAATACGAGAAATGATAAGAAGTGATTCAATATCATTCAATTCAATATGACACAATACAAGAGGATACAACACAATACTAACTAGGGGTGGGAGAAAAAAATCGTTAGAAAAGTTAAAAAATGTTTTAAAAAGCATTTTTTTTTTTTTTCAAATTTAAGAATAAATCTTGAAAACTGACGTACATGTGATGTATATTTTTTGGAGAAATATGGTTCCTGGAATAGTCAGTAGACAATCATAATCATTCAACAGTTTCACTGGTGTTAAAAAAATGCAGATTACAAAATCAAGAAAATCGACATTATTGTAGAATCACAATTTAAATCGAATTGGCATCCAAAAACTCGTAGAAGAATCGAATTGGAGAAAAGCATATTCTCTCAGTTCTAATACTAACTCTGACCTTCATCCACAGATACAGTACGATGTGATACAATACAATGTATCATGGTGCGATTCAGTAGAAAAGGATATAGTGTGATACGATACAACATGATAAGACACGATGCTTTAGGGAATGGTTTGACACCAAATGAGATGAAAGACTTAAACATGACACAGACAATATTCTAACAGTACTCCATATTCTGACATGGTTTGACACAATAGTTTACACTTTGCTGGCTATACAGGAAATTCTGTTATTGAACACAAATGCTCTTCATATTCAGCTCCCACAGTAGCACCAACAAATACAATGGTTCATAACAATGACTTTTATTTTCTTTTTGTTGGTTTGTTTTCGTCAAAAAAAGCTGTTTCAGTTGGTTTTGGTGAAAAGTGTAATTCCCTCTGAATCTCATGTCTCAGCAGTAACTGTACGTTTTGCTCTGTTTATGGAAAGGCACAGGAATTAGGACCTTTTTCCTGACGAAAAAAAAAAAAAATTAAAATAAAACCCTGCTGTGTTGTTTGACTTGACTGACTCTTTTATGATTCTCAAAATGTCCAATCCAACGTATTTGAACAGACTTCATTTAGACATGAACATACCTGTATTTCTTTTATTCAAACATAACATTTAAGTGTGAAGTCCCCAATATAAAATCAATGATTACGTGAGGGGACAAACTGAGGCTAACCACACCCATGAATATTTCAGTAGGCAAATTTAGGAGGGTGAATGACTTGGACAAAAACGGGGGCAGAAAATGGGGGCTTTTAAGCTGCTGCCACTTCAATTTAGGAGATGAGAATGAGTCTGCTGAATAATGGATCTATTCATGGGTTTGGAGAAGAAAGAGGAGCAACAGAGTTGATATCAGTCTGGATTTAAACCCCTGGACCTCTGGGGGTTCTCTGCAGTGGCAGGGGGGCTGTTTGAATCCACCATTTATCAGCTTAGGCCTAATCAAAACCAGGCCTTCCATGGCCTCGTCCTTTCACATGCAAAATGTTACATTCGCATCCAGTCAACTTGACTTGTTAAAGCTTGATTGATCAAAAAAACTGCAGGCCGGCTTCACGCATCTGTTTGCAAATATCTTGTGATGAGAGGGGATCTGCAGGACTAGGATCTGCTGGAGTCCCACATGCTCGGACCACATGGGACCGGGCAGGGATTTAAAGTCCGCTCCCTTCAAAAGATACAAACACACATTCACACTGTGGCTGCATCAGTGCACCAGTCAATCTCTTAAAGAGGAACAGCAGCTTGTTTGAGAGCAGGAGAAAGGATCCAACTTTCTCTTCTTTAGAAAGGGTCTGCAGAGGTTCAGCCACCATCTGGAGGAGAGCTGGCAATCGTGGGACTTCGAAGTCCAGAGTCCATAAGACCATGTTTTAAAAAAAGGCTCAGAGATGGTTTAATACTCTCTATGAGGGTGGCTTTGAATTTAAAAGACCCTTTATCAACAGTTTCAACAATGTGTTAGCTCTGTGATGAGAGTCTTCTGGTCAAAACAATGAAAATAGTCGTAGTTTGAAGCACAGACTTTATAACTCAGAGACCCAGCCACCCTCTGGTTTCTGTAGAGATGTTTTGAAGAAAGTGGCCACCATATTGGAAATTCTGATTATTGCTTTGGGCTTCTAGAAGCATGCAGAGAAAGGGTACCTTCAAAAGCATTTATAAGCAACTTAAAGGGATATTCCGGCATAAATTTAAGTTATGGTCAAACACACCGTAACACCGAGTTAGACACCCCCTCGAGAGATAAATGTTGCAGACCGCTTGCTTCTCTCATAATACCAACTTTAGTAACGACCGCACAATAGCAATACACAGCGGTCTACGTCTCCATGTGCAAACCTCGAAGAAGAAATAAAGAAATGAAGAAATAATCATCACAATTATTGGTCTGATTGCATTTCCATTAAGTAATAATCATAAATGTTCTTCCTTGAGCTGCGAAACTCCGCTGCACTAGCTGATCATGTTATGGTATGTTTGACCATAACTTAAATTTTAGCATTTGTTTTGTGTAGAACAATCAGCCACATTGACAGTACAGTGCAAGGTCTACCCAAGTTGTCATGTTGCTTTAGCACAAAAACTATTAGCTTATTGTTATCACCTAGCATTAGCCAACAGTGCTAACAATAAATGGAGCTAATGGTCAAACACCTTTCTGATTTGTAAAATAAAACAGCTTTTTTAATAGAATAAGTATATCATGGACTGAACACTAAGAAAGATTGTGTGCTTGGTAATTCGCTGGTATAAATCAGATGTTTTTCAGACATTAGGAGCCGTCAGAATAGATGCAGCTCTGTGAATAAAGCAGAGTTGAGGGAAGTTCAAACTCAACATCAGTCTAGCCCACAGCCCGGTTTGTTCTTGTCTGAACTGCTGCTGTGAACAACACACACAGTCATGCACAAACACACACATTTACGCTGACTGTGGGGCTGCAGGAGGTCGGGGGTCTGTGGCTGAGGGGAGCACTCCGTCAGGGAATCAGCTGGACAAAAGGTGCAGTGGAGTGAGAGATTGAGGGAGGAAGCGAGGGCGGGTGGAGGAGCGGGACAAAGCCCAGGCAGTAAAGCCTCCTGCCTGATAGCCTTATCTGATTCCACTCCAGCGCTTGATGGCTTTTTTTTCACCCTGCCTTTAAAGCGCACAGGTTGTGCCTTTGGTGTGAAGCCTAGCAGAAAATGTTAATCAAGAGAGGGACTGTGTGGAGAAAGGCGAGAGAAAGGGGAGAGTCACTCTGCTGAGGCCGTAATCTGTAATGAGACCGAGGCGATTCAGTTGCAATTGAGAGAGGAAGAATGGGGCTGTGATGATGATGAGCAGGGAGGTTCACTCTTTCACCGGCGTTTGTTTTTCTGTTTTGTTCCTTTTCTCTTGCGGAGTCACTGCTCGTGCAGCGGTGCACGGGCTGCAAACAGCCGTGGGTCACAACTCATTTAACACACGCTCGGACGTCATTTTCCCTGTCTGCAGCTGACAGATGAAAAACACGCTGACTGCTTACCTGACAACCATTGGTACTCATCTGTGTATGATTTATACTTCCTCCTCTGACCTCCTCACTTTGTTCTTGTGCCACCTCGAATGTGACCAGAACACGAGGCATCAAACTTTTAGGTGTTAGTGGCTGGAGTCAAATATTCTGTCACAGTTACAGCAGTTTCTTATGAAACATGAACTATTTGAGAGTCTCCTCATTTTCACCTTTGACACTTGATTTATATATTTAAAGAGAGGCTCATTTTTAAACGAACAAACAAACAAAAAAAAAATCAGAAGGTTGAGGTATGTAGATCTGACAATGGGTTAATTTCTTGTGGGGTGCCACAAGGCTCAATCCTGGGACCTTTACTTTTCTAATATACATTAATTACTTACACATAATCTTTTCTAGAGAATATTTGTGTTGTCTGCTGATGATTCCACTTTTTTTTTAATCCAGTAAAGATTAACATAAGCTCTTTTAACTACTTCGGTTAAATTGAAACAGGTTAGTAACATGTGAAAAGAAAGAGTACGCTAGAGAGACTGAACTCTAAGGAGATAAGATGGGAAGAGGTTCACCTGTGTGTGAGAAACTTTAGTTGCCTTTCTGTTGAACTTCTTGTCATCAGTCTAATATCACTTCTAGAGGACCGAATATAGAATGATCTGGCTGTATCTCTAAAATCAATATTATCCTTGAAATCCTTTAAAATATCACCGAAATCACGTCTTAAACATGTCATTATCTGTCATGTTCATGTTTCTTTTCTTTTAATGTACACTTATAATTTCTGTATCTCTGGTTGGGCTGGTTGATGATTAGTCTATGGTCTGTTTATGTCAATTTGTATATGTTTTGATCTTTCCCTACTCATTGTTATAACCTGTCTATGTCCTAATTACTTTGTTGTTTGCACCCTATGCCTTTACTGCCCTGACGAGAGTGGAACTCTGTATAACCCCATCGGCTTTGTTCCCTCCTTTCACTGTTTTTAATCTGTGCTAAATAAATAAATACAAATACAAACAAAGCGATGGGTTTTATGAAGGGTGCTAAATAAATTCAATTTATCATTATTAAATACCTCAACAGTTTCAAAGCAATTTATCTCATGATAAAACTGCAAAGAATTTGAGGATTTCTTCTACTACAGTACACAATATCCTAAAAGGATTGAGGTAATCTAATAAAATCTCTGAACAAAGGAGACAAGATGAAAACAAATACTGGATAGCCATGATCTTCAGGCCCTTTTACTACGACAACTCTGTAGTGGAAATCACTGCATGGGCTAAAATCCCTTTATAACACTGTTGGTGAACTCTGAGTGTAGCTGCAACCACAAATTCAGGTTTTGCTGTACGATGCAAAGAGGAAACAATATGTCTAAACATAACATGATCTAGATCTGATGACTTCTTGGGGTCTGAGCTTGTTTAAGATGGACTGAAGCCACAGAGAAAACAATCATCTGGTCCGAAAAATTAATCTGACTAGACAGCCATCCTATTCTGGTATTCTTAAAATTCACTTAGTGTCCCAACTGCTTTTTGCAATGGGGTCTTTTAAATTTGATTCAATTTGATTCAAGGGCTTTCTATAAAACTATGAAAAAGTTCTTCAGTATATTAATCAAAGTTTGTCTCCTTCAATAACAAACCTCAGATACTTAACTCAAATACTCAAACCGTGTCAGAGCAAGGATGCAATTTATAACACAAACACAAAGACACACACAGGGGTCTATTGTGCTTCTAACGAGTTCACTTGTTTGTTGCTCTCTTTCCCGCTTAATTCCAGACTTTTGTTTCTGCTCATCATCGCACTCTATAAAGTGTCCCATAATTCCTTTAACAAAGGTCATATTCAGCGCTGGAGAGGAGGTGACCCCCTTTTTAATAGCAGGAGAATGTCAGTGAGAAACATGCCCCACATATACAGCACTGAAATATGTGATTAAGAGCTCAAATTTAGAGCAAACAGGACTCCCTCACCAAGAGATAAACAAGAGACTACAGCCATCTCTGACTGCAGCACGTCCATGAGAAATAGGTTTATGGGATGTTTTGGGTTTAACTTCTTAAATATGAGATGATCCTGTAAATCTATCGCCTGAATACGACGAGACAAAGCCATAAAACATGAAGTGTGGAGCTGTGAGATAAGGAGGTGAGAGGTCTGAGCGCCAAAGCAGACTGTAAACCGGGCCAAGCGAGTCATTCCACAATAATTTTGAACGAGGTATTGTTGGGCGTTCTGAGCACGCTCCAAATCAAAGGTAACCATTGAAATCCTATCTGATAACAATGTAAGCGGGAAAAAATAACTGTGGAATAAAACAGAGCAGCAGGAGGTGAAGAAGAAAAGGCTTTCAGAGTGGTATCAGAGGACCTACATGTGAACATAAAGAGGGATTATGTGGTTTTATACCTATTTTAGACACAGACTTTCGCATTAAAAATATGAAACATCAACACTGCAGACACTTTCACCTGATTTTGCTCATTATTGATAAAAAAAGTAGATTTTTGACCTCTGTTGACATGATAACGCTCCCGTTTATATGGGTATGTTTATAGATATGTATGTCATACAGCTCTAACAGGGCCTGAAAGATTAAAGGATTAAGATTAGAGGATAAATTCCTGTGTGAACACCTTAGTGATTCACATTCCCAGGGTTATTTTATATTTTATATTCATTTGCATATTTTGCCGAACTAACCTGATTCTAATGTGTTTCAGTTTTAATATTTCATCAAAGAAAATATACAAAGCTAGAGAGAATTATGGACCCCATTTTTACTCCTGAAGAGAGGGGCTACTTGGCTTGTTATTGGCACACAGTTTAAGGCAAGTATCTGCAATGGTATGGGGGTGCATTAAAACCTATTGCATGGCTAGCTTACACATCTGAGGAAGCACCATTAAAGGGATATTCCTTCATGAAATTAATTTAGGGTCAAACACATCGCCACACAGAGTTAGACACCTCGAGAGATAAATGTTGCAGACCGCTTGCTTCTCTAGTTATACCAACTTTAGTAACAATCCCAAGATAGCAATACACAGTGGTTAATTTTGCCTAATTTCTATAGCAAAGAGACTAAACACAACTCACCTACTCTCTTCCAGCATCCTCTTGTTTGTAGTGAGACCTCGGGCCAGTCCATTACAGACTGCTGCAGGGTGACGCAGCTCAAGGAAGAACATTTATGATCATTTCTTCATGGAAATGCAACCAGACAAAGATGCTAAGGCAGAAGAACTACCGTGTCTGCAGTGCAAAATGATTAATATGGTGATTATTACTTCAAGGAAATGATAAAGAAATGATCATAAATGTTCTTCCTTGAGCTGCGTCACTCCGCAGCAGTCTGTAATGGACCGGCCTGAGGTCTCGCTACAAAGATGCAGCTGCTGGAAGAGAGTAGATGAGTTGTGTGAAATGAGACAAAGTTAAAAAGATGTTTGGTGGCTAGTGCTGCGGCTAGGACCCTGTATGTACTGTTGATGAAGTTAGGTGCTGTTCTGAGCATTATTTGTGGCTATAGAGTGGCGTTTTGGTTGAGGTTTGTTTATGGCTCCTCAGACCACTGTGTATTGCTATCTGTGGTCATTACTAAAGTTGGTATAACTAGAAGCAAGCGGTCCTCAACATCATCTCTCGAGTGGGTGTCTAACTCAGTGTTCACCAGACACTACCTTTGTCATGGAAGACCTTCCATATCAAGGAGCCAATGCCAGACCACATCCTGCATGTATAGCATGTCGCCTCAACCAGTGCGCCGCTATAAAAAGAAACCCTTGTCTTTGTTTGTAAAATGGACTTTTCAGAGTAGAATTTGGCAACTCATGCTGGTTTCTACTTGAGTAGGTACTACAATCTTAAAGCAGGCGACAGTATTTGGCAGTATGCTCCTTCAGGCTGTTGTTGCTCCGTGAACACACGACTCCTCCCCCTCACTTTCTCCAAAAAGGACTGGGTAGCAAGCGTGTTTATGTGTTGGGGGGGGGGTTAGGGCTCTGCAAGGAAAACAAACAAAGACACACGTAGCGGCCACACTCCTGCCTCTGGCCGCACGCCATCGACCTCACCACAAACCACAACTTACGCTTTCTACTCACTCACACACAAACACACACGCCTACGCCCAATCAGCTACTGCTGCAGATCCACACTGATACGTCCCAGGAGTCACAATCATCTGCTGTACGGCAACTCCAGATCTCCTGAGATAACCTCACAAAGCAAAATCATCGGCTATTATTGCCCTGCCGCTCCTTGACATTGTGCCATTAATAAGGCCATTGTGGAGCACGCTCTCTGTTTGGACACCATATAATAGACTCTTTGACAGATTGACTTTGCTCTCTCTCCCTCTACCCTTTCCTTTTCTCTCTCTCGTGAATACAGCGGGCATATTCCACGCCGCTGCTCATCAATAGGCGGGCTGTTTGTTTGCGCACTCATTCTGGACTGATGGTAAATACACACAGGTATTCCAGACCAAAGGCTGAGCAAACAGGGGGTTACATAAAGGCACTGTACCTGAACACACACTTGAAACATCCTCCTGCACACACACACACACACACACACACACACACACACACACACACACACACACACACACACACACACACACACACACACACAGACTTTTATAAACACCTCACATCTCTCTTTTAAGTGACGGTCTTTTCTTCTTCTTTACTCAGTCCGCTGGATTTTTCTTGAAGGCTTTCTTCCCTGTTTGAAAACAACAATTATGCCTCCGATCTCCACCCACTGATAGACGAAGGTAGTAAAAGCTGCTCGTGGCCGATTGTGGTTTTGTTGGTGGGTGGGGTCAAAGTGAAGCTGGCTTCAAGGCTGCCAGGTGTTCAGCATCAACACAGACATTCATCAGAGAGCCACAGAGTCCCTTGCACTTTACACAGGTTAACAGGCGCTAGCTGCTCTGAGGCGACACAAAGGAAACCACAACTACTTGACATCAGTGTCACCCTCTCCTGTATGGGCTCTCTAACATGGTCAGGATGAGAAAATGACCTTTGGAGAGTGCACATGCTGTGTTACATTTCACTAATTTATGCAAACACTTCTGTCTGTAAAGTGTTCAGTCTCTCTTCAACAATGTACAGATTTTTATGCAGATGTGCAGCTCTTCCACTTCCGTTACTGCCCCACTGCAACCTACCTGTGCTGTAGATGAGCACAACCTACAGTAAGCTGCTGCCGGCCACCAGTTTGCTGAAGTTATGGCAGAAACTTGGCAGCCTTTATCTAGCAGAGTCAGCTCACAACAGAAATGACACTATTTCGCTAAAGTTAAAACATAAATCATCACATATCGACTTTGTTTGGAGGAATTGGATCCAGATAGTCTTTAAAAATACAACATTACTCTTTTAGGAATGAAAAAAACAGACAAACACAGGATTTGAGCTGTTCGTCTCAATTTTATACTAAGATTATCTCTCATCTGTGTATCTGTGTAAACTTTAATCTTGTTTCACAGTCAGTTGTGACTGACCTTAGCTGATTGTAGTTTTGTTTCTCTATCTCTTTGCTTTTTTTACTGTTTTTGGTCTCAATTGTATTTGCTGAGCAGAGACAGACAGAGAAGATTTCTCCCAAGATTGTCTGTATTTGCATTCACACCTTTTAAGATGACATGATTCATGTCATACAGAGACCATAACTACATCTGCCCTCTGGGCTTGTGTACATATTGTCGTCCCTCTTGTTGCTCTCTGCAGCACGGCTGTTAATTCATAACACAAGACACATGACAGCAGCCGCTGACTGATGGCAACACAAAGGGTCAGAGAGTTGAGTGGATGGATGATGGCAGAGAACAAGAAGGGAAAGGTGTGTGTAGGTGTGTGTGTGTGTGTGTCTGTGTGAGAGAGAGTGGGGATGGGGGTTTTCTATTTTGGGAATCCTTTGGCAAGGAGTCAGCATCGAACAGAAAAGAGACAATTATGACCAGTTAGGGCTTTTCAGAGCTTAATGAGGAGCTGCAGTTACAAGTGTCAGGACAACACACACACACACACACACACACACAAATGGTGATGTGTGTATGAAAGAGGACACACAGGATGAAACAAAAGGAGCCAGAGGAAAAAATGACAGACTGTACCAGGACACATTTTGCAAACATTTCACGCCCCGCAAATCTGAGCAGAGAGGACAGAGTGTTTCATCAGACAGAAGACACAGTGTAAACACACTTCATATCATTGTTGTACTCATTAAAGATGCTACAACACAGTTAGCTCACAGCTCACTGTGGTTTGGGTTAGGCCAGATTCAGTCCCACTGAGCCTAATACATGGAGGAGAAAACCAATTCCCTCCCGACTATGAGGAGTTTGAATTAAGAGTCCAGTTTCAGTCGGACCTGGGCATTAAATCAATTTTCTGAACACCATGTAAAAAGTACTGAGGACTGTGCAAAGGCAAGAAACATGCCTGAAGGCTGTATGTGCAGTTTTCTGGTCTTGTTTCAAAATATAATACCCAGCTCGCCATAGCGAATTTTATGGCTGTACACTGAAGTGTTGCTCCTGTGTCCTCATCTTAAACAAAGGATTGTAATTTGTCCGGTCCAGAACGACCGGTGAATATAAATATGAGCTGGTTGATGGTTTTGGCAAAACTAAGCTCACTTTGTCGTACACCCCCTTTTTGCACTCCAAAGTCTTTTGCACTTTAGCCACATTCAGGTTAAACACTAAGGGTGCTACTCAGTGCTTTCAATGCTTTCACTGCTTTGTGCTTCTGCTACTTAATGGATGTGACCAAAATGACTCCACCCACCCTGACATCTTCATCAACATGCCGTGAAAGCATTGTCATTTTTCCAACCTCCATCAAACAGGTACAACATGTGCATGTTTGCTAAGCTAGTTATTGTAAGATTAGACATTTGGGATGTGTTTGTCACTAACACTCATATTTGAACAACAATTAAATCTCTATTTTTTGCACAGTCTCACTTTAGTGTTCAGGAAAGAAGGTAAGAATTCAACACAACACAACAGCGTAACAAACAAACCTTTCTACACAGCCACTTAGACAAGCAGCTTTAATGCAAGCTTGAAAATGAAGTAATATTGACCCTTTATAGAAAAGAAAAATACGCATAATCACCCCCACAGGTCCAGACTCCTGTAACCAAACCGAACAATAGCTCTCCATCAGTAATAACCTTGGAGCTGCAAAGGGAGACCAGCTGCAGAGTTCTTCATCCTGCTTGATTATGGTCTGAACAAACCTGTCCAATCAGCCCCATTCATGTGAGCCAGCACTCACAGGAGAACTCTGACCCACCTGACCTCTGCAGGGGGCCGGACCCTCCAGCCTTGACCTGAGGTGTGGGTGCTTATTGTCCGACCTGCCAGCCTCGGTGCTCTCACAAAGGCTTGGACGCCAGAAATTAGGCACTTGAGGGAAACTGGAGAACTCCTGGCTAAACTCCTGTTTGTAAAAAAAGGCAATTCTAAAAAAATCAAGTGCTGTAATTGAGGGGAATTTTTAGAGTCGAGAGGCGTGATGGTGAAAAGCTTCAGGTGTTTTGTTTTTCCCTGCATGGTCTTTTGTGTGAACAGGAGGCAAAAAAGAGCGTTGGCAGACAAAAGATAGAGTTAGCTTTTGGGGTTGTCATTGCTTAGTAAGAAAACAGTTGTGTTTTTTAAACAGCTGAATAAAGCTTCTAACAATCAATTCTGACCAAACAGTCACTGCTGCTTAACGAAGCAGCAGTTTGTCTTGCACTTACACAGGCTTCAACAAAATCTTCATCAGCTTATTGACAGTTAGTGCGGGAATCCAGTGATGGACGATACGGTACGGTATGTCATGATGTGATATAATACCCAATGTCACAATATGTCATGATATGATACAATATGATCATGCAATATGTCACAATATCGTATGTCACAACACGATATGAAATGGTACAATATGTCACGAAAAGAAAGGAAATGATACGATATGACATGATACGATATGTCATGATATGTCTGGAAACAATACGATATAATAAGTCACGATACGATATGTCATGAAATGATATGTCACAATATGGTACGAAACGGTATGTCAAGATACGATATGATACGATAAGTCACAAGAGTATATGTCATGAAATGATATGTCACAATACGGTACGAAACGATATGTCATGATATGTCATAATACAATATGATATGACACACTTCTATTATTTGTCTTGACAAAGCGCTCTGTTTAGGTGATTTTTGCTCTCTTTAGTTTGTGCCCCAAAACTTAATGCTTCACTTTGTGCCCTGCCTTGGAAAGCAAAATGACCCAAATATCTAATATTTAAGCAACCAGGTAATGGATGAGTCATAAGCGTATATGTTTGGCAATTTCAATGTCGTGTAGCTTCAAAAAATGAAAGCTGTACCTCACTAGCAAGCCCTTAAATCTGGATCTGGGCTTAAAAAAGCTGCTTTTTTTGCTTTAAGATAAAATGAAATTTAGTTTTAGTAGATTATCAACTCACAGTCCTCAAAGTTGGAGCGACCTCCTCTGCTTTTGGCCTGATGTGGAGTCTTATCCTGCAGCTTGGAAAGCATGTTTAGCGCTTTTGTTTTCCTCTCCTCCATCCTTCTCTCCTTCTCCTCAACACTACCCGGCCTGCTTCCTCCTGCAGGGGTCTTGACTTGGTTCCTCCATCCTGGATGATCAGAGTCCCCCTCAGTTGGGCCCTGTTCCCCTACTCTGGAACCTGGAAGAGAAAAGGAAATTTAAAGAAGTTGATGTAGAGTTTCAGTTTTCTTCGATAGAGACAGAAACAGTCCTAACCAAGACAGAGCTCATCTGTATTCATGGACGTCTCCGTGGAAGAGGCCACTTACTAAAAAGCACTAAAACCCATTTCTGCTCCTTTAAGAAACACTAATTCTTATCACATTGTTCTCTTAAATGCCACAGTCACATCTCCTTTCAGCCCTTTCAGCCTCCCACTAGGCAGTACACGCTCTCCCTGAACCTTAAACAGGCGTCCATTTTGTCTTTGACCAGCCAATTAAGGGTCCCATTATCTCTGAATATAAAGTCCACAGAATACACTCCAGAGCTGAGACAAAGCTCACCATCAGTGAAGGCTTGAGCTTAAGGAGGGCCGTGATTGTCTTTATAAAAGTTTAAATCAGAGTTTCAGAAGCTTTTATTCTACTTTCAGAAACATGAGTGTTACTTTCCATGAGCGATAATTCAAATCTGGAACATTTGGAGACGGGGAGGGAGAGAGCTTGACCAGTGGAGAAGCTGACAGGCGGCAGATTCATCAGACGTGGTCCTGTGGATTCATTTGTCCCGTCAGTGAGCGTGCATGTGTGCAGAGGTCAGCAGCTCAGATTGATGGAGGCATGTCTCATTTGGCAGGCCGTCTTCCACCACACTGAACACAATCACACACTCTCCGTGTCCTGCTCCAGCCGCAATGTCAACGAAACAGACGGCGGGATGAGGAATTTATTCATCGAAAGGGCGAGGAATTTATCATTTCTTCAGCTTTCTCATTTGCAATACAAACCGAGTGTCTGTGGTCTCTACAAGGACTTCATGATGAAGGTTATAGTTTGCAAAAATGGGAAAACTCGCCCTTTTAAAGGCACAACACCTGAGTTAAATCAACTTACTTAACCATTGTTACCTCAGGTTAACTCAGACAAGACTGAGATAAGAAATGTTGAATTTGATTGAAAAAAAATTACATGAATGATTTATCACTGGAGTCAAATATGAAATTCTCTCTCTCTGTGATCAAGTTATTGGTTGTATGACTTGTGATTTTACCCTCCCCCCTGTAGTGTACAACCTTCAGAAAAGGGTAAAGCCACAGCTGAAATTATTCAGGATTTGGTTTCCTCCTTTTAAACCCCTCCTATCCTAACCTCCAACACGGCCTAATCCATGAATGCAGCGTACTGATTACTGGTCAGTTCAAGCTGGAAACAAGAGCCATCTAAAACACACAGAGCAGGTTACCATACCAACCGCAGCATCTGAACGCTGCAGATAGCTGGATTTGGCAACGAGCGGCCGAGTCAAATCCCCTTGCTGATTCCGAAAAGGCTGCCCAAGACAATAAACACACACACACCGCCCACCCTCTGTCCAACTCTCTCCAACAAACACCGCCTGCCCTTTAGCATCCAGCGCACCAGGCAGAGGCAAGAAGGTCGGACTTGTATCTCTTTCTCTGCGTGTTTGAGAAAGGGATGAGCATCAGCGAGACAATCAGCGTGCCGAGGCCATTCACTGATGCCACCCAGAGCCTCCACTCCTCTATCTCCTGGAAGAATGGCCGAATAGGAGCGGGGTGGGGTAAAAAGGAAAATCCTCAACAATTTATTATTCATGGGCAGGGGATTTTCTTTTCAGACCTCCTTTATGGAAGCCTTTCCCAACACGTCAGCCTCTCTATCAGCCCTGACAAGTGCCAATCAAAGGGGCTTGAGTCCAGTTTTTTTTAGGGTGAGCTGGAGGATTTCAGAGACAATAGCCAATGAGTCCACAGCGGTGAAGGCTTAGAGACAATAGTGACATGGCTACACTGTCAGTGTGTGGTCCTCTGGGGGGGAAACGATCCTCGCTTACTACATGACTAATCTCTCCACGCACCATCTCTGTCTTTCTGGAGTCTTAATCTGTCCCCGTAGCTTCCTCAGCTCGCCGGAACAATTCAGCAAGGTCAGTTCAGATTAGTGCTCTTTGTGGCCCTGGCACATCGCTACATTCATGTGGAAGCTAACATCTTTAGTAGCAGCTGAATGGTAAAGACTGGAGGGAGTGAGAGTGACCGGGGCAGCGAGGAGACAGTCATGAAACAATTATGAGGGGAGGGATTATCCCACCTATGAATCCCTGATGAGCCAGCACGGACAAAGGTCTTATCATGAGACTCACTGGGGAGCAGGAGCATCTTTCACTGATGATTCCTGGCTTTGGTGTGATCTCAGATTTCATCAGCTGCTTAAAGCAAAAATATTTCAATTTAATAAAATATGTATATGACAGTTATAAATTAGTGCAGGACTATCTTCTAATCACTTAATTTGCATAATTTTGGATAAGTTCTCAAGTTTAACAACTTCAGTTAAAAAAAATAACAACTTACTATGTCGTTGGGGTGGGAATCACTTGTGGCCCCACGATACGATATTATCACAATACTTGGGCCATGATATGATATTATTGCAGTATTATAATACAGTGAGTATTGCGATGCAATATATTGCAATTTATACATTTTTTTCAACTGTTTAGCTAATTTAGCATTTGTCTTTCCTCTATGTTTGTCTTATTTATGCTGTATTTTATTTTCATGTAGATATATATTTGTTATGGCTACTTTCTCCTACTCTATGATGTCACCTCTGCCAACCTCACTGGACAAACAGTTAATTCTATTTTTCCATTATCATAGATTTGACATTATATCAACAATTAATCTGAAAAATCGATACTTGGTAAATGAGACGATACGATATATCACTAGACAAAATATCCCGATACTAGGCTGTTTCGATTTTTTCTCCCGCCCCTAGTATGTAGTCTAAAATTTACACATCAAATGTTTAAACTATTCTTTGAGAATCTTGGGAAATCTCTAAAAAGGTAAAGCCAAAAACCAAAAGTGGATGGCCATGAGATTCAGATCCTCAGGTGGTAAAGAAAACAGACAAGACTGCATGGACTGAGAATCACTTCCACAAACCGTAGTTAGTGAATACAGTCTATCCCTGTGGAAATAACAGGTGGTCCAGAAGGCCAAAGATGACATAAATAATTCAGGAAGAAGACCCCAGAGACAAATAAACATATGTGCAAGTTGTATTGTTCTTTCTGTTATCACGCTGCTGAACTCTGATAGCAGTCATTGGCTTATAGGCTTGTTTTTTTACACATTTAAAGTCTCATACATGTCTGAATGTTGCTGTTGACTGTGTTGCCTGTAGAATCTTGTTGAATCTTAATGGGAAGGCTGCAAAACTGAATTGCCCGTCAAGGGTTATACAAATGTTTGAAGTAAACTGAATAGAATTAAATCACTGCATCCAGAAATGCAGGTTGAGGCTGCACCGATTAAAGAGGAAAACTAAACCTCAAAAGAAATGACACAGAAATGCAGTCAGCTGCTCTGCAAACCATTATGCTGAGATCCTAAACTGATCAATTCTAAGATGAGCCAGATGTTATAAAATAAAGCACATATCAAAGTCAGCATTCAGTCGAAGTTGCTTCCATCCATCTCATCAATAAACAAAACTGGTTGGTTAATATAAGAAAACCTTTCAAAAGCTTAAGATTGATTTTTAGATTTAAACACAACAAACAAAGTTCTTGTTCTTGTGTGATAATAGAAGTTCTCACACGCTATTTTCACTCAAATCTAAAGAATCTCTCCTAAATCTAAATGTAAATCAGCAAAAATGATCCACAAATGCAGATTCAAATAGAGCCCTGAGCCGATTGCTTTACACTCTCATATAAACCGAGTCGTAATGGGGTCATTCCCTCCATTACTCGGGACTTTTGTTCAAAGGTTGAACTTCTTGCACTTCCAGGGAAACCAAATCTCACCTATCCCCACAAAGACCTGCCACACACTGGGCATCTTTCAGAGACTGTTCGACCTCAGGCGTGACCCCTCCACGCCCTACTGATGACCCCCTGCCCCCCCTCTCCCTCCCCGGGAGAGTGACCATGCCTTTGGCCTTTAAAAGGTCAAAACACACCAGCCATCACCCTGATCCTCTGACTGACATCTTTTTTCATTAGTTGTTTCGCTCCAATAGGGCAGTTAAACAGGGACGGACTTGTAAAAGTAGCAACAAAAAACCCCTAAATAAAAGTAGTTTAAAGCTGAAGGGAATTGAGTTATTGTAAACTATGACACTGAATAGAGATGGTATACATTTAACAGGTTAATAAATCCATCATGCTCTTTCAGCGGAGTGAAATCACTTGTTGTCTTTTCTTGTTGTCAGAAACATTCTGGTAATTGAAACACATATTTGACGTTATTCTGGGAAGAGTCAAGTTGAAGTTAAAGAGGCGTAACTTCAGATATCTGAGTGTCTTTTTAATTCTAAATAAAATAAACCGCCTGCTTATGTGTCTTCGTAAATATTTCAGGGGATCCCTGACAAAATAGTTTTTAAAGGGGGCATTTTGAGGGTTTTTTGGGCCCAATGAAAAACATCACATTCAGTCCCACCACTTCCCTTTATCAACAGTTTTATTAAAAATGTCACCCATGCTGATTAGCTTGTTGATTTAAAATGCTAATTGAAAAAAAGGTGTGCCACAATGAGATTCAGGGTGACTCTGCTTCAAAAGCAAACCAACCAACCAAAAAAAAAAAGAAAAAACAGATATGACTGTGATGTTATGTGGATACATAAGTGTTATGGAATTGGTAGCTCACACATCTGGGAAAGCTCTGTTAATTGTAATTCTTATATATACAGGTTTCAGTGCAAAAATACTTCCAACTGAACAATGTCTCAGGGAAGACCTTGAAGGACAATATGAATCCATGTATGTCATGCATGTACAACAACAGCATGGCTCAGTAGTAGAAGAGCCCAGATGCTAAAGTGGTCTACTTGAAGTCCCAGCTTGCCACCCATTTGAACCATTCAGTGCTTCATGAAACAAAAAAATACAAAAAGGAGACTCTTGATTACTGAGCAGACCAAATCTTCTATCAGACAAGAATGGGACAAAGTTAAACTTTTACCTCTTTTTTGGTTTTGTAAAAACATACATCAAAATGTTTAAAAGACAGATCATCACAGCGCAGCCTGAGCTCTCCTTCAGCCATTCACTCCTGGTTTTATCAATCAGTAACTCTAAAAGCATTGAGTGCTATAAAGCTTGGCAGTTTTTGGCATATGAATTTGGCCGTGCTGGATCACAAAGACTTATTATCCTGTCTTTGGTCTGGACGGTTCGCTGCAGCTTGGCCCCGAGACAGACAAATCACTCTCCGTCATGACGGATGCGTGTAAGACACCCGTTTTGAATTCAGCATCCCATGGACCAGTAGAATTGAAAAAACAATAACAGGTAGTGAAAGAGTAAGACACAAGCGAGAGAAGAATCAGAGCATGATAAAGACGTCAAGGTAAAAAAGCTCAACGGCTGCTCTCCTCCTCCATGTGTTGACAGCTCTCCTGGTCTTTTTCCTGCCTCTTGGTGCCAGTTTTCCAGTGTTTGCGGTCCTTACAGTGAGCGCTGCCTTTGCACCATCACTCACGTAGGTACACAAGCCGGCCACACAGGTGAAGGTGATACTCTGAGGCAGCTGGCCCTTGCAAGGATTATCGGGCTTAAGTGTACCGGAGACGAGGGAACTCTAAACACAGCGCTGACAGTGAGGAGACAATGGCTGCTAATAAAGCAGAGCTGATGGGGACTGAGTGGGCTTTTACCGGATCAGACGCTAATGGTGAAGACAGGCTCTTGTATTGATTAAGTATTGTTGTTATAGGCTCTTATGAGGGAGACAGGTTTAACATGACAGTGTTATGTCATAAAAGAAAACACAGATCAAGAAAAATCATCATTTCATATCAAGATTCAAGGGATACAGCGCCGTGAGTGGACTTACAGGGAGAATCGGCAGTTCTGAACACGTCGTATGTTGGACTTGGGTCGATGATCCAAGAAGACGGAGAGCCAGAACCTCCTTCAGAGAGATCCTAAGTGAGAAGGAAAATTCAACCAGAGTTTGGCAAAGTTGGATCATCATTTTTCATGGATTCTAGCAGCAGCTCCTTAGCTTCAGTAAGATTAGCCTTTTTAAAAAGTGATTTAAAAAAAACACTACCTACAACCCTCAAAGCTAACAAGTCAACAAGTTTATCTTTTTTATGTAGTAGCAAGGGTTTTTTTCCCTTCAGATTCAACTGCTCTCAAGAAACCTCCTCCACTGCTGCCATGTTACAAAGTCACCGTCATTGAAACAAGTGGCGTAATGACTATGTATGAATGATAGCCATGTCTTTTGGACCCTACATGTGACCTGGTAAGTTGAGGAAAGGTAGAACATAAAAATAAAAAGTGACAAAGTTTAGAGCAGAGTGTTTCTGTTTGATGAGCTTTTTTATTCGATATGCTCTTTTAAGGAGGTTCACCACTTGGTGACATCACAAATTGAGCAAATCTCATCTCCCTCTCGTATGATTATCACATAACAGTTGGAAGTTTTGTCCTTGACAAGGGCTGATGGACGTCAGACTGTTTCATCTTGGGAAACCAAATTGGTACACTGATACAAGGGTGGCATTAAAAATGAGAACGCACAAAACAAAAAACACTTATTTATCCTCTCTATCGCTGCTAATCACTCTATAAATATGACTATTAAAGTATTGAAAAGGTGTCGTATTCCTGTTTCTTTTTTGGATTTTGGAACAATGTGGGCAACATCCGAATCTTCTTAGTTTAAATCTTTGGGGTCCAAAAGAATATGCTCGGTCAAAGTCGCTATTAAAGGTACAAACAAAAGTAAATTATTTTCCATTTAGATGCAAAGAAAGCTGCCAGGCATATTACTGTAGTACCACCTCTAACTAGCCAAATAGACAATCATTTTTTTTGGGATTTTGGGGTGACCCAACAGATTTAGGGGGACCATGGCCACCTGTGGCCACCCCTTGTCTCTGCCCCTGATTCTGGGGTTAAAGGAATTTGAAAATTGACCTGCTCCTAGCAATTAAATCTGACATTTTCACTGTTTTCATTTGTTTGTGAAATATGAAAACAAAATCACACTACCTTTTCAAATCTTTGCAGGTTGCTTGGCGATGGCACTGTAAACAACACAACTCTAGAAATTTAGACGATTAAACTTCTTCCATAAAGATTCAAAAGTGAAGGCTGAGGTTTCCAGGAGCTCTACAGAGTTTCAGTGGAGCCCTGACTGTTGAATACTATTTCACTGATATGTTACAGAGACATCACAAGCTCTGATTGTTTTGTTATAAAACATCTAATGAGGACCTGTGGGACAAATTCTTGGGGGGCAGTGGAGAAAACCAGGACAAAGACCTATGTTTGTCCATTTTGGGAGTGTTGGAAGAGAAAATTTAGTGAAAGTACAGCTTTCAATGTTATATATTCCACTTGCACAACATAGCCTAGACCTTTTAAATGGTCATTTCAAGCAATTTTAATATTCTCAACTTAAAACCATGGCTCCTCCTCCTTTCTCGCTCAAATTAACCAAAGGTTAAATATTTTCTTCTCTTTATAAATAATCCTCTGTGTGTATTCTTGCTTCTGTGAGGTGCATTATGCAAATAGTCGCATGAATCCTGCCCTGGGCACTCCAGCTCTTCATTGTGGTTTGGCATAATTGCAGGGGGCTTATGAGTCTCATTCATGCTTTTCAGGGGCTCTCTCTCATCCGTCATAAAGGGGAGATTAATCGTAGATCACGTGGAGCACCTGCGTCCATTCCACTGCAGCCCAGCATGCCTAGGCCTTGTTTACCCCCCTGACCCCTCGCCCCCAAACCCCCTGTCTGATAGAGGAGCTGGTGCATCCTCTAAAAGAGTCTCAGCGTGTTGGGGGTTTAGCCGAGCGTACCCCCCTCCTGCAGCAGAGCAATGAGCTGGTGTAAAAGCCTGCCCACTCCCGTACAGTCAGGCCCCCCACTCACGCCCCCTTCTGCAGCCGTGACTGATTAACCACACACCTGCTGCACGCCGCGTGCCCTCTGTTATATTGTGTCTCAATTATCAACAACAATTTGGCTCGTTTTACTGGAATGACAGTTATAAATGCATGCCAGTTCAAGTTTGCAAAAGGGGGTCTTTGTGTAGGAGGGGCTCTGTGTGTGCCAGGTTCAGAGTTATTGTCAGATTGAAGTTGATTTTTTAGAGGTCTAGTGTTTGCTCACAGTTCTGCCTTTGGAGGAAATCTGATAGATGAACAAAGGAGGAGGGGGGAAAGAGAGAGTGGAGTGCAGTTACAGAAGAGGCAGTGACACTCACCGACTTGTTTTCCTGGACTTCCCCTGCGGAGTCACACCTTTCAGAGACGCTGCCAGCTGTGAGGGGCCTTGAGACTCCTGAAAAAAAAAAAAAAAAAAAAAAACCCACAGGGCACGGAGTCAAGCCAAAGAAGAGGAAGCAATTGTGTGTTTGGAGTTGTGCTGCAGGCAGGCAGGCAGGCGTGTGCGGCAGTCAGAGCATGTGTGTACGTAAGTGTTAGCCTCCGGGCGCACGCTTACATGCGCTCGTCCTTTGTGCTGGAGTGTGTGTCCACAGATATGAGTAATGTTGAGTATTAGTTCCAATTATGGCTCTTAATCTCTGAGCAAATAATGGCAGAAAATGGAGCAACAAAACCCCAGACAAGCACCTGTCTGCAGAAGCGTGCCAGGTGCTAACATTGTTCTGAAGACTCGGAGAGATTTACTCTTGTTGTAAACATCAGTGACATGGGTGCATGAATTAAAAAAACAAACTACTGTGGTTTCCCTCTACCTGGTTAGGAGCCAAGTTCGGAAAAAAGTGCCTGTTTTACCTCATGCTTCGAGTGATAGGTGGCCTTGTAGATTGATTTTGTTATATTTGTCCCATTGTTTTGTAAGTTCTGCAGCCATGTCCATGCAAAAATGTTTTAGGAATTTTCAATTGTGTTTCTCATACTGCAAAGATCTTTGACCTGTTAGCATCACTCAGTATAGTTAAGTGTTCAAAAAAGTTGATCTATTGCATCGGTACTGCTGAAACTGGGCTTTAAAAACATCATGTGAATAGGGTGGACATATTCTGACTTCCCAAAAAGAGGACATGACTACGCAGGGGTGGAGTCACAGAGTCGCACAAAGTTAATTTTAAGAGTTTTTTGGGTCAGATTGAGTGTCTTATACGCACTGCTAACTCAGTAAGTCCACATGACACAAACTTGAAACTTATGTACAAAACTGCAGATATTTGAAGGATTTTTTAAACTTCCCCGGACAAAGCCGGACAAGCCCGGACAGCCCCCCAAAAAGAGGACATGTCTGGGTAAAAGAGGACATATCCAAGAGGACATATGGTCACCCTAATGTAAAGATGTTAGTCTGACTGAAATAGTATTAATAGGACTTGCCTTAGCGTTCTGTGCACGCTACATTGTTCTGAAGTTGATTAGCATGAATGCGTTGCTAGAAGGCTAGGTAGTAAACAAAACCTCAACAGGCGAAGAAAAGACGTAAAAAAGACAAAACTCTCATATCGTACAAACAAACAGTGTTTCATTGGATGTATCTCCAATAAGCAGCTTGATAATGTGTTTTGCCGACTGTTTTGGTGCGCAAAAAGGGAGTGTACTGCCACCTACTGTAGCGGAGGTCCACATGCATCTGTTAATAATATGATTCTTGCCCGGTGTTTGTAAACTGAGACAAGAACACTAGTCCAGATAAAACACCTAATTGCCATAGCTTAACTTAATTGTGAATGTAAGTGGACTTCATGGGTTCAAAATCACTCCCTAAAAGTCTTATAAGAGGAGTAGCTTCAAATAACTGCTTGTCCTGATAGATTTTTGTCGATTATCTTTTTGGGAGGAATGAAAGATAAAGGTGGAAGGTAAAAAAGATCAATACATTGGGTTAGGCTAAGGATTTTAGAACATGGTCATAATTTCTGTCAGCGGCAACACCAAGCTGTATTATTCTATAAATCATGTCAGAAATAATTTTGACAATAAAATTTGACCTTCTTTCAGGAAATCATGGACAAAGTTATAAAGAGAAGAAGGAAAGAATTTAGATATTTTAGCAGGACAGTGTTGATCCATCTTCCCGATGTATTATAACAGCATGGCTCAGTAGTAGAAGAGTCCGGGTGCTCCACTGGCCTGCCCGCTGGACTGACTTGTTTCAAATAAAAACATTTGGAGCTCTTTGTGGACCAGAATCCTAAAACCTGGATAAACAAACCTAAAATTTAACACATGCCCGTAGAGTCAAGTTCAGAGGTCTTTCTTTTTATGCAGCTGGACTAAACTTTTAACATCTTCAGAGTTTATCTCTGTCTGTGTCGTGTTATCAGCCAATAAAGAGCAGGTTCTGGGCTGACTGACTTTCTTGCACACGTTTCTTATCCACTGTTATGTATTCAGTGTTTGGTTCTTGGTATCTCCCCACTATCTTAGTCGGACTTTCCCGGTTAATGATCCACTTAAGCGGTTTGATCTTTATTAATATGGCACATCCTGATATCCCTGTAAACCTTTTTCTTGCGCGGCCACACCTTCAGTTAAAGAGAGAGCAGTTAAAGCTCGCAGCGGCATGCCTGGGAGCAGATGAGAGGCGGTATCACGGCTCGTTAAAAGAAAAGGCCGCTCGCAGCCATAAAGGCATCGCTCGCTCTCAAGGCCGGCCGCGGCCCGAGACAACACACCTACAGCGTCGTGTTTTTCCCCGTCTGGTCATGTGTTTGTGTGTGAGTGAGTGTGTGTGTATGTATGTGTGTGTGTGTGTTTTCTCCTCAAACACTGGGACACACCTGTCTGACTGCTCCCTGTTATTAAAGTGACGGTTTCTGCTTATCAAACGATCTGCTTCAAACTGTCAGAAAGATTTGTCACAGCAGGTTTACACTCCGCCAACTGAGATTGTTAGTCAGGCAAAATTGATGTTATAAATAAATACTCAATCAACAAAAGATTTAAGGGATCACAAATCACAGACGTTTTTGGCTTCTTATTAAATGAAAAAGTTTGAAAGGTGAGGAAAGTTGTGGCTGAATCAAAGTTTGTCTTCTGTTTAGGAACTTCCTCATTTGGCTCAGTTTCCACCTGGCATCAACACGCAGCTTGTGTCAACTTCATCTGGTTATTTTTGCAGGATTATTTATAATCCTGGTATTAGACTCTGTTACTTTCCTGAAATTCCTGTAAACTTTGCTTTATTTTAGCTTGTCTCATCAAGATATCAATATAGATTCAGAATGAAGAGTTTTTACCTCTATTATCTGAATTTTTTCAGATGTAGATGGACAGATAGTTCATTTTTAAAGTGTTTATATCACAGTGTTCCTGGTGCTTTAATGCTTCAAAAACTTATTTGTTCCTGTACCTGCTGAAGTCAGTTCTGGATCATCGAGCATCCTCAGATCAGACCAGTCCTCCTCAGCTAAGAGGTCTTCATCTTCAGGACTGAAAGGACTCGGCGCTGTCTCAGGTTCTGGTCTGTTGAGGAGGAGCAGCTGGACACGGGAAATGGAGCCAAGATTCCCGGAGTCGCAGCCCACCGTCAGCGCAGCCAGGCCGGGAGACAGCTCTGCAGGAGGAACATACAGGTGTAATTGGGATAAAACAGGCTTGCTTTAAACATAACAATAATAAGAGGACAAAATAATTCATCTAAGGATATTCAGAAACAGAGAAGCATTGGGACTCGCTCTGATTCTAAGAACTGCTCCCTAAATTTCAAGCATTAGTCCTGTCATCCTTTAAATCTGTGATTTTCACTCTGAGTCATGACCACAAGTGAGAGAATTTCTGAGATCATGAATGAAATGAGAAGCTTTGCCCACTGGCTCAGATTTCTCTGCAGTTTTCGGATACTTATCCATGAAGGTTGTCACATCTCTTTCTTTAAACTGCAAAGCTATTGAATTTTTTTAATTTAGAATCACCCCAAGCTGATGTGAGGCAATTAAATGGTTTTTGATGGGGCCGTCACAGTGAGGGGATTCCTCCCTAGGGGATTCAGTGTGGTTAAGTACCATGGTGTGCATGCTTTTAACCGAGGGTCTCATTTAAAAAAAACAAAAAACATTTAGATTTATAAAACCGAGAGAAAGACATAGAAAATAAAGTTTCTGCCTCAGGAATTGAGGTACTCGTGAGTTGAGTGGAGGTCAGAGAGCACATAATGTTTGATCTTTCACAACTCGTGAAAAAAGTTATAAAACTGTCTGAGAAAGTCGACAAAAATGAGACTAAAAAATCTTGACTAGTACGACAAATGACATGAAGACTAAAATGTGACTAAACTGAGCCACAACTTTCTAAAACTGACTTTTTAAATTGAATCTCTGTATCAGATTTAAAGCTCATGAACGTCAATAAACCCTTAATTTCCATGTGTCGTGGGATTAAATTACAGCTGTTGACCTTCAAAAATAATGGCACCAAATGGACTTGAATGACTTGTTGAACTGGATTAGGAAATTACAGCAAATTACAATCCTTTCTCTCCACACAACCTCAAATACCCCCACCACTAACAACTCCCCCCCGCACCCCGACTCCGACTCCCCCCAGGCTCCAAAGTTCTCATCGTCACACCCAATTAAAAGCGGATCAGTGACAGTGTGGCTCGGTGCCCATGCAAATCCCCGACCCACGCTGGCTGGGTGTGGAGCTCCCATTCCTCTCAGAGGGGATTTCACACAACACGCTCTGCTGCAGGTACCCTGACACACACATGCCTCACAGACACACACTTTCTCTGCAACATCTTAAAAGCTGCAGAAAATCCTCACACATCCCCTCAAAATTGGAATAATTTTCACAGACAGAAAGTTTCATTTAAATTGAATTTTATGATGCAACAAGTCGAGTCTGCTTTCACATACAAAGAAACACACAAACACACTCTTTCCAAGTGTGTTCAGTTGGGATGTGACACATGTGTGTGTGTGTCTGAAGGAGTGCTGACGCTCGGTAAGGTAATCCCTCAGGTGAGAAAAAAGGAACTGTTGTCTGGGCTGATAAATGAAGGAGTCGTTGAGAGGAAATCCCAGGGTTAACTGTGGCTGTAACATAATGTGACAGGACACACTTTCAGTTAGGCCGGTATTAGCCAACAATTAGCCAAAAGTAGCCACAAGATCAAAAGACACTCAGTAAACAAAGTGGCAGATAACGAATGACTAAGCTCGCGATTAAGGCGGCGGACACACTTTTGTTACCACCCACACAGAGTCAGAAACAAAGACGAGCTCAGACTCACTCCGAGTTACAGTAAACTGAGCGTTTCCACAGAAAGTGACATTAGACGAGGTGAACGGGAGTTTTCATGTTGACATTTCTATCTCCTATCTGCTCTTCTTTTAACCTCTAAACATAAATGATGCAAGAGTTGACTTTTCTCGTTGCTGCTTTTTATCACCTTTACATTGATCTGCAACTTAAAGATGCTTCAGTTTCAGTTCAGTTCTTCAGTGTATGCTGTAGTTTTAACCTGCATTTGTGGGTGTAGTGACTCACTCTGTTCATAGTCATGGTTTATGGATGTGATTTTAAGCAAATGACTTCCACTATGAATCTCAGCTCTCAGATTTGAGGGGATATGGGCATCATGTGTTGACTGATTTGGGATCCACAATTTGATCTGATTATCTTAGTCTGATCTTTTAAAACAGATGATGTAAACTGAGCTCAATTTGAAACAGAAGGCAAAAACAAAGTCCTAGCATGAGTAGCTCTGTCACTAAAACTTCAACATCGAGGAGGGACTTTAAAATAGCAAGTGAAGCCGCTCACCATACATGTCATATTATCATTTTGCAAGAAATTTTACAATTTCTACTGCAAGGAGGAAGCAGTAGAGCTGCACTGAATACTACCAATATATTACGGCATCAAAAAACTACAGAATATAGCGTGTTTACTCAAGCAACACAGGACGAGGCTGCTGTATCCGAGCAATAACTCTGGACTTGATCAGGAAAGATAAATATCCTCAAGGGAGAGAGAAACAAAAACAATGTGTGCAGTTTTACTACCTAGGCAAAAGCAAGTACCAGAACAGGAGTCTTTATTGGCGGATACTCAAAATTCAAGAAATGGGATCAGGATCAGGATCAGGGGGCCAGAAAGATTTAGCAAAAGTTCTTTGGAGTCTCACAGTGAAGAACAGTATTCTGAAACTGTTGAACTATTCGCTCACGCAGTCTCTCACAGAGTGATGAACTTCTCTTACTCTTCACTTCTGAGAGACGCAGCATCTCCAGAGAGCATTTTTTGAAACTGGTCCAGAACCAAGTGAAATTGTATGTAATTAGTTGTTGGTAATTAAGAGAAGAGCATCATATGTAGTTATCCTTGGATCTAATATTTCTTTGGTTTAGCTCAGCAACTCCACAAATCTGCTCTATGATGAAAAAAAGGTGTCTAAATTCTCTAAAATGTGCTTTATGTCCGTTTCTGATAATCATCAGTCTGAAACATTAGCTCACAAATGTTTGAGCGTTTGTTTTGAACTCTGGGTTTGATTTTTATCACCCTGTGGTTGTCACAGCAGCGAGTGCTCCGGTCCTTCCATATCCTCGGGGCAAAGGTCGAAGGGGCCACATAGAGGTCCGGGTCAAGCAAGCAGGTTAAACACCTTGTCAGGGATTAGCAGACTATGAGGGAGGTGGAGGAAGTCTCTATTGGCTAATGTCTCTCTTAGAGGCTCACTGAACACACACACACACACACACACACACACACACACACACACACACTGCATTTACTCTGCTTTTGTTGGCCAACATGGGCTGATACAAAGACCTGACACAGTGAGCTCTCAGATAAGCCCATCCCTGTCTGTAACAGAGGGAGGAAAGAGTGTCTGATTGAGACGTTCATAAAAGTCAGCTGATGGCTAAAGTTGAGCCTGAGTGGATTATGAATTTTTGCGCCACGAATAAGGAAGTTTATATTTTGGGAACCAAAAACATCTGAACCAATTCTTATGTTTTTATCCAATAACTGTTCAGATATTCCTCTTGGTTTGTTGGGCACATGTGTTTTTGTGTACCTGTATCAGGTGAAGGGCAGCAGGATGAGTCATCCGGCTGGTCCAGAGAGAGACAAGACGTAGATCGAGGTGCGATGGCCTCAAGTTCATCAAAGACACGAGACTGACTGCAGCTGAGCTCTGAATATCTGGATGCTGCCGTGCCACAGCGTCCTGCAACAGCACAGAGTAAAACAACATTAGCGATTCTGTCTCTTCAGATCACCAACTAATCATTTATACTTTCTAACTCTGTTTTTATTTAGAGGCAAGAAAACAAAATTATTTCTCCCCAAAGTGTCTTATCATTGGAGAAAGTTAGATGGCTTTGTGGAGAATGTGTGTTGAATGTCAGTGTAACAACAAGAACAAACATAAAAGTAATGTAAGTAGCAGATATTCCACTAATATATGGCTGAGCGATATGGGAAAAAGTTTTACCACAATATAGTTTTTTCATATCAGTCGATATCGATATATATCATAATAAAAATATATATATTAAAAAAAATTACTTGTTCATCTTTAATGCTCCCTGTTATTCTTGAATTAAATTTAATATGTACTGGACATAATTTGCGGTGCACATTACTCTGCTTCATGTCCAACTTCAAAAAACGAAAATACCTCCACACCACCAGTGTTTTTGTGCCAGTGTTGACGACGATTCATTGAACCTTCATCTGCATTTCTGCTGGGGGTAGCACTCATTTTCTTTTTTTCTCACCGACAGTGCTGTCAACTTCACCTGTTAAAGTTCTATGGTTGCCTGTAGCTGCAGCCTGCTACTACGCAGTTTTTTGCTATTTTGTTCTAATTCAGCACAGGATTCGTTCAGTGTGGCGTGGACCTGGAACAAGTCCCCTTTTCATTGGCTATTCATATAGTCTACCAAAACATGGCAGAAAAGCAAATTGACCATGTTTCATATTGATATCGAGGGAAATTAATTTTTGAAATATATCATTATCGTTTTATCGCCCAGCCCTACACTAATATATGATTTAAAAACAAAGCACCACATCCCGAGTTTTCCTCTTATTGTGATGGATGTAGATTAGATTATCGGCTGATTTGATAAGAGGTGAAAAACAAAGATTAACATCGTAGCTGCCGGCTACAGGAAACCTCCCTGAGGATGAGTTCCTGACTCAGCTATCAGAGGATAAATCTCCTCTGGTTGTTGTTGTTGAGTTGGTTAAAGCTTTTTCCTCCCAGGTCTGACACTCTGACGAGTCAAAACTCAGGACCTCCATGACTGAAGCCCCTGAGGCGAGTTATGAAGGACTGCAGAAGCGCACTACAGTCGCACCTCAGGGGGAAAGACGACCCATCTCACCTTCAATAAACACGGGGTGAGATAATCTCCCCTTGAGCTCTAATTACCAGAAACTCACTCAAAGGAAAGGTAAAAACTGTCAAGATAATCACTAATTACTTATCTCCTCTCACAGCGTCAAAACAAAACTGTTTCCCTCTGCCTGGGTTAGAAATCAGAGGATTAGTGAGAGAAACTGTTTCTCTGGGTGGCGTGTTTTTTTGTCATGGTGGTGGTGGTGAAAGAGGCTTGTGGAGGCTTTTCTCACATTAGAAATGCAGAACAGCTTGACCCGGACAAAAGGATAATATATACAGAGGCTCTAAAAGGAAAAGGCAAACTCAGCTCCTCCGCGGCTGCCCACATGGACAAGTACAAACGTACACATGAAGCCACACTCACACAGCCAAGTATGAGAACAACGGCACGCACACCGCGCCGCACCATTGTGCACTTGAGCAGCTCGGCGCTCTACTCACAGAGACAAAGGAGGGACTTGACTTGACACTTCAAAGCATACTGCTGCTGTCAACTCAGCTGTCACTCCCAGCAGAGGAGGGCCGAGCTGAGTTTTTCGGGGAGGTTAAGGGTGGATGTGAGGGGTCAGAGAGTTTGATATGACAGCGTTAGAGGCACACAAGGCCGTCTCTGTGCGCAATGTGGTCTCCTCTTCCCGGTCACAGAGCCGGGCTAAAAAGACCTTAAGTGGAGAGGCCAGGCCAGGCCAGGCTGGTGCCTGCAGGACAGTTACACTCTGGAGATGTTGCTCGAAACGGGTCAGCTCGGGGTCGCTCTGTGGATTGTAGAGGGCTGAAAAAATTCTGATGAGGGTCAAAAAAGGCAGAGAGGGATGGAGAGACTCCCATCAGCCCTGGCAACAACATACAGTATACACATTACACCCCGATTCCAAAAAGTCGGGACACTGTGGTTTGCAAATCCTTTTGTCCCAACAATAGACTGGAAACAGAACAAAAACAACAGATCAAATGTTGAAAATGTTGAGACTCTAAAAACGTCTTTTGTTTAATGAAAAATATAAGATGTATTACATTCGACGCCAGCAACAGTTTTCAAAAAAGTTGAGACGGGGACAGAAACACACTGAAAAAGCTGTGTAACGCAAAAGCATCAGCCCTGACTAGTCGATCACCAAGTACAGCGGATCATTTCCATGAAGTAATAATCATCATAATAATCATTTTGCACTGCAGACGCGGTAGTTCTTCTGCCTTAGTGTCTCGGTCTGATTGCATTTGCATGAATTAATAATCATAAATGTTCTTTCTTGAGCTGTGAAACTCCACTGCACTCAGTGATCGACTCAATCGACTTCCCCACAAACAAGCGGCCTCTGGAAGAGAGTAGGTGAGTTGTGTTTAGTCTCTTTGCTAAAGAAATCAGGCAAAGTTAAAAAGATGTTTGCTGGCTTGTGCTATGGCTAGGACCCTATATGTACTGTTGATGAAGTTAGGTGCTGTTCTGAGCATTATTTGTGGCTATAGAGTGGGTTTTTGGTTTACGTTTGCGCATGGAGACGTAGACCGTATTGCTATCATGCGGTCGTTATTGAAGTTGGTATAACTAGAGAAGCAAGCAGTTGGCAACATTCATCTCTTGAGGGGGTGTCTAACTCGGTGTTATGGTGTTTGACCCTAAATTAATTTTACGCCGGAATATTCCTTTAAGGTAAAAACTGTAATTAATTTGAAGATTTTTATCATCTGCAACATGAAATACTGTGAAGAGATTCCAAAGAAATTTATGCATAAGGATGAAACCCTGAATGACTGTTATCTTAAGGCCCTTAGGCAACAGAAAAAGACTTTAAAAGCCAGCATAAGTGATGGTGTGGAGATGTTTGACACATCTGGGAGTGTACCATCAATGCTGAACAACAAAAACAGGTTTTGGAGCAACATGTCCGACCATAAAACTGTCTGATTAAGCTTTCCTCCACAGTTTCAAATCTGGTTTTTCAGGTTTAATATCTCAGATGTTGTCATAGTGCACAAATTCCTTCACAGTGCAGGTTTCTTTTTAACATATTGGGTCTTTTTTACCTCAAATAAAGTATTTCAGCTGATCTGGTTTGATTGTCTGGGTGTTTTGTGCTTCTTCACCTCATCAGAAGTGTTATCATAACAATAAGAAATGGCGGCCCAAACTCTGAGAATAAACCCAAGTTGCCAGACTTAACCCAGACTTATCCTTTAAGCTTTACATGCTGCCACATTGAGTCGCCTCCACTTCAGTCGCCTCCATCTGCAGAGAAATAAATGAACCAGTGACACCGCTCTGTGTCTGCCATGAAGTGAACAGCGTGCTCCAATACAGCCTGAACCCCCCTCCCTCCCTGCGGTACAGCACCACGCAGAGAACAGTAGATGTCTCTGATAGAAAAGAGAAAATCCCTACACAATTTCCACATTGTTTGCTTTCTTTCATAAAGTTCCCGGAGGAGTCAGATGTCAGTGGCCTCCTTCTTTATCCCCACTGGGAATGGTAAATTAGCGGCCGCAGGAAAGCCGTGGAGGTATTCTATTGTGGCGGCCCGGCTCAGTGTTCTGCCGTCAGTGAGCGGCGGTCAGTGTGGATTTATGACCATCGGCTACACGTCTCCCTCTCAGAGCTGGGAGAATAGCCGAGGCACGGGGGAGCTGGGGCTGTGAGGCACGGCACACGAGGTAGGCACCCCGGCTCCTATTGTTGGGGCCTCATGCCTTTTGAGCGGGGAATCAAACAGTACCAGCTTTTCATCAAAAGGCCTCCTTTCTATCGCTGATTTAGAGGAGAAAGGAAAGCTTTCTGCGATATTTATTAAGAGCTGGGAGGAGGTGAAAAACAGGCTGACAGAGACGTGATCGTATTTTCTCGATGGGGGGAAGGAGCATCAGATCGCCTCACTGTGGAGTCAGGCTTTAGTTCCCTGAAGTTGTCTGGCGTTGTCTCTTTGTCAACAAGATGTCCAGCCATGTTCGGGACAATCCGGCCTCTGAAACATGAGGGGGACTGAGGGGGAGGCTAAGAGCGGTCCATATGAGGCCTGTGAAGCTAATTTCTTACCTCTGACAGGAGAGATTGGAGGCAGGACGGGCCAGCGATGAGACTCTAGTTGAGTCAGGGATGCAGAAGGGGCAAGCTTTGGTCCTGAGTCTGATCTTAGGGGAGTTGTCTTGGGTGGACTCGGGCAGGAGGACCAGGTCGCAGAGGGGAAAGCCAAGGTAACAGGGCCAAGATCAGAGTCGAAAGCAGGGTCTGTTGAAGCAGCTTGGTGTTGATTCTCTGTCGTTTTTGCGCTTTCACACCTGCTGAAAGTTTCAGGGTCGACTAGAAATGTTGAAGGAGGTGAGGGAGATCTCTGAAGCCCAGGTAGAGGTTCACAGAGTGGAGGGGTAGCTGTAGTACTCATGGCTGATTGGTGAGGGTTGGATCTTACAGGAAGGGAAGAAGCTGAATGTGGATGGAGTGGGGATAAACCAACGCTGCCTCCTGGTTCTGAGTCTATGACGTCTGCAGCAAAGAAACAAAAGAGGAAAACAAGATGGCAGCTTTATTTATCACATTATCCAACTGAAGAAATAAAGAATGAAATATCAAAGTTAAAACCAGGAGTGTCCTTTGACGTTGTTTTTCATAATTCAGTTTTCTGTCCTGTTATCTTATGATATTACGTAGGGATCCACAGTAGAGGTTTTACCAGACAAGACGCTGCTCCTGCCGCTGGCGAGGTTGGTGCTGCGGCTGAACAGGCTGGACGAAGGACGACTAAAGTCTGAGAGGGACCCGTGTGACGCCAAAGAGGCTGGAGGTGATGATCGAACTGACCCAGCAGCTTCAAACTCCAACGTCAAGTCTAGCTCAGTGATGGAGGCCAGGGCGGGCTGTGGTGGTTTCTCCCTCTCTTTGGGTTCATCTTTTTCCTCTCCTGGTGGAGACGGATTAGAAGAGGCAGGAGATGATGGCACTATGCCTGGACTGCTTGTATCATGGCGAGGGGTGTTTGGGTGGGGTAAATATGTTGGGTAATTAGTTGATGATGGTGGAAGAGCAGGAAGTGGAGGACAGGGGACGACAACAGTAGAGCGCCGTCCTGAGACACGGTTCTGCGTGGAGTTGCTTCTTCTGTCCATACTGAGTGTGAAGTCACCTTTAAGAAAGAGAAAAAGAAAAGAAAACCCTTACTAAAAAAACACATCATAATTCACTCAAACTTTCTTTAAACATTGGCGGTAAAAAAGCCGCTTCTCACTTCTCAAAAGCTGCCACAAAGGCTGCTTTTCATTGGTCAACATGGCGTGGGTCATTTTTAAAACTGCCAGAGTCTGTTTGTGACATTCTCGTTCCCACTCTGCTCCATCCAAACACTCGTTCCCCTGCTGGGAGGGTCGACCCGCTAACAAAGGCAGCAAGAAATGGCCCCGCTGGAGCAGCTGCCTGTTTCCAAACTCAATATTCACCGTGGTAATCAGACCTGAGGCCAGAGGAGCAAGTAAACTGACATCCTTTAATATCAGAGGAGTATGAGGTCAGTTACAGGTGTCCTCAAAACGTAGGACACCTAAAAAGTTTCAAATGGTCATTTTAAACATTTAGTTTGACTCTCATGTTTTTCTGTCCTCCTCCTTCTTCACTGTCACAAAAGCTGCCAAACACCTGTGTTCAATCGGCTCAATACACAGTAGCTCAAATATAAGCAAATGACAATAAGGTTCATTCTAACATGGCTGAATGTCTCTTTTCTGAGTCTAATTTCAAATTTTATCCTTTGATTCTGATTCATTTTCTCACAACTTTGACTGAATTATCTCATATAAATAATTCTGTATAATGGTTATGACTATCATAACTTTTGTCTCATAATTTTGACTTTTTTCTCATATTTTTGCCTCATATTTTGAAAATTTTTCTCATATTTTCTGTCTCCTATTTGGGCTTTTTTCTCATATTTGGACTTTTTTTCTCATATTTGGACTTTTTTTTCTCATATTTGGACTTTTTTTCTCTTTTTTTGTTAATGTTCTCATATTTTTTGCTAATTTATTTGTCTATTCATCTCTCTTTTCTATCTCATATTTTTTTACTCCAATTTCGACTTTTGTCTTATATTTTTTGTCCCTTTCTTGACAGTCTATCTCATATTGTTAACTTCATTATTTTGAAGTTTTATCTGATCCTTTATCTGATTTTTTTCAGATTTTATTTTTTCTCAATTATTTGGACTTGACTTATATTTGACTTATTGTGTCATACGTTTTGTCTCATTTTATTGACTTTTTCTCTGATGACTCTCAGCTTGTAATCTCAAAAAATTTGACCCACTATCGCTTCATTTTGACTTACTTTCTCATAGTTTGGTCTTTCATGGGTAATTATCATTTATTCTCATCATTGGTGTGAAAGTGTTTTTTTTTTAATCATTAAAGCTAAGCTTCTTATTTTATTTACTTGTATTAAACAGCCACAGGAGATCCTGGTTTTCTGACTAAAAACTCATTACTGAAATAATCATTGTGATGGCACTTATTCCTCATGCTGCATCTGATGTTGCACAGACTGTGAGTGTGAAGTCGAATTGTAAAAATTTGAAGCTTTAGGGAGAGATTGTTTTAACTTCTAGAGAAACTCTTGGCAAAAAGAGCCTCAAGGAGACACTTTCATTTGGCTCTCTGGTCAAAAAAGCCATCCAACCCCAAAGCCATTCCAGCAATGAAGACATAAACAAGCCAAATGACACACTGGAGAGGCTGGAGAAACTAATTTCAGGCTCTTTCTTTGATAATTGACTCCACAATGCCTCAATTAATCAATCTAGCACTGCAGAGGAGGTAACCCAGTCAAAAAGCTGTTTTATATCCATCCTTCTCTGTCCCTACCACTCTCATTAACTCAACTCTTTCTTCCTCTGAACATCTCCTCTGATCCCTGCAAGATTCTCCTCCACAAACAACAACTCCATCCAGCGCCGCCCATTTCCCTTTCGCCCTCTCCTTTCTTCTCCCTCTGTCTTTGCACACCCTTTCCTTTCTCTTTCCTCCTACTTTTTGTTGACCACTGAGAGGGTGTGTGTGTGTGTGTGTGTGTGTGTGTGTGTGTGTGTGTGTGTGTGTGTGTGTGTGACTGGGTGGGGGGGGTTGAGGGTGTCAGACAATCTGCTCTTGTTTCCTGGGGGTCTGCTGCTGAGAGGAGTCAGCACAGGGGGATAAAGAGAAAGCATTGGAGAGCACATTTCTGCACAGCCTCCTCTTACAATGCCCTGCCATTCCCATCTGTTACACACACACACGCACACATGAACTGTGTGTATGTGTGTGTGGATGTGCATGTGTGCATATGAATGACATGTGTCAGAGCGCAAAGCCACGGCGTCGGGCGCAGCACGTTTCTTCAGACTCGGGGTTAAGGGCGATTGTGAGGGAGCGACCACCATATGGTAGAATAATTAGTATTAGAAATGCCCCCCTCCTCTTCTCCACACACACACACACTCACACACATACACACACACACACACTCACACACATACACACACACACACACTCACACAGGGGCATGGTGAAAGCAGTGCCCTGCTGTGGTCTGAGGTGTATGCTGGGAAAAAAAATGCCTTCACATCAGAGGCTGGACTCTGAAAGGAGCGGCAGGTCTCCCTGGCCTCGGGGCTCTTTCACTCCCCTCCATCAGGACCACCAGGAGGGCGGCGCTGTGGGCACTTCCTCGCCAGAGAGAAAATTTGCACTTAACTAAACACGACTGCAGAGAGAGATTAAGAGCTAAGGACGAGCCCGGTGGCCTCAACCTCCACTCAGCTCCAGCAGAGGAAGAAAAGGCGAGAAAGAGTGTTAATGAGGAGAGCGGAGGAGTCAAAAGGAGCCGGCGCTGCCCTCCTCCTGACAGGGCTGTGACGGTGTGAAAGCAGACAGGTGTTTTGTTGATAAGCCTCACCCTCCAGTGTTAGTGTCTTCAGAGCAGGGAGACTGTGTGTAAACTGCATCCTCCCCTGAGACGGAGGCTGCGGTCTGGTCCTGGAGCTCAGGAAACGAGGAGGGTTGAGGTCCTCGGGACGAGACTTCATGTGAGACAAGAAGCGAGGGCAAAACAAGGGACTATGGTGCTGATGATCGTGAGCCTGCAAGACAAGAAAAGGAGGGAAAAAAACTCAAATTTAACTTTCATCATCTTCTACAGAAAACTGTTTTTGATACTTTCACATGAATTAAACAAGTGTGTTCTCTCTCTGATTCTCCACGACTCTGATAATCCAACACAAAATGCCTCAGGAGTCTTATTCATCATCACAGCTGTCAATCAATCAATTCACAACATACAATTAGTTACAACATTCACATGCATGAATCAGGAGGAGGCAGGGTTTATGACCAATACTACAGCCGGTCACCAGGGGGAGCTCTCACAGTTTTGGTTCTATAGGAAAAACTGCTGTTGTGTTGATTGTTTCATACAGTCTGTGGTCAAACTGATCAGCAGCAAGAACACAAGTCATTAAATTGAAAGGAAATGTAGCTGCAAGATTTTAAAAAAAAATTTAAATATTGAAAAAGACAGTTGATAAATAACACACAAAAATGGTGGCAAAAGCTCCCCTAAAATTTACTTTTAATAATGTTATAATTGAATAAATAATCGATATTAAACTGACTTTTAATCAGCACATTTCACATAAAACTCCCAGACAACTTATAGGACAAATCAAATGTAATGTAAACTTTGAGTTTGATGAAATCAAAATATCATTTAAGTACTTTGTGTCTGAGCTACCTCCTGGGCTAAGCAGATAGGTGCAGCTGGAGCTGGCAGAGCAAAATATTAGGAACGTGTGAATCATCATGAAGGGACATCCTCAGGTTAGAACCATAGACTGTATATAATATGGACAACTTGGTGCGCAGTAGCCTTGTGCGCATTCAACAGGAGAGACGCCAAGAGTCATTGTGATGACACTCAGCTGTACCAGGTGTCAATCATAGAAAACATGAACCCCCTAATAAATGGAGCTTTACAGAAAAAAGAGGACTTGAGCACAAACCAGTCTGTGACTTCATGTCAACATCGCAAGCAGGGGGGAGAAAACTTTATATTCTGTGTAATAAATTTCTGAAGTTTGTCCACAGCTCCATAAGCTTTGATGGCAGAGGTGGGATTAATGACCTGTTCTGCAGCCCGTCACCAGAGGGTGCTGTTCTCGGAGTGGCTTTACCCAGCGAGGAGGCAGACGCTGTCCATTCTATATACAGTCTATGGTTAGCACACTGAGAGAAGTCACGTGCTTTCGGTCGCAGTGAAAAATATCTGCACCTGTACTAAACAGAGGAAGTATTCGCACAGAAACTCCTCGTCTCAAAGTTGGGGGTCATACAGCACATTTTATGCAATCATTTGACTCTCAAATCAAGATCCTGTAAAGAATTGCTTTACACTTAAAACAACTTTTAAAATTAAGAATAGGCTACTGCATTCATAGCACTAAGGTAAAGACACCATATCTGAATCTGCTCCTTTCCTTTCTTTCTACTTGCTGACTCTGAGAAAACCAGCCTGCTTCTCAATATCCAAAGTAAAACTCACTGGGAGAAACATCTGTCCTGTACTGCTGAGAGGAGAAACCCTGCTGCACCGTCTGTGCTGTGGAGGAGAATTCAAATGATGCAGGCTGCCTCTACTGCCCCCCTGTGTTCACTAAGCAGATTACATCAACCTTAGCACAACATGAATTGAGGCTTTCTTTTTTTTTTGTCTGTGCACCCTTTTCCCTCTTAAATAATGAAAGACAGAGATCTATCTGGAGGGTGATAAACGTCTGTAGTGTACACGGGTAGTGACAGAGGACATAAAAGGAGGCAGGAGGGTCAATATTGAAAATGCGGAGGGACAGAGCAGTGAAAACCAGCCCAGCGTGCAGCTTCAGAGCCGGTGACTCATTCTGTGGCCTTTACAAAGCAAACAATTATAATAGACGGCACACAGACGCAGAGCTTTATTTGACCTGTAGTTCAGCTCCTCACCCTTTTACTACACAATAAAAACAAACACAAAATGCACACACTGTTTGAGTACAGTGATGAACCAGGGGACCTTCAGACAAGCAGAGAAAAGGGGGAGAAAACGGGGGAGGAAGGTGGGGTCACTGTCTGCAACTCACACAGGGAGGATCAGCTTTTTAAATCCCTGCACCATCTCCACTGATTCCCTCTCCTCAGATCTGGAGGCTTTAAAGATTTGCATTCTTGTGATGTAAAGAGAGGAGAAGTGAGGTAGAAAAAGCAGAACAAGAGCCAGAGAAGTGAGGCCTTTCTCCCCTTTCTCCTCCTCCTCGCTCTTCTTCCTCCCCTACGGCCTCCCTCCTCATTACCTGTCACTCAGGCCCGTCAAAGGAGCTGAAGAAGGCTTTGTGAGGATTCAGACGAGGGCTGGTGTCATCAAACCTGCGACCTTTCTGCAGAGCAGGTCCGGGCACGAGTTTGTAACCAAGTCTGCGTCACTACAACCCACGCAAAGGCTCTTTTAATGCATCCACACACGCAATCACAATCATATATACAGCTCAGGACAAAGGAGATCTCTATCACGCACGGTTACACTGATGGGTTTACTGTCAGAAATCAAGAGATAAAGAGCAGTTTACACCTGCAGCTGCTGAAAACTTCAACCATCTGCTGACAGTTTCACACTTGAAATAGCTAAACAGGTCATAGTCCTTATTTTTCCTGTCAGGGAGACTTCTTTTTTGAAGTCTCCCTGTTTTAATTCCCCTTTCTCCTGTTATCTCAATTTTCTTTTGCCGAATGAGGTGTACCGGAAACTGGCTTTGTCCTGAGACTTGTTTTGAGTTGAAACATCATGTTTAAGAGACAACAGCAGTTCTTGTATTTCCTTGAATTTCCACTGCATATGGAATATGGAACGGCGGCGATTTTTGCTGTCTGCCAGTTCGTACCGGATCCGTTTGTGAGGCGAATTTGGTGGCGGATCATGGTCAGCAGGAATCGAGAGAACTCACAAGAACCCGCAGATTCACGTGCAATTGCATATATACATGAGAAGCAGTAGAATGTGTGGAGGAAATCCACTTCTCGACTTCTAGAATCAGCATCTCCTCATCCATGGTGTCATCGGGGTAAAATGCTGTCTAAAAACCTTTCACTTGTTCGTCACCGCCTGTTTGCATGATGTGAAATATGATCCGCCTCAAACACTTGAACTTGAAAAGAAGCCGGATGTTTTATTTTGTGTCTGTGCCCGACTTCCTTTCAAGCACGAACTGATCTGTACTGAATTTATGCGGCAAGTAGTCCGCCGATCCACAGCGAAACGGAAAGAAGCCGGTGGAAACTGACACGTTAACTTGAATGGAAACGATCAGCTGTGATCGCAGCCATTCCGGATGCGGTGGAAATTGGGGGTTAGACATTTCATTGTGCCAAAAGATCGGCAACGTCGCAACCAAAACATTGACATTCCAACTGTACACCTGCCACATCGTGTTTTGGCCTGCAGCACAAGTGTCATTTTTATTTTTCACGTATTGCAGTTGTCAATTTACGCCCAGAGCTCACATTGTGTATGTGCTGACGAAATGCCAGTACTCAACCATGTTTAGGATCAAAAAGCGAAGGCAGTTTTGTCCACGAGGGAGTGCTAAAATTGACATGAATAAAAAGTTCCTTATAGGATTTTTAACTGTGCATGTGAGGGCACTGACCAAGAAAGTGAAAGTCTGTGGGAGAACTTTTGTATCTTCGTAACAACACAAGTCTGTGAGAACTGCTCTGAAATGTAGGCTGTGGACACCGCCAGTGCAAAAAGAAAAAAAAAACGCAGTCAGTGGACACAGGCCCTAAGTTTTGAAAACTTTAAGACTTGAGTATTTGTCTACACTTGAGTCTACTTGAACATGTCAGAGACATCTTAGACAGTTGGTTATACTGGACTTTTGGTGGACACCCATCACAGTCATGTGGGCTCCCTCAGGCCCCTGCAGGCCCCCAGGAAACAGGCTGACCTCCTGGCGTCAGGCAGCCCACACGCTGTCCTCACACAGCCAGAGCTGCCTAATGTCATTACGGGCCTGTTTGTGGTCAACAGCTCTCTGATTGAGATGTACAAGAAGTGCTGCTCCATGAATGTAGGAAGTCTATTAGTTAGTCAGAGTCCCAGATGGCCTGCAGAGGACAGACTTGCGTGTGCTCCTTCAAACACACACACACACTTAATTACACTGCCTCCCAGTGAACCCTCTGACAGGCAGACAACTGCGAGCAAAGACAGAAGTGTGTCTATGTCCGAGGGTCTGCAGGAACAGAGAATTCTTCACAGAGCTGATGCACAAGAAAGCCAGGCTTACGCCCTAACAAGGTTAAACCCCTGAAAAAGAGTGACTTTTTAAATCATGGAGATTTGTGTTTCTGCGGGGTGTAATTAGCTTTACTGGGGGGAGGAGGGGGAGAGATGAAGGGTCGGGATGCTGCATGGCGAAGCGGGGGACGACGACAGTGGGGCGCTTTGTGGAGTCCGGCGGATTCTGGGGAGTAAATCTGATTATCAGCTCGTGTCAGAAGCCAGGCTCTGATACAGCTTAGCATTCAGAGCAACTTTCTACTTTCAATGCTGAGACAATGACCCCTCCTTTACGGGCCCACGCAGACCCACAAGGCCCTGCAACTGTTCCCCTGAAGCCCCGACATCCTGAAACAACGCAACACAATTAAAGGAAGCCAAAGGTGACAAATACAGCATGATTCAGCGGTGAAGGAAGTATTCAGATGATTGATTTAATAAGGAAACACAGAGATTATCTCTCTATAGGTGTTGGGGTGATGTCACATGAGTCAACATCAGCTGCCTCAAAGGACGAAAATAAAGAAAAATAAAGTAGTAAGATACTGTTATTATGCATTATGATGGCTCTCCTGGATGATATCGACAACTCCTGCTGTCTGTGAAGGACATCCCACACCCTTGACAACCTCTTTCACCTCGCTCATAGTTTGTTTAACCCACTGCCCTCAGGAAAGCCTTACAGATCTGTCAAAGAACAAGCCAACAGACTCAAGACCAGTGTCTACACCAAAACCATCCTCACACTGAAGACTACGGGTGGGAGAGAAAAATCGATTCACATAAGTATCGTGATTTTTTGTTTGACTATTTTAAATCATGATTTTTTTGTTCAAAAATCTTTTTTTTTCAAATTTAAGAATAAATCTTAAAAACTGACTCACGGAAAAGATAGAACTCTTGCGATCAGCTGCAGAGTCCGGCGATCCGCAGCGGAACGGACAGAAGGTGGTGGAAATTGACACATTAACTTGAATGGTTACGATTAGCTATGATCGGTGGATACGGTCTTTTCGTAGCCGTTCCGAAAGCAGTGGAAATTGGGGGTTACATGTGATGTGTATTTTTGGGAAAATATGGTTACGGTTTCACTGGTGTTAAAAATGTAGCCTAAAAATCAAGAAAATCGGCAATATCGTAGAATCGCAATTTAAGTCGAATCGCCATCCAAAAAACGTAGAAGAATTGAATCAGGAGAAAAGCATGTCGTCCTAACCCTACTGAAGACTGTGCTGATGAACTCAACACTACAAGCAAAATAGATTACTATGACAAAAGTGATATTCTCTTACTAGGAAACTCAAAATTTTCTGTCACAGTGGTGCTGTATCTCCATTTAATTTAAATCCACAAAACACCCCCCACAGTCAAACTTTGCACAACTACAGCTGCAAAAATAAGAAAACTTTTGGTCTGGATGTAAGAAAAGTTCAGTCCTCCAATAAAACTTCACATGAACTCCGTGTAAAAAAACGACCCGTATATGAAGTTTTGGCTTGTTTGGGCACCTGTGCGTCCTGACCTGCACCGCCACATTGCAGCTCGTGTCCCTGGTGACTCTACAGGAGCTGCGGCAGCTGTATAAAGCCGACTGCTGGGTCAACAGCCTCTTGTGGGCCGTGTGTCTCTTTCGACAGGGACACGCTTGTTTTAAAGGTTGTGTTGTTGCTGTTTTCCCATCACAATGCCTTCCTGATTTATTAGATAGAGCAGCAAAGATGGAGGCTGGCAGAGAGGTGATGCCAGCTCTGATGAACTTGCTGAAGGCAGTTGAGGATGTAAATGAGGCTGTAAGGACCAGCGGGCGTCTTTGTCTGTCGACTTTACTTGTTTGTTTAAGCAGAGGCCAAGACAGGAAGCCGGCCCACACAACTCTGCTGTCCCCATGGCAACTCCACTGTTAATTGTGGCACATCCACTCCCAGAGTCTTTTCAGCAGAGGGGAGAGGTGGAGACTAGTGAGTGTTCGAGTAGAAGAGATAAGTGTGTGTGTGTGTGTGTGTGTGTTTGTGTGTATTTCTCTGCCCAAAGAAAAGGCAAGAATAGAGATTTTTCTCAATTTATGAAAAGCTTCTGTGGAGTTAAACTTCATTTCTGTTTTCCATTGGTGAATAAAAGTTCAAAATTACTGCAGAATGTGGCGCACATTTTCAACAGTATTCAGTATTTTCGACCTGGGTCCTATTTTCCCATGTGTTTGTGTGTGCTTGACTGATGGGGGAACAGTTCCTGAAACTGGTCCAGCCACAAAACCAGCAGTTGCACATTGTCGAAGTGTGCCTACTAAAACTATTTTATCATTTCACCACTGTTAGGCTCAGATTGTTATTAAAAGTCCCAAGAACAGAATGGCAAGAGTTCCCCTTACTATCCACCTGTGCTGCCTTTGACAATGCGCAGCTTTAACCTTCCTCCTGTGTCAGCTTTTACTACGCACACACAATGTTAAGGATCGGTTTCAACCCGTGCCTTAAATCAGCTGTAAATTACACTGAAAACAATTCTCTATCATCCAATTTAGTTCTCATCTCTTGGTTATCTTGTTAGGCTTCATTATCCATGAAAATATTGATTATAATATTTTTTGTTTTGGGTCTCTGGGCCTTTTTTCTTCAGTATACTGCTCATACAGACATCTATAATAAATTGATCTCACATGTCTGGACATGCCCAATGTTGTTTTTTGGTGCAGGGAAAAGAATAGCAAAATAAGAATTTCCTAAATCTCATATGACTGGAAGAGGATCTGACTGTCAGTGTGGTGCCTTACAGTGCACTTATGATTTCAGTTTTTGCTCCAATTATTAGATATTAATATAAGTGGCTCAAAAGCGACCCTAACATGACAAGTGCCATAATTTTAATGAGAGCATTTTCTAATTTGGTCAACTCATTTTTTTTAGGCCCTAACACGGGAGTTGGGTTCAGGGAAATGTGAGATTTGGGGGAAAAATGGCCTATTTTTGACAGGTTACGAGGGTTTTTGAATCAATGTCACATTAGTTAGTCAAACTCTCAAAATAGAAAGAGGCACATAAAAAAGGTACATTCTCTTACATAAATCCCAGTTTTCCTTCTCTTTATCGAATCAATTTCCCTTACAGTGTAGTTGCAGAGTCCTCTATCCCACAAGATGGCCTTGCTGACAAAAGACATGTAGACAGGTCCCTGCAAAACAAGAAAAGGACAGAGAATCAGTTAAACAAGTGCTCTAAAACCCATTTGTTTTGTACAGTTACACAGTTAAAAACAGATAAATCAAAGCTGGATTGAAACGGATCAGTCATAAAGCTCAGGGATGAAGTACTTTCAGTGAATCAATCTCAATGACTGACGCTCTGCAAACCAACACAAAGCCACACAGTGAGACATTTAAACCCCCACCAGCACATTAATAACCTCTCTGTCTTTATTATTGAGCTGCTGTGAAACACCTCCAGTGGCTGCAGCTCCTCCACTCAATGATGGAGTCCCACACAGCCACCTTCAAACATCTGCTCAGTTAACAAACCCTCTGCTTCTTATCGCCTCTTCTTTTCTCTTCAGCATGTAGCTTCATCAGGACAGTATGGTGGCTTTTTTTCAGTGAGGGTGCATCAGTTTGACCTGTGGAGCAGGGGGCGCTGTGTTTACTCATCAATCACTGCAGACACCTCGCTGGTTGGTGTCCAGCGGTCAGCGGAGCGGCTCATCCATCTCTCTTTGCAGCTCCTGGCAGCTCCCAGAAGCACCGAGTCGGCTCAGGAGTCCGTCCACTCCAGGGAGCAAGAGAGCAGATCCTCCCAGGACTCACCCCTCATTCATGGGCTGTAACCCCAGACCAGAGCGGGTGACAGGGGGCAAGAGGGGCTCAGACAATGGGAGCTCGATGTGTGTATACATTTGTGTGTTTTTCCTGTCCCTTAAGTGTGCAGTGGTGTGGAGCTCTGCCAGTGTAGACTCGACTCTCAAATCAACTCGTGCAGCTACAGGTGGCTGAAAGGCAGACTAAATTTGAATGACACATCATCATCATCTTTGTCTGTGGGCTTCACTCAGACAATCTCAAGAATCTGGAAATAGCACAGAAACATTATGCAAGAAGTACCTTCAAAAGTCACGAGAACAGAGAACCACTGTGGGACAACAGCTTGAGAATTATTCAGACCAGCGCCCGATACCAAAGAAAGTTTGATTTTTCTGCAGAGACTGGCTAAAAAAGCCATGGGACAGCCCTTTTTTAGTCATATTCAAATGCCTGTTTTTGCAGACTGGTTCCAAACTGTTTCAGCCAGATTGCTCATTTCCTCTTTTGTTCACTTTTTTCAAAATCTATTTTTAACTCATCAACATAAAGATACAAGATCTATGCATAGATCTAGGTAATGAAGGGTATGGCTGATATGACTGACAGAGGGGCACAATCTTGCCTAGAGTCTACCTCAGCATGACTCCCATGACTTTTTCCAGTTTAATAAATTTACGTAAGTCAGCATAGATAGCAAGTGATGTCACTGAGACCTATTGCTGCATTCCAGTTGTACTCAGTAGTTGGAATTTCCAAGCTCCGATTTGGAAATTCATCTAGAACACCCCCCTGAAATCGGATTTCCGACTTGTAAAGTCAGAAGATCCTCAATCTGTGAACATGGTGCTATAGCTAAACACTGCGTTATGCGTTGTTTAGCTGGTATAGCTAACAACAACCAACAACTGCTGACAACTGCTAACAACAGCTAATGACAGCTGACAATTGTCAAAAAAAAAACAAAAAACTTTAAAGGTAGGCATACATCTTGTTTTTCCGACTTGTTTACCGAAATGCCGTCAACTCAGGCGTAGTGTCATTCTCAGCTCCGACATCCGACTTCTAAGGTAACTGGAACGCAGCATAAGCCCCTGTTTCACGGTCTGTAAAAGTTCTCAGGCCGGTGTCTCAATGAATGGATCTGACCCGAATCTTCTGTGGGTGATACACTTTCTGTTGACAAGTACCTTGTACACCTTAAAAAGAATAAAGCTTTTCCTCTATGTTGACTGTAAAAATGGTATATTAATGTGGGACTAGGTAGAGACTGCTCAGCTTTCGGAAACTGTCTCAACTGGACACTGGAAGAACATCAGTTTACTGTTTTGTACTAAACTGCATAGTTTTTCGTTATCATATAACATCTTATCATATGGTGAATGCAGCAACATCACAAACATCATTATTAATGGAGGTCATTTTCTGACTTTGATGTCATCATTTGACCCCCCATCAGAAGAACAGCCCATAATCCCACAGAGGGTTTGTCTAAAGTGATTGCTGCTCCTCTTTTCCTTCCTCGATTCAGATGATACGATTAGGGAGATCACAAACAGCTGGGATTTCTGCAGTACATGAATCCACGCTGTGGATCTCCCAATTCTTCATCAGCTCCACCTCCAGGTACTTCCTGTCAGACCCTTTGAGCGCAGAGTGGCGTGGGCTGGCAGGACTCACAAAGACAGGAAGCGCTGTGGTGTAGGGCTGAGCCGGCAAGGCTAAATAAGGTCAAATATGGTCAGTCTTATCAATAATGAGTAGGTGGGACAGGCTAGATCAAATTACCAATTTAGAGCTAATCACCAAAGTGGTGGCTGCTCTTTGCTTTATCCCCTCTCCCACTCTGCTTTCTGGTCTCTGTGGTGATTCCTGACGCCATCTGTCTGTCCTCCTCAGGGGGGCTCTTCCTTTCTCTCCTGAGCACCGAACGGGATGTTTTATTAATTCTGTTTCACCTGATTACACCCTGTCTGTGAGTCAGGCTGCATTAATAGGCATTTAATCAACGTTTGATTCTGGGAGCCGGCACTGAACAGAGAGACAGAGTCGCTGTCAGATCAAAGCTGCGTCCTCAGAGGTCAGCAGCAAGGACGAAAACAAAACATGAGTGGCACACAAATAGAAATGTAGCCTCTTCCTGCATGTTTATTTGTACTAGCAAGCAAGGGATGCACTTAATGCAGCCTTCGTAGACTGAGAAAAGCCAAATTTGATGTATCACTCCTCAAACTCCATTATTCAGGTTGTTTTTGAAGACCCTAAAGGAATATGTTGATTTATTTTTGCCCCTTTCCTGCACCTGTCATGTCAGCGCTTTCAAAATCGCACCATAGAAATTAGCCCCCGGATTCTTCCACGAGACAACGAACCTCAAGACAACAGACCTACACAGTCTCTAAAGCTCGGAGAAGTCTTTTAGACACACGCCACAGGAACTCAACAATGCAGCACAACACAAGCGATGAGCAGATCCAGTTCAGAAACAATCAAACAAACGGCTGAGCTATCAATGGCCAACAAAGAGCGAGGGTGACCACCTCAGCATGTCTTTGGCCAGGTTAGAGTCCGAGACAGAAGAAGAGCACATGCAGATTGCGAGAGAGAAAGGCCGGGGTCAGCTATAATGAGCCGTGAATGTGAGCATCCGTCCAATCCTGTTTAATGGGGTTCATCCCTAGAAAGGCTCCTGTCCGGCCTCGCACCGGTGTTTGTGTGTGTTCACATTGGGGTTCGGGTCAGGGGGTTGCAAGGACTCTGTGACCCTGAAATGAGCTCTGGGAGTCAGTGGAGACCCCCGCTGGCAGGACAGAGCTCCCTTTATGCTTTAATCTGCAGGCACAGGGGATCAATATGGTAACTATTGGTGCTGCGATTGTGAGCAGGAGTAAGTGGTCCAGCCATTTTAGATGTCTCACAGGGGGTTGGCGCACCCTGACAAAAGCGCAGCCTCACTGCCACCACCGGTCACAATGAGCTTTGGGACAGTGGCACACCAGCAGCTAACCTACTTAACATTCATTAGTGTCAGAGAGGTGGACAGATGCTCCGGGTTTTACGGATCTTCTCTCTCATGTTCTCTACATGGGGCACATTGAGCAGCGTTTGACGTGTCTTTCATTCGGGATATTGGAGTTGTGGGCAGTGGCGGCAGCAGGCTGCTCTGCTGTGGATTTAGGAAGAAGAGCTGGGTGGGCATGGATGGACTCACCCTGTGCGCGTGCTGTGCAGAGCGGGGGCCGTCAGGCAGCCAGGTGCTCCTGCTGAGGGAAGGCCTGGGACGGAGGAGAGAACTCCGATGAGGCTTGAAATCCTGATTTCTGGAGAGTTTGCTTTCCAAGTGAGGCTCGGGAGCTCTTCTTCTCTCCACAGCAGACATGTTCAATGAGCTCTAATCTTGCATTTTACTCATCCTCCATCAGTCGAAATGTTAAAATCTCTGCACTGAAGTTCTGAAGTCTAGGAAGTCTAAAGAAAGCTCGTACGTTTTGGAAAAGTCTTTGCACCTGAATGACTCGAAAGCAGAGGGACAAAGAAATGCCTCTCTGTGGGAGGCAAAAAGTGCAGCATTCAAATAGCTTACGTCTGTTAATAATTACCATCCTGTTACACTTGTGCAACTCTCATGCACACTGTTTCCTGTCAGACAGACACAGAGAAGACTCACACAGTGTGAGCATCTTATAAAGTCAGGTTATCTTGCACATAAAGCCGCATGGTCTTTTGGGAACAAGTCATGGTCATATATGGACAGTATAATAATTTTGTGGATACAAATTATCTTGCACCAACAACATCATAATCTTGTGCGAATGAGTCACGTCTCGAATGCAAAACCATTACTGTATTGTGGGAACAAGTTAACATCTTGTGCAGGAGTTATATTAATCTTGTGCAGACAAGTCATAATCCTGTGCACACAACTTTAAAGTGTTATGTGTGGGAACTCAAAAATATTTTGTGCCCTCAATATAATCTTGTTAGATTGTAAGCACAACATATTTATCTTGCGGGATCAAGCTATTGTCATATGCTTGCCTCATTATAATGTTACATCAACAAGTTGCTATCTTGTACACAGAGGAATTTTAATGTCATGGAATGAAGTTATCTTGAGCACACAATATAATCTTTTGCTCAGCCAAGTTATAATCCTGTGCGCACAATTTATTAATCTTGTGATAACTATTTTTAATACAATGATCTTGTTAGAACAAGTCAGTATCATGTTCACAACATTGTTATCTCATTCAGATAAGATATAATCCTGAGAGCAAAACTCGTCGAGATATAATACTGTATTGTATTGTATTGGCTAGTCATTATCATCAGTGTACAAGTTATCTTGTTGGAACATTATCGTTATCTTGTGGGAACATGCTTTTACCTAACGCACAAACAATTATCTTGCTGGGACACATTATAATCTTTTACCAGCAAGGTTATCTTTCAGAAATAAGTCATTAGCTTGCTGTGCAATGTAGTTATCTTGCAAGAACAAGCTACAGTCTTGTCAGCATTTTATAATTATCTTGTGGAAACAAGTTTTTGCTCATTTCTTTTAGTTATAATGTTGTGTGAACATGTTAATAACTTATAGGGACAAGATAATATTGTTCCAACAAGATGATATCATTTATCACAAAAGTTGATATCTTGTGCGAACAAGTTTATTATCTTGTGCACAAGTTATTTAGAAGAAAATAGCTTGTGTGCTTAATTACTATGAAGCTTCTATGAAGTTTTTGCAAGATAACATGATAGCATGATTGAAAACATTTTGCTCTCACAAGATACTTTGCTGAACTTCAGAGGCTCTTTTTGTTCAATAAAAACTTTTAGGCACATTGAAAACTGAAATCCTGTGTTTCTTTCAGACGTCAACATTAACTCTCATTAAGAAGAACAGCGCTGAAGCTCCACACAGTGACAGACACCAGGACAGAGAGCAGGACCAGCTGGACAGAGAGGAGCTCTTTCAGCCTGACTCCAGACACAACATGGATCAGGTTCTGGGCTGCTACATAACAGCATAAATCTCCTTTCCTTAATTACATTACAGGGCATATAGTGGCAAGCTCTGTGGAAACAATGGAGCCTATCAATTCCACAAATCAGAGCCCAGTGGAGTGTGTGTGTGTCTGTGTATGTCTGTGTGCACTTTCTGAACAGGCCTCTATCTGTATCTCCAATCAAAGCTCATTATGTAGAGTGTGACTCCAGCTTGAGGTTCTTCACCTTCAGATTTGTACTCACAGGGAAGACCGAGTATATACGCTCTTGGTGTAATATTAATGACGGCTGAGGACAAGTGGGGAGTGGTCTGTGTTTCCATGGTGACCAGACCAAACACTCTGCAGAGAGCAGCAAACTCTTCCCAGTCTTTGCTTTTCTCGGCATGCGAGGCTTTTGCTAAATCTCAGAGTGCTTTTCTTATCATCTCTTAAACTCTGACATTTGTTGAAATAATCAAACTGATTTTAGTACAACTTGTGAGATGCATGAAAGCTTCTCAGGACCATCTGAAATTAACATGTCCCTCTCTCTTACTTCACACTCACACACTCACTCTCCACCTCTGTGCTGCTCTCCAGGGGCTCTGCAGTGCTTCATGGGTAATCCAAATGCAACAATACCAGTTGCTAAGACACTTGCAGAAAATGCATTGTGAGGGGAAGTAAGGATAGACATTGTCCCAGATTTAAAAAACTTCTCTTTTATGAACATAAAGTTTGTCTAGTGAGAACAGAACTCATTCTAAAGTCAGATATAGGATATGAGGTAATAGTTTGATGCTGTTTTTGCTCCAGAAAAAAGTAGTTCTGTTGGTTTTATGGTTTTGAGTCTGTTTTATGAATTACTTCATGAGTCCGTCTGTTGAAAACCTAATTTGAATATGTACTTTATCTAAATCTACTATTTTTGTATTAAATTTAAAAATGAATTATATGAAGGAATTTGATTTTTGTCAGTTAGTTGTTTTATTAATGATGTTGTAAAGAGTCTAATTTCCTGCCTTTACTTCAAGATTGAACGCAACTTAACATTTATGTCATTAGTTTACATAATCTGCTGGTAAATGATGTAAAACGAGTTTGCCAATTGTGGCTAATATTAGCTCCACCAGCCTTGGCTCCTCCTTGCATTTTAACATCCACACACCCGTGCTGGTTCAGTATTGCTCCAGTCAGATGGTTATATGCTAGTCTGACCAGACAAAGACGACATAGAACTTATCCCTACACTCGATTCAAATACAGTCAAACTGCCTACTTACTTTGACTAGCTCATCAACAATACGGCTTACTATTAAATTTTATCCACAATGCTCATCGGCAAAAAAGTATGTGCTTCATGTCACCGATAGGGGCGCTTGTTTTGAAAACGCTCCATATGGTCATATTCAAGTGCTTGCAAAAACGACAACTGTGGTTGTGTGAGTTAGAGGACTTGTTGGCTAAAACGTTTGGAATATCTGAAATCAATTTTGTTGTTTAAATGTATGTCATTTGCCACATAGATGAAATAGTATTTCACTTTTAAACATTTTTCTCTTTAAGACTAAAACTTAGCTCAGAAAAGCTCACTTGGATTTGCAAATGCACACTTTCCCTTTTAAATACGCATAAATAAACACATACATCCACACACAAAGCTGACAAAGCCTCCCTCTAAACACATAAAAACACAATTACAAGAGCTTTCATGGACTTCTAAGGATCACAGCCTGGCCCACTGCGTGCTGCCCTTTGTCGGCCGCGGGACCCAGAATCAAAGAGCATTGACCTGCGCCGGCCCTGCCTGGCGGGCCTGTGGGGAGTCCTGCTCTGACTCCAAACCCTGGTTACCCTGCCATGCCGGGACCCCTGCGCCCCTCTTAGCCCCCTGGTTAGCTCTGTTATTTCCTCATCTCATCAATCTGTGGGCTGAGCCCTCTGACACGCTGCACAATATGGTCTCAGTATTTCTCAGTTCAGACCTTCTTTTCAATATGGTTTGAGCATTTTGAGATTAGTCAGCTCACCCATAAGGGTCCACTCCCCTGATCGCTTTGGACAGGAGGGGGGCAGCGCCAAATGAAGATGCTAGAGGCACAGACAGGGCAGCTTCCAGGCCTGAAAAACAGTCAGAGATGTAATAGTCACTCTCTCTTCCAAATATATGTGTGCTATATATTAAAAAGCAAACAAACCACATCTAGACAGTAATGTTGAAATACATTAGCTAAGTTTCTGAAGTGTGTTGCATGAAGATTTCCCCCCAAACTATGACAGATTTTTCACAAGAAGTCATTTAGATTTAGACTGACTTAGACTATTTAGATTTAGTAGAAGAAATACTGAAGATTTAACAAAGTATTTGGTCCTTTTTGTACATTTTGTCAATCAGCAACACAAAGGGTATTTTGAATGACGTGATTTGTGAAGAATACTTTGGTCAAGGTCTTTTAGAGGGAGACAGACAGCCATGTGAAGCTGTAACTTATAATTAAACAATGCTAAATGTTATCGCTGAAATCAAACTTAGTGAGGAAATGGGGGCGTCTGTATCTTGCTCGCAAAAAAACTATATTTCTGTGTATTAGATGTAACAAAACCCTGAAGTTCCAGCCTAGAATTGGATCAGCTGTATATTCAAAGTCTTAAGTGAAAGGTCTTTAAAAGGTCAGAGCGGTTTTGAAGCTTGTAATGTAAGACATTTGCATCCAAGAGAATAGAGAAAATGAGCCAAGCCTCAAAATAATCAAAATGTCAGGCATTAGAAAGTATCAGGGATTGATTTTCGAGCAAATATTCCGATATTCCTCTGGTGTTGTGATAAAATAAGGATCTTGCAGTCCTTTTACCTTGACTGTCTTTGGGGTTTAATCGTAAAAAGGATCATCCTGAAGTAGTCCCACGATCACATCTTAGTAAGCAGTGAAGTTAATGGATGGATCCTTGAGTAATACATGTTGTTTACAGAGTTATTTACACTACATAAGTTATTCTTCTTAGGTCATACTTATTTGACTCTGCTTCCACAAGGGCCTGTGTCTACTATTGACTTTTTTGCCCAGGCGGCTCCTATTATCAGGGATAGTTCAGTCACAGCTCTATACAGCGATTTAACTGCACTGCTGTGCTCGTCCTCATACATGAGCACCAGGAGAAAATCAGTCTATTACCAAAAGTATGTCTGCTTTTGCTAAGGTGGGTAGTGATATGCCACCTTTTACCAATGTAAGACTGCGCCCTCATCTGGTTTACCCTTAACTTCACATACCAAAACAACCGACAAACACATTAGCAAGACGCTAGCTGGTTGTATGTCAAAGGATGAAAACACCAACAACTTTACAGCTCTGTATCTATCATTTGATTTTCTGATTTTACTCTATTGAATAAAAGCAAATGCAGTATTCAAAGCAATTTCAAACAGACTTAAAATTGTCACTTTTATAGGAGGCTGTTGTGGAAGAGGTGCCACAGAACAACTTATCTAGAAACAGTAAGTTCCAGTGAGAGGTGCCCTGAAATTGAGGTTGTGGGTGCTACCACTGTAAAAAAAAAAAAAAATGCTGTCAGTGGACACAGGCCCTAATTCTTCCACAAAATTGGCACTGATGTGGTTAATTAAAGCCAAAAGAAAACTTAACTAAACTTTTAAACTGTAAATTCACTTCTTAGACTATTTTTGAGTAAACTTTTTACAAATTTTGAAAGTTTGCTCTTAACTTTTACCTGTGGCTCCTTATATTTGGTGAAAAATACACATTGTATAGTGTTCTGGATGGGACACAAATAGCAACAGCATGCTGATTTTTTTCAAAATAATGTTTGAATTAAAAAATCTGGACAAAAATACAAGTCAAGGTTTTCCACCTGTGAATATGTCTGACAGTTTTGTGTATAGAGAGGGTGAATGAGGAGTGTGTGTATTCCTGTGCTGCTGTGCTGAACTCACTCAAGAACAGACCATTCAATTTATTTTCAAGTAAGGATGAAAGGAAGACTCCAAACTATGCATGTCGTCTATTCACTGATGACGCTTTTTAAAGAAAGAAAAAAAAAGACAGCAGAAAGAGTTGGAGCGGGGCGGAGGGGAGGAGCGCTGCATAAATTTTACATACACAAGGCTGCAGACAAAGTGATTGTTGCTTCCCCAAAACTTTTTTTTCCTCCTCCAGAAAACACTTTTCTCGCTGAATAGGCACCTATTAGTGACTCCATTATGGGCACAGGGCTCTTGAATGGCTCCTCACTGTGCGTCTTTATCATAGTCAGAGCTGTGAATACAGGCTGGCCCCCTCCCAGCTAAACTCTTTACAGCTTGTATTGATAGGTGCTGGTGATGATGGGTGAGGCAGGAGGAGGGAAAGGGGGGAGGTCGGGGCTGCCTCTCTCACCCCCTGTTGTGTGCTCCAGGTGTGGTGGGTTAAGCGTAGCATTTTGAGGCCTCTATTGTCCCGCGTACTTTTTTCTTTTCCACTTGTTCCAGTAGAAAAAAAATGGATGCAGTGTTTTACATGCATTAGCTGATCTCCATAATGCAATCCCCCCCTACAAAAGTGCACCCCCAAAACAAGTCAGGCCTCCGGCGAATCGCTGCACACCGCCTCAGAGCCGTGCATTGTTGCTGGATTATTCAAGAGTTAGCTGAAAGAAAGGGACAGGCAGAGTGGGGTGTCTGTACTTTATCTCCAGGGGAGACAGGGGCTAAAAGAGGAGCTTCTTTAGAGGAGTGAGTTACTGCAGCGAAAAAGCACAAAAACACCTGCAGAAGGAACGAGAAAGGACAGCAGAGGCGGCGAGACCACTTTTGTTCGTCTACACTTTTTCATCTACTGTAAACTCACTTTTTTGAATGGGAGGAGTTTCTATTTATACATCATTTCAACTTCTGCACAAACTTTTCTGTGTTCACAAACTGATCAGAAATTTCACAATTTGATTGTTAAAGCAAAGTTATGAAATATCTGTTTGTGTGTATGTTTGTGTGCGTGTGTGTGTGTGTGTGTGTGTGTGCATGAGCCACTGGTGTTTGAAGTTATGTGTGCACGTTTAGCTGAAGTAGAGAGAGAGAGTAAGAGAGACTTTATGATGAATATGGAAGCATTGTTCAGCCGTGCTTACCTCTGCAGGGAACCATCTGCTCTCTGTCAATGCATCACCTGCTCGTCTGAGCCGTCTCCACGGCAACGAGGGGTGGGGGGGATTAGGAGAGGTTATGGCTTTGATGGGAGGGGCCGTCGGTGGAGACAGAGAGGAGGTGCGCTGGAGGAGGCGGTGGTGAAAGAAGGGTTGGATGAGGTAAAAGCCGGCGGGAAAATGTCGCCCTCTGCTGGTGTCGAGAGTAACAGCAGGAGTCACTGTCGTGCAGACGCACAAAAGGGACATCTTCTCAGTCAGAGGCAACCTGTTGAACTGTTTAAGTAGAAAAATCATTAAGAAACTCATTTAAAGGCTCATTTCCCTCAAAACAGACACAAGATTTGTGAGTTTTTAGTCTTTTCCTAAACAAAAATGATGGGCATGATAGTTATATTGTGCGCTAACACCAATTTTAATGCCATTTAAATGTAACTTACCCTAAAAAGACTATACTTCAGACTTATTTGTCATTTTAAATGGTCATTTCTTTCTTTATACATGTTGTAGTCAGATCTAATTGAGAAGTTTGACAGATTTCACTTGTAAAGTTCAGTTTAACTTATCATTACAGCAACATTTGAAATAATCTGTTAAAAACAATGGTATAATGTCTTCTGACTGATCCATACAAAACACAAGGGCCTGTGTCCACTGACAGTGTTTTTTCACCAGCAAACTTACTCTCAGGGCCCGTCTTGCTGTGAGGTTAAGAAAGTTTTCTGCAGCTCTTTAATTTCTCATGGTTGTGACTGTTAAAGGGATATTGCGGTGTAAAATCAATTTAGGGTCAAACACGCCGTAACACCGAGTTAGACACCGCCTTGAGAGATGAATGTTGCCGACCGCTTGCTTCTCTAGTTTTACCAACTTTAGTAACAACCGCAGGATAGTAATACACAGCAGTCTGAGGAGTCATAAACAACCCAACCAGAACGCCACTCTGTAGCCACAAATAATGCTCAGAACAGCACCTAACTTCATCAACAGTACATATAGGGTCCCAGTCACAGTACTAACCACCAAATTTCTTTTTAACTTTGCCTAATTTCTTTATCAAAGAGACTAAACACAACTCACTGTCTCTCTTCCAGCAGCCACTTGTTTGCATCGACTGACCTCAGGCCAGTCCATTACAGACTGCTGTGGGGTGACGCAGCTCAAGGAAGAACATTTATGATCATTACTTTATGGAAATGCAATCAGACCGAGACGAGACAGAGATAAGGTTGTTACTAAAGTTGGTATAACTAGAGAAGCAAGCTGTCATCTCTCGAGGGGGTGTCTAACTCGGTGTTACGGTGTGTTTGAACCTACATTAATTTTAGGCTGGAATATCCCTTTAAGAGTGCAAAACCGCTTGGCTACAATTGGACTCAATGTTATGAGGTATTTTTACGGACTTTCTAAACTTTACATTTTACGTTGCAGAAAGTGCAAGTGATTTGGTGTTTTCCTTTGACATGCTCGACACCCTTGGTTCTAAAGACAGAGGGCCGTCTTATTAACTTTATACTTGATCCTAACCCACAGCATAAGTCTGTTATGTAAAGAGATGTGTGTTACTTTGTGCTGGAAATCATATGTTTAAAAAGTGTGGCACTGTGAAAGAAATACTCATCTACATGAAGGAAATGACTTTTCACAGATTTGATCGTGATTAGTTTCCGCAGAGTGACGTTCTCTCTGTGTTTGCTGTAAGCAGTCACGCAGGTCATCGGGCATTGTGTGACGAGCGGCATGAATGTGGATCAATCACAGAGTTCTCATTAAAGCTCTGTGTTCCTCCTCCTACAGTGCATACAGTGTAATGCGCATGTGACGGCTGAGCAAACACTGACCTGAGGACAGCTCAGAAGGTAAACAGAAGGAGTCGAGCCGATGACTGAGTCAGACAGAAAGCCACAAACCCTCTTTCAATGTCAGTGATCTGTTGGACAGTTGGAAAGGCATAATAATCATGGGGTGGAAATCTGCTGTCACTGGCAGCTCTATTACAGCATCTACATACTTGGTTGCTGTAGGTATCAAAGGACATGACTTAGCTCAGAGTGTAAAATAAGTGCACATTATTTTCAAATAAGGACATGCAGAACTACTACACTAATGGGTGCGATCGTTGGTTGTCCACAAATATCTAGAAGTAACTGTTTTGTCCATCTTGACATGGAAGCCTGGCAAGACTCCGGCGGCCTCTCAGAAGGAACCAGTAGCCACACTTTAACTCTCACCTGCAGCCGCCCTCCACAGCCGAGGAAGTCTGACTGACAGGTGAAAGTGACCACGGCTGCAGGGAGGAAACACCTTTTGTGCTTGGTCATGGAGCTGGTGAAGGCAGTGACCCACGTCCCCCTGCCGACGAGATCATCAGCCTGAGGGGAAGAGGGAGGGGTTAGGATCACTCTCACTTCACTTCATCAATACCCCCCTTCCTCTAACCATCACATCCTTTACAAGCCATCCCCCTCAGTTAGAGACCTCATCTCTGTTCCTCCTTTAACTAATCTCTATCTTATCTCCATCTGAACACATGTGTAGGAAACAAGACAGACGCTACAGTCCACCTGTAGGTAACTCTATGCCTCTCTGTTGTCTTCTGCACATTCTGCAGAGGTGTTAAACAGCTGCCTGGACCCATAAAAGCTCTTATAGCGTGCAGCTAATGTTGAATGCAAATGCGATGATTCCTCAGGGCACATCTGGCTTCGATGAGCTATCTGCTCGATGGGGACATTAAAACTGGGTATCCTGCTGTGACCTTAAAACAAATCAACAATCTGAAGGAAGTCCAAACTTTTATGCAGTGAATTTCCATCTGGTGAATATGTAATGAGCCAACAGCTCTGTTAGTGGCCTGCAGCGTCACAGAAGTGCAAGAACTACTGCAAGCATGCTAGGATTCACATATGAATGAAACCTTTACTTATTCTGACCTCACCTGGACACCGCTGACACATCTGTGTCCATTAAAGCTTCTCTGGACAGGTGAGATTTAGGAAAGATGTTCAGACTTCTCCCCACAAGTTTGCACCAGTGTGATTTGCATTGCAGGAGTTGGTGCAACAATATAGGCATACTGGAAATACCCACATAGATACTATAGTAGTAATAATGATCAGAAACAAGCAGGGCTTTTAACTTAAATGTGAATTGAAATATTCAGTTTAATGTTATATTCCATAAGGACGCCAAAGGATTTTGTTGCCATGGAGATGTTTCTGCTCATAGAATCAGAGGGACAATATTTTCTGCTGTATTTGAAAAATCATAAAAATACACAAAACCCTGCCTCGTGTCGGGGGCGTTCCAGTTGTACTCGGAAGTTGGAATTTCCAAGCTCAAAGTCGGAAATTTATCCGGAATGTCCCCCTGAAGTCGGATTTCCGACTCCGAAAGTCTGACAAGTTCACCAACTCCAACTTGACGACAACGTCATTATCCAAGATGGCAGCGCAGTACATCAACAGTAAAGAGTAACAGTGAAAGCTTTCGTAATGTATTATTTATCAGCACTTCTGTTTTGTTTTTGTAAAATTAAATAAGTGGTATTGTACTAACTGTATCTGACTGTGAACACAGTGCTATGGTGTTTGTTAGAGGAAAGTACTGTGTTGTGCATTGTTTACAACTGGTATGGCTAACAACAACTAACAACTGCTGACAACCACTAACAACTGCTGACAACAACTAACAACAGCTGACAATTGTAACAAACAGCTAACAACAGGTAACTGTAGGCATCCATCTTGGTTTTGACTTGTTAACTGGAACGTCGTCAACTCAGGTGTAACGTCATTCCCAGCTCCGACATCTGACTTCCGAGGTAACTGGAATGCAGCATTACTCACCCTAAAGGGATTCTAATAAACATATTTAACTGCTCACTGTATATTATCCTATATTGAAGAGATCTTATTCTAAACCTCCCGTTTCAAACAAGACAAAAGTTCAGAGGAGAATTGTTTGTGCAACCATGAACAATCTAATGAACCAGATCCTGATATTTCCATGTTTCCATCATGTTTGACCAATTTTTTTTTAACATGGCACCATTTCTCTCTTCATACCCCCCTTTCTTACTTTAACACTCGGCCTAATTCTGACTCTTCTCCTGGATGGGATGCTGATCCTGGGAGAGTTCCTGTCAGAGCCACGTGTAGCTGAGGACTCGGGGTGACTTTCCTGGGTGTAAAATTCAATTATCCAGCGGGTGAGCGTGTCTGAGCGTGTCTGTTGTGAGCAGTGGGCGGACGGCTGCCCGTTCCCAGCATGCGACAAGGGGGTTAAGAACCACAGAAAGGCCTCCATTATCCCGAGTGAGAACGGCCCATGTGGCTGGCTGCACGGCCTCCGCTCTCATTCACTCTGCCTTTACAAACAGCGCTGCAGAAAGCCTTAAAGTTTCTTTCTCTTTTCTCTGCTTCCCCCCCTCCCTTTTTCTCGCTCTCCAACTCTCAGAAAAGAGCCTCCACAATGCTGCTGGGAGGCTGGAGTGGATGCTTCAGCACCCCTGTGGACAGTCCACATGTGGACAACATTCACAGGATGTCTGTCAACTAGTCCATTAATCAATGACATCTCATGAAAGCACAATTAGGAAACTCACAACTCTATAACAGATTATCATCTCTAAGAACCCCTGTGTCTCCTCCCACAAAGCAATTCTCGGGCCGAGGTTGATTTTTCTCATCAAATTGCATTTTGCCTCTACAATAATTGCGAAAGAAATGGAGTTATGTAATCAGGGAAAAGGAAAAATGATTTCAGGACAGCTGTAGCGTGTGAAAGAGCTCATTCCTGGCTGGCAGCTAAACTCGCTCACATCTGGCTAATCACTGATGTGAGAATGAATCCTCAGTGTGTGAATAAGACTGAGACGCTATGGAGGAGGCAATTGAAGACGCCCATACTGCACCGCTTCTCATGATAAATGAGCAATTGTCTCCATCACCATTTATGACAGCAAATGACACAGTAGGGAGCTCTTCATCCGCTGGACAATATGGAGAGGACACTGAGGAACCCTCATGTGACATCATGTCCCATCTGCAAATGACCGTATACAGAGGCCTATTATGAATCATCTAGGGGGAAGAGTCTGCCACAACAAATTAATGATTGTGTCAATTACAGCCACATTTCAAATATGTTCAGACACTTCAAAAATTGGTGATAGTTTGCAAACATAGACTGTATAAACTATGGACAACTTGGTTCTGCTTCCGCCAGTATACGGATTTGAAGCCGAAAAGCTCTCAGTAGTCCCATGATTTTTCTCCACTTCCTGAAACCAAAATTGTGCAGTAGCGGTGGGAGAGTCGCCAAGAATCGCTGTGATGACGCTCGGCTCAAACAACATATCCCCCAGGTAAGCTACGCAATCTTGTACGCCCATAGGCTGTATCAAGTGTCAATCATAGAAAACATGAACCCCCTAATAACTTTTAAAAATGGAGCTGCACAGAAAAAAAGAGGACTTGAGCACAAACCAGTCTTACAGTAACTACATGTCAACAAGCAGGGGGGAGAAAAATGTATGTTCTGTGTAATAGATTTCTAAAGTTTGTCCACAGGTCCATAAGGATGGCTGGAGGAGTCGGGATTTATGACCTATACTGCAGCCCGTCACCAGAGGGTGCTGTTCTCGGGATGGCTTCACCCAGCGAGGAGGCAGACAGCATCCATTCTATTTAAAGTCTATGTTTGCAAATCATTTAAACCCTATTTTTTCCACAGAAAATAGCACAAAAACAACATGTTAAATGTTGAAAGTGAGAAAAATGTGTTGTTTTTTGAAAAATAGAATTTTGTTTTTAATTTGATGCCAGCAACACATTTAAAAAAGTCGGGGCAGGGAGAACGAGACACAGAAAAAGACATAAAATGCATGAAAAAAAAAAAACTACAAAAGTTGTCTTTGCAACAGGTTAATGATATGGCTGGATCTCTCAGAAGAAGTAAAGACTAAAAGGGTAAACAGTTGCACATTTGCAGAATAATGAGATTCATTTTCTATTATACTGTCCAGTCTATGATGACTTAAAGGATGCTATGGTTAAAAAAAATGTCTTCCATTATGCTGATTTCTTTTGTTCGGATGATTAAAGTCAGCATCTATGATATGGGAGCTTAAACACCTGGGAAGGCGCCATTAACGCTGAACATTATGTGCAGGTTTAAGAGCAACATATGCTGCTATCAAGATAATGACTGTTTCAGAAAAGACCTGGTTTATTTTAGTGAGATTTGGGGCATCAAAACTTAACCCTTATATTGAACCATTACGGCAAGAAGTGATGCAACACAATGGTTAGACATGTCTGTCCCAACTTCACTGAATCATCAAATTTAAAATGAGCAACATTTGTCAAAAAAACAATGAAAACAATTTCAACATTTGATATACTGTTTTTACACTGTTTCATAATAGCTGCATGATTAAAATGATTTGCAAACCACCAAATTCTATTGTATCAATCATTGGTATGACGGTTATATAATTGACTTTTGATTAAAGATAAGAAAAAAGATAAAAGCATAAATCAAAAACAACTAATATAAAAGATTAGAGGGGAAAAAAGAACAGACAGTCAGGTTTAAGAATGTTTGCTCAAGCACTGAATACTTTAAATGTGCTGCTCATTGTGAAGGATTGGTGGGGTTTCCTCAACATTACCTAGCTTACACTGCCCTCATGTGGCACCTGTTGAGCTCCTCAGTGTCAGGTGTAAACATGGAGGCAGATTTACACCATTAACATGAAACTCTAATAATGCTTTAAATTAATATGACTGCAGTTTGTGTTCTAATAGTTTTATACAGCTTTCTTTCAGGAATACCACTTTTGGCAGTTATTGCAGTCATACAGTACAGAGCAGGGAAAGTGGGTCACATGAAGTGTTGGGAGGGTTTTAACCCTTTAATGTCTTTTGTATCATATTTGATGCATACTTTTATATACTTCTATCAAGTCAGTATGATCAACAAATTACTAAAATAAACACCTGAATACAGTCCGATAAATGATAAAAATGTCCTCTTGTAGTTTGTCAGTTTCCAAAAAACATCTAATGTATCAAATGAGATAAATAAATATATTTGTTAAATTTTAATGACATTTTGATTTTTTTGGTTTTTAGAGATAAGTAAAATAAACATTTCAGCTCCAAAAAAAAAATAATAAAATAAATTCTGGCCATAATTTGTGGTGTCAGGCATTAAAGGGCTAACACATGGTTTTCATGTTTAAAAAGTGTCAACATGAAATGATGTTTAATTTGAGGCTGCTTGGTAATATACCACAAAGACGCTAAATATTTCTGTTAGCCTATATCTCTGTTTCTATACCTACTTGTCTCACGGGGAGCTATTAACAGTTGTAAACAGTCTTTTTACGGTTATTAACTCATAATCATAAGATCGTTTTATTCTCATCTTCTTAGAATTGTCTTGTTGATCATGCTACATATGCTCTGCAGAAAAAAAACATATTAGCTTATCAGACATAAAAACGGTATAGTTCCCATACCCGACATCAACCCAGTGATCACTGTACTCGAGTTGACTTACCTGTAAATAAAGACTTGTTGGTGGGTCAGGATTGAAGACAGGACCTCTTTTGTGGTGCTTCACGATCATGACGTGTTGTTCTTCAGCAAATTCGGCATCCAATTAACCTTATAAAAAGCACAGTTCAGAGGCTTTTAAGATGCAGAAAATTGGTCAGGATACGGTGGCCGAGAACCGCCACTGCTGCAAATAAAAAAGAATGCAAAAAAAAAGAAAATAAGTCACAACGGAAGTTACTGATACAAAAAACATTAAAAAAAAAAAAAAAAAAAGAAACCGAAACCCACTGTAAATAAAAAAAGAAATGGTGCAGATAAAAAAAAAGGCACAACGGAAGTTAACAACGCAAAAAAAAGCAATAAAATGAATAAATCAAATGCAAATAAAAAGAATGTGAAAAAAAGAAGTCACAACGGAAGTTACCAATGCAAAAAAAAAAAAAGAAAACAAACTGAAGCCCGCTGCAAAAAAAAGAAGAAGAAAGGAATGGTGCAGATTTAAAAAAAGGCAGAACAGAAGTTAAAAAAGCCAATACAAAGCAATAAAAAAAGAATGCAAATGCAAAAAAAAAAGAATGCAAAAAAAGAAGTCACAACAGAAGTTACCGATACAAAAAAATGTAAGTTAACAACGCAAAAAAAAAAAGGCAATGTAAAGAAAAGAAAAGAAAAAAAGTTACTAACTGCGAAAATAAAAGCAGTATATACTAACAATGAAAGTGAGCTGCGGGGGACCAATAATTATGATGCACCGGTGTTTTATGATCTAGGCACAGAAGACAACGGCGAGAAGACAAACAAAGAATTATTTGGAAAAGTTAATATTTTATTTCGCTTCGTGTGCTTTTAAATGTGTTTCGGCCCTGTAGTGCCTGAGCTGATATGAAGTTGAACTGGAGGATGCCAGTGTAGTGTTGGCCCCTTTTTTTGCGTCATTAACTTTCATTGTGGTTTTTTTTTTTTTTTTTTTCCTAATTTTTTTTTACCTGCACTGTTTCTTTTTTAAATTGCAGCAGGCTTCAGTTTCTTTTTTTGCATCAGTAACTTCTGTTGTGGCTTCTTCTTTTTTTTTTTTTGCATTCTTTTTTTATTCGCAGCAGTGGCGGTTCTCGGCCACCGTAAACATTAAGGTATTATCTGGTGTACAGACGCACCTAGCATGGATTGAAGGTGATTCATACCTGTTATAAGATCATTAAGGCTGTATAAAATACATACAGTCATTTCTACAACATCGGAGTTCATGACAGAAAGATTAAATAAAGATACTTCACATCCAGCGGTGGACAACCAGAACCAGATGTGCCATTGTAATTCTGTTTCACAACAACCGTCCCGTGACATACCGATGCTGAGGGGGGTGTGGTGTCACGTGGCCCCGCTGTTTAAACTGAGGGCTTTAATAGACAGGAGCTGCACTCTCAAAGTCTACCAGAGTTCAGCATCTATCCTGCACACAAGTCGTTCACCTGAGGACAGAGAGGATGGACGCTGCTTACAAGAGGGTCAATGGAGACTGCGCACCAGAGGCAGAGACAGAGGAGCCTGGGACCAGGGTAAATCCAAATACTGACACTTACCTTGCAATGTTTGAAAGTCTAAAACTGTCTTTAACTTATCTGTGGTCTTACATCATAAATAGCAAGTTATAACAAATAATATTACGTTTTAGAAGCAGCAACAACTACAGTAACTGAGGTAGACATAGCAAGAATACCTAAGGTGAGACATCAGATATAGCAGACAAGAGCTGTGGATGGAGGGCATAAACTGAATCAGCTGTTGGTACAGCAAATACCAGAACATATGTGCTTTAAGAATACACCTGGAGTATATTACTAGACCTTTCAAGAAGAAAAACACCATGTTATTATGAAGTTAAACTCCAAGTATCCTTGCATTTGAGCGATTTGATATGTTCGTGATCGTAAATATAAATTTTAAGTGCTAATGTGTAAATTAAAGTTAAAGTTAAATGTGTGTTTTAGAGATTGATTCATGTTTTGGGTTGCTGATTTGGCAAAACTAGTAATCTGAAGTCTTAACCAGGGTTTTGCAGGGAAATAATGTTAGTTTTGTCTTTTTATGGCGTATACAGTCAAGCTGCTAAAACCATCAACCAAATTTCACACATAACACATCTGAAAGGTATAAATTTGATAAGTGCATTATTGTAACTTGCAAAAGTAAGAATCTGAAAGGTGTCAATTAATGGTTCGCTGGACAATAATGATGTTTCCTTTTCTGATATTTTACAGTAACATCAATAAATCACAGAAATGATCTGATTTTAGTTGCTTTATCATTAAAAGCCCTCTGGTTTCAAAATGAAGAAACGGTGCACTTCTTTTACAGTCATGAGAATCATTAACAAACTTCAAAGTTTAACTTTTCACTCAGAGTAAAAACTCTTAAAAGTTTAAAAAATTCTAAGTATCCAGACAACATAATCTCCCTTGCTGCCGCACATCTGTAGAAGAAAGTTCGATGTGTTTGGTTGGTAATTCTGGATTGTTGTAAACCCTCTCATGTGTGGAACATGTGGTCACACCAGCACGGCTGCAGCAGAGGCCTGAGAGGTTAAAGGTGTGAGGGCTTTGAGCTTTGACATCAAATGCCTTGAATGCAGAAAGTCATGGCTTTCACTCTGGATTTTATGCGTATTTGCTGACACATGTCTTTGCTTAAATGCAGGTGAGGTCCAAACGTAAATCAAACAGAAATACAGCGACTGACCTAAGCCAAGATTTACACATCCTATTAACCTAAAAATCTCAGAGGACCAGATTTAGAGCCTATAACGTAACTCATGATGTGGATCATGAGGAGATCAAGATAAACTATAAAAATGACTTTGTTTATCACCCCTCCCTCTCTTTCACTGACTCCAGCAGTAACAGTAGCATAATCTGCCCCATGAGGTCCATGCCTAAGAAATAAGAAAAGCTGTAATCTTGTGCACGACAACTCCACATGTAAGTCCTGTGCTGTTTCCTAAATCATGCACTTTCTCTTATTTTGCAGAAGAGACGGGGCTCCATGTACCTGGAGGAGGAGACAGACAGGAAGTCGGAAGTGATCTCCTGCATCTTCTCCCTGAAGGAGGAGGTCGGAGCTTTGGCCAGGTGTTTGAGGCTCTTTGAGGTAAATAACTCAACATCACCTGTAATCAGAGGAGAATGAGAAAAGTGGAGAGGGATAAAACTCATCATACAAGGTTACTTTGTGGATTTTAAACAAGCAAAGATTTGCTGTAGGTCCATTTCAAAAGATAAACAGTGAGGTCACACTTGCAAAGGTTTAAAATGAAGTGTACAAAAAGTACAATTTTTAATGTTGTGTGTACAAAACATGAACTCGTTAACACAATTTAATGATCTTGTGAGAGCAAATAAGTTATCCTGTATGCACAATACATGAGGGCAGCAGTTATTATCTTGCACAGACAAGGCATTAGCTTGGTCTGACTTGACAATTATACTGTGCACAACGGTTACTGTAAGGCCTTGTTAGTTATTTTCATGCAGGATGTGTTTTCTTGTGGAAACAAATGTTAATAACTTGTGCACACAAGAAATGTACATAGATTTTTTATGTACTTTAATTTTATTAAAGAAACACTGTTTGATAAGGGCCTTAATAATACAGACACAAGAGGAAATTAAACAGTGACCTACTTCCAACTTAATCAACAAGAGCAGGAGCATCAAAAAGCCCTGGTCCAGTTGCTCTCCTTATCCAGAACAACTGAAAAAAAAAACATATTTTTGATTATATATTGACATTGATTATTAAGCTTTAGAGCTGCTTGAAAACTGGATTTTTGTTTTCCTTAAGACTTCTACAAAACTGTATATTAGCCTCAGGGTCATGTCTAACAAACAGACACCAGAAAAAGGTGGTATTAATCTTGTCTTGCAAGACTGTGATTATGTTTATTATATGTTAAAAAAAACTGCTGAATCAAAAAAAAGAACTATTTTTCAGTTAATTTCCACTAAGTAACTATTTAACATTACTCCAATAAGGTAACGGAAACATGCTCAGTTAGTATTCTTGAAATATCACCTGCAGCAATCCAAAATCTGGTTCCTTATTTCAACATTTACCAGTAGTTACATGTCAGGCAGAGTAAGTCAGGTTATATAAATGATTATTTGTAGTTTGTCTGCTCTAATTTCCATGTTTGTGGCCTGCACTGACCTTTAACAGAGCAAAACTAAACAAACGGAGCTTATCTCAGATGTTAGTGTGTGTTTCTTTTTTTTTACGTGCAAATTGACAGGTGACTCTTTGAACACTGACATGCCCCCCCCCAGCTCCCCTCACTCCAGGGTTATCAGTGATGACAAAATAACCAAACAATCATCACTCACTTGTATTCTGTTGAAGCCAAAAAACATTTAATTCAGTCAGACCACTATGGCGTATACATACAGTCTATGATCACATACATTTGACACCTCGCATGGGACCTGGATCCTACATTTCCCATAATGCATTAACAATGCATTAGTGTCTTTCTAGGCTTCCAGATAAGGAGATAAGGATGTCCAAGAACATTATATTGATACTCCATCAATAGGATGTTCTTGAGGTAAATCAGTGCATGTCACTGCCCTGAAATGAGCAGCACTGATTTTGTCTTTTCGATTAATATTTTTTTAAATGGGATATCTCTAATCTGAAGTATATCTATGTTGCATGTGCATGCTGTTTTTATTCTTGTATTGATCGAAGCAGCCTGTGCCTACGTGACAGAATGAAGGATTGAAGGGAACACCGACTGGCAGCATTTCAGTTGTTTAATCTTCCGCATGGACATCACTATCAAAGGTCAAGTTTGCTCTTCCTACAAGCAAAACACAAGAGACATGTCCAGAACGTTCTGAAGAGAAAGAAACTTCTCAAAACGTCCCAAAAACATGTTTTTGGTTTGACATATTTTTTGTGGATACGTTTATCTTCTTTAGCATGTGCATGCTATAGAGGGGGTGGAGAAGTTTGCTCCAAATGCTGCTCTCCGAAAGCAGCAGTAAACATCAGGAGTCTCTTTGAACCTATGAGCTTGCACTTTCCCAATCCTCCCCCTGCTCCACCCACCCTCCCCCTTCCTTTTCAGTGTATCTATAAAACATGCCGAATGACCCCCAAACCATTAACACCCCCTTTATGCAATGCAGCATATGCTTAATAACCTTAAAACACAGCCTGAATGGAACATACCATTGTTCATAACCATTTTTTGTGCATTTTTTGGCAATCTGAAAAAGATCGCTCAGCTAAGCCATGTGATAATGTTTAGCTCTACAGCTTTCTGTGTTTATCCCAGCTTCATTTCCATCTTGTCAATGTATAATCGCCATTCTTTAGAAAGTTGCACCCCAGAACAACATCACAGTTTATCCGCTTTGGGACAAAGCGCATGTGACAGCAGCGGGGTTATCATGTGACAATACAGAGCCAAACACCAGCCTTGACCTTACACAGCAGTCAGGGCTGCAGGAGGGTGAATGTCAACTGGCTTGCACAATGGAGCGTGGCTCTAAGGGGTACAGAAATCTGGCAAAAATGATCCCTGCATCCTGCATGGTATGGGATTTAGGGTTGGCTTTGTAAAGCTAGATCAGGGCTCCAAAAGCCCAAATGCAAAAGTATGTCTTTTCTACGACAACAAAATATTATCCTTTTAAGCATCACCAACAGTAGTTTGTTCTTCAACCTTACAGATTCAGTTTTGAGGTCCAAAACATATGGCCAGTTTTCACAATTTGTCATTTTAATCACAGAAAAACAAGCTCTTGTTGCACGGCAACAGTGGAGCAGGCTTATGGAGCAGCTGAATGAGGGTTTTTGAAGACAACAATCTAAAATGTTTATGTTTAATTTGACGTCAGCTATTATACTGTATGTAAGAGATACTCTAATGCACGTCCTACAAATTGTTTTTTATACATTACATTCCTGAATCTTAATCTCTCTCCAAGACTAACAGACTTGCAGTTAATTAGTTGGTATGGTAAAGATAAAAGCACGTCATAAAATGTGGTTATCTTTTCTCCTAAATGCCAACCTGGTCATTCCTGCAGTCACTCCTGGGGGATGCAGGCCTCATGGCTCTCAAAGAAAGCTGTTATAGTACAATGGGATCCAGATGGGAGAAAACGGGAGGCCCTGCTGCTCACACCCTCCTCTTTACTTAGCCTATGGTAGACAGGGAACAACATACACCCCTCAAGTTACAAAAACAAAAACACATTTCGATGATAAAAACCACAAGTCGGAGTCATCTGCATTTTAAACACTAAAAAATAATAGTGAATTGCCTCCAATTAGGTCTGGGAACAAGCCAAGGGTCTTGTGCGTATGCATCAGAGTGAGAAAAACCTTCAGTAAATGTTGGCAGTGCAGACCGATGCATCCATTCATTTAAAGATTTAGCAGCAAATGAGTACAACGTGTCCTGAATTTTTCTTACTTATTCTGGATCAGTGTCAAACTGTAGGAAAAATTTAAAGGCAGTCTGACCCAAGATCTCGACGGTCAAACCTGAGCTGCAGCCAAGAATTTAATAGCAACACAGCGCCCTCTGGTGGTGGAACATAGATACTGCTGTAGCCTTTTGCAGCAAAAATATTCATAGTTGGTTACCACAGATTTGAACTTGTTCTACTTCAACTTTATAAGGGACAATAGAAAATTTAATGCAAAATGGAGTGCAGCAAACAAGCCTCTAGAAACATACAACATACAAGATGTTACCTCTCCTCCTCTTACCGCCCCTTTCTTTCTTTTGTTTCTTTGTACAACAGGATAAGGGCATCAACCTCATGCACATTGAGTCCCGTCCGTCACGTATGAATAAAGAACAGTATGAGTTTTTCATCAGCGTGGACTCCTCCTGCTCCCAGGCTTTGGATGAAGTCATCGACAGCCTGCGCACACAAATCAGCGGCCACGTACATGAGCTATCACGCAACAAAGAGAAGGACACAGGTTAGTGAGTGAGAGGATCACAAACATGAATCCTCTGCAAAACGAAGCAAGTGTTAGAGTGACATATACTGAATTAGTATTAAAATGATAATCCCAAATTAGTGTGAGCAGAATATTCCACATTTTCTGTTAAATCATTTAGTTAAAACCACAAAAGTGAACTTTATTTTGGTACCAGAGAAAAAGTCAGGACATATTATGAAAATTTACCAGATTCCATTTATTTCTGTGCTTTTAAACTAAATGTTGGACAGTCAGAAAAGTCATTTTGTTTTTCCCCTTAGAGGATCAGCAATCTACCTTTTTTTGTCACAATAACATCGCTCAAAAATTGTCTTAGAAATTAGTAAAACAGTTGACATGCCAGTGTTGCTGCAGGGACAGTTATTTGGAGGACTGTCAGTGTCTGTACAGAATGAACGGCTATAACTGCGCTGATGTCTGGCTTGGAAAACAATCAAACAAAGCAGAGATCGGTGTCGCTGAAATGGTCCATTTATCATCCAAGCATAGTGCTGTTTGACCCTCCAGCCAGACTGGCAGAGAGACAACCAGAGTCGCCAATGAGACTGCCGGCCCATCCCTCAAATCGCGACCCTTTTATTAGTTGTTTCCAGAATGACATTAGTTTAGCTACAGAGGACCAACAGGCATGGCAGGAAACAGAGGAGCTCTCTGTCCTGGACCATGGAGACGGAGGACATGCTAAGGTCGTGACAGGGAGACAGACAGGGCCACCACGGGTCCTCCTTTGACCTTGGTGTAGACTCTGTGGTCTGACGGTCAGGGTCAAGTGGATGAGAGGATATTAATGGCCTGTTTTGGGGACTGCCTGTTTATAGTAGGAGCCTGGCAGGGACTCATTGTCATAGTAGTGAGCCTCAGGCTGGACCACACTGCACAAATGTAGATTGATGATTGGGCCCCAGTGTTTTTGAGCCTCATAAATCCACATGAACAAGCAGATGACCCTCGATTGGTGTTCTGCTTAGTGTCAAAATGCCAAGGCAGTTTAAAAAATATCCTGTAGCATTACTTTTACTAATGCTAATCTACTCTGTACCCATTATTAGAAGTAAAAAATTAAACAAAGATGTTAAACCAAAGATTCAACGAGCAAAAGTATTGATAAATTCATATTTTAAAGCACAGTTTGTCAATTAATCTAAAGTCCCACAACATCTGTTCTTAAAACTCCTGTGAGGAACCTTTAGTTTATAAGCAGTCTGTGCTTATCTCTTCATTTTGACTTTTGATTCTAAAATGTATTGTTTATTGTGAGTAAATGATGTTGAAATTGCAAAAACTGAGCTGCCTCCTCAGTTGCTTTGTAGACACCTTGATGGGCGCCAATATGTTGCGCTGCCTCCCCCAGTGCAACGAGTCAAAGATCCCTCGAGTTCTGTAAGTCTGTGGCAGAGTGGGTTCCTGTGTTGGTCAGAATCAGACACTCATGGTTATTAAAGTTCAACGACTTTTTTGCCATTAATGTTCATTACATCTTTTGCTGTTTGCTAATGCGGTAAAGAGCGTTACAGGAGCTGCACCAGTCAACAAACCAACAACTGTAACTTTACTATGAAATCTGACTGTAAACTGCAGAGCAGTGCAGTTTTAGGTTGCAAAATTTGTCTTTTTTAAATGCTAAAGTAGTTTTAAGAAAAGATGATATGCTTCAGAACCACAAATCTGATATATTCTGTAAATCCTCACAGAAATTTTGTTGGACCAACATTGTAAATAGTCAAACTGAGCTAATACAACTGGCAAGACGTAATGTTACATTTTTTAGATTTTTACTTCTACATTTAAAAAACCTACCATTAAAGCCTTTTAATTTGAGTTTCACAGAATAAGAGAAAAGGCTGCATTAACTTTTGATGTGAAAAAAAAAAATCCAGCATTCGTGGCTTGTCTTTGCTCTAGGCGGTGTTTACATTAAACTAATGTTTCTGCCATGTTTAATTCAACATGTACATACAAAAGGAAGAGCATAATAACTGTTATTATTCTGCAGTGCCATGGTTCCCCAATGACATCCAGGACCTGGACCGCTTTGCCAACCAGATCCTCAGTTACGGCTCAGAGCTGGATGCTGATCACCCGGTGAGGGCTGACTCATCCGTCACAGTCTGTGTACCACATCCTGCCTCTGCATGTGTGTCCGCGTGTGTGTTTGTGTGTGTGTGAATGCGTGTCCACTCACGCCCACATGTCTTAATGAAAGCCGGGCTGCGAAGATGACAGGCTGCACTCTGCTGTCTATTCTAATGGAAACTATCTAGACACACAAATTGATGTCATTGCTTTAATTGAGCCCCTATAATTATAGATAATTGCTCCCTTTTGCCACCGCCATTAAAGCGAAATGTATTCATCATAATCTGAAAAACACTCTACAAAGGCTTCATTTGAATATGTATTTGCGTGCTCTTATTACAGACGGAGAGCATAATGCTGTCAAAGGCCACAGGGTTTAGCCTCAGCAGAGGATTTCCACTCTTTGATTTAGCTATGAGTGGCCAGGCTGCGATCATGAGATCTAACATGGCTTTCCTGTGTGTGTGTGTGTGTGTGTGTGTGTGTGTGTGTGTGTGTGTGTGTGTGTGTGTGTGTGTGTGTGTGTGTGTGTGTGTGTCAGGGCTTCACAGATCCAGTGTACAGAGCCCGCAGGAAGGAGTTTGCAGACATCGCCTACAACTACAGACAGTAATTTCCCCTTATATTCTTTTTGTACTTACGTTTTCCCTGTTTGTTTAAAGAGAGGAAATTACTGATACTTTGCATTTAGCTACAGTTTAACAAATATGGAGTTATTAAAAACAGGCATTGGTTAAATTATTGGGCTTGTGGGTAATCCATGGGTGATTTGTTATGTTCACAATAGGCAGATACCTTTAATTATTAAAAGGACGCAGAAAATTGTAGTTTTGTGATGTTTTCTAGAAAACGTGAACAAAAAAAGAAAAGTTGTTGTCCCTTAAAGTTATGAAATACTTATTAGTAACATATATGTACTAATGATTAATCATGAATAAAAAATATGAAGAAAAACAAAACAGTCCATGTGCTAACATTAGTTACCACAATGAAAGAGAGTGATGGAATAATATTTATCTTTGTTAAAATGAATCTATCTATGATTATTTGGAATAACATTTCATGACAGTCCTTTTGAATCAAAGTTTAGCTTTAGGAAACTAAGTTAATAGACACTGTTGATGTAAATGCTACAAGATTAAAGTGTTTTTTTTTCAATTGAGATCATAAAAACCACAAATTTAGTCCAAAATAAATGAAAGAGATGAGGGATTTTACAGAAGAAAATACATTGAGACTCATAGATTGAAAAAAAATGGTATAAGAACTGAGTTGGTTAGTATCCTTATCATCTTTTTTATGTGTTACAAAAAAATTGTGACAATATTGCAGTGTAATACAAGTGATTTTTAAGTTTAATGTTTGGGCTGTACATTTTAGTACAAGGTTTCAATCCCTTACTGACTACATTTGTAAAGTGGCATTAACACAAACTCGTAATACTGATTCATCAACCTCATGCCCTTGTCCCAGTGGCCAGGCCATCCCTCCAGTGGAGTACACAGAGGACGAGAGGGTCACATGGGGCAAAGTGTTCAAGGAGCTGAAAACCCTGTACCCGACCCACGCCTGCCGCGAGCACAACCGTGTTTTCCCTCTGCTGGAGAAATACTGCGGCTACAGGCAGGACAACATCCCTCAGCTGGAGGACGTCTCCCGCTTCCTGCAGTGTAAGACCTGATGTAGCCTGGTGATATAATCCATTATGTCATTTAGGTCAAGTTCAGAGACACAACAACTGTCACTCATAACTCTAATGGCTCATTTTCATTTTTATGTAATGTTCTGTTAATTCTGTTTTGCCCCAAAAAGCTAAAAAAAAATCGCTTTCAATACAGTTTCACTTGATTGGGTCACTCCTCATAATCAATGGGGTTAAAGGTTCAACAAGAAATAAAGAAACAACTTGCTTTTCAAAGGATATTAGAAACATAGTGGGTGTGTAGTAAAAGCTGACACAGAAGGAAGGTTAAACCCACAATGGGTATCCAAAATATTCACATCACTCTTATAGGTGGGCTTTGTGGTGAAGACAGGTTGTCCATTTGTAGTATCAGATCGTATAAATAAAAGTGGAAACCCAGTATTGTCAGTATACCTGTTCACACTCCCCCCTTCCTTTCACTCCCTCTTCTCTTTACTAAGCCCTCTTATTCAGCAAAGACAAACACTCACCCCTTCATCGCTCCGTCTCTTCCCTGCAGCGTGCACAGGTTTCCGTCTTCGCCCCGTCGCCGGCCTGCTCTCGTCTCGAGACTTCCTGGCTGGACTGGCCTTCCGTGTTTTCCATTCCACGCAGTACATTCGTCACGGCTCCAAGCCGACCTACACACCTGAGCCGTGAGTGTCTGAACTCAGTCAATAAACAGAACAAAAATGTATTAGTACTGTGGTGTTAAAGAGTCACTTCAATTTTCTGATGCAGTGATATCTGCCATGAGCTTCTGGGACACGTTCCTCTGTTTGCTGACCCCAGCTTTGCCCAGTTCTCACAGGTACATGAAATATTTTCCTATTCTAAAATCAGAGATTGAAAAACTGTGAAAGATAAATATTTTGTAACCTTTCATTTCCACTGTGCAGGAGATCGGTCTCGCCTCCCTTGGTGCCCCTGATGAGTACATTGAGAAACTTGCAACTGTGAGTAAAAATAATCAGGAATTATGCAATCACCAAGAGAAACCTTCTTACAATGGTACATCTAAAACAGCTTATGCTAAACTTTCAGATTGGGAATAAACCATGTTTGTGTCCTCAGGTGTACTGGTTCACCGTGGAGTTCGGCCTGTGTAAGCAGGGCTCAGAAATCAAAGCGTACGGCGCTGGCTTGCTTTCATCATTTGGGGAGCTGCAGGTAAGAAAGGGTGATGGAGGATTATTACATCTGTCTGCAAACATGGACCCCCACAGCACCACGACAAACACTTAGACTCCCTGTCTGTCATTACATCACATTCACCTTATTGCTGAACAGTGGCGGTGCAGGCAGTGGGTTAGTGGTCCACTCAGTATCAGGTTTAATGTGTCACTAGGGGAGTCAGCCTGCCTGGACCCCCCTGCAGAGTTCGGGTAAAGTGGTTCAGTGGGTAAGTCTGGGCAGAGCGAGGATGAGCAGCGAGCTATCGAGGTCACAGTTACATCAGGAGAGGATGTGCACTCTGCCAGGTCACATCAGCAGAAAAGAACATCCCTGAATCATGCTGCACTTCCTGTTTACCAATGGGGACAGAGAGACTCATTGAGAAAACCCATACAGCAGAAACAATGGATTAAATGAGTCACATTTACTCTGTTGTTTCTTTCAGTACTGCTTGACAGAGCAGCCCAAAGTCCTGCCCTTTGATCCGGACAAGACGAGCCTCCAGAAATACCCAATCACGGAGTACCAGCCAGTTTACTTTGTGGCTGAGAGCTTTGAGGACGCCAAGGAGAGAGTGAGGTAAGGAAATACAGCAGAAACAAAGACACAGGCGAAAAGTGAATCAACGTTAATCATTGTGCAACGTTAATGTCCGACTGTGTTTGCAGAAAATTCGCAAACACCATCCCAAGGCCTTTCACGGTGCGCTATAACCCTTACACCCAGAGCGTTGAAGTGCTGGACAACACCCAGCAGCTCAGCAACCTGGCCGACAGCATCAGTAGTATGTGCCACACATTCTTCATACAGTTATCTCTTATCTGTGTGTTTTGTTGTTGACAACCTCCAAATCGAAATAAAGTTGCATTTATTCTGAATACTCTCTTTCTTGTTTCAGGTGAAATGGGGAAATTGTGTGAGGCCTTAAAGAAACTGGAGTAACTGGAGTTCGATCACATGAGCATGCTTTTAAATTAGCTCTCCTTTTTATTAACACAATTATGCAAGTCAGATAATGACAATGATACTGTAATCAAACAAGTATTTTAGTGTAGGGAAAACATTGTAGTCTGTTACTCATGTAGGACAATAAGACACACGAGTCTGTAGCAGCTAGAAATGTTATGTTGATATTATTACAGTAGAGGTGTTATTACGAGACCTGTTTTTCAAAATAAGAGCGTTTGTCAATCTTTTTTATCAGTACAAATCTAAAACCAAGTATGTGAATATAAGCAGACTTTTTTTTAAGTACATTTCAAACCTTAAAGCCATAAAGAAATCATTTCTGTCACTAACTTTCATATAGCTCAATGAAATGTTTTGTATGTGCATGTAATGTTGTAATAAAGCAATAAGATTTGTCCTGCCTCTGTCTTTGTGTCATTTTATCCCTCTATTGTAGTTATTCCTGTCCATCACATGTCCATAGATCATATTTATGAATATAATACTCAATAATACAAGGGATGAGCAGACTCTTAGAAGGGTGGCATTATTTATGTGTGCATACATGAATGAAAAGCATTTTTTAAAGTAAATAATACTGATCTTATACGATTTTTTAAAAACTTTTCTAATTTAAAAAATAAATTTTTAAGTACAGGCAGCGTAACTGTACTATATTAGAATTTTTAAAACGCCACTAGAAGCGTGTTACAGGTCAAACTATTGATTCAAACTTAGTCCCGCCTCAGACAAGAAAAATAGCCAATCCTATTTAAGAATTTTGTGAAGGCATGAGGGGCGACCAATCAAGATTTCAGAAGGGGCACACACCATCCCTGGCCACCCCTCTAGACACACCCCTGCTTACACCTGCCCTGAACAGCATTTATAAAATCGTCAATCATGTCATCAGTTGTGTCGTTTGCTTTTATGCATCACAGAGAAACATCGTTCTTAATTTCAGTCTGTAACATTTGCTGTTCCCTGTCTCTGTCTCTCACCCTCGTTCTCCATTCTCTCTTCCTCCCTCTCCATAACCTATTCTCTCTCTCCTTCCCTCTATCTTGTTCTCTTTCTCTCCTCCTGCCCTCTCTCTCTCCCCCCCTATCTCTCTATATTCCTACCCATACCAGCAGCAGCTTGGTGGCTGAGTCTGGTCCTGCTCAAGGTTTCTGCCTGTTAAAAGAAAGTTTTTCTTGCCACTGTCACTCATGTTTGATGAGATGGGCCAAATTTGTCCCATCTTAAGGTTGAGTCTTGATAATTCATCAAACAATGAGCGTGGTCTAGACCTTCTCTTGTTCTTTGGAAAGTATCTTGGGATGACAACGCCTAAATTGGCGCCATAGAAATAAATTTGATTGATATGTAAATAAAAATTGGAAAAACTCTTCACAGGCACTTGTTTTTAAACCGTGAAAACTCAGATAAAAGGTTGTGCTCATGTTTTAACATCTGATTCAATGTAGTACCTTTAATGTATCACAAGCATAAATACAAATCACATATTTTACCCTTCAAAAACTAGGTGAAGTAACATTTATGTAACCTTCATGGCCTCTTTTGGTCGAGTGAATCTGTAATTTAGAATAAAGATCGATTTTTCTTGTACAATCCGTGTAATAGGGGGTTATTTCTCCTCTGAAGGAGACTATTTTTATCCCACAAAGAAACCCGGCATGACGCAAAACAAGCCCCCCGAAAAACAGCCAAGCGCACGAGCCATTTACGTAACCGTGCGCCCCTCAGATGACAGGATATATAAACCTGCGTGGAGGTGAAGATGACACACAATCTGCTCCAGCACCTCTGTGATCTACTAACCGAGACCATCACTCATGAAGACTGAAAGCGCGGTGCAGGCGGCCTCGTTCGGCGGGAGGAAGCAGAGTCTGATAGAAGATGCTCGGCGGGAACGCAGCAGCGGCTCCGGGGGCTCCCCGGGGCCCTCACGGTACCGAGACGGCTTCGTGTTTGAGGAGAAGGACGGCAAGGTCACTCTCAATGTCCTGTTCTCACTCAGCAACGAGAAAAACGCGGGATTCTTCAAGACCAGCAAAATATTCGAGGTAAGGCAATAGACTTAATGAAGATTTTAATGTTTTTAGATCACCTAAAACTGAACTTTTAAAGTGCTGTTGTCTTAATTTTTTTCTGTTTAACTTTAGGTCATGTAAAATGCATGAATTAAATACAGTAAACAGGACTTATGCGGAAAATAACTGCCATTTAACTTAGATTAACCTGCAGATATTCAGGACTATTAAGGTAACAATTTTGACAGTTTTGCTAATTGATGGAGATACCAGTAATTTATTAATATTAACATTTTCTACAGTTTTAATATTATATTTACAAGGGGGAAATTGCTATTTGTACTCCACCACATATATGTATACGATATTACAGACTTATATTGACAAAACTATCAATCTAAATAAGAAGCTACAGGTGGATGACATTTAATCTTAATACCTTTGTTCTCCTGGAGAAATATTAGAATTAAAAAAATCATAATTAGAATAATATCTCAATAATGTGAAAGCCATTGCCAAAAAATGGGCCTTTGTAAAACTGAGCACTTTTGTTTTGATGCAAAATAATAAGCAAAATTTGATGCCAGAACCTTTATATTTTCATTTCAAGTCAATAATTTCGACATTAAACACAGCAATTCTGCACTGTGGTTTGTTTCACATTTAAGTTCTAAGTGCTTTTCCAGTAATCACATTATATCTAAGTGTAAAACAATAACTTTTCCCTCGTATATTATTTATTGTCTGATCTAACATAAAACAAAGGATTAAAAAATAACCTCTTTTAGCTCTCACATTGATGAAAAGCAGCAAAAGAAGAACCAAAACACGTTTTAGGGCTAAACTGTTAGGATCTAGTTTGGAATACTGAGACATTATACTTCTTGTATGTCGTATGTGAGTGTGTAAGACCTATTTGTGCATGCATGTTGTCCCTGTTTTAAAAGATGTGTTGAGTATTTTGAGTTAAAATGTAATTTTTGTGTTCAGGCATAATTTTTTTCTTATTTGGGAAGAAAAAGAATAAAAAGACTGATTTGGGACACTTATTTGACCAGTTAGAATGAAAGTAAATCAAGGATGGGATAATGCTTGCAGTGGTTGTTGGAGTTAAATCAATTTAACGCTTGTAAATAAAAAAAAAGGCTATTTTATTGAAGCTTTTTTTGTTTCTTTTGCAGACATTTGAAGCAAAACTTCTTCACATTGAAACCCGACCGGGGAGAAAATCAAAGAACAGCACCACAGACCTGGAGTTCTTCATGAGGTGTGAAGTTCACAGCTCCGACCTCAATGTTTTCATCAACTCACTGAAGAGAGTGGCCGAGGATGTTCGCTCCATCCCCGACGAAAAAGGCAACTAACATGATTTTACGAAACGCTTCACGCTTTGTGTTGCATTTTCTTTCAAATCAGCCACCATGTTTTGATAATATGCAATCAGGCCGGTTACAAAAGCATTAATTAATCAATTCTTTCTCCACCTGTCACAGTCCCCTGGTTTCCTCGCCAGATGAAAGACCTTGACAGATGCAACTCGTTGATAACCAAATTTGATCCGGACATGGACCAGGACCATCCGGTAAGTGATAACATATATACTGCACCATGTCCTAATAAGCCTATAGGAGAAAAAAACACATATTGATGATGATTTTAAATGTTTTTACAGGGATACAAAGATCCAGAATACAGAAAAAGACGAGCATTTATCTCCGAACTTGCCTTCAGATACAAACAGTGAGTCTAATGTTGTAAAATGAACCATGAAACACTGAATAATGTTAAAAAAAATTCCTGTTAAAATTGTTTTTTTTAATGATTTCTTCAGGGGGGATCCTTTGCCCACTGTGGAGTACACAGCAGAGGAAATATCCACATGGTAAACATAAATGACACTATTCTGCACCACATTCATTCAGATGCAATACGTAGAATGGTTTAAGTATAATAATGTTTTGTTGTTGTGTTAAAAGGAGAGAGGTGTACCGGCAGCTGAGGAGTATTTACACCAACCTGGCCTGTAGGCAGTTCCTGGATGGTCTGCAGCAGCTGGAGAGGGAGTGTGGATACGGAGAGGACCGCATCCCTCAGCTCAGAGACGTGTCCGTCTTCCTGAAAGGTGAATAAGACTGAAAAATTAGTTCCTCATCACTCGAGTTTACGAAGCTTAAGCGCTTGATTTCTCATAAGCTGGACAGCAACTTCTATGTGAGCATTTTTCTGGATAATATGACAATTTGACACTGCAAATAGAAATATTAGCTAATCTGAGGTTACATACCAAGATCATGGGATTGTAAGATAACCAGTCTTCAAGTTTTAACATTTAGATAACTAGATAATTTAAGCGTATGTAAGCCTTTTAGATAGTAGGGGTTTTATCTAGGTTGTTGGTTTCATGCATGGAAAATACAGAATCTAAAACAGATCTCAGCAACAAACAAAACAATAATGTCAGGAAAATCAGTTTCCCTACTTTTTATATTTAAGGATGCAGGAAGAAACTATCTGCTCTGTGAAAATGACGAGTTATGGCCCAGTTTTAGGTGCATTAATTTGACCTATTTTGCTCTTTAAGGATCAATAGAAACCTTGAATCTTTGTATTTCTCTCTCTTTCTCTGACCTCTTCTTCATTTTGAGCTCTCTCTCTGTGTTTGACAGTTTTTCTCTCCTCTCTGCTTCTTTTAGAGAAAACTGGTTTCCAGCTGCGTCCAGTAGCCGGCCTGCTGTCAGCCAGAGACTTCCTCAACAGTTTGGCCTTCAGGGTGTTTCAGTGCACACAGTACATCCGACACTCCTCTGCACCCATGCACTCCCCTGAACCGTGAGTCATCATATTTTAAGCCCTACTTATTCATTTATATATTCAGCCGCTTTTTTACACTGACTCTGTTTTTAATCTGCCCTGACAGAGACTGCTGCCATGAGCTGCTCGGACATATTCCTATGCTGGCAGATAAGGAATTTGCCCAATTTTCACAGGTAGATGTCATAAAAAGGTCATTTAGTACATTCTCAACTTCTGTGCTGGTCTTATAACTTTAACACAAGTTTATTTGAACAATTTCAGGAGATTGGGCTCGCCTCACTTGGAGCGTCAGATGAAGACATTGAGAAATTGTCCACGGTAGGAACCTGCTATCACTTGAATTATTTGATATTTTGGATATGAAAGCCAAAAGCACCTCCAAAACAGAAAAAATCCACATTTTAATGTTAGATATTCAGTTTTAAAATAAAATTTCTCAATTTTTATATAAATCCATCTATTCAGGTGTCCATCTAAGGAAACACAGGCTCTAAACACATCTTTGATGCCATCTAGTGGCTCAAATAATTTCCTGCAACTCATGCTGAAACCAACACTGTGCTCATCTGCCTTTTCATTTTGTCCCTTTTTAACAGTTATACTGGTTCACTGTTGAGTTTGGGCTCTGCAAACAGAACGGAGTAGTGAAAGCATACGGAGCTGGACTCCTGTCGTCCTACGGAGAGCTTGTTGTGAGTGTGTTCTCTGTGTTTACCCAAAAATACCTAACTTTGTTTTCTGTATGAGCTGTTTGTCCTGACAGTCTTTGTCTTTCCTTCCAGTACGCTCTATCCAACGAGCCCGAGTACAGGCCGTTTAACCCCGAGGAGACCGCAGTGCAGCCGTACCAGGACCAGACCTACCAGCCAGTTTACTTTGTGTCCGAAAGCTTTGAAGAAGCAAAGGCAAAGATGAGGTAAATACATATTACTCTGTGATAAATATATTATTTTTTCTACAGACTCAAAAACAAAGAGGAAAAGTAAATGTTAGGCCTAAAGTTAGATTGTAAACCTTTGTCTGATTTGACTACAGAAGCACAATGCATCCACTTCAGGAAAATTCTAGTTTTTCAGAATCAATGAGATACTGGTACCAGAAAATCTGACGGAAAGTTCCCATTCGGGCCACAAGAGGAAGTAAACATGCACAGGCTGTTGGTTATATTTTAGTTTTGGTGGGAGATAATCATGAAATATTATCAGTTTGTTGATTTTGCAAACATAAAGCCCATTCTGATGTGGACAGACGGCTAATATAGTACGCTTCATGGACAAGACATGACGCCTCTATACAGTAGTTAGTCTGGATTTGTTGGGCCTTAGGGGACAGTTATGAAGTGTGACCACAAAGTGGGTTTCTCCAGTATGATATGGTGGGCATTCCTTTGTGTTTCTACTCTTAAAAGTTGGAAAAACTGCGAAAATAAGGATCTGTATGGTCTAACTCTTTTGGCACCCATCTGTTGGGGTTCAGCCATCGAGGCTACGACTGGAAAATATTGGAAACCCATGGAGTGAACCTTGTCGAGTCTGAGAGTGTCTTTTCCTTAGCTGAATATGGTGTGCTCCTGGACCAAACAATGGTCTTAAATTTTTAATGAAAACACGGGCATTACCTAAGTCACATTTAGATCAGTGGAAAAGTGTATCTGATTTGTTTTGCTATTGGAGACCCCTTCATGAATATTTGCCCTATTAGATTACCAGTCCTCAAAAACCACAGTGTACCTTTATTGTGCAAGGAAACATAGTAAATGCCTTCTAGATCTTTTAACAAGAACCTCTGAAGCAGCTTGGTTAGCTTACTCTGTCAACCATTTTAATCAATGCATTAACAAATACCTTTTCATTTGCATTCACTTCCACAGGAGATACTCTGCAACCATCAAGCGTCCCTTTGCAGTTCGCTATGACCCCTTTACCTGCAGCGTTGAGGTTCTCGACCAGCCCGGAAAGATCCAGACCTCTCTGAGTCAGATGAGAGAAGACCTGAGGACCCTGCACAGCGCTCTGGAAAAACTCAGTACATCATGAAGACTTGAAAAGACGTCCTGCAGAGAAGAGAAAGTCAGGCAGTCGGAAATATAAGGGGTGAGCAGACGGACATTTGGCCAGAGTAAATACTGTTTGTAAGATTATGCAAGAGATGTAAAGAAGACGACAATGTAGTCCAGTTTGTGAGGTTCTTCTGAGCCGTTTAATTGTGTGGATAATGTATCATGTAAAAAGGAATAAATGTTTATTTTCATGAGGAAATATTAGTGTTGTTCATTCCAGAGTGGAAAGATAATAAAGGTGCTGAAGCGGGAGGAAAAACACACACAGAGAGAAAAACCGCGACAATAAAGGGCCATGTTCTAGCTGTTAACTCCAAACCAACTATTTCCATTTGGAAAATTTTTGGAAGCCATTTATCTTGCTGTGTTTTTAAAGCAAAGGAAAGGAGCTAATTATGAATGATTTAGGTATCATGTTCCCTCAGCTGGTCAAGGCCAAAGCCAGCGCTGACGTCCAGCGCTTGTGTAGTGTGGCCAGGTCACCAAGACCTCACACTCAACCACATCAGGGCCCGCAAAAGCTGCACTGCTGACAGATGCTCTTCTCTCTTTATTTCTCTTTCTCTGGTCAAGTGAAGAATTAGGTCTTTTGGGTTTTCTTTGACAGACGTCCAGCGTTTTGATCTCCATGTGGGCGACAATGCGTATCAGACTTGCATACGTCAAACCCTGAGAAAGACAAATCACCTCCATCTGCAGGGCTCATAAAGCATCACCACCGTCTAAACCATGACTGCTGAACCCCCCCATGCATCGGCCACCTTGTGCTTGGAAACCTTCCCTTCCCATAATTCCACTGTACAGTAAATCAAGCCTTGCTCAGGCCTCCCTAGGAAACCCCAGTGTTTGTGGAGGAGAAGAAACAAGAGAAAAGATACGGCAAGTGGAGGGAAAGAGTGATCTATGACTTGACAAGTGTGCAGGGACACACACATGCGCTCATTCCCTCCAAGCAAAAGTCAAACACTTTATAATTTCTTGTATCTTGTCCCACGTCCAGCACCCTCAAATCCTCAAATCCCCATGAAACCACCGCCAGAATCCGAATCCGCCGAGCGCCAAACAAAAGCAGGTTTGCCGCAGCAACAGGGGCAACCAGAATGAGGGATCCAGCTCGAGTCTTGTGCCTAGCGTACTCGCCACAAATCCCAAACTCTGTATCATCCTGCCTCCAACCATAAGTGTTTCCTTTATTGATGTCAGAGCCCTCCCATCTCTATGCTGGCGTGTTTGCCTCCTCGAGGGCTGGAAACGGGGTCGTGAGGTTCAGTTTGTCCTCAGGACTGAGAGCTGGAACGGAAAGATACCCCACAAGAAGTAACCTTTTTTGATTTAAGGCCTGATAACGAACTGATTATCTTATTCAGAGAAAACAAATTATCAAAAGATACCTAGAATGTCATGTACGAGCCGTTTTGAGGGACAGTTGAACTATCAAAGCAGGAAATAAGAAGCAAACCAATCTGGTCCTGACCAACATAAAGCAACTTGCAAACTTAAGCTTACGACAAGGCACATCCTAGGTCTTTGCAGAGAGCTGTAAGTTAAAACAATCACGAAATTATATCTTAACATTTTTCATCAGTTTATAACAAGCCAGGATACAAAAAGCCAAGGATCGGATACATCTTTACATAACATACATTTACATAATGTATTTGCTGTTTGAGTGACAGACAGGTAAAACTGCATAATTAGCATCAGTAGACATGAGGAAAATATATAATAATATAAAACTTAACCTGCTCTTCTGAATTAAAAACAGTAATAAATTACCAGTTGAAAAGATCTAAATTACTTCTATGTAAATATGATCAAATGGCTCTTGGGGGTCAAGTCTGGCACAGTTTGTTGCTTTAACAGTTCAGTTAATCAACAAGCACCACTGCATCACGGTGATCGAGCACGTTTTTTTTTTTTTTGACAGACTCTCTTCTAATCAAGATCAACATAATCGCTCCATTCTGGGAAACACAGCACAACAAACCAGCTGTGAGATTCAACCAAATACCGGCCTCAAAGAAGTCTAATCTCTTTCTTTGTTTCCTCTCATATCATGCTCCTCATTATTTTGATTTGCTCTCTTTTTGTTGAGCCCCCGGCTTAAAGCTGGAAGAATTATCTGTGGAGGGGGAGATTAGGAGAAAGTTGGTGAGGATTTTCAGGCGGTCAGATGTCTCTTTCATCCATTTTGCAGTTTATTAGTCCACAAACCACAAGAGATCAGGTGTAAAAGCACCATTCAGGTTGTGATAAAGGTCACAAGAGAGGTCTTAGGGGCAGCGACATTTGAGGACACACTTCCAGGAAAGAGGGGAGTTTGTAAGATGCCCAAGATGGATCAGATTGCAGAGGTTGAAGTCATGTAGTTCTGCTCATCAACCATCAGATGGAGTCCTTGAGTCACTCGGAGATGTAAAACCTCTGAGATTCATGACTCATGCTTGAATACTCGTACCCTCTCTGAGAGCTTTCATACTCCTCAGAAAACCTTCACAGCTTTCAAAGATGACAATGGCACTTGTTACATCTTGATATTGATGTCTCTGGTGAAACACGCAGCTGCTCAAGCACCACTTCACCTAAAGCCCGGCAAAATGTAGAGATTGGAGACCACACTTGACTTGTTCAAACAAAACCATGGACCAGGAGTGCAGTAGCATGTTATGCTTTGCGGATGGCGGTTAACGCCTTCAGTCCAAGAAATATACAAGATTGACAAACTGGTTTGAAAGATTGGAGGTTTCCACAGCCTGGACTTGCTTCTTTATGTCAGACGGAGACATTGCCATACAATGATCTTAGTGTTCCAGCTGACATTTACATTAATAAAGAAGAGTAAATGCTTAAGTTAGACGCTTGAGTATGAATGTACATTTATCCGACGCTGCACCCTTGAAGATTAAGTACATCTGTGGAAACAAGCTGCCACCCAGAATGATTCATGATCAAGTTAATTAAATGAGTGCCTTCTGCAGTTTAGAGAGCTTTGAAAATGGAGATTGTGGTTTCTCACACATGGAATTCCTGTGACAGCACAATGAGTCCTTGTTTTCCTGGAGAGCATTGCGGGTTTTCTGCCAAGCGATCCCTTGTATTACATGTTTGAGCTATGAAGCATATTGATAATTATTCTCCAAAAGGTAAGGTGAGCATCTCTTTATCCTCCTGTATCCTTAAGAACCGTTTGTTTTGATGTCATGGAGCTGTAAATGACCTGAAATGGCCTCAAGGTCTTCCTGAGGTTACGCTCGCAACCGGACGCCCTGTCTGCAAGGTTTGTCCAACCGGCTGGAGCACGGCCAGACCTCCTAGTTTTCCCTTGTCCAAACCTTCCTGTGGATTTCCTGCGCACCACAGCAGGTGGAACCGCACAGGCAAAGATATACTCTAGATAGGATTCAGAGTACATCATTGATAGAGAGAAAGTCGAGAAGCGGTCAGAGAGAGCGAACACCTGTGGGACGATGATCTTGTTGACTGGTGAGGGTGGAGAGTTGGCACCGATTCCTTAACGCGCCTCTTTGAAGTTCAGATTTCTTGGCAGGACATAACAGACAGCTGATTTAACTTACTCTTAAGGGAAGAGGAAAAACAAAGCAGAGAGTGGACCAGCACGCTGTTAATCTGTAGCTGACCTGATGAGCCAGTCAGAAATGAAGGAGAACAAAGCAGAAGCATGCCGCAAGTTTCCATCAGTATCAAACAGACTTGGCAGATACTCAGAAAAATACTTTATTTAACATTTATGAGAGTGAAACACAGGACCTAGTCATCCACAATAACAAGTGCAGTGAAGACGTCTACATTTCCGTCATCCAGAAGCAGAGTTTCCTGTCCCCTCCGATCACACAGAGCGGGAGTGTCCGGTGCCAGCTGAGGCCGGACCCCACCGTGGCCGATCCGATCGTCACAGGCTGGAACAACATCAACATGTGAAATAATACTGGAGCTGTTGAGGACATTAGAAAGATACTGATCTGGGCTGTGAAAAGCATCATACTGACCTGTGGGTGGCCAAGATGGTGGATAAATAACTGACTACAGATCTTTCCTGGACATCCAGTGGTGGCGAAGAGGTTTTCATTGGCCCGAGACCACCTTGGAAGAAAACCTACATCTTAAATTGACTGACTTTTTATATATTAAAAACAGCTTGAAATCTATAGAAACACATTTTAAAACTGTTACTCCAATTCTCCAACTCCAGTTCTGTCAGAGTTAAGATGTTGTGTAAAATACACAAGTGTATAAAAAACAAAAACAATATGATGGCACACAAATCATTTTAAATCAATAATAGACAACAAATCAAATGTTGAAGCTGAAATATGTTTGTGAAAAAAAAACCTGCCAGAAACACATTTCTATTCTGTCTGCTTCCCCTCTTCCATTAACAACAAATGCTTGGGTAATGACGATCAAGTTTCTGCAGTTCTGAAAAACATTTTTGCCTCATTGGATTTCACCAACTCAACAGTTTGGGGCCTCATCTGTCATATATTTGTGTCACAATGTGCCAAATGTTATCAAGAAGTGAAAAGTCAAATATGCAGATAGCCCAGTTGAGCACTTGGATTCTCCTACTACAGAGCAATACTGTTGTAATACATGAAAAATGTCTCTTCTTGCTATGTTGTGGAAGGTCTTCCTTGAAAAACCTGAATATGTCATTCGGCATCGATGGTTGCTGCCCAGATGCGTAAACTACTCATGTCATGAGCACTCATACCATCAGGAATGCTGGCTTTTGAACTGTGCACTGATGACAAGCCAAGTATGACCCTCTTTAGACCAGAGGACCTGTGTCCAAGATTTCCAAGAAAAATGTCAACTGATTTGTCAGAACACAGTCAATTACAAATAGGCTCAGGCCCAGGAAAGTCATCAGCATTTCTCGATCATGGTAATAATATTACGCACTGCAGGTGATGAAATCCCCAAAACCTTTGCAATGTCAAAGTAAAGGGCAACTTTCTGAAGTGTTGTGAAATGTGCTTTAAGTAACTTGCAGATGACCATTTCTGTTTTAAATCAAACTCTAAACAGCATCCAAACTCTTTGGAATTGGACGTGACACTTGCTCATTGAAGGTGCAGAATTGGCAAGTTTCTGGTGCAGAAATCCAGGAGAACTTGACTTAAAAAATACTGAAAACCCAACATAAGGGGAAGTCTTGCATAGTTTAAAAGGATGAATAAATTCCACTTACTTGAATAACCGTGCTTTGTCGATGTGTGCTGGTCTTTTTTCTTGAGGGTAACTGCAAAAACAAAAATGTTTTGGCAAAACTCAACCTTTTTTTTGCTGCATCAGCTTACCCCCCCCAACAATAAATCACACAGCATCAGCACATGATCAGTCACCTGGAGCGAGTTATGTCCCAGATGAGCCAATCATTTCCTGCCACGGCGCCAACTTTGATCGTGTTTGTGAGGCACCAGTCAGCTGACATGAGTGGAGACTGACCACAGTCCAGGGACAGAATGGCCTGCTGGGTCACCAGGTCATAGAAGCGGATTGTCCCCTTCTTCTCAGCCACCATTAACTGAGAGGGCAGACAAGTCATTTTAACCAATGTCCAATGAAACTTGTGCACTTAAATATGTGTCACACTCCTTTAGTTACTTTCAATTCCCCCATCTCAGTTATTCTGTATCTCGCAGTCGGTTCTTGAACTGTCTTATGATTATAAACACTAACTTATGAGTGTTTTGGGACCGTTCTTAAAACTTTTGCTTAAATTTTGGTAAGAACAGATTAAGTAACTGACTAAGTAATGACCATCTCATAACTTTTCCAGGGATGGTGAAATCGTTTGGCTTTTCTTCTGATGTCCACCTGGATGCAGTCCAACAAAGTCAGACATGTAATATGATATTGTTTCTGTCTGACTGAAGGGACAACTTACACCAGATTTTAACCTCAGAACATGAGCATGTATCTGAAACAAATCTTCATACCTTAAAGGCTTCCTCTGGGTGCCAGCACACACTGATGCCAGGAGAACGAAGTCTGAGCGCAGTGCTTTCATTTCCATCCAGGTCCCAAACCCTGAGGAGATAAAACAAGCAATAAAATAAAAACCAAAAACAAATGAATCGACCAGAGGGAGAAAGGCACTGTGATCTTATTTGACTGGTACATTGATTAATTATACTGTTCACTGATAAAGCAAGTTTTATTGAAGTGAAACTTTTCAACTGTCCTGAAAAATCCACTTAAAGTCTTTACAGAAATACAAGTTTAGGGTCCCGGTTTATCTCAAAGGTTCAACTGTGCCTCATGACTACTTTCTTTGAAGCCAGGCCTAGATTCAATTGAGACATTAAACTGTAGAATCATAAAGAATAACATATGGAGGAAACTGAGTTAAACACAGATTATATTTTTATGTCGATTCTGTGTTTCACCACAGTGGTCTCTACAATCGTAAACTGAACATACATGTGTGTCAGATTGTATTGTTTTGCAATAATGATTATAGGGCTGGGCAATAAAATGATAATGATATATATCAAGAATTAATTTCACTCGATAGTGATATAAAATATGGTCAATATGCTCATCAATTGTCAGCATTCTGCCATGTTTTGGCAGACTATACGAATAGCCAATGAAAAGGAGAGTTGCTCCAGGTCCGGTTCGCACTGAACCAATCATGTACTGAATTAGAACCAAGTAGCAAACAACTGTGTGTTAGCAGGCTGCAGCTACACGCAACCATAGCACTTTAACACATGAAGCCGACAGCACTTTCAGTGGGGAAAAAAAGAAAATGAGTGCTACTCCCAGCAGAAATGCAGATGAAGGCTCAACAGATGATGACATCGGCGACTACACTGGCACGAAATGTCGGTGGTGTGAAGGTATTTTGTTTTTTTGAGGTCGGACATGGAGCAGAGTGGTGTGCACTGCAAATTATGTCGAGTACATGTTAAATTTCATTTAAGAGAAACAGGAAACATTTAAGATTGACAAGTGATTTTTTTAAATAGCATGATACATATCGATATCGACCGATATGAAAAAAATACATTGTGATAAACTTTTTTCCCATATCGCCCAGCTCTACCTGATTAGTATGCAGGTGACTGAAACACAGTATGGTGTTAGGATAAATGTGAGGGGTCAAAACAGAGGACTTTTAATCAGTTTTTATTACTTAAATAACTGAACAAACTTGATGTGTGAACCAGGCCTGTCTTAAAATCCAGAAAAAAATCCACCAGCTTGTAATTAATGACAAAGATTGGGTTTAAGCAAAGGTTCTTAGAATAGCATCTGTTTGGATGCTTATGTAACATCAGAAGGAGTTCATCATGATGAGGTTTTCCTTTTTAAGAAATTAGGACAGTAAATAACCAAACTGTAACACAAAACTGTCTCAGCAGCAACAAATGAAAAGGCATTTGCTTACCAAATACCATGTGCCAAAGTATTCCTATTAAATGAAATTGTTTTTTTTCTAAGAAGGTTTCGTTTTTAATCCATAAAGCTTAACTTTTGCTCAAATTTATGGCCTCATACAAGATACATGACCACTAGGTTTCATGCAGTGATTGAAGACAGGTCTGTATCCAAGTTCTTTTTTGCTTCTACTCTGTCCAACTCCTGGTTGTGCGTAAGTGATGTTCATGTTCCTCCTGCTTTTCCAAGGAAGCAGGCTCTTTTCTCAGATATGGGCTCTGGGATGAGAAGACAGGCAGCAAATACTGGTTTCAGTGAACTCTGCTTTCAGTGAAAACGCTGTCCTGACGCTTTACTGAGCAATGATAGCGGGGGCAGAGGCTGGGGCACGGGGAGGGGGGAAGGGGGGCATCACCCTGGCCTGAATCCTCGTTACGCTCCACTCACATTACAACAAATGTTTCGCTGTGGGCGGCCCGCTGCCATTCATTTTCTGCACAGAGTACAGGAAAGGCAGCAGAAAGCACGTCAACTGAGGAGGAGCAGTGGGGAAAAAGTTGAACGGCATCCGACTTTGTCCAAATGAAAATAGAGGAGGCTTGCAAGCAAAGGCCAACCATGAATTAAAGCTCGTTTGAGGATTATGACCGATCTTAATTCAAATAAAATCCGATTCTAGAGCGAGAGGAGACCTAGGATCGCAAATTCAGCAGAGAAAAATAGTGGTGTAATGGATCAGTGAGGTGGAGAGAACTGTGGGTCCTGAGACCTGGATCTTCGGTTTACCACATCTGAACTTGATGAAGCTGTGGAGAATGGGGCACAGGGGCAGCTGCAAGTGTTTCTGGGAATTTCAAACAAATGCGTCTGACGGATGAGGTCATGTAGAAGACATCAGCTAATAAAGGCCCCGAAAAGTACCTACAAAGAGCGTCTAAATGTCAAGTGTGTTGTTTGAGAGATTGATGTCCTCAGTGGTGTGGTGTCAGGGAGGATATGCCCCGTCTCAGATGGAGACCTCAGTAAACACTCAACTTTCTCCTGCCTCATCTCCCCTGCAGCAGAACAGAGCCTGTTCAAAACTCCGACAAACTCAGCCAGAGCCTCCACCGTGGAGCATGTGCAAGAGAGAGAGAGAGAGAGAGGGAGAGAAGAGCAGAAAACCCTCAGACCACACCAGGAAAACAACGGCTAAACCCTATTCTCTCAGACCAAGCAGTGCTCAATTGCACGCTACACCACCAACGGCCAAACTGTGGTCAACCACTCTGCCCTTCAAACAGAGAGCACCGGCTCCCCAAAAAAACACAACCTCTGCCAAGGGAGGTGAAAGACGTGAGACCTGAAAACACACATGACCGCCTCTGATAAAACATAGTGTAATTGCACAACACTAAATCAACCAATAACACTTTGCTGCCATCGAAAACAGAGTTGAAAAGGACATCTGAAGTCAAGTATTGTCTTATCTAAGTGGCATAACAGCCTGGCCACGGCCTTACGGTTTGTCAGTGTTTCCAATACGGGGAAGAAACGGGAAATGTTGTTAGCTCTGTGTGATATGATTTATTGTGGAGAGTAGAGTAAATAATCGAAGGTGACTTTCTGGACGGTCCAAACAATAGAATCCCATCACAGTGCCTCTCAGGTTTAACCTTGAATAGGGGCACAATGTCTGCATCAGCATCTATTTCATAAGGACCTGCCCAAACTTTGATTTCAAAAGAGTCCAGTTTGTTTTCTTGATTTAACAGTTTTAATCTGCCAAACTGACCAGGGTCCAAAGTTGCCTTGGGTTATAATGTCATTTGTAACCCCGGGCATCTGGGTTAAATATTAGTCAACTCCTTTCTTGTGATGATAACCTTTCAGTACTCAAACAGTTGACCTGAACGATACAAGGTAAGCAAACAACATACCAAATACAAAGAGCTAAAATTTATGTTATGATTGAGAGAGTGGATAGCAAGCCTAATCGGAAACAGTGAGCTCAAGTTAATGGATGTTTTCTAATACAGTATCTATCCTAAGGTTATCTAAAGGTATTGGCTAGTAGGGCTGTCCCGATACGATATTGATATCGGATACCAGTCCAATATCAGCCAAAAAACAAATATCAGATTATATCAGCCTGTATCTAAAATCTCAGATATCAGCACTTCGATACAAGCAGTCCATTCCAGACTCCACTCCGGCATCTCTATCTGGCAGCGCCCGGATCCAGGATTCAGAGCCCACGTGATCACAACAACAGTGTGTACTAAGGTACAAACAAAGTAGCACGCAGTAGGAGTGATGTCGGCTGTGTGGCAGTATTTTTCGTTAAAGTCCGAAAAAGACATTGCAGCAGAGTAAAAAGCTTGTCATGGACAAGTTTGTGCCAATATCGGATCAATATCGGTATCGGCCAATACTGAAGGCTACAATATCGGATCAATATCGTATCGGCAGTAAAAAAGTTGTATCGGGACACCACTACTGTTTAGTAATGAAAATGTTAATGCTAGCCTGTGGTTAGCATTTAAACATACTGTATATGCAAGAACAGTGATAGGTATGAGACAGCATTAGCTCAAGTGATTGCTGATGGCTACAAAAAAATATGTTGGCTGATTTCAACAGCCCACATTTCAAACAGGTTACTTTATTTTAACCTAAATATCCAAAAGTAGGTTAGGAATAGTTAGCGAAATGGTACTGATCATTTAAGATTAAAGATGAACAACTGTACTAAATACCCAAATCCCTGGCTAAATGGTTGAGACCTAGAACAAGTTGTTAAGTTGTTGAAATCTGTCCAAACTAGGCCTCAAAGGTCAGATGGGGTGGGAACATGTATGAGATATGAAGCAGTTGTAATTCGTTGCGCTTACACAACATAAGGGATTAAGGAAATGCAAACAGATGCTCTGGGAACAGGACAAAATGCTTTAAAGCATATACATAATGCAGCACCAGCAGCAGCAGGTGTGTGTTGTCCTGAGTTCCTCTATGAACTCAGTCAACCCCAAATCCCTTCAGCATCCTGCAGTGTGGCCTTATGATCTCTAGATGGCAGATTTCCCCACAGACTCCTTCTCCTCTGTCTATACTGATACTATGGGCTGATTTAGTCTACATAAAAACCAACGTTAACTCCCCTAAGGGCGTGGAGTCTGGCTCCCTACCTCGATGCAGCAGCGTCAGGTTGCATGTTGGCTACAGCCGAGTTCCCACAACTGCAGGGGACAGTGATGACAAAGCTAAGCAAACTTATAGTAGAGGAACGGCTGCCAAACCTAACAGAGTGATGGAGAGGTCATGAGAGCATGCATGCAGGCTTACACCTCCCTCCCTCACTTTCCTCCTCTCATATCGAGGCTCGGTTTGTGTGGGCTGACTGGAAGGTCTTCTCCTGTTAACTTGATCTATCCCTTGTTCCGCCTCTGTCTTCCTCTCGCGTCCCATATTTTCTCAACATGACAGAATTTAAATCTTTCAGCAGATGGAGCGCACTGCTGTTTTCTCTGGCCGGTCAGCGGAGGAAGGGGAAGAGGAGAGTGGACGGGTGAGAGAAGGGAAGGCTGGGTCGGCCTGATGTGGCGAAACGAGGCTCTGAACTGGACAGGACGACCATCAAGATGTGTCTGTCAAAGTGTTTAACAAAGACAAAGATACCAGCTGTCAGGCGTCAACTAAAAGCATTAAAGAGGGGAAGATGGAAGAGAATATTGATAGGACTGATTGATAGCCCATCCCTGTTTAATTGCAAGTATCCGCTCTGGTCTCATGTCTGCTGTCCCTCTGTCAAGCTGTCCTATCAAACAGAGGCTGAGTCTCAAAAATCATTAAAAAAAATAAAACACTCCAACAACAGTCTTGTGTTAATATTAGCGGTGCCCCAATACAACTTTTTGACTTCCGATACCATACCGATATTGTAGCCTTCAGTATCGGCCAATACTGATATTGATCCGATATTGACACAAACTTGTGCATGACAAGTTTTTCACTCAGCTGCAACATCTTTATCAGAATCAAACAAAAAATACTGCCACACAGCCGACATCACTCCTACTGCATGCTACTTTGTTAGTACCTTAGCACACACTGCTGTTGTGATTTTGTGGGCTCAGCTTGCTGGATCAGAGCGCTGCTAGATTGAGGTGCCGGAGCGGAGTCTAGAATGAACGGCTTGTATCGGAGTGCTGATATCGGAGATTTTAGATGCAGGACGATATAATCTGATATTAATTTTTTTGATGATATGGAGCGATATACGATATCAATATCATATCAGGACACCCCTAGTTTACATCTCTCATGGCTGAACCCAAGCTCGGGCCTGGTTCAAGTGGACACTTGAACCGTAGTTCAAGTGTCCACTCAAGGCTCGCTGCAAAAGCCAAGGAGTCCACATTAGGTCCCATGATGGATGCCATCATCAAAAATAAACATGTTTGGAGCTAAATACAAATAAAACACATCAAATGTCCTGAGTCTCTGATTGGCCTGGTGTCACTCACCAGGGCTGTGCGATATGGCCTCAAATCAATATCATGATATATTGAGCAGTTCACCTCAATAACGATAAATGGACAATAACTACTCTACAAGCTGCACATCCCCTCCCACATTAACTTTGTCTAATTCTGCGGCCGCTACAACTTTTGAACTGTCCTCCATCTCCTCACCTGTCTTTCACTCTTTGTTACGGACTGGATGGGGTGGAGTCACGTCTCTGACATAGGACAGCGTCTTAAAAGGGACATGAAACCATAGCCTACCTACACACGTCCAAAACCAACTTTATGTATTTAATTTTTTGACACAAGATATACAGATATGGGCAAAATGACATTGGTAATTGTCGCAAATTTTGGTATCTGTCAATTTTCGGTTTATCGCGCAGCCCTACCTCTAACAGTGATCACTCCAACAATCAGCCTATAATCTGAGAACAAAAAGGGGTTTCATTGAAGTCCAGTTCATGAACTGCCCCAGACTTTTACTTCAACTTTGAATATATCAAAGTTAATAAAAAGATTGTGTACATATTTTCTTCTTTCACAAAGAAGGAACTGGACCCTGTACATGTTAGAGGAGATCCAGCCTTCTGTTGTAAAGTGGGGCGTCCAGTATGTGACCCCGGCGGCTGACACACTTTTCCCTAGTCTAGCATTAATTGAAAAGAAAATTTCGGGGACCCTGTTCTGAATCCCCCTCAGAGTGGAAAACTCTCTCTGCAGCTAATTGAATTTCCATATTTTACCAATTAGCTAGAAAAGCTACAAAGCAGCTCTGTACTTGCGTAGAGTCACACCGGAGCATGTTGTGCTTAGCATCGTGTTTCACTGTGGAAACACGGTCAGGACTTTCTGCACCATTAACAGAGAACAGGACTGAAAAATCAGGAGCTGGGAACACGCACACAAAAACACACACACATGGAAATAAATACAGTTTGGACCTGCAAGTGTGGTCATCGCTGACGGAAGCAATTTGTTTCCCCTCCGTGGGCTCGAACACTAAATGGTTAATGTAGCTCGTGTGGCCCTCCATCACCTAGGCGACAGTGTAGAAAACAACATGTAAACAAAAACAGCAAGAACATGATAAACAAACTGCTAAATGAGCATCTTCTAGGAAATGTTGGCGTGCTGCGTTGGCTCGCTAAGCCACATTTCCTGTATCACTAAGTACCAAATGTCAGCGCTAAGTGAGGGAAGTCTGACGGCGTCTGACATGCTCAGCTCAGGCCGATGTGCTCCAGATGTTTCTCTACCTTGACTTCATGCCGATCCTGCAGATCAGAAGTCAGCAGGCGTAGCTTTCTGTCAGCTGCAGCGGTGCAAAATCTGCAGAGGGAGAGGAAGAGGAAAAGAAAGGGAGGATGTGAAAATAAACAAAAGAGAGAACATCAAAACAGAGTCAGACTTTACAGACACAATGACAGACGACATCTCTTTCTGCACACACGCCTGCGGCCGCCCAGACTGACACCTCGGCATGAGAGCGCCAGTGTGTGTGGTAGAAACTTGGACGCTGATCAGTGGAAGCGCTGCCAGGGAGATTCTAATTGCAAGTAAGATAAACAGGGAGAAAAACAAGAGTCCTCACGCCATTTACGCATGTCTCTGCTGAAAAACCTGCACAGAGGACTTTCCCCTCTAATCAGTCGCGGTACACACCAGTGCCTGCAATTATTCACACAATTACACTACCTCACTTATGACAAGAAAAACACACACATATCAGCAGAATAAACAGACAGCGGTTCACACATTCGCAGTCGCAGGCACAGATGGATTTGGCATGATGTCACTACAAACAGCCTTAACGTGCTGCGGGGTATTACTGTTACAGTAGATTAGATTATATTAGCACAGCAGCTCTAACCCCACAAATTAGAGCTGGACTTTGGATTAAAGCACAGAGCACACTGAGACTCTGACTTTACCGTCAAAGCCATTTTCTCCATTTGATCTCTAATTATATTACTAAATACAATACAAGCAAAAAGGAAAATTTACCAGATTGAAGAGCCAGAAAATTTGAGATTTGTTGTTGTAGGACACCTAGGATCTTTGTGTTAGCAAAAAGACAGAAAGAAGGGAAAAGTTCGTCCTTTACTCTTCAATGTCACTAAAGAGAAGAGCTCAACAGGAGCTAAAGGTTTTCACAAAGTTTGTTTGAAACAGGAGAAGTTGTAGGTTAGATGAAGTGGTCATGTCAGCTGGCAGCATGAGTCCATTGATTTATACGATCTCTTGTGTCTGTGCTTCACATGTTGCAGTTTGTCAAAATCAACAGTTAAGACTCCTGTGGGAAACTTTCACTTTGAGTTTTTGAGATTGCATCTTCCAAAATGGTTAAGAGGTCTTAGTGGTGAAGTAACCAACTCTCAACCTAGTCTCCATCTCTCTCCTCTTTTCTGTCCTTTCTTCTCCAGTGTTTTCCTCCTCTCTTCCATATCTCCCTCTTCTCTCCTCTTTTCTGTCCTTTCTTCTCCAGCGTTTTCCTCCTCTCTTCCATATCTCCCTCTTCTCACCTTTCATAAACTTTCTGACACTCTTTCCTATTCTTCTCCTACACTGCCCTCCATTCTCCCTTCCTTCTCTTCTTCACTCAACTCTCCTTTCCTCTCTCCTGCATTTTCCTCCTCTCCTGTACACTCACCTCTACTCTCCCTTCCTTTTTTCATCTATACTTTCCTCCTCTCTCCTTGCTTTCTTCTCCTACTCTACCCCTTTTCCCCATTTCCTTTATTCTCCTTCACTTTCATGGCTGATGCTTTTCTTCTCCTACCCTTCTTCTACTCTTTTCATCCCTCTCCTCTCTCTCCTTCCTTCCCCTCCTCTCCCCTCCATCTTCCTTTCCTTTTCTCTCCTTCACTTCCCTCAGCTCTGCTTTTTCTCCTCTACTTTTCTTCTCCTTCCCCACCTTCTCTTTCATCTCTCAATTTCGTCTCTTTTTTCCCACTTTTCTTTCATGACTGACCTTTTGTTCCCCTCTTCTAACTTCCCTTATTTTCCCCCTTTTACTTCTTCTTTTGTCTTTCTTGTTCCCGTTCCTGTATTTCTCTGCTCTTTTTCCTTCCTGTTTCCTTATCTCCTCATCTTCCTCCTCCTCCTTTTACCTCCTCTCCCGTTTCCTTACTTCTTCTCTTGTTTCCTTTCCTTTCCAGCTCTCCTTTTTGTTTCCTTTCATCTCTTTCCACTTCTCATCTCCTCTTCTTTTATCCCTTCTTCTGCTTTCCCTGTCCTTCCCTCTTCCTTTTCTATTCTCATCTTCCCTCTTCTCCTCTCTTTTCCTGTCCTCTCCCCTTATCTCCTCTCCTTTCTCCCTGTCCTCTCTTCTCTCGCTTTCTCTCTCTTTCTCTGGGCCCCTGTTCAGAGTGGATCCTGAGAAAGTTGTACTTTTCCTGGAAGGCACGGCTGTGTTCAGATCTTAGGGAGGGATGGAACCTGAGTGGGCAGTCATCAGCGCAATAACATGCGCTCACGTCACGGGGCTGGCTCGAGGGCCCTGCGGAGTAAACCACAGAAGGCCGGGAATTATCGCTGCCTTTCCTTTTCAATTACAGAAAGCTTAAACACCTCCGGAGGGACCGCCGAACCTTCCCATGCAGCGCTCCAATTAGAAGGAAACTCTCGCTTTCTAACAATCTGCAGCTCGGATACTCCCGTCCTGTCCGAGGCCACCTGAAATAACTGAGCTCACATTCAGGCAGCTGCAGAGTGACAGAGAGAGGAGGCTGTGACTGATGTGATCCCACTCCTCACTCCTCTATTCTGTTAAAGAGGAGCGTTAGTGAATAACCGTCCTGTTGTGTTTGCAGACTCACAGTAGATGTCAGGTGTCTAAAGTGGGAATCAAGTACAGCTTCTTTTTCCTACTTTAACAGTCTGATGACCTCTTACATAACAAGAAGCTCTAGTGGAGCTGCAGATGTCCCTCCATACAGCCTGTTATTATTAAAAGGTCATTACTCAAACTGATTAATGACTTAGCAAATATGTCAGCACTTTTCATATTACGGATGAATGGATTTAATGGTGGAGAGGCACGTCAGTCAAACTTAAGTTTCCCGGCTTCTCCTGCCTTCATGGCCAAATGTCGTAGGGGTGGACACTAAACCGTAAACTGGAATATACAGAGTGTGTACGGGAAAAAAAACACAGATGTTGCAGTGGATGAAAGCATCAAAGTGTTGTGTGTGTGTGTAAAAGAAAAACACTGAAAGCAAGGACATCAAAGTGGTGTCGACACCAACAGGAACATGACATTCAGAAGTTGTCCGTAAGTGCATGATGGAAAAGCAAACAGTTTTTTTGTAAGACTTATTTCTTTCAGTTTTGGAAGCAAAATTTAAACCGCCTTTTCTATTTGTACCCCCATCCACTCCTAAGGAGAATCATTGTGATTGTGGGCTTGTAATCCTAAAGAAATTTACATTTTAGATAATCAAATTTGGATTTGAAAATCTAAACGTTTAAATCTTGGACTGGTTGTAATGTTTAATAAAAGATAAGCAAGACACTGTGCTAAACAGAATAGGGTATGTACCTTTTAAGGGATATAGCTCGGGTCGAATTGCAATGAACGCTTTCACAATAGTCTCATCACAGGAGCCGCAATCTCAGCCACATGACCTGAAACGCACCATGTCGCCACCACTTCCACCTTTACCGGGTCAAATCTATGATAAATGTCTATCTGAAACCATGAAATCATGTCACAGCCCCTCATTTCAACTCCTCTTCTCTGTCCTCTATCCTCAGCTGAACCAGAAGTACTTACTGACCAGCCATACTGGACTTCACTGTATTGCCTGAGTTAAACAACAAGGACTGACTTTAAATCAGACAGTATCGAGACAGAGTGAGATATGACATGAGTATGGGGTAGATTTTTTAAAAAAGACTGAATTATCCAAATCATAGATGGTGCAATTGTGTTGTTTGTTTTCTTTATTAGTTGAATGATGCTCATTTCTCCGTGACTTTTGTTTAATAGTCGAAAGATGTTCATTATTGTCCCTAAGAACACGCATTATTCTGGCATTCAAATACTACATTTTCTAAATTGTAATATGTATTACAAAGGGGATAAAATTGCAATATTAGGTTTTCCTCAATTTTCTGCAGCCTTAGAGATAAAAGTCACTACACAAAGTGGTAGTACCTGATAGTAGGTATCCTGTCCAGCCTTGACTCAGGGCTCCAGGCAAGAGTATCTACACGCAACTCGTGGTGGAAAGCTCCAAGGACATTGAATTCAACTCCCTCTATCTCCATATCCTCCTCCTGTGTAAAAAAAAAAAAAACAAAAAAAAAAAACAGTTTTTAAAAAGGAATAAACTTTCTCATTGTCTTCAGATCAGTGTATGTGAAGCTGTATCACTCACCGGGAAGAGGCAGGAGCCAACCACCACATACTGGTTTCCACCATAGGCAAGCAGAGAGGAAGCAGTACCAGAGCTGAAAGGACTGAACTCAACAACGTGGACGTAGTCCTCACATGGCACCGTGTATGTGGGACTGCGGCTCGAGTCCTCTGTCATGGTTGTGTCTGAGGCTCTGTCTTATGAAAGAAAATGACCCCTCCAAATCAGACAAGCCCCCACACTGTCCATTTTTAAAACTCGTCTTAAAACCCATTTTTAACCCTGCATGAGACTCAGCTACTGTTTTAGTGTTTGTTTTTAGTTATTTGTTTCTATGTTTTTAAATTAGTTTTTAAAACATGGAAACTTTATTTTACTTTTTAATGTCTGCTTTTATTTTATCCATTGTTTTGACTGTTTTTTTTTTATGTCTGCAATGTTTTGTCTATTCATGTACAGCACTTTGTTCAGCTGTGGTTGTTTTAAAGTGCTTTACAAATAAAGTTGGGTTGAGTCATATGAGAGTATACACAATCAACTTACCATGAACTTACATGTCGTAATATCACCAATTATTTCAAATGCATTTACATGATGGGACTAATTTTTGCCAAAAGCCGAGTCGAACCAAATCCCATGCAAATATCTGCGCATTTAAGAAATAATCCCCTTTACGGGCGCATACATAGCTAGTAGAGCACACTTTCTGTAGTTTTATTAGTCTATATCAGTCGCTATTATGTTCGGCAATTATTAAAACACACATAATAGTGCTTTATTAGAAATATAGCTGACCAAGTGTTGATATTGCTCACATGTTCACAGTTCTGACTTAGGGATTAGGCTGACAATCCCGTTGTGAAACAGTGAAGGATTAAGTAAAATACACATGCCGAATTCAGCATTACCAAATTCCGAATGGTTGAGTGTATCTTACATGTTTACATGATCACGCTATGACCAGATGCGTTCAAGTATCATCGTAGAAATTCAGATAGTTCTCATTTGGTAAGAGTCACGGGTCGTTTGGAGGGTTTATCCAATTCATTGCGAGTTGGTTCTCTTACACATTATCTTACATGACCAAACGGTACATCCAAGGCTCACATGTTCGTGTTATGACCATTAAACACAAAGCTGTAACGTGTCACCTGAAACCAGCAATGACCTGAGTGTATCTGCCTCTCTACACCAAAGAGTTAGCTAGCAAGCAGTTAGCCAAACAAAAGTTTACACCGCCTCTATTCACGAATGAGAGCTCCGACTGCGGACACGATAATTACCTCTTGGTTATGAGAGTTTGTTCCGATACAAACTACAGTTACACTTCATAAAATGTCGTCACTCTTCAGTTTGGTGTTCATCCAAATCAAATGGTGCGCGCGTTTCATGTGTTGTCAAGCTTCTTCCGGGTGTAGTTTGGAATCTACCACTGAGTACATACTAAAGGGGGTTTTCGCAAAATATTAAATCAAACCACCAACTTAAAGTACAATATACTTGAAATATGTCGTGTCAATGACTTATATATATGGTTTAAAATGAACTAGTGCTAGGTTGTTACAAAAAATATTTTGAAAAAACGCGATGAAAAATAAATTTATACGTCCAACCTCCCGTTGTTGTATACTCAGAGCTGATTGGCCAGGAGCTGAAACGTCACCAGTGATTTAAAATTTCAAAACAGCTGCTTTGTCGTGGACGTGTGGAGACGAACAACCGCACTAACAGAGGTTTGCATTACTAAATTGTTACTGTTGGTGAGTTGATTTAGCCACAATAGTTTAATGATTTTTATCCAACCTGGAAGGAATTCACGAGTAAATACACTTTGAAACATTTCCAAGGGATAAATGATGAGTTTTTTTCGTAGTATTGTGTGTCCAAAACCAACTAGCCTTGAGGTTTCCTTTAAGTGACACAGAGAACAAGAGTTTTCTTCACATTTTCCTCACATTTGAACCTGATTTATTGGATGTCATGTTAAATACCATTTGAACAAAACTTCAACAGTTTTTGTCATCAGCCAAGTAAGAGATATCTGATTTTTTTTTTTCTCCTACTGTTTCAGGTGAAAATGGAGGCTCTAAGTCACCATCTGAAGTTGATGATTAAAGTTTTCAGGAGAGAATGCCACAGGGTTTTAGACTCTGAGAGGACCACCGTTCATGGGGCTGATGGTATGCTGATGGTACTCCAGGTGGCCATGGCTGAACTTAATAAGCAGGTAATAATCCAGTTCTTCTGTCCCAACTTCTATCCTCTTGTTAATTTGAATATTTTTTGAAGTATATAAAGGTACAGTGTGAAGTATTCAGCGGCTTTTGGTCCTCGATGGCCACTGTTGCTTCACCTATGGGAGGGGTGAGCAGGGGCACATTTCAAATTTAGAGTCAGACCACTAGATATCACTCAGTATTCCTATTTATACCCCAAATATGACATATTTCATCATTTGACATTCTTTGATAGACAACCTTTTCCTTTTTAGCATGGCAACAGTGGACAAGGCCTCTGGAGTGCTGGGTTTCAGAGTGCTTTAAGGCCTGAGGTTAACATTTGTGTTCACTTCCGACGATTTCTGTACATGAATTTAAACCAACCGATCAAAGAAAACGTGGGAATGCATTTCAATATTTTGTGTTATTATTGTGAGTCATCAAGCAGCGCCAGAAACAAAGCCGTACGCCCAATTCACATCATCATCATGGCCTAATTTAATTGAACCATCAGGCTGACTGTCATCACGTCTATAACTGATGACATTACCACAGATTTCCGGCTGAGTCCGCTCATGGCCCACTTTTGAACTGTAGTGGAAGGTCTTTTCTGCCTTTTCGGACTGATTGGTTCCAGGCTGTCGATAATTACGGCTGCTGCTTTCACTGTTTTCTCTCTTCCTGTGACAGCACTGCGGAGAGTTCAAAGTGGCTTTGAGTGATGTCCTGATGGCCTGGAAACACTTACTGTTAGACAAACTTCACCTGCTGCCCTCTGACTTTTCACGCTTGGAGAACTATGATCTCATCCGAGAGGCTTACGAATCCTTCCTGAAACGCTCCAACACGGTGGACCTGGTTGATATCTTCTCCATGTACAAACAGCTGAGGCTGGTGGACTCAGATCCAGATGAGCCTGTGAACGCGGTGAGCACACTGATGCTGATTGTGGGTGATCAGATTGGCTACTGAGTCACAGATCAATTGATTTATCCGCCTAATTGCTTTTTTATTCTTTCACCTAAAAGATCCAGATGTTTGACTTCTTATCTGGCAACATGGAGGTCCCAGAGCTGCCAGACTCTTCAGTCCCATCAACGCCGTCTAGTCAAAGTAGGCGCTGCAGCTCACAGGTAGGGCCCAGTCCTGCTTTTATACAGTAATAAAAGGTGCTACTCCATCATAAACAATATAAAACCGCTCTTTCCACTTTGCCCTCTACCCTCACAAATATTTTATTTTCAGGAAAATAAAACACGTTTTCTCCCTCTGGCAATAATCTACACATTTACTTCCTCAGTCCTCACTCACTTAATTTCTGTCTGGACTGCATCCTGCTCTCATTGACAGGAACTCTATATCATATTGCTCAGATTTAAGAGCACAATGTGAATTCAATTACCAGGCACATGTTTAAAACACAACATAATGTGGGGCTGGAGAAGAGCTTCTGTAACAGCGACCCCCCCCTCACACTCCTCTTTGTCACCTGTGAATTTATGAGTTTACTTAGTGGAAGCTCACCGCTGCACAAGCATCGAGAGTGATGTAACTTTTGGAGTTTAATACGAGCTGTCAGCTGCTGATTTTAGTAGTGTAGTAAAAATCTTTTGTCCCCTTTGGTCGTTTATAAACACAACCTGGGCTGGCCTGAAGTCAAAAGCTTTGCTGAAAGGATAGTTTAACATTTAAGTAATGTGCTGTTGACTTTCTGAAGGAAAACTGGACGCAAAAATTGATGTTAAGCTGATGTTAGCTGCTAAGCTCAGCACAAAGATGAGAAACAGGCTCAAACACCTGGCCTGGCTTTGTGAAAATTAACAAAATCTGTTATAAAATGTCTTAAAAGCTTACTTATATACAGTTGATATAAAGCTCCCATGAGGAAACTTTGGTTTGGGTCAAATTTGGCGCCTCCTTTTGTCTTTCGTGTTCCTAGACTGAAGAAAAAAGTTCAGCAACTGTAATAGTTAAAGCTAATGATTATGTCTGTGTCTGTTTTTAAAGCAATTAATATCATGTTTGAGTACAGTATAGGAAGACGTTGATGTCAGATGTTTGACATTTACTGAGTGACTCTGTTAACAAGTGGTTTTCAGCCTTTTGCTACAGCAACCACGTCAATATTCTGCTGAAAGTCCCCAGTTATCAGGGTCACTCCTTAAACCATAACATTAGTGGTCTTACCTTCTTTTTTATTAGACTGAAAAATCCTACTTGTACACCAGAAAATTTCTTCAAATAAAACAATAAAACTAAATTAACTCACAAAGATTTAGGAAAACAAGAACCAAAAGCAATCTAGCAACTGGGTTGAGGCCAATATCCACAATAACAGAACAATGGTCAGGTATCAAGGTTTATACACTAATGGCAGAAGCTCTAAACATGTGAGCAGTGTCAGTTCTTGAACAGTACTGTATCTATTTGTTTATTTTGACTCAACTTTAATGATGCTATGCTCTAATATCACCAGGTCAAAGCTGCAGTGAGGGGGGTGTTCTGCTCCTATCTGAGTCTCCTCATAAACTCCAAGAACGACATGGCCTTGGCGCAAACCCTCGATGTCCCCAGCCGCGCTCTTGGACGACAGGCTTTCACCGACATAAAACACGCTGCACACAACAGCAACACTTCCCTCTTTCTGGTAAGAAACACAAGACTCAGCATGCGCTTATAGGCTTTAGCGATGATGTACACACGCTTGACATCACTAGAAAAACAAAACTACGACATTAAAGTGTCGTAAATCCTGTCTTCTGCATCATTCTGGTTTACGTCATGCCATTCGCAGGCTGTGACATCTTTTGTGAGAGCCATCCAGCTCGGAGGGAAGGGTTACGCTCCAGCTGAGTCCGACCCACTGAGGAAACATGTCAAAGGCCTGTCGGAGTTTGTGCAGTTTGTAGACAACCTGGAAGATATACTGGGGGAGATTCCTGACCCAAGGTACACAATGACTCTCAATTCTTCTGTGGTTATGACAGTGCATGCTGGGAAAATCAGCCAACAGTGAGAGGGCATGTGGGTGAAGTTGACCTGCTAATCGGCCAAAGAAGTGAAATTGATCAAACAAATGATGTTCTTATTTTATGAGGCTTGAAATCCCAGTCATATGTTGTGTATAAGCTGTAGTGCAGTCATCTGCCACTAGCCGGGGCTGTAGCTCCAGTTAACGGCTGTTTCCCATGATGCTGTAGTGCTCAACTACCCAGATGTAAACAAGCACATTCTTGAGGCTCTAGACAGATACTCAGGCTTCTGATTGGCTTAAATTTGTCATCAATGGCGTCATTATGTTGGTCATTCTAGTGCGCCTCATGTACAGAGGCCACAGCCCACGTCTCAGCGGTCACTTCTTCTCACACTCCTCATCTCTCTCCGGCTCTCATTTCTATTAAAAGCAAAATCAACTTTAAAGTATTAAGTTGTGTCAGTTTATCATCAATTTGCTCTTTTTATGAGGTTTGTGGCTCTAAGACATATCTAAAATATCTCCAGATTTACTCCACCTACTAAAATTAATTGCGTTGCTCAGGCTTTGCAAATTAAGAAAATGAGATTTAATCACATTTAATCTTGTTTCTTGCAGCAATTTATTTTCCAGATTACTACATTTGTAAATCCCTTGTTTGCAGAAGCTAATCCTGAGAGTGCTAAAACAAGCAACTCCAAGTACTACGTCTCTATTAAAAGCTCTGTTTACTTAATTGACATCTAATACTCATAAGCATGTTTAAATTCAGAGAAATCACCCTGAGCTGATTAGGGGAACTCAAAGGTTCCAAGAAAAGTTGTGCGTGCGTTTCTATCTGGCAGCACCTGAGGTCAAACACAGTCAGCAGTGTGATTTATGACGGAGTTGGATTTTCTTCGAATTGCTTCACTTCTTTATGCAATTCAACTCGCTTCTCCCTCTTGTGTGGTCAGCTCGTTTCTTTTAGTCTGAATTCTGAAGCTGAAACTCTCTCAGCTCTTTGCGTGTGTGTCGCTTCTTTCACTGGTAGGGATATTTACAGGCCTGGCAGACACCTGTGCCCTGAAATCACACCTATGATCATAAAAATCCACCTGTTCCCCTGCATGTCTCTCTATCATAGTCTTTAAATCTATGTAATGATGCTCGTCTAAGCTTCTCATGATAGCATTTGGATTGCTAAAGCATGTTGATCCTCGCTAGATCAAAGCTTCTCTTTTTGTTGAATAATGTGTTTGAGCTCTTACTTTGATGAATTATCATCAAACTGCAGATCATTCTTGAAATCATTACAGATTATTTCTGATGTCGAAGCACCTGGCAACACAACAAAAAGGGTTATCAGAGATGATTTAGCCTCTCCGTCTTGTGAGGGGCTGAGCTCTGAGGTGAAGCTGTTTAGAAGTATGTTAGGTCTTATTAGCGATGTTAGCTTCCCTCAGCCGAGCCATAACAACACACTCTGATGTTTGTGTAGTAGTAGACTCGGCTCTCACTGCTCTTCAGAGGGTTCTCAGTTCATGCAGACTGAGAGAGACACTGATGAACTCGGCCAACACGTGTCTTTCAACAGGCAGTGCCTGTACGCTCTCAGTGGAGTACTGTGTTTCCTCATACAAACACCTTCTGTGGAGAGTTCAGGGCCTTTGTTCACCGAACATCTGTTTTCCCAAATGATTCTGTTACTGAGCCCGGCTCGCTCACATCAGAGCTGGGTCAGGGCTGGACCACCTCCTCTCCACCTTACTCTCAATCTTTTTCCAATACACTTCAGTCCACTTTACAGGAGTTGCATTATGAATATCAGAGACGCCTCTGATGCTGGTTGATACAGTGTACAGATACTCAGTGTAGCCTACACAGCAGCCTCAGTAATATGCATTATAGCAGAAAAAGAATCTGCTTTAGTGTATTTCTCACACAGTTGTTACACTTGGCAGCTAATTCTTACAGTTCCAGCTCCAATTTACCTCAAAAAGACTTTTGGAGGCTTTTCTGGGTTTACCAATTTAGGAAAAGTCAAACATTTTGTTAAATTTTGGCTGAACTCTGGAGCCCTAATGACTGAAACCCGTGTCCCAGAGGAAAAAAGTTAAAAAATAAATGCAGCTTTGGTGACCGTCACTGTGTTTCTTTTATTCTCAGCGTATGTGGAGCCAAGCTACTGACAGCCATCAGGGCCGTGCTGGTGAAGGGTCGCAGCAGTGGAGATGCAATTCACACTGCAGCAGAAGAGACAACAACAGAGCTGAAGGAGAGGATCTGCCAGCTCCACCAGATCCAGAAACAGAAAGCCAGTGGCAGTGGGACGGGGATAAGCCCGGCCAGGGTAATGTACAACCTCTGCTCTCCAGCCAGGCAGCGACAGTTCTGGCTTTTGTGTCCCTGCATTCACACAAAACCCAATTCATCTCCCCGAACAGTCAAGCCTATGAGGTAATGATTGTTGTGTTGCTGTTTTCATCCAGCCAAAAGCGTACGCAGTCAATCACGCCACAGCTTATGGAGGTCGGGACACGGTGAAGGTGCTGTTGGCGCTGCTGGATGAAGAGGCTGTGACTCCTCCATGTCAGAATAAAGCAGACCTGCTGTCTGAGGATCAGCCTGTCCTCAACGGAGCCGAGGGGACCTGCATCCTCACACTCTTCAGGTTATCCATGCAGATGAACTTTAATGCCTTTCTTCTTTCAAGCTGTGGCCAAATATAAGAGATTCAGATTTCTGGGCAGGTTTCCAGCCATGTTAAAGATCACTTTGGTTTGGGCTGTCCCAACATAGGGGTGCTAAAACATGGTGCTATGGGTGGGCATTCAGGAACCTTTGCCAGCATGAAGAAATGGATTGTAGAAACTGAAATATTTATGCACTAAATGGTACCAGAACCCCTGGTGAAAACACAGAATTTATTTTGTTGACTTTGTTTTTCTCAAAAAAGGTCACTTATACCACTTTTACTTATCCCATAATTCCAAGAATGAGTTAGAATTCTGATTTCTGATTCTGATCAGAATTTGGAAATTTAACTTCGGAGTGCCGAAAAAGGGGGAGTTCTGAGGGAAAACTCAGAATTCTGATCTTTATCCCAGAACCCTGAAAAAAGTCAGAAGTCTGACTCAGATCTCAGAATTTGACAAACTCGGAATACAGAGAAGAAAAAGAATTCTGAGTGTCAAGTCAGAGTTCTAAGGAAAAAGTTGTACTTCTGACTTACAGCTCCAAATTCAGGGAAAAAAATTCAGCCCTGAACTTTTTAATAGCCCTTATCCTCTCCAGTATCTGTCTGATAGGACTTAAACTTTTGTTTTATGACGTGAGTATTTCCATAACCGCAGGATTCAGCCAGAGTGGGAAATCCCCTCTAACAGAGATTACACCAACATGAGACTCTACAACTCTCCTCTGAAAGTGTATAGAGGAAAATCCTCCCACACCACACTGGAAAAACTTCTCCGGTCAAACCTGTGAAATCAAAATAACAACATAGAAAAAGCCACTGGATGTGGTCGAGGGGCTTACATTATGCCCGAGGTGGATAACATTGAATTGCTGATGTCCAACATGTTGCAAGTTGGACGTCAGCTCAGTCTGGCCTGTTGGTGGTGGGATTAGTAAAGCTGAAATATCAAGTAGATGGAGTTTTAAAGGTGCAGTTTCAAGTCTTTGTTTTCAATCTAACAGCATGACCTTTGCAGGTATTCTAAATTATTACTTTTTGTAAATGTCTTGCGTTTATTTGCTCCTCAGATCCCCCGAAGTGTCGACTGGATGTTCTCCAGAACCTCTAAAAAGCCGAGTCCAGAGCCGACTAGACCTACTTAAACCCAAGGTAACATGGGCCCCTTCATCCAAGAGCCTCAAATCCAAACCATCAGTTACTTCAAATTGAATCAGATGTACAAACACTGAAAATAATGTCTTTACATCCTGTAATTTCTCCCTGGTATTATATTATTTATTTTCTTAGCTGAAGCTCACATCTTAACTGACTTCCACCGTTACCGTTTGCACAGCTGTGTTTTAGCTCTGAGTGTTGGTCTGAGGGTGCCGTGTAAATCCAGGGCATTAAACGGCTCATTCGAGAGGGATTCAAACCATTAACCAATCCAGATGATAAGTTATTCTATTGTCAGAGGCGGCGCTCGGCTCCATTTGCTTACACTGCACAATACAAACATACAGCAGATCCGATATCTGGGTCTCACTTCCTTCCTTCCTGTGAGCTCAGCTGTTTGGTTTTCACCTGGATGTTTTCTGCGCTCTGTGGGAGAGAATCTGTAACATGATGATACAACCTTTGTTGTCATTATATTCCTCATTACACTTACTTTACTGTTATGCTCGATAGCAGTTAATTTATGTGTGTTCAGGGAGGTAAAGGGTTTTTTCATCAGGCGCTCAAGTATAATAACATCCACTCAGGGCTGTATTTTATTACTTAACCACAAAGCCTGACTGATGGTGTTTTTGGTGGGTGTGGGGCTGTCTCCTGTACTTTATTTGCATTAAAAAAATCTAACCAAATAATAAAATATAATATGTTTACTTATTTTGACTAAGATGCACACTGAGCCAAAATGACAAAGTAGGCTCAAGGTAGTTTAGGAAAACGTTTCTGCAGTACATATCATATCCACTGGGGGCACTGCTGAGACCATTTTTTTCCTTTTAAATATGTCCCATTAACTGAACAAGTGGGGGATCTTTCACAGTGTCCTGTTAGGATTTAAAGGTGGGGTAGGCAGGAATCCGTTAAAGAAGCTTCTTTTTTTGTGGTGTATATACAAAAAAGCTTTTAATATCAGCCAACAGCTATTAGTTATTGATGACATTTGGTAATACAACCATATCGCTGTGTTTTGTCATGTCTGTGTAGTCAACATTTTACATTTTTTGGGGCCCCGCTCAGTCTGGCTGTAAACGAAGCCCTTTTCCTTCCTCCCCCCCGACCTGATTGGTTGTGAGGCAGACGCTGCTCCATCATGTTGTGAGGCACGCTCCACGCCCTCCAATAACGTGCATGAGCCCATACAAAATTAGCGTGCTACAATATCGGACAGTAGGAACCAACCAGAAAGTACGAAAAACACAAGCAATAAAATAAAGTAAATACCGGAGACTCTGGCGGAATAACGGGCGCTTAAAACAAAGGTAGACCGGACAAGAGCTAAAAAGGCGGGTCAACATCAATGAAGCATAAATGCTTCGGAGACGCTTCGGGATCTTACGGACCCTGTAACCTTTTTGCTGCACAGATAAACCGCTTTAACAAAGTTAGCCAAGTGTCTGTAACAGAAATGCTTCTTGTCAAACGGGATCTACTGCGTGTTGAAGCGCCGCTAAACTGTTGACCTCGGGTCCTGGACTATGTCACTTTATCCTAGATGTAGAAGTCCTGCAAACATTGTGTTTGCTGGTAGTCTGTTGGCATCTACAGTAGCACCAATACTTTTTACTTTCACGTTGACTGGGCCCCATTTGTAATTATCTGAAGTATTTATCTGCATTATATCTGAATTTAATTGGAACGATACGAGCGAGCAGGAGTGTCTGTTTGTGGGCTAACTGGAGCAGAAAGGGAGGGGAGAGGAGGAGCTGAGGGGAAAACTGGTTGGGAGGGGTAGTTTTTACTTTCAAAACTTCTCTCAAAAACTGGCACTGCCTCAGATCCTGCCTACCCCATCTTTAAATTTCCATTAAACAAAATCAATTTTCTCACTTGTCTACTAATAAGTACTAATCATGGTGACGTGAAGCAAGCTTTAAAAAGTATTTACAGTGCAATTTAGTTTAACTGATAAACTTAAAACCCTTCTTTTAAATTTATGAAAGACACAGGCTTTACTGCAGTCTGTCAGCAGGGGGAGCTCTAAATCATTTGGCTTCACTTTTGAGGAGCAGTCATGTCACACATCCTTTTTACATACAAATCAAAGTATGTCCACAGTGTTTGGGAAAATGTCCTAGAGGGAGCTGATGAGTCAACCTTAGGGTGAAGATATCAAGTTCGAAAATGGCAATCATCTGAACGTGTAAAGTTTGAAAAATAATCTAATATCGGGTTCTCTTGAATTGATCTGAATGATTAGAAATATCACGTGTGATTTTAACAATACAGGAGCAGAATTAATATGAACTAATATGAAATTCAGGTTTTGTTTACGCCACTCGCTGGCCCTGATCTTCATCTTTAAAAATCAGCTAAAGGTTGCAAAACTAAAATACCAGAGATAGAGAAGCTCTTTATGAACACATGTTGAAAACTTTGATTAAGCCAATGAAATTAATCCAATTTAAAAACTAGAATTAAAATGTAGTCTAAATATTTCTGAACAGAAATTGGATCAAACTCAAGCAGAAAAGTTTTTAATATTTTTCAGACTTTTTCTGCATCCTCCTCAGCTCCAAAAACTGCTGAGTCATCCAAAACCTCAGCAGGTCCAGCTTTAGATTAAAATGCGAGTCTGATAGTTGAACATGAAGTAGCTCCTCTGTGTGAACTCTGTGTGTGCTAAACACATTGAGTGAAATGGCTCCTTGATTTGATTGAGCTAGCAGATGTCATTTTAGCTCCCCACACTCTGGCTGCCTTCCTGTTTGAGAGCGCTGTAATGGTCCCTGGGCAGCTCACCGCTTCCTGAACTCGGCGAGCGGAAGCTTTCTGCATCAATTTCACTTTGAAGATGCCATATCAGTCGCGTAATTCGACTAGCAAGGGAAACTTGAAAGGTTATTGTTTCCTGTTGTCTGCCGAATGACTTTATCCCAGACGTGTCCAGCGGTTTCATCATGCGCTGACGTCAACTGAGATGGACAGATTTAGTTTCTGCTTTTGGGACGTTTCCAAATCGCTTTCTCAGTGCTGCAGACGATCAAAACACAGACAACACTCTGCTCACACTCTCCATGTGGCGGTATGTGCGCTCTCGGTCTCAGACGGTGATAGACGTGATGGTGCACCTGTTCCTCGTTCTCACTTCTATCACCTGAGTGTGAGAACATACGTCAAAACACGAATTGTTTGCACCTGTTTTTGGACGCTCTATTAGGAATGTGTTGATCAGGTGTCGTGACAGAGGTTATTTCGGGACATCCGTCTTCAGAGGAATGAGGGCTGTCTACCCGCATGGGGCCACGTCGGGCTCCCACCTGTTGTAATTGGATTAGATGTTCTCCGTCAGTCGCAGTTTGGCCGTGTTCACTCTTCCATCCCCTCCCATTGTTTCAGGGGCGCTCCAGATATGTTTTATGAACATGCAGCCAGGGCTCCATACATTGTGTGCCCAGTTATTGAAGTGTGCCTCATTCTGACGGTTGTTTTATGTTCTGATAAGAAGTTCTTTTGAAAAGCACAAAGGCTTTGATCCCTTTGTGCTCCGAGGACCCACCCTGCTTTGCTCGCTCTACTATTTCCCTCAGATTTTTCCTCCCTACTGTGGCCCACTGGCCTGAAGGGTGAAATCCTTGGATTGTGATAATCCCGAGCAGACGTAGATCAAACAGTAGATAAAAAGCAGAGGATCTTGTTTTCCTCAGGGCAAGGATTGGAGCCTCCGGTATCATTCACATTGTTGTAACTAACTAGTCTGAAAGGATTTTTAATGAGAGCTGCTGCTTCTCTGCTTTTGACTTGTGATTGTTTTGGGATAAGAAACTGTTTCCCTTGTTTGTTTGACGTGTTGTAAACTTGGGCCTCTGTTGGGTTTATCCACCTTTGCCAATGACAGTGGCCTTCGTCATCTGAGACAGAGTCCCCACAGCCATAAAATATGATCAGTTATCTTTGTGTAGAGCCAAATCACAGCAAAAGTTTGCATAAAACTTGAACTTTTGCATGAATTCCTCGCCTTTTGGGATTACCTGTTCTTGAAATCTCAGGGACTACGAATTTTCTGTCCCAAACACCGAAATGAATTCAAGAATCTTTTTCACCAGCCTGCTGATACTGTTGACTGCATAACACATAGATGTAGTCTCAGTTCACCTCACCTGTTGGTTTCTGGAGAGACGTTTCAAAACCTAACACCACATTGGAAATTTTCTATCAATGGCCTAACAAGACACTAAGAGTTTGGGCTAAGATGGGTCTTTGTCAGTCAGACTCTTTGCTAATATTGAGGGGAAAAAAAGAGTCATCCAGATCAGAATCCTTGTTGCACCCGACTGTAAGCACGTCTATTTTTGCTGTAGAAATTGGCTTTTTAAAATGGGTGTGTATGTCACTTCTAGTGCTTTTGGAGCCAGCCTCAAGTGGACAGTAGAGGAACTGCAGTTTTTGCACAAGATTTTTGCAAGATTGGAGTTTGACACTTGGAAATGTCATGTGTTTACATGTAACAACCATGCCATCCAATTCATAGCAAATAATAGGTTTCTCCTGTCTTTGCTTACTCCAGGCCAAAGATCGAGTCATCAGATCCCAGTTCGCATGCACATACAAAGATGAAGAGCCACCGCTCAACCGGGTGCTAGAGTTCCCCAGCATGAGCCAGGTCCCTACCTGTGTGCACCCAGCACCCAAACTCAAAACCATCTCAGCTGTGGACGAGGAGAGCAAGTCTGATGAAGAGGACGCGACTACAGGTACAGATTTAATGTTAACACGATCAAATCAGCAGATACTGTAAATGCGCTTCGATGTATGTGGGGAAAAAAAGCTTAAACAAAGGTTCGATTTGTGTTTCCACTGACACCATAAAGCTGGACTCAGTCCCAGGCACACCCTCTCAGCTCCAGCCTTGACCCCTTCTCAGCTCCGGCCCTGGGACTATAGTGCTGATACCATTAGCTGTTAAACGAATCCCCTGTTCTATAAAACCTGCTCACGTCCACATCTGTAGTAAAAACCAAAATCACACTCACACACACACACACACACACACAGACTTTTTGCCCATTTCCCCCTCTGTCTTTTGTTCCGTGGGAATTCAGGCTGAGCTCCATCAGGTTACATGACAGATGTTAAATTTCAACTCTACAGAATAAACACACAGCCTGCTTCAGCTAGCAGCGAACGTCAGCAATTTCGTCACTGCAGTTTTTTCCTTTTTTTCCAACACGGTTGTCACATTTGCTTTTGCCCTGCTTCAATCTTTCCAGACAAGCCCACTTCTGCTGCTGAAAATAAGAAACAGAGCGGCGAACAGCGGGGAGCCGTCCTCGAGCCAAGAAGTGGAAATGCCCAAAACAGAAGCAGAGGAAGTACAAGGAAAACTGGCGCTCAGATACAAAACAAGGGCAACAAGAGGAAGCAGGTGGATTCTGACCAGCATGGGGGATCCGAAAATGAGCCCCCACAGAAAAAACAGCCAGTGAGTGTCCCAGCGAAAATACCTGGCAAGAATGTGGGCAAGACCTCAAATAAGAAGAAGCTGATAACGGGGCAGGGAAAACTCACCAGCTTCTTCAGAGTTTAACGGTTCTTTGTATCGCTTATGAATTTTATACGGAACAGAGGTTCTTTGAAAAGGTGTTCCTATGAAACTTCAGAAGAGTTTTCACTCTTTCCCTGTCCTTGTTTTGAATGTCTGCTTTCCCCATAATGTGTCAAAAATACTTTTTTCAGCCTTAGTAAATGTTTTAACAGCTATTTTGGTTCAGTTTTAGAGGAAAATGCTTGAAATTCATCAGCTAGATTGATCAGCTATTAAGTCTGGTAGATGGTTTTTGTTACATTTTCAACAGAAGCAGGAAAACTTTCTCCTTAATTTCCTCTTTTTTTTTGCAAACACTGAGCCTACGGTTGGTGTAGCTCTATATTTGGCACACACTGTGGCATCAGTCGTATACTTTATCCCTTAGAAAGAAAGAAGGGGGCAGATTCTCCCAATGGAGCACCATTCTTTACCTGTACAATCATTGATGTAAATACGAGCCAGACTTTACTTTTTAATAAATGTTTATTTTGTTTTATATTTTTGTGCACTCTGATTGTTTATTAGAAGGAAATACAGTCACGGTTCACACATTTAAGGATGGATTTTTTTACAATGCATTCGAAGGAGAGTGAAGGACATTTAAACTTCCCAGCAGGGTCGGTACACTCTGCCGATCATACAACGAAGAACTGGAAAGAGGTAAAAGACAAGAAAATCAGTCAAAGTGAACAAAATGTGTCAATATTTGTTTATGGTTTACAATAAACTTCACTGAACTTTGGGAAAATGGTTTTACAGATACTCACTGTCGAGATCATTGTTTCTACGATCCATTTTCAAACCTTGCTCCGCCAGATTTTGGTTCCAGTTTTGGTCTGTGAGCTGAGGCAAGCTTCGAGTAAAAGCCGAACTCTGCCCATGAAGACTGTTCCCCTTCAGCCTCATGTCCTGAAACACACAGTATTGATTAGTGATCGTATTTTGCACTTAAAGACCACACACACTTCCAGACCAGAGTCTGGACTCTGGATTTGCGGGCAATTTCAGCACAGGTGTTGGATCTTTATTTACCGGCGTATCCAAGCCACAGGAACCCCAAATGGAACAAATGTGCTTCCTCGTTTTTACTACATCACAGTGGCCCGTTTTCCCTCCAAAGCTCCGGTTCACCCAGATGGCTTTGTTCTCTCTGTCATGGCCGCCTGTTCCCCATTAAACCGCAGTGATAACCACCATGTTCACAACGCACTGGGGACGCAGCCGCCAGATAAACTCTTTAACACATCGCAGCCAAACGTTTGAGGGAACCCAGAAATATCATCATTCTTCCCACTGTGGTGCCAATAAATCTTTATGGGCTCGTGATCATTTGACCTTTAAAGCTAATAGTATTTCCCGGTTTTTCCAATGCTGCTATAAAAGATTTTCATAGATGTGAATGAAATATTGATTTAACAGGACAATGAGGAGGGTGGCCGGTTGAAAGGGTCAAATGTTCAGTGTCAAGATGGATATAATGTTCTCTTTGTTGTTGTTGAACTATGGTAAGCTGCTAAACTGTTTATAGAGAGAAATCTCACAATAAATAGTTATGATGCATGACCATCGTTGGCGGAATATACCGGCTGCAAAAAGAGTCCAGCTAGAGACTTTTATTTTGGATAAAAATAATCCAAACGGCTCTTTTCTTTGGATTACTTCTTTTGTTTAGTTAACAAAAAGTTTCAGGTTTGGTTAACCCATATAACAAAAATGTCTCCGTCAGCTAACAACTGTTTAAAGTGCTCTAGGAAACCACGCTGACGACGGTTTCATAAGGAACATATCTTTGGTAAGAAGTTCTTAGAGTGGTAACTTTTTATGATTTCATCTAAAATGTCTTTTTACAGTGTAACAGGTACATTGTTTTTGGAAAGACACGCTGCTATCCACTTCTGTAAATCCAATTTTTAAGTGCTTTGACCTTGTGAATAAATCCAAGCACTCAACCCCGATATGTTTTGGTTGCCAGATGGTGAAAAGTAAACCTGTTGAACCGAAAAGCCAAAGGACGTTAGCCTAAATTTGTTGTTAATGGCGTATAACTCCAGGTTATGGTATTAGTATATACAGTAATTTATTACCACCTCAGACCAAAGCTGGCTGGATGTTCATTTTAACTTCTCCTCAGCTGTTTAAAATCAGTAAGACCTGAAAGACGTTGCAGTCATAGCCAGTTTAAAACGCCAACAAAGTCTCTGTCACGCTGGGCCGTTGGCTCTTGTGGAGACGTTTTAAAGCTCGGTGATAAAGGTACCATATTGGGAATGCTGGCTCCGTCTGACTTTTGATCTACCTTAAAACAGACAAAGATGTTTGGCTTTACACCCCCAACTATCAGTCAAATACAGAATGCTCCTTACGCCTATACTATGGAAAACTTTGTAGTATTAGATTCTAGACTAAAAAGCTCCCTTGCTCACCCCTGCAGCTGATGAACAACGGTGGCCCTCAAGGACAAGAAGCTACTGTCATGTATGTTAAAAATAGTTCTCTTTTTGGCCATTATTTTCCAAGCAAAATGTCTATTGGTATTAACACTTTTGCACACTAAACAAACTAAACTGCATTCTGCCGAATTTCTAAATACAAAATACTCTTGAGTTGCTAATTTTGTCCATTCTGTGCTACTGTAGAAACATGGCAATGTTAGACGGCAGCTGCTGGATAAAGAAATGTCACCACTAGATTGCAAAATAAGGGTTTATGACTCAACAGTATCCATCAATGACTCTGGTCCAGCTCAAGCTATCTGCCTGTTACAGATTTTCTTAGTCACTGCGGCCAAATGAGGTCAAATACTTGATCATGGTCACTCTATGTTGGGTTTCTTTGAGTAATATAATGACTAGTATACAATAAAAACCCTTAACCTCTACTCTTCCGTCATCTCTTCATCAATACTGTGATGTGTTACTCACCGAGACAAGGATGATTTTCGGACTTCCATCTTCATCCCTCACGTTGCTGTCCAGCACACTTCGTCTGTACACAGTTGAAAGCACACTACGCTCAGCCATCGGTTCGTCCCTCAGTAACAAACCAAGGCCGTCCTGCTCTGTCACGTTATCTTCTGCTTTGGCTGGAGGCATCGCCACAGAGACCGAGATGCTGCTCAGCTCAGAGAACAGCACCAGCGAGTACAGGACAGAGTAGAGGGAGATCATGGCGCTCACTTCTACGATCTTTGACTTATCCTGTCTCACCTACCGACTGCTATACCTGGGCGCTCAGTCGTCTTATATATTCAGCAAGATGGCAGTTTGCTTATGAGCTGGGATTATTAAATGTGAATGATAATAATGTTCCTGCAGATTCGTCTTTATCTAAAAGACCAGTGGTCAAAGAAGTTTAAAGGTCATTGCAAAAAGGTCAGATCCATTACCATGTGTACCATGAAACTGAACAGATCAGGTGTTTCCTTGTTGTTGTGAAGGGGATTAAGACATCAAATGTGCTGCTGTAATTCCCACAAAGGTCTCACTGGAGGCCAAAGGCCAGTAAATGATAAGAGATGTTGTGCTTCATGATCAAAAAGCTTGAAGAAACTCAGCAGGTGACAGGGCAGACTCACCGAATCGCCATAATGAGTCATTTACTCTGAATGGAATCAGTGGCTCAACATGGCCGAATCTTAGATTGAGACGGATAATCCTCAGAGGTCAATGACACCATTGAAGACATCCAAACATTAGCTGCCAGTGTGGCTAATGAAAACACAGCAGGTCTTACGTATCGAAGTATCGAAGTATAAAGTCAAAGCCAGGGGAAGAGAGTCAGGCAGCATCACACTGCCAACGTCGCCCTCTTTAATCGAGCTTCATCAGTTTTTAAGTGAATTTTGTTTGATGATGCAAAGATCACACACTGCTTTGTCTTCCAATTTGTGCACTTGTAACACTGTTTATTAGATATAAAAACATATGTTAGTAATTTGTCCTTTATGTGCCACTATGGGAACAAGGCAGTAGAAAATGGAAGGGGACGTCATGACGTTATAAAATACTTACTCTAGATCAAGAAAAACAAAATATATATTATATCAGGGCTCGACAGTGTGACCGTTTCAATCACATTTGCGACTAAAAAAAGATGTGTGCGAATTGTAAAATGTATTTAGGGGCACATGTGTGCATAAAAATCAGCCGAGGCAACAAAAGTTTTTTTATGTAAATACCACGGCAAAGTTAGTTTTAGGTTGGATATTCGACGGACATGCACCGCAGTTCTACTCGTGTCTTCTCACTCTACATAACCGGGAATAGCAACAGCAGCGTGGTTAACTCTGCTCGGCACCCTCCAATAAGGGACCATCAATAAATTACCGGTTGATGGTCTCAAAAAAAGACAGTATCCATGTCATGTGACCAATTGACCTGAAATTGATTTCAATTAATCGTACTTATGTTGACCAATTACACACATTATTTGATCAATTTTCAGTGTCCTCTTAAAGTTCTTTGTGTGCTCCTTACTTTTTCAACCTAGGAGCACGTGAAAAAAGTTAGTGTCAAGCCCTATATACTAGTAATTATACACTAATCTTAACATACTTATCAGTATTACATTCCATTTTTACCAAGTCTGTTGCAGCCATTTACTGCGTACTGTACCTTTAAGTAACACTGAGCTAACAGTAAAATAAGCACAGCCTCATATTTACTGTACAGATATGAGAGTGGTATCAAGCTTCTCATCTAACCCTTAACAAGAAAGCAAACAAATTATTTCCCAAAGTGGAGAACCTGATACGCCACAGCTCTGCGATCTGCCTCTGGGAAGTTTGATGGACAAGCACCCACACCACGGTGGCGTTCATCAGCTGATATTAAAGGGTGGAGGCCTCCATGTTGACACAGCTCCTTGCAGGCCTCTTCTCGGCTCAGACGGCTTACCTTATTAACATCACAGGAGCCTCAGGGCAGGGGATGGAGAGCCGGGACATGAATAATAGCTATTGAACTCAGCTGAAGTGATTTTACTTGGAGCGGTCAGCCTTTATTTTGTAAGTATTATTGTTGGAGGGCGAGGGCTTCTACTGAAGGACTGAACTTGTCCACAGGGGCTCGGCCGTTCCAGCAGAAGCACAACTGAACTTGTGAGCTTTGTGCTCTGTTGTTGCAACCTTTCTCGCTCTTCCTCTCTTTCTGATAATCTCTCCCTCTCGTTTCCCATATTTCTGCTGATACTCTCTGTATTATTGATGTGCTGTTACGGACAGGAGACACCCCGCAAATCAATGCTACCTATCAGCTTTCTTGGCACCTCAAATGGGACGATTCGACGATCTTCTGAGTTGCGCTGGAGGTCTTAATCTAGTGACTGTGATTTTTCCCTGCTGTGAATTTCTAAGAAATCATTACCATAATTTTCTAACAAAGAGCATCAGCAAAAGAAGCCAAGGGTCCAAATAATCTTATGAGGACAAGATGTGATTTGGTGGGTGTTCATGAATATTATTTACTAAATCTTTGTTTCCACAACGCTGCCTGTCAAATTTTCAATGCTCGCCAGTAAACTTAGTACAACTACTGTTTCTGATTTACATTTGGTACTATTTGTAAGCACATGTAATTGTGTCCAGATTCAACTCAGCCTCGTGCATGGTTTAAATTTTAAACTGGGGAAAGCTGCAGAGTAGTTTTTTTCACCAGCTCTGTCAGCTGCTTGCATCACCTGTCAGTCGTTGGTGCTGTATTTCAATCACACCGCCTACGTCTTTGTACGTAAGGAGACCACAGAAGTCTGGGCCCTATGACATCAGTAGCAGCATTGTTTTATAATCCTCCGGGGGCCAACACATTATTTCCTCGTCTTGTATTAACACACTGCCTTTCATCACCAACACTCGTCTTCTAAAAAGGAAAGAAAAAGCAAATACTGTCACAGCAGATGGGGAAACAGGTCCGCTTCCAGGGAAATGTGGTGCACCGATGCTCCATGCGTGATGTTTGATGTTTGTGTTTGTGCCAGCGGTCGGCGTGCTGCATTCAGGTGCAAAGAAGAAACGTGGGGGTGGAGGGGGCACACATTTTGGGCAGGATTTTTTTTGTTGCCCAGAGAACAGACCATGGTTTCCTGGAACAATGCAGCTGATGAGAGTCCCTCCAAGGAAAATAAGGCTCTGACATCATGGGTTCTTAAAGCACACAGCTGAGCCAACACTCGCTCCTGCTATAATCAAGCCTCAGTGAATTTCCACTGTCGACTGACATCGAGAAACAGAGAGAATCTCCTCCAATGGTTTACACACTTTTTTTTTCTTTCTTTAGCACGAGGCTTATTGTGCACTTGTTAGGGCCCAAGCACTGAACGGCACGAGTACCCTACTGGAACCCCAAGGATCATTACTTTTCTATGTCTGCAAATAATCCCTTATTTGAGGGCTTCAGCACGCCCCAACACTCACCAAACTTGGCACATGTGTAAGGCCTGGTGAAAAATTTGATATTTTGTGGGTCTTGTGCACAACTTTGCGAAAACAGTGCTTAAAATTCCTCCTCGAAATTTTCAGCCACTCCAATGGGACAGATCCCAGAGGTTTCTTTAATCTCCTCCACATTTTTTATCTGTATGATAAAAACTCTGAACATTGAAAGCTGTCAAAGAGTTTTCCATACACCAAAGGGTTGTGTCTTACTCGGGATTTCCACTGTATCCAGAACAGCTCCGATCCGGAATGGTGGCGATACGCCAATTCCTACCGGATCTTTTGTGAGGCGAAGTTTGTGGCGGATTACGGACAGCAGGAATCGCAAGAACTCACAATCCCACGGATCATGTGCAATCGCGCGATAACAAGTTGTCTTTAGCCACATAGGTTAACCGTAAAAGCAGTAGATTGTGTCCTTCCAGAGGAGGAAATCTACTTCTAGACTTATAAAATCAGGATCCTCTCATCCATGGTGCCATTGGAGAGAAATGCTGTCTAAAAACCTTTCACTTGTTCGTTCCCACCCATATGCATGGTGTGAAAATATGATCCGCCTGAAACACGGAGTGTTTTATTTTGAAAAGAGGCCGGATGTTTTATTTTGTGTCTGTGCCTGACTTCCTTTCAAGCACGGGTTACTCTGTGTTGATTTTATCCAGCGTACTACACCGTCCGGCAAAAATAGAACTCTTGAAATCAGTTGCGGAGTCTGGTGATCCGCAGCGTAACAGAAAGAAGGTGGTGGAAATTGACACATTAACTTGAATGGTTACGATCAGCTACAATCGGCGGAACCGGAAATTGCCGGTTACTAGGAAACAGGAAGTTGTTGTTACTTTTACATACAGTATTCAATCTGCTCCTAATTTCATAGACATGATCAAGGTCCACCTCTGATCATCTACACAGTGCCTGTTTCAACTATAGTCATAGCGCCACCTTGTGGAAGTATATGGTACAAACTATTGCATGCAATGTTTGGTTTGCTCCAAATTTGAAAGGTTTGATGCTGGTTCTAGGCTGACCCCTTCCATGCATGAATTTTGATGGCACCGCCTATTGAACTGTTTGATCAATGCATTGTCATTAACTCTCCCACAGATCATAACTGTCTCAGAGCCATAGCGCCACCTACTGTTACAGTCAGTGACTTGCTTAGCCAGAGCAAATGTACATGTATTAGGGTGACCATATTCTGACTTCCCAAAAAGAGGACACGACTACGTGGGGGCTGAGTCGCACGAAGTCACACAAAGTTAATTTCAAGAGATTTTTGGGTTGATTGAGTGTCTTTTACGTGCTTCTAACTCAGTAAGTCCATGTGACACAAAATCGAAACTTACGTACATAACCACGGATATTTGAAGGGTTTTATAAACTTCCCCAGACAAACCAAAAAAGAGATGTCTTGGTAACAGAGGATGTATGGTCACCCTACATATACATCTAGTTCATGGTGACACTGACTGGTGTTTAGTCGCAGCAATCACAAAGACAATTTATTGCCACTTGTTGTCAAGAACAGGTTTAAAAGGGACTCAAATGCAGGACAAGACCAGATCTGTGAGGCAAAAATCAGGGTTTATTATTATTAATCAGTCCAAGTTTGGTACACAGGCAAACAAACACACAGGCAGAGGTATCCAAAACGCAGGGCAAAAGGCAAGGTCCAAAAACACTTTCAGAGCCAAGATCAGGCAGGCTATGGAAAAAAAATAAGAAAGCTGGTACACAACAGTGAGGTTCAACAAACTGATGACGAGAGACATGGGGTTAAATACAAAAGGTAATGAGGGTGATGGGAAACAGGTGGGGATGGACAATCAGGAGGCAGGTGTGACAAGACGGGGGTAGGGCAGACAGGAACAGAAACAAGTGATCTAGAAGACGATGACAAGGGTTAGTGCTACAAAGTAAGACAAACAGGAAACACAAGACATGAAACGTTATGAAGAAAATAAAGGTAACTTGACGATGATCATGACACTCGTGGCCTTAATTGGACTCTTATCATTTACTTTTGGCACATGAAAACATTTAAAAGTCACACAAGCTTACATGTTAGGTTGTCAAAGTCACTTCATCACTTGCCATTGCTTGAATCTAGACTAAGTCAGAGGGATATTTGGGATTAAAGGCAACAAATGCTGAGTTGACAGCAACCAAAATAAAAGTGAAACCCAGCAAAATATCTTCTGTGCGTCCTGCTGGAAAAAAAACCTGAATGTTCAAAGACTGATGAAGCCTTACAACTTCTTTTCCTGTAAAACAACCAGTAGAATAAGTAGTAAAATTGGTGAGTGTAGTTAAACAGACCACAAGGTCATTCAAAAGACAATTGTGTGCTTAAGATGAGGAGTTGAAGAGTGTGGAGAGATTGTGTTTCAGGGCCCGGTCCAAATTCTGTGTCCTCAGATGCACTGGATCCCGAGTGCACGCAGATCAATGGGAATGGGTTGTGTTCTTCCCAGAACCATCCTGGTTCTTGAGGTTATTCAAACATGTTTGTATTGCTCCTCGTGAGTAACCATGTAATCCAAATTTAGCACAAATTAGAGATAAACGGAGCACTTAAAAGACAACGTAAAGTTTCATTTTATACGAGTAACTGGATGATGATACCATGCATCAGTATTCAATCTTCTTTACTTGGCTTATTTGTTATGGCTTGGTCCTTGCCCAGGTTTCTCTGCACACAATTTCTCTCTGATTTATTTGAACTCCAAATCTTGCAAGCTTGCAGCCTTCAATTGGACCATTAGGGTGAGATAATTGATTCTGTATTAGTCATACAGAAGGATGAAATAACATCCAGGATGGAAGGGATGACCCGGACCTCACCAACCTCCCTGCTGCTCCAATTTTTGATCTCTGCCATCTGCCAGAGAGCCAATTTATCAGGGTTTCGCTGTGTCTATGTAGGATATGCTTTAAAAATGCTGACACCAAGTGAGTGAGGGATCTGTGCTGTCACTGCGAGCATCGTACAAAGAGCTGAACATGCAGCTCTGGTCTTTAGGGAGCACCACACCCTGCTCTGCTTGCTTTGGCAGACCCCACAACCTCTTAGGAAGTATCACTTTGACATTCAGCTCAGTTTCATACATGCACGAAACTTGCAGCATCATGTGTTGCTGAAATAACTAAAAGATTTGCAAATACTTCAGAGATAATTCTTAGCTTGGTAACTCGGTTGTTGCTGAGTTTGCAACCACATGGCTCCTCATAAAAACTGTATGGAGCAGCATGTTGCGTAATAGAGGGAGTGATGTCTGTACAGGATGATGTTCCTCTGGAGGTTTTATGCGTGTACATGCATGCAGCATAAAAAATTCACCAGACATTTCTGTGATGTTGACAAGTGGTTTATTCAGCAGGAATGGTGAACAATTTGTCATTATTTTTTTTTCTACAGAAGGCAATCGAGCACCATAAATAACAGCGCTGTAATCAAACAGTTTATTGGACAGTGAGCTTCAGGAATTTCTCATTTAACACCTCTAAGAGCCATGAATGTCTTATCAACTCCCATATGTTTTAAGTCTTATTGATTATTTCACACAAGTGACACACATTAATGTTGGACTGGTTCATAGTCACATGATCGGAAGCCGGCTGCTGTCGCTTTTTTCTTCGTCGCTGCTGAGGAACATTTGTCTGGCTCACTTTGCCAAGCTGTATTAATTTCAGGTACCAGAGACAGTGTGTGAAGGGTGTACTGTAGCTGCAGTGCATTTCAGACAAGGATGGCATTTAAAAATATTCAATGATCTAGATTACTCCATGGCATAATAATGCTGAGTGAGGCTTTGTTCTCATTAAAAAGTCTTTGGTTTGTACTTTGAGTCTGAAGATCTGGAGGGAACACGAGTTGTTCTCCAAATAGCTTCTTTTTTTTATTTCAGCCGCCAGGTCGGCTGCTTTTGTAAAAAGTAGACAAAAAAGTGCATATTCAAATTCCCATTAAAACCCTAATCATTCTAGAAAAAAACTCATTTTTAAATTAAGTGAAGAGAAACCTTTTTTTTCAGAGAGCTGCTAACAAATGTTTTGGTTGAGATAAATTAAAATCCTGGTTTGATCTTAAAGCAAGACTGTGTAATTTTTGAGGACAGTCACAGATTTTTTGCTCCATTTTGTTAAACTCAGAGGTCTCCTAATAAAGATATTGTGGTCTGGTTTTACTGTTCGCCAATATAAGCTAACATTAACTATTATAAGCATTTTAAGTTTGCTTAAATTTTGATAGGATGCTTCGTTGCAGTCTGACAAAGAGTTACACAAGAATATTTGCAGAAATCTTAAATCTTTAAGTAAAATTTTATGGTAAAGCTTGAAAGGAGTGAGCTTAGCCTAGCCTAACATGGATAGGCTAGATACACATCAAGTTACAGTGTACACAAGTGGCAATCTTAAAAAGTTAAGTCAATGTGGACAGTTGCAGTTCCTTCAGTGTCCACTTGAGGCTGATTCCAAAACCCAATGATAGTCCATTAACACCCATATTAAAATGACTACAATAACAGCAGAAATACACTGATTTACAGCCTGGAACAAGAAGCAGTTTTTGCCTTTTTTAAACAAATTTCTGTGTACACACATTCTGGACTGAATGTGAATTCTATGATAACCAAATATATTGAAGGTTTTAAGCTAACAATTTCGATTATTTAGCAAAATTAGGGCCACAGCTGACTTGACTACTGTGGAGTGGAGGTGGAAATACTCATACCATTGAATCGATTCTTGGGAGAAAAAATCAATTCAAAGAAAACAGTTCAAGAAAGTCTAGTCAGTGGAATTTATTAACATTGGGAAGAGATCATCCAAACTTTTTCATACTTTGGAGTAAGTTAGGCTTTTCATTTAACTCAACAAAAATAAAAATATTGTCCATTTCTCATGTAACTCTTTTCAGGTGTGCTAGTTGGAATTTTCTAAACCGAATTGTGTACTAAAAGCATCCACTGAAGAAATAATAGGAAATAATGTCGAGTTATTATCCTGTAATTCCGGTTTGTAGCCACAGAGGGCGCAGTTCAGCAAAAGCTACAGAGTCTTGCTTTAAGTGTTTTCATAATCAGTACATTGGTGATCAGAGAAGTGCACGTACATACACATCTCAGGACAGACAAAAGCACACCATGAATTTGAACAATCTCAATACAATTGGAAGAATCACAGTTCACAGTACTTTTGTCAAGTTATTTGGCATGAGTGATCTATTTTTGAGAAAATAATTCAAAAACAGTAGAAAAAATAGCATTTTGCCTTCTTGGGACCACAACATTGTATTTTCTTTTTTCTTTTTTTTTTTTTAATCTCCATGCATTCACAGATTTCACACAGATACATTTACTCGCTTACACTACTACCTTATTGAAACAGCTTACAAATAAAAACACTATTAAAATGGTGGCCACAAGGCTGTGCAAAAGGGAAGACCTCCGATGTTAGCCCTGCCATCTGTCTGTCTTAGCCATCTCTTGCAAGTAACAAACTACAAAATAGCACCATTATACAGTGGATAGGATTCTTAATACAGTTTTGTTATATGAAACCATCATGTACAATGAATGATAGTAATGCATAGGTTAATATAAATGGGAGTACTGTTTGATTATACACAGGCATAGGAGGCAGAGCCAGAGATGAGATGTTCTGGCCGTTTATTTTTTTATTTTTTCTGTGAGATAAAATTATTGTAAATCCACATGGAGGCTTGAGCAAACAGGCATTACTGTCTGTCTCCATGCAAGGATTTCTCAGAACTGGCTTTTTATGAAACATGTGTGTTTGTGTGTGCTTGACCCTTGCTCACGGTTACACAACTCTCATTTACACTGTGGTTGCGTGTTTGTGTTCTGTTATACGTGTCCCATATCTTATATCTGCTGTAAGCAATGCCGTTTTGGGTAAGTGATTTTTGCCAAATGAAAAAAACTTTTTTGTGTTTCTTTGTTGGAACTTTGTTTTGTCCCAGCCTCGCTGTGATGAAAGGAAACACAGCCCAATGGACTACCAAAGTTCTCGGCCTTTGTAAACTAACAGGCTGAGAAAGTTCGATCAATGAACTTCGTGGAGCTTTTTGATTGAGCCTCTCTTCAAACTTCAATATTGGAACATTTTGCTGAAAGGCTTTAACTGATTTGAGTTTCTGTTGACTGACCTTGAACACAGGCCTCCACTCAGACTCAAACGTTGATCATGGGCCACGGGATTGTTTACAAGAAATCAGATTTGGCCGTGGTGGTGACATGTGAAATAGATGCAGACGACAAACATTTTGCCTGATTGTCGCTATTTGACTTATTCCAGTCACTTTTGCCAAATGCACTTTGATTCCACTGAATGACCCATTTCTGACAAACCACACAAGCACCACACACTAACAAGCCAAAGAAATTTTGATTCAATTTAGCTTCTGGTTATTTGGTTTCTCTGGTTTTGAAAACAGGGGAAAGCACGATCCTGTTTTGGTGGTACCCAGTGTTCCTTAAAATTTCCCCTCTAATGGTGCTTGATCTCTTGTTACAGAGGATTTGGATTGTAGTCTACAGGCTCTCACACTTCCTGAAGCTTAAACGGGATTTGGATTGGACTCGAACCTTCAAGGTTTCCACTTAGATAGAGAAACACTGTTTTGAGTCAATGAAAAGTAGAGATTTAGCATGGGCTTATACTAAAGTAAGTGATACTGAACCACCTGGTCTTTTCCCCTCGAAGCAAACCTTGTTTTTATACTTAATATGAAATCCTCAGTAATGCATGGTGCATAAAAATAAAATATTTTATCTTGGGTTGTAGCTGTTATATGTGACAAGTCACTACGTAGCCTTTCTTACCAAAAGAGCGAGTGAAACCACTCAATCAGATTTAGCTCCTCAAAGTTTCTGGGGACAGAATTGACCACTCATTCTCAAACAAAGCCTGCTGCTCTCTGATTGGCTGAAGCCCACATCCGTTCCCACCTTTTTCCTGGAGCCAGAGGGTGCTGCAGCTCACGCTTGGAGGTATAGCAAGCTCTTGTTCGTGTCTCAGCAGCTAAACTAGTCTGTTACATTGCATTAACAAAGAATTCCTCCCAATATGGAATGGTGCAGTGTATTAATAGAATTAAAGGTCCCCATCAAACCCCAAAACACCACTAAGCTCTCAGGTATCAATCATTTTGAAGAGCATTTCGGACCGTTAATAACCTCCTCTTTGTTTTGTTTTACAGTGAACCATTCCACAGGGGTACCAGGTAAGGCCACTCCCTTCTCTCTTCCCAAGTCGCTGGGCATTTGTCCATTCGTTCCCGCCCTACATTCGATAATTTCTGCCCCCTGTGTTGCCTCGACTTGAGTTTTTCGGATGCACCTCCTGCAACAAAAGAAAAAAAACGAGGTACAGGATAAATATGGCAAGTTCTGGGAGAATTTGGGGTCTAGAAACTGCATTACAAGTCTCTAAGATGGTTCAAACATTTATTATTTTAGACCCAATAGGGCAGTCTTGTGTTGGGTCTAAGTTGTTGCACGACTAAGTAATCAGTCACTTGACCAAATGACCGCTTGGCTTGGCTAATGAACTGAAATGACTCAGCAATTTTTGAAGCACCTTCCCAAAGTGTATCACAGGCATGTTTTGGACTTATCAATGAATAAACCTCTTAATAAAGCTAATTTGTGAGAAATAATTTAGTTATTCACCATCTGGGAGATGATATACACTATCAAAGCTACTTTTTTGTATGCTAAATGCAAAGCTAGCTCTGACAGGGGAATAAGACTAGAACAGAGGGAGAGTGTTAGCATGAGTCTGCTAAAAATGCTACCAGCACATTATATTTCAATGTATCAAAATAAAACATATCTGCTCCCTTTATGGCTACAGCTAATTCTATGCTAGCTCTAGTTTTAGCAGTATTAATCGTCTAATATAACCACTGCGTTTGGTAAGTTGTGCTCAATCTTGAAAATAGTTAAAAAATTGGATATAAAAACAGCCAAAAGTCCAAAAAAAGAGGGAATGTTTATACTGCTTTACTGAACATCAAGAAATAAAGTCATATAGAGTCATTTACAACACACTGCAGTCCTAAAGTGAATGAACAAAGGAGCGATGTGGAAGCTTTTGCACATGCTGATGCAGTGCTTTATCTCCAGCACCTTGCATGAGCCAGTCTGTAACGGTGAGACGGCAGAATTTCAGCACATAATGTACAGTAGCAGAGTGGAGATCCCGCCTGGGGAGCCGGAGTGCTACTGGGTCTACCACAAAAACCACTTAGTTCCTTCTCTTGCTAATGGTTTTCTTTTTTAAGAGAAGGGTAAAAAGCACGTAGTCAAATCTTAAAAGGATCACACCATCCTGCCGCATGGCGACGAGGGGATGATTCACATTCCACATTTAGACTTCATGCTTTCCGTCTTTGGAATTGAAATGAAGAATTCAGATCTAAGATTTTTTAAACCAATCGTCCCTGATTAAAAATAAAAGTTGTTCTACTTTCAAATTCTTGAGAGTGTCAGCGTGGAGATGATAAGATTTACACAACGTGACAAAAGACATGAAGTTAGATGAATTATGTATGATGGCGTGCATACCTTGAATGAGGAATGACTATGTCCAGCTGCAGGTCTCTGTAAAAGCAAAATAAAGCCACTTAAGTTTGATGAATGAAATACTCTAGCAGTAATTCTGCGACCCTAAAAGTACACCTTAAAAGTTACCGTAAAATAAAGTGGGAATGAGCTTTCAGACAGGAAAAGTTAAAGACCTCCCATGTCTTAAAGCTACGGCATTCGCCACTCGGCTTAACTTAGCTTACAGACTGGAAACAGCTAGTCCTCGTCTAGTAGAACAGCCTGCGGGGGTTTCATTACATGAATTATTGATTTGTAGCTCTGTCAAGGCAGTAGACTCCACCTGATGACAAACATGTTGAATATGTGCAAAAACCAGAATGAAAAAGTTTTGACGGGTTATTTTTGAGGCTGTTTCTTGGTGAACTCTTTCAGGTAGAGCTAGCTGATATCTAGTCTGTATGCCATAGCTGGTCGTGGCATATCATGTGCATGCGTTGGCAGAGGCTGTCTATCATTCCTGTTCTGCTTTCATTCAATGATTTTTCAAGTGTACCTGTTCGACGCTGTGCTCACCTTTTTGTTTTTTGTCTTGTCTGGCTGCTGTGCTGTCCTACGCTCTGTGCCTTTGTCCACTCTGTGCCCTGCGGTACTAACCTTGGGTGCTCTCGGCATATCTGTGTGGCGTTGCGCACGCACAGAGCGAGCAGCCTTGCTAGTCTTGGCAGGCGCACAGTACATCTCCAGGCGCCGCAGCTCACAGCTTTGGAAGCAGCACTCGTCCACAATGCCGCGTGACCGCCGTGCATTGGGCCCGTAGCCTGTTGGTTTACCTGCAGAGAAGAAAAGCAGAGCGGGTAAGATACTGAAGAGACTTGAGAAATTTTCTGGTCAACGTTTACCAACCATCAACCGTTTACCGCTCTTTAAGTGGTTGTGTTGATTCCGGCCCTTAGTTTGAATTCTCGTCTTTTTTGTAACCAGCTAAAAACTCCTCATTATATCTTTGAAGCAGCATCTTCTTTGTTAAAGTGAGTTGCAACGTTAGCATATCCAGCTAACTAGCGTAGTTCTCTTAAGGGGGTGTATAATGCATTTTTTTCAGACTTTTTATTTCCTGATACCTCTTTAATAGCTTTACGTGATTTTCAGTTTAATAAAAACCTCAAATTTCTCACAGTGGTGTATTAAAATATTATTTCAGTTTCCGCCTGAAATGCTTTGTTTTAGCTGCTGTCTCTTTAAGGCCCCACCTCCACAAGCCTACTTTCTTCAGATTGGCCAGAGGAGTGGAGCTCAATGTTTTGGCCGCTCCCTTGATTGTGGTCGATCAGCCGAGCAGTGAAGCAGCATTCCCCCAAAGACATGATATATAAGTATATATGTTTATATATGTCTATGGTTACTCTGCTTCGCTGTGGATGTCACTTTACACACTGTTAAAGCCAGACTGTTCCACTTTGCCAGAAGCACATGAACCAGTAAGGAGAGTCTACAATTTTTCTGTCAGGATTTTGTAAATCTCGCACATCAACTACAGTCTCGCATTTTCGCGGGTTAGTCCGAGATGTGGTCAGGCTAGATCTACTTTTTCAGATTCTGACAAAATACATTTACCTTGTGATTTGCTACTTTGCATACATGTACTTTTGCAGTTTTTGTTGTATATGTGGAAAAGCATGATACCATCCCTTTAGGCATTCTTTAAAAGGTAAGTACTGTTTCATACATTGATTATTAGGCTAATAGTTATATCATGACAGCCAACCTTGTGCTATTTCCATGAGTCTTTAAGTGTGATCTGGGATCGCTCCGTTATTAAGGCTTTACGTGAGGTGTGAGAAAGTTCGACAGGTGTAGCAACAATAAAAACGAGAAAAGAGGCTCTTATGATTCTGATTTTCCCCCTCAATACTCTATATGTCTTTTCTGGATTATTTAATAATGTCATTTTGGCTTCTTTAATATACATGAAATAAAAGCATTAAAATTGGCCGGGTCGTGGGTTGATTCTGGATATATAGGCAATCTTAATGACATAGATTTCCTCTGTGTAAAATTTACAGTGTATCACATTGCACACTGTGGACCCTTTTTGGCAGCTGCTCCCCAGCAAAAAGAAGGGCTGCAGTCACCCAAACGTTGAGAATATCACGGTCAGCCATTTTGGCTCAGGTGTCTTAACACTGAGGCCAGTCCAGCGGTGCCAAACCACAAGGCTTCTGGGCCAGATCAACCTGCAAGAACAGCCAGGCAGGTTTTTGAGGCTGTTCCCCTCCCTCTCTGTCCAACTGTTCATTCACATTTTCATTTGGCTAAAGTCTGAGTGCCCTGGAGTTTCTCTAGTAGCACATTTGTGCTGAATCATTGGCGTGATGCGCCTTCGAGGCCAAAAAACAAACTTGTCTCGATGGCCAGTCAAGGGGAGGTGGAAACTGTGTTGGAGTCTGTATTATATCACTGAATAAATGGGTAAACCGTTTTTTAAAGGTGTGATACTCAGCTTTTGGCGATCTCATGTTAACATGACGTCAATACTCACTTCCTCTTTCAACTGCCCCCCCAGAACCCACCCTCTTTAGGTGGCCTCTAGAAATTCTCCCACTCTCCTTTTACAATTCCCCGCTCACCTTGTGCAATATAGCCCTGATGGGCTTTTCCCTGTTACCAAATAAAATAATAATAATTTAATATGGCATTTACAAGGAGGAAATGCCTTTCCCTCTCAGAGTTAATAGCTCTTGGCTCAGGAGCCTGCCAGTGCTGACAAAGTGCATTAATTTCTGCTCTCTGTCTGCCTTGTCCTGACAATGTTGTGGACAGAGAGAAGCTTTCATTCAGAAACAGAAGCATCTTTCTTTCTCTTCGGACCCCCTGAATGGAAAAATAATGGAGGTGTGAATGAGAGGAAGAAGAGGGGAGAGGCTTTCATGTTTCACATCAGGTAGAATGACGCTAAAAATACACTGTGCACCTGCATTATTTAGCAAACAGAAGAACTGGATTTACCCAGATCTCAAACTGCCCAAATGGGTCTGTTGAATTAAATATGTCAATGAGAAGCGAACATGTACTCCAGCTTTTTATCACAGCGTTTTATATCCAGCTCTAGCTGCTATACAAACACCTGATGTCAAGAAATTTGGAGAGAGACATACAGCGTTGAGCCCTGTTTGCAGATTATATAATGGTTGCTGAAAGCCAAAAGAGGGGCCGTGCCTCGTTGCCTGGCCTGCTTTTCAATCCCTCCCAATAAAGCCTTACAAATTAACATCCGCTATTGTTCTGAAAATAGCTCGCAACCCTGCTGCACAAACAGCTGGAAGGGAGAGAAAAATCAGCTGGCACCGGTTGTAACATGTAGGATAATCAGCTCGGGCAGGTTGGAGAAAAACACGCATATAATAATCAGGTCTAAAAGCTTTGGGAGGTTTTAAACGCTTCAATTCCATGGATAACTGCTGTAATCCCTCATAAACAAGGAGTTGTTTTCTGTGACTGTTGTTTAACAAATATGGGTAAACAACCGTTTCTGCCACAGCTTCCCGCCTTACAGCCCTCAGCTGATGGAATCGAGTCGAGATGGAAGATGCTTGTTGATGAAGGTCAGACTAGAAAGCATGTGTCAGCGTTTTAGCCAGAGAACAGTCGTGTACCTCTTACATAATGAAAAAAAAAAAAAAAGGTTTCACAATTCTGCAAACAGAGGCACAACCAGAGATGTTTTTAAACTGCTCTGGTCAATATCTTTCAAACTTTCAGAGTTTCAGCAAAGCAAGTCTGAACCAGATGACAGACGTTGATATTTTGACGTTTAGACTGCTTTAATAGTGCATTGAGCATCAATAATCTGGGATCAATATATCCATAGAGATCAATGTATTGTACCATCCTGGAATCTACCAAACAAGTTGATTCAATACAGAATGATACAAGAAGATATGACACGGTGCGATAAGATAATAATATGGGATACAATATAAAATTAAACACCATGATAATACGATATATCAAGTTTTATTGCATCATAAGAAATAAGGTGCAATAAAACATGATGATGCAACACTTGTAATATGATATGTGATAAGTGGCCAACGATAAAAATGTTGATACAACAATATATGAAAAAACACAAACAAATATGCTAAAGTGAGGAATATAAAATCCCCCTAAAGTGGGATCAGTTCTTAGTCTGTCGATGAAATGTACCCAACTGTAGACCAGCTGTAAGTTAAGTTAAGCCTAGAAATACACTGTAAAAAAAAAGTTAAAAGTCACATTTTAAAACAAATAAACCACACTGTACATGGAAACCTGTTAAGATCTTGTATTTAAACTTTAAAACCCCTTTTTAAATGTTAACCATGACTGTACCTGTCATAGCCACAGTGTTGTGGGCCATGATGTCCAAGAATCTGAAGGGTTCTGATGAAGCCTAGCCAAGAAAGTATTTACACTGATGAGCCCTAGTTTTACCAGAAAATCTCACAGCGGTGAACTTTAGCAGGAAAAACTCGGCTTCAGAGGTTGTTTGACAAGTTTCTATGGATGTTCTGGCATTGATGCCTTTGGAATTAAATGTGTTTGCCACGAATCCAGGCTGGCTAAAAGTGCCGTGGGAACAACATTTCCAGAACTGTGTCAGAGGGCCTGAATAATATAAAGGATTTACATTTGGCATCGACCGTTACTTTAAATGATTTACTTTTAATGTCAATTTACAGGCATCCTTTTCCACAGAATACAGTGAAACTGAATCAACTGTTGTCAGCTGGTCCAGGACCAGCCTCCAAATGAAGTGTTTCATCTAATGCCATCAAATGTGGTATTTGACAGCGTCAGCACACATAACGTTCATTCCTCCAAGGATAGGAGAGAGAGGAGAGAGAGGAGAGAGATGGCAGGCCTCCCTCATTCCAAAGTGGCACCGAAAGCATCTGAGTTTTACAACTTGGTCATGGTCAATAAAAAGCAGTGGATTCTTGGAGCCTGTGCGCCGCTCTTACTGCAAAGTGTCAGGCAGTTTACTGCTGAGCAGGGACTGTGAGAGCTGCTAAAGTACTGGAAACTATCTCTTTATCACTGGTACCACAAAGAGTTTATGGTGTGAGTTTGTGGTGTTCTTCATATCTACACCGTGACACTGGATCCAAATGAGCTGCCACCAGATTTCTGTGTAGAGAAAAGGACTTTCTGAGGATGAATTTAAACCTAAAAGATAAAAGAGTGCAAACAAGTCTTAACTTTGGTTGTCAGTTCTAGCTGAGAGGAGAGTATTACTGGCAACTGCTTGGGTCAAAAACTCTTGACTGGGAATCGGCCAAAATAAATCTTGCACACGGTCCGCCCCTTTATTACACTTTATTACCTCACCTTTGTATTAAAAACACAGAGAACTCATAACCATTTCTCATTATCCAAATGTTTAATTTTCCAGGGCACCAAGTAGGCTCAGTCTTTCATGAATTACATGTATCGCAAATGCAGGGGCAGAAGTTTGACCCACAACCAAGATTTCCCTAGAGGGAGGACAGGAGGTCTTCCTGCACCATGTCATCCAGATTTGTTGCAGGAAATACTTTCATTTTGCAATGCTTGAGGCTTTTTGAATTTGAACATGGTGCTAGTTTAGGCAGGCTACAGTGCCAAGCTCAGGTCTGAAAACCAGCCCACATCAGCTAGCAGCTCGGTTACTTATCTCCCAACGTATCTCTTAAGCATCTAAATGGCTTTCTTTTTCCACTTCCCTCACAACCATCTTTGCAACCCACCTTCAACTCCTGCTTTTTCTCTAAGTTCCAATGTCTGATTTTACCATAATTGTAAGTATTGTCAGTGATGCATGCTCTGTTCTGTTCTCCAGAGTCTTTGCTGCAGCTCTACCTGCCTTGTCTTTTCATGTATGCTCATTAAAGGAAGGGGAAGTGTGCCCTCCCCGCCTCAGGCTTTGGCTTTCCTGTTGCACATGTGAAATGGCAGGATGCTGCTAGATCAGAACCATAACCATAAATATATCAATCTCATGCCAATGACTGATTCTTTAAAGCTGTCACTCTAAACATTTTAGCCTCCACTGAAACTCCAACAGCCTCATCAGAGTCGGATTCAGTCATGCCTCAGATATGAAGAAAGTTTACATGGTCATGTTGGCGACTGAACACAAACCTGGAACATAAGAAATAAGCTACATGGACCAAAACCTTCTATGTGCAGTATGGAGGTGTAAACAGGTGTTAATCCTGCCATGGAAAGAAGTGTTCTTGGCCCCTAGTGGACACTGGAGGAACTGCAATGTTTTGGTAGTTAATGTTGGGTATGCCAAGTGGACAGAACATTCTGAACAAATAAGCATAACCTGTAGATCTGTTTGCTTTGATGATGTATTAGATGTATGTTGAGGTTGTTTACGGACTGAACTGGAAGTGAATTGGCAGATGATCCATGAGACCACCAAGGGTGACAAAGAGAGGATACAGGAATGGTCCAGGATATCACGTATGACTTGATCTCTGCATTTATGCAGCTGGATATCTCCTCATTTTTCTCTGTAGAGGGCCTGCATTATGTGATTGGATTAAAAGGATGAACGCTTTTGAAGGTAAAGTACTGTTTAGGCCTTAGAGTGTCCTCAAATCCCTTGTTACCCACTCTAACCTAATGTATATCTATGACGAAATCTGCCCTTCTTTTTTATGAGTCGCTCCTTTGATCAGTTGAGGGGTCAGAGATTTTTCAGTCAACATCTTAATTGGAAAATGTCACCTTTTCTCAGCGACCAACAGGACACAGGAGGTCTTTCTTCAGATCTTTGTCGCTCGCTCAGGTCCAGAGTAAAACTCACAAGGGGGGGTGGAGGGGGTGTCCTGATCATCCTGTAATCCACATAATCCCCTGCTGCTGACGGACCAGGCCTAGCTATTTGTGTTTGAGTGTGTGCGTGAGTGCGTGCATGCATGCAACATGCTGTTTGCACATTCTACCTCTCCCTCCAGCTGCAGCTGCTTTGAATAAAACTGGCAGGGATGAACATTGAAGAAGAAGAAGGCCCATTGATAAGCGTTAAAGGCGATTCCAGTTGTGTTTTCTACCTACAGTTGACCTTCCATGAGCACAGAGGGAAATTCCAACAAATCTAAGCACTTTTAGGACTCGGATGATCTTGTTTTATTAGAACTTGGTGTACCAGCACAAAGCTCTTGGCCAAAAATGATGCAGTATTCAATTTTATAGTTGGTCAAGAGAGTTTGTGCATCATTCCTTTTGCAGAAACAGCAGGAAGATTGTATAGCTAGCACTCAATCTAGACTAAGTGTGAATATTTTAGCAAGAAGTAGTAAAATATAAGAAGACTTGGGACAAGGAGCAACTTAGCACTCATACTTTAGCCAAAAAACTCCCATAACAGATCTGATTCATGGAATGAACATCGAAGTGAAATCATCCCACGGCCCTGCCTGCTAAAGCATTACAAAGACAACTAAGGATTTCTAGGTCAGGCTAATAATTGGAAAAACTGACTACGGTTGTGGATTTTCTTATGTTTCATAGACCACAGTTTGTTTCATTACCTCAAAAAAAATTTCCACCAACTAGTATTTAGCATTTCTGTTGGGGTAGGAAATCTGAGGTCTTAAAATGCAAGTGTGCTACTTTACTGGTGTCATGCGTAAGGTGGATTGGCAAAAGCCCTCTGAGCACAGAAAGCCCACTGTAGTAGCAACACTGTCTCTGGACACATTATCAATCCAAGGGCTGCCAAGTTCAACACGGACAGACTGGAGGGGAAGAGTTCAGGGAAAGGAGCACGCCTCCTTTGGCCAGGCAGTTACGCCTCAGGGTCCCACAGACGACAGAGCCCAAATGGATTCTCCAGATATTTTTACGCAAACAGCCACTGGAACATGTGGCGACCGAAAAGGAATGACAGTGAGAATATGAGAGAGCGAGAGAAACAGAGGGAGACAGGGAGCAGCATATTTTCCAAGGCATGGCACCCTGCTGCTCAAACCTCATCGTCTTCTCGGTAAAAAGGATGGAGTGTTTGTGAAATCCAGCTCGTTTACGACGCAGAAAAATGTGGCATTGATAGATGGATGTTGTGCAGTTGTGTGACTGTACAGTGTAAGGTAATGCGGGAAAGACAAACACGTTCCCTGTACCACAAAAAGGTCTGTTCCTGCTTAAGAAGTGTATCCTGCATGAGGATTCATGACTTATGTTGGCTGCCATTCAACACTTTCTCATGAGATGAATATAGACAGTAGTGTTTTTGCTTCTACAGTCTGTGAGACACATTTGCAAAGCTGTAGTACAACTTCTTTTGGTAGCCAACACTTCGTCAGATTCTCACATCATCCAATCTCTGGACACCATCAAACCCTTTCAAAACCTTGAACGTTTTGCCAACTTTACGACAGAACTGTAGGCACTTCTTCGAAACCATTTTAAACCTTCAAAGTAAGACTCAAATCATCAAGAATGGGTTGATTTAGAAGAAGAAATTTGCAACCAATATCTCTGAAGTGGACGCCAAAATTCAAGTCTTTCTCTCAAAGATGCTAAATACAATTCACGGTTTACTAGAAAGTTCTTTTGGACCACATATTCCATAATCTTCCCCTTTCTCTAGGCCTAAATGTAGAGAACAGCCATTTATACAAGAGGAGTGCTGCAGCAGAGAGGATCCAAAGACCAAAAAGTCTTAACTGGCAGAAAACTGGCAATCGAACAGGCTGTCATGACCACTTCACAGCATGTGGGTGTTGCCAGCAGCATCTGGACGAACAAGACTCGCAGCTTTGCAGCAGCTTGGGGGCTCTCCAACAGCTCCCTGGCAAACATCGCACAAAGGGCCCGATGCAGAATGATGTTGACTAGTGTTGGAAAAGCTGCATGCACAGGGGGAGGAATGTGGCGGTGGTTTGGTTGGGAGCAGCAGCAAGGTGCATGGTGACAAGACTGCCAGACAAGACGTGGGTTCTGGATGATTCAGCAAAAATTTCACTTTGCGTTGAATGACCTACTGTAGTGTTCTGTGCCACTGTTATTAGAGTATTCCTACACTGGTCTTGTATTGCAGCAAGAATATTATTGGAGTGTGGTTTAGGCTGAACAACTGATTTAATGGATGAGTGGTTGGGGTTGGACTGGACCCAAGCTCCAGTAACATACTTTTCTTTACGATTTGTCTATATAGCTGCGAATTGGACATGCCACTTACTTCATATGTATTTTGCAGCTCAAACACCACAATAATGCAACATGATATGGATTTTCTTGGTGTTATAAGAATGTGCATTGACAAAATGGACAAAGGTACTTCACCTAAAAGGCTGTCAGTCCAGCCAAGTATCTAATTTACTTTGCAACTAGTGGACTTAATAGGGGGTGGAGTTTGCAGATTTGCATTCACATTTTGTATCAAGAGTTGAAAACCAAAGCTTGGGCCTTTGAAGTTAACTGATGTTCATGCTTTCATTAAGATTACACTAAATTGCCATCTTTGGCATTGTTTTTCTAAAAACTAACCCAATGTGCTACAGGTTTTCTGGGAATTCGTAAGCAACATACTTCCAGAGGTGTCACGGGCTGATACATAGAAGGGTATTTTACTGCCGTGTTCCGTACTGGAGCCATTTTATGCTTTACTTATCACCCCGAGAAAAGTCATACCCATCCTAACCACTCTAGTGGCGTAGGTCCAGGGATGACACGTTTTATGGTCGCTCAATCAGTGGATTTCTATCACATTTGCCCCCTTCATGGAGATTTTCATGGAAAGCTTTTTATGCCATTGGTTTTAAGGGTTGGTTAAACTTTGGCTTTTGACTATATACCTGAGTTACAGTCATATAATGAGTCTTGTAGCTACAGCTTCTACCATACAGCTAAAATGCTCTACCTCCCATGTGTAAACAAGCCTGTTAAACTTGAAGGAGGGCTTTGTTCTGGTGGTGCTAGCTCTGCTATGAACCAGTTTGACATCATTTACCCAAAGACTCACTTATTCCTTGTTTAGCCTTGTTAGATTTCTGTCATATCTGAACTCCTTCAGGGTAAGGGGTTAAAATTTTGGTGCTTCCTCAAATTTTCTTTGCCACAAGTTCAAGGGTGAGTAAAACTTTGACTTAAGAGAAATTACCAACAAAATAAACAAAATGTGATTCAGCCTTTATCTTCCAGAGTTCAGCATGTAAATGTTTGAAAAGAAGATGGCACATGGCGACTATTAATTTTCTGAACAACAGCTCTTTAACAGTCATAGAAGTTTAGAAACTAGTAGAAAACAAATATAATCTAACACAGCAGAAGCGCAGATTTTGTCTTATTTTACTCCCAATGAAACTTACTCATCTGTTTGTTTTATCAAAGCAGAAAATCTGCACTTCTGCACACTGACTGGTGCCTCATCATTTCCTTGTTGGACTCAGACTGGGATTCAAAGACTGGCCCCTTCTTGGCCCTAAATTCTCTGAAAGTCACCAAGTTCATGACAAAGTGTACCAACAAGCCCGCTTTGGAAAAAGGAAACAACTGCAAATGCATCATACTGTAGATGCTGCCGATTTCCCCCCAGAAATTTTATATCTTCTTTTTCAAACTGGCAGCTGACAAAGTCTAGCACATGTGGAAAATCTTTCATAACTTTGGGACGGGACCAAACCATTAACAGTGGATTGTTTAGTCAAAACTGCACAGAGGTAAGAGGGACAGTCATGACTTTTGAAGTAACACAGACGTCCTCTGGGACATTCAGAGCAAATTGGCTTAATGGATGGATGTCAGCCAAAGAAATATGAATAATGAGGTTATAAACTTCAGCTCTGCGGAGCCTGAGCCAGCTATATTGCGAATGCACAGTCACACTGTACGTCTCTCTGACAGGAAGATCAGGATACATGTCCTGAGGTGGAACATTGCACCTAACTCCGGTAGCTCCATATATCCTGTGCTGCTCTGGGCTGGGTTATACCCTTAATGGAAAAATCTGAGATTTAAATCCTGGATTGTTGGTGGAGGGTTTTCTTTGGGTCGCTTTCCCTTCTCTGGTGGAAAAAAGAAAAAACTGCACAGCAACATTCAGTTTCTACCCCTCCTTAAGTTTCCACTTTAAGTCCTTTACCCACGGGCACCTCTGGGATTTGCCACCAACAGTAAGGCTACTTATCATATTCCATTTTTCATTTAGGTTTGCTTGTTCAAAATCTGGGCACCTGTCCATCTCGGAGCATTAAAACAAGACCTGAATGTGAACACGAAGAGGAGATGTAACGGTGGAGGAGGAGTGAATGAAGGAAGAAAGGGAACATTAATGCAGGGAACGTCAAGACAAGATGTCAAACCGGCTGCTTTTTTATTTATGAGCTCGCTGGAGGTGGAGAGCTCTGGGACGGATACAGCCAACCTTTATGAATAAATAAAAAGGTGCACTTACTGAAATAAAAGCCCCTCTCTCCACACACAAACTGCAGCGTGTCGACCAGCTCCGCCCCGCACAGGGTCTCTGGGCCCGCCCCTGTTGCCGTCGGAGTCAGGGTGAGGACGCACAGCAGTAGTGAGAGGGTGTGGCTACAGGAGATACAGCACATCGCACTCTGCAGCACAGGGAGAGAGACAGCTTTAACATTTGCACTGCTGTGAAACACAGAGCATCACCATAAAGACAGAGACAGATTTCCATTCTCACACAAACTTTTCAAGCCAAACTCTCATTTTCTCTCTCCTGGCGATGGTACAAATCTGCTGTGACACTCTGTGACTCAGTGCCTTGCCCGGTGGCACATCACCGGCAGCAACACCAAACGTTTCCCATATAAAACCAGCGAGCTGAAAGCTTGTTTCCCTAACTTCCAGGTTCCCCTGCCAAACAGGGAGATATAAAAGGAGTAAAAGTGGCCACAGATGGTAACTTTACAGGGTTTTGGAGATTGGAAGGAAAATGTATTAAATCCAAACTTGCACTTCATGGTGCCAGAGTCAAACAGTCAAACAGGAGCCTGACTCATGAGCTCTGATGCTCCGGAGCGCCTGTGCGCAAAAGAGCAGAGCGCGTCCAAATTGAAAACACACATTTCTCTTTATCACCCCAGCCTCTGGAAACGTCCTCACAAGTGAACAACAACAATCCAAATTGAATAATGCAAGTAAAATATCACTCAAATGTACCGGTTAATAATGCGCATTCAGCCTTTCTCCTGTGCCAGATAAACAGCTGTCAGTGCGTTTTTACGCACGAACTAAAACTGGTTCAGAATTCTTAAAGCAGAACAGGAGATGCAAAAAGCTGCAGGGATCTTTCCGAGCCTCACTGAGAGATGGAAAACTGCTCTGCCGCCAAACCCAGGCGAGGAAGCTGAGTGGGCCAAAAATACATAATAAAAGGAATAAACTCAAGACAATATCCATCTACTGTAAATCTACATACAACCCTGACCACAGCGTCCCGACGCACAGAAGTGTTTCAGCTCTCCCCTCTCTCTTCTCCCCGCAGGTTAGATATTTAGCTCTTAATAAATGCAGACTCAGCAGTAATTACTTTGAAAGTTGCACAGCTGCATTAGGACTTTCTGATGGAAAAGAGCGCAGGGCGCACAGAAGCGCAGAGGATCAAACATCCATTCATCCAAGAAGAGAGACTCATGCAGGATTCACATCGAGATTCTTGTTCAAAAAAGTCAATTAAAGCAAAAAAGAGGAAAAATATCTTGTCACATGTTTCAAAAAATGTCCAAGACATGCAGCAGGATTTCTCGATATGTGAATAAAACAGATAAAAATCAGATTAAATCCGCGCTTATCATGCATTAAAAAAGCAATGAATTAAAAATAAGCGATGAAATTTGCTCTTTATTGTTCCAAATAGGATGCTCTGTGCAGTAAGTGTGCAAGGTGATAATGTAAAGTGTCAAAGGAAATCAGGTAAGTTACCTTGAAGACATCACATAAATGCCACTGAAAGGAAAGAGCGCTAGACATCCCCACGGGTCTCCGCAAGACAAAGCCCGGCGAAAATGAACTTGTTTGAAGTCATTAAAAACGGGGAGAAAGAGGATGAGATGCGGGCAATGTCACATCTCAATATTCCGACTTTGTTCCATTGCGCAGGCTCGTTTTGGAGAAGTGAGATTTAGCGAACAGGAGACGGATTTAGAGAGAAAATCCCTCACATTTATCTACATTACACAGACATTTTCAACAGGAAACAGCTGGGGCAGCATTTGCCTCCTACTCGTCCTAAGTTATTCATTAAGGATTTTGGGCACATATTCAAATAACGTCATTTCTCTTTTTTTCTCAGAACGGGATTGAATTTTGATCTCTCTAAGACTTGGTTAGTAGTTCAGATCAAGAGAGAAAAAGCGCCCACACTCACACAACACGATATTTTATGCCTGAAAGCTGAACAAGGAGAAGTTAAAGACGAGAAGGAGGTTAAGCTTTGTCGACTGGTTGTCGTGCGTAATTTGGCACCGCGCAACTGTACCCGAAGTCTGATTTAATTAACGTTTTCTGCTAACATAAATACTCAATAAAAAGCGAAATAAAAAGGAAAGAATTGTAATGAACTTGTGTTTTGTTACACTTAAGAGCAAATGCGAGCCAAAAATAACACGAAGACCTCATTTGAGATCGTTTTCTTCCCAAACTTTGTGCGTCTGTGCTCGATTTTTTTGGCACTTTCTCGGTTTGTCAGAAAGAAGTCACTGTTTCTGGCTCCTGCGCTGAAATTGCGTCAACACGTGCAAGTTTGTTTGCAAATGACATGCAGTGATATTTGATGCTTGATTTTAGAGACTTCTGCGAAAAGAAGAGTGGAAAAAAAACGAAAACACGTGATTATACAGCAGAAATGTGACATTTATTACAGTTTTCTTTGATTTTTCAGACCCTTTCGGTGCAAAGTGAACCGGATGCTTTCCTACGGGACTGACAAACACTTGATGGCACCCAGTTTGGGCCCCCAGAGCTCCCACTGTGTCGCAGAGGGGAAAAAAACCCTCAAGCAATGACAGAGCACAGCTTCACACGAGGCGAGGGCTTAAAGAGACTTGTTTTCAGCACTGATCCAACCACTAAACATGAGATCAGTGCTGCGACCCAATCATAAAACAGGACACCAGCGCGTATCCCAGCATGCTCGGCCGGTGTGTGTCAGAGCATCACAAGCGCAGTGGTCGGATCCAAAGGGGACCGGAGCCAAAGACACGCAACAGTTAGGGTCGTTGGGGTAAAGTGGGTCAAAACTGCAGGCACGATCAAATGTCCCCACATGACACGGACAGCTCTGCATCTCTTTCATAGAGCTGAAGCTATAGAGGCAACAAGCATCCAAACTGAAACTAAATAAAGGGTTTCAAACTGGAGGGTCGAGGCCCCTGAAGAGGACGCTAGATGCAAGTTTTGGGCCACTAGATGAAAAAAACTATCCCTGATGGCAAGCTATTGTTTTCTTGACTCCTGACAAACTTCTGCTTTTGGTTGACTAAATCTCAAAGGAAATTTCAACCATGAACCATTTACTAAAACATCAAATCTTAACAAATTAACTTGTCTGGTATTGTTTCGCTGCTGTTGCGCTGCAGTTAGCTGATTTGCAAACTACTCGTATTCACTATGTCCTGTCAGAAATGATGATGGCTGGAGTTTTGGTGATGTAGCAGAAGAAGAGATAAGACTTCTCTCAGTAAGCGGAGTCTGAAAGAAATACACCTATACTTGAGACTAATTTATTACATATGTTTAATTGTTCAACTAAACCAACAACAAGCTTAATCTGTGCTTTGAACATGTATCTACAATATGGATAGTCCCAGCGGTAAATTGAATAGGAGTGGAAAAACTCTCTTCCTCTCGTGTGTTCAGCAATTTGCATTTTCAGTGCAACTGTGTAGCCCTCTCTAAAATGATCTATTTCAATATGTAGAGTTTCCTCTGGGTAAGTATTAAAGCTCAGCCTGTTGGAAAGGTTGATGATGAAGTCTGTATCTCAATGAAACTTTAATGAAACTTTATCTAACCAGAAAAAAACCTCATCGGGATTAAAAATCTCATTTGCAAGAGTGACTTGGCCAAGATAGGCAGCAGTACATTTACAAAATTACAGACATAAACAGTTACAGACATATACAGACATAACAACCAGCTAAGTCGAAGTCGCAGAGCAGAACATTTTTTAGTCAAAGCACTTACAGCCTGATTCATCTTCCTCTAGGGCCTTTAATCGACAATTAATAAGATTTAAAGAGACCAGCTCTACAAGACACAATGTTTCTTGTAGCAGATTTCAGTCTGCAGGATCAGCATATCTAAGACTTCTTTTGCCCATTTCAAAATGAATTTTGGGGTATCTACCAATGAGCTTGAAGTTGCTTTACCCACTACACAATGCAATGTCGAAATGACATCTATTTAACATATTTTTTCTACGATGAGGTACAAATGTGAACGTATTTCAACGTCTAAAAGTGGTCCAATAATCACGTCTAAGTCTTGGATCCATCTTACATGGTGTGCCGACATCTAGATTTAGTCTTCAGATGACGTCCACATTCTAAACGTCAGAGCCACATTTAAAAAAGGTCCAATTTGGACGTCAAAATTTCTAACCTATTTTGCACGTTGCACTGAAGCCTAGATGTGGTCTTTGACGGACCGACCCGATACTGACTTGATCTGCACCTCTCTTAGATGTCCGATGTTTGGTGGGTACTTTTAGGTTGACAGTGTTACTCTGAATTCATGATCACAACCAAATGAGGGGAGAAAAAAAACACACACAACAGCGCCAATAGTTTTGGTGTTAATGCAACATGCAGCCCCAAGAAATGTCACTTTTGCAGTTTTATGCTACATCACACCCTGCATTAGTCTGATAGACTGCAGGTCTGTCCAGTCACCTCTAGAGGGAGTTAGGCATTCAGCTTTGCAAAAAGGGATACATAAAGTGACCCAGACCCATTTTCTAAAGTGAACAGGTCTGGCATCACCAGACTGGGAAATGACTCCTACACTGCCTTTATTTTCAACAAGGGCGTTAAAGCTCCTGTTAGGAGTTCTTAAGCATATATGAAACAGACTTAAATTTATAGTGATGCCTTTCTATGACATATAAAAGCAAACAACAGCATCATTGACAAGACTGGCTACTTTAATATCATAATTTTTAATGCTTTAAACTTGTATGAGTAGGAAGGTATCAACAGAAAAACTGAAGAAAAATCTACCTCAGCATGTAGAGGATAAGATAAGCAAAGACTGCTTTGTCAACAGGGGGCGCCAAAATTGACGCAAAGCAAAAGTTCCTCATAGGAGCTTTAAATAAACTTCAGACATGGCATCTCCCTCTTCAGCACATTGAGGTTACAAACTCAAGGTGACAGCTGAACAAATGGAAACATATTTTTAAGGAGATGGATTCAAGTTGAAGACAAATCTGTAATCATGAGTGTTTTATTGCTGCTCACTCAATAAAATCAGATTGAAACCAGTTTACACTAAATAGATGACGGCAGAGAGTTGATGCTGTTAATTTATCTGCTTTCAAAATCTGTCCTCCTCGTCAGACAAGCACCAGCAGGCCCGTGACCTCAATCTGTGACCTGCCTTATCTTCCTCTCAGACTGCTGCTCGAGACACCGTGCCCACCCGCCCAGCGTCTCCATTTTCCTTCCCCTGGTGGATTGCGTCATCGTTCGAAGCTGCTGATACTACGTGGAATATGATGATGATGCTCCTCTGATTAGAGAGACAAAGCTGCTTTCAGACCAGAGGGTGACCTTGTTAGCATCAGATCAGGGACGTGACCGGTCACTGATGCCTGTAAGCCCCTCAGTCGGTAGCCGATCTTAGATGTTGAAATTATCTCATCTTTCGTGGCCTCTTGACGTAAAAGAAACCTCACAATCTCACACATAAATGCTTCATCACAGACTTTCCTGTTATCACGCAGGCTGTGGTCTGGCAGTATTGATGATGGGATTGTGCTGTACATCTGCTGATGCAGTATTAGGAAGGAGAAGAAAGCGGAGGTGGGGGTTGGGGGGGCTGACCTTCCCTTGTTCTCCGTCTCTAATGCCCAGCGCTCTCAACTGTCTTGGTGCCAGGTTTCCCTCCCTCCCCTCGCCTCCCTCCCTCTGGCTCTCTTTTCTCTTCGGTTGCAGGACTTTTGAACTCTCCCACCACCACCACCACCACCACCACCTCCTCCCCACTCCAAACCCCCCTGCAGCCTTGTCTAAGGAGACGTCCGCCCTGGGTGAACTCGTTGACCAGGGGAAGGCTTGTTTTCACTCCCTTTTGGTGTAGGAAGGAGAACGTAGACACTGTAAAAAATGTCCACTTTGCTCAGGATCAGGAGGGACTTCAAATCTGACTTTTTTTTTGTTTTGAGGCAAACAGGAAAAGCATCCTATCTTATCAAAGGTTGCTTTCTAAAAATTTCCGCATTTGTCACAAAAAAAGATGGACATACAACACTTGTCGCCAATAAGTGTACAGTACAATAGGGATGTCAGAGACAACCCGTCAAAATATTTCGAGCTCTTTATAATAAAGCATGACTTACCTCAACTTTTGCAGTACCGTACGACCTTGGTTCATGTCGCCCTGTACCAACGCAGAATCTTCCATATGAAGCTTGACGCATGTCTCCTCACAAGTGCAACCATGCAAAACAAAACACATGGTTATTTGTGTGACATTTTTGCAAGAAACATTGTATTTTCTAAACTTGTATTATGTCTGGTATCTCTGCCTACATTCAGTGGGTTTACATGCGGTTAAGTCAAGCTGCGCTCGTCCATTTAACAGGACTCATGCTAGGTTCCAGTTGTACTCAGAAGTTGGGATTTCTGAGCGCTGAGTCAGAAATTCATCTGGGACGCACCCCTAAAGTCAGATTTCCAACTTGGACAGTCAGACGATCCTCGCCAACCCCGACTCGACGACAACATCATAATCCAAGATGGCAGCGCAGTGCATCAGCAGTAAAGAGTGACACGAAATCTCTGGTAATGTATTATTTATTAGCACTTCTGTTTTGTTTTTTTTTTGTCAAATTAAACAAGTGGTTTATGTTGTACTGACCAATATCTAACTGTGAACACGGTGCTAAGGTGTTTGTAAGAGTCAAATACTGTGTTAAACCGGTTTACAACTGGTATAGCTAACAACAGCGGACAACAGCTAACAACAGCTGACTATGGCTAACAGTAGGC